TACCTCTACCTCTACCTCTACCTCTACCTCTACCTCTACCTCTACCTCTACCTCTACCTCTACCTCTACCTCTACCTCTACCTCTACCTCTACCTGTACTGCACCTCTACCTCTCCGCCTGGGTACCTGTTATGTACAATGTACAACGTACCAGGTACTCCTTTCTGCGGACGTTCCGATTCAATCGAACCCGTTCACGTGACTATCATCGCTATGCCGTTTACACCCTGGATACGCTTCGAACCATCAACTCTTTCACCTCTTCATCTCCATTTTCTTTTCTTCCCTTCGTTCGTTTCTAATAATCTCAAAATTCCAGACTCGTCTATGGGACTTTCTCGGCCCCGACCGCGCCCCCTACGCGACCCCAATCCTCCTGAAGGGCGGCGAGGTCAAATGGCATTCCTTCCTCGACGGCGACCGCGGCGACGAGGCCGAGGTCTACGACAGTGCTGTCGATGCCTTCATGAGCGCTGCTCCTCGGCCGGGCATTTATGAAGAATGAATAGAATTTTTCTTTTGCTTCTTTTTCTTGAGGGGGAGGGCGTCTGCTGGGGTGTGTGTGCTATAATGGATTGGTGTCCTCCTAATTTACTTGGTCTCAAGCCGTGGCTGGACCCTGGGTCTTCTGCCGTCTGCCTTCGGTCTTCTCCATCTCCTTCTCTCTCCAATACTGCCTGCTCCAGTGAGGTGCTTTTGGTGATCCAAGGGGGAAACGGGCTCCGAGGTCAAGCTTGGTGATATGGGAGTCGAATGTTAAATATATTCGTGCCCGGGAGAGGTGGGCGTGCGGCTTTGTACAACGATACGCGGTGGTGTGTCTATTCCATGGTTGCTCGGTGGAAGGGTTAGACACTGGCTGAGTTGAACTCATCCCACTTACTGCTTCAGCGTCTCAATTGTACAGCAGAATCTATTGTTCGTGCGGGCACTCTAGGAGATGCTTCAATAGAGCATACTGCCAATGCGTCTGCTGGCCATTTCCAACATTCATGTCTCGTGGCGAACATCATTGCGGCAATGTCATGTCCAAGAATCGGGGGCTCGCCCACCAAGGTCATACATAACGCTTGATCTCAACGGCACAATGTGAGGCACAAGGGAACGACGACGCACACTGGAACAATATTTAAGTGGAATCTGGTCATGGAATAAAGCTCTGGTTCAGTTATCATGCGCACTATGGCTACATTGTCTCGACCATTGTCGCTCATGCTGTTGCTAAATACTTGCTCTGGGTACCTTTCGTTCCACCCTCGGCATTGACAATGTCGGGAAACATGATCTGATACACCCTTTGTCCGGGCATTGAACATTGGCCGTGATAATGCTGTAGCTCTGAAATATCCTCTGCCGACAAGCCGTGACGACTCCATGCCGACTTCTTCCCGAGGCTGCCCACTTCCCCCTCCCCTCTGCACTTACGAAAACTTTTTGTCGATATGAAGAAGGACATACTAGGTGAATGATTCGGAAACACTTGGTCCGGTAAGAAATGCATCGAGATGAAAGCCAAGAGGTGCAAGCCAATGCGGGCGGCTGACTTTCGTGCTGGAGTGTCGCTTCCTACCCATTGGTCAAGCCAGTATTCCAACTCATAGGGCAGATGCCCCCATGTGTATTGACAACTCGTAGAATACTTTCATCTTGACAACAGATGACCAGTAAGTAGATGTGATAGTTGACGCGAGCCCACCCCGCTAGTGCCGCGCGCACCGCCAACGTGTTGACCTAGCGAAAGCGAGGCCATTGGCTGCGTGGTTGACCCGGCGCACCAAAAGGATTGACCACTGCTCCAGGACCTGGACGAGTGACCGAGTTCGGATTGCAGCAAAGCATGGCGACACGAGATCCGAACTTGGAGCCACGCAGGGACACCATGTGTTTGCGGATATGGACGGCAACTTGCTCTCGTTGATGGTGATGAGTGTTCATCAAGATCCACTGGATCAAGTAATTGCCATACTGGTCGCCGGCAATGTCGATGAGTGGGATACGTGGACGGTCCGGGCGAGCAGTGGTAATGACTCCAAGGTAACGATCCAAGAACTCTGGCCCGCCAATCTTGAGACACTTTTCCACCACTTTCGAGGCGAATTGGTCAATGCTGTAATTGTACGAGTTGACAAGGATATGATCGATCACACGACGCTTGTCTGGCGGAGAGCCGTGCTCGCACAAGTGCTGGATGCACCAGTTTCCAAACTGGCCATGTGCAATCAGGTCAATGTTGGCAATGACTTCCTCGATGGCGGGGCGCTTCTCGTCTTCGACACAGTTCTCAAAGATATTCTGCACGACAAGACTTCCAGTTTCACCCAAGGCGACCTCGTGCCACATGCCTCGAAGAGCTTCATTCACCTTCAACATGATCTGTGGTGGTTCACCACTCCAGCGTAGTTCGAATAGTTTCTGCCAGACGTGACATGCGTAACGATGGATGACAGTATCCGGGATTCGGCGAAGCAGTTCTCGCACCATGCCAGCCTTGTGCTCCTCAGGGACCGAATCGAAGGCCTTCTGAATAACGTGACATCCGAAAGGATCCATGCTCAACGAGATGACATTTCCATGAATGGCATTGGCAATCGCAACGACCTGCTCTGGAGTGCCATGCTCGAAGCAACGTTGTACAAGAAAATTGCCGAACCGGTTGATCATGAGTGGGTAAGCTTGGTTGACGATGGATTCCACAATCTCGAACTTCTGCTCCGCTGTGCCGACCTTGAGCTTCTGTTGCAGGAAGATGCTGGCTTGCTGATCATTGTTACAGACGATCTTGTCAACGATATACTTCCAGTCGCAGGACACAGATTTGTCAAGGAGACGACGATAGTTCATTGGCTCGAGTGGCGTGACATAGGTCTGTCCGTTCACTGCTCCGGACTGAGAATGGTCAGCCACAGCGCCAATGTGGGCAGAAGGACCACCTACAGGAAGCGACCATGGGTTGCCAGCGCCGTGCAAATTAGTGGTTGGGAACTCAGGTGCTGCAGGAGTGATTGGGGTTGCAAGTCCTCGTTGGTAATTGTACTGAGCAGGAAGGGCCATGGGACTGATTGGCGGCGGAGTAAGAGCCGAGCCAGCTGGCGGGAAGCTACCGAATTGGCCCATGGGATCAACGAGGTTCGAGTTAATTCGCAATTGTCCTCCATTTCGTCGCATGCCTACCGTTGGATTGTACGGCATCACCTCTGCGTTTCCGCGCATGTCGTAACCAAGAGGAGCGGCCGCGGCTGTGAAGTTGCGTGGTTGAAAGTTTGCCTCTGCCGGAGAGATGGTTGCTCCGTACACCCCATTGTAGGCTTGTCCAGAGAGACGGGCATCACGGGGATTGGTGTAACCCGCTGCAGGAGCGTTGTTGGACACGAGATTTGTCATGGATGTAGTTGGATTGTTCCAAATGGCCCTGCCACGCCCAAAGTTGGCGGCTCCAAGAACATCGGACTGGTCAGCATGTGGCTCCTCCTGGGCAACCCAAGTGTCGGTGCGTGATGTGAATGGGCGAGCCGAAGCGTTGAAGGCACTCTGCAGATGCCCAATAGTCTGCTCAGAGATGTCATTTGGAGCGCCGAAGTCGACCTCGGAAGGAGGACCCATGGCTTGATCCATGGTCTGCTTGAGATTGCGAGTCTCGGCAAGTTCCTGTTCCTGGCGAGAGATGACTGACTTGGCAGCTTCGAGCTCTTGTTTGACACGCATCATCTCTGCAAGATCGACGTTGCCAACATTGGAGGTCTGAGGGCCAGGGCCAGACTTGGGCATGTCGAAGTGACCATTTCCAGGGACACGAGGGTCAGCGGCAGCAGGCTGGTCCACACCTTCATAGACACCAGGAGAAGCATCCATCCCATTCTTGAGTTCCTTCTCTTGTTCCTTCAAGGTTTTGTTTTGGTCCTGCAAATTGTTCAGAAGCTTGTTGAGCGTGCCAAAATCGGTCTTTTGGGCTTTCTGTCCAGCCGGAGGGGTGGGTTTGCGGGCATCATTGAGCTTGAGGCGAGAGAGTATGTCCTCCATACCGGTGGCGGCACTAGATTCGGTGTGGTCCGTGGAAGTCTGTAGTAGAAATATCGGTTAGAAGATGATGAGAGAGGGATAGCAAGGTTGTTCTGGTATGGGATGGCTCACTCTGTCCTTGCACTGTGAGGGTGGGAAGTTGTTCAGTTTGTCAGAGTGCATGACGGTGAAAGAAGAGCGAGTTGAAGTTGCCATGTGAGAGTTTGGTGCAGCCTGCAGATGTGTGAGTGAAGCCGTCCACAGATTGCCACAGATCAGTTGGTTGGGCAGTCGACGCACAGTAAGGCTGTTGTTGACCAGAGCACCACGTGCCTCCTCGCTCTCTTCCCGCACCTTGATTGTCGGTGTTGACTTGCGACTCATTTTGGGAGATCCAGTCGACACAAGCGCAGCCATGAGAGAGAGCCGAAATCCGAGAACAGGGAATTTGGACCTGGATCTTTAACATGCAAGATATTCAGGGATAGATCAACGAAGGTCTGGATGACGACAGGCCGTCGTCAAGGCGGTGGAGGAGACAAGAGATTGCCAGCAAATGAGGAGATTTGGGAGATGGAGAGATGGACACTGCCTGAGAAGGAAAAGAAGAGAGCAGTGAGCGACCAAGAAGAAGGGAGAAAGAGAGCGAAGCATGAACAAAGTGCAGTCAGTCAGTCAGTCAGTCAATTGCAGGTATCAAACACCAGAACCGGCAACTGCGTGTGTGTGTTCCTTCCTTCCTTCCTTCCTTCCTTCCTTCCTTCTTTCCCTCTTCACTTCTATCCAAGGCAGTCGACCTCCAGAACTTGAACCACATATTGGTAAATAGGCAGGTAGCTCTTCCCACTGTAGCAGCAATGGAGCAGCCTGTTACTTACCACAGCCCAAATTCGCTTCAGAACAACAATGTAGTTTCAAGGTGGCCAACTTCAACGAGGAACGCGCATCCAACTTGAAGCCAGCAGTGGCAACGTACTTAGTAAGTCTCCGCCGCTTCTTCCACCATCTTTGTTCAATCACACAATTGTTCTCACCTTCTATTGTCCCGCAGGCTTCTTCTCATGTTGCACTGTACAGTGAACTTATGGCAGGAATGAAGCCGGCGAGATCCTCCACTCATAGTCAAAGAAACCCATTGCTGGAGCCGCTGAATGACCCTTCCATCTCGTTTCGTTATTCAATACAACAAAATCTGGCTGACCTGCGCCAGTGAGAGTAGGAATCAGACGGGCAGCTTGCCTCAGTCCAACTTCATCATAGCCCCATACGACAAGCTCCAGACGTTGTTCAGGAAGTGGACGGAGCCATATGCCGCCCATGCCTGGTGTAAGAGGGATGGATACAGTATTCGAATCCTTGGTTTTCAATGATAGCCATTCTGCCCCGATTTGGATGGGAAAGGAGGGAAGGTAAGGAGGCGGGATACTGGCTCCCGTGCCGAGTGTGATCACATTGCCTTCTCTCTTCAATGCGTCTTCATATCTCGATCGATGGCTGATATTCGAGTCAGCGCCGAAGTATTGGAGGAAGTTTCGGCTTGTTTGAATCGCCAAAGGGAGATCCTTTTCGGAACAATAGACAATCTCAAAAGGCCCTGCGCTGCGCACAATCGAGTCAAGAGACCCTCTCTGGCGGCCATATCGTTGGCCAATGTTTGTCCATTCTGGAGCGATCTCCTGGGCCCAGACATTCGTTTCAAGCTTGACGAACGATGATCCCTTTGTCGCCACACCGACATCGAAGGAATCAGACATGTTACCAAGCACGACCTCCCAAGGCGTATCGCCAAGTTGGGTTGCCGTCTCGAAATGCAACCGACGGATGTTTTCAGTGGTAACATGCCAACGCGGAATGGAGTCATGCATGCTGGTCGTCACCGTAACCCTCCCCATTCTGTCTGGTGTGGTCAATTGATCAATGACAATACCATATTTCGAGCCCAACTCATGCGAATTAGGCACCACGAAGGAGAATTGGGCGGGGATGCTGGAAACCGAACTGGATCCATTCAGACACCCCAAGTAGAAATCAAGCATTGCCGGGGTGGTCATGGTCCCTGTGAACCAGTGGCCTCTGCCTGGTGTTTCAGAGTAATCGACCAATTGACCTGCTTCTGCAAGCAGAGTATTCAGCAGGCGAGAATGGTAAGCAGGTACGTTGTCGTCTTCGGAACCATGCTGTTGGAAGATAGGTACACCTACAAGGTTGTCTGTCAACAATTCATGACGGAAACTACTTCTCGCCGTCTGGAGGATTCCAGTTCGAAGAGGGTCTGCTTCGTCCCAAAAGGCATAAGGGACATAGTTCTCGATGGAAGAATATCCTGAGGCAGCTGCTGCACCAAGGACACGATCAGGCTGGTGAGTGGCAAAGAACCACGTGCCTTGTCCACCGTTGGAATGACCTGCAACCAACACCTTCTCGGCCATCACTCCAGGCCCGGCCCAGGCGGCGTCCTGGATCCATTTGGGGACGGTCAACAATGCAGCTTCGACGTCAGCGAAACCCCAGATATGCCAGTCATCCGAGCTCCACGGAGTCATGCCTGACGGAGTGAGTATCCAGGCGGGCAGGGCATGGGCAGCATCAAACATATGCCGAGCTAAGGAGCCATCTGCTTCGACCCCTGCACCATGGAGCATGAGAAGAACAGGAACCACAGAATCCTTGGCGGCACCATGTGTTGTGGGTGGCGGTCTGAGCATTGCATAAGAGACGACGCCACTGGGATGCAAGAATGTAATCTTCTGCAAAGACGAATTGGTGGTGTGATGCAGTGGCGCAGAGAAAGCCACCTGGGATGACCCCGAAGCAGCCAGCGAATATTGCAGCTCGAAATGGATGGCCTCTTGCATCCCTTCGATAGACCCGAGCGACACCTTCACCGGACGTGACTGACCAGGACCAAGTCGAATTGCATCACTTGCCACAACAACGCTGTGTTCAGCAAGGACTGCAGAAACCTGTCGTACTTCGATCCACGAATCAGCTTGGTTCCTTACCGTTATGCTACCCAAGGGACTGCAAAATCGACCACCAACCACGTCGGGCATCACCAGGCTTTGGGGAGATATGTCAATAGGAACCAAAGCTAGATCGGCTCTGAGACTCGCTCGAACGACGGGAGGTAATGTGCCGCCCATTGACCGCACATCACGTATCAGGCGAACGCTGATATTGTTGAGGCCCGGTGGAAGGTCCACAACAACCGGGGCTCTCTGGAAGCCATAGAAGTCTCCTCCGAATACATGGTGTTCATTGACCCAGAGTTCCAGAATGTTATCTGGGTACAGCACCACCTTTTGCACACCGGTATCAGCATTCCAAATGCGCCCTTTCAGCCAGCCTTGGAATTGAAGAGCAGACCAGCCATAGACATTTTGTGCAAACTGCCAATCCACTTCAGGAAAGTCCACCACCAGCTCAACAGATGTGGAAGTCTTCGTATCTATGGGGATGAACGTCCGATTGCTCCAGTGCACATTCGCGCCTCGAGTGAGAGGACTGTGGTAAAGGGGCTCCTCGTTGGAGATGAGTGACTGGATGCCTCCATGGAACTCGATGGGGTCGGCACCCCATACAGCCTCTGCGTGGACGGTCAAAAAGGAACAGAAACACAAATCCAACTACCCGGTTGTCTTGTCGTACCTCGAGTGCCCACCCTGAACGGACCAAGTACATCCCAGGAGCTGAGGAAAGCTATCGGTCCGTGGTGGAGGGTATCGTCAGCGGAGAGGACACCTTGAGAGATTCCTGCAGCCACATAGCCAAGATGGAGTGTTACACAAAGGAGTAGATTCCAGCAGTGACCATGCCTCATTGTACTACCGTCCGATGCATTCACCAGGAGGTAATTCGCCTGCGCTTGCAGACAGAGGGAAGCTGAGGTGGCACAAGCGGATGTTTACATAATCCGATCCAGATCTTATGGCACACTGCATTTAGTGGTGAGACACCGCCTTCTATTTCTGGTCTAGCGCCTGTAGGGGTCGATGGCGAATAATGCTCTTCCAATGTCCGCTGGACGATGATACGATGCTTGATAGCACCAGAGACGACGCTGCTTGTGCCAGATTGAAAGATAGATTCAGATATTTCCTCTCAGGCGAGAACGACTTGTCGGCGACCTTGCATTCACAGTCTCTTTAGCGACATTACCCTCGTTAGAAGACATGGCGATACCTGCCTCCATATCCTGACCTGGGCGACACTCTTGCGAACCCAGCAGAACAGGGTGAATCTCTCCCCGATCCTTTTCGACGAACATGACCTCCACCATGACCCAAGTCCCTGAACCCCGTACATTCAATCACCGATCTCTGTCACCTCACAAGCGTGCCCATGATGCTTCTCCGAACGAAAAGTTTCCTTCCTTCGACGGAAATCGTCCGCAATTCCAGACCCTTCAGTCAGCCGTCGCAGAAAGCCCGCTGGATATCAGTCCAGGGCCAGCTCTAAGCCACGAGCTAAAATGGCCGGCGAGAATATCAAGCCAACGGTTACGTGATGGGAGGAATTCAGGGATCTACACCCATAGACCGAGAAGAAGCGTGGGCGACGCAATCAACAAATTCCGCACCCGGCAAGGAAGCGTCAGCGAGAATGCGCAGGAACTGGCGGAGGCATTAAAAGCACCAGTGTCTTACAAGCTCATTGTAAGTATCCGCAGCAGCGTCGGTTTCTGTAAGCGTCGAGTCTAACAACTGCAGATACTCTGCATCATCTGGTACCTGACATCGGCTTTGACGAACACATCCTCCAAGTCGATATTGAACGCACTGCCCAAGCCGGCCACCCTGACGATGGTCCAATTTGCCTCGGTGTCACTCTGGTGTTTGTTCTTCACCACTCTGTCCTCCGTCTTTCCACCCTTGAAACGAGCAATTCCAGCGCTCAAGAATGGCCTGAGGCGGCCATCTTGGGATGTCCTTTATACCGCTTTTCCACTCTCGATCTTCCAACTTCTGGGTCACCTACTCAGCTCATACGCTACCTCGAAGATCCCAGTCTCTCTGGTCCATACAATCAAGGGATTGTCTCCATTATTCACGGTCCTCGCATATCGCGTGGTGTTCCGCATCCGGTACAAACGATCAACATATCTGTCGCTTGTTCCGCTCACACTTGGAGTTATGCTGGCTTGTTCCACGGATTTCTCCACTAATTTCTGGGGAATCACTGCCTCACTGGTGGCTGCGATTGTATTTGTGTCCCAAAACATCTTTTCAAAGAAGCTATTCACGGAATCCGCCCGGGTAGAGGCCGACGGACAGACACATCATCCCCGGAAATTGGACAAGCTCAACCTGTTATGCTATTGCTCTGTCGGTGCTTTCTTGCTTTCGGCGCCTGTTTGGTTATACACAGAAGGATCGGATCTGATTAAAGACATGTGGAGTCAAGGGTCGGTTCCTCTGACAGAGAGGAAAAACACGATGGATCATGGAGAGCTCTTGATGGAGTACATGTTCAACGGGCTGTTCCACTTTTTCCAAAACATCATGGCATTTGTTCTACTTTCAATGTTGTCACCCGTGTCCTACTCGGTGGCATCCTTGATCAAAAGAGTGTGGGTCATTGTGGGCGCCATCATCTGGTTCCGGAGCCCTACCACTGCCGCCCAGGTTGTTGGAATCGCTTTGACATTCCTTGGTCTCTATCTCTATGATCGTACCAGTGTGGAGGATGCCGCGGAGAGGAGAACCAGGTCCGATCATTTCCGTCACAGGGCGGCATTGTTACCGGTCACCGAGGTCCAGACTCCGGGGATCCAGGATAGCTACGCGATTCAGGACGACTATATGGGGGATATGTCGGAATCGCACCCTAAGAGGGACGACAGTCGATCTCGACCAACTGATGCGAGTTTTCCGTCTGGTTGGCTACCTCCTGGAACCAAACAGGAGAGTACCTGGGAGGTAGGTGACCAGCGCCAGGAGACATAGTCAATGTATCATCATCACTTGTACATATAGCGTTGGCGTGCGGAGTTGTGTAGACCCGGTAGCAGGCATATTAGAGGGGATTTGGCCACAATTCGACTGATGAGATAGACATTGAGTTGACATGTATATACATGCGACAATCCAATTACTTGTGAACATAAGAACAGAATCCTAAGATAGGGTTCGCATCATACTAGTAGTATATAGCAGAGTCCGTCTGTCAGCATCTGTAGCAGCCGTTGGTAAGGAACTCAAGCATCATCGGCCTTCCTCCGAAGAAGAGGTCGTAGCCAGCTCCAGCTACGGCGCAGGATCTGATCTTGGACTACGTAGCAGAGGAGAAAGAGACTTGTGCAGAGTGCGCAACCCTGGCTCCTACAATAATCATGTCCGTGAATGAGTTTTTTGTTAGAAAAAGAAGAAGAGAGGAAGAAAGTGGCTGGCTGGCTGGCGTCAAAATATAGACGAAAAAAGAGCGAGAGGGATTGTGACAAGGCGCTAAGGCCGAAAACGGGATAGTGGCAGTTTTAAGGAAATGGCCGGCATCGTGTTGAAGTTCCAAGGCGCCGCATGCTGATTGCTGATTGATGAGGGTGCAACGCAGCGACCATCAGTCCGTCAAGTCAAGATATCCAGCCTCGTCGTTGGCATTGAGATCAGTGGCCGCGCTTAAGCAGGCGCCAGGAATCGCTTCTTCTTCTTCTGCTTTCTCTCTCATCCTCTGCACACTCAAATCCCAATCATGTCGCAAACCCAAGTCGACCATACCGACTCCATCAGAGAAGAAGACCCTCACAACGACGGGCCTCCCAAAAAGCAAAAAAGCAGACGCCCAGCAAGTGAGTCTTGACCTTGGTTTGTCAAGGGGGTGACATCCAGCGACATGTACTGACTGTCCGGCGGTATAGACACCGCGTTCCGCCAACAACGGCTGAAGGCATGGCAGTACGTTTCTCGGCCCCTCACTGATTCTACTCTGTGAGGCTGACTTTGTCTTTCCAGACCTATTCTCACCCCCAAAACCGTCCTTCCCATCTTTTTCGCAATCGGGATCATCTTCGCGCCCATCGGCGGTGTTCTCCTATGGGCGAGCGCAAATGTCAGTGGATTCTGTCGTTGAAAATACAAGAGACGGACTGACCTCGTCTACAGGTCCAAGAGTTGATTATCGACTATACCGACTGCAACTCGACCGCAACCTCTGAATTCCAACCTATTCCAGACAACAAGGTCTCGGCATCCTTCAAATCCTCCAACAGCACGGTGCGGCCACAGTGGAGGAGGACGTTGAACACGACCACACCACCATACAGTGTTGAGATTGAAAACACCCCAGTCTGCACGCTTCAATTCTCCATTCCAAACGATATCGGACCGCCCGTTTACCTCTACTACCGACTGACGAACTTCTACCAAAACCATCGGAGATATGTCAAGTCTCTTGATACAGATCAACTCAAGGGACAAGCTCTGAGCAATAGCACCATCCATTCCAGCTCTTGCACCCCTTTGAAACTGGACCACCATGGTAAAGCCTACTACCCTTGTGGGTTGATCGCCAATTCCATCTTCAACGATACTCTCAATTCTCCGGTTGCGGTTAACGTCGCCGGCGGTCAATCAAGCCAACAATACCGCATGACGAATCACAGTATTGCTTGGGGCTCTGATGGCTCGCTGTACAAGAAAACCAAGTACACGAATGATCAAGTGTCTCCTCCGCCGAACTGGCGAACGCGATACCCCGATGGCTATACCGATGAACACCCAATTCCAGACTTGTCTCACTACGAAGAATTCCAGGTGTGGATGAGAACGGCAGGCTTGCCGACATTCAGCAAACTTGCTCTACGCAATGACCACGATACCATGACTGCCGGGATTTATCAGATGGACATATATGACTGTGAGTTTCGAGAAGAGCAGCTCATCGTGTGATCTCCGTTAACGTCTGTCCAGTCTTTCCCGTTCAGCTTTATGACGGCACGAAGAGTATTTTGCTCTCGACCAGGACCGTTGTCGGAGGCAAGAACTCTTTCTTGGGTATCGCTTATATCGTGGTCGGCGGCGTATGCATCGTTCTGGGGGCCCTTTTCGCCGTTGCAAATCTCATCAAGCCCAGGTACGTCCGTTTCCTGAGCATGTTTGTAAATGACGGCTGATCTCAAACAGGAAACTTGGCGATCATACTTATTTGTCCTGGAACACCGACAATGCGGCCACGGCTACTTCGACCGGGCGGGATATCAGACCTGGAAGCACTTGACGACCTGGCAGAATGTATGATTTCTAACGTTGTCTATTATGTACTATCGGCGATCACCGGAGTCGGCGTTCACGGGTTGTCTTTGCTCGAGACTTGGATGAGGTGGCTCAAAAAGACTGGTCGAGCCTATACAATCAGGGAATTTATATCGTCACATTTCATTCCTGCACAGGCCTTTTCCCCGACAATGGTTACCTCGTGGGCTACTACAGGATGGGGTCTGTTTCACGTGGGCATGCGTTGCAGAGAATTCCCATTCCACATTCCCCTGTCCCATGCTTTTGATTGTGATGATGTCTGTGCTTATTGTTCTGATCGATTCTTGTTCATCAATGTCGAAAAGTTTCGCTCACCGTTGATTCGCAGCCTTCGATTGTGACACAAGGAGCCTGGTCGTTGTTTTGGAAGACGAAGCCACTCCTCCCAAGCAGAGAGCTGATTACACTCTTGTAAATCCAGAGATTACTCTATCTTGTCCGCAAGGCGACTCTTTGGTATTCTTTCCGTTTCTCTCTCCCCTTTTCCGTGCCATGGTTTCCAAGAGAGCACCATCCATCCGAACGAGCATTCTTCTACTAACGCTAGCTCTGACTCGGTCCAGTCATGCCCGCGTCCCGAAATACAAGCCGATCAGCCGTTCCTGCGGCGTCGCCTCTCCATCGACCGAACTCCAAGATTCCCATCGCTGGCTCCAGCACAACGAAGCACTAGACAACGACCTATGGAACGCCTCAAGCGTGCAGCAACGACATATTGAACATCATCATCATGGATCCCATCCCTTTGGCGAATCCTTGTCGTCTTCCAATGCGTCTGAATCCGATCGACGCCGACAAGCGCTTCCTTCTCCATCTCCCCTCTACGTCGTCGACACATACATCCACATCGTCGCCGACAGCTCCTCAGCCTCCGCCTCGTCCCCAAAATACGTGACCGACACAATGATCAGCCAACAATTCGCCTACCTCGCCCACGCCTACACCAACGCCTCCATCGGCTACCGCCTGCTCGGCATCTCGCGCTCGACCAACGACACCTGGGCCGCCAACGGCGACGACGCGGGCATGAAACGCGCCCTGCGCCGCGGCACGTATTCCTCGCTCAATATCTATTATCAGTCGCTGTTGCAGGCTGGGGCGAACACGCCGGGCATTCCTGCTGGGTCGACGTTGTTGGGGTTCTGTAGTTTGCCGGCGGCTGGAGTCACTTCTGGAGGGACGACAGGAGGAGGAAGCATCTCTGGAGGATCAACAGGAGTGGGAAACACCACACCAGGAACAGGAACACCCACTCCTCCAAATAGTAGATATATTCTCGACGGATGTAATGTTCTGTCGGGAACCATGCCGGGAGGGAACATGGTCGGATATAATCTGGGAGGCACGACTGCTCATGAAGTCGGCCATTGGAATGGATTGTTGCATACGTTCAATGGGAACAGTTGTGCGCAAGATGATTTTGGGGATTATGTGGCGGATACGCCGCAGGAGATGACGAGTACCAGTGAGTTGAATATGAATATTTGGTATTTGGTGTTTTTCTTTGCTTTGGGAATTGTTATTGGTGGATGTTGGTATTGCCGTGGCTGTTTCTGCATCTTCCCCTTTGTCGTATCATTCTATATTCATATATTTCCCTCCCCCTCCCCTTTTTGTCTTCTTCTGTCAGCCGTCAAGTCACACACAAATCATCATCGTCATCACTCGGAACCGCTTTCAAACCAGGGTCAAACTCTAACTAATATCCCGATAAAGATAGATGTCCAGTCTACAAAGACAGTTGCCCGTCCTCTGGCGTCTCTTCGACCACTTATAACGGCGGCCCAGGTCAGACAGGCGCCAACCCTTACGGACCACAGGGATATAGTGGTCCGGATCCGATCCACAATTTCATGGATTATAGCGACGATGTGTGTTATCAGGGGTTCACGCCGGGGCAGGGGGCTAGGATGTTGAATATCTGGCAGATTTATCGGGAGGGGTTGTGATAGGGATGAGATGAACGAAGTGTCGAGCGTCGAAGCATGAATGCTGAAGTTGGAGAGAAGAAAGGGTGAGAGAGTTGATTGATTGGGGATTGGACATTTGGCGTCCAGAAGGAGGATAAAGGTATATGAAAGGGGTTGTATGAAAGAGAGGGACTAGGGAGGATGTCTTCGTGCGGCTGCGTCGAAAGATCACTTTGGGAGGGAAGTATGCAATAGGATACTATCGACCACAGCATCGAGAGACAGAGCCGATGGACAACGGATCAGCTATCAAGGACATTGGTCTCCAAGAGACAATATGTTTTCTTGGACCTCGAAAGGGGCATAATAGGAATGGATGGATGGACGGGATGCAGTGCCTAGGATCATAGAACGTGACGCCGCAAGGCTGTGGTCAGCCTTGTGCTCATCTTAAGAGTAGAAGCAGAAGCAGACAAGAAAGAAGAATTGGGATTCCAATGTAGAGATAGAAGCACAAAATCATAAAAAGAAGAAGCGTACCAATGAATAGTATATTTTATACAACTCGACGGTGACGAGGCTACCCAAGAAAAGGGGAGCATTCATTCAATCATCGTGCAGTGCTGCATTCGAGATACATGTTCGTCTGTGTATCCCACACATATAATATGTCTTGCATTCACAATCCATCTCCTTTCCCTCCCTCCACTTACTGCACCTCAACAAATTCCTCCAAAATACTCACACTTGATGCTTCTCAATGACCAGGATCCCGAAATGCGGCGCTTCGAGATACCCATCCCAGAAATCCGGCGTGACACCATACTCCACGACACTATCATGCGGCGTCGGAAGTCGGACCTCTCGCCATTCAAGGGGCCCATATAACCCGGCTTGTCGTGCACTGCGCTCATAGACTTCGCGACGCAGATGGTAGTTGTCAAACTGGATCCTGACGGGCGAAACATGTGCCGTGACTCGTGTAGCGTAGCCTTCGTTGCTGTGGAGTTTGGTTTTATAGGTGACTGTTACGCCGTATTTTGTTGGAGTCGAGTCTGGTGTTGACTTTTCCTGCAAGTGCCGATCTTGGGGATTCCGAAAACTCCGTGAATCCTGTGCCTGAACATCTCCAGAGTTGTGTCCTTGGTCTCCCAAATCCTGACTGACCAGCGTCGCAAATGCGTCCAGATCTTCAGCCGGATATGGTGTGATTCCGACGAAATGGCCGCCTGGTTTTAGATGGCGGGCTATATTGGCGAACATGCTCGTCATTTCGGCTGCTATGCTTGCGTAGTTGAGCAGCCAGGCGCCGAGGATGATGTCGAATTGTGGTTCTGATGATGACTCTGCTTTGGGTTTGGAACTGGATCCAATTTCGGCCTCGCTGGACCTAAGGCTAGACGGGAGTCGAAGGGGCTGCGTGCAGTCGCCGACATGGAAGGATAGTCTGTTTCTTCTCGTGGTAGGTCTTGTGTCATGTTTTGTTCGAGAGTCTGGTTTCGTTGGGGATCGGGAACAGCAAGAAGGTCCTGTGCCGCTCATGGTCCAACTGGGACCGTTCCTATTCTCGCCCTCTCTTGCCAGCCTCATAGCTTTCTGTTGTTCACTCTCTGCCGTGGCGTTGGGTTCAGTCTCGATCGCGGTATCGGATCCAATATCATCATTCATGCCAGGCCCATCTCTGGTCTCCGCACCGCTTGCACCATCAGCCACAACAGTCTCTTCCAAACCTTGCACCCGTGACTTTGACTGCTCACGTGCAGCATCCACCATCTTCTCCGAAATGTCGACGCCGACAACTCGAGCCGCACCCCATTCTAGCAGTAGTCGTGAATAATAGCCCGTACCGCAAGCGAGATCGAGGACAGTGACGCCATCGCCGTCGCCGTCGCCAGCAGGAACATCGGGGCTGTTGTCATCGTGCGCCTTCTTGAGAGAGAGAAGGGGCTCGATTGTTGCCCGTAGATTCTCCCGCTCCAGTTGTGCCGCTGGAAGGCGTTTGAGCGATTCATATGACAAGCCGATTGCGTCGTATTGTGTTCTTGATGACGAGGATGATGGTGGAGGCGACAAAGACGACATTTGGCCAGTAAGGGTAAACTCTGAATGGGGAGAGAGGGCGACAAGCCGGGCGGGCGAGCGGGCAACAGGAGTATCAGAATATATATTCACCTCTCTGTCACTGAACGAGTACAGTAACTCGGCAGACAACTCACCTGACGCCAATGGATCAGTCTCAGTCAATATGATAGTCTCCCTAATATCAGACTGGGTATAGTCAAGAGGAAGAGCTCGGCGAGGAGTTGTTTGTCAGTTGTCCAAGATATATGTGTTGTGTGGAATAGACCAATCATCTGATACCACCCCTGTTCCAATCCGGCGCCCGGGAGATGTATGACAGCATGGAGTAAGATGCAAGGTGCAAGGAGTACAGAGCGTCCATAGGTCGAGCTTCTCGAGCCGAGTAAGTGCCCTTGAGGGTTTACGGCCGACAAACACCGTGGAACATGGGGTATGGCGTACCAGTATGAGACGAAGAAGCGGAAGGAGGTTCAATATAGAAGGAAGAGACGAGAACTCGTGGATCAGGACTCAGGAATCTGATGAAGGACAGACACCGTGTCCCACTTCCCGTACTGATACGGGCATCATAACATTGCATCGCCAATAGATACAAGATCCCAACACATGAGATTGCGTTCAGCCCGTATAGACGAGCACAAGCAAATCAATCGTCCTCATCGACTCTCGCCCTCTTCTTCTCCCTATCACTTGGTCCGGCTTCCTCCAGACCATATCGCTTCTTACTACCCTCGCCACCATTCCGGGCCGAAGCCTCGCCAATCAGAGTGTCAATGCCGAACGGATCATCCTTGTCCTTTTCGAACTGGACAGGCCCGGCCTCTCTCTCAGCCAGATCAGCCCCTTTAAACCCTTGGCTGGCTTTGCCGAGGACTTCAAAGCGATTGGATTTCTGGATCTTGCCCATCGCATTGTCGGCCGCGTCTTCTTCATCGTCGTCCTGGTTCGCAGAGGGCCGGTAAATGCTGTTGATCGCATCATGCGCCGCAAACAGAGGTTTGTCGTAGTGTTGGTCCTCGTTGAATCCCGTGTCGAACCCCGAAGTCTGGTTGAACAGTCTCGAGTCATACATGGTCTCTTTGTTTTGAGTCGGCTTCGCCAACCCCAACGCCACTTTCTCGGAGATATCTCTGTTCTGCTCTCGGGCCATCATCTGAATGCGTTTCTCCGCGCCCATCCTGCTCTGTCGCAGTTGTCGCTCGTTCTCCGCTCTTCGTTCTCGTCGTGCGCGTTCTCTCTCCTTGGCCGCCTCATCTTCACTGTCGTCGCTTCGAGGTTTCGAATCGTACGATGATCCAGAATAAGACCGTGACCGCCGTCGAGACTGAGAGTCTGAATCTCTTCGTCGCCCAGCAGCTGCCTGTCTCTCTTCTCTGGCTTTGCGCGCCATCTCCCGCAGATGTTCTTCCTTGGCCATCTTTTCCTTTTCGGCCAGCTTCTGTTGCATCTGCGCTCGGAGTTTGACCTCTTCTCTTGCATGTCGGTCTGCCGTGAACAGCGCTTCTGCAAATTGTGCAAACTTGTCGTTGATCGTGACATCCTGGAGTCCTCGTCCGTCCGCTGCCAACCGTTTATCCAGCGGCACGGTATATCCCTTAGGATTCTTCCAGTTCGAAATAGGGGGAGGAATCTTCCACGCTTCTTGATCTTCGGCTGTCAATTTCCGCGGCGGCGAATGCATTACCGGCGGTGGTGGACTGGGAGGGCCTCGGGGGATCTTCTTGTGTTTAAATTTAGGTGGTTCCATGGGATCTTCTTGTCGCTTCACGATCTTGAAGATCCGATCGTTCTTCTTGCTGTTGTCGCCCATTTGGTTCGCTGGGGTATATCGCACATAGGTAGGCTCTTCTCTCGACGCGCCCTTCACGTTCTTGGGTTTCTGTGCTGCCACTGCGCCAGACACCAGCTTTTCCAAGGCCAACCGCGTCTTTTCCGCTGTGGCTTGAACTTCCTCTTCACTCGGTCGGTCCAGATTGAGATCTCCTGCATCTGCACGCTGTCGAAGCGGTATTAAATCTTTAAAACTTGAATGTACGATCCGGCTTTCACTGTGGCCCTGACGCGCAATGGCATCGTATTTGACTTTCCCTTCAGCATCGACTTGGATGGCGAGGGCGTTGGAAGTAGAGGCCGTGCCTTTTCGACCCATATCCAGAGGATACTGGGCCACAGGTATTTCTGGAAAGGCGCCGCCATCGCCGAAATCTTCTGCGGATCGAGGTCGCCATCCTGACCGTTGTCCATATGGAGGAGGGCCGGCACGCTGCAACCGTAAGAATCAGTAACCGGCTAGACCTTTGGAGCATGGACAACTAACCTTCAGCACTATCTGAGATTCATCAATCACTCCAGGCCCGACGATTCTAGGACCTTTCGGCTGCGCATGGACCGGGACTTCTTCATGTTCGCCGGTGTATTTCGGCTTTGGCAGAGAGGCGAAAAGACCGGTCGCCATGATCACGGATGGGTGAGTGTTCTGCAAGGGCATGTGCAGTAGGATGCTATATCGAGTAGGCTGGTCGTGCAGGAAATGATGCAAACTCGATAATGCGGCGAACGGGCTTTTGATTCACCGGAGAGATACAGCTACTGCGAACCACTTTGGTGACCATGCAATTTGAGGCGATCGACCACAGACGAATCATGAACGAGCAAGGCTCTCGGCATCAGATGGGCCGGCAAGATATATCTAGTACGTACTATAATACTACGTACCTTAGATACTAATATGTCGGAGTCGGCCCGAGACACAACGACCAGCAAATCTCGGACTGTATCAAGTCTCGAATCTCAACTCCCTGACCACAAACCGGATCGTAAAACTCTGCTCACTTGTCTTGTGTCTGCAACGACGACGATGGGTCCTTCACTGCTATCCAAAACCCTACAGGGAATCACCGTGACGTCCCTCGCCTCGGTGGGCGCGTTCTTCGTCTGGACGAAGCACTGCCAATTCACCCCGGATAGCCAATTCACACCGGCAACAGAACCTCTTTTCCAGAGTACGTGGTACAAGAAATTCAATCCCAACAGGAATCCTACGACGCACGATGAGTGCGTAAGACGCCTGCCGCTGCATAAGATCCGACCGGAACTTCTTGAGGATGCGCGGAACGGTGGGACGAAGCTGGTCGAGGCGTTCAGCCAGGGCGTCTGGGGAGGGCTTGGTACGTTTCTTTCTCTATTCTGTCTCGAGCTTTGCGCTATTTGAATATCTGTGACTTTGATGTCCTTGAGGGAACTGCGTGATGCACGCTCTGTCGGGTGCCATCCCCTCACTATTCAGAAGGAAGCAGAGTGGCTGTGGCAAGACTGATTTATCGAACGCCTAATGTCCTTATTTGTGGATTGATCAATCAATATCCCAGGGCGTAGTCTGACTCAAACACACAGGCTTCAAGATCCAACGTCTATATATGGAAAAGAAATACCGGAATGACACCACAACGGCACACCAGCTCTGGACACCACAACAGCTGAAGACTTCTACATACGATGTCGGCACCGAGGTTACAGACCATTTTGTCGTCCTGGACAAAACCCCCACGTCCATTCTGTTTCGATGTGGTGATTCACCCTTGCATAACCCAGACACTCCTCGGCCTAGTGACGGGCTGTTCGGTTTGACTGCGAAGGCCGATTTTGATAAAGGATTCGCCGAGTTCAGACTGAAAAGCATCTTCTTTCAGGGTGAGGGTGAGGCGCAGGAGAAGACACAAGGCCCGATGCCTAGTACCCTTGTATGGCTGCACCAGCTGTACACAAAATTCTTCATGGAGAGTGCTATGCGCTACGTGAAGCAATGACATGATTGAGAAGGAGATGTTTAGACTTATTCAATGATCAGCAAGGCTCCAAGCAACTTTGTATCTGATGTGATGTGACTGAATTACTGATTGTGTTTGGCTGCGTTCAGCTTGGCCTCTGGTCCTTGGATCCTTGGACCAAGTTCAGTCCAATCATCCGTTCCATTCTGCCAGCGAGATCCGATGGTCATCGTGTCAATCAAGTCTCCTTTTGACCTGGCCCTTCTTCCATGATTTCCACTTCGGTCGCGTCACGATAGTGCCGAGTCACAATTGTCGCAAGGCATTTCATCTGTTGTCTTCCTGTATGGGCTCCGACTGATTCAGTGTCTTCACCGGACCTGCTCAGCCCGCATGTCGAACGTAGTAGTGGTATCCACTGGTAGCATGTCTTTCCCAGTGTCCGGCAGGAAAGTCCCCCTTCATGGCATCGTTGTATTCCCTCAGTGTCCAACTGCCATCCAATTCCTTGCACCAGAACTGCGGACTTGCACCTGGCTTGTAGGGAGCGAGTTGACTTGGTGCTTGCTGTTGAGATGCGGCAAGGTTGGCATACATGACGGCGTTCTGGGCTTGAATGTCTGCTGCGGTGGCTCCAACAAAGTAGGCTGGAGCATTTGGCATCTGTGCGAGAGCGGCATTGGCAGCGACTGCGGCGGCGGCTTGAGCAGGTCCCGGGCCTTGACCCCATGGGGACGCTGATGGATAGGCATAGGCTTGTGGTGCTGTACAGTATGGTGAGTAGCTGTACCCATAGGGGAGATTGTAAGGAGTGGTTGAAGTAAGGGGATCGGGTAGAGTGTAACAAGTGTATGAAGAAGAGGTGAAGGGCCAACCAGTTGCTGCAGTGGGAGGTTGCGTTCCATAGTAGAGTCCATTGACATAGTAGCCTGCCGGGGAGCTGGAGCTACCCTAATGAACAGTGAGTGAGATGACAGTGAAGAATGGCGGGCGACTTACGGCGAAGTAGTACATGGCCGACTGAGAAGGCTGGTTCGACTGATAGACCGGTGCTGGTGGATGAATTCCCTGTGCACCTTCGTGAGTAGAGACGTAGAGGAATGTACGCGGCCAGTCGGCTGGATCTTCCCAATGACCTTGACTGCGGTCGTTCAACGCTGAGGGATTGGGGTTTTGATATGTGTAGTAGTTGGGCATGGTTCTTGTCTCTAGGCATAGACAAACTGCGAAAGGATTGATCAAGCCAGGATGTTCGAAGCAAGGATAACGGGTGTGATTGGGAAGAGGAGAATGAGCACAAAACTCGATCTGGATTCAATGTGATCGGAGGAAACCAGGGCAGGCAGGAGGCAGGACTGCAAATTGAGAATTCACTGGAAATCCTGAGAAACGTACAGTGCGGTTGTCTGGGTAGAAAGCTGCGTTGTCTTCGAGGAAAATGTACTCTTGTTTGACTGGCTCGGCGGCGAACTGAACAGGCTGGCTCCATGGCCACTTTCCGCAGGAGAGACACATGATGATAGTGAGAGCAAGAGATGGGGCAACGATAGATGGAAGCGTCTGAATGATGGTTTGAAAAGGATGTCGGGAAAAGGAGGATAGGTGGTGAAGGCGCAGGGGGAAACGCAGCCAGATCACGGGGAAGACATCCGCCTGAGGAGGCTTCCTCGATGTCCGTGAAGTGAAAAGGCCAAAAGATTTGATCAACCCCGTCTTCAATACTTCTTCCAATATTAGCAGTTTCATTCTGTTCCTTCTTAGGCCAGAGCAAGTTCGGGTTTGCCCACAATCACGAAACCCAGATCATCCGCCAACTGCTGAAGGCTGCCTCATCCCACTCTTCCTGTCCATTCTATCGGTCCTTCTATCGGTCCTTCTATCGGTCCTGCAACCTGCTGAAGCTCGATGTTCACCACTCTCGACGGTAGAAGCAACGTGACATATAGAGATGAGCCTGGTCCCACGATCCAAGCACATACAAATGCAGCGGTTGCTGCTCGGAACTCTGCCAGACATGAGTACAGTCTGTTCACCACGAGGACACCCTAACAATAACCGTTACTCGACGAGACCTTGTCCGAGCGATCGATGCGAAGGGGCCATGGTGATCAACGGATGAGAAGGCGGTGCTGGAAGAGGACGTTTCATATGGAAGGGAAAAAGATAGCAGTTGACGTGGAGGGTCTCCATCCAAGTCGTCTTCCGGTTTCGGCGGTCTGTCTCATCAAGCACCACGTCAATCAGGGGGGCTCATGCAACATCACATCTTTGCCCGTCGGATCATACCATCTGCTCTGCCTCAGCAAGGAAAGTGATCAGCTTTCAGCAGTCTAGAGACACATGCTAATGTACTCTGGACCCCAGAATGGCTCGACGATCGCCGCTACCGGCAGCTTGTTGGCAAGTAATATCCTCTTGTCGACTCAGCCTCATGCCGACAACGCCGTTATAAATTGCTACCAAGTGTACGCATCGTGACTCTTTCGCTGTGCCAGTAGGACCGCAACCGCCCACGAAAACATGGATGTCAAAACTGGCGAAGAGCTGGCCTATACTGCGCCGACGTTCACGATTGACCTGTCTCTCGACCCCGAAGACCGTTACAAAGCCTTGGCTGTGGCATACAAAGAACAGCTTCAAGGCTTGACAGGTCTGTTCAACAGCTTACTGAAGACCATTGGGCTCCCCGTCCACTATCATGGCCCAATCAACTACGTTGCCTGGCTCCTTCTCAGAGGTGTGTACTCGCCCATGGAGACTGCAGAGTTGCGAGGGATTGCCAAAGTAACCGGAGTACCGATGTACTTGCTGGTGTCCTTCAATGTCATTTTGGATATTCTGATGGGTTGCACTTCTGGTGCTGTCAAGACTCTAGAGCCGGGACAAGCAAGGAGTGAATCCAGAATGCTACACTTTCGAACGCTGGACTGGACAATGGACCCTCTCCGGTCTATTATCGTGCAACTTGACTTTGTTCGAAGCAGATCTGCGAGTCCTTCGGAGGTTCTGGCTCGCAGTATCACCTATGTCGGCTTCGTTGGCTGTTTGACTGGGGTTCGTCAGGATTTGAGTCTCTCGCTGAACTTCAGACCTGTCCACAACGCCACAACGAGGCAAGAACATCTCGCATTCTACTTCCATCACCTTCTTGTATTACTGGGGTATCGTCAGTCAATATCAAGCCTCCTCAGAGAGTATATAATTTCCGACGATGCTGGCGACAACCACCCCAAAACTCTTGCAGAGATTTCCGAAGAGCTGATCTCGCGGCGAACGACAGCAGCTTACCTGACATTCAGTGACGGTGTCTCGACAATCGTGATAGAGAAGGACTATAACACTGGCTTGATTCGTGGGTCCGACACATTCATTGCCACCACCAATCACGACCAGGTCGGGCATAAGCCGCGATCGATGGCACCGACTCCCGCCGCAACTGAAGTCACCAATGACGCAGCCCAAGCTCCGAAAGGATTACTTGGGCTGCTTGATGAGAGCCGCCATCGGTTGGACTGTATCTCTTCGAAATGGAAAGCTCGAGTGGAAGAAGCCCGGCGGCACTCTGAAGAGGGAAACACTGAGGCTAAGGTTGCGATCACAAAATCAGAGCTGATCGATTGGGTGTCAGCATACCCCACCAGCAACGAATTTACTCATTTTGCTGCTATCTTGGACGCGGCAGCTGGTCAAGTTGCGTGGACCAAGGCGTACAGGGTTGCGATCAAGATACCGGAATGATCGACATAACTTGAAGTGACTGTTTGAGCCAGACCTGGTGGTAGGAACGCCATTGTGGCGGCATCTCGGACTTATGACAAGTCATATCAAGACCTGCCTGTCGCGACAAAGATCTCCGAATCCATCAGCGGCCGCGATATTGGATTTAGGGTTTCCGATCTGAACGCAACAGACTTCCGTTGGCGGTCTCAGATTGTATAGTCCGACGACAGGCGGCAGATGGTAGATGGCAGACGGCGGACAGATGTGTTACTGTCGGAGCGGTCGCGATCGAAGCAGAGAGCATGGATATAACATGGCCAGGTCAGGGGACTTATGTACAACCAGCCAGGGTGAATCAAGAGGGTGGAAACAAGCGTTACTCCTCACGGAGTTGGATGAGTGACAGGAAAACACCCACCCGTTTTGCCGACAGTCTCATCTCTCCTTTCGACCCACGTCCAGCGAAACACATGGCAGTCCTCGCAGCATGGGAATCAAATTGAATCGCCCGCGCAGTCGGCGTGGTTTTGAGGCCGTATATTGGATGGTCGACGAGGCCCCCCTGTGTGCGGCTTCCCCTGACAAAGGTAATGATCGATAGAAGTTCCGCAAAAGGAAGGTCAGTCGTGCTGGCGACCGAATCCAGTCGGAGTTCCTGGAGCTCATGCAGCCATGCACATGCAACCATCGCATTCATATGCATGACGGCATTGACTCAAAAACAGGCGTTGCTGGCTGCTCATTTGTGGTTGAATGCGAAGAGGGACCGCGTCTTGGAACGAGGTGGTCGGCGTTCCCCCGCTTGATGTTGCGAGTAGATATCTGATATCCCGAGGCATACTGTCGGCAAACCATGACTATAATCGATGCTATGCCCTGAACACCGAGACTACGACCGTGGGATACCTACAATCCCCATCGATGCGTATCTGCGAGCGATGCCCAGAGAGTACCTACCTGCTGGTAGCGTGGCTGGATTGATCGTCCACTAAAAGTGTTCCTCAGGCGGGCAATGAAGCCACCACCATTGACATGTCTTGGTACGTACCTGGTATTTCAGCGCTCGGAGGAAAGCACGAGGTTAATGCACTTAAAGCCACCCCACTATGCGGTATAGGCCAATCAAGTGTCCCATTTTTAGGGGCCGGAATATGCATGAACGGCTTAAGGTCCATCCCACCAATCAGACTGGTGCCCGTAGTAAGAGGCTAAGAAGGTTAAAAGCAAGTCCTGAAACCTGTTCAGAAACCAGCCTGAAGCCTCCGCCACCAAATGCTCGCTTGCTGACCCCCCTTCCTTCTCCCCCAGACTCCATCTAACCATCTCATCATCCATCCAACATCCAACATGCGCCGGTATTGACGGAGTGTGCCCCTCCGTCCGCTCAAGAGAATATCATTATACCCAGGGATATCCCTCCACCCGTCCTCGGAAAGACACCTCGCTGGTTCAGGAACACCATCGTTGTCGCTCCGTTGTCGAGGGAACAATCCTAAAACAAGAATACTCCTGATCATCGAACAAGAGATGGACATACCTACCTAGGTCATGCAATGATGAACTGTGGCGCGGGTCGCCTCAGTACCCATAAAGAGGCTGGCACCCTTCAGGCTGATGGAGGATGATGAACCCAGATCCCGGTCGATAAAGGTGCATAAGGTACCCTCCCAATATCCTTGTCCCGTGTTACCAAAATAGCAAACCCGACCGTCAGCCATGGCAATGCTCACCATCTTTCAATCCCATATCGCTATCTATTCGTCATCACTACAGGGCATCTGCAATAGCCCTGCACATGGACTGCCTCTCCTCTTCAGGCCCTTGTCTATTGACCGCGGTGGGTTCAGGTCGCGGCCACGATCAGCATATTAAATACTTGTCAACCTGTCGGACGAAGTACTGGGTCTCCGTTCGCCAGCCACCGAACTGTCACTGCATTGCAAAAGAGGCTTCATATAAAACAGCGTCTCGCCGAACGAAGCCTCGCCCGGTACCTGAGAGACATCGGGCCATTCCTTCGCTGTGGCCGTGTCTGGCGATTGATACTTATCCCTCGTGTATACCGCTGAAGTCGAGGAGTTTGACCTCTTTCTTTTCCAGACCCTTTATTCGAAATACTGGTCATAGATTCGGTGCTCCAGCCGTTTCCACACACTCACTCACCCCAGAAAAGAAGACATCCAAAGCTGCCCCTCATGGTTAATACCATCATATCACTCGCTGCGCTTGCGCTTTCAGTCCTGACGACGCTCATTGAAGCTGCTCCAGCCCCATCGCCAGCACCATGGGGACCACATTTCGGCTCTGGATTTCCTGTGTTTCCTGGGTTTCCTGGAAATCATGCACCATGCACCGAGGACCGAATCAAGATCCGCAAGGACTTCGACTCGATGGCACCTGAAGAGCGAAAGGCCTTTACCGACGCAATCAATTGTATGATGACCAAGCCATCGCAACTCAACCAAACCCTGTATCCGGCCGCCACCAATCGTTATATGGACTACGCCGTCACCCACGTCAATCTCACGCAGCAGGTGCACCTATCGGGATTTTTCCTGACGTGGCACAGGTACTACATTCACCTGTTTGAGCAGGACCTGGCTGCACAATGTGGATACACTGGTGCATTCCCCTATTGGAACTGGCCTGCCACCGCGGACAACCTTCACGGCAGCGCTGTCTTTGATGGCTCTGAATACTCCATGTCCGGCGACGGTGTCTACGTCGATGATGGTCCTGTCGTCCTCTCCCCCGTCTTCCAAGTGCCCCATGGTTCAGGAGGAGGCTGTGTCAACATGGGCCCATTCGCCGGCTTGCAGACCACTATGGCCCCAATTGGAATCGAGAACTTGATCGCAGGTCTACCCCTGCCCGACACCGCCTTTCAACTCAACAAGACTTGTTTGACGCGTGATCTCAACACTTACGTCGCCCAGAGATACTGCAACTACACTGCTCTCTACGAGACGCTGGAGACCGACGACCTCCAGACGTTCGACCACCTGATCAACGGCATCATCGGCGGCGCAGAGCTCGGCTTGCATTCGGGCGCCCATTTCATCATGGGAGCTCCGGCATCCAGCATCTTTGTGTCGGTCCAGGATCCTATCTGGTGGATTCTCCATAGCATGCTCGACAACCTCTACACTTCATGGCAGATCCGTCATCCGGACCTTGCCATGGCCGTGTATGGCACTGAAACCGCCAACAATGCGCCACCCAGTCCGAATGTTACGATTGACACGCCAGAACCGGGTTGGGGCTATTTCGATCCGAACCGCTATCCCATCAGAAATTTGATGAACACCACTTCCGGTCCGTTCTGCTATAAATACGATGTCGCCTTGTAGTAGAGAAAGCCGGCCCCTATTCTGTCTGCGTTCGCGAAAGAAGTGGACAGCCACGGGTTTTCATGTGGGAGGATTTGCGACAGGTCAAACAGCCACACAGACATCATCGACTTTCCTGCACCGTCCTGCCCTTGTCTACCTCTTTCTACCTCGATAATATCATCCTGCACAAATGGCATCGTTGATCATGATCAAGGAAAATGAGCGTCATGGGAACTTGGAGTTTGCGCCGCTTCTCGGTTCGCTTAGGGACGGTGGCTTTGTATGATTACAATCACAATCACAAATGCAATTGCAATTGCAATTGCGACTGCCACTATCAACTACAGCTACAATTGACTTCCATCACCACCATAGCTACATTTGGTCATTCTTGTCATTCTCTTGTCTCCCATGTGCTGGGATGGTACTACTAATTTGCCCTTGCGTACTCATCATTCCCAGCACCTCCCTTGTTGATTCGAATAGAGTCTTATGGCTCACTGCATACTTCAACATAAGGCGCTCTGAGAACCGAATGCATAGCCCGCAAGAGTGTAGATTAGATGTGAGATGTTCGTATAGCCAAAGACGCACATGGATATTCCGCGCGAAGCAGAGCCTCGTCGAACAAGAACAAGAGCAAGAATTTCAAAACATTGCAACGCAAAATGACCAAGAAAGAACTCTGTAGGGTCTTAAGAATTTATTCTTTCAATTCGTGAACTCATAAGCCAAGGTAATATGTCTTTGAAGCATCAGTACAGAGCCTCTTATGACACTTATTCAGCTGGAGACTTTCCTCTTCGGAGTACGTGCTCCAATGCTGTCCAATGCCGTTAATTATTATCTTCATTTCTTCCCTCCCTTCTTCTTGGTCTTGTCCTCGACGATGATCCATCTGCGATCCACACCTCTCCGCGCCAGCTCCTTCTCCAGCACATCTCTCTGGTCGCCCTGGACCATGATCTCCAGCATGCCAGGCTTCCCACCGACCAGCTGCCCGACGCTGGCACTGCCGGCACACTTCTTCTGCAATTCCGGGCCCAACAGATGCGGGTTGATTCCAAAGAGCTCCAGGCCGGAGATCTTCGTGGCGACTTTCGTGCCAGACCGCTTCTCGACCGTGATGCTGACGTGCGGTGGAGGGCCGGATCTCGGCTTGAGCGACGGATCGGGGTTCTCGGGGTCGTAGCTCTGTTTGCCGCGCAGGAGGAGCCAGTGGGGCACGCAGAGATGCGAGTCGTCGAGGATGCGTTTGAGGAGGGCGTCGCGGGCGATTTCTCCCGCGGCGAGCGTGCGAGTGTCGGAGATCGAGGCGTTGGAGGACAGAATGTTGTTGGCGATGAAGGGGTCCAGTTTGACGAATCGAGCCGAGGACGTGTCTTTGGTCAGCTCGGGATGGATTTCGAGGTATTTCTTCAGGAAGGCCGAGATCTGCGACGACGTGTAGAATGTCGTCTTGGACGGGATCAGGTCTGGCACGAGCTTGCTTGATGCCCGGTACAGCGTCTGGATTGTCAGTTTCTGGCCCAACGATGGGTCACCGCCGCCGCCTCCGTTGGCAGCGGAGGACTGGTGGTTGTCGTCGGTATCCTGAGCGGCCGCTGATTGCTGGGTTGGCTTCGGCTTGGGAAGTCTGTACGGTGTGAAAGTCCGGATCCTTTCGTCTGTGAAGTCGATGTCCAGAATCACGGTTTCGCCGCCGTTGCGGTCCTTGGATTTCACGAGGGCCGATTTGTCCAGGTATTTGATGAACTTTTTGGTGTTCTTCCACGACGTCTTTTTGATCGTGTAGTGTTGGTTCGGGAAGCGGAGGTGAGGCTGGATCATGTTGGCAATCAGGAATGAAGGTTGGATGGGGAAGTCGAGTCCGTAGTGCGGTGGCTCGCCGTTCTTTTTGGCGTTGTAGACGGCGTAGAGGAAGGCTTCAACAAAAGCCTCGTCCACTTCGGCTGTGGTTGGTTCCTTTTCGGGCTCTCGTTCTGGCTCATCTTCAGGTGGTTCATCTGCTGCTGCTCGATCGCCCTCTGCCGTGGCTGAAGACTCCAAAGCGACGCCGCCCTCTTCTTGACCATCTTCATCGTCATCGTCTAGATCCAGCTGCCCGACTCCGTCTCCAATGCTTGCCATTTCCAGTTCCCACCCTTCTATCCTCTCCGGAGCAGCTCGGCCTCCACTGCCCGTCTGGCTCCAATTCCAGATTTCGTCTCTTTCCCAATGGACTCCTTCCAGCGCGGCGCCCTTGGCTCCTTGGACACGCCCGAGGCTTGAGACATCGATTTTGCAGACTCCAACCCACACCGGAACGCTAGGATGCTCGAGTCCCGCGACAGCAACGACCGCGCCTGGCTTCGCTTTCTCAGGCCACGGCGGCCCCCCCACAAGACCTGGGGTCATCAGATCCGCTCCGGAGCGCAATTTGTCAATCACGAAATCCGGGGTATGTAGCAATGGGACCAGTCCTGGATTCCGCCATAGCGTGTAGACTGTGGGATACAGTTTCGCCTCTTTGCCGTATTGTATCCACAATATCCTCTCCTCTTGACCAGGCTGTGCGCCTACGTAGACCGTACCTGACACCAAGGTTGCATTGGGGCCGGCGTGAGTGGTAAAGCGCGCGGAGAGACATGTTTCAGGCACGAGGCTGGAGCGAGTTGCTGAGAGAGCTGGAGTGGGATTCTGGGTGGTCTGTGGTGCCTGAGATTCTGCTGCCGACCAGGTTGGATCGATCTCTTCTAGTGTCGGTACATGCACCTTGTAATCGGCGATGATTTGGTCGGCGAGTTTGCGGCGGTCAGAGGAGCGTAGCGGTGAGAGGTTTTTGATCTGCGGCTTCTTTTTGAACATCGCGGCAGTACACTGGCAATCGAGTACGTGATGGAGACGCTGGGACAGGCTTTGGTAGCAAGCTGCGCTGAGTGCGTAAATCTCGTCAATCAATACGGCACCCTTGGGGATTCTGCCCGCAAAAACTGTATTAAGACAAAAGTAATTCACACGCTCAAAGGATAGATTAGATACAATACAGCAGCTAAAGGGTTTCGAGCACCAGATCTGGTGACAGGAGTATGAAGGGCGGAACTTAAAAGTGCTTCGGCTTCTGGAGTCGAGTGTTTATTCAAGTTGTTGAAATCGACGTCATTTGAACCTCGAGACTGCGCTGGACTCCAAATATCACACATACTACTACCTTGTATCACAGTGTGCAACGATCATGTATACTAACCTACCAAGAGGTACTATGCTACATACTAGCAGCAATGGGCTCAACACAAAGCACTTCTATTACTACTCGGCATAAATCCCCTGTTTTTTGGCCTGAGCCTCCTTCCACCAACTGTCCGAATTGGGATGAATTACAGGCAACGGAATGTGCTCCCTCAACTGCCGCTTTTTCTCCTGATCAATGCCTTGCTCTTTATTCCTCTGTTCCATGGCCTTGTCAACATCGAGTTGCTTGAACTCGGTCAACGAACCCATCAGCTTGGGCTGTCCGAGCGGCAACTCGTGCCCCTTATCGACTTCCCAGAAGTGATATAGTTTGCCGTACAGGCCGACCACCTCTTCCATGGCTTGAGTCTCGAGGTTGTCCCATGCTTCCTTCCGACCTGCGTGAGATTGTGGATATGGCAGCACCAGCATTCCCGACTTGACTTCGAACTCGTGAGAATGCCACAGCTTCTGTTCCACCGGGTCGAGAGCCTCGTAGCGGGATTTGGGGATCATGTATTCGACGCCGATGAGGCGTGCGTTCGGCTGGCAGGAATCGTAGATCAAGCATTGCCGAAGGTCTAAGATGAAGACGGTTAGACAGAGACGCGCACACATACACACACAACAGTGTCTGGGAAGGGCACTGACCTTTGCTGACATGGGAACAGAAGTGGTGGGCAGACACAGTCCTCACTTCTCCCCGACGTGCCTCGTCAGTGTAGATGTGAAGAGCGTGAAGGTATTCGCAGACGCTGTGCAACGGCTTCATCTCGGGCTCTAGCGTCCCTCGAACATGGGTTTCAATCCCCAGATACAACAGCCAGGACTTGAGCCACGCCGTCGGGCTGAACTTGAGGGCCCATGAGGCGATGTTGGAGATTGTTGGGCTGGTCGAGCTTTGACTCATGGTTGAATCGTGAATCCGGCGTCAGTGTGTTCACTCTTTACACAAGAACAAACCTGCCAGAGATGAGCCCGATAAATCAATGCTCCATCGCATTTGCAGTTTCGGTGACTGCACATCCTGTTCGGGGTCTGATGTCACAGAGGTTGCCGGAGCGGGACACGTGCATCTCACTCACTCTGCACGTCGACAGACAGACACCATTCGGTACGCACGAATATTGTCATTTACACAGGCGGGGTGAAAAGATGGCGTTTGTGTCCCGACACTCGATGCAGGACCATCTCCTCGACATGTTCATTGGCATTATTTTCAAAGCATCGCCTCTGACAGGCGTGAAAGTTGACAGTACCTAATGTTCCAAGTTCGGTTGCGATATGGTCCCGCTGCTGCGCCGTTCTAACTGCGGAACAGTAAAAAGACCGACACGCCGAATCCCCCGCATCGCCCTCCATCTTTCGTCCCCAGACGAGGCTGAACAACCGCGGACAGAGTAGATACGTACGACCAACTGCCGTTTATGGCTTACATCTTACCTGAAGGGCAGCCATAGTCGTCCTCGGTTGCCGCCACACACATCGACGGAACCCCTCAATCTCGGCGTATGTCTTCGGGGCTCTTCCGGCTCAATGCCATTCCCCGAATCAGTTCTTCTGGTCGTCCGTCGTCCACAGAAAGAGAAGCTCACGCCCAAGGACAAGAACGAGCACCGACATAGTCAACGTTAGCCGCCACCTCCACCATCCTAGCTACATTGTATCAACATGGTCCGCCGCCTCGAGGGCAAAGTGGCCATCATAACAGGAGGTGGCAGTGGCTTCGGCGCTGGGATTGCGGCAAAGTTCACCCAGGAAGGGACCAAGGTCATTATCACAGATCTGTCTCAAGACAACGGCACCAAGATCGCGCAGTCTTTGGGATGCGACTTCCTCCGGGCAGATGTCACCAAGCGGGAAGACTGGGAAGCCGTATTGGAGCATGCCATCGATACCTTTGGCAGACTTGATATAGTCGTCAACAATGCCGGCGCAACTTACTCCAACAAGCCCACCGAGACAGTCAAGGACGACGAGTTCGACATGTGCTTCCACGTCAACGTGAGGAGTCTCTATCTGTCGAGCAGTGTGCTGTTGCCGTATTTCTTGGAGAACGACCGTCCTGGCTGTTTCATTCAGATTGCTTCGACGGCAGGCCTCAGACCGAGGCCCGGGTTGACCTGGTATAACGCTTCCAAAGCCGCTGTGAGCAACGCCACCAAGACCATGGCTGTCGAATACGCCCCTAACAAGATCCGATTCAACGCCGTGTGTCCCGTCGTGGGGAGTACGGGAATGTAAGTTGCCAGCCTCGCCTCTTCCCCATTGCCGGAGTCCAGTTCATGACAGATATTCTGTATAGGACACACCTGTTCCTGGGGAAGCCGGACACAGAAGAGAACCGAAAGGCTTGGGTGTCGACCATCCCCATGGGCAGAGGTAGCACCCCGAAGGATGTCGCAAACGCCTGCTGTTATCTGGCGAGTGAGGAAGCAGAATTCATCACCGGTGTTAACCTGGAAGTCGATGGGGGTAGGTGTGTCTGAAACACCGACACTGCTGAATGCTGCTCCCTCCGAGCTGGGGAATGGAAGACGTAACAAGAAGGAAAAGGTGGATTTGTGACGGCGCTTCTGCAGTGTCGGTGCAGGACCATGTTCGGAAGATGAAAGAGTCTCTACTAGCCGTCAGAATCCTTGGGGCCTGCTATAGAAACGTGGCTGCTTTTCAAGCTTCCTACGAGTCCCGAGTTAGTGGTGGGTTGTTGCGGTCATTTATATTGTAGCTGATGGAATAAGATGGGTACATGATAGCTCGAGATCACAGTCATGCATCGTCTGGAAACATATCTGCAGAGTTGACCCTCATGATTGAAGTGAGCCTTTTCAACAAATGAGACTAGGGGATACCACGGTAGTGCGAAGACCGATATGGCAACGATACCCGTGTCCAACAAAAGTGATCCTGTCATTGAGTGCCTTGTTGATGATGATAGCATCATGGCGCGACACGGGAATCCCGGTCCAGGCGACAACTGTACCACACGCGATCCATGGCCGAAAGGACCTTAGCCAGGATCGAAAGGTCCAAAAGACCATTACACCCACAAGGCTCAAATCTCACCGGGCCGTAGTCGTTGTTCGGACGACGATGCACTCCCTCGTGATGCTTCAGAACGTGATAAAGCGACTGTTTCGAGTAGACACATTGTTGGGGCCTCCACGGCCGCCAGTACAAGTCGTTGCCGGGCAGGTCCTGCCACGAACCCACCATCAGCTCTTGTAAGAGCATGTTTCTCGGTATTCAGGCATTTGGGGCATGGCTCTGAAGTTGTGCAGATGTGCAGCCAGGCCTGTTTTCAACACTCTCGAGCTCGTCTGAGGTTCCTGAAAGACGTAAAGAAAAGCCCACTTGCAGCAAAACATTTCCGAGAATCAGCTCGTGCACCCTCTGAGCAGCAGCGAGCCAGATGTCAAATTGACGGCTGACATCTGCAGGCAGGCAGCGAAGTGACAGGCAATGTCGAGCACTGTGAGATCCAACCCTGATGCGCAAGGGCTTCTGGGGGTACCCAAAGTATGACCAATAGCGCGACCTACATTCATGATTCCGAAATCGTTGTTGTTGACGCCATGGCCGGCAATGCCCATAAACACGTGGGCGTAAGAGAGTCAGCAAGACAACATGATGAACAGATTGGCTATGGAAGCTCGTCCATGCATCGTATCATGAGGACCTTTCGCCGCCTGTACTTTCCATTGACAAGATCTGCAGACCAGTAAGGCATCGTGGGGCATCGGCCTCATGGTTGCTGTTTCAACCAACATATGGTTGTAAGAACAATATCAATGGCAACTAGACCATCCCAGTATCAAAAGGCAACGTTGCAATCACTGACAGACCTGTGGCGGAACAACCTACCAATTTCGCGATGGCAACCTGGGCCGGAAGTTGCAAGTCGTTCCAGAAGCGTGTTCATGCAAGATGATTCGTTCTCACAGATCCAGGACAGGCGCAAATCAAAGATCGGAGATTCAATCGACCAGTCTTTGGATGTAGTAACCGTCCAAATCTTGTCGGCTGTGCTTGCTTCGTGTCACGCGTCTGGGCCGAGCCAGCGAGTCGGATGTAACAAGAAAATTTTCAAATTTACAGGCGCTGCTTGTCCAGGACATTCCAGATCCTGTTGACACCGCTGATCAGCTGGTCTGGAAGTGTCGCAGTAGCATTGGAACCCAGGCGGTTCCTGTTTGGCGCAGCCGACAAAGACTTGAGCGCAGACATGCTTCATAGCCAGAGGTGACCGGTTCCCGGCAGAAATAGAGAGCCGAGGAGCATATAGGTTGCTCCCAGCTGATTTCAGATCTAAGGCAGTTGTTGAGACCGATAAGGCCATCGTAACGATTGGCCTGGAGGACATTTCCAAGAAACGATGTGGCTGACAGGGTTGGGTTGTAACTCTGCCCATTGATCGATCTGAGATGGACTGATCGATATGGCTGCGATGGTGATAACAAGCAGCCATCAGGCTGGTAGATCAGACCACAACATATGTAGCAGACCATCTGTCAAAGTCTAACAGCGAATGACAGGACAATTGGCCATCAAAAGAACAGTGAGCATCTTGGCAAGCGTCCGGTGTTGCAAGGGGGTGTCCTTTGGCGTAGGCCGTCAAGATCATCCTTGTCCGTTTCTGCCGCCACTCTGTAAGCGAGACATTTGAGGCATAGCTCGACGGCTCCAGAACCGGACATACCTACTTTCCAGGCCGTTGTTGGGGTTGTCTCGGAGGACAGGAGGTGGCAGGTGTAAGTTCTGACGGCGCGAAGGGCTTTCCAGGGGAGCGCGGCACTTCTGCAAGCCTAACAAATGCCATCATCGATCAATGCCTTTCCTGGCTTTAGCCCTAATATGCACGCAACTTCGGCGTCGCCCTTAGCAGGCCCCAGGCACCGGCCAGTAGTGAAGAGTTGGCGGAAGGGAGGCGTCACTTAGTGTCCCTGAAGCCGTGAAGAAGCCCGGTTAGGCGTACCAGATGGACCTCAGTGGGCCAGCGACCGTAGAGCGCTCTCCATTTTCGGTATACAGCAGTCGTACGGCCCCCAGGCAGGTCTGCGGTTTAGTTTCCAGGGGCGGCTGAAAAGCCCAGGTAACTTTGCGAACGGGAAAAGAACCCAGACTTGGTCCACGCTTCGCGTTGCGTACACAGTGTAAGAATGTTGGCCGAAGTACTGTCTAGTCGTATCCCAGCAGGTATTGTTCAAATCTGCGTCGATCCCGTTCCCACACTTTGATATTCCTACTCCTCGGCTTCAAGCTCGGATACTGATCAGAACCCAGCGGGAAGACAAGAAGGAGGTCAGAGCGTCGTGCACTGTCCAGGATGTGTCTTCGGCGTGCGCTGGGTGTCATACGAGGTCGAGGGTGTCGTTTCGTCGGCGCCTGTCATCCTGGGCCGCGGATGGTAATCTACTTTCTCCTGCAATCACATCTTCCCATGCTGCCCACAGCCATGTCCTTGGATCCTGCCAACGACCACGTTGGGACTCTGGTGAAAGCTGACAGCCATGGCCCTGAAAATGATATTCCTCGGCTTTCCCAAGTTCCAGGCCGTTTCTGATTTCTGCTCTTGTCTGATCTCCGCAACGCCGCTCGACCGCCTTTACAGGCCGAATGATGATTCTCCCAAGACAACCAGCCGGGTTCACGCAGTATCGGGGCTGTGTCGCAAAATCTGTGACAGATATACGTTGTACAAGTAGAGTAACCCGGGCAAATGGGCCTGCCAGGGTTGCACGGATGGTAACAGGTCTCTGACTCTGGCTGGCGAGGAAATATCGACCTTTCCAAAGCAGGATATCCCGGATCATGCCTGACTCGTGTTTCCCGGGAGTACTGACTGATGAAGCAATAGAGTTATGTGCTCAAGAGCACGACAACGACACGCACTCTCCCAGGAAAGGGCATGCCTGTAAAAACATGCGATGATGATCATGTGAGGATGGATGTAGGAAGCCTGTGCGGTTCCTCGTTTCTCAATCCTGACAGGAGTGGCATCGGAAGTCACGTAGCGCATTGTTGGGTATTTTGGCACCCAGCCATGGAGCCAACCAGTCCTCTACGTCTGGGTCGGATTTCAACTGCGTGGCCTGTGTTCATCTCTTATCACGCAACGGCGGCACGCATCTTACTGGCGGTTCCGGCCATGGTACTTTGTGCCAGTGATTGTCCCTCACTGTGAATCTCCACACCAGTATTGTTTCTTCGGCAGCCAGCCAGTCTCTCCTAGGAAGGATTTAGCTTTCAATCGTGTTGGTGATAAGAACCGTAGAGCGGCATTAGCGCATTGATTGAGGCTGTCGTCGATTCCCATGTTTTCGTCCTAGGTTTAGCTGGAAAGCTCGACACCCACTGGACGGGGTTGATTGCCGCAGGAGGGGAGTAGCTTTGGGGCAGTGGGCCTATAGTCGACATGGGATTTTGACGGCTTCCCTCTCCCCCAATCCGTGGCATCCATGCGTTTACAGGGATGCCAGTAGACGCGGGTCTGGCAACTCTTAGCTGGCCCAGACCAGACCCAGATGATCCCGGCTAGAAGGCAGGGGGGAAATACGGGCGTCCCGTGGAGCAACGACAGCACCAGTGTTGACCTGAGAGGAGATAAGCTGCCGACCCGAAGGAGTAGCTGGAGGACGTGCACCAGTCGTGGAGGGGCCAGAGCACAGGGCACTGCAGCGCCTAAGCAGCCACACCTGACAGCGGTTTGCCCTTCGAAACTCGGTGCAACAATTCGCGATTAGCCTGCTACTGCCGCTTGAAAAAGAGTCAGGAATGCGATCGCTTACCTCCAGAACCAAGGCCTCGGTGGCACGACACCCGATGCGTTGTAGGGAGCGCTGTGATGGGCGCTGCTGGTAATGATGACAGGGCAGCCTCGCACCCGTCCACCTCGTTCGAGAGAGCAATGCTCGTTTCGAAGGATGAGCATTGTTGTACTACTCCATAATGGGATGCATTATTACGAGAGGGAACCGTAACTCGGTTAGTGATGGCAGCAGTGACAGTACGGCAGCTCGGTAAGTCAGGTTCGGGTTCTTTAGCTGTAACATGTCTAGCAGACCAGTGTGTTTAGGCGGGTATTTACTTATACCCACCTTAACCTAGCGGCGGTTGTCATTGCCATGCTAACTGGGAATGAGGAGATGCAGTGGAGCTGTAGGGTCGGTGGAAGCGCAGCCCGGTCCTCAACGACCTAGGCATGGTTAAGCACTAGCTGGCACCTAGTAGGTAGCACTAAGTATGACCGACTGCCTAATTTTCTGGAATGGCACTGGCACAGGCACCGACATTGGCCTCTGAAGCCCAGGGATCCATCCCCTAGTTGGCTCAATTGGCCCTGCACCCACCCACTCCCTCAACTCCCCTTGCGCAACTCGCTCCCACTGGCACCCGGCTGTGGCCTCGATTTTCTACCCTTCTCCTGCTCCTCCTCCTCCGCGGTCACTCATCGCTATCTTCCCCTTCCTGTCTGTCCACACTGTTGCTGTCTTCAGCATCAGGGTATTCTGAACAGGTTGTTGGGTGTTCATCTTTATATCTACTCCCTCTGTGTCTCTCTCCCATTATCTACCAGTGTCGGACATTCTTCAAACTCTCTTGTCGACGGCGGGTCTGACACCTTGGATTTCCGTTGCCGATCCGTCTGCGCTTTGGCTCTACCAGCGACAGAGACTTGTTCCAGCAGTCCGGATCCTCCAACGACCGCTCCTGCTACCGCTCGACCCCTCTACAGAAGACAGAAATAGCTACAAGAATAGCTCGGTGGCGGCGAGTTCCCTCCTCCATACCGATCATCATCAGCATTTGTTGGGGACCGATCGCGAGACAATCGTCTTCCTCCGGCCACCGTCCCTAGGCAACGTACGCAGAAGCCGCAAAGATCGAAAGGATCTAAGCCGGAACTACCAACAACATCCTCATCCCAAGCCTGTAGCCAGCACTCTTGTTGTGCAGGCAAACCGGACAGAAAAGCGCCGATCGTCACTTAGCCGTGTCGCAGAACCTTTGGATGGGAATTGATCCAGCTGGCATTCACCCCGTTGTTGCAAATTCAGTCTGCGTTACCTGCGTCGAGCTGCAGGACAGAGAGCATATTTTGAAGCTTAATACCAGTACAGGTTAGTTCTTGCCAGTTGGGGGCGATGTTTGTTTTTCTCGACCGCCGAACCGGCACCGTCGTGCCGGCCTTTCAAGTTCATCACAACTCTGGAGGTAGCGAGCGGCACGAGTCTCCTAGAGGCTGGGAATCTCCTGGCAGTCGAGGTGGCCATGGGACCATAATATGACTACCAACTTCACTTGCCCAGTTTCCTGGCGTTGGAGATGTCTCGTTGGCTTTAGTGTGTTTAACGCTCACATTGTTTTTGGTTTCTTGTTTCTATTCTTCTTCTTTCTCCTCCCTCAGCCTGCAATATGGCGCGGCCTCCCTCCCTTTCGGATTATTCGCTAACCGCCAATATGGATAGCTCACAGTCCGGACCCCCAAAGACTACCAGTCAACTGGAGTTGAGCAGTCACAGAAGCCTTCCAGGTCTCAGGGAGATTGTCGGTCCTGAAATCAATCTCCAACGCTCTCTACGACCTCAACCACCGCCCCCGGGCCCTTCCGTGCCCGAGTTCTTTATTCCCGGCATTTCTGTCGTCTACATTGACGATCAGCCCATCGTCACATACTCCATTGGAGGCGCCAGATACAATATGGCGCAACCACGCAATGAAACAAGAAGTGAGCACTCGAGAATGACCATTGATGGGCGACGAATCACATACCACCTTGAGGTTGTGCAGCAACCGGAGAAGGCAAGAGCATGCGGCTCGGGTCCGAGATGTAGGTTTCTTCTCTGCTTGTCTCCTCGTGCTTGGCTGACCCCCTGTGTACAGCGTCCGCCGACCGTAGACCGGTAGACCCGCCACCAGTTGTCGAACTTCGGGTGTTCTGCAATGACAGTGACATTACCATGCTGTACGATGCCACATTCATGCTGTATGCAAGCCTCGAAGTTGCTCGGCCAATCGCTAGTGGCAAAATGCATACTCCTCCCGCGATTCCAGTCTTGACCGGTGTTGCGGTTGCCAGTGCCGCATATCTGGACCGACCCAAGAAAGCCGCCTACTTCATTTTCCCAGATCTTTCCGTGCGGCATGAAGGTTGGTATCGGCTCAAGTTTTCTCTATTCGAGGGTGTTAAGCATGAGGCGGATGCGGATCAGGGCATGCCGTTTGTGCATTCGTCACCTTCGACCGATAAACTGACCGCGCCGGTTCGGCACGAGAGCATGGCGAATCGTTTGGAAGTTCAATCTGTTCCATTCCAGGTGTACAGCGCGAAGAAGTTTCCCGGTCTCAACACCAGCACCTACTTGAGTAAATTGGTCGCGGAGCAAGGCTGCCGAGTGCGGATACGACGTGACATTCGACAGAGAAAGCGGCCGCAGAAGGAACCCGAGGTGGATGACGCCCTCAGTTCATACCATGGTACACCCCAAGCCTCCTACAGATCCATGGAGCATCAACAACATTCACGGTCCGCCAGTCGCAACAGCTTGGGTAGCCAGTTCGAAGCTGAGCTGGCGAGAAGAGCATCGGTTGAAAGCATCTACAACCGTCCCGCTGTTCACAGCCGACACTCATCCATTGCCCCGTTGACGAGCCCCTCTGTGCCGAGCTTGACACCGACCATGTCCATGCCGCCTCCTCCAGCCTACATTGCCCAACCTCAGGCGATGCGTCCCATGCTGAATGCACCTGCGCCCTCCATGCCCCCTCCCAAATCTTTCCAGCCGCCCCCGCCCACAACGGGCCCGCCCTCCTATATGCGGCCGATTACTCCGGATAACGAAGACTCCCTTGCCAGTTTGACGCTTCCACCTATCCTGAATGGGAGCCTTTTCAACCAGGCTACGCGGCAGTACAGCCTTCCCCAGCCATCTGCCATGAAAAGGTCATTTAGTCCACCGCCCTTCACCTCAGATGCGTCGATGAAGGGAGGAGCCCGACCTGATAGGCACTCCACGAAGGAGCTCGGACTGCCGCCACTACCTCTACCACTGCCACCGTCACGAGCAAGAGCTTACGATCCCTTCGACCCTCGCACCAACGGTCATCACGACCCCAATATAGGCCAAGAACGGGACCTCTATGGCATGGATCTTACGTACGAAGGTTCGGACGGGTCAAGAGTCAAGGTCGACCGTCCTTATAATCCTTACGCACGATTTCAATGATGGCTCAACCATCGATCACGACTCTACGACAACCTATACCTTTGATTTGTTGGGTGTTTGTCGGATGACATGGCGTTACTGCAGGACCCGGCAGAGATCCGACTATACAGAACCTTGACCGCGTGCTCTTACCATTGCATCGTTTCTCTTCGCATTTTCATGTTCTCTTGAGGAGGGAGGCATCGGCGTTCTGAATTTCTATTGCCTGCTAAATAAGTCGGGTTCTTGGGTTCTTTTTCGTGTGTTTGTTTTCGTCGCTCGATTTTGTTCAACTTTCTGGAGAGGGGCAGGCGAATGGTGCAAGTAATGTGCTCACAGGCACGGGGCGTATTTCCCGACGCGAAGGCCAACAAGACAATGAAGTGTGGACATGCGTGAAACACCCGCCGACCACACGGCAGCTGGGGACACGGGGAGTGAGTGATACGGGTGGCCGAGGTTGTTTCTTCTCGCATGTTGTGTGAGCCTTTGGGGTACCGTCAGTTCCTCGATGTGAGGAGCGAGGACGGGGTAGATGTGGTTTGGCATCGCTTGGTTTGGAATCAGCCATACTTGCGCAACCAAGGGACAAGAGGACATGTCGCCGTCTGCACATCGACGATACAATGGCTGGGAAGGCGTTGAGAGGTTCCGTCGACAGGGAGAGAAAGTTGGGCAAGCCACATCTAATGAAGTGTTTCCAGAGATTGCGAAGGATCAAACAACAGTCTTGATGGATGAGATAGAGAGAGAGAGAGAGAGAGAGAGAGAGAGAGAGCAAGTCGATGGTCTCTTTAGCCAAATACAGTCCGTTTCCGTCTACTGCATTCCACCAGCGATCCGCTCGAGCTTTTTGTTGTCACCGGTCGTCGATTTTTTCAAGAGCCTGAGATAGATGTGTGGAATTGCATCCCGTGTTGTTGGCTTAGAAGATCCAATTTATGTTGTAGGATGTAATGCCTTGTAGCATGTAATGCCTTGTAGCACACGAGACAGGAATCACGAGCAGTGAAATGCTGTGCGCCTGGGTGGATTCCTTTGCTTTGCTTTGCTTCCGGAGGTCGGGGCCTACCTCGATGGGCTCGCTGACGGGAACAGTCACTCTACGTAGGGAGTTACGGGAGTTACACCATACAGGACAGTTGAAAGGGGTTCTTCCCATTCTGGCGCGCAGGTAGAGGTATCTGAGAGCTAGCTCCTATTCTTCAGCATCCCGCTCGAACTTTGTTCTTCATCTGCATGCGGCGGTGGCGGTGGCATAGGTCATATCAGACCTCGGGCTTCTCGGTTCCAGCAGATTCGTTGTCTGCTTTGAATGCCGTGGTCTCTCTCCCTCTCTGCGTGTGAAGGTTGACGTGTTGGTTGAACGGTTGTCGACTTGACTTCTTCTCCGGCAACATCCTCCCTCCCCGTATCAGCCATACAGTCGTATCAGCCAGATCAAGCATCCCATTCCATCCCATCGCATCGGTAGGATCTGTACCCGGCTGCTCTTTCAAAGAAGTCGTGTCAGTGGAATGCAAACCCAACCCCCCATCTACACGACTATGGAGACCTGCACATCATAGCGGGTCATCTTGCCGCGTTGCACGTTTCTGTAAAACCAAGCCTTGTACTCCATGTCGGGAAAGGCGCACTGGCGAGTGATATTGGTGGGAGTGACGTTCATCGCAGCCATGTGACCATCCTCCTGTAGGCGGAACGTGACGTGGTCGAGATCCTTGACGAAGCGCTCGAGATGGTCGTCTTGCCACAGCGTCATTCTCTGCAAGGTCCGATTGACCGATCCAGCCGACACAATGGCGTTGCGCAGTTCCGGCAGGGTGGGCGACGTGGCGGCGGAGAGGTCGAAGCTGTGCGTCGATCGGGGCACTTTTCCTTCGACTTGGATGCTGACGTGGAGAGTGATGGCTGCTGGATAGCGCATCATGACTCCAGTCTTGTTGTCGATGTTGTAGGTGGCTGCGGCTGCGACTATGGAACTGGATGGGTCGACTTCGAGTTTGCCGGCTGCTTCGAAAATGGCTTCTGCGGTCTCGAGAAGGCGCACGTGTTCGATCAGGGATTGGCATAGTTCGTCGATTTCTTGTCTCTTCGTCGCCAGGGTGGTCTCGATCTTGCTGATCTTCTCTTTCAGGAAAGTCGCGTCGAGATGGACGGACGCTGTTTCCGTTGCTGTTGGCTCGAGGATCGCGCTGGAGGAGGAGGACTCGCTTGGATTCTCGGTGTTGGGCGGAGGCGAGGCCATCTCTGGGACATTGGCATCGATAGAGTAGTCTGCCATCTTGACCAGAGATACGGTTGGTCAGGGAGAAGCAGTGGAAAAAGGGCTTTGGTCTTGTCAGTTCTGCTGTTAAGGGAAGGATGGGTTTGGTTTTGAGTCCTGACCACGTCTGATGAGAGATGGAAGCTGTCTGCTGTCTGTTTAAGGGATTGTCTGTGTCGTGTGTCTTGAGAAGGAGAGGAGAGGGAAGGATACAGTGAGCTGAAGAGAGGGTGAAGGTCGTTGTTGATCCAGGGCGCGGTCTGTCACCGGCTTGAAGAGGGGAGAACGGTGAATCAATCCGCCGTGGTGACTTGAACGTATTCACCGATGCTCATTCAATAGGACACATTCGGGACCTCTGCTTGCACTTGGTATTGACTGTGGCAAGACTGTGAATGGTTTGTCTTTGCTGTACGATTGTGTGAGGAGGGTGAATGAAATTGCAGGGAGGAGGACTCTCTTCTTCTTCAACCCGAGCAGTCTGCGCAAGAGATGAGCAGACATCGCGAGTAGTCTGTCGACAATGACATCGCCGTTGCCGCGCATAGGGCCAAGGGTCATACTGATAGACCGCACCAGCCTTACTCTCGAGACATTTGAGGGCATTCCTCTTGCGGGTTCTGATAGTATCCTTCATCGTCGTCCACAGACAGAGTCATGTGCCGACCTGGTCTGGCTCAATGTTTGAGAGATATCATCAAGCTATTCTGGCCTCTCCTTGGACAACATCTCACATCTCGCCACGAGGTCGCTGGGTCATATATTTTTATACTTATCCACTTCCCCCATGTCATGCTTCATGGCTGTATGAGCAGTTTGGGCAAAACCGGGATAAGTGATATATATATCCAGAGGCGTTGGCGCCATACCACCCACCCTCCCACACACTGAGAGTTTGGGGATCACCAAGGCATTGTATTCAGAGAAGCAGTCTGGGAAAAAGAAGGACAAAGGAACAACAGCTACTCTGGGATGACGGCAGCTGCAGCTTGACCGATCACTGATCATGGTTCTTCTTTTGTGTTTTCTTGTTTCCGTTGGAAGACTTACCTCCTGCCAGAACCATGGTAGAACTGGCAGCGTCGCGGCATGGCATGGCTGCAGGCCTAGGCCTGACGGGACAGCAATCAGACATGAGCTGCACAAGTCATCCTGCGACTGAGCAATTGAGCAGACGATGCAGAGAGCTACAAAAGTGCTGAAGCTGTCGACTGTCAAACAAGATACATACTGAGAATGGACAGTCGTTCATTCATGCCAACGACGCTAAGCCAGAGTTGGTATGGCGTTGTTTATGTGCTTCGGGCATCAAATCCAAATGTTCCCAGGCGACCGCCTCTGTCGAGTGTTTGTTTGAGTTCATTATGGAGCGCCAACCTTCGCTAAAGAATGCAAGAAAGCTTCGCAGAATTGGCCAACCGTCGAACTGATTTTCGTTCCTTAGATTCAGGGAGCACGTCCAGAGACGATGAAAACCTTCGCAGAATTAGTTAAGCGTCGAACTGAATATTCTTCCTTAGGTCTAGGGGGTACGCTGAGACACGAAAAGACACAACCACCTTTGCAGACTTGCTATATTGTCGAACTCATTTTCTTGTGATGTCTTTGGGGAGCACGCTGAGACATGAAAGAAAACCTTTGCAGAAGTGGCCAACCGTCGAACTCATCTTCCTTTCTTAGGTTCAGGGGGCACACTGAGGCACGAAAGACGAAAACCTTCGCCGAAATGGTCAACTGTTGAACTCATTTTGTGGTGTCTTTGGGGAGCACGCTGAGACATGAAAGAAAACCTTTGCGGAAATGGCCAACCGTCGAACTTGTCTTCCTTCCTTATCTTCAGCGGGCACGCTGAGGCACGGAATATAAGAACCTTCGCAGGATTGCTTAACCGTCGAACCCGTTTTCCAGGGTTGTCTTCGGAGTGCACACTGAGACACAAAAGAGAAAGTAAGTGGCTTTGCACTACGTCTCGCATCTACCCAGGTATAATTCAGACTGTCTCTATACATGACCGCCAGTTGAGAGAGAAAACCATAGCAACATTATACCTGCAATATATCCATCATCTGCTGGCGATTCCTGAAGGTGTCGGGTTCGGTTGAGCACACAATCACCGATGTAGGCATCTATGCCTTGGGAGCTTCAGCAGTCGAGAGACCGGCGCCGTTCGGGCCCATGGCCGCCGTACGCGACAGGCGCTTCTTGCTGACGAGTCTGTATCCGCCGACCAAGAGAACCAACAGCTCAGCGCCGAAAATGACTGCCAGCGTAACCATTGCGCCAATAACACCCGCAACAGCCTTGGAAATGCCGCCGCTGCCACTACCGCTGCTGCTGCTGTTTGAGGAAGAGGTGGTGGAGGGAGTGCTCTCGCCCAGAACTTCGGGGCTGCAGACGCCGGTGGAGTTGCCGCAAGCGTGGCACCAATCCTTCTGGGTGCCGATGCTGAACTTGTTCATGCCGTTGACAAAGTCGGTCCAGGGGAGCGGCGACTGGCCCGTGCCGAAGAGAGGGTACTCGACCGGCTCGCTGATGTTGCTGGTGGTGCCGTTGTGGAAGAGGAAGCGCACGCTGATGTCCTCCACTGCCGGGAACTCGCTGGCAGAGGAACCCACGGTCGCGTTGGTGACCAGCTCCCAGACCAGACTGGACGTGTAGTCCGGGACGCCGTAGAAGTCGGGGTTGACGGAGGTCAGGTTGGCCAGACCGAAATACGACATCATGCCGGCGTACGCGCCGAATTGGATGTTGAACTTGTTCTTGCCCTTGCCGGTGATGGTCCCGTTCAGGGCCTGCACCACCTGGCTGGCGATGATGGAGCCCGTCACTGCACGGATCGGCTCCGACTCGTTGTATGCCAGGCCCCATTCGTGCTGGTCGGCCAGCGTGCGGAGCTGGAAGAAGGTCTCGTTGGTGAGGAGGTCGGCGTGCGGGAAGTTGTCGGACGAATTGTGGATCGACGCCACGTTCAACAGGTCGAAGATGGTGTATGCGTTCTTGAAGCTGGTTTGGCTTGCAGTGAAGGTGCGGTTGACCATGGGGGACACGCCGTTGTAGAAATCTTGCGTGCGGTTCAACATCGTCAGGTATTCCGGGCTCGCAAAGTAGTTGTTGGAGCTGATCTGTGCGTTGGCGCAGTTGGTCGAGCCTTGTAGCCACGCCGAGTTCTCGCTGTTGGCTCCCGTCGAGACCGTCTGGAGCGGGATGAACTGGATTCCGTTCAGCGGCGTCTGCACCACGGTTCCGTTCCGCAGCGTATCGCCCTGCACATTCTCGCCCGTTGGAGGATACAGTCCCTGCAGGAAGCCTTGAGCGGAGTTTTGCAGGACGGTGTCGGATGGGGCCGAGGCTGTGATTTGCGATTGCTTGACCATGTCGGTGTTCATGCCGTGGATGTGATGGCTGGAATCGCTCGCGATGTACCGGTTTCGGTAGTACGTGCCGCTGGTGAAGACTTCTTCCAAGCCGAGTGCCGTCAGGTTGGCCGGGGGCGTGGACTTGGCTGTTCGGTCTCCATGTCGGGAGAAGATGTAGACACCGAGAACCGTTTCGGCAGCGAGGGATGTTGATGCCAGGGAGGCCAGGAGAGGGGCGTAGGAGTAACGCATCTTGATGGTTGGAAAAGTGGGCGAGCCTGGGATAAGTCAGTATTTGATCACCCTGGCGATTGACCAGTGATAAGAAGGTGTAGATGCGAGGTAGGCGCGAGATTGGGATGGGCAGAGCCGTACCTGTGGGAATTGAATGCCGCCCGGAGATCTAAAGGTCCAACGAGACAGGAACCTTGCTGCACAACAGTGGTGACCGAGATATTGAAGAAGGACGACGGGCGTCAAGAAGAAGCGGGGGGTTGCTCTCACGCCGTCAGTCCAATATATATAATCTTATCATCCTCGCGCTCTTATCAGGCAGCGCTAGCAAACATTTTCTCGCTTCCGACCCCTCGATGGGTCGAACTGCCTGTCAGCGAGCGGGGATGGCCGAGGAGAAGGGCTGCTCGTCTGTACACGGTACAGTGTACATAATAGAGCGGCCCAAGCCCGGCGCCGGCGCCGGCCAACAGAATCTGCCAGTGGTCGATGATGAGGCTAAAGTCTCTACCGCGAACTCCAAAGCATGGGGTTCCCGGCACTATGAGCCGCAAGGGCCACTCATTGTACGGCTGAAGGTTGCATATTCGTACATGGGGCGTACCTCTGGTCCGGAAGCGTGATGTCGCCGCAAACAATCACCCGAATTCGTTGAACTCTATGCAGAGCTGAATGAATACTAGTAGTAATCGCATCTATCTCGGATTGTGTCAGCAGTGGCCATCAGATATAGCCGTACGTACTATCACCCGCGCATAGTGAATGAAGCTCGTCAAGGCTGAAGCTTGTCAGCGTCAAGCTTGGACTGCAGTGTGAGCGGAAAACGCCGAAGCACCGTACAAATTACAGACTCCAAAGTAGGCATAGAACGACGATGTCGAAGTCGATGTCCGAGGAAATGGCAGCGCTTGAAGGTGCGAATACAGACAGGCTCCCCTGTCAATTGGGCCAGCTGGATTGGCTGGCTACTACAATTCTGTAGAGATAACCACGTAGCCAAGCAGCTTGTCAGCGCCAACTTGACTCGTGTAGTAGTAGGTAGGCTTCTCGGTCGAAACAAAGTGGCTGCTTTATCTATATGCGATCCGTATAGGATAGTCATCCACACAGGTCCTCTATGTTTCTTGAGTGGTGAACTCTTTGGCGCAAGTGGTGACTAAGATCTTCTGCCTCAAGGATTCTTGAATGTGTACTCGGAAGAGGGCACCGGGCAGGTGGATAGCATGGATCTGTGGCTATCTCGTCGTGCCGCACTCCAAATCGCGCTGTCCCGACCGCGATAGTCTTTTTCTGCTCTCTATCGATTAGGGGGAATGGAGAATATGCGGCTGAAGATTTGGTGTCTATTCGATGATTTTGACCTGACAAAGCTGTCTGCATCTCCGGTGGAACAGGGGCCGATATGACGAAGTGTGAATGGTGTCATTGGACGAGGAGAATATGTACAGGTATCGCCTCGTTGTGATATCTCGACGATGATACAGAGTAGATTGTTTCATGTTGTGGCATCTGGAAGTCGGGAGATCCTCAGGTCGGCCGCAGTCGAACTGGTTGTTTGTATCGAGGTTCTGAAAATGCGTGTCGATTGGAGATACTGTGCCGTATTTCAAAGGGTGGAGCACTGGACCCGGTTTGACCTGTCGCATTTCCTTCTCGCGAGCACTGCATATGGAATCCGCAGTACTTTTTCAGCCGGCGATCACGACTGCTTGGAACGGACACACAACCAGCCGCTTCCATTGATCTGATTCTACTGTTTCTTGACAGTGTTCTTGTATATTCTCCTTCCGACCGTGTATTCCTCCAATGGCGCCCAAGACGGCCAGCTCCAGCCGGCTCGTCCTCGACCTTCTGCGGCCTGCCAAACGATCAACATGCGAATGCCTTCACTCCGAACCTCTAAACCGCAGAATACCTCGCCAATACCGTAATGTCTCTACAGCCGCTCCTCAACTGTCCGAGATGGAGGTAGATACCGATCTCCCGCCCCGGTGGTCCCATACACCATCCGCCATGAAAGCCCCCGTTCGTGCAAGCCCGCCGCGGCAGGGAGCAAAGCCTCTTCAGATCAATACAGACCAACGGAAACTTGACGAGGTATACGTCAAGTTTCTAGGACGAGGCGGAGACAAAATGCTGTCAGAAGAGACGAAGTGGCTTGCGGTCACGAGTAAGAGTTTTGATCATGGCCGTCGTGGATTCAACGACCGCCTGGCTTTTTTCGGTACGTTACCTTGTCAGGCTGCTTCAACGACGGATGCTAAAGACGGGTCAGGAAAACGGATACTGGAGCTCCAATGCTCGTTAGGTCTTCTCAGTGTATCAGATGCAGCCATATTCCTGAAAGACAAGGACAAAGATCCTCACGGGCGCGAGCCGTTTCGACACCCGGCCATCGAATCGGTCGAATGTCTTATTGGAGGAGCTCATGAATGGTTCACACATCACAAGCAGCTTGCAAGCATAGCGACGCAATACGGTCTACCGGAAGTGATACGGTGGCACCCGAAAGACGTGAGTGCTGATACACTGCGCAACACATTGGACCCGTGACTAACGATATTTCTAGCCCGAACGACTCCAAGCATCCGGTGCAGATCTCGTGTACGCACAAGCTGTACTAGCAATCATTGGAGCGTTGGCTCTAGAGCAAGGAGGCGCCGTGGCCAACCGAATAGCAAAAGAGAAGGTCTTGGTCCCATTAGGACTGAAGAGAGACTGGAAGCCGAAAGGAGATCTGGCAGGACCTTCAAGTTCGCAAAGATAACATCACAACCCACAGCCTGCCGTGTATCACCATTCTTGAAATCGTGTACAGCACTTCAAGTTCTATAATAAAATGTTTGGGTCCTCTGACACCGCCTAAGCAATTTGTTGTCATCAAATGAGACGAGTGCTCAGCCAGCTCTTATGGCACCGTCGAAAATGTTTGGTCTTCGCGTCTCTAAATCGCAAAGTCTGGCAATTGAGTAGAACCACAGAACGGTGACAAAATGCCACCTGTTCCGGGAAGATGCTGCATTGCACTGTCTTTTGGACGCGGTGTTGATAGAAAAGAAAAGTCGTCCCAATTTTCTGGGTTGTAGACATTTACATGTAAGATGCGCTGAGGGCTTGGCGGAGTTTTTACTGGCACGTGATGGGCACGTGAGTGCGGAGTAGGCCTCATCGAGGCATCGTGGATCCAGGCGTCAAGGTGGCCTCCGCGGTGAACGACATCCAACAACACCCGCGTCGAGATTATATTCAATTCGCTTACAGAGAGGTCGGCATGCGGTGGTACACTTGATTTTGTGAACATCACTCATAGGTCCTCTCTATTCTCTTTCTTGTGTATATACCTTCCGCTTTACTTCTCCCGCCATGGCTTCTGCCATATTCTTCCTCGATTTGAAGGGCAAGGTATGCTTCAGCTGGCTGCTATGACATTACACGCTTCGAGGCTGACACGTACAGACGCTGCTTGCCCGCAACTATCGAGGTGACGTTCCCATGTCCGCCGTCGAGAAATTCCCCATCCTACTATCCGAGGCCGAAGAGGAATCATCGGCTGTGCCCCCCTGTTTCTCCGATGAGGGAATCAATGTCAGTTTGCTCCGAGGCAATGCACAGATTGTCTGGACTCTAACCATCGGGACAGTATCTCTACATCCGCCACAACAACCTCTACCTCCTTGCGTTGACGAAAAGAAACTCCAATGCCTCCGAAATCCTTCTATTCCTCCACAAGATTGTAGAGGTATTCACCGAGTACTTCAAAGAGCTGGAGGAAGAGTCGATACGTGACAACTTCGTCGTCATCTACGAATTGTTGGACGAGATGATGGACTTTGGCTATCCTCAAACCACCGAGTCCAAAATCCTCCAAGAGTACATTACTCAAGAATCGCATAAACTCGAAGTCCAGGCACGACCACCGATAGCCGTGACGAACGCCGTGTCGTGGAGAAGCGAAGGAATCAGGTACCGCAAGAACGAGGTGTTCCTGGATGTCATCGAATCTCTCAACCTACTGGTCTCATCTACCGGTAACGTCCTACGGTCGGAAATCCTAGGTGCGGTCAAGATGAAATGTTATCTCTCTGGGATGCCTGAACTACGGTTGGGCCTGAACGACAAGGCCATGTTTGAGACCACCGGCAGGGCTACACGAGGAAAAGCGGTGGAGATGGAAGATGTCAAATTCCACCAGTGCGTCCGATTGTCCAGATTCGAGAATGACCGGACTATCAGCTTCATACCGCCTGATGGAGAATTCGAGCTCATGAGTTACCGTCTTAATACGGCAGTAAAGCCGCTGATCTGGGTTGAGTGTGTGGTCGAATCGCATTCCGGTTCTCGAATTGAATACATGCTCAAGGCCAAGGCCCAATTCAAAAGACGGTCCACGGCCAACAATGTCGAGATCATCATCCCTGTTCCTGACGACGCAGACACGCCTAGATTCCGCACGAATATCGGATCAGTCCATTACGCTCCCGAAAAGTCGGCAATAGTATGGAAAATCAAGCAATTCGGAGGTGGAAAGGAATTTCTTATGCGTGCGGAACTTGGTCTTCCCAGCGTCAAAGGAGATGACGAGCGCGGCGGTGGTATGACTGGTGGGTTTGGCGGCAGTATGGGAGGCATCTCCGGCCAAGGAAAGGCCAAAAGACCCATCAATGTCAAGTTCGAAATCCCCTACTTCACCACCAGTGGAATTCAAGTCCGATACTTGAAGATTATTGAACCAAAGGTGAGTTATAAACCCGTGTCCGATGCGGATCACCTGCTGACGTTATGGAGTTGCAATACCCATCACTCCCATGGGTACGATACATCACGCAATCAGGCGACATTGCTGTCCGGATGCCGGATGTCCAAGGATGAAGTCTTTTGAGGAGAGACATGACATGGATGATAAAGAACACACTCCGAAACAACACCTTTGTTCCTGTCAACGGTATCCTCGAACCGTACAGGTCGATCCTCATAATTCTCCGTTGATGCGCGGATGTGTTTGTGGAAGCGACAAGCAAAATACCCATATCTCGCTTTCTCGAGATCTCGCCTGCAGAGGCTACCGGTCCATTGCAGATCGACTGCCACAATTTCCATGCGTAGCGAGAATCGAATGACCTCCCAGCGCCGCTGAGAAGCGCTTCCGCTGTGCGCAGCGTGCGCAGCAACAACATGAAGAAATCAGGAGTTCCAGCTACCGTTGGTTCAACGGGTGATCAACAGAGACCTTTGTGCTGACACTTGGGAAGGTGTATCTCCTGCCGCTCCGATCCACTCCGATTTGGCTCGTCTGTGCGTCTCGGGACTGCACCAAAGTCTGAATTCCAGCTGGAGGCTACACCGGACAGGCGGAAACAGAAGCAGAGTCGATGGAGCGTCATGAGCGAGCGTTGATCGCGACCCTGGGTGTCTACTTCCTTGCCAATAACCTTACGCGTTTATATAGGAACATTATATTCATGCACAAGCTTCAACGTTGACCAGGCTATGGGTCGACGATCCGAGATTCTCCCTTGAAATGACGGCGTTGCCATGCTGAAATACTATACTGAAATACTTCTTTTCCGGTGGACCCTGCTTACTTCAACCACAGGCATGATGTTCGAGGCTCTGAGGCGTCGCGTATACGGATGATTCACGGGCAGAACGGTTGCTGGGAAGCGCATGTCGACAGGAAAGCCAGCACGCAATGCGGCAAACTCAAGAGACTGGAGCAGCAGACATGCAGTCCACCGTATTGTAAGGCGAATGGCCCATCCAGACCACGCTGAGACAGGACATCACCAGTGGCACCCCACTCGTACAGAGAACTAGAGAGATGCCCACACCACTGGAGTATCTTTGCACTGTCAGAGTACCAAGGCTCTCGTGGAATATCACGTTCCCAAATCGCATGCGTCCGAGAGTCGGGTGAACTCGCGGCAAGGTCTATACTGACTGGTCACACGGGCTTCCCTTCATGTTCGCGTGGACGGCTGGGGTTTGACGTTGGGTACAATGAACCGGCCTTGTGGAAGCTGCCCCCTGTCATTTAGGATCCTGCAATGTCGCCGGTTCTTCTCTCGGCGGGTGATCTTTCTCAGTCACGAAGCATATCACCCTTTGTTTCGCATAAGGCAGGATTCCAGGGACTTACCCCTGGGGCAACCATCAACCGCCCTCCCTGGAGGCGGCCTCAACTTAAGGCACACTCTCCTGTCATCCCGGTCGCCACATCCGGACTAGAGAATTTGATTGGTTCTCGAATTTTTCCCTCCTCCGTATTGAACATGGTACCGCCGGTATCGATCGAGGGTCGATTAGCATCTCGAACAACTGTGGATGCGAATCCGGAAGATGGGAATCTTAGAGTCCAGATCCGGTCCGAATTGCCCTTTTCCGATTTACCCAAGTTCGAATCAAAATACGCGGTGCATGGAGCCATGTGCAGAGCAAGGTTGGGCCTTGTCGAGCGGGGCTCTTCCCGAGAACATGGACAATGCAAGTTCCTCGTTACTTCCCAAAGCTGCGGGCCATATTGGTGATCTTCATAGAGTTGGCCAATGAGCTGCTCATCAATTTGCTGGGCTGAAGCTCGGGAAGATGCCTCTTCAGCACTGACTTCCCCTTGGCGGATGAAAGGAACTTCCGTGAAGTTCGAGACTTCCTCCGCCTGAGTTCAAGGGGATCGCGTGGACTAGGTCAGCCAGCCCCAATGTTTAACAAGCAGGAGGTATATTGGTACCAAGTAGCAGGCTCGCACCACATTGATACTATTCGCTTGTCGCTACTGGGCTCGGAAACCATTCCCGCAAGCCTATCTACACCGCCCGTGTGCCAGCATGAGCCGTGATTCTATTCCGCCCACAATTCAAAGACCTTGCTTGGCGATCGGACCGTTTAGCGGGAACGGAAGTACTACTCCTGCCATCTGTGAGTGGCTCGATCTCCCTCCCCCATCATTACATTTCACGTAGGTATGGATCGTGGTATGGATCGTGGATGCACATCGCCGTCACGGTGCCCACGAGTCTGCAGACGCTATGGCTATTGAAGGGTCCCTTCATGGACATGGACAAAGGGGGGAGGAGGAGGCGGAGGCGGAGGACCTTTTGCATTTTTGCCCCCTTCCGTCATTCTTACTTCAAGAGCCCGCGAGGCGCGCTTCTCAGCGCCTGGCACAACTCCCATGCCCGAGTTCGCCAACTCGCCATTGGTACCTTTTCACCCAGTGTCGCCTTCGCCTTGGTCAATGACGGTTCACACAGTCTATTCCACGACGGGCTTTTGGCGCGACTGTGTTTTTGCAGATGGAGGAAAAGCCTGGTGGTGCTGCAACAACGCGCATCGATATTGCGCATGGACCGGGACGACAGAGGGCACCCGTTGCGTGTGTCATCTGCAAAACTCGGAAGATCAAAGTAGGGCTCACGCTGCCGTTCAAATCAACTGCTGAACCCGCATGGTTTGATTTCTAACGAATGGTGATATAGTGCTCGGGAATCGCACCCTGCGAGACGTGTGTCGCGCTTGATGTCAAGTGTAACATCGACGAAAGTCTTGATGGACGAAGGAAGGCGGCATTGAGTCGCAAATTAGAGGAGGTCGTTCACCACAAATGGCTTCTGGAAGCCCTGCGATTGTCTCTGAGATTTGGGCGTGGCGCATGCCTGGCAGAAGTTCTGAGAGCATTGATGGACGATGCACCCTTGCCTTTCCTCGCCATGGCCATTCTGACAAGTTTGCCCATGATGGTGGTCTCTGAAGAGTTGGAAAGGCATGTTGACCAGATCAGACAGCGACTTGAGCATTATGTCTACGAGACTGGGCAAACAGGCGTCACATCCGAAGTCCACTCGAATCACGGCCACCGGCCTCCATCGGTTGATGAATTACGGGGCCAGTCTCTCACGAATACCGAATCCATCTACGCGATGGAACAGTCTCCGGACCAGGCAATGCGCCAGGCTGCTCGGCAGTGGCCGTCATCACATATCTATTGTATTGGACAAAGCGATCTCCATGGTGGATCTACGGGATTTGGACCCTCAGCTCCCGGGGCAGACGTTGGTCTCGGCCAGATTCTGCAGTGGTTGAATGTGCTTACGGGACAAGGCATCCTGGAAGAGAAGGCTGGGTCGGATCATGGATTTGGTAAGGATCCTATTTGGTATCCTTTTCTCATTACGCACGAGCTCTGTTGACAGCGTTTAGGCCAAAAGTCGGATTCCAAGCCAGTGGAGATATCGCTGTCGCTGTCAATGCCGGACTCTAGTCTACATCTGAGGAATTCCAGCCTCCACATGGTACGATGCTATTCTCTTCATATAGCTGGCCTAACCGTAAAGTAGGACAGTATCAAGGATACTTGTATTCGGGACATCGACAAGGGTGCCAGGAATTCTACGGACAAAAAGAGACCATTGCCGGTGGTTTTCATACCAGCACTACGTCCACCACTTCCCCGGGGGGCCATGTCTGATATTGAGACACCTATGCATACCTGTGTGGTTACAGAAACATCTCGAAGCTCGCCCTTTACCCCATCAGCGAATCCCTCGGCCCGTACCCAACCTTCAACGTATTTTGAACCTGGAAGTCGGGCGTCTTTCCCACCGGCACACTCGCATCGTCGCATTGCAGAGCATGTTTTATTGCCTAGGATCGAGATCGACGACGACCCAATGGCATGTGCGATCCTAAGCTATCTGGACTTGGCCCGCTCAATGCTGTCACGAGGTATCCCGATCCAGGAGATATTCGGCCCGGAGCGACCGATTGTCGATCTTCTGTTTCGGACGCGGAACGAGAGCGACGCGCATTCCGTATGTCATTTTGTTTGCGAGCTGACCTCGGGAATCCGGGGCATGGAAACGGCTGCAAGGCTGGGACTAACTTTTATGTTTGTCCACTTGGTTCGGGTAGGTTGCCCCTGGATTTTTGCTTGGTTTTGCTCTATCGTATCGTGTCGCTGAATTTTATCAAGTGGATGATTCTTTGTTCGTCCTCCAACTACGCACAGATCCCGGAGCTGTTTCGACCGACGGCGACACAAATCAACGTGCCGCACAGTGCGGCCCTCGAGTTCTGCCCCTTTCCGCAGCTGAGGGATGCTCTTTGCCGTCGGTATCGTGATTTCCTGCCGGCATTGGCAAGCAACATCAGTTGTAATTGGCCTTACGGCACCGATAGCTGTGTCCAGCAGCTGGATCATACGGGGCATATCGTTCTCACGGACCACTTTTGCCAACATGTCTTGATCTCGGAGAACTGGACAGTGCGAAGTGGAATCCTGGATACGTTTCCAGAATGTCGAGGTCTCCTCAAGACTGTCGGATGATGCTAGTAGTGGGGACCATTGGTGACTGGTCAGAGATGGAATGCCGAACCGTAAGGCTCTTGCCGAACTCCATCGGTCAGAAAAGGGGTTCATGTTGCCTCTGCCTTCATGCCTCGAAAGTCGGCTGGCGGATTACGGAATGGGCCCCTACACCAGATGCCGGATGATACCAAATATACACGAAATAAGCTGAGACGGCCCGAGGGCTACTTGCTGCTTGCTTCAGCAGCAGTGATGCTACCTTTGCCGTCAAGATGGATCTGCATATATATTGCTACAGTTACAAGCCTGAAGGTCACAGCCTTGTCAGTAGAATGTATTAATCTGTAGGTAGTGAGGTACTAGTAATAAGTAGTTATTACTTAGTACGTACTAATCCCTAGTACTGATCACTTAGTACGTACTAGGGAATATAACCTCAAGTTCGACGAATGACATCATTTCTCCGCGTCTCCAATTCTCCCTAATAATTTTCACCATCAACCTTGTCGCATCGCAGGAGAAGAAAAAAGGGATTAAGACTTCAACAAATCAATATCAAGCATCAGACCAGAACTTCCCAGGAGAACTATCCATGCGTTGTCTAGACACCATCCCACATATTCCCTCTTAACTCTCGTTGATTTGGCTCTCTATCGTTTTCATATCTCTTGGGAGAGTACCACGGCTTAGCTTGGTCCCTCGGTGCCATTTTGCTTTTCATATCCCTTCAACAACGCGATACAACCAATTCTCCTTTTGTTGTTAGTCGTTGTATATCATCCGTCAACGATCATGTCCTCCTCAATCTCCTCTACGGCGACGCGTACGCAAACCCAGACTCTGACCCTTCCCTCCGACAACCTCGACGATCTCATTTACCTCTCCCGCACGGGCGACCTCTCCGACCTGCAAAACCTGATCACCAACTTATGTCAAACCCACGCCTGTTCTCCGTCAGTGGTGCTCGCGTCAGCGATCGATGTCGATGAAGATGGATTGGGGTCGCGGTCTTCGCTGTTGCATTATCCTGCTGCGAATGGCAATCTGGAGGTAGTGGAGTATTTGTTGTCATTGATTGTGGCCTCTGAAGGGACCGAGGAGGATGGCAACAAGACAAAGGAGAGTCTACCACAAGCAAATGGAAAACAAACCCCTCCAAAATCTGCCATTGTCAATCATCAAAATGTCAGTGGAAATACCCCTCTCCATTGGGCAGGTATGAATGGTCATCTGGAGGTGGTTAAGGCTTTGGTTCGGGCTGGTGCGGACGCAGGCATCGTGAATGCCGCGGGCAGAGATGCTGTTGTGGAGAGTGAGTGTAGTGCCAAAGAGGGGGCGGTGGAGTGTGCGGATTGGATGTTGAAGAATTGTGAAGGCTTGGAGAAGGGGGTTGGGAGTGCTGGTGGTGAAACCAACAATGGAGATGATCATGGTGGTCAAGAGGAAGATGTGGTCATGTCAGCTTCAATGGACGCTGATGGTCGCATGGTTGTGGAGGGTCAGGGCGAGGGTACATGTGAAGACAACAAAGGTCAGGGAACAGGTGCTACTGAGGTGCAAGAGACATGACGGCTGAAAAAGGAGAGATGCTTCTTTTTCGCCCTGATGGCGGGAAGAAACAAAACATTGGCTGGGTTATGACAGGTTCGGAGGCGAATGTGAAGAAGGAGATCCTCGTTGGAACATGCCGCAGAGGAGTTGTCGATGTCGAATACTCTCTGCCACTCGGAATTCGGGTCTCGATTTTACTGGACTGGTGTGCATGGCCATCACAGCTGGGCACGCTCGATGCCACGGAATGCGGCTATGCTATGGAACGAGAACTACCGGGCCAGCTTCGGTCTTACCGGCTCGATGTTTGTCACGTCGTGCATTACAAAATTCGAGGGAAGACCTCACGGACGACTTGTCGTATGCGGCCAGTTGAGTCAAGGCTATCAACTCCGAAAGTTTCCAGCACGGGCGACGACTCAGTCATGCTGTGAATATGGATGCCGACTGCTCACAGCTTGAGATGCCATCGAACAGCTCCTACTATTGAGACTCTGCTGGATCCCTATGCACAACTACACAGCGGCGTACACCACCGCCGTGCTAAAACTGGCAGTCCTGCAATGACCGGATATAGACCTGTGGCTTTCGATTGCGTCGACGGTTGCCATCAAGGGCAGTCTGCCATTTTTGTGATAACCAAATGGCAATCGGCAAGAATGCACGCTATTTCCTGCAGATGCTGAACATAACCAGCTCGGATCAGCTTGGGGACTTGTGTTAGACACACACCTAGAGATACGAAAGATGGGAAAAAACTGAAAGTCGGCGAGACAAGTGTTTATCGGACAGAGGATGGGGGCAGTGATCCACCTGGCCCTCATTCAAGATTTGCTGGAGTGGTTATCCACAATGGCACTGTGCTTGATTATATGACCACAGCAACAACGGACCTCACCCACAAATAAGCCTGGCTGTCAGAAGACGGCCGAGAAACGTGTCAGGAAAGAAGGTTTCTTTTACGCGCTTGAGCAACGCTGCTCCTGCATGCAAATTGAGGGCGGCACGAGAAGCAAGCGAAAGCTCACAGGGGCTGAAAGCCAAAGGCTAGGCCTCTTCAGCGTTCCTTGGCTAAGGCATGGAAGGGCCTCGTCTATTGAGAAACCCGCAAATAGGACGCCGTTTGATGGGGAGAAGGGATGCCATTCTCTGGACGTGGACGTAGACGTGGACGTGGACGTGGACTTGATACAACAGAAGCGGTCGCCAGTAGATAGGATTATACCAGACCGACCACAATAGAGTCAAAACTACGAAAGATGACCAGCTTTACTTACGTCGCTCACGCTAATTTTGAAACGAGCAATGACATGTAGCACGATCCAAAGATATCTCTCACATAGCATATTGAGAGACAATCAAGGCAGAAGACAAACGAGCGCACCCCTTTTCATGTCGAGCCTTGTCCGGCAAGCATATAGATAGATTGCTTCAGCATTCGTCGAAGAGCCCACAGGCCTCGCAAACCCGGAACAGGTCATCCAACAACATCAAGCTTGACATATACTGAATACACCTACCTCAGGAGGAGACTTGTATCCAGTAGCCATCAAGCCCCCTCCTACCAAAGTATATATATTCCCGAGACATATTTTCTCTCTTCTCTTCTCTTCCTCACCACGCCTCCCTCCTTGACACCCTGACTCTAACATCGTTCTTCGGACTCACCGTCCCACTCCCCGGCTGCCTCCCGGGATGAAGCCACTTGCCACCGTTCCCGACAGGCTCCATATCCCAGTGCATCAAGATAGCAGCGGCGAAAAGCACGACTTCACGCTCGGCGAATGTTTTGCCCTTACACAGATGCTTGCCTCCACCCCAGACCCTCATTGTGCCATAATCGACGCGGATATGTTTATTGTCGTTGTTGTTGTTGTTGTTGGTCGTGTTGTTCTTCTCATCGTCGTGTTTGTTCTTGTCATCATTGTCATCTCCATCAAGACCAGCAGGATTCTTGTCGTTGTGATTATTCTCCTTGACCCAGAACCGGCGGGCATCAAACTTGTCCGGATGCGAAAAATACTTCTCATCGCTCTGATGCACTCCATGCGGAATACACACCAACTCGCCCTTGCGCAGCACATAGGCCTGCGGCTCCCTCTTGCCCAGCAGCCGTGCGTCGTCGACGGACTCGGTCACCACGAAATCGCCCATCACCTCCTTATAGCTCATGCTGTGCGACTCCAGACGCATGGTTTCCAAAAACGCCCCTTTGAGAAGCGGACATTTCGTCCATATTGAATCAATGTCGATGTCAAGCTTGGGGGCCTCTTTGATAGAAGATGTAGATGTGGTTGTATTCAACCCACTCAACGACGATTCTGGGTGCCGGATCCTCACGTAAGGAGCAATTTCCGACCTCATCTCTTCGAGAAGACCTGGTGTAGAGTAGACATACCACAGCAGCCAGAAGATGACTTGGTTCGCGTTGACGTTCATGGCCCACAGGATCGCGCCGTCGGCCGTTGCATACGCGCGCGGCGTGGCGCCCGCGTTGCGAAACGCTCGGGCTCGATCGACTATCACCGACGACACGTCGGACATGTCGTCCCATTTGTAGCCCGGGTCCTGGCCGTCCAGGTATTTATACAGGGCGTCGTGGTGTTCTTGCACGGCGGCGATCACGCGTTCGCGCGCCCGTGACGGTCCCTGCATGCCGGGGAACCAGGTCGGCACGCCGGCGATGAATAAATTGAACTGCGAGTCCATCTCCCACAGATCGGGCATGATGGTCGGGTTGTTTTCCATGAAATTCCGCCCGTAGAGCACCGTGCTGGCAATGTCGCCGACAAAATATCTGATCAAGGGATGTAGACTGGCTTCGACTGTAAGAGGGTTATTGCGATTGTTGTCACTGTCGTTGTTGTTCTTCTGGTCACTGTTGTTGTTGTCATTGTTGTCATTGCTAGACGAAATGAGCTCGACTCGAGCCTGCCGTTCCCAAATACTCTGATCAACGACGCTTCGGGCACCAGACACCAAATTCCACGTCCGGTCCTCGACGCTCGCGACGGTCCGCTGGATCGCCGCCGCGACGAAGCTCTCGCGCAGCATGCCAGACAGCACACTGTGAATGGGTCCCCACAGGTGAGTTGGGTCGATGTTTCGGTTGGAGCCGCGGTCCGCCCAGACGTATTCCATGGCGCGGAAGATGAAGGGTTCCATACTCACGGGCGCGTGGCGGTCGTTGACGATCTGGTGCGCCAGGCTGGGGACCGTGACGATGTTGTGTTTCGTGTTGCCCATCATCAACGCGTACACGGCCGAGTTGGGCCCCAGCTGCCGAGCCGAGCGGGACAGGAAGTCCGTTCCCCCCAGTGCGAAGGATATGGCGTGGCCGAGCCATGGGATCCAGTATGGTAAAGTCGCGACGGTTTGGGCAGTCGAAGTCGAGCCTGCTTTCGCATTGGAGGTTGATGAGCGATATTGGAGGCCGGTCACAATGCGGGTCGCGATGCATACCAGACTGGAGATGATGAGGAGAGCTTGAATCGGATGCTCGATTGCAAAGCTGAGCGTCTGTTGAAGAATGGATGTAGACATGGATGCTGATGTGAAGAGTTCAGTTTGCTGTTCCAGCTTCTGGTGTGCCAATGCCATCATGAATGGCCGATTGTGTTGGCGACCAATGCAACACAAAACACCACTCTCTTCTGTTTCTTCTTCTTCCCTTTTTCGTATACAAGCAATATATGCGTATAATCTGTCGGTATATGTGCTGGACTTTGTCTGCCCGCTGCGCACGAGCTTCCTTTCTTCTCCCAGTTAAACTGTCCAGGACGATGCAAGCGCTAGAATCCAGGTTCCAATGCGTGATTGCCTGCAAGAAGTCGCCGTATTCGCCGTATGGTGATATATACCTAGGTATGTATATACTCGCTCTCTTTCTCGAACTGGGACAGGTCTGTTCCTAGGATGAGATAGGCACAAGTCCAGTATCACGATGCAGCTCCGTTTCCCCACAAGAAATGCGATTTAGCGCGTCTGGACTGGACGGCACGTCTGATAGAATTGGAATGTTGGATCTAGTAGTAAGACCAACATACGAACGGATTCCGGAGGAAGAAAACAAAAATATAATGACGACGCCAATCCGAGATCCAAAGAAGATAACAAACAATATAAATGATGGATATATGGTGGTATGTTCAGGGCAGTAGAGAGTAAATCATCAGATAATGTTCGCAGAACCGCACTCTCTCATGTAGGCCCTGGAGACATAGATAGACCTTCTCCTTGTCTGACAGGGAAATCCCCAAGAAATAGGAAGTGTTGTTCAGAGAGCGGCTCAGCCGAGAAAGGAGTAGGAGTAGGAATAAGAGTAGGAGGCCTGATAAGATTATGAAGGAAAGGAGGTAGACACAAAGACATCCAATGAGCTGTGGTGGAAACTATACATTCCTCACTGCCTGGTGGAGGACACCATTGTTTTGTATACTATCTATCTTGAACTGGGGAATCAGGTTGACCGCTTTGATACTTTTCTTGACTCCACTTTAGGTAATCTCATGGATGAAACGGACAGGTCAGGATGATGAGACCACATACCTTACCTACCTTATACCTCGTACCTCGTACCTAGGTGTCTAGGTGTCTTTTGCAAGCCACTTACTTCTTCCTCGACCAAGTGAAACTCAGCCATCACAGGGATTCTTGTCGACGCATTGAAATGGACAACCTGTTTCAATCGATCGATTGATCGATCAACACTGGATGAGTATAGAGAGCCATGGAGAGAAGGGACTGGGCTGGGTGATATACCGCTGTACGAGACTCGAATTGATGATTGAACTGAACTGCTATAGCTACAAGATCCAGGAGAGAAGAGCACGTCTGGTGACAGTCAACGTAGTACAGGATTCATGGATCTGAATCTGAATCTGTGCGACTCCAACCCCCTTCCTCCTTAACCCAGAGCAGTAATCTCCAGTCTGTCTTTTTGTGACAAAGCTCGCCTGGGAACTCCCCTGATCACCCAGTATAGCGAAATAGTCAGGGACGTCAGCACAGCGGGAGTCACACGCGATGAAACAATTCATGGTATGGTATAGACATAATATTGAGTGAAGGGGACCAGACCCGACATCCTTCAGTGCCATTCCCAATCTGTACAGCAAGATCCAGGTCAACAGCAGATTGACAGCAACATTAGAGCCACTGAACCTCCCTTCTCGTCCACTGACTACCTTCATTCGACCTTCCAAAGAGGCTCTGTCGCTTTCAATCACAATCACTCACTCCTACGTCCCACCGTATGGACTCGGGCTTCTCCTAGAACTTGTCCATGAGCACTTTCTTCAATGCACCGCTCTGGGCCTCATATTTCTCGATCTTCATATGACTGCCCATTGCTTTCTCCAGGCACCATTTGATGCGGGGCTTGAGCTCACTCGGGGCGCCAGGCAATTCGGCCAGCGTCCTCAACTCATTCTCGTACTTCTCCACGTTCTTGTTCTCCATGCCAATCAACTGCGTCAATATGGCAAGGTCGAGTCTCGCCTTGAGGACGTCGTCGTCCGTCAGGTACTCAAATGCCGCCTGATAGACGGGTCTGCCGGGCTTGATGCTGTACGGTCGACCGTTCTTCGAGGTTATGGCGATCAACTCGGCCTGCTCTAGAGCCTGCAAGACGACCTCGCCGTCCTTGAACAAGTCATTGAGTAGAAGCTCGTTGTAACGCAGCGTTTCATTCGACGCCAATTGCTTGATCAGCAGCCAAGCTTGTTGGGGGGTCCATTTGCGACTGGAGACATCCACGTCGAGAAGGTACATCTTCAAGATTTCCGATGCCGACTGTTCAATGATTTGCCGAACGGCACCTGGGAGAGTCATTAGCATTGCACCGTGATAACAGAGATAGTCACTTACTGCCAGGTGACTCGCCAGTCTTGATCCGACGAGCGAGAAATTCGAGGTCGGTCAGTCGACCACCCAGCACTTGAATCACGCTGTCCAACTCATCCAAGTCACTCCGCTGCTGTGCTGGCGTGATCTTCTCCTCCCCATCGGCGGCGGCTTCTTCATCGCTCTCGGAATTGAGGTGCTGGATGACCAGTCTCTTGGCCACCTCTGGCGTGCAATCGCTCAATGTAATCTGCCGGAACACTCGGTCTGGCAGCGCCTTACTGAGCGATTTGGAAAACGACACGTCGGTGGTCAGGAAAATGACATGCGCAATATTCTGCGTGGTCAAGGCTGCGGCCCAATCCCCGAGTTTGTCGTACACCATCCCCGCCGACCCTTCATTGTTCTTGTGCAGGAAATTGTCAATCACAACCACCGGTCGATATTCCGGATGAGCCTCGAGCCATTCGTCATCGGACATTTGTGCATCCTTCTCGTCCTTCTTGCGATGGTCCAAGGCAATTTGTTTCAGGGCGGTGGTGGTATTGCCCCAGATCTTGCCCAACTGAGTTTCAAGCGTCTCCGAGAACCCAGTCTTGGTTCCAATAGTGCCCATAGCCGCCAGATCGATCATGCTGCTGATGCTGTTCATCCAGGAAAACACGGGTTTGTACCCGACTTCAGCGGCGGCGGCGGCAATCGTCGCACTGTCTCCTCGGGCTTCCTGGATCTTTTTACAATCAATCACCAGTTTGTTCGGGCGATTCTTAAGCGCCTGATCCATCACAAGCTCTTTCTTGCCGGCACCACGTGGACCTTGCACGACAATGAAGGTGTCTGCCGTCTCCATCATCCATGTCTGCAATTGGTTGATGGCCTCTTTACGATCTTCCCAAATGATCTGGAGGTTCTCGTCCTCGCCCTTCTGCTTTCGCAGTCTGATGATGTCGTACCCACGGGACAGTTGGCTTTTGACCCACCGGTAGATTGCATAGTCCTCCAATTTCAAGCCATGTGTAACATGCATTTTGATGAAAAAGGTCCTGATAGGATCAAAGACTGCCACGGATAGCGCTGTCAAAAGGGCTACGACCACAGGAATGACAATCCTCGGATGACCGGCCAGCCAATCTCGGATCCAATGTGGCTTCATCTTCGATTCATAACTCAGCTTCAGCAGAGTCCCGGTCTTGCCACCACCCTCCTTTGCAGGCACGACATACCCATGCATGCAGTTTTTGGCCACGGTTGCAAACCTCATTCTCGAATAGTCGATGTAGGCGTATCGCGGTGCAACCTTGGAATCGGACGGCTCCGGAGCAATCTCTGAGATCTTTCCATATCGACGGAACAACGAGTACAACGTCTCTTGCGTCAACTCGGCCGCGGAGTTTTCAGGCGATGTAGGTAAGAACTCCACTTTCACTCTGGAGCTGGGGATACGATATAAATCCTCGATCCAGGGCTTTCCTTGCACCAGAAATGCCCTCACTCGACGCAGCGGATTGAACCATGGCTTGATCGGTTTCTCTTCCAGATATGCCTTGAGCGTGCTTTCCAATTCTGTGGGGTTGATACCCGCATCGTGCGTAAACTTGACGAATGCTCCTCCCTCTCGCAGTCGCGGCAGGACTTGTGTCACGGTAAGCGGTAGGGTTTCTGGGAGTGCCCTCTTAATAATGCTCGAAGGGTCGGCCAAGGCTAGGTCTGGGTGATTGACTATGCTGAGTGAACTTGTAAGGGCTCTTTCGGCGTTGAGCAAGGGAATGCGGGTGAGCCACTGGAGCTTTAATGGAAAGACATCTGGTCGTTGTTAGTATATAAGCGCTCTGAGAGACGTATAGTTGGTGCTCACTGTCAAAGAAGAGTATTCCCTCATTTTGTTTGGTCTCAATGTGGCCGGTGTCGTCGTCGCCAGCTTCTGTCGTGACTCTCCTCCTGTTTGAGAGCACCACAGGTGCGATAGGCCGTGGACGAAAGCCGTTTGCCGTGTAGAAGTACTGTTTCCGGAAAGGAACTGCCAGCTGGGTCCCACGTCCTCCCCAGGGACTCCGCGTGCTTTTCAACAAGATCATGCTGGTGAAGTTGTATGCATGTCGTCGAACGAGCGTAGACACTAAGCAAAAGCGGCACCGAGCCTTATGCCAGTATAGAGCATATTCAGGCAGTAGGCACTGAAGAGCAGTACTAGCACGTCCACTGAAAAGAAGTCAGCTTCACGAAGCTGATGGAGTTGGTTCTTCTGATCGACTTCAACTTGAATACCGCGTTCCTGCCTGAGTATGACGTCGATTGACATTAGCAGCGACAGGCATCAGAATTGATTGTGGCTGGTGAGTTCGGTATCAATTGTGGCTGAATTGAAAACACTTTATTTTTGTATTTCATCCAGCTCGCCAGCATTTGGTCTCTTCCCCTATAGTACTTTGCGCCCACGGCATATCTAGTTTCTTGTCTCGGAAACTCATCTACAGGCAGTATGGGCTGGTGGTGGTCTTCCAAGCCGGTATTGCCTCAGGAGCGGCCGCAACCTCCTTCAACAGTGCAGGACGAAGTGCCTGGACATTCACCTGCGCCGACACCATCCACAACCATGTCCCCGATTCCAGAACCTGAGAAACGTGTCCTCTCCCGCGAAGAACAAAGTAATCAGGAGCTGATAGAGCTGTTGAAAGAGCTCCAGGCGGAGATGGGTGACGATCAGGGCCAGCAAAGTAAAGAGATGGGAGCGGCGACACCATCTTTCCATGTCCCCCACGACATTTCCCCAGATTCTTTGTACCCGACCGACCTATCTTGTCGCTCTGCTCTAGACTATGCAATGTTCTGCCAGAGCTTTGGTGGACAATTCGTCAACATCTACAGATATGGCACCTTCAGGTCGTGTTCCAACCATTGGGATGACTTTTGGCTTTGTATGAGAACGAGGAACTGGGACAAGAAGGACCGGGAGAAGGCCATCCAAGAGCACTATCGAAAGAAAGCTGTAAAGTGGAAGACAGGACCAAGTAGTGAAGACGTGTGGGAAGTCAGACAAGAGCCGGTAAAAGATGCCTTCCAAGGCAATCTTGAAGAACTTGAAGCCCGAATTGCAGAATGGCAGAAAGCAAATCCAGGTGCACCGGATCCATGGAAACAGGAAAAGGCGCCTACATTCAACACATCTAATGTCACCTCCAGATGACACTGAAGGGCACCAGAAGAGTCTGTCTGTGTTGTGAGCCTCAGTGCGAAATTCACGTATTCTCACCTCACCTCACGCGACCCTCACTTTGCCAGCTTCACACACATACCCCAACAAACTCATCAATTCTTTTCTCTCGCCCACGGACATATACCCTCCAACGGTGTTTGCAATTCAGGCTTGAGACTCATGGATTTCACGATCCCCCGATTTCTGATGGACATGGCTCTGTCTACAACTCCTCAACAGGCTTTCCAACAGGCCGACGCGCTCCTCTTGCAGGCAGCAGAGCTGAAGCACAAAGCTACCGAGTATCAATCGCAACTTGCTATCCTCAATGAGCGAGCCGACATCTTAGTTGCGACCGCCTGCGGCCTTCAGGCCATTGCACAGCAAGACCGCGAAAGTATCCAGCATCTTCTCGACAGTGCCTTGGAAATGTACGGAAGCAACGTCGACGAGTATGCAAGTCTTCCTCGGAAGGCGGAACGGTTGGAATCTTTGAAAATCCGGGTGGAAGATGGCATGGCCACCATAGAACAGCTGGAGGCTTTCCTTCAAGACATGATGACGTCTACCACACCCACTCGGTCCGAAAGATCTCTCGCCCCTGAACCTGAGAGTCCGCCAACTCCATTGAGAACTGCGGCACCGGCCTTTGTTACTGGAGTCAAGCGAGGAAGGTCCGAAAACGAGGAGGACGAACATCAAGCAACACAACCAGTCAAGAGACTCAAGAGAGAGCATTTGGCGAATGAGGAAGGCTATCATTCAACCCAACCTTCCCCGAGAGGAGAAGAACATGATGAAGGATCTGACTCGGTCGCCCCGATCAACGAAGCTCACAGCAGTCCCTCCACCAAAGACTCGGTCGTGAGTGGCGAAAGCGAAACCGGCATCACCATCACAACTCCACGCCCCAACTCGATCGGAACGGAAGCAGCATTGGCTCATATTGCTGGGGACACTCAAGAGCAAGACTCCGACTCGGCTTGCAAGGAAGCAACATCATCAGAACCTCGCAGCTCTCCTCCTGCCCCGGCGCCCGACTGTGATACTTTGAGAGTCAGTTCTGATGACAAGCCAGTGAAGAAGACCAAGAGACATCGGAAACACCCGCGGCAGAAGGAGCACAAGAAAACCAAGCGAGTCAAATCTAGCAGCACCAAGGACATCAGTGGCAAGGCTGAAGATAAGAAGGAACGGAAACGCAAGAATAAGGGACACGAAAAGGCCAGCTAAGAGCATTGGAGCGAGTCGTATTTGAAGCATAACATATGCCTCCTGCCGTCCTAGCTCATTGACCCCGGGCTTCATGGGAGCTTCGAACTTGTCAGAAGTATCATACTTGAGGGAAAGGACAGAGAGATGATATTCCGTCCAGACCGAGAAATGCTTCAAATCTCTCCACATGCGTTCCTGATCCTCCACATGCCAAAGCACTCGTGTCACTATCCTAACCTGGTTGCAGCCTCACTCCCTCCCATGCTTACTTACTTGGTCGCCCAACAGATTGACAACCTGACATAGCACGCACTCCTCTTACTTCTCCTCTGACTGACCCTCTCAGAAGTCCGTGTTCACTACGTTGCTATTGTCATGTTCTCCCGATTCACGTCCTCTCCTTTTCTCACTCTGGCCATGGCTACCGTCTTCTCAGCCCCCGACATGCTTCACTTCAAGGCCGACTTCCTTGAAGCTCAGTCTGCCCTCGTCCAAGATCTCGCCAACGACATACACAAAGCCGCGAGCATCCTCGCTTACAAAACCTACGACTTCGAAACTGAAGCAGACAATCTTCGCAAACGAGCATGGGAGATCAGATCGGCTGAGACCGAGACCGAGACCAAGAATGAGACTGAAATCAATGTTTTCGGGAAAGGAGATCAAAATAATGGCACTGACTTCGAGACTCCAGACTTGGTGACCACGGCGGCGGAGACGATCAAGGTCGCTCAGCAGGTGAAGCTCGAATTGAAAACCCTGATCGAAGTCGCCTGCGGTTCTGGGTCCAGCAGAGGTGAAATCGCAACTACTCATCCGACCGGGGTGACGGTGGACATCCATGGGCAACCTAAAATCAAGCGAGAGGAAAAGGAGGACAATGCTGCTGCAGGTGGTGATGGCGACGATGCAATTTGCAATGATGTACCGAGCAAATCTATGATCCCTGATATTGCAAATCCGCCAGCATCAGTAGTCACTCAGTCTTCTTTGAATGCTCGTCATCACCACCGCAGCAGCGACTTCTTGTCGGTCAACAGTCAGTTTCGTCCCCAGAATCCTCAGATCGGTCTTGAAAAACATGGCCGCCAGAGAGCGAATGAGCATGTCCATCAAAAGTCTTCCTCACACACCACACAAACATGGAGCTGGACGCCTATGGATACTACGAAGGACGAATGTCCAGATATGGTCTGCGGCGTCTCATGTCCAGCAAGCAAGGGGTCGTTGCCATCGAGCGTTGCCATGGCCCAGACTGGGACCGAATCTCCAGAAATGTATGCATGTGATCCAGGTGAATTCGAGCTTGACTCTGTGTTTTCATTCGAGCCTGAGCCTAAGCCATCAACTCAACTTCAGGAACACAGTCAATTGGACTTGCTAGCCGACGCTCCCATGGACATCGAGGCAGATGAGGACGCAGATGCAGACTGGAATATGCTTTCTGTTGCATCTGACCATGAATATGAAGCTGAAGTTGAAGCTGAACATGAACATGAACATGAACATGAACATGAAGACGGACGCGAACTCGAGCTCGAGCCAGAGGGTGAGTTTCTGCCATGGATTCCTGCCAAGATCGTCATCCCTCGTCACAAGGTACAAACGGCTGCCGAGCGACTGTTGCAGTCGGTCCTGATGGGCCATCAAGCCAGATTGCAGCGAGAGTGCGCGTACTAGCTCCTCACACCGACAGATCAGCCTATCGACATTACATGACTAGTGCGATGCCCTGGCGTTTGGAAATAAGGCAGAACAAGGCTCTGGTCATGTTCATGCCAATCGCAAGAAACATATTCCGGTAAGGAGATGAGTTGGGGGAGGCATTGAATTGCGCACTTTGGCGGCCACATTGGTAGTTTGGAAGCTAGATGAAGTTCGGTGGCGACCTTTTTCACCTGGATTGAGAGTCTTCTTGCTGCTGCTATGGCTGGGGCGTGATCGTTCGACGTGGCGCATATGCTGCTGCTCTTTGCTTGAGCGAAGGCAGTGGCAATAGCCGGTTGGCGGGCGAGCTTCTGTGGTTGTTTGTGGGTGCTCGGAGGTCCATGGCCAGGCATCAGAATGGGCATCAACATCAACATCAGCAGCCATGAAACATGCAGCATTTGGTGATTTTGGTAACGCAGCGGTGCATGGAGATTGCCTGCATATCTCAACGAGCTCTTAAAGCCATCAAAAGATGCATTTGAATCGTGACGAATTTCCCACATTCTGCTCATATCTATTGATATCTTCCATTGCAGCGAAGTGGAAAAAGAATCAACCCGCAGCCATCTATGGATGGTTGTCCTCTCTCTGTATTTCTTAGATCGTCCCTGATCACAAAGCGGGCTATGCACAGTTGTGATTGACAACTCATGATCGGCCCATGTAGCGTCAAGATCGTAAATGAGAGATCGGTACCTCAGTAGCTATCTATGTATACATAAATATACATATGTGTGTGTATATATATGAGTTGATCCTGAGCGAATTTCCCGCACCCCCAGTGACCGATTGGATCCAGCAGATCCCGAGTCGGATGATACCATCGACAATTCAATAGATATTCTAGGACACCCAAGCCAAGCTGCTTGAAACCTGTCGCTTCTCATGTCGAGGCGAGATAGGAATAGGTGAAGCATTAGTCCTGTCAAAGTCTCTCGTCTGCATTAGCGTGTACCAATCACGCAGGAAGTGACACGCTGTCTGGGCTCCATATCAACTGTCAACCAGCAGACACGGGCAAGAAGATAAAGAAGTGCTATTTGCCAGAACTGCTTCTTATCCATGTTCTCTGTAGTCAACCATCATCGAGTTCCCACGTCGAGAAGCACCAGTATAAGTTGAGGATCAAGGATCAAGGATCAAGGAACAAGGAACATGTCTGGTGGTCCCATCAAGAAAGTCGTCGTCCTCGGGGTACGTATGCGAAGAAGTAGACATTAGATCCATCTAGATTGGCTTGTCCTACATGTGATACTAGTACACTGACATGCATATACTTGACCAGGCCACAGGCAACGTCGGGAAACCAGTTGTCACAGCCCTGGCTGATGCAGGATATACCGTGACAGCCGCCTCACGGACCGAAGGCAAGAAGTTCCCGGACCCGATCATCCCAGCCGTCGTCGACTACAGTTCATTCGACGCGCTCGTGGACCTGTTCCAGGGGCAGGATGCCGTCGTGGAAGCGTTCCCACCCAATGCCGCGTACATGCAACCCACCATCGTCGAGGCGTGTCTGAAAGCCGGGACGGTCAAGCATATCATCACCCCGGATTTCGCGGGAGACACGTTCAGTCCGCACATCGCCGAGCTGCCGCTTTATGTGCCGAAGGTGGAGGCACAGAAACAACTCGAGGAGAAGACAAAGGGCACGACTCTGTCTTGGACTGCTATCATCACGGGAGGATGGTATGATTGGGGTGAGTTGAAGTCTGTACCTTTTTTCACCTGTGGGTTTTGCTGCTGGAATTTGAGACATACATACCCGACCCGACGACTTTTGATGCTGTATTCAACAAACTGCTGTGACAAACGGCTGTGTGGCCTACCTGTCATGCGTACCCCTTCTTGCGTGTTCTGTTGGCATATGCTGTTTGGTGAATTTCCAAGCAACTGCTTGTTCAGCAGGTGACTGTGATGGCATGCGCTGAGCTTGTGCAAATTATAGCAATTCCCCTCGGGTATTACTGGATCAATCCGCAGACAAATACCATCATCGTGTACGGCAGCGGCGACCAGCGCAACAGCATGTGTGGAGTCTGCACGGCGGCCAAAGCGGTGTGCGATGTCCTCGCCGATCCGGCCAAGTTCAAGAACCGTCCTGTTTATGTCGCCGAGCATACGATCAGTATGAACCAGCTGATTCCTATACTGGAGGAGCTGCGGCCCGGTTGGAATATTGTCAAGGTCGATCTCGATGCCTTTCATGCCGAGGCTAAGAGACTGTGGGAAGAGGACACGGAGAAGGGTGTCGAAACCAGACTGCTCACGCCGGCGTATAATATGCTCGGAACGTATGGGATCTTTGAGGAGAACAACAGATACAATGCCGACTTTGAGCGCCTGGTTGAGCCGGGGTCTGGGTATCAGAAGTCGTTGGACGAATTTAAGGAAGGGTTGAAGGCGCTGGTCGGCGCGAAATGAGGCAGGTCGTGAGATAGCATTGCTCATTCGGCGGCGGGCGTATATGGCTTTGTCTTCATCTTCGCGCGAAGTAACAGCATGATCGCAGACAGTCACTCTTGTGAGGCGTAGACAAGATATATTGAAACTGATGGCTGTAGGATTAATGTGTAATGTGCTGTGAGCCAATTGACAAAGAGGACGGGATTACATAATCACTCAAATTCAGTTCCGACTTCATGCGAACTTCAATTCCTCAAGCACATCGCAGTTCGGAGCTCTGTATCCACGATCACTGCCAATACCTGAGTCCTGTTGCTGTCGCTAGCAGGGCGTGCTCTTCAAGATGTCACAGCCACTGGCTTCTCGCCTGTCGACATGCTGTTGGAGGTCGTTCTGCGCAGAGATGCGGCCGCAGAGACAATTCCACCGGTCAATGGTCACATTACAACGAGGACCAGTCCAGAAACTCGATGTGCCCTCAGATCTACCTGCCCAGTTGCTGCCCCAGTTTCCAGAAAGATATAGGCCGGGAAGAAGTGAGTCCCGGTACTCTCTCTTCCTTGTTCACAGATTCTAACTTGGACGCAGACCGACGAGACATTGTCGTCCACCCATCTCCCAGATCCGAAGCCGAAACATGCAAAGATCCAGTCGGCCTGGTGGAAAACCGGCAACTGAGCGTCCTCGACCCGACAGGCGCACGAGCGAGACTTTTCGACAAGGCGAATCCAGATCGCGCCAAAGTCGGCGATGTCTTACTTACAACCTTCAAATCGGGAGAGCCGGTGTCTGGGGTGATCATGGTGATAAAAGGGTCTGGGCCGCATACTTCGGTACTGCTGCGGAATCAATTGACCACGATCGGGATGGAAATGAGCATCAAAGTGCACAGTCCACTGGTTCAAAGTATGGAAATAGCACAACGAACGCCCAAGAGAAAGAGGCGGGCCAGGTTATACTACCTGAGGAAGCCGGAACATGATGTGGGCAGCGTACAGAAAGTGGTGGACCAGTATCTGAGGCAACGAGCCATGTTGACGGGCGGAAAGAATGCCAGGCAAGGAGGCACCTTCAGGTCTCGGAAGGGAAAGAAATAAAGAACATGTTTGTGATATTTTGGCGCGCAAGGCTACTGCAACAAGGACGCAGTATCCTGTTTGAACATCATCGAACGATGGCGGACAAGCAACGTCTCGATCGATTCTCGATCGACTGTAAGAATACAAGACACCTTCTCTTCCCACCGACGTGGAAGGGTTTGTTCGGATATCCAAATATGAAGGGAACGTACAATTACTGTCCGACAATGGCCTCCTGGTTCATGGCGTCCTCCTGGCATCCAACTTCATTCCCATATTTCAGCAGCCAATAACGGCCCGGTGTTACTATGAGTTAACACTGAGAGCGCGGTGAGTTGAAAGTGAATTCTCCCGCACCCTGTGTTATGGTTGTTGCGAAAATATATATCCCGCACATTCGTCGCGCTCCCACGCACTTTCTCTCCTTCTCTCATACCACTCACTCTATTCCATCCATCAAATCCTCCATTTCCATCACGCGCTTCATCAATTCCATCAATTCCATCAATTTCTCTATCAGAAACAATCCTCCAACCCTTCAAGCATCATCAAGATGACTGAGTCGAACAACGACATCGTCAACGACACTGGCGGCGATTCTAACCCCATGGAGACTGCACCCAAGCGTGTCCCGACTGACGACGAAGTCATGGCAGTGATCAAAGAGACTATCTCGAAGATGGCCGTCTCCATCAAAGGTGCACCGCTTGACAATGAGATCACTGACGCTGCCCTCACTGGCGTTCTCAGCACTCTCCATAGATTCTACGTCGCCGAGCCTTCTGTTGGCACTGGCGCTTGGAGTATGAACAATAACGGCACCACCATCATTGCCCGTGGCGCTGACATGGCGAACATCAACGACAATGGTGACGACGATAGCGCCAGTAGTGATGACGATAGCGCCAGTGGTGACGACGATAGCGCCAGTACCATTGTGGAAAACGACATCTTGAATGCCGAGGCATCTACTGCGGCCATTGCAGCAGACATGGACCATGTTGACGGCGCCACTCAGAAGTACGTATTACCCTCACTCCATCATTGTCCGCAGCACCATCCCCCAGCAAAGATCAGATTGCTAACCAGTGTGTATTGTCTGCAGCCAATATTCCGGCAAGCCGGTTCTCGTCATGGTCAGAGGCACTGAATTCTATGTGCACGCCGCAATCTTCGCCCAGGTCTTTCCCAAGATGACGCACAACCCGACCATCCCTCTATTCATCGACAACTTCCCTGCGGAATACTTCCATTTCATCCTCAAGTACATGTACACTGGCAACTGGCACGACTTGGACTTTGAAACTCTTGACGATGAGGAGAAGATCGATACGCTCTTCGCGTTCGCCGACGAATACTCCAACACCCGTCTGATGGCTGCCTTGCTCCAGGTCGACAAGGTCAACATAATGGAAGACTCCAACCTTGAGCACGTTGCTCGTGTCTACAAGGAGGGCAACCCTGATCGTCGCTTCCGCGAGTTTTTCAAGCGCGAATTCACCAAGAACTTGCACCATGATTTCTGCGTCACCCAGAAGCACCAGAGGGACAAGGGATGCGTTCGATCTGATGCCGGCTGCCCCATGTTCCATGTCCAGCTTCACCTCGCTGACTGCCCTGGCGCCTTTGACGACGTCACCGAGGCCTTGTACAACATGTGGCTTATCGCCATGGGTGGTGAGTCAGAGTTGTGATTACACCCAGATCTCTTTGTCCTGTTGGGGACAGATTGGTCATTGTGGGTTGGTGTTAGGCCCATGGGTTGACTTTCCCTGGTTGGGGTTGGGTTTCAAACATTGAGTCGCGTAGGGTGCGGATCTAGGCACTCTCTTTACTGGACTGGAGATTTTGTCGCGCAATGGGCAGGACGAAAGTTTGGTGGTTTTCGACACAATACGACACATCATAACATCAATGCGTCACAACGACAATCAGTTTCCTCATGACAAAAGAGAGCTCTTCGGCCTTCCCCTTTTCACCGAACAAACAACAGAAAAGGCTTGCTTTCTTGCTTTCGCATGCTTTTTCCATCGATCGATCGAACAGAGCCACGGACCGGACCGGATGGATGGTCTCTTTTCCCTTTTCTTCGCCGAAAAGGGCGGGATTCCTTCTGACTGTTGACTGGACCTCACGCCTCTTGTTCACACCGAAAGATCGATCACCGCATGCAGTTCACAACATTGCTTTTTGCTTTTTCCACAATAGCCACAGCAATAACCCTCTGCAAGACAAGACAACCCGCCAATCTCTCTCTCGCAGAAGCCAGCACCGGGCTTTTGAGATTGGGCGGCTTGCATGGTATTGACTGCGTGGCCTTTAGCTTTAGTTTAGTTTAGTTGTTCCATGATACCAAAAAAAAGAAAAGACTTGTACGTCAAAACGAAACAGTGTGCTCTCTTCTGCTTGATTGATCTGGTAGTCTGTAGTCTTCACTCTGTAGTAGTAGTGTTAGTAAAGGTGTCTACTTTATCTATTCATTCCACTCTATCATACTAAAATGCAATGGTCTTAGAAATATATCTCTACAGAACAACGACTTTTCCTTTGATTGTAGGCTTGTAGCAAAAGAAAAATGTTCGTTTCTCAACTGCTATCCTGATGAATCACCTTGACATTTCTTTCGCTGAGTACAGGTACATGCTACATATCACAGTGGTCCCGGCAATCAATGCTACGAACGTATTCGAATCTACTCAACAAAACCTCCTCCCGTTCGGCCTATTCTCCAGCTCAGTGTGCTTTACTACACAAGCAAATTGGAACCTTCGACATGATTCCCTGTTCATAGTCTACCTCTTAAGGATGCGTCATTGAGGCGACTTTTTCAGGAGGATCTTTTTCACTTTCGCATTCTTACTCTACGATGATGAATAGAAATTCCAATCGTCAAAGTTTCGATTTCTGTGAACCTTTCATCTATCAGTGTCCAGGACACCTAAGGACCCTTGAGTCTTGACTGGATGGTTGATCTAGGTACCTAACATATGACTCGCCTCCCGGCTTCCTGATGGATCATGGAAAGCTCCGAGTCGTCCCAGACATTCGGCTATTACTTTCCATTGTTTACCACCCTAGGTAGCCCCATTCCCAGGGCAGGAGCGCAGGGTAGTACAGCGCAGACAGACCCCGAAGTGCCAGGCAAAAAGGCGGAAGCATGGCACATAGAGGGATCGGGGTTTGGTGTCAAGAAGCAAGACGACTCTATAGTAAGTTGTCGCGACCTTGCCAGTGGCAGCACCTTTGTTGTACTAGTGTTTTTCTTTGCATTGCATCAAATTTTAATGCAGGAGCAGAGTATGGTCGTGGTCGATCTGGCCTTCGATATCGAGTGTCGTGGTTCCTCCTACTACGGCGGGACCTTTGATTGTGATCTGAGATGGTGGAGAAGAGATATTAGCAGATGGTAATAAGAGAGAACCCGACTTGTACAACGAGCGAGGCTTGAGGGCGCAAGGAGGAAAGGGGTTGAAGGGTCCCAATTTGTTCAACATGGATCATGTAGCAACAGCAACAGCAACAGCAAGGACAACGAAATCCAAAATGTTGAACATACCTTTCCTCGAGGCGTGTGCGAGTCCATCGCACTCTCGTCTCCCGAAAGACTGATTTCGACCGAACTCAACGGAGCCCCAACGCACACATTGTCCCCCTTGTCGCGGTAATCCAAAATATTCGTCTGCGCGACTGCTCCTGCAACGAGCGGCGTGGTCAGCGCATAGCCGATACGGCATTGCAGATGGGTGCGCAGTGTATGCAGTGTCGCCGAAGACAGGCGCGTATTGGCCGGCAGAGTCGTCGACTGCGGGATGAGCAGGACACGCAGCCTGGCCAGAGACGAAGATAAAGTTACCGCGCTCTTAGCAGGCATGGTGCCGGCCCGGAGGGTGCGTTTGGACATGTGCTTCGACAGACCTGATGGTAGGGTTGTGTCCGGGTGCTTGAGGTATGCTTGGACAGTCGATGGCGAGGCGATGACCACTGTTGGTCTGCTCAGTGCCGTGGCTTGGAGGAGGTCGACGTTATCGCCTGCCACGGAGTTCAGGGAGACCGAGGCGTTCGAGTTCAGAGCTGCAAGCGTCCAGCATAGCGTGTAGCTGTCCGTCAGGCTTGTCGTGGGGTGTAGAATGTCGCTCGAAGAGAGCTTGTATGCTCGTGCGAGTGTGGCTTGCAGGGCGGCGATGCCGGATATCAAGTTCTAGGTATGATGGTCAATTGATGCATGCAGCACGGCAAAGGGTAGCTGAGTAGGGATATGGTATGTGCTAAACGAGAACGAGAACGAAAACAAGTTGAGATATACATACTTCTGAGGAATATTTGACCAGGTCATAGCCTCCGTTGGCAGCCGGGCAGAAGATGGACACTGGCGGCACCTGCGAATCTTTGTCAAGAGGCAGGACTTCGGAATTCGCGCTGCGGTGGTTCTTCTGGACCAAGTCGTGCCACGATGCCAGGCTGAGCCCGCTGGGCGCGTTGGCCGACCATTGCATGTGCTCGCTCGATGGCTTGGTCACCCAGATGACGTTCTTGATGGATTGGCTGGTTGATTGCATCGCGTCGAGATCCAGGACACCCGCTTCGGCAATGACATGGTCGGCCGAGGTCTTGGACAGCAGGGAGTTCAGCTTGTCCTGCGGAAGGCCATATGGGATCAGAGTTGTCGAAAAGCCGTAGAACGAGCCGGCTAGTACACGGCGGCAGAATATGTCAGCTTTACCGGAACAGAGATGACGAAAGAGAGAACAGCTTCGACATTCAGAACGTACCGAAGATGGCGGACAACAGTTCCACCGAGTTGGACAAGCATACAGCCACAGACTGGCCATTGTTGCGCTTCACATACTGGCCGATGACATTGATCCCCAAGGTCAGGTCGTCCAGTGCATGTTCGACGACTTTCTCTCGTCCCAGAATGGTCAATATCTTGCCTTGGTCTCCCGTTGGCGTGCCGTCATCCTTCACGGGGCCGCGGACTGCCGCTCTCCAGATATCACGGAGGTCCCCTGGACGGCCGGCAGTCCATCTTGGCGCCCCGGGGTCCTTGACGCCCAGTCCGGCCCGCAGAGGGAACCCATGAGGAATATCGATGGATCGGTACACGGCTGACTGCCCTGGCTGTCGGACCCGGGCGATCTGTGCTTGTCGCGCCAGCAGGAATGGATGGGTGTCTGGATCTCGACCAGTGAGCAGAGGATAGATCAGCACCGCGGCCAGAACGATGACAAGGATTGTGGTGAAGATATCCCATGACGAGAAGAACTCCGCTATTGCCGCGTCGATTCTCTCCGCCGTGTTCTCCGCCGACATGATGACGCTCGGATGATCCTGTCGAAGATTTGGTGAACGGCTAAAGGTAGAAGAGCGTCTATAGGACCCTTGAAGTAGGTAGAGAGACGTTGATGGTGGAGTGGAGAGTTGCCGTTGCCTGGTCTTTTCTCCGAATTCTCCTCCGAAATCCCCGTTCAATGCTTGGCCGGACCGGAGCATCACGTGTGGGGTCCGTACCGACCGGTGACTATTATCTATTGAGGAAGGATCAGGGAAGGGTCTCCGGCAAGGATGTAATCAATACTACCCGTCACATGGATAAGTAGGTGAATCATGGTCATATATTGTCTTTTTCTAGTATATGAGAAGGCTCATACTGCCTGACGGACCTGCTAGAATGGCACACCCTCTGCGCCAAACAGTCCTTTCATCCTTTCATGCCGTACAATCATAGCTTGCTCTGCGGCTGATACAATTTTCGGCATCTTTCGACAGATTCAATGGCCTCTTTCTCAATCCTTGAAAGGAGCTCGGCACATGTGGGAACATCATGGATCAACCCGATGACTTGCCCGGCGGTCCATACTCCAAAGTCCTTGTCTCCGTTGATGAAGACCTGCCGACCACGCTGACCAGACACATATGGTGCTATCTCCTCGAATTTGCCGGTAGGGCTGGTCTTCTCCACATTGTAGGCCTCCAACGCAATCTTGTTCTTAAACAGCCTGGAAGTGTTGGTCCATCGTCTCATCACTAGCTGGGTGTCATGTTCCGAGGCGTCAACGATTGCTTGTTTGATGTTCGCGTGGATGGGTGCCTCTACGGTGCACATGAACCGGGTGCCCATGTTGATGCCTTCAGCGCCTAGGGCCAAAGCGGCGGCTAGTCCCTGACCATCCGCAAAGCCGCCCGACGCGATGAAGGGAACCTTAAGTGATTGCCGCGCTCGGGACAGGAGGATGAAGTTGGTGATGTCTGACTCGCCGACATGACCCGCGCACTCGAAACCGTCAATGGACAGAAAATCAACACCCAGCTTGATGGCTGATTGGGCGTGGCGGATTGTGGTGCATTTGTGTAGGACAATGATGCCCGCCTCTTTCAACTTCTTGATGACCGGACCAGGCGAGTTGCCCGCAGTTTCCACTACCTTGATACCTTCGTCGATAACAACCTGGGTGTATTCAAGATATGGAGGAGGGTTGAGAGTTGGTAAAAGGGTGATGTTGACGGCGAAGGGGTTCTTGGTCATGGACCTGCATCTTCGGATCTCTTTGCGCAGGTCTTCAGGTGTGGGTTGTGTGAGAGCGGTAAGCTGCGACGATATATTAGTGTCTTTGCCTGGAAACATCGTACGAAGATAGACTTACAATGCCTAAGCCGCCTGCATTGGATACGGCAGAAGCAAGTTCGGCATATCCGACCCATTGCATTCCACCTTGAACGACGGGGACTGTTCCATGTCAGCAAGGCCGCCTGAAAAACAAGATGGTAGCCATACTCTGGATCCCTAGTCGGCGCGTGAGCTCTGTATTGAAACCCATCTCTGTGAGAAGACTGTCGCAACGAGAATTGCGGGCCAGGAAAGGATGGTGAAGACCTGCGGGCTCGGCGCGATATTAGGATGGAGATCCGGGCAAATGGGGAGCTGGACTGTAGCGGAAGCCTGGGGAATAGGATTCTTTCTTCAGAACACCTTTCAGTCAACTCTCTTCATCAAAAGGAAAGAAACTGTCCTCCAGGTTCTCAAAGACAAACCGAGGTGGTATAGCTGCATCAACGACTGCGCAGGAAACGTCCGTTGCTGTGGGGGATCTGGCCACAGAACCGGAAGCCGAGGCACAACCTGTCTCAGCCATCCATGGGGGACTGCCCCAGTCAGCTGCCAATAGCCTGGCGATCGATCACCTAATCAGTAATGTCTTGATCAGGGGTGCTCCAAAATGCCTGTGGGACGAAGCTCCGGAAAGCGAATGCAGCATATCCATCGCAATCAGATACAATGGAATGGCACATGGGCGCAGGCTGTTTGCGGGGGACATTTGCCAAAGCCCGCCCTCGCCGCTTTACCTAACTGTTAGTCCGCCCCAAGATTCACATGCTGCACTCTTGCACCATGTGCAAAAGTACTCCACCGTTTCCGATAGCTAAGGTACCTCGACTTGACGCGTTGAAGGTGCTTGGAGTTATTTCCATGACTTTTCTAACTGCGGCGGTGCGGACAAGCAATAGCTTCCTGCTCCTGCCACTATGTGAACGAACAATAGATGATAACAGCCAGTGTGTATTGCATACTGTGTGATATGGACTAGTATAGCACAAGTACATGACTGTCCCTGAAGACCATAACTGTGGACAAATATAGCGTCTCACGTGATGAAGACCCTGCCAAGTAAGACCAATCCCTTCTAGGACACATACGTAGTTAGTACCTCCAACTTGAAGTCAGTGCGATGGGAGTCGGACTCGCAACATGCCGTCTAACCATCTGCCTCGTCCATCTCATGTTATAGTACGACGGACACTCGACACATATCATGTAGTACAGGCCTGAGACTACCACTCTCATTGACGTTTGTCGACGCCTACACAGTCTCGATCTTCGATCTCTTCTTTTAATTCCTTGATTTCAGCTGCGATGAGCCGTCTGCACCATGGGTGCCTCAGAGTCCAAGTTAGTATTCAAGCAGGGTATCTTCAGGCTTTCGGAGGAGAGAAACATTCCGGCCAATGACCCCTACTGGACAGGCGTGAGCGGCTTCCAGCAATCGATCGAGGGAGTTACTGACGGGTCTTAGTTCTGGGAGTTGCCCGAATCTGTGGAGGATGTCTTCAGCCTCTTCACCCATGCCGACATTCGCAGGACTCGAGACGCTGCCCTCGAGAACTTGGAGACCCTCATCCTAGCCGTGACGTCGCGTCTGACCGTCTTGAAAAACCACCCCTCTTTCCCAGATCCGGAATTGGCACCACAAAGAGATGCGTTGAATTGCATTCGCGTTCTCACTCGGTTGCTTCCCTATGTGTACGAAGCAGAACAGTTATCAGGATGGGAGGAGAAGTTCTTTTGGGGGATGCGACGACGGAGAACTAGAAGGGCAAATGTTGCGGACGAGGTGTTGTTTGACGAACACCAAGACGACGATGAAACCCCGGACAACCAAGAGCAGGATTTCGAAGACGCAAAACCACTGGCCGAAGAACTGATCGACACCTTGACCGACCTACTCTTCTACGCTGGGTTCACAATCCCTGAGCTGCCACAGGCCAAGGGCAAGGTGACCTATACGATCTGGCAAAGCGGCATTGGTTGCAAAACTTCTATTCCGACGAACAAAGAACTCGAGAACAATCGGTGTGAGGTCTTGAGGTTGTTATTGACCTTTACCAGCAAGGCCATGTACATGCCAGCTGCGCTATTGCCGATTCAGGGTGTCAGAGCCATCACTTATATGGCCACCAACCCTGATAAACAGATTGTCTTGTCCGTGTTGTGCTCTTTGATGAACACTGCAATCAAGTCCAACGTCACCTCCTGGAGACTCCCTTATGATCATGTGGTCCGTCGAGACTCGAAACAGACACTTGTCATATACAGCCTGCAGCTCCTTCTGGTCCTCCTGCTCTATCCAGTACCGGAGGGCGCAACTGGCTCGGCGGCTAAGAACTACTATCGCCACTACCTCGGTCGCCTGCACAGACCGGAAGATTTTCAATTTCTAGCGGACGGCATGACACAAGTCCTGAGCCAACCAATGCAGGTCACCACCTCGTACCTACCGGGGAGCCAGAAGTCAGTCAAATGGGCACCGGAGATGATCATGCTCTTCTGGGAAGTGCTCCAATGCAACAAAAGGTTTCGTGCCTTCATTATCGAGTCGAATCGTGCTCATGATTTCGTCATCCTCATGCTTTTCTATGCTATCGAGCATAAAACAGACGTTTCGAAGCAAGGCATCGTGCGCATGTGTGTATTCGTGCTCCAAACAATGAGTGTGGAACCGAGTTTCGGGAACAATCTCAACAAGAGATTTGAGGCGCAAGATACTCTTCCGCCCTCGATCCGATTGAATAACTTCAGGGGGAGCTATGCCGATTTTCTCATCATCTCCATCCACACGTTGATTACTGGCAGCAAGGGCAAACTTGAGGCAGTATACCCGGCACTGCTTGCTATCATTAACAATATGGCCGCTTATGCGCAGAACCTGTCCTTGGCCAGCAGCAGTCGGTTGGTACAGCTGCTTGCGTCGATGGCCTCCCCCAGTTTCCTACTTGCCAACGAAGCCAACCACTTGCTTCTGCATGCGCTTCTCGAGTCAATCAACGCCATGATCGAGCATCAGTACACCTCAAATGCCAACCTTGTATATGCTGTTTGGCGAGCGAGAAAACGCATATTGGCTTTGAGGGAGCTCACTCTGGAAGGTGGTCATGCTGAGATCGAGCGAGCTGCTAGACGTCGTAAAGAGAATGCCCTGACTGATATAACCGATGGTCTGTCCCGGTCTTCTACGATGGATACTGTGACCTCGCACGCCCGACGTACTCCACCGTCGCCGAGTGCAGAGACCGGGGTAGACGGCACGTTCGCCATTGGCGATTCGGACGATTCTGATAACGAAGAACCGCCGACACCATCCCAATCCACTCATTCAATTGGGACATCACGAAGTCCGTCTATAGCATCATCGTCCGTAGCGGATGATAGTGTCCCCGTTCAGCTTCAAGGGATGTCTGAGAAGGCGAGAGGTAAAATGCCCGCTGGGGCTCCGACATTCTCCCGACAGACCAGCACAGCCAGTCTTGCCACAATTGCCAGTTACAACGCCGGCCGAAGATCATTCTCACCCACTCCGGAATGGCTTGAGAGCTGGCTGCCTGAGCTACCCCTGCATACGCTGCTCACTGTGATCAAAGTACTCTCAACACACCCATTGGCATCGGAAAGGTCCCGCCGCAGTTCCCACGACGACAGCACGAATTCTCCATCACTTCCTTCGTCGCGTCGCTCATCTCTCGCCAATGACGACCGCACCCTGTCCGATTTCCGCAGTCACATTCCCTCGACGGCAAATCATCCTGCCATTGCCGCCATTCTCTCTTCTCCCAGCCCTGTTAGAGTTCATCTGTTTGAATGGTCTCCGCTTTCTCTCGGCTGGTACATGTCTGTCCTCTGGTCATTGATCTTCACCGCCGAGATGAACATTGTGCCTACCTCATCTACAACGGCGACCTTGACTGGCGCAGGAACCATAGCTGCACCCGTGGGGGTCTGGAACGGTACCAACGTCAAGCTTTTCCAGGTGGCCACGGAAGGGAAGCGTGAAGGACCGAGTCTGTCGCAACCTAGAGGTGCTGTTGACGCTGTAGGATCCAGACTGGTACAAGGCGTGCAAGGTCTTAACCTGGGCGGCCTGGTCAGTCGAGTTGGTGGGACAGGTGGCAGGAGTGCAAGTTCGCAAGGTGGTGACGGCAATGGCAATGGTGCCGGCACCGGTGTTGCGCGAGGCTCAGTTCGAGAGGTATGATACGGGCATAGCTTTCGTCTTGGAGTTGCAAAGGTGGCATTCCTTTCCAGTTGTGGCTTTTGTTGTTTGTTGTTAATGAGCTGGAGCAAGCGTGGCATGGCGTAGCATGGATATGCGAATGAATTACGGCAAGTGAGGCACCGAAGGTGCGGTCTGCAGTTTCGCGGCAAGGCATACAATGTCGACTCTTTTACCTCTGTCTACCTTCTAGCTCTCAGACAGTGACATACCAGGGGTCAGAGCACGGCCGTAGACAGACCTACCTACCTAACTTGGTGTGTCAATCATGCCCTGTTCAAGACCGTTAAAACGAGTACTTTTCTCCACACGCGTTGAGGATTGTTTGGAGGTCATCACCTAGCCGACCCTTTCCAGCCTTTTGCACAGTGTAAATGCAGCGCCTTCTCAAAGGTAAGGTGTTTATTCAGTGGCATAAGTTCACCAGTGGTTGCGTACAATAAGGCTGAAGAAGGTAGACGTAAGATGGACATGCGCAATAGAGATGGATGATCTATGAGGCTATCTAAGCCATCGCACGACGCATGCGGTGTTGGGACCACGATACAATACATCCTAGATAGAGGAGGAATTGCAAAAAAGTTCGTATTTCTAGGCCCCAGCGCCAGCGGCCCTCTCGGCCTCCATTCTCTCCTTCTTGCGCTTCTTCGCGGCCAGTTCGCGGCGCCTCGCCTCCTTTTTGAACCATTCGCTCTCCGGCATCTGGCTCTTCTTGCTCTTCCGTTCCTGTTCCCTATACATGGGAGCCATGGTACCGCCGCCGCTCGCGTCGGCCATCAGCACAGCTTGTCTACGCACCTGCAGTTTCTTCGCTTTCGCCTTGGCCGCGGCACTGTTGCTGGCGCTGAGATGACTCCACATGTTATCGTCGATCTTCTCGACATCAGCGGCCGTTTCTTGCTGCAGCATGACGTGCGCGAGCAGTTCGTTGCGCTCGCGGGCAGTGGTGTAGGCCAGGCCGGGCATTTCTGACATCCCAGCCAGATGGGTGATGGTCTTGAAGGCATACCCCTGGTCCACTAGGAAGGCTTGTCTTTTGGCGCTGTACGCCATTTCCGTGGTGTCCTTAGAAACCAGCGAGTAGAAGAACGCATTGAATCCCTCGTCGTTACGGCGCTTTGCTCGCAGAATTCGTCCGAGGCGCTGCGCTTCTTGACGTCGGGATCCGTAGTGGGACGAGATCTGGATCAGGCATGTGGCTTCCGGCAGGTCGAGAGATGTATCGCCAATCTTGGACAGGAAGATGGTGTTGATCATCTCATTGTGCTGGAAGTTTTCGAGAATATTGATTCGTTCCTGATTGCTGGTGTCGCCGTAGATGAAGGGTTTCTTCATCGTGACGGCGTAATGTTGCAGGGCGAACAAGTTGTCGCTGAAAACAATGATTTTGTCGCCTCGCTTTTCGTGATAGTCGATGAGATACTGGCAGACCTGGTACTTGACAGGATTCATGATGTAGTACAAGGCCTGTTTCCGGGTGGTCTCTTTCTGATATTCCTGGTAGAACTCCATCGACATAGGACACCAGACCTCGGCGCATTGGACTTTGGCAATGTGGCCTTGATCGGCAAGCTCCATCCAATTCGCCTCGTACAGCTTTGGTCCGATGATGAAGTTGAGATCGGTGATCTTGTCGTCCTCTCTAAGCAGTGTCGCAGTGAGACCCAGCTTACAATGAGCACGGATATTCTCGCCGACCTTGCGGAACATCTTGGCCGGTACCACATGCACTTCATCAAGGATCATCAACCCCCATTCTTTGCCATAGACCCAGTCCATCATTTGTTGCGTATCGTAGGCACGTTTGCCTCCGGCGGTGATCATGGAGTACGTCGTGACCAGCACGCCTGCATTTCCCGTAAACCGTCTCTTCTCCTGTGCTGAGAAAACGGCAATGTCTTCCTCCTTGATGTCGGACCACTTCTTAAACTCGTTTGCCCATTGATAACTAGACATGGCACTGGTACATAGGACCACAATGCTCTTTTTGATGTGACACCCAGCTGTGATCCCGACCAAGGTCTTGCCTGCGCCACAGGGCAAGACTATGATACCACTCTTGCCACGGCCATTGCCAAACATCTTACTAAGTGCTTTTTCCTGGTATGGCCGGATTTGCGTCTGAGGTCGCAGGTCTATAGGGAGAGTGGGATTTTCGTGATCATCGGCGAAGTCATATTCTGAAATAGCAGGGTATCCGATGTCGAGACACTGTTTTGCAACCGTGTCGCGCTTGTTCGGCGCAATCTCAAAGTTGGGCGCCTCCTTGTAGGTGTCCTCATCCTCCTCATCCCGAAGTGCGGCAATCATGGCCTCATTTTCCTTGCCGGGATCATCTCGAGACATTTCAGCATTTCCAGGGTCTGCTTGTTTCATGCCCTTTGCGTTGCTGGTGCCCTGAATCACGGTGGCCTTTGTTTGGACTCTTCCAACTTGAACTTCAGTGCCGGCGGTCTTGCACGGTCCGATCACTGGATCCCTGAGCAGCATGTCTATTATCTCGCGCTCGTCCGACTCGACGTAGAACTTGTTGTTGCGCAATACCAGCCGCACCTTGCCATATGTTTTGGTATGTCTATTGATGAAATCGATCACGGTTTGAGGAACGGGAGTTTTCGATAGCTTTTCGAGAGCACGGATTATGTCTTCACCTCGTAGACCTACCGATAAGGCGGCATATAAACTATGTTCGGTGAATCTGTATTCGTGAAGATATGAAGGCCTCGACTGTGGCTCTGCGATTGTGGTAAGCAGATCTGTTGCTTGTGCGGCTAACGGAGAGAAACTCTCCAGCGTGATCTTAGGGCCTTTCTTTGAACCCATCGATACATTGGGATCTATCCACAACGGTCGGTTCTCGTGATCAGGCTTCAGAGACAGCCACGAGAAATCTTTGTCACCAAACACGGAGGACGCCTGTCTGTGTTTGGGCCCTTGGAACGAGCTGAAATCTAGCTTGGCTCTGGCCTTTCGAATGTGCTCTTTCTCACTGTCGCTGCCATCCTGCGACCGAACATCTGATCCCGCATAGTCATCGTCGCTAGTCATGCTCATGGGAGTGGACGGGCCGGGCGTCGAGCGTTTCGAGGATCTGTGACTTGCATCTTCGAGAGCTTTTCGTTTGAGCGACATGTCGAAAGGCCGCCTTGCCAGAGATGATATGACGGGCACCGTCAGCTAAATGGGTTTGAAAGAAAACCCAGAGATGAACCAGGACAGTGTTGAAAGAAGAATGGGATGAATTAATGGAAGGATGAGTTGAACCTAGACTTTGTAAGTACCTAGTAGTAGTGATGACACACTTGCAAGCGTACAAATCGTAGTCAGTGGCGCAGCCTGGCCCAGAGAATTATACTAGTACGGCGTTAAGGCTTTTAGTGGCGTCTGCTGCCTGCGGTTACCGGAGCCGGAAGAAAGTATCCGCGGGCGCAGGCTCAGGGTGTCAGTGGCTCCCATTCAAGATCTCTTCCAAGTGCTTTCTGGTCTCCGAGTGTCCGGACTTTTTAACGCAATAAAATCCAAAGACTTCGAGCATTCTTTTCTTGAAGCTACTCCCCAAGGTATTCTCTGTGCGAACGAAACTGGGATGGAATATAGTCCGATTCAAAAATGAATACTGTACGTCTCACCAGATGATGCGCGACTAATGACCTATATGTTAACTATTTGTACAGATTCGATCAACTTGGTACGCCTCTATTGAGCACGTCGCTATATCTTAGCCCTCTTACTCCTTTGCGACCGCCACTGACCAGACCGCGGTGCCTTTGTCCCACTGCGTCCTTGCGCGAGAAACGAGGCTAATTCCTGTTCTCTAAAGGTACGGTTTGGGCGTACTTTGTGTCGCAGGCGGCGGTGCATACTATTTTGCGAAGAAGTCCATCAACGCCGATAGAGCTGCACGCTACGACGCTGAACAGAAGAGAAAGGCCCAACAACAACGCCTGGAAGCTAGATTCTCTTACAAAGACGCCCCTGCTACCAAGACAAAAAAACCCCTGGCCCAAACAGACCCAAACAGTGGGACGCATAACGCAAAGGGACTCGACCACGCAGGAAGTCCAAGCAGTGAAATAAGTGAAGATGCAGCACCGGTAGGCCATGCGCCTGTTGACACCGAGCAACGAATGCGGGAAAAGAGCAAATATGAAGCTGCAGAACCATACCGAAGCAAGAAGGGAGACCGATTCAGCTAGGCATTGCGGACAAACAGATCAAAAATGAAGGCGCATCTTAGCGACAGCCAGTGCTTGCTGGCCAAGAAGGTAGTTTTGTTGGTGGAAGGTTCTCATTACTGTGTACAGTCAAAAGCCCCACGGCCTGAATTCTAAGGGCTGGACGCAATGCAACAATGTTCAAAGCCAAAGCCAAAGTCGACGTCCTCTCCAATAACGCCAGTGTGGATGCTATGCTAATTTCATCCTCATGCACCCCAGCACCGTCAGTCTCAGTCCCATAACGCGTCCAAAAGATCAAAGCCCAGACTGTCCCACACTTTGTTGTTCGTCTCAGGCATGGCAGCACAAAGGTGCATAGTTCTTTTTTGAAGCATTTGGGTGCCCCGATTCTCTTTCACGTTTGGATTCGATCGCAGGAGGGACAAATGGTAGAACGACAGCAGATGTGATCAAAGTTCCTGCAATGGCTGATTGTAGTCGTGTGGCTTGTCTCGGTGCTTGTGCAGAGAAATGGCGGATTGCCGATTGTGATAAGGAGTGTGTAACCGTGCCTGTAAGACTCATGGTGGCAGATGGAGAGCCGCAAAGCTGGGTTTTAGGAAGCGCGCCGTGTCGTTGTGTCGTTGTACTAAGTATCGCAGGATGAGCGGTTGCTGAAGAAATGGCCAAACAGTGCCAGCACGCTAAAATATGTATAACAGGAATGTCTTCAACCCTGCAGACGACTGATTTGAAAGCCAGCAAAGAAATTGGCGTGGAACTGCTTATTTGGTGGGATGTAAGAAGTCAACAGCGAGGACCATGTGGTTGTTGTGCCTGCGCAGAGTCGTCTGACTCGGAGGGGAGAGCGCGTAGTGCGTGGGAACTGGAGAAAATTGCGTGCTTTAGGGAGAGTCGCGGTTACCGGGTGTGCGAGTTTGGAGATAGGCGCCCTCTCAGTTATATGAAGAGCGGGATAGTGGCCTGAGGGCCCCAAACTCAAGGGTGACTTGTTTACCGAGTGTCAGGCAACAACGGGAGAAGCAGCTCCCCGCAGCCTATACCTACTTGTATTGACCATGTCCCCATGTGATCGCAGGGCGGGAAAATAACCTGACTCGGTCATGCCACGACGGGAGAAATCGCACAATACTATCGGAGGTTCCGGAGTTGCACGCTAGCACAGACGGATCTCGCCCGCAGCTATCGGCAAACCCGCGACATTGCCACACATTTTCAATCCAAACCGGTTGCCTGACAGGGTAACTGTCGGTGAGAGGCAGCGTCTCCCTCATGCCCTCCTGAAGATACAGCATGCCGGTTCAGTTCGACTCTCCTACAGTACTCTATACATATATACAATAAATAAATCAATATCAGTCAACGAAAGGGGGGCAGTGAAAGTTCTCGGTTAGTACTAGTAGTGGCGGGGGATCGGAGATAAGATAAGATAGGATAACTCGTTATCTGCTAGTCTTGGCCGAGATTATCTCTGGTGACTTCTACTAGTAAACTTGAGCCACACTGCAAGCAACGTTGCGTACCCCATTCAACGGACGAACCTCACGTCTTCACCAGACGCGGCATGGCGGCACACCATATAGCCATCGCTAAGGCATCGTTTGCTGCTTCCTTACTTCGTCCAGATGTGGTCAAGGTGTCTCGCGATGACCTTCCCAAATTCCACAGCGCCTTCGAGGCTACCCTAGTTCATTGCTCAAGGCACAACATACAGGTCTGACGATTCCGGGTTGATACAAACTTGGTGAGCTGGATTGACTGAAGAATGATAGTCCTGCAAAGATTGGCTCCTTCAAAATGTCCTTGTCGCGCCTGCAAGAATTGCTGCTTTTGGGAAATTTTTGACCACAGTGTCGAGGTATCTTGCGCTTCCTCCAGACGGAAGCGTCAAGGTCAGCCTCGCCCGACAACGACTACATATTCTCTACCTTGTCCATGACCTTCTGCATCACTCAAAATATCACACACCTGAAGCGACACCTCTAGATCGCGTCACGAGCTCTCTGCAACCGTATCTCCTCGATCTTTTCCAGTTCGCTAGGCCGGAGCGAAAGACGAAGGTCTCGAGACGACTGCAAGATTTGCTTGAGATATGGCGACAAGAACATTATTTTGGCGCAGATGTCCTTGTCCAGCTAGAAAAGGTGCTTTCTGGCGCGCAGCCACAAGCTGCAGTCAAACCCGAAGAACGAGCTGGATCAAATGGAGAAGTAAAGCAAGCCCCATACGTCTTGCCTGCGACACACGGCGATCCATCTCTGCCATTCTATGATCTACCGGCGGGGAATCTCATGCCTCATATCGTTCCCAACAGCTCACAACCAATTCGGCCCGACGACGTCCAGGCATTACGATTCTCGAGTGGCCCGGCGGACGACAGTCTGATTAACGCACTGAAGGACTTCTTGGATGATGTGCAAGGAATCGAAGACAGGATTTCGAAGTTGGACAAAGAGGCGTCGAGTCTTGAAATCGATGAGATGGGTCAAATATCATACCATGATGAAGCAGGAGACGTGGTGGGCGATACATACTACGGCTGGTCGCGTGCTTTCTGCGAGAAGATGAAGAGGCGTGGCAGAAGTGACACTGATGGCTCACCTCGACAAGTCAGCTCAGCCAATTCGAGTCGTAGTCGCAGTCGCGGTCGCGGTCACATCCCCTACAAGCGGCGGCGTTACAGCGATTCTACGGATGATCGATCGCGGACCCCCAGGTCATATAGCAGGTCAACTTCGCGACCGAGATATACGGGACCGAGAACCGAACGAAGTGACAGCCGCAACAGAAGCCGCAACAGAAGTCGGTCACGGTCGAGCGGCCACTCACGTCCTCGCGATTCGAAGGGCGCGGGGTTGCCGCCCGGTCAGAACTTCATCAGTTCAATGCCATCCAGCATTACACTTCCAATTCCACCACCTCCGCCAGGTATGGGTTTTCCTTTCCCGCCGCCGCCGCCATTCCAACCTGGCGGCTTGCCCTTCCCTCCTCCGCGTCCACCCAATTGGGTTGGGCCGTGGCCACCACTACCGCCGCCGCCTCCCACATATCTTTCTAGCAATCCTGTTATCCACAATCTTCACTTTCCACCGCCACCGCCGAATTTGCCAACGCCCCCACCACCGCCTCCTGCGGGCTGGCCTCCGCCGCCTGGAACCGCGTACGGCGGTAACAATGGTTATCCGGGAGGACGCTGAGGGAGTGCGCCTATGAGAAAAGCGAAGCGAATCACATGAGCCATTGAACGCAACAGCCAAGTCGACATTCAGTCTAGCTGCCCATGCTGCGCAAATAGCTGTTGAAGGTTGTTGCACCGAAGCGTCCTACTAGGTCATCTCAGCAAATGCAATCTCCAGCAGCGCTCAAACCCCATGGGATGAGATGAACACGTCTTCAAATGACGTTTCTGTCCACGGTCTGTGCCTTGTCTACATTTTGTTTGAGTTCTGGGGCCACTGCGCAAGCAGAGCAGCCAGGCATGGAAATGACGTCAACAAAGGGGGAAACTTGAAGGTCATCCCTGCGGGTGATTATGATGATTCCGGTGCAGCGAAACGGGAACGGTTTTCAGCCTTGCTTCCAATCAAACCAATCCGTGTTCGGGACGTCAATCAAACATCATCTCATATGTGGGACGTATTCGTTGCAACTGGGATCGTACAGTACGTATGACACGAGAAAAAGTCAACCACCCGCGTCAAAGTTGGACGTTAAGGGAAGTCAGACGTGAACAACAATCCGTGCAGAGAGAACGAGTATTCGGGAACGTCGAGCTGCCCTGACTACATGTGAACATTAGTCACCGGCTGCCGAATACGATCTATTTGTCGAGGCTGGGATGAACAGATCTAGAACATGTGGGTCATCCAATATGTCACAGAAATGGTGTACGATGACACAGCCTATCGTGACTTTGGGCAGTAAGCGCCCGAGTGCTGTCCTTCCGAATCAATACTGTGTACAGAGGTATGGCTTGGTCTGCACTGTGTGCCCTTGACGGCAACTGACATATGAGTCGGCGAAATGGCTGGGAGGAATCTGGGAACGGGTGGTGGGCTTGGCAGACGCAAGGCTGCCAGTAAGTGCCCAATGAGAATTCCGCTCGTCGAAATAAAGTTCGCAATAAGGCTGCTTGGCTTACATCATGGCGACCCCGTGTCTCTGGACCCGCAATCACTGCGTACGAACGACACACCGTCGACGTAGTGAAGCCCCAGGCACGGTAGGACAGTGGGCAGCGCCTCATACTGCCAGGTGGTACCTAGGTATCTACTACTCGGTACTCAGGTACCCCATGCAGAAGCTGTCAAGGACTAATTGAACATAGAGATCTGCTATGCCGAGTGGACGGATAGAGTCCCTACCCCATCAAATTCACGCACGGCCTACAGCAGCTGGGTCAGGGTACATGGGATGGTTGTCTTGTTGCCGTCCGTCTATCCGCCAGATGGCAGACTAATACTGGTTGTCAACGGACCAGTGAAGTGTCTCAATCAGGCTGGGGTCCGATCAACATCATCTGGCCATCCCGTTCCCTTGTATATGATGCTGCGAGGTCGAGACCCCTTACTAGTCAGCCACCCCGCCGACGATCAAAAGCACCTCAATACTAGTTATCACAGCACTGTGAAAGTCCAGAAGTGGTGAAACACGGGCCGTTAACTCTATAGCCCCCACTCCACCATTTCATCCCGTCTCGAATGCAAGATGCGATCACCATGCATGGCTCCGCCATCGGACCCTGAACCCAAATGATCCCGTTCGACGGATCGGCAGGGTCATCGCCTTCGGGTTGACAGGGGTTTCTTGTCGTGTCATTCGCTCGATCTTCAGGAATGACCATCGCAATCGCAAGTTTGGCTGTCATCGGAGGGCAGCTGGTCCCCCTTGGATCGTCATACTGTGCCCGTCCGGTTGACAGAAGACCACTGGGACTGGCTACACTGACGGCAACATGCATAAGCTCTCCGACCAATTGACGCCGTCACTGGCCCGCCGGACGCCTCCCGTCTTTGGAGAGTTCACCACAACACAGAAGGTCCGCCCCCTCTCTGTCCAGTCACATCCACTTCTTCCCCATACTGCGTGACTGTTCAGCCTGGCGCTCGTTTCTTCAGAGGAAGAGATATATATTCCCTTTTCCCGACAAGAACTTCTCCTGGTCTTCATCTTATACACAAACATTCTACACATCTTGACTTATTGAGGATTCTGTTCCTACCATCGACTGTCTCCCGTTGACTGCCAAAATCTCCACATACATCACTTGAAGATTAGGATCACTTTCTTCCTTCCACGACAATCGACATGCCTTCCTCCGTCGAATACATTACCACTCCCCGGGAGCCTTTCAATTACGATGCTGATCCTGTTGAGGCCATGACCTCGTACTCTCGATTGATGCATCTACACACCAAGCAACAAATGGACGCTGCGACTCAAGCAGCCCGCCGACGAAGTCCTTCTGCCGGTGTCGATTCCCAAGGACAGACTGGCTTCTCTAAGCAGAGTACCCATAGCAGTTCATCTTCTCGGTCTTCGTTTTGACCACGCCTGTGACAATTCGACCATTTTATTACATTACAATGGGCTCGTCGCACGATGCAAAGTTGCAACATCCTATCAAAAACCAAGCGGTCACTACATCGCCCAACTTCCACGGGCAAATTCGGCCGTCACTTTCTCGACCGTCATCACCGTGTATCGGCTGTGATGTCATGTTCCCAATTTTTTTTGGGAGGTTAGACATATCATCCTCACCTGCGCCAACCCATGTGGCGGTGATATGCATTTAGAGCTTTGAAGCTTCTTTTCATCTTCGATCAAATTATCAACTATCTATCTGTTGATAGGAAAGCGTTGCATGGTACTGCATTGTGACTGGTTATCAGCGGGTGTGCATGTTGTTTGGGAGCGATGTTTATTCTTACCGTGTGTTACCATTTCAAGGGATATTCATATGTTCCAGAAGTGTTTGGTTAGTGCAGGCATTAAGCCGTCATAGCTATCCAACATTTGAGATAAAAAAGGTTATTCATACCCTGATCATACTTTCCAATCATTGTTCGTTACTTCATGTCAATGAATTAGCTATCCTTGCTTACCAGGGGCCAAAACATTGTAAATGTCATATTTTCTGAAACTACCCTAACAAAGTCATTCAGCATACATCTCGCATCCACCATTCAATTATTTGTGAAGGTGAAGAGTATTTCTCCCGTCCTACCTGTGTAGAGATTCAGGGATAAACCTGGGGTTTGCGCAACAGCCTCGTCGATCGATTGCATCATCGGTGCCACCACAGCACCAAAAGGACGTCACTCGCTGCACCACATTCCGTCCAGGGGATCTAATTGCCACTACTCTGTATTCCTTTGACCCTGATTAATCTTACTAGTATGACAGGTGAATCTCGATAGATGCATCATGCAGATTTGTGGATGGCATTTCATCCCGACAACAGGGGCAATATGGCGTGGCAATCTTGTTGAGACCCTGTCCAGCAGATCCTCACACACGAAGTAGTAGTATATGTTTTTCTTTCTGTGGGGACGAGTACCTGACCTACTATTTTCGACGGTTCAGAGAGTGGTAAGTCTGTTCGAAGCTGTTTCGCCGAAGCCATGCAGCGTATCGTTGTCGCTGCTGTTGGATGGACAAGGTCAGGGTCAAGGTCAGGGGGACCTTACAACACATCCTATCCTAAACCTCCTCCGTCATGGCGACGATCCACCACCAACATCCACAGTACCAATAATACTGCCACAATCCAGACCAGAAGACAACCTGAACAACACCATGCCACTTGTTGCCACGCAGCAGTTTTCTAACTCTATTAGAGCCGACACGCGACCCGTGTTGAGGATCCACACAGGGTGACGGGGGCCCGACAGCTTGAACCTTGAAGCCTATGACCCCAGGCGAATAACCCTTCCTCCAGCGTCATTCTTCAGCGCATAGCCAACAATCTTTTGGGGGCCATGACCACAGTCATTTTGCCTTCAGTCGATCTGACATGACCCCCCCTTGAATCCCGGACTCACAGGGCATACGTGCATGCACGCCCACATATTTGAGAATCAACTCTGAAGTCGTAGCCTGAGGTTCACTAGGCGCCTGAGGCTGATGCTGATGCTGATGCTGGTCTCTCTTGTCTACCCTTTCACGTATTCCATCAGAGCCTCAATGGCATCTGCTCTTCCCCGGCGACCGCCCGCAGGGTTGCATGCCATCCATGGACAGACAGGAGGTCACGGGAAGATGTCATAGGCGCCCATGACGATGGTGGCCAGGCAGTCCTGGCAGGCGCTGTATTGCCCCGTTTGTGGCCTTTGGATTGCAGTCTTCTCTGCCGTCTCTCCACACTCAGCTGCAGCTGTTTCCCCCTGGGCCCTGGTTGTGGTCGGTCGTGCACGACGCACGTTGTGACGGCCGCCCAACGACGATCACATTCTTGCCACAACCTTACACCTTCGTCATTTTTCACTGGGGTTTCTCACAGACAGCACTGAAGGATCTTGAAGTTTCTTCACATCCTGCCTGCCCGTGGTTGCCGTCGCTGTGTCTTCAGCTCGGGATGAGATTGATTCTCACAGGAAGTCGAAGCACCCTGTGGAGTAAGACATTTGGAAGGCAGCTTCACATCGCTTGTGGCTCCTTTGGTAGTATCTGATTTGTACCATGTTGCCATTCAGTCTAATACCGCCACCCACAGGCTCAACAACAATCTTCCCATCGCCGATGATGTGACTTGATGATGGCAGCGAGTACGGGACCGACAGTCCTCTCCAACCCTGAGTCTTCTCGTGGTTGCGCCGATCAACTCCCTTGGGTTGTCCACCTTCGCTCTCTGTAGGCGCCTCCGGTATTTCTGAGGCAAGCATGGCTACCTGGAATGACGGAGTCCGGTATGAATCAAGGTCAGAATGGCTGTCCCTTGTGCTCCCTTGTGCTCCCTTGACTCGTAACATCGGATTGGACAAATCAGAAACGCAACAATGATTGTCTCCCTTCACCAGCCAGGCAAGGAATTTCACGTGGTCTCCTCAGCTGATCGGCAAAAGATGATATCATCGTGCGAGCTCGTCCACAGGCGATGGACCATCCCTTCTCTCCAAGTGAAATGGGCACTTTTGGGATCCGCCGCCATAGGACTGGGGGTCAATACGACGACAACATCTGCAGCCTGGAGAACATGCTCTGGGCCTTTCCTTGCAAATTGACTGGAGCTTCGTCCGTCTGATAAAGAGGATCTTTCAAACATCTGGTAGTATGACGCCATAAAAGTGGTATAGACAGGAACCATCTCGGGCCCATCATGAATGGCGAAGTATGACGAGCGACCGGATTCTCAATGCCATTGCCGATGTGGTAGTGACACCGAGTTAAAGAGGCTAAGCTGGTCACCAACGAAGGGTCTGCTTGCTCCAGCCCAGCGAGCAGCAAGTTCTTACATCGCTCTGTAGTCACCTACCGAGTACGTTTTAATGTCCTTCCATGCGCCCGTAGCGCAATCAAAGGTTAGACACGGATCGCGGCCATGGCAATATAACAACGAAGCATCTCCTCCGACCGACTCACATCTTCATTCTTTCGACTGTTCCAAACGTCCCTGGACGTTGATATTTCAGCGGACCATACGGAAACAGCCGGTCTCGATCTCGCTCGAGAGTCGGATAGAGCTAAGAAAGGACCGCGCCCTTTCGTCTCCAGAGATGTCCATTAATGTTTATGAGCATCATGTTGAGGTCCCATCATGGCTCAACTGATGTTGATTTAAAAGTACAGTCGAGAATACGGCCCGGATATTCGGATATTTTAGCCGGAGCGCCGCTTAACAAGCCCCCTAGCCCAATCTCACCTGGGGTCTTTAGCGACGACAATACCCCACGGAAATGTTTCCCCTACACAATCTCGAGGTCCTTCGGCCATCGGAATGCTCCACAAAGCAAGTGATGAGGATCCAGCAATGGAACAAACGAATCGACGCACGGAGTGGAAGACGGGACTGCGCGCGGTGTTCCCATCGGCAGCGCTATCCCTCGTCATCAACCGTCCCTTCCTCCTCCGAATTGGTAGCCTATATCACCGAGTCCAAGGTGTATGTCCTCAACATAGGGTTATAGGTAGGCCAGTCGACATTTTCTTTGGGGTTGTCCGTTATCGCTGTCATCGCCTTGCTACCCCAAGTGATTCCCTACCCACAAAAGACCAAATCTGTCAGAGACAGAGAGATTTCGGTCAGAGAGAGTGATAGTCGACAGTAATAGCCATGGCAATGGCAATGCCTTTGAACATCCCCAAATGGTACGCTACGTCTTACGTCTTCTTGCATTCGTGCTTGTGCTTATGCTTGATATGAAATTCGGTTCAAGCAAGCACAATCATCCTTCAGCCTTGGACACCTGTTAACGCCGTGGAACCTTGTTTTGGGTATACAGGGTTGAAAAGAATGCGGACAAGCTGATTCCGCCGGTCAACAACTATTGCGTCTACCATCCGGCCGATCCACTCACCTCGGGACTGACGGTCATGGTGGTCGGGGGTCCCAATGCCCGAACAGACTATCACATCAACGAGTAAGTTGCTGTTGCTGTTATTGTTACTACTACTGCTACTGCTACTATTTCTGTCTCGTCATCTCCTAGTCCATCAAACACTCACCAAGACAAACAGAACCCCTGAGTTCTTCTATCAACACAAAGGTTCCATGCTCCTCAAGACTGTCGACACAACTGTCACACCGCACCGATTCGTCGACATCCCCATCCACGAGAACTCGATCTTCCTACTACCCGGCAACGTGCCGCACAACCCAGTCCGGTTCGCAGACACCATCGGCGTGGTGCTGGAACTGCCGCGGCCGGCCGACTCAAAAGATCGACTACGGTGGTATTGTAAAGGATGTAAGGAGATCTTGCACGAGGCGGCTTTTCACTGCGACGACTTGGGAACCCAGGTTAAGGAGGGTGTTTTGGCCTTCGAGGCTTCCATAAAGGATAGAACGTGTAAGAAGTGTGGGACGGTGAACCAGTCCAAGCCGGGCCCAGGGGACGTCGAGCAGCCGCCCAGATTTCCTCCGGAGTAAAGGGCCGGCACCGGGCGAGAAGAGAGCTCGTTGAAGGAAGCGAGGTTGATATTTAGTATTTAAATTTTACTCTGTATGAAGAGAAATCCCAGATTCCCAATTCACACAAAGTGAGGTTTCTCTGGATGGACCGATAGATATCATAGGATATAGCCAGAGGTGATCCAGTCTCGTACAGGCGTTGATTCTGTAGCTTTTGACATTCATTTCCTCTGACCCGAAACAGTCGAATCACAAAATCTTCACGTCCCCAATGGATTACGTTATGTTCAGACCCAGGCGACATCCTTTGCCGGTGCGAAACCTTGGATGGGAGGGTGGCCACAGCCAGCCCGGCTCACGGATTTACAACCACTCTGCAGGGTCAGTTACCCTATTGCGAATGTAATAAGAAGCACCCTATCGGATAACTTGACTGCCAGGGCGAGTACAGACGGCGTCACTCACCTCCCGAACGAGGGCGAGCTGCCAGTCCGAGCCGTGCATACCTGCCACGTAGGCAGAGTTCGAACGAGGCTGCGAGGCTGCTTCAACCACCTCGTTGAGCACTCAGAGAGTATCGTCTACGCACCTTCTTCTATTAAGCCCTTGTTATATCACATACTAGTATGGCTTATTTTATCAAATTTTTATTGAACTATTTCTTTATGGCGTCTTATGTATTATCAACTAGAAGAGCAAACCAGTTATTTGCCAACAGAAAACCGAGAGCCTAGTTCTATACAGACTATGAAGCAGTCTCATCCAGCTTTGAAAAGAATTCTATATAGTCCTAGCTAGAGATGTTATGATCGTGAATGGACAATCACTCGGACACAGCAGGCACAGGTTAAACACACCATCAGTTCTAACCCCAGACCTATGGCTCAGAGTCAGACCTTCATGGGGAGTTCACAGGCTCTGTTTTGCCCATCTCCAGGTGCATGTTCATGCCGATTTAGATTTTACCAAGGTTCATTCCAATCATAACCCGTCGTTCCAATTGTGGTCATTCATTCCCATTCGTTTCAGACGCTTCATTCAGTTCAATCGTCACATTCGTTCCAGTCATTCAATAGTTCCATCACTTCATCGTTTTTGTCATTCCAGACCCCTGCAATCATTGACGTTCCAGCTGCTCGAGTCATGGTAAGGTCGATATTAAATTTTCCATGGCATTGGAGGGTGTCGATTTTCCATCCAACATGAGACTTCTATCATCAACCAGACCATCCACCAGACCACTCGCTCGTATGTGCTCCCTGATACCTGAAGAACTGGTCTAGTGTTGAATGACATGGCCTTGTGTATGGAGGCCTTGAAGGAGCCGCCACTGAGGCTTATATTTGTCAATCGCTTGACAATCTCGGTCGAAAGGCTCTCCACTACGCCTATCGTCGTCGTCGGCTGGGATCCATCGAACCCGTTGGAATTGTCGAAGGCCTCATCCAGTCTTCATTGCCTGCAGAGCTTGTTCCTAAACGGTAGGACGCAGTTCTGACTCGCTTGGACGTGACTAGGTACGTTGTTCCCATCTCGGACAAAAAAGGTGGAAAGCCAAGACAAGGCTGCAATCCCCAGGTAAAAGCTCCACCGAAATTGGCATCTTGGTGCTTCGAGTTGGTCACGTATCCGGATAATCATCCCAGAAATCATTGATACTGCCGAGCAGCATCTTCCAAACATTCCCGTTTGCCGGAGTCGTATCGCAAATATCTCTCTTCGGCGGGCTCATCACCTTGGGCAGGTCCTCGTCGAGCCATCTCAGTCGCTCCACGCCTTCGGGATCGTTTCCGAAGCGAATAAACTGGATGCCGACCATGTTGTCCGGGTAGTTTTCCTTCTCGAGGAATCTCACCATCTTTTCAATGGCATGACCCACCACTTCTTCATGTTTGCCTCCTTGCCAGTATCCATCGGTGAAGACATAAATGCTGACAGGTCGTGCGGATGATTTCTTGGTCAACTTGTTCCGGTATTCGGTGAAAATGTTGTTCAAGCGCGCAGCTAGATTGGACTCGCCCTTGACCTGATATTTCATGCCGGCCACCATCTGAACCAGCTCGCTCGTGTGTCTGGCTTCTTTGCGTTGATCGGAGATGATGAATTGAAGCTCACTGCCATTTGGGTCCAGGTGCTTCTTCTTTACCATATAGATCAAGTTTTGGTACAGGGAAAGAAGTTGGCCCCAATGCGGAAACATCGTCTCTCCATCGTCGATGACGAAGATCTGCTTTGTGGGTTAGCAATATTCAAAGAGAGAGCTCCCACGACCAACTGCAGCATAGGGACTTACGTGGTCTCTGCTCTTCAGCTGGTGAATCAATTCGTCTTCATATAACAATTTGTGCTTTTTACCCCGAAATTTGGATTGGTTCCGGGTCAACTCGGCCCATGTTTTCAGTTGGTCCACGCTCAGTGACTTGGAAGGTACTCTGGTTCTGGTAGGTAACCTCGCAGCTGCCTTTCCTTTGCCCGTGGGATCCGTCTCTTCTGCGGGAATGTCAGGCCTCCCTGGCGGCACAGGCGATGCGGACGGATTAGACGCTCGCACAGGCAGAATAGAGGTTCCCTGTAGTTCCAAGAGCTCCTCGTCGATGGGAACCCTGCCGTTAGTGGGGGCAAAATTCCCAAATGTGTCCGTGAATCTTTGCGATGATTCTGGCTCTTGGCCATAATAGTAGTCCTCTTTGTGCTCCGGTATGTAGGAGCTTGTAACTCTACCCTCGGCCGGTTGTACATCAGGATCTTGATCTTGAAGGTGTTCAAAGTCTGGCATAAAATCCCAAGCCCCGGAGCCCAGCAAATGAGGGGGCTCTAGGTCTTCATCGTCTCCAGTTGTCGAGTGCTCAGAGCCAGGGGTAATGTTTGCTGTTTCCTGAACGATGTCTCCCTGAGCAGATCTGTCACTCAAAGTGCTGTGGGACGCCTTCTGAGAGACTTGCTGATCCGCATCGGGTAGAAGAGCCTCGACCGAGACGTTATCGTCTGTTGAGGCTGCTGAAAAGTCATTCTTGTCATCTTCCGATAAGTGGAATCGAAAGGAGAGTAGCGATAGTGCTTTTATGTGGGACCCTATGTGTCTTTCCAAGAGAGACCGCGCTTCTCTGTCTTGATCCTGCAGACTGATCTTGGCGAGTTTCGAAGGGACACAGTCACACAACGGGCACATCCATCGTTCTCGGAGGGCCCTTTTCTTGGCTCGTTTTGTCCGTGCGATTCTTTGTGTCTTCGTAAGAATTCCGTGTGTTGAACTCATGTGTAGATTGAATTCGGCGACTTCATTAAACTGTGGCGGCTGCCCTGAGCACATATAACACATCCAGACTGCCCCATGGATTGACATAGGCCAATCTGGGGAGTGACAGTTTGTCATGTGATTGAGCCAATCTTCGAAATCGACAAAGAACCGTAAAGGATCCCGACATTCTTCGGCAATACAAAAATACGGTTTGAGGTCCTCATTTAAATGGGTTCTGCGGAATGATCAGTGAGAGAAAACAAAATGTTGAAGAATGCGCACCTCCAGAACTGGACATTACTCCTTTCCTTCATGTCCAACTTGGAGGCTTCTAGGGTTTCTGCACAGTATGGACATGGCAAATATTTGCGGTCGCCTGGAATCGGTGGATCAGGATAATAGAATGTCTCTCCTGGAATACTCACTGTCCCAGTGCTTGCAATTGACGGAGTAGATTTGTGGGGTTCAGCTAGAGTTCGATTCAAGCGCAGAATGCTAGGGACTGATGCATTGGTTTTGGAGAATGCAACACTTGACGCAATTCTTTTGGCGGCTACCGCCCCCGTGACCGCTGGAGCCGGTAGCTGGGGTCCCTTACTCAGAGGCAGCGGTGGCTGTAGTGGCTGATCCTGCTTGATACGATCATCTTTTTGTCGCATGTGCGCCAACTTTTTGTTGTGTCTAGATTGGTATAGCAGCCGCTTTCTGTGATAGCACAGAGCGGCAGTCAATTGCTTCACCAGGCCTGGTCTGGCAGCACAAAAACGGCCTTGGATGAATTGGAAAATGCAAGCTTCAAAGGAGACGTCTTCCTCTGACGGCATCATACTTGTGGAAAGCTTCTCGGACCGGTTCACAGACGACCGACGGATGGCGGTGGCAAGCCTATGTAGGCGATCAAGCGCGGCAGAAACAGCCTGCAAGCCATGATAAGAGTCTGCTGTCATGAGCTTCTCTTCCGGTAAGCCAGATGCGGTCTCCTCCTTTGTGGTAACGGTATGACTCCCTTGTCTCCTTGCAATCGCTTTTTACCGCGACGAGTTAGAACATTGCAGAGTCAGCCACGTAAAAGATTGCGCACCACTTTGAAGATTTCTCTGCAACATAGAAAGTAGCTTCAAAACCATCAACTTTATTTCGTCGTGGAACCGCAACCGGTCGTCCAACGAAGCACCTGCGGCTGCGAACGCCCCAGTGTAGGCCGCCCATAAGTTGAATCTGCTCTGCAATTCTTCGACCTCATCCTTGTTGTGCGTGGAAGGTTCTTTGATGTATTCGGCAAATAGAACCGAGCACTTTGAACAGGCGTCATAGATATCTGATGACGCTGGACCAAGGCCTTGCAGCTCCATTGTCGTCCAGCCTGACTGCAGGATCGGCTCCTATCAGCGGCCATATACCAGCGTGAAGCGCGCCGTGCGTGTCGCAACGTCCATTCAGCAGAAGCAAAGCAAATGGCTGGATGAGATGACGACAATGCGAAGAACGGCGGCGATCCAGGACGAGGAGGAATGGAATAGGCAGGAGTGTCCTCGAGGCTGAAAGAGCGAGAAAGATAGCCCTCGGCAAACCTGCTCTAGCAGAAACTAGGCTAATCCACTGCGGGGATGGCCCGGTCGATCTGCCGCCGTGTTTAATTCGACCTGGTCAGGCTGAATCTCCGTCTACAGCCTCACAGCCTATCTCGCATCACGACACATTCCACAGGCATCACTTACGGTCGAGTGTCAAGAGAGATGTCTTATCTGACTGCATTATAATTTTTACAGCTCTGACCGCCCCATCTTGAAACGAAGCAAGCTGAGCTCTGGCGACTAAATACACCAATGGCGCTCCTCAATGATCCTTTGACGGATTGGCTGTTACTCAGGACAGTCCAGCCGGTTTTTGCAGCCAAGGTCCCTTCAATCGACCCAAAACCGCAAGCCGGCTCTGTTTTCGAAGAAGTGCTCTGGAACTACGAGACGATGTTTGAGTTCGAGATGCTGCAGGCGTCCGACATCCTCCCTAAGGCTGAAGACCTAGCCTTGTCAGGGGATCTACCTGAACACGTCGTTATGGAGCTCAGAGCTCTTCTCATACTACTCGAGCAGAATATTGACGCCACACATATTGGACCTCTCCCGCAACAGGGTTGTGTACGTTGGTTTCAATAGCCTGAGCTTATCTTATGCAGAAGAATACCCGTGCTTACCAGCTTGTCTCCTGTAGGCTCTGCCGAGGCTGAAAGCTTTGCAAATCGAACTTTGGGGAAGGCATGACAAGCTAAGTGGTAGTCCGCTAGATCATGCCCATGACCTCAGCAGTGCCGTCTGGCCAGACATGACACTGGAAAGATTTCGAGATATTATCAAGAAGCTGCAAGACTTCAACCAGTCCGTCAATCGAGCGGCCTCCAGCGGACTCAGGCATGAACAGCCTCAGTTCACATTAGCCAGCTGGAAGGAAGAGGAGATTCAGTCGGTGCTGAAGGCCGGTCAAGCCTGGAAAAGTCTGGACCGCATTTTCGAGAGACTGGTGGACGGACTCAGCAGCTGCCGGCTCCCGCATGATGTCATGATCCACCTAGCAGACCTCGATAACATCAAAATGATGCTTGCATCGTGCTCAGCCCCGCGAGCATGGCGTCGCACCATTTGCAGCGTCGTTCTCAACCAAGAGTAAGAACGCATCCTTTCTTGTGCAGCTCCTATGCTAACAACTCTTTCAGCAGAGGCGGCTCGATCGATTGCGCAAGGACTGCAGTCAAGGTTGAGAAACTCTGTACGATCATTGGGAGTAAACGGCTACAGGAGTTACGGTTGATCTGCGAAGAATCAACGCTCTGGCACAGCTCAGGACAAACGGTCTCCATTCTCAAAGATGAATCACGGGTCAACCTGCTCGAGCTGCTGGAATCCCGAACAAGACGCTCGTCAGACCCTAGTACGGCGCCTTACTTGACCAAGAAGAAAAAGAAGATTGTCGCTGCCATCCTAGCAGTGATCTTGTTGAAAGCTCTTGGTAGCCGGTGGCTGCAGAAGGGATGGGAATCGGACAAGATTTTTTTCTTCCTCCCCGACTCAAGACCAGGTAGCACGGTGGAGTTTGAGACGCCATACATTTTGTGTTCCCTGGCATCAGAACTTCAGTCTGGGGCGGACCCTTTGGATGCACCTGCTTGCTACTCAACCATCTTCGCTTTTGGAGTACTCCTGTTGGAACTCGAACTTGACCAAGGTATTTCGGTAACAACAAAAGATGAGCAAGAGGCCGACGAAGAATATCCTCCCGTCTATATGACGTTACTGCGAACCTTCCATCTTCGGGAAGAGGACCTGGACGACCAATACATTCAACAAGTCATTGACTCATGTCTTGAGTTCAGCGACCGGGTCGAGTCCATCCAGCATCCTTCCTTCGGCGAAGATCTCAGGTTCCGGGCGGCAATATTCCGATATATTGTGGATCCGTTAATCCAGCGTCTCAAAACCGCACATCAGGACATCTCCTTGGATTCTTTCGGCATCAAACCCCAGCCGCAGCAGGCCCCGCAACGCCAGCCGGCACAACCACCGATGACAGCTCCTCAGGCCCCCAGAGCTCAGAATACCTTCGACACATCCACCTTACCTGCCCATCGAGGGTCACCTCTTTCCCATATCGATGCAAACCAGCCGACATCCTCATTCGGAAATGGTTCACGTGCCACCACATGGTCGTCCCAGCCGCAGACATTAATGTCCCGTCCACGCACTCGACGAGACTTCAAGATTGCCATAATATGTGCCTTGACGCTTGAAGCTGACGCAGTAAATGCAGTGTTCGATGAACGTTGGGACGATAAAGAGGATGTGTACGGCAAGGCAGCTGGCGACCCGAACGCGTACTCGACCGGTATGGTTGGTCGCCACAACGTTGTTCTCGCACACATGCCTGGAATGGGCCCGGAAAGTGCGGCGCGAGTTGCCGCCAACTGCCGGATCAGCTTCGGGGGCATTGAGCTTGCTCTTGTCGTCGGCATCTGTGGCGCGTCACCTACCACAAAGGCAGGAGAAGAGATTATTCTAGGTGATGTGATCATCAGCGAAGGGATCATCCCTTATACATCCGGACGACAGTACCCGGGACAATTCGTGAGAAAAGACTCTGTGCTGGACAATCTCGGCAGACCCAATGCCGAGATACGAGCTCTACTGGCCAAGCTCAAGGGACGTGGTCCTCGCAAGAATCTGGAAGATAACATCGCCAAATATCTTGCCTCTTGGGACACGGAGCTCGGAGGAACAGCCACGTACCCTGGCGTCGACCATGACAAGCTGTACCAGCCCCGTTACCGCCATAAGCACCAGAAAGCTTCATCATCATGTGCCACTTGCGCTGCCTGTACCAAGCCCACCGATTCTGTCTGCGAGAAAGCTCCCGAGCTTTCGTGCGAACGACTCAGCTGCGACCAGATATACCTCGTCCCAAGGAAGCGGCTTGTCGTTTCCAAGAGTGAGGCCGCGCCCGCAATCCGCAAAACAGACCAACAGCAAATAGTTCACCCAAAGGTGCATTTCGGTCTCGTCGCATCAGGAAGCATTGTCATGAAGTCCGGTGAGGACAGAGACTCGATCGCGCAGAAGGAAAACGTGATTGCGTTCGAAATGGAGGGTGCCGGGGTGTGGGATGCCTTCCCCTGCCTTGTCATCAAAGGCGTATGTGACTATGCCGACAGCCACAAGAACAAGAGCTGGCAAAACTATGCTGCAGCCACAGCGGCCACCTGCATGAAGGCATTTCTGGAGAATTGGACGTCGAGCACTTCTGGCATGTAATGACTGTCGAATGAAACACCAAGCATCTGCAGGCCTGGAACAACTATAATAAACAATAAACACTACCATCCCTGCACCCAGCGTGTGAGAAACCTCGGACTACTCAGGGCTGGCCTCAGTGGCCTCGACCAGACCAAACTAATACCATGAGGGAGTACATTTACAAGATCCGCGCTGGACAAGACAAGAAGGCGAAATGCAGCTGTCTGAGCCATATATGCTGCATGACTACGACATAACGACTTTTACGATATATAATATAATAGTATATTCATCTAATGGTATATTCATCTAATGGTATATTCATCTAATGGTATATTCGCACCAGATATATATATATATACACGTATACGTATACGTATACTTATACCTATACATGTGTATGCTTTGTCCTGCACATACGAAAGTCCCATCAGTCTGTCTCGGTACAACTGTTTGCGCATCTCAGACTCTCAGTCCCGTATGATCACGAGGCAGGGAGGGAACATCCAAACTTCGAGAACTACCTTCCTTCTTCTGCGCAGAATACAGAGTTTGGGGGAAATACTGACGACGTAAGTCACAGCAAGTTTTGCCTGCCTTGACATACCTACATTGTACGAACCATGTTCTGACCGACTTCGACGATGGCAATGGGTCGGTGCATGACAATGGGTAACGTGAGATAGACATCCTACTCCCATCGAGGATGATGAGAGGGACCATATTTGGTAGCTTATGCATTCAATTCACCGTGCTAATCATCTGCGACTCGAGGGCTGAGACTGGCTACCTAGTAACCATCGTAAAAACTCCGACATATCATCATCAACCCAATTGCTCCTGGTGTATTGCATGGACAGACAGAGTAAGGGGAAAACAAAACCAGCGCCTGACTAATTGCCGCGCTGTACCTCTGGAGTACCATAGCTTCAACTTGATTGATCCTCCAGTCCGAGTCGAAAGCAGTATCATATGGTTACAAAACAATCCATCGGCTGCTGCCGACAAGCAATTCATGCGGACAATCCGTGGTCGAATCCATGATGATGAACTGAAGAACGACGTGGCCGAAAATAGAGAACGAACGTTCAACCAACTCAGCCTTCCGCTTCCTTTTCTCTTCACATTCAGCGGAGAAGCATCTCGTTGTTCTCATCGGGGTCGGTTTCTTGCCTCCCTCTTCTCATTGTTGCGCCGGCCAAACTATCAGTCGTCTCCTGAGTTTCAGGGACTTCTAGCTCCAGATCATACTGAGCCCACGCCACCCGGCCGGATGAGTCGCGTCCATACATTCCGGCGCGCCGGCGCTTTCTGGCTCCCTGCAGCCCATCATCTCCATCCACAGTGTTAATCGCGTCTTCCCTCCTGGAAGCCTTTTTTCTAGGACTGTGTCGGATGCTTGGAGACTCTGCTGCTTGCGCATTCTTTGGCGTCGGAGAACGATTGTTGATGGCGTAACTTTCAAGCCCTGAGAGAAAGTCGGTCGATGCACTCGCTTCTTTCACTTTTCTTCTCTCCTCATCGCTATCGTCATTGCTTCGACGACGTTTTTTGTTTCTTCTTGCCTCTCTTAGTTCGTTGTCTTTTCGGAGATTTGCGGCGAGTTCAGCCGGAGTTGAATGCGTGGAAATCTGGGGGTTTGCTCGGGTGGTGTCAACGCCCTGCTCGAGTGGAGACGACGCAGCGACGGAAACTTCGGCGCCTGAGATCTTCTTTGAAGGCATGACATGAGGCTCGTGTCTGGGATGTCCTTGAGCCTGGTACTGGGATGCTTGCGTCCCAGAAACTATAACTGGTTCGTCATCGTCTTCTCCAATATCAGATCTCAGATCGTCAAGTTCACGTGCAGTATGTGCCAGGCTCCTGGAGAAGGTGGGGCTTGTTCTTGACAAGGTAGTGGTCACTCCCCTCACCTCCAGCGCCGAGTGTCCTTCTTCGCGAACCTGACGCTGAGCAGTGGTGATGTTATCATACCTCCGTCTCGCTTCCGCGATCTCTTGTTTAGTGCGTGGTATCCTGGGCTCGAGTGACACGGCCAGCTTTGACGAAGCCTGCTCCCTCTCGATCATAATATTTCCGACTTCGGGTAGCTCCGTGGTAGCCGTGCCGCTTTCCTGACGCCGATGCAGCTCCAGAATCAGCCCCCGCAATCTCGATCTTAGGTCTTCACTGCGAATTCTCCGTGGCCATTGCTGAGCCTCCTCCTGCCGCTGAAGGATTCTCGAGACAAACTGGGATGGATCTGCCACCAATTGCTCAAGATACATACACAAGTAAAGACCACAGTCGCTGAAGTTGCTCTGGGTAGGGATCTGTTTGGCGGTCATGCCCTTTAACTCGGAAGATTCAATGTGCAGATTTTGCTTGTTCGTGGCTTCAGCAACGACGTATTGGCGTAGGAGTGAGCATGTCGCTGAACGTGACGAGCCCAATGAGTCAAGGGTGATGATGACAGGTTTCTCAGTGTCGTACTTGGGCAACGACCGTCGAATAGCTTTCCGCCGGCCAGGTCCCTTCTTCAGCCGACCTGAGGGTGTATCGTAACTATTCTTTTCGTCGTTGTCACTGATGGATAATTCTGCCAACGACTTTTGCGTCTCTTCTGTGGCTGGAGTCGGCGTGTTTTCCAGTATCTCGCTCGGTTGGTCGCTTAACTGAAGTTCTTCACCCACTCCAAAAGTCTGATCCACGCGGTCTTCAGTCTCGCCCTCACTTTCTCTCTGCGGTAGAAAGTAGGACAGATTGCAAATTATGGCGAGGTACCAGTGAAAGTTCTCATTCACAGGAACCACGACGAACTTACGCTTGAAGATGTTGATGTTCTTGGTCCACCGGCTAACAGCATCATAGTTGATGCCCTTTCTCCCTTTGACGTTCTTCGTGAGAGCTTCGTAGAAATACGTATTGAAGAAGTACATCTCCTTGTACACCTCCGGGCGGTTCTTCTCCATGTAAGTCTCCAAATACTGCATGAAGAAAGATATCAGATTGTCGTTAAGGAACTCATCGTCGTCGAGTCGTCTCAGGTCCTCAAATGGCACGGTTGCAGATTTCTTGCCGGGTCCTGGATACACAAGATCATTTTTCCAAGGCTCCCCCAGGGCACCGTTCTCAGATGGCCTGGATCTGGATCCTGAGCGGACGTCGCCAGGCGAGTCCTCGACCTGATTTTCCTTGCAGCTGTGAGAGCGCGTTATTCTCTGCCGTTGGATCGTTTGGCCTTGAGGCTCTTGTGGAGGTACAGCTTCGCGCTGTGGTTGTTCTCTGAAGTGCTGCAACGACTCGTCCATGGATCCGGGGTCACTTCGCTCCTTGCCTGAGATAATGATGGGCGTCTTCTTAATTTGACGAGGCGGATCGAGTCTATCGGTGTTGCGCATGTTCTTTTCTCCGCTTGCCTTCGCTGGATGTGACCTTACCATATTGGCTGCGACTGAATCATCTCTGGATGTCGCAGCAGTCAGAGGCCTGTGAGCGTTGCGGCCTTTCCGCTCGTGTTTTGCCCTATCGAAAGCTGCTTCCATCCAATCACTAGTATGGTCAGTCGAAGACATTGGTTGATCAATACGGCTGAGACTCACTCTTCTTTGGCAATCACTTTGACGGAACGGCAGCATTCCTGCAAGAGTGTCACAAAATCGTACGCAGCTTTAGGTGACTGTAATCTGAGGTGCATCTTGTCCTCGTGCTGTCCCTGACGTGAAAAGGTGAGAAATACCAGCTGGCTTTTAGCACTTCCTTGCTTGACCTCGACAATCTTCGAGATCAGCCGATCTTTGACCACCGGGTCATTCCCCAACATTTCTTCGTCCGTGTTGATCGAGATCGTATTGGTGTCACAGTGCACCTCTATCACGTAGATATCGCTGTCCCCTAAGGTCGGGTAGACGACTTCGACTATTTTGAAAGATTTGATGTTGTTAACGGCTCGCTTCGCAGGTGGATTTCCTGGCTTTGGATTGGCCGTGGTGTGACCATCGCCGGGTTTCAAAGCTCCTAACGTCTTCATATCCACTTCCCCTAGAGCCTTTCTCGTTCGGACAGAAGATGCCTGGAGCTTCGGTGAATGACCGGTTTGCAATTCGTCGGGACTCTCATGCTGGAGGGGTTTATGACGCGGGGCCCGGAAAGGCGTTTGTGTTGCATTAAAGTAAGGGGAAGATACTGTTTCTGCGCGAACAGTGCTTGACGGTGCAGGTGGAGAGCTGGCGAGCATCCTGTCTTTTTCTGCTTTCCTCTCTTTCGCAGACCCTTTTGTAAAGGCGCCTTCATCTTCGGAAGAGGAACCACGTAACTGAGAAACTGGTTGCCGGGCTGAGTTGCCTACACCATTCGGTCTGTGGACAGAGATATACACATGATGAGGAGCATGGTGCCGTCGACCACGATCGGTTGTCTCGCCCTTCGGGGATTCCGGACTAAGTCGAAGTTCATCAGCGGAATCCTCTCGATTCTGGCTATCTTCAAGCGTGATTGCCGAAGTCGCACTGCTGCCCGTCGCATCGTTGTTGTCGAGCTTTCTCTTCTTGCTTGCATGCACCTGTCTATTATCATGGTCTCGAATGTCTCTGGTCTGGTCGAAAATGTGTTGCGACTTCGTGCCCTGACGGGGGGCACTCAACTGATCGACCGGCTTGTAGTGACTCTTCAGACGGCCAGCTGTTAGCAGACTGAAGATAGGAGGGAAAGTAACATACCTTGAAAAGAACCGGTTTCTTCATCGGGTCCGGTATCGTGACAGTACCGGGGGTCCGCCTGCTAATGAAACTCTCAGCGCCGTGGTCACTATGGTCTGACTTGGGCTCATACAGGAAAGTTGGGAGCAGGCTCGCTTCGTTCCTTGAACTTGACCTCTTGACTGCAATTTCCGAGGCAGTGATATGTGATCTGAGCATCGAACATGAGTAATATGCTCAACGACCACCTCTTTGCATGCCCAAAACGTACTGTTCAGGCTGTAATCGACGTCTAGATCTCGTTTTCTGGTCGTCTCGAGCAGGCGGGCCGTCTTCATCACTGTCGATCTGTGCAGAAGCGCGTCAGTAATGAGCAGATCATCTAGCAAGAGTATCAAAGAGGCAGGCGAACATTGTCAACACAAAGCCTTACCTCGATAGCGTCCGACGGCCCACTGTCGTGCCACTGGAGGAATTCCTTCACGTTTCTTAGGCGATGCCTCTTGGGGGAATCTGGGGGCATTTGCGCCCTTTGTGAACGGGAGGCGGAGGCATTTGGGTGAGAACCAGTTGGCGGGTTGGCGTCTAGACCAGGCGGATCAGATTGAGAGTGTAAGAAAGAAAAGAAGTTCTGAAGGCCGCCCTGGATGATGGACTCATTCCACGCTCTCATTTGAAACTACCTCACCAGGAGATAGTCGCAGGCGACTGCGATCACATAAAGCATCGAGAGGTTCAGGACGCGCTGAAGAGTCTAACGATCCACGGCGAGTTGGCTGCTGAACGTGTTGTGAGATGTGGTGCGTGAATGAACCACAGATGGACTCCCCGCAGCTTGGGCTGACGTCGTGAATATAGAAAAAGGGTCACCGCAGTTAATTATAAACAGCGTGCGCAAGTACTACTACGAGGCAAGAGGCCCTTGCCATGAATCCAGTGATAATTTTAAGAACGCCTAATGTATTGGAACATTGTGGTATTTGGGTCTCTCATGAGCCATTGAGATCCTATCCAGGAAATACATGCATATAATCCTACAAAGCAGGGATCCATGATCCCGTTTATCACGATACAGCCTTTCCCTTGCTCTTTTCAGAGTCTTCATGCATTGTTTGACGCCGCCTTTCCGCTCCAGGATGACCTGGAGCTGCATTGGCTTTCTGTTGTCTGGCTTCATCGAGAGCCGACCGCTGGGCAATGCTGTCATCGTGGCTCTTCCATACGATGTTGGTATCCGCGGGGAACGCGAGAATCCGCTTGATGGTTTCTCTGATGAGCCGTTAGTCAGGCAATACCTGCATGTAAACTGTGTTGGGTAACACTCACCTTATTTTGATGTTCCGGCCGCCGTCAATCTTGGTCCAGACACTCAGGACATCTTCACCGCTCCGTACACTGAGCACAGCACCACAAACCTCGTCCCCGGCTTCCATGAATTGGTCGCCTATGATTGCGAGCAGAAGTTCCTCCCAGTATCGGTCCGCCACACCCTTTTTGAGCCTTACGATCCATTTTCCGCCCTTTTTGTTGGCCTCGTCTTCCCACACGGGACGGATGCCATCTTTGAAAATATGATAGTCGGAGACCGTCGGCAAAAGGGACGGTTGTTTGAGATGTGAATATATGGTCCAGAAGCTTTCCACCGAGCTGATGGAGGCCACTTTAAGAATCGATTTCTCGTAATCAGAAAATTTGTTTGCTGGCGGTCTGTAGAAGAGATTCCATGTGTTCCGGAGTTGGTGGCCAGAGGATGATGACGGCGCAGAAAGCTCTATCTGTTGCTCCGTGCCCGGAGTTTCTGTTGTACCATCTGTATCCTTCTCTTTCTTCTCGCGCGACGAAAAGTCGAAGCCGGTCCCAGTCCCAGTCCCCGGTGTTTTCGGTGTCTTCGCTGACCCGAAAGATGCGAATGCCCCGCTACCTAGTCCAAAGGCAGAGGATGCGCTGGCGGAGGGTGATTTCGTAGCAGATGGAGAGAGGGCGTTGAAGGGATTGGTCTTTCCGTGGGAGGATGAGTCGCCGAAGCGCCGGGTGGTGTATGATCGAGGCGAGTCTAGCTTAACACCGTCCTTGCCTTCTTGATCTCTCATAGACAATGAAAGTTTGCCAGCACTGCAAGAAGCCCATCAATGTTTGCAGGTAACGTCTCAAGGATATTGGAGCACCTACTTCGAGCGCCGTGTCCACAGATTGGCGTTTTCCATGAGCAAATCAATACAAGCACCAGAAACTAGAAACGAAACCTAGTCCAAGCGACTTCAGCGCCAAAATGCGTCGAGTACAGGTGCGATGCTCGACTCCTCGGAACCAGGGGCGGGTGATGCTGAATGGACCAATCCAGCGGAGTAGCACGATGAACCCGGACGCACAATAACGCCGCAGACAAAACGAGCGTGAGGAACTATGCAATTAGTGGAAATGTCTCCAGAGTGCCGTGCAGGGTTAAGGGCGGTGGTAAGCAGTTTGGCGGGGGTATAGGTGGTCGAGTTGGAATGCTAAAAGTACTTGATATAGTAGAGCGAGGGAGAGAGGCAAATGAGGATTGAAGCACAGCAGTGCAGTTAATTACCAGGTAGTTGTTTGTAGGCGAGCAGCACTGCATCAGCCCGCCAATCGACGTGTTTGTAGGGCTGCAAGGGCTCGTGGCCGTCCGCAAAAATGTGGCCGCTTTAGTCCGGTTTGCACGCAGTAACCCGTTCGGGCTTGGTGGTGAGAATGAGCTTCAACTCCATGATATTTTCTGGCCTCACGCTGATTTTTCTTCCTTTTCTCTTGCTTTATAACCCAGACCCCCAAACTACTCAAATCATCGTCAGCTGAAAGACTTCGTCGCCCGTGAAGCTGGCGATTCCGAAGGGTGTGTCGAGATCGAACTGATATATTCCGCATCTAAAACCATCATCACGAGGGCCTCCTGGCTACCATGATGCGGTGGTGACCTGATTCGCGGTACATGCCTCTTGCTGGTTAGAAAATCTACAGTAGGTAGATCGGTCCCTGCCGTTGTTTCTGCTGGTGTGCAGGGTCCTGATGAAGAGATCATCAACTCTGGTAAGCCGATGGCCCAGCCGCAGGAGATATTCTCTCATTATGGCTGGCAGTGCATGAGGTTCCTAGGCGATTTTCTGAAGGAGATCCATCTCCCTGTCACATATCATCATATTGGTCATGTTCTGGCGCTGACCCTGTTGCTAGACAGGCAGCTTCTGCTCTATTACGTGGACCTGTTTGTGTCATAGCCAATCCATGGCCACCTATACAGGCTCTCAGTCTCATTGTGGCTTCATATTCCAAGACGATCAAACCAATTTGAGAACCATCTCTATCATTTCATACTGCATCGATACTCGCCCGTGATGTAAGTTTCTCGTTCTGGTTTCCCAACTTCGAGATCTGCAAGAACGCGTCGACGCCGTAGCCTTCCAGACTGTGTAAGTCGAGACCACCCGCCCAGTATTCTGCATAGACTCGGCTCATGGGTAGGCCCATCCCCAGCCTGAGGTCAGGGGGTCTCGATGCTAGACTACTGAGGGATGAGTCTCTGATCTTCGCACTGGGCTTTGCATGGCTGGCATGGCGGACTTCTTGCATTGTGGCTGCAAGTGTCGGGACATCTTTGAAGTTCTGCAGACGCGAAGCTCTCCTGGGTCCTTTACAGAAAGACCACAAGAAGGGCATTATGTCGCGTGGAATACCCCCGCCTTGGTCAGAAATGCGGATTACCACATGTTGAGGTGCCTCGCAGATCAAAACATCAATAGGTGGTGGGGGCTTCTTTGTGTCTTTGTATCTGCCCATGACTGCTTGCACCGAATTCCGCAGAAGTTCCCCAACGACGTATTCAAGATGACTCAACACGTAAGGGAACGTGGCGTTGACGTGGCCCTGGATCCGAATTTCTGGGACGATAGGATCAACGCCACCAGACGATCTGCAGATGTCCTGGGTGAACCGACCGACCCGTTCGACGACTTCTTTCGCATTGCATCGCAAAAGGACTTCGCCCACGAACTCATCCTCAGAGCTTGGCTGAGGCACGTGCCAGGGAGAGTTGAAGGTTTCGGTCAGTGCAAGATGTTGTTCAGCAATAACTCGCCGGGAAATACGGGCCCGGAGCATGGCCTGCACAAAGTTGTCCATCTTGTCCGGCGATACCAGATCCTGGCATTCGAGGACGCCCATCACTAGATTTGGTATGACGGCCAAATGCTCTTTCAAACTGTCACTTATAACCTTGCAAAATTCGTCGTTCTCCTCCAGATTCCGAATCGCAGGGATACGGCGGAAGATCTCGAAGGATTTGTAGTATAATTCATATACCAGGGATAGGTGAGGATTCGTAACCACCACATAAGGGAGCCGTTGCATTTCCCGCAGGCGATGGGCCAGCCTGCCACGTGGTCAGCGATCGTGAAACATTGAGTAAAGAGCCCGACGGCAGACCTCGTGGGTAATTCCACTCGAACATAGTTGGCAGAACTGAGGAGACGGCTCTCATCCAAGGTACGACCAAAGAAAAACAGCTGGCGCAGGCTAATAGGACGGATTGGGCGATCGACCCAGCTATCACATCGACGTTAGCCCGCTGCAACCGTAGATGCTGAGGACGACCGTACTCGTCCAGGGTTGACGCTGGGCGCCATGGCGGAGGGTGCCTCCCACCTCCAGGCGAGTACCATCGGCGAGTCTGAAGTGTGAAGCGTCTGTCTATGCGAGAGGCACGCGGCCTTGGAAATGGAGCGACCCGCAGCATTTCATACCATCAAACACTGGCGCAACGTTGTCACGGTGCAGTTGTCGGCAGAGAGGACAGAGAGGAACATGTTCGTCGTTTGTTGTCTTCACACACTCACTGGTGGCAACGGGTGCAAACAAGTCGCCTCTCAGTGCATGGCAGACATCGGGCTCGGGAGTGACAAAGGATGGGAAGTGGAAGAGTGGACAGAGGAGAGCACCGGCAATGAAGTTGGCCTCGTTGTACTCTGTTCGATTGCTTGGAGTGACAGACTGCGGTGTTGTCAGTTGTAGTGGGCGGTGGCCTGGACAATTGCATGGGGGCATTTGGCCCGTTTGCCGGGTGTCATTCGTCATTCCACACTGCAGTCACTGCAGTGGCTGGCACTTTACCACCTTTGATGCTGCACCCTCTTTTTGCCTGCGACATCTTCGATTCCGCATGACACTCTGAACTGCGCTGCAAAAGCATCCGTCCGCCATATTCCAGAATCCTGTGATAAATTTATTCTCTTCCACTACGTCCCGCGGAGAGTCAGGTCAAGCTTCCCACCTGTCCATCGACCCTCCGGATCTGATCTTTCATCCTCCGCTCATCCTGGTCGCCTTCCTTGCTGACAGGCCTGCGGAGGCTTTTCCACCTGCGGATACTTGCATACATCTGTGCGGAAGTGTAGGGAAAGAGCTATCCACGCTCTTCTTCGCGAGAACAGGTCGGACCATTCAGTATGGACAACGTACGTCTGAGCAGTTATCCAGTCATTCTCTCCGTCTGCATATCGTGTAGGAAATATGAATGCTGACGTCGTTTGCTTCTTGAACCGTCTTCAGTTGACCGGACCCGACATGTTGATTGACGGTTACGACCAGTACAACCAACAAGACAATGAAGTGGTTAACATCTCCCCTGACGAGGCGTCAGAAGAGCCTGCCGAAGCCCTTCCGAGGGCTGATGATTGTATGGTCACCTACCCCCATCTCGACTTCCACACCCACTAACCTGTGCTATAGACGAAGCCATGAAACGACATGTCCTGGTCGATCTACCCGATCTCGAGACCGAAGCCGAAACCTATAATACTTGGCATATAGAAAGATGGCGGGACCTCTCCAGAAGAGAGCATGGTCCGGTATTTGAATGCGGTGGTCATCCATGGAGAGTCCTTTTCTTCCCGTACGGAAACCAGGTCGACTGCGCGTCCTTCTATCTTGAACACGGCTTCGAAGGCGATCCTCCACCGGACTGGTATGCTTGCGTGCAATTTTCCCTCGTCCTCTGGAATCCAAACGATCCAACCCTGTTCCGAAGCCATACTGCCACTCATCGTTTCAATGCCAAAGAGGGTGATTGGGGGTTCACCAGGTTTGTAGAATTGAGGAAAGCCTTCAACCAGCCATGGGAAGAAGGCTCGAGACACTTGGTGGAGAACAACGAAGCGAATTTGACTGCCTACGTCCGGATTATCAAAGATCCGACTGGAGTGCTGTGGCACAATTTCGAGGGCTACGACTCGAAGAAGGAAACAGGCATGGTCGGCCTCAAGAACCAAGGTGCAACCTGCTATCTGAATTCGCTCTTACAATCTCTTTACTTCACCGACGCTTTCCGTAAGGCGGTGTATCAGATTCCCACCGAGAACGAAGCAAATCGAAGCAACAGCGCGTGGGCTTTACAACGGTTATTCTACAAGTTGCAAAAGGACAGGTTCGCCGTGTCGACCAATGAACTCACCGCATCCTTCGGATGGGATACTCGACAAATCTTTGAACAGCAAGACGTGCAGGAATTATCGCGAATCTTGATGGAAGTGTTGGAAAAGAAAATGAAAGGAACTCCTGCCGAAAGAACCCTGCCGGAACTTTTCGTCGGCAAGACGAAGACCTACATCTCCTGCATCAACGTCAACTACGAATCTTCCAGGATAGAAGAATTCTGGGACCTGCAACTCAACGTTCGAGGGAACAAGAACTTGCATGAGAGCTTCATGGACTACATTCAGGTGGAGACGCTGGAGGGGGAGAACAAGTACGATGCCGGTGAACCGTACAAACTGCAAGACGCCCGGAAGGGAGTCATCTTCGAAAGCTTCCCACCTGTATTGCACCTCCAGCTGAAAAGATTCGAGTACGACATCAACCGAGATGCGATGATGAAGGTCAACGACAGGCACGAATTTCCGGATGAATTCGATGCTTCTCTGTATCTATCGGATGAGGCCAAAGCAGCCACCTCCGAGCCTTGGATCTACCAGCTGCATGGTGTCCTGGTTCACAGTGGTGACTTCAACGCTGGCCACTACTACGCCTTTTTACGGCCCACTAAGGACGGCCAGTTCTACAAGTTCGACGACGATAGAGTCACGCGAGCCACCATGAAAGAGGTTCTGGAAGAGAACTATGGAGGGGAGTACGCGAATGTCGCCAATGGTGGACTCGGCCAACGACAGCCCTACATGCGGGGATACTCGACGAAACGCTCCATGAGTGCATACATGCTGGTATACATCCGAAAAAGCAGGTTAGACCAGGTTTTACACCAAGTTTCCGAAGCGGATATTCCTCCCCATATCGAGCGAACAATCGCCGAGGAACAGGCGGAACTTGCAAGGAAGAAGAAAGAGCGTGAAGAAGCGCATCTTTACATGAACGTCGGCCTGATCACAGAGAAGACCTTCCAAGCCCATCATGGATTCGACCTGACGAGTTACGATCTCGAGCAGGGCGACCCTGCGGCAGCCCAGACGCATCGGCTTCTACGCGCCACCAAGGTCTCCGACTTCGCAGCTGCCGTCTCCGAGGAACTCGGTGTCGAGCCAGATCAGGTCCGGTTTTGGGTCATGGTAGGGAGACAGAACAAAACCAACCGTCCTGACCAACCGATCCGGGATGTCGAAATCTCTATGGAAGAAGCCATGAACAAATACGGATCCAGAGGCCGTCCTTTTTTCTTGTGGGCGGAGACCGCGCCCAAATCGAAAGATGGACAGGTGCATTTTCCTGACCCTGCACAGGCGACGGGTGGCAATACTCCCATACTGGTGTTCCTCAAATACTTTGACGTGAAGGCTCAGACGCTGACGGGAGTTGGCCATGTCTATGTTAAGAAATTGGACAAGGTATCGGAGATCGCCCCTCAGATCAACAGAATCATGCAGTGGGATCCCAGCACGCCGATTCTTTTGTTTGAAGAGATCAAATTCTCCATGATCGAAGCGATGAAACCGAAGCAGACGTTCCAGCAGTCAGAAATCCAAGACGGCGACATTATCTGCTTCCAACAAAACCTCCCCGACCTCGACCCATCCACAGTCACGTACACAGATGCGCGCCAATACTACGACTACCTGCTCAATAGGGTCCCGGTGACTTTCTATCCCAAACCTGGCACGGAAGGGGATACGTTTACACTAAGCCTGAGCAAAAAGATGACCTACGATCAGTTTGCTACCAAGGTTGGTGAATACCTCAAGGTTGATCCCACGCATATTCGATTCGCCACGATCAGTGCCACGAACAACAAAATCAAAATGTGGCTCAAGCGTAGCATGAACTACAATCTCCAACAAATCCTCCAGTCACAATTTTCTTCTTACGGTGGCTACGCGACACATAGAGGTGATGCGCTGTACTATGAGATTCTTGAAACCAGCCTTGCCGATTACGAGACGAAGAAGATTATGAAAGTAACATGGCTCAGTGATGGGATCAGCAAAGAGGTTAGCTTAAAACTGGTTCGAGGATATGAGGTATATACTGACATGTGCATGCAGGAACCCTTGGAGATACTTGTGGCCAAGAATGGTATGATTGGAGATCTGATCAGCGGCATTGCGAAAAAGCTCGCTCTGGATGAACCAACCGCGCGCAATATACGCATTCTTGAAGTCCATGGGGGTAAAATCCACAAGGAATTGATCGAGGATTTCAACGTGATTGGCGTCAACGAGTTTACGACGTTGTATGCGGAGAAGATTCCGGAGGAAGAGCTCAATGCCTCCGACAACGATAGATTCATCTATTGTTATCACTTTGACAAGGAAGCCAACAAGCCACACGGTGTACCATTCAAATTCCTGCTGAAGCCGGGAGAGCCCCTGAAGGATACCAAGGAGCGGATCAGCAAGCGGACCGGAATCAAAGGCAAACTTTTGCAGCAGATCAAGTTCGCTCTGGTGGGGAGAGCGGTGTATGCCAAACCTCGATATCTCGAGGACGACGATGTTATTGTCGATATGATTCAAGATGGTGACGAGATGCTTGGCCTTGATCATGTCAACAAGGCACGTAACTTCTGGGGCAAGGCCGAAGGCATGTTTATTCGGTAAACCCACCACTGGAGGAACGATCATGGATCGCCTTCAGGAGAGCCGACAACAATGGAACAAAACTATCGACTGTTGGGTGCACCGTGATGCACGCGAAGGTTATGCGGCAGCATACAGCCCTGTCGCTCTCTGCAGTCTGCCTGGAGACCGGGGGTTCCGGAGGGGTCCACGGCCTGTCAACTGGCGTCTGACCAATTTCACCGATAGAAGCAGATCGTTCGACGCGCCAGCGCTGGCTACTTATCTTCCACCACGATTATTACCTAAATACCACCATGAGCCCACCATCAGCGAGCGTTCAATCGGGAACCTGGGCCGTGAACGTTGGGGAGGTTGGACTGCTTGAACTTCTGGGGAGGTAAGGCATGAATGCATCACGGCTTGGAAAAGGGTTGGTCTTGACAGTCTCGGCTGCGAAGCAAGAATGCCTGGGGAAGGACAGACACGGGCACAGGCATCCTGTTCGAGTATAGCACTTACAGTAGGTAGACTTTTGTCTCTGTGTACACTTGCAGAAATACACATCATGGAATGATTCGATGAGTACAAGGGTCGTTGAGTGTAGTCGAGAATAAAGAAATGGAGATCAGACAAGTCCAGACACTCATCAGCCCATTCAGTATGATTTCAAGAAAGGGTAAACATATGGAACGGTCCGACGACTCCTTGCTGAAGAAATAAAGGCATGTCCACGACTTGTTGGAATGTGGATAGACATGGGATCTCATGTGTCGCGTTGAGGATGATCATAACCTACTCTTCTCCTCCTCAACAACCTGGAATGCCCCGTTGGCCGAGACATGGTAGTCTCTGCCCTTGCTCCATCCCATCCAGTCCTTCAGAGCTGCCTCACCACCCTCACCCGGCCGGAGCGGCTGACCCTTCCACGGCCTCTCCACCACTCTCGCGGGAGACTCGGACAAGCCGACCATAGGACGAAGGTCGTACTGTGCGTCCTCCATTTCGCGATGTTCCAGCACCGGCACCGCACAAGCATCGGTGCCATCAAAGACGTGCTCCCACTCCTTCCTCGTCTTGGTCTTGAACCGCGCAGTGAAGACTTCCCGCATATACGGCCAGGCCCGCCTATCCTGCCTGTCCAAGGCGCCCGGCACGACCTCCTCGGGCGTGAACCCCAGACCCTGGATCAGCTGTACGTAGAACTGCGGCTCCAGCGCCCCGACCGACATATACTTCCCGCGATCCTTGCACTCGTAGCAGGCGTAATACGGCGCGCCGCCGTCGAGGGTGTTTGTGCCGCGCTCGCCACTCCAAATTACGGGTTCCTTGGTCAACAGGCGCGGGAACGTGCCCAGATAACTGACCCCGTCGACCATATTGGCGTGAACGATCTGGCCCTTACCATTACCCTTACCGTTCTGACGTTGGATCAGCGCCAACAACACACCCGTGAACGCGACGTGGCCGCCGCCCGCAAAGTCTGCTAGAATGTTGGCCGGCGGGGAGGGAGGGCTGTCCCGCGGACCGAGCATGGACAGAACGCCCGACGCCGCCAGGTAGTTGATGTCGTGGCCGGCCATGGCGCTGTATTTGCCGTCGCGGCGGAATCCGGTCAGTCGCACCACGGTCAGGCCCGGATTGCGTTTCAGCAGCACCGTCGTGGGATCTAGGCCGAGTTTCTCCAACACGCCGGGCCGGAAGGGGTCGATTAGGACATCGGCCTTGCGGACCAGCGAGAGGAGCACGGCGATGCATCGCCCGTCTTTCAGGTCCAGTGCGATCGAGGCCTTGTGCGAGGTCAAGAGGTCGTTGGTGGGTGTCGGCTTTGGACTGGGTCGGTCGATGCGTAGGACGTCGGCGCCCCAGTCGGCGAGGAGGAGACCGCAGAAGGGGCCTGGAGTGATGGGTACATGATGCTGTTAATTAGAGCCTTGCTGCGTGTGTACTGTGTAGACCAGGGCTGGGGGTGGGTGTGTTGTTTTAGGGTAAGGTATATATATAGCTAGTATCCATGGGCAGGGTTCGGATTGAAGGCCAGAACAAGAACATACCTGGAGCCAGTCCTGCGAGTTCGAGGACCCGGAGGCCCGACAATGGCAGGTTCGCAGTCATGATGTTGATGCCGCTGCTGTGGTTGAACGGCCCAAGATGGCCCTCTCGCTATCTGCGCAGGTTGTTTTCGTCTTCAAAGGAGCACTTTCAGGCAGGCGGACGACGAAGCCTACATCACAGAGGGACTTACATTTGTGTCAAGGCATCTTTTGAATCCCTCCGCTGAATTAATGGTTCACTGCCCTGACGACCACCCGGCAATCAAGAGACAAGATACCGAGGCCTGGGACTTTCCGGGGAGTGTGGAAAACGCGGGGATTGTTATTGTGTGGATGTGATGGGATGCCAGGGGGGGTTGCAACGCTGGGTAATTGTGATATAAACAATCCCCCAGGACTTGATTTCTTTTTCTCTCCTTCGATCATGATTCATCATGAATATATACCAGTGCAACTACTGATTGTATGCGTGGCGAGACTACCTCATGATATTGTAGGGAGATATGCTCCCCTTATCTGAGGGCTCACACGTTTCACTTGATGGCTCAACAGGCAAGATTGGCCTATTCAAAGAGGCTCGCACTTGGGGCAAAAGTTGTCAACAAGGCCCCAGAAGCTCCAGAAGTTTGTCGTCTGTGAGGGAGAGAGAATACCACGAGATCCATCCGCAGGACTTGGTTCAACTGGCTAAGAAGACCCATTTGATGTGATGAATTGAATCTTCCAGATACAGAGGTCCATACTATTGTATACCAGGATACGCTCAGGAGCAGCACTGCAGTGTCTTTCGGCAATGTCCCTTACGCCTCTCCTATGGACTAGAACAGACCATCATCTGCCAGCCATCTTCGTCCCTGAACTTCTCTTCAAACCAAAAGCTCCTCGCCGCCAGCCCAACTCTGAACCAGCCCTCTCACAAAACAAACCACCCTTCTCCCTTAAGCGCTATTCAGGGATCCATTTCCACGAAGACGAGTGGAGGGATCCTCGAACATGTCTTGTATCTCAAGGTGTTCACCGTCTCGAACCCAATTCCAATTCCAATTCCATCATTGACCGAATCGACACGACCCTCCACCAAGATCATCCATTGCAAAGGCAACGGCACCAATTTGACGTGAATCGTGATCAATCATTCCCAAGCCGGCCTCTTTAGCAGCAGGCCTCACAGCACTCGAAGCAAGCGAGTCCAGCGCACCTATTCGACCGTCATTAGCCGATCCGATCCTAACTTAGACCCATGTCGTTCTTCCTCATCGGGATAGACTGAGTTTGGAAGAACGAGGCAATGGTATGAGATATCATTCACTTACATTCCACAGCAGCACGCTTCACCCTCACCGCCGCCACGAAGCCGGAGTCCTGAACCACTGGCACTGGACTGGATATCCATAGGTGCTGGAGCGCTCTGCAAAAACAACGACAGAAGAACGTCAATAACATTTCTCATCAATTCCCAATTCCATTCAATGTCATTCGAGGCATAGACAGTTCCTTGGGAAGCAGAAGCAGAGACAGGAGCAGGCAAAGCTTACAGGTTGTTGAGAAACGACCGCCACGTCAGCCTGTAGCTGTTGGCCGGGCTCGACCGACTGAGGCGATTCCTGATGTTTCTGGGTTTGGTTGGAAGCGTCCATGGTATCGATCAATATCAGTTGAGTGGTGATAGATAGTATATTATACACAACAATCAACTATTGATGAGCTATAGATGGAATAAATGACAATAATGACAAGGACAAGGACAAGAAACATCCGGGCCAGCTCCTCGGCTGAAAGTGAGCGTGAACCCACCCCTTTAAGTACCTGTCTTACCTATATCCACAGTCAAGGTTCTGGGAAGAGCCGGGTCAAGATCCATGTGCATGTGGTTTGTCGGCTGGTTTCAGGATTGCATGATTACGTGTCTTCACACTATTTCCATGGGGACCATGGAGACCATTCCTGGTAGTAGAGAGAACTACTGCAGCTAATTGCTCCCAACCCTCTCTCTCTGCCTTGGAACCCGTACTAGTATCCCACGATAGCCGGTTTATTGTGCAGACGAGACGGTAGCGGAGGGAATCTTCCAGTAACCAGTTGGTCACCTTAGGACCAATTTCTCCGAAGAACCAGAAAGAATAGGTGCTTGCTCATGTTCCCATGCTCTACTGCCAGTAGTGATCCGAATCAACGAGTGACGGAGTGACAGACAGTAAGCACCCTAACTGCCCCCCGGCCACGTACTCAAGCACCCAACTAACGTAAACAAGCCTCGTGGCGGGCTCCTAAGGCCTCGGTTACTTCCTAGTCAAATGCTTCGGTGTCTTGGATCAATCAAGCTTAACTTATAAGCGGGACATATAGAGAGGTAGTCTCCATCAACCCTGTACAGAGTGTATTCCATCCCACTTTAACAAAACCGGGCTGGGGGGAGGATCTATCTCTATCTCATCACACAACAAAAATAGACACGGGTGCCAGTGCATTACTCATTCCAACTGCTTCCGTGGCTGTTCCCGGCTACACTACAACAGAGTACAAATATTCCTTGAGAGCAACAAATGGCATTATTCATTACTCCTGCACCGGGTGTGTCTCAGGATCTCATCTCCATGGTGTCCAAGATGGGTACGGACTGTCGGACAGACCATGGCGAGACTCCTAGGCCGTACCTACCTGCAGGCTAGGGAGCCTACTACTGTTACTGGTACCATTAACCACAGTATGCGGTATCTGTTCTAGCTCTCCTCCCTCCTTGGATGTGACCCGGGTCCAAAGATCCGTCACCCGGATAAGTGAGACTGAGACTGAGATTGAGACTGAGAGCTGGTGGCTCACTCTCTCTGTTGTCGTCCCAATCACCCACAGAAAGCTTCTATGAACTAGTTGCCAGTCTTTTGAAGCTGTTGGTCTAGCAGACAGTCTTCCAAGCCTTCTTCCACCACGGCCATTTGGCCTGCTCGGCTCTCTCCTCGGCCAGCACCTCGGACAGATCGAGTTCCCTCCTACCACTGGTGATGTCGATGTCCGGGACGCGTTTGAACGCCGGTCTCTTCCACAGCTTGAAGACGATGTAGAAGAGGACAATTATGGGCGCCGACAGGTAAGCCTCGAACCAGGACTCGACGCGTGCGCCGGCCGTCATGCTGGCGTATCCGACGGGCGCGAAGCCGGTCCAGAACTGCGCGATCAGGATCAACACGTTCAAGCCCAGCCCGATCCACGACCCGACCAGGCCCGGCTGCGACTTGAACGCCAGCTCGCTGGTGCTGCGGCCGTTGTACTTCCACGCGGCGCGGAACCGGATGTGGCACGCGCAGATCGACGCCCAGGTCACGATGGACGACAGGCCCGAAATGGCCAGCATCCAGTTGAACGCCTGCGTGCGCGTGTCGGTGCCCGCGGCGACAATGAAACACAACAGCCCAATGAAAGAGGCCAGGATGATCGCGAACAGCGGTCGGCCCGCCTGGTCGATGTACCCCAGGAACTTGGGCGCTTGGCCGCGATCCGCCAGCGCAGCCAGCGTCCGCGAAGATCCGTAGATGGACGAGTTGCCTACGCTGAGCACCGCAATCAGGATCACCGCGTTCATGATCGACGGCACCGCCGTGATGCCGGCGTTCTTGACCGCAATCACAAACGGCGAGGCGTTGGCGTCCGTGCTGCTCGCCCCGTTCAGCAGCTCGTCGTCGTTGTAGGGTACGATACAGCCGATGATCGTCAAGCTGACCATATAAAACTAGAACCGTTCACAAATTAGCCCCGACCGTCAAGTGCTGTGCTGTGCTGTGCTTTGATGCTGCAAAGCTTAAGAGGGTTTATCTTACCAAGCAGATACGCCAGAAGACCTGCTTGACGGCCGTCGGGAGAGACTTGCGAGGATTTTCGGTCTCTGCTGCAGTCAAGCCGACGAGTTCGGTGCCACCGAACGAAAAAGCGGCCGTGACAAAGGTCGAGCACAGGCCCTTGAACCCGTGGTTGAATGCCCCCGGATCATACCAGTAATGCGCTCCCAGGTATCCCTGAGGACTGCCTGGGACGCCGCCGGTTGCAATGATGATGCCGAGGATACAGAAGCCGATGACCTGTCCGAGAGAGGTATTAGAGTCTGGTCAATGGTTTGGGGGGATACCAAAGGAGGAAGAGTTGTGACGCTCCAGGCCTGAAAGGCAGCTGTGGCTTACCGCGACGACTTTGATGATGGAAAAGACGAATTCGGCCTCGCCATACCCACGCACGCCGAAGAAGTTGATCAACACCACCGCGGCCCAGAAGATAATGACCCACGCAGCAGGATTGACGTCTCTAGCACCTTGCCAGTACGACAGGGTGATGGAGGCGGCCGTCAACTCAAGTGGCAGCGTGACCAACCAGTTCAACGCATAGTTCCAGCCCATGGCGAACCCCCAGGCCGGATCGATGAAGCGGCTGGAATACACTGAGAAGGCCCCGGCGATGGGGAAGAGGACCGCCAGCTCTCCCAGCGCGTGGACAGTGCAGTACAACATGGTCCCGATCAAGCCATAAGCGATGACAAGAGACGCCGGGCCGCCTGTGGCCAGAGCCGAGCCGGACCCGACGAAAAGACCGGTGCCTGTGAAGATTCAGCATATACATTCCTTTTTTCTTTCTTTCGGACGACATGCCGTGAACATACCGATGGAACCGCCGATCGCAATCATCTGCAAATGTCTCTGTTTCAGCGTCATGGCCAGCGCAGGTTCGGCCGGGGGCTGGTCCTTCAGAGGCCGTCCTTCGCTGTCCGTGGCTTCGGTCACCACTCTGGCATTGGGGTTCCGTTTGAAGCTCGACGGCTTGAACGACGAGAAGAATCCGTCGTGGTGCACCGTGACACTGCCCTGGCGCAGCTGGGTGGCCCGGTCAGAGGCGAAGACAGACGGGCGCCGTTCCTCTTCAATTTTCCCATTGTCCAAGCTGAAGGGAGGGGAATAGTCACGGCTGGACGCGTTCTTCTCGACATCTTCGTTCAGTGTAGGACTGGTAGATGCAGCCATGTCGATCTGTTCAGTCAAGCCCCAACTTCCACGGCAGACCTGAGACGGAAGGATTCCTGAAGGAGAGGAAAGAAATCCCACGGCGAAGGGGGACGTTTTCTTCTTCTTCTATCTGCCAATGCAACTTTACGCACCTGTTTACCCCCCTCCCCCCAGGCTGGATCCTACAACCCCAGTCCTACCGTTGTCGACACGAGACGAGCTCCCCACACTCAACCAATTCTCCTCCAGAAGGACGTCATGGTAAACCATACAAAATCTGGGGGTGGTGACGTGCGTGGGTGACCAGCCGAATCAGGCCCCCTCTTGGAGATTGGCGAAACTCATCTGGGGACGACAGCGAACCAAATAGCTGAGTTGGAGGGCAGATAAGCTTGCAGCAACCCCTTGACATCGGAAAGCTTACTCGACACCGTCGCCTAGATAGACCGATAAGTTGCTGGCTTGGCCGACGACTGGCCTGGGGCTTCGATGTGTCAATTGCGATTGTGATTGTGAGGAAGTTTTATGTGTCAAAAAGGGCCGATTCTCTGAACTACACAGGAACCGAAGCGTGACAAGACCGGCCGCCCATGTGTAACATAAGTCGCGGAGGGTAACAGTGTCGTGAAGATCGTGGAGGGGAGGTGTTGCTTGGCTGGACACCCGGGAATGTCCATCCAAATAGCAACTATATCATGCCTCCTGCCAGCCGAGGATGGCGTCGAGTAAATCCTTGGCAAAGTCATTGACCTCCTCCGGCTTGGACTGGATGAGCAGCGTATCGACTTCTGCGCTCTGCATCAAGCCGATATTGACTTCCAAACAGAGTTTCTCCCAAGCTGGGGCGGAGTCGGCCTCCCAAGCTCCATGGCGGGTGGTGAACATGAGAGAGCCTCGACATCCCGTCGGTCGACCCTGTTGCATGGTAAGGTAGACGGAATTGATACTAGACCCGACAATCTGGGTGCGTCGGATGCTCTCGGCCATGATCCAGGAATACCAAAGCACATTTTGGCAATGGTCCCAATCAAACCCAGACTCTGGCCCAGGCTCACGGACGCCTTTGGAACCTCGGCGACGATAAGGAGAAGAAGAACGGTGGTGGTCCAGCGACGGTGACGGTGACGGTGTCGGTGACATGATCGACTCGCCCAGCCAGCTGACGGTCTGCCTCGCATGGTCGAGCATCTGTTGCAACCAGCTCTCCAATAGCGGGATGCGCTTCTCCGCGAGATGGCGCAGCCGGATGTCCCCATCAAAGAGGCCCAGGAACTGATATACCATCAAAGCCTGGACGCGAGAGAGATGACCCAGAGCATCAAGGGGGGTGGTGGTACTCTGGTTCTTGGTGCCGTTTTGGGCCGTGATTGAACCTGAACGCAACTCTGCTGGTTCCTTCACTCCCTCATGATCCTCGACCAACCGTCTGACACGGTCTTCGATCATTTGCAGGATGATGTGCTCGTTCCAAGCCGTCTTGTGGAGATAGCACGTCAAAGTGGAATAGGCATCCTGGATACAAGGCGGACAGGTATTGCGGTACAGGTGCCGATGGACGAATGTGGTGCTGCCTGTTTCCGCCCACTGCACGAACCACCTCTGGATGATGGAGAGGTAGCGTTTCAGCCCGGTTCCGCTGACCGGCGCCATTTTCGCCTGCGGGAAATGCACGATTTCCCAGGTTTCAGGCGACGTGAACCAGCTGGTAGCGGCCCGTGGAGAATCGTAGGTTGGGTCTGACACAAAATTCAATCCTGGACAAAGGCTGATGGACCCTATGCCTTCAAGGCCCGCGCGCGGCATGGGGCTTGTGGTCGCCGTGGAGGGGATCAGCGATCGCTGTAAAGCGTTATCGTAGTATGGCAAGACATCGTGCTCAAGAGTGTGCTCAAGAGGGACGGTCGACGGCGTCTGTTCCTCGTCTTCATCGCTGCAGAGGACAAAGCAGGACGGCCTCGGCGGGGGATATGTGCATTCGAGGCCCTGGCTGGCGCATCGCGAGCACTGCGGCGTTTGTTTCCCGCATCTCCGCTTCGCTGTTGCACACGGTCGACATGCCCGCTGCCCTGACGATAGTGTATTCATGCTTACGCAGCAAGCAAGCATGCATGCAAATGGACCGGACAGCACGTCGTGTCCTGGGGGAGAAAGGGAGATTCAGGCACAAGCCCTCTTCTTTGCTGTACTGACTGCAGTGTAGTACTCTGTAATGCTGGGATAGGATGCATTATTATTCAGCATCCCTTGACAATCATCTTTTTGTGCAAGGATCCATCCAGTCTGCGGGCTTTAACTCGGTATAGTATAGCACACTGTTGCAACACCCTTTACATTGCGGGCCCTAATCGCTTTGGGATGGTCGCCGCACTTCACCGTTGCCGTTTTGGGAAGAGTCGGACCAAGATCGGACCAATGGCGTGAGTAGACAATGAAACAACATATCTCAGTCTCTCACAGTCAGTCTTGGTACCTAGTATTTAAGCCTTATTGCGCTGAATCTGGAGTATGGTATGGTGCGGGAGAGCGCCACTCATCCCCCGCCGTCGCTACAATCACCAGACACAGGTGGAAGTTGTCCCCACTCATGGCAGTCCACTTTGGGACCGGTATGAAGATTTATGTACAGAGTACTACGACTGATTAAAAAGCAACAATCAGGATACCTTCATCTCGACTCCTAATATGCCAGCTCACCAGCAGGGTATAAAAAGGGAAGAATCCCTTCCATTCTTACAGTGTCAACACTTGTCTTTGCATCCTTCAGGACCCTTCCTTCTTCAAGCAACGTTGAGCAGCCACCTATCAAGCCATGGATATGCACGCTATCAAGGACCTCCTCAAACAGTATACCGTGAGCAACGTCACGAAGGCCATCCATAGGACTCCCTATCCGGCCATCTTGCCCACCCGACCGGAGCTGAGCCAGGCCGGCCGCACAGTGCTCGTGACTGGAGGTGGCACAGGCGTTGGGTTCGGAGTCGCTCGAAACTTCGTTCAGGCCTCCGCAGACACCGTCATCATCGTCGGTCGCCGTGCTGCAGTCCTCGACACGGCTGCCTCTAGCCTCGAGCAAATCGCGAAAGCTGCCGGCACAAGCACCAAGATCATCACAAAGACTTGTGATATCACCAACATCGCGCAGATTGAAGCATTGTGGAAGGACCTGAGCGCACAGAAGATCACCGTGGACGTCTTCGTCAGCAATGCTGTCAAGTTCACCGAGCCGAAGCCGCTGCTCGAACTTGGGGCGGATGAAGTCTGGTCGCAGATGGAGGCCAACGTGAAGGCTCCCATATACTTTGCTCAGCAATTCTGCACCCAACCCGGTGGCGGTCAGAAGGTAAGTTTTCACCCTCCACCATAGCCTCTTCAAACGGTGGGCGCCGAGAAAAACCTGTGCTGACTTGACTTGTTGTCTAGTTCATCATCAACATCACCAGCGCCGTCATCCACACGAACGCGGATCCAGTCATCCAACAACGTCCGGCATACAGCCTAACGAAGGGGGCTGGAACGCTGTACTTTTACCTCCTTGCCAATGAGGTGCCGGCCGACAAGGTCCAGATCGTCAGTTTCCATCCTGGCCTCATCTATAATGAAATGTGGGGAGAGGGAGGCTTTGACGAACATGATGACTTGTTCGATTCCGGTGAGATAAGATCCCTTTCCGGTCCATCGCCCTTGAAAACAATGCCTGAACCGTCGATCTCTCGTTGCTATCCGTGCAGGCTGACAGCGTGATGTGGTGATTTTAGCCGACATACCTGGTGGAGTTGCAGTCTGGGGTGCCTCGAAAGAAGCTGCCTTCCTCCACGGCCGCTTCTTCTGGGCCACCTGGGATGTCAATGAACTCTCCACTGGGGAGCTCCGGAAGCGTTGCGAAACCGACCCTTACTTCCTCACACCTTCGGTCATAGGGCTGAAGGGCAGGTCCCTGGCCTGAACTAGATAGTTGTGAGAGAGGGTTGCAACAGCGAACAAAACTCGAAGACAAGACATTCGGCTGCTCCTTCGAGAACAAGCTGATTTGCGTTACTCGCGTAAACTTTGGTTCAGGAGCCTACAGATGGGGCGCCACTCAGGGTTAGATTTGTGCGTTCATGGAGAGCTTCTCCCAGTCTGAATTAGACAGTCGTTTTGATCCTATACCTGAGCAAAATGAGATCCCCAGAATGTGTGTGATCCTGACATCAGAAAGAATGAAACACGTTTCGACAGTATTCATCCACTTGGAGGGAAACAACCGTAAAGCGATTGACTTGGAGCAAAGTAGACTGGCAAACCTACCAACGAAGTATGCGGACTCGCCGCCACTGCCTATCGTATCAAACTCAAACGAAGAAGGGGGTTTCTCGCAGATTGGGAAGGGACCATAACAGCACTGCGCCAAGCTGCGACTTGCCTTGCCTTCCTCTCTTGCGTACTATCCGTTCATCAGAGCATTGAAGCACTCGCAGAGAATCCTCTCCGGCACCTTATTAAGATGTCTTGTCCAGGGCCAACATACAAACATGCCAGGCACCATACCTTTGCATCGCGTTCATGAACCGTGATACAGGATAGGGCGGAAGGAACAAGTCACTTCTCCCACGAGCAAAGATCCCGATTCAACAACGAGGGAAATAAGAAGCGAGCATATTCAGTACAGCTTGTCGCAACTGACTGTCTTGAAAGTATCGAAGTTTGCAGTGATAATGTCCATACTAGCAATAATCACATCACAAAAGGAGGATTAGAAGTTTCTTTATCATACCGAAGACGTCACATAAGCAATCACTCGCCGCTCGATGGCACCAATCGGAAGCCCCAGAGGCGCAGTTTTAAGGTGTAAAGTCGCCATCGAGTTGATCGGAAGATGCCTACCTAGGTACGCACTATGACGATCCCAGTCCCAGGGGTCGATTCGATGCGATTGGCTTGCTAGCGGATGCCGGCGGAAGCGAATGTCCGATACGAGAATGTCGTGGTCAGCGAGAATGACAGGGATGCTCATATATGGACATATTTATCATTGTGTTGACCGCTTGGGGAAAGAAGATCCCTCTGAATATCTATCTCACAGTACGTGGTGAGTGTAACAAACCTAGAAGGTGGGACAGCATCTCCAAATTCAGGGGAGATACGCCAAAGTGAGAAACGGGGCAGAAAAGGGGGGTCTCCTCAATAAATATAGCGGTGTGCTCTATCAATTGATGCCGTAGATGTCATCTGTGAAAACGCACCTGTGCACCATCCATGCCTTCTGAGACCGAAGGCTGGTTCGACATGGCCCGGGTGAAGGCCGGAGGACTGAAGAGACGGGAGAGGATGGGCTTTTGGCAGTTTTGTGGTGGGCCGGAGGCGCCGGTGGGTGGGCCCGGAACTTCCAGAAGAGGAAATGCCTGTTTTCAGCCACTTTGTCTTTCACGGTTCTGATTGGCTGGTTGATGACTTCCTACCCGGCAAACCTCCAGTCTTTCTTCCCCCTCGGCCTGTTATAACGGTCATGTCAACAGCTAACCTTCAATCCTTACTAGTTACCGCCAACCGCCAACAATTGCCAGAGATCGGGCTGATGGCGCGCCGTGCTCCCGCCAAATCGAGGGCCAAGGCTGAACCGAGCAGACGCCGGTCAAAAGCTAAGATTCTTGGACCACTGCATACAAAGCATGCATATTTCATTGATAATTATAACAAAGCTCCGGGAGGCGCCTGGTATGTGCCACTTTTCTCAGCAAGCTTGTGTCGAGAACAGACAGACAGAGTCTTTCTCCCCCTTGACCAACCTCGCCACACACCTTGAAGAATCGAATCCCAACGGAAAAGGAAACCAAATAATATCTGCTCCCTGCCCCCTGCGCGCACGCAATCCCCTTGCCTTAACGGCACAGCCCTGCAAATATATATGGGTTTCTCGCTTTCTAAGCTTGTCGACAAGGGTTGTGCTCACTAGTCAGGGCATGCTCGGAGTCGAATCCCCGAAATAAATAGCTCTTTTTCATTTTCAGGGACTTTCGTTTCGACATCTGTTTACTGCAGAGGCTACGACGTACGTACCTGACCTTAAAAAAGAATGGGATACGGGTTGCCATGTACACGGTTCCTCGTCGGCCCAAGGCTGCGACGATCGGCGAACGATAAATGACATGGCCATCGACCGCTATCGAAATTTCTCGGTGCGGTTCCCACTTTTCAATGAGTCCGTCGTCCGCCTGTGCACATGTAACCCAAATCCCAACGCAACAGATGTCCAGACAGAGTGTCTAGCTTTGGGTGGGCTTTTATGCAATCAACCCGCGCCGCCGCACGTTCAGAGTAGTGCCAGTGTGGCCATCCCCATCCCCCTCTGACATATCATCATCGTCGTCGTCGTCTCGGGCTGACCTTCCAGCGCCTCTCCACACGGGCGAGACATGTTTTTGCTATCAGGCCAGAACGCGTGGACACAGAACAGCCGCCCTCACCTGCTGTGAGCTCATCGAAAGACCCATTTTATTCTCCAAGTCTTTACCCTCTACCCCTTGGGCTCCCGCTGGTGTGCTCTTTGACGATTGCAGTCCCCAGTCCTAGCCGCAGTCCACTTCTTGTCGTAGAGATCCCCTTCTCTTCTCACCACGCACCTCACATCTACCCCGGTTCTTGCTCTCGGAGCGCCCTGGTTGCTAGGCCCTGTACATATCGAGTGTCACCGGATTCCTTCGTTCTCTGCAACATACACAGTCTGCCAGTCTTTCTCTCGACTTGGATATACGTTCTTTATATGGACTCGCCATTGTTGCTTTGTCGCAGGCTCATGACAATGGTCTGAACCGGATGCGTCATAGCCCTATCCCGAGTCTCCATTTCGATCTCGCCATCGACGAAAACCCAATTAAACACCACCACGTTAATCCTAAGATCGATCAATACCGGCAACGATTCTTCATGAAATTATGACCGAAGGAACGTCTCTGCCGGTGCCAGAGTCACAGGGCAGCAGCAACGAATCCAGCGCCAACCCCAGCAGAGCGCACAGCGTGCGAGGCGGAAAAACTGGAACAAAGCCGGCTCAAAAAGTCAAGTTCTCGGTGGAAGGAGGCGATGGAGATGACGAGGACCCAAAAGAAACACAAAAGCCGGAAGAGCCCCGGAGGAGGAGGGATATCCCCCAGATCCGTGTTCCTTCGTCCGAAGATGTCGCCGACAACCTGCTGGCACCGGCCGACTGGACAGGACGAACAAGTGCTGCGGCCGCTCACGCCGAAGACCGTGCCAGACGGTTAGCCAACAGACTTAGCAATCCGACACCGGGAAACCGAACACCTGGCAACCGAACACCAGTCGGGTCGCGACCGAGCTCGACTGCCTCGGCGTCCGCGCCTCTGGTCCCGCCGCCGCACCAGCAACTGCCATATGCGTCCCCGAACTCGTCTCCGCCAACGAAGCCGCTGCGAGACTGGCTGGTGAATATCGACGACATCCCGCTCCAACCGCTGGACAAGGATAAGCGGCAATACACGCTGCACGACGAGACGACGGATGACAGCGAGGACGAAGAGAATCAGAAGCCGCTGAAGCGCGACAACGAGAATATAGAAGAGGCTAGGAGGCTAGTCAGGACGTTGACCACCGCCCATCAGCCGGCCAAATGGCAAGACCAACCAAGGCAAGTCATCCATCTACCTGTGTACAAGATAAATCCAGAGTCCTGCTCCTGTCAGACTTGATACGTTCGTCACATCCTGTGCGAGGCTGTGGCTGGTCACGTGACCTACTTCCAACCACCACCACCATCACCAGCTAGACATGATTGTGCATGATTACATTGACTGAACCGAATTACTGACCTTCATCACTTGTTACAGGTCAGGAACTCAGACTCCCGCCGCCGACAAACACGTCCATGACCTCGAGTACGTGCCGCCGCCGGACGAATACCGGCCCGGTGTCTTCGGAGCGATCCTGTCCTCGAAACTCGCCAACCTGCAGCGCGACAACATCGAACAACCGCGATACCATGACGACCCCGGTGCCGGCACAGGTGGGGGTCAGAACGCGCAGAACAGATACCAATATCAACCCCGAGAGGGCGACGGCCACCATCACCACCACCGTCCCCATCCGCATCTCCCGTACGGCCACTCACGGAACCCCTCCGAAACGCACGATTCATCGGCCGGCTCGTCAGGCAGGGCGACGCCGTCCAGGCGACCGAAATGGTACGACAAGTCACCTGCCAGCCAGTCGACGTCGTCCATGGCCGCTCTGCTGTCAGGGTCGTCCGCTGCGGCTGGGGCGTTCGCGGCCCCAGGGACAAGCGGATACATACCTCGGCCGCCGCTGAGGCGGCATAAGTCGTCGAACAGCATGATCGCAACGGCGGTGGATATGATCAAGCATCCTGCGAATGTAAGTCGAAAGCCACCAGCGTTGTTCATCCTTGCCCTGCAAGTGTGTCCGTTGTCTCTCTTTGGAGCCAACGACACACAGCAAAACACAACCCCGATCTTTTTTTCCTGTTCCGTTTAAACTGACCCGACCCTTCCCCAGCATTTCCACCCCAAACCCGCCCACAACCTGAAAGCCGAAGAAGAGCGGGTGATCCACGACGTGGCCGAGATCCTGGCGTGCCGCAAATACCTCAAGCGACTGGCGCGGGCACTAATGGCAGTCGGCGCCCCAACGCACAGGCTGGAAGAGTACATGAAGACGTCGGCGCGCGCCCTCAGCATCGACGGCGACTTCCTCTATCTCCCGGGGGCGATGATCGTGTCCATCAACGACAAACTGACCATGAGCACGGAGGTGACGCTGGTGCGCGAGATGCAGAACGTCGACCTGGGCAAGTTCAAGGACGTGTACGAGGTATACAAGTGCGTGATCCACGGCAAGCTGACGGCCGAAGCGGGCACCGAGGAGCTCGAGACCATTCGCAACGGAAAGCCGCGCAACAAGCTGCACTGGGTCATTCTCGCGTACGGCGTGGCCGCGGTCGCCGTCGGGCCCTTCGCCTTCTCGGCACGCCCCGTCGACTTCGGCCCCAGCTTCATCCTCGGCTGCATGTTGGGCTTTCTGCAGCTCGTCGTCGGCACCCGGTCCACGCAATTCTCCCATGTCTTTGAAGTCACGGCGACCGTCATCATCTCGTTTGCCGCACGCGGCCTGGGCTCCATCTACCATCATGGCAAGCCGGTGTTTTGTTTCTCCGCCATTGCCCAGAGCAGTATCGCCCTGATTCTGCCGGGCTATACCGTCCTCTGTGCGGCGCTGGAGCTGCAGAGTAAAAATCTGGTGTCTGGGTCTGTGAGGATGGTCTATGCCATTATCTATTCGCTGTTTCTGGGTTTTGGGATCTTGATTGGGACGGTTATTATGGGTAAGTTCTTCACAAACAACAGCAAAACATTCACTCACTCTGCCCACCGCTTATCATCCAACACGGGTGGACTAACCATGTCCATGACTTTTCTTCTCTCTACCTCCTCCACGTCAGCACAGCTTATACTAACCTTCCGTCTTTCATTCCAGGCCTCATCTATCCTGGCGCCCAAAGCGACGTGACATGCGACATGCCATCATGGTGGAACTCCAACCAACATGACTACAAGCTGATCTACGTGCGGTTCATCTGGGTGCCCATTTTCGCCATGTGCCTGGCCATCATCAACCAAGCCAAATGGCGCCAGGTGCCGGTGATGACGCTGATCGCGTGCGGCGGCTACCAGGCGACGTACTGGATCTCGACGCAGACGGCCAACAACGTGCAAGTGGCCAACGCCATCGGCGCGTTCGTCATCGGCTGCATGGCCAACCTGTACAGCCGCTTCTTCCACGGCCTGGCCGCCGCCGCCATGCTGCCGGCCATCTTCGTGCAAGTGCCCAGCGGCCTGGCCGCCAGTGGCAGTCTCGTCGCGGGCGTCACCAGCGCGAACCAGATCACGGGCAACGCGACGGGCGTCGATGTTATCGGCAACGGCACCGCCGGCTTCTTGGATGCGCAGAACGGCTCGAGCAACTCAACGGCGTATTCGGGGACCATTTTCAACGTCGGCTACGGCATGGTGCAGCTGGCCATTGGCATTAGCGTGGGCTTGTATTTGAGCGCTTTGGTCGTTTATCCCATTGGGAAGAGGAGGAGTGGGATCTTCAGTTTCTAGATCCCTTTGGAATAGATCCGGGGATGCCTTACCAACTTGTTTATAAGATCTTTTCCCACAGAGGGTTACTGATCGCCTATACTTGGACCGAGGCAACAGAGAGAAGTATGTCTGTACCTGTACTTGTCTGTACATGTGCTTGCTATTTGTGTATGAGGTCTATGCCAATCTGGTGTCTGTGATGACGACGACGAGATATGTGCTGCAAAAGGGTATGTCAAAATACGACTCTTTGGGTCAAAAGGAGTCATGGCCATGAAACCATGCCTGTTGAACCACCCTCTCTCTCTCGAGAGACTCATCTATCTTCTACTCAAGATGACTCGAAATGAGCATGTTTCTGTTTCTGTTCCTGTGAAGTTGATAAGAGATCCATAACCCTGCATTATCGGTTTCCGCTGTAGAGGATGAGTGTCGTGCTCTCCTCGGCCATGGTAGGTTGTACAAGGTACATGGCGCCACAGCAGGGAAGTAGTCTTGACTCGGGACTTCCCTTCTGTATCAGATCCGTTCCAAAGTGAGGGGAAATGTTCCTCTCTTCTTCTGACAAGACAACGAAGTGCCCGGGCGATTGAAGATTGCATAGCTATGGCTATAGGGGCGCACCGGACATACACTTCCACGTTCGATCGACGGCATAGCGGACACACCCAGGCCTCCCTATGCAGCCTTGAGCTTTCTTTACTCACTCACTGCTCGAGACTCCATGGTTTTGCACATGTCGAGGGACGTAGCTAGCTAGCGCATCTCAAGACGTGGGGTATCAAGCTGACCTGACGCAGCGCTGTGCTGCGCATGGTCCTCTTCGTGTGCGAGGCAGACTTAATGCAGGTATCGGCGCCCGACTTGTCTTAGATCGTGATAGTATCGATGGTCTCGGTATAGTAAGACCAGAAGAGACATTGTTGAGAACACGGGCGTTGTTCCCCCACGTTGTAGTCGCCCTCGCTTTCCGTGCTGATTGAACAAGACTCCTTGGTGGCTTCTGGCTGGAAATTGACAGGGTTAACCAGTTGTTGGGAGGTCTTAGTTGCATGAGGGAACCAGGGTGGCTTACAACTTGTAGATGGTGCGAGTTTAGATACGTACTTTCCTTGAGGTCAGCATCCGGGCTGCATCGCACCGCATCGCATGACATGAAATGCATATGATAGAGGTTGGGGCCGGAGGAAGTCCTCTGTAGAGACAAAGTACAGAAAGGCGGTCAAGCTGAGACAAGCAAGCGAGGAGGGGCATATACACAAAAACAAGCCAATGACGGGGAAAGATGGAAAGATGGAAAGATGGAAAGATGGTGATGTTCGAAACTTGAACTGGCCGGATCACTCCGGCGTCTCATTCATTCAGTGTCAGGCCTTCAAAGTGCCCGACTTCAACAAAGGTGCTACTAGTAGTATGAGTAGTAGGTCCTGTATTACTTCCTGCCCCAGGTCGTCCGATCCATCATCTGCGCGTCGTCTTCTGTCTGATTTCCGCGTCAACTGTTGTATCTGTGGTCATGTCTCCTGGGGTGTGCCCGGCACTTCCCCTTGTTACAATGCCAAACAAGTCTCAATTCCTCACCAGGTAAAGCCCTGTTCTGCTCACGGAGTGTCATGGGCGATCGCCTGCAACTGCGTCATGATGAAAGCCAGATCATGAAAAGACCCTTCCCAATTGGGTATCGACATCTTTCTGAGGGAATGATGTTCCCGCTATCCCGAGATCATTTCAGTCTCGGTAGCAGCCTCCTGTGGTCGCCGTAGCTTCGCGTCGATAGTGGCAGCGGGTGAAAAACACTTCCTCTGGCTACCATCGCACATCGCTGAGGACGGCACGGTCGTTCGTCTTGTCTCCATGCGCCCTGCGCATCATTGTTCTCATTAGATCTGTGCCCTATTGCCCAAAGCTGCCTCGTATGCCTTGTTGCCATGCCCAAACTGCCCGATAATGCAACGAATTAGTACTGTCCATCACCAATGTCGCTCATGAATCATCCACGTCAGGATTTGCGACGAATAATCTGACGCCCGGTTGCCCCATGCTCATTGTTCGTTCATCCACACTTCCCCGCCGCCGTAAATCGTCAGCCTGCTTGGCCTGGCTCACGGCATGCTGTACCGAGTTCGGCCCAGACATGTCCCTCAGTTCGCCGAACGAGTCCTCGCTAGAATGGCTGGTCAATCTATCATTGTCGGGGCCGTAGTCGGGTTTCGCCTTCGTGGTCGACGGCACCGTTTCAGGATCCTCAGGGATGCCTTGACCAGGAGAGCCCTCGCCGTTCGGAGGCGTACTCGTACTACTGAACCGGCCTTGATCTGGTCTGGGATACCCGCTCCGGTACTTTGCACTATTTGTGCTGCTTCGGCCGCTCCCTGTTCGAGCATGGACCATACTGTTGTCACCTAGACTCTGAGCTTCCTCCTCATCACCCAGCATTTCATTCGCGCTTAGTCGTAGTGGGACGGATGCGCCATTCAGGTTGGCAGGAACATAACCCGGGGCTTTGGGAACACCTCCGTGTCGGATTTTGCCCACCACGCCGCCAGAACTGATGGTACTTGTTCGTCCTGTGGATGTGAGGCCTCGTACTTCAAGTGCCGCACGTTGTTTGGCTGCTCGTTGAGCTGCCGCCAGTCTGGGATCGATATTTTGTGACCTGTCGCACCAAACCGTGGCTTTTTGCTTCCGCATCAACGCGACATATGATGTGGGGCTATTGGTGGACGTTGACCGACCTGACGTGGAACGACGGGGTAGGCTTGCGGAAGAGGCGCTGGTCCCTTGTCTATGCATATTCATATTGTTTGAGCCGGATGATTGCCAGGAGTGTGAAGAGGAGGGAACGCGAGTGTGCCCGGCACCAGGTGGTATTGAAGGAGAAGCCGAGATCGATGACTGGAACGGAGGCGGAGGCACTGTGCCAGAGGAGGCGGTTCGAGAGTGCTTATGATTGCTAATCGTCCTCACTGGCTGTATCTGAGTGCCTGTGGTTGCAATGTATTGTCTTTCTGGTCGGTTAAAACTGACCGGGGGTACCGAAGACGCTGACTGCGCGGGCCGAAGAGGCGAGGAGGAATTCGAGATGGGAGAAGGTGTGTAATTGTAGGGAAGTGTGGCATCTGGGATAATGGTCCCAGTCACCGTCAACACGCTCATTGAGGTCTGTGTGTGCGTATTGTAGAGGGGGAGAGAGAGGTTGAGGTGAGTGTGTTGAGCTCGACCGGAGGAGCAAGAATGGAGTCAGGATGGCGGTACGTAAAGGAACAGGCCCTGGCTGCTGGTGAGCCCTGGGCTCACTGGCAACTGGTAGGTTGGTGGAGAGCGCTGGGCTCCGGCTGCGCGTCAGTTACCTTAATAACCGGGAGAACTGCGCTGCAGGGGAGGGTTTTGGCCGGCACCGCAGATCCAGGGGCAGAGATTGGACAGGCAGAGTGGGTGTAGGGTTGCAGAGAGCCGATCTCTCACGATAGTGCAATTCTTGGTGGTTTAAGGCTGCTTGTGGTGCTGTGACCGCAGCACTGAGCGTGAAAGCGGTCTGTAATTATGAGGATCGGTTGAGCGTCGAGAGACGAGGTTCTCAAGCCAGACAGTCTGAAGCATGTAGCATGTGGGTGAGCAGGCAGCGCCGGAGTATCTAAAGCATGCAGCGTGCAGCGTGAAGCGACAGCGCCTGTCTCGTATCGCTAACCCCTCCTCAGCGGACAAATGCTATAATTGATTCCTGAGGCTGCAAAACCTTGTTCAATTGTGGGCCAGCACGGTGCGATGGCAAGCCATGCGGCAGAAACTGGGGATTCTCGTTGGTAAGCTGAGTCCGACCGCAGACGGCTTGACGGGATGAAGGAGGGTGTCGAGAGGGAGAAGGCCGGCGTTGCGAGAGGATGAGTAGGTAAGGTAAGTAGGTACTAGGTAAGTAGTACCTTGAAGGTGCCAGATTGGTTGGTACGTTGCTCGGTCGATAAGGTACAGGTAGGGAGCCTTGCAGCCGCGGCGGGAAGAGAAGGATGTGACGGGCGTCAACGGTGATTTGTAGGAATTCCTGGTGTGGTGCAGTGGTTGGTGTCTCAGGCCCTTGTAAGTCAACTTCTACAGGATGACTGCGGATGTTCGTTCTTTGTAGTAGATTGCTGGCTGTACTAGCAAGCATGACAATTCAATAAGCATGCCTAAACCGTCTAGTTATAAACCATGGAACATGGGAGCCTCTGAACGGATCATGAACGGATGCTACAAGGATAATTTCTAGACAATGCTATGGGGACCAGGATCAGGGCGGAAGCATTTAAAGTCAGTCAACTTTTTACAAAAAAGTAATAATACGGATGCGATGGCATGCAACTGGCCGATGGAAGCAAGCAACTCGAGAAGCGCAAGCCGCACTTGACACCCCGTAGCCGCAGTTTGATACCTCCAGCGGCACTTGAAAATGTCACCTTAGGTATCTTACCTGTGGGCTTTGTTGGGCGGCTTGTGAGTCTCTGCTTGACTGTGATTCTTCATCACTATCATTGTTACTGTTACCATGGCTAGGAAGTCATATTCAGACTTTGATCACCCACGCTTCATATCTTCAAGGAAGCCAAAGTCAAAAAGACTCTCAAGCCCACCTGTTCACTCCCGCTGGCTTCTGATTAGGCCAAACCAGATGCCGATGGCCTGATCTCCTCTCTTTCTGCCGTCTTTCTGCCGTCTTTCAACTCTCACCTTCAGCTGAAGTCTCAGAGCCCGTCCCTTGTCTCTCCTGCAGCACCCCCGAGCCCTACTCTCCGCTTCCTTATCCTACGCCGAGCCAACCATATGCAGCGGAATACGAAACCCTCTCGACCATTCAGGGATGATTTCTCAAAAAGGGACAATAAAATGATGATTTTAGCCTTGCTTCTCCCAGATGTCATGGAAGCATTCTACCTTAACTGTCCTAGCCTGTCTGGGTTTCCTTTCCTTGCAGGCGATGCATCAGGCAGAAGTAGGGACTTTTCTTCGTCGTTGCGTGACATGGAATGCTGCATTGATTACTGAAATGTCAAACATAATGCCGCTTGTACGCGGTCAAGAATAACAATGTATCTATCTGCTGATCGTGGAGACTGAGTTGACGGCAGACCTGCTCGCTTAGCCACAGTAAAGCTTTCCTGGGACACACCGGAAAAAGAGACGAGCCTCACGTCTCCACATCATCAACGATCCTACCATGGGGAAATACGGCAGCTGGAAAGCTGAGTGGTGGTCAGCTCTTCAACGGGGTCGTCCTAGAACCGATCGAGATCGGAACGGCCTACTAGTAGTAGCCCTCAACGTTCGTAAGCTTTCACTCTTCCGTTGAAGTCCCATCTTGACCGGAAAACTGGTCCCAGAGTTCTACGACCAGTTCCAATACGTCACTTCGTCTCAGGTTTGCTCCATTTATCCAACAAAATTCTTGCTCGCCGGTGTCCAACGCTCACCCGTGTTGAAAACGTGCCCCTGACCACCCAGGGCACACAACATCTTCCAACTCTCGAGTAGTGCAGAAAGTGCAGAAAGCCATCGTTCAGTATACAAGCGACGTGGCCCTCCGGTACCTGATCGACCGGACAGTTCAAGTGTCAGAAGCTTCTCTGAACCTTGCTGTATGCGACAACTCGCTCCATATCAAATCCGGCAATGCTGATGCAATGTGGTCTGCAATGTTTACCTTGAAGCCAGGGGTCCCCTGCGTTGATAGGTGACCAAGTCCAAGATCTCAATTGGGGCGTGTAGGTTTCTTTCCAGACTTCCATCATGCACCTCCATATGGTCGCCTACGTGGTCCCTTCGCGGGCACCGAAAAGGTCTAGGAATCAACCAAACCAAACCTCCATATGGTGATGCATTTGGGGTTAGGGTGTTTGTGGACAACTCTTACCTGCGAATACCATGACTTTTCTGGTTCAACTTTATGGTTTTGCACACCTTCGAACAATAAGCTCGGATAGGTACAGTCGATATGATCTCAAGCGACACTTATCACACATGTGAGAAAGACAATGGCCATGCTCGCGGTGAGAAGAAGTCAATCAACCAAGCACTCCAGCGTGAACTTGTCCCTTGCAGGTAAGCTGAAATTCATGATGGATAACAGGTCCATCAGGACCAAGGCAGCACGAAACCGCGGCCCATTCAAGTTGGGTGGGCACGGCGTCCCAAGCAAAACGCAGCTGCTCCGTGCCAGCGTTCAGTTCCGGCAGGGCACGAGTGTTAGCCGACAGCAGGTGCTGTGGGTGTCAGATCTGAGATCGTCACACCTTGCAAACAACCACCCTTGAGATCTATCACATCAGCATCCACGATCGCACTCGGTGCATCCACGCCTGGGTGTCAGCACGTCAACCAAGCAGCACATAAAGTCATGAATTCCGTGTAACAAGCTGTATCTGCCCAAGGGCTTCGACGACCGAATTGGACACCAATGGTGACCGAGATGGTCTGATCGTTGGATCCATCGAGTGTTTGGCACAGACATTCTGTACAGCGTACTCAGCTTACTGCTGAAATCCGGTTAGAAAAAAGACGGGCCATATTGCTATCGCGCTTGGGCAAGGCTGCATCAAGCTTGACCAGCGGAGTCGGTGGTCAGCTGGAGCGTGTCCGTCATAAGTTGCTGAAAGGCGCGGCCGGGGAGGCCAGGGTCAATGGTTTCAGCTCAGATTTCCTCTTCCTGCACCGTGATTTGGGTTCAAGGATCCAGACGCAGTGGCAGATGTGTTGGGAGTAAGAGGCCGGAAAATCTCCAGACAGGTGTTTCAAAGAGTGGTCAAACAGGCATATTCGAGTCGCAGTCGCAGTCGCAGTCGCAGTGCCAGCGCATCATCTGAGGAGAGTGGGGCCTGCAAGTACGGCAAAAGACTCAAGGTGTCGGTGAGCTTGCGAGCGACACATGGCAAGAGAATCTTCGGCTTCCAGATTGTTTAGCATCATTGCAGAGCAAAGAGTCAACCATCCAGTCAGTGCGAGTCCGAAGCTTACGTGGCTTCTTTTCCGAGGTCAATGGAGGACAGACTGTAGAGCTACGTTCTGCAGCATCTCTGCAGCGCCACCTTAGAGCCAGATGGGAGGTCCCTCGAAGACATGAAGGCTAGCTTTATGCTTCTCGACGTTCAAAGGTTCATTCCTCTCAAGTGGTATTTGTCTTAGTGTCATATATGCAGACGCGTCGCGGCCGATCGAGAGCGAGTTGGAATCTGACACCTCGAGGAGACACTCGACAAGAGACTTGGAGATCACCAGTCATACTCGTGAGGCAAAGGCATCCATCTTGTTGTAGCTCGTTTTGTACTACTGAGAAACTAGTAGGGTCGTGCACCATCTGTAGAGATAAATGTTCTAGGGATCGCGGGTCGGGGCGTGGAGGAGGAGGTCGCTAAGTTGCGGCTTGACACCGCCGTTGACGGTCGACGAGTGGACGCTGAGCTGCTGTCAAAGGCCCTGATTAGCCTCGACTAATGCAGCTGCATATGCATTCGTTGGCAAAACCATCGACAGGGCCTGCAAGTCATCAAGCGCTGTGTTGTGCTGTGCTGTGCTGTGCTGTTGCTGTTGCTGTTGCTGTTGCTGTTGCTGTGCTGTGCTGTGCTGTGCTGTGCTTTGCTCGACTTTCCTCTGGCTGCGCCTGCGCCTGCGCTTTGCGTCCCTGCTGCAACTGGTGCTGTCGCTCCCAGGTGGTAAGACTGTCTGCTCCTCTGGGCGCCGCCATGGTCGAGTCGAGAAGCCTATCTGGAGGATTCATGTATGCCGGGATCACATACCGTGTCTGGTAGTCGCTGTCGTTGCCATCACCCTTGTTGAGTGTTATTGCTGTCGTCGAGAGTGTTGGGTACATGAACTTGAACTGCGCTCACAACGAGCCTCCCCCGCATTTAGCAGACTGCGTGCCTGTTGTTGTCAAGGGTCACTCGCTTCAAGTTCTCAACTGTCTGCTATAGCGTGAATGCGGCCTTCTTCATCTAATAACCCTTCAACTGGGCAAGCATCTGCCGCAATCTCCAGGCTGTGATACAACCGGCACAAATACTCACTCCGAGATGCAGTCCTAAACAGAGAAATTGCTCACGGCGGTATCAACTTCGACGCCCGACCACGACCTAACAAGTTCCTCTCTCGTTCCACTACCGTTGGCCTTGATCCAGCCAGCACTGCGCCCGTCGAACTCGTCGGATCCAAGTGGCTACGGCAGCGCCAATGCAACAAACGACTGATCGACGTCGTTTTACCCCGACCTGATTGTGGCATTCCCTCTCTCAACAACGAGCTCGACCTGGAATGGAATCGGCCGGCGAATGACACCAACATTCGAGGCTACAAGTCTTTCGATAGATGCAGGTTGGTGCTAATCCTTCGCCAACTACGCCCAGGTCCAAGTCTGCTCACGCAATGTGACAGCAGGAGATCCATTTTCTCCACCGGCGTCCTATCCCCAAAACAATGCGCCAGACCATGCCGAACCTATGTCAAGCCCCGAACCTCCAGAGCGTACCTCGCAGGAGGGTCCGTGGGCCACCTACGCTCCTGGCGGGCCGTCTACCAGTGATGGGCACCCGAAGAGTAATATGGGGGAGCCCCATAAGGACAGGCATCTAGTGAGAGGTGGCAGGAGAGGTTCAAACGAGTTGGAAGCAACAATGCCACCCTTGGGCACGACGAATCAAGAAATCCCATTTGCACACATGAGGGTGCATTTCGAAGACTTTGCGCTGCAACTGAGGCTGCATCGGCATCATGAACATCGAAGACGTATGCTTAGTCTTCGCCGAAATCGACTGCAAAATGCTGTGGCTTTGTCCGCCCGACTCCATCGTGTAAGTTCCTGGGTACACGACGGACTGGTCGAAATCACTCAACAGGCGGATGCAAGTGGCTTCACACGGTTGCACCAGCACACGCATGACCTTGTGGATTTATGCTTCTCCCAGTGGAATCATGACATTCAAGGTCAAAGTCCTCCATACGCCCAAAAAGCGGTTGCTAACGAGTCCTTCCTCTCCCGATTACCACCGTCGTCGCAACAAGATTGCCTAGACTTCATCGAAACCCTGCGCAGCAATCCTCGATTTTTGATAGAGAGATTCAAAGCCATGTCTCCATCACAAATCTCGTCCCTATCCACTTCCCCCAAATTCCAGGAACTACCAGAATCCGTTTTAACATCATTGTCACAAAATCGTGGAAGGTCTTCGGCGAAGAAGCGAGTCAAAGCCTATTCGAAAGATCTGGAAGACTACGCCTCCTCTTTCGAGCGTTTAAACCCCCTGTTCTTCCTTGTTCACAACCTCTACGCGCCTTTCCAGGACGTGCAAAGTTCTGAGAGCAGGCTCAGATTTGCCACATGGTCTACTATTTGCTCAAGCCTGATGATTGAATCTGAGCAAACCTTTGACGCTATTGTCGGACAAGTCCTTGACACGTTTGCAAGTATGTACGACTGGCAGATCAAAGACCGTTTGGAGTTGTTCCTGATGAGCATCCTGCAAAGAGGTGCATTTCTGATTGATTTATTGGAGAGTTCGGCATCAAGTCAACAGACCCTTCACGGGGTCTTCGACACGTTCAACACTCCACAAGCTCAAGAATTCTTCGAGGGAGCAGTCAGAGAACTATTTGAAATTTTGTCCTGTGAAGACGGGATCCCAGTTGGCGCCCTCCACCTAGGCCGCGCCATTATAGGAAAGCTCCCAACGGTTGAGGCTCAAAGCCAGTTCCGAGGACATCTGTTCTTTCAGTGGTTTCTAAAACATTTCCTCCGAATCACAATTGCTTACCCTGAGGTATTTCCTCCTGCTCTGCGGTATCCGTCAGCTAACGTCGAAAGGATGAGAAAATGCTTCTCCAATTCCATGTTGGTGATAAAGCAAGGTCACACCTACTCCATACGCTGTGGGACCGCGCAGTCTCCCGAGCAAGTGATATCTTCAGTCCAATGTACAAGCACATTTGATACTGCATTGCCAGGACGCTGACAACTTGTTAGGCCTGTTCAGCCGGTCGATCCGGTGGTAGAGAACTATGCGTCTATGATGATCAACCAACTCGATGCCGACGAGCATTGCTTGGATCCATACCAGGATAGCGGTTTGCCACATGCCCATCCTACGACTGGTGGGCCTTACTTCCTCTCGGTCTGCGCGGCCGAGATCGCCCATGTACTGGAGGCTCTCAATCCTCAGTACATCCACACTTCAAGTCCCTGGGATTCATTCCTTAGCTCTTCCCATTCGACCTTCAGGATGCAGTACTCCCACGCTAGTAGTAAGTTCAATGACCTACGTCGACGAATACTGGACGTGATAGAGCCTGGCCACTCGTCCAGAAACATTCACCCTTGTCAGGAGAACTGGGCACAACTCTCAATATCTCATGCAGGAGTCCTATCGGCCGTGGAAATTGCAGGGTTCTCCGGATTGAAATTGGGAATACAGGAACTGGGAGATCTCCATCTGGTCGAGGACGCAGCTGTTCGTTTGGCGGAAGGGCCTATGTTTGCAGACCATGTGCAACCCTCCATCCCAATTGCGGGTTCGAGTTCCAAAATATCGTCGCTTGCCGATATGTTCGCAACAGAAGCAAGACTAGCCTCCACAAAAACCGACAGTATCGCAGCTTTGTATTGGCAGGACGCACTTGTATATCTACGCCGGCACTATCCTTTAACGGTATTGACAGACGATGACACAAAGGTGCTTGGTCCCATTACCGAAAGACTGAGGTGCGGTCAGTTGAAAATTGCAGAAACTTGCCAACGCCTGGAAGAAGAGGTTGCTCAGCTGGAGGTGTCGTACAGTTTTGCGCGAACAAGAATATCCAAGCTCGCGTTTTGGCTCGACAAGCTTCGAGTGAAATTTTGGTACAAGATGGATGTGGTGAGCTCCAGCGCTTACGAGGATGCGAAGAACATTTCAGCGGCATTGAATAACATGGCTTTATCGAAATTGCAAGGATACGTACCGGATCGGAGGAAGACCCATTCCTCAGGATCGAGCCGGCCAGGCACCTCAGAAACTTCGGCTTCGTCAGTATTTGATCAGCCTCAGATTGACATCACGAGCCTCCTAAAAGCCCCTGCCGAGCACGGTGGCCCGAAGAAACTCGCCGATGCTCAGATTGAACTGATCAAAAAATGGCTCGAACGCAACCACGTGGATAATTTCTGCAAGGGGGAGGAAAGGATTCATCGATTTTGCATGGAGGTGAAGATGGCGACCAAGAAGCTCGTGGGGGAGACACTCAGTGAAAGCCCTGTGTTGTGGTCGAGTGACCTTTTCGCAAGGGAGAAGAACCTCTATGATGTCCATGCCAACACCGCGTTTAGCGCCCAGGCGAGTACCAGAGCGCCCAGCGTCTGGAGTGAACCTCTGTCATCCAGCTCATTTCCGTCACGAACGGGATTCTTCGGGTCGCGAGCTTCGTTCTTCAGTCAGGGATCCAGCAGGCTGGGAAGAGACTTGCTGGGCAGCGACCTAGCCTCACTAATCAGCTCGCCAGGTCGGGCGACAACCGTCACCACGCTGGAATCTGGCAGCAGCTTCTGGTCACCACCTCAATCCAACCCAAGGTCAGTAACGTCGGCCTCTTCACACTCGAGACCAGCATCCATGTTCGAAGATCACGGATTGAATCGACTGGTGGACCACAACTTGGAGAAGGCTAAATTCTTGGCCCAACTCCAGCAGGATTTGACCTGCCTGTTGTTGTCCGACCTTGGATGTCCGGTCTGGAGCTGTGGAAGCGAGACAGACGCCTGGATGGACACCATACTGCACACTGTGGGAGTCGCCCAACGTCTCGAGCAGCGGGCTGTCATTTCCCGACTACATTTGAATACAAATACTCCACGCTCTGCCGCAACGTATGCTCGCAGTGGTGGTCGAAAGCAGAAGACGCGGAGCATTAGTGCAGCTCCGGCGGCACCCCAATCCTCCGGCCATGGCGCGAGTGCTGACGCGCATCCATTCGGTACATTCTGCATGGAGGAGAGCTCTCGAGTCAAAGATGGCGACTTTTCATACCGCAATGCATTCAACGATGTCCTCTCCCGGATACAAGAGCATGTGGATCCCAACTTTAAACTCAAGGCGATTCATGACTTCAAGCTCTTGTCTGAAGCTTGGGAGAAGAGCCAAGCAGAGCTATGCCCGTCAAAGAACAAGACAGTTCTACGAGACGAATCTGCGGTACAAGAACGCTCGCGACGACGCAGTCTGAATCCGAGCATGTTATCTGCGAATCTCGGCAGGCAAGTAGAGCGAGAGAGGAGCACTCGTCCTGTCCCTGCCGAACACGCCACTAACGATGAAAACAAGGTTGTGACACTATTGAAATCCCTGTTGTTCGCCTTGAAACCCAAGACCATCTTCCGTGATCTGCAATACGTCGCCTCTTTGGTATCAGCTCAGACGCTGGCTGACACCGACATGGGGCGAGCGTTCCTCCAGGTCGGCCTCGCCGCGTTGGCATGGAAGGACGAGGTAGGCCGCGCGATGGTGGATGTGTCGGATCGGATTGTGGTGAGAGACTCGATCAAACGAGGAGTTGGTGGGCGAGCAAATAATGAGCCCTCGATCCTGAAGGCAATGGAATACTGGATGATCGCCGCGCGGGAGGGCAATGCTGTCGCTCAGCGAGAATTGGCGAGTTTATACCTTACGCACCCGGAAGTCCCGCCGATTGTCAGTCTGCCTCTGGCACTATCGTCAGAGATCTTCAAGACTGAAATGATGTGGGAAGGACAGGAGAGCTCGGGGCTGCCTCGTATCAGCCAGTCGCTGTGCCTTGCGCTACATTGGATGCAACAAGCAGCGCTCAATGGGGATCCAGTGGCGCAGGCCAAGCTGAAGGAGCGTCGAGCGAATCATTCAGTGCAATGATGGCCACGAACTTGTCGACTCGGATCACTTCTTCGATCGAGAGAAAGAAAGGAACAATAGGGGAACTTGGTCTTCACGCGGCGATGATTTCGAGGGGGAGTTCCTACAGCCGGCTACACTTTTGTCTGCATACGTTGGTTTTTTCTATTTTGGCGCATAGGAGGCCACGTCGATCGATACACGTGTACCTTTGTACTTTGTAACGGAGGCAAATTGCTCTTGATTGATGGTCGCAAAGGTGATATGGGCACTACTGAGTGTGCTGGCACAGGAGACATCGAAACGGGGGTGGCTTTTGTGAGTTTTGACGGATCTGGTTGTGCGAAGCAGTGGAAGCCCACCATGTGGAAAGACCTGAAGTTGTTCGGTAGAGAGATCTTCGGAATTGTTCATGTACTTACTTCTCCAATAGGGTTGCGAGTCAAGGTATCTGGTCGCTCTTCCAAGGGCCCATGTTGAACAGATCAGGTGGTGGTACTACATGTCTTGTGGACAAATCATGCAGAGCAGAGCAACCTGAATCAGGCACGAACTCCCATGGACCAGGGTCGAGGTAGTACAACCTAAGCGTGGAGGTACACTGCAGTTGTTCTGTAGCACCGGAATATGGAGGACGATGAGGTTGGTGGTGGGGAAATTGAAGTGATACTATGCAGAGGGCCTCGATAGGTCCATCTGCTGGATTGCCCACCTCTACTAGTCCTCGCCTGCCTGCACAACAGAGAAAAGCTGCAGAGTGGTGTAGACGAGACTAGGGCGACGAGAATGACGGCAAAGTGATGCTGGCAATGATGATGAAGCATCACTGTGCAGTAATGCGAGCGGTAGTTGGTGGATTGGTGGACGATGGAATCGCAGATGATGAGCGAGAGGCGCAGGCGCAGGCAGCAGACAGAGAAGACCTCCAATGACGTCAACGTATACCAAGAATGAACGGCGCAAAAGACCAAAAATACCGTAGCGTTATGATATATATGTACCTATAAGTAAGTATTTTTAGCCGTTAAACAAAACCTGGTAGTAATTTCTCGATAAAATACGATACAGGGTAAAATACTTCAGATGAAAAAATTACGGTAAAAATACTTTACGGTAAATTTGAACTGACGGTAAAATCCGTACGCACTCAATAATTTTACGGTAAAGTATTAGACTATAGGGCGAAATAATATCTACCTATTTACCACCTTCTACTTAAGGCGCAGATCCACCACAAAAAAGGTTATCTTGACTATCCGCTTTATGATCAGGGTCAGGAGCGGAGGTCAGATCAACTAAATACAGGGCTATCGACGGAGACTCGAAGCGTAGAGAGCCTCATAAGGAGGGCTCCTACCCTGACCTTATCTTGCTCCTGTCCGGCAGCCTCGGCATCTCCAGTAGCCTTATCTCCTCGGTATCCTGTCATTCATGACAATCAGATTGAGGCACGAGGGCAGTGACTAGCAGTGGCAGTGGCGGTGGGTGTTCAACTGATGTAGTTATTGCTCCGCGTCCGGTGCCGGCATAGAGGCGCGGAAAAAGAGACTCCATGGTATAATACCCTTTATCGTGCTTTTATAATGATACAGTACCTTTTTACAGAGCAGCTGAACTGCCGATTTGTCAGAGATATTGTGCAGTTCTCGTTAAACTAGAACGAGTCAGTCAGATGTTGCGGGATGCAGTGCGTGCGAGAGAAACAAGTAGGCGGGCTATTCGCTTATAGAGTGGGTGCTTCTTGGTCGGATTTCCCATTCTGTATTCTCTTGAGGTTGGAGGCTGTCTCACCGATCTCCGGATCGATATATTCTATTAGTATATGAGCCATGTGCAACCAGTTTCCCAGTTCGAAATAACAACTTTCAGTGTGCTGTGCTGCCCGAGTTATCGGCGCAGTCGAACGCGTTGCCAATCTCGCCATTTGCATACGCTGCCAATATCGACTTGATGACAGCGTATGTCCCTCCCACAGTAATGAATGCACCAAGGAGAACCAAGAAAGCGTGAAACCAATACCATGCCTTCTTCGCCACCGATCCTGACTTGAGGTCTTGCCTATAGTCGTACATGTACAAGATAGCGGGCACGCAGATGGCCATCGGCGCGAAGCAAATGGTTCCCGTGAGAGCGATCAGGTAGCTGAAAATGACGATGGCTTCGGCAAGAATAAAGGCAATGGCGCCTAAAGTGATGGTGCAACCCAGCCATGTGACCCAGTGGATGACGGTATTGTGTTGAAGATGGCGAGTCCCACGCAGAATGCGGACGAAGATATATTTGGCGGCAACGTGTTGGTATAGGCATCCAGAAACGGCAAGGCCAATGAGACCAACACCATATGAAGCCTTCTTGAGGGTACCTCCAGCACTGCCAAGGGACGGATTGGCGACCCATTGACCACACCAACGGTACATAACGAGAGAGAAAGCCAGGTAACAAGCTGTCACAAACCCCATACAGAGAAACAAGGCCTTTCTGTAATCCTTTGGTTTGGCCATCTCGGCGATGACCGGCAAGAAAGCGCTCGTGCCAGCACTGGAGACAAAAATGGTTGCAGTTGCCGTCATACCCTCGGCGAAGGTTGCCATGCCAATAGCATGATATCCAAGATCGTAGGGGCCAGTCTGTGGTGCCGCTGCTGGCCGATCGCGGGTGGTGACTCCAATGACAACGATGAAGACGGCCGCGAAAATGGAAACAAAGCCAGCCCATGTAAGCCATCCTATCTTCTCGAACGTCCGGACCGATGCACAGGCAGTGATGATGGCGAAGGACAGAAAAGCCCACCAAACTGTGCACGCTGCATGGTCCGAAAGGGCATTAAAGGCGACGGAGAGGCCGACAATGCCGGAACCAGTACAGAGGACATATGCAGCGATGTAAAGGAATCCGATCGCCTCTCTGAACCAGAAGCCTCCAACAACGTAGCCCATGTCTGCCAGAGCTATGGACAGTCAGTAAGCTCTGTCTGGCATAGAAACGGACCGGGGGTTTACTCACTATGACACTCAGGGTGGCTGTTTCGAAAATCTCCTTGGATCATTGCCGTATCTGTGTGTTTGGGTCAGTGTATGGTCCATGTGAGCGCATATAGGGGAAGAAATTCGGTCCACTGACATGTGTTAAGCGCACCAACAACAACGATCAAGATGGCTCCTCCAACTGCACCGAGAGAGTACATGGCTGACGGAATGGACAGCACGCCGGTTGCAAAGATTATCTTGAGGAAGATGATAGTTGCCCTCTGCCAGCTCACTGTTCGGAAGTCGACGCCGCCCTCGACTTTTTGGAATACCTCATGACTCTCCAGCGGATCTTTTTCGAAACCAGATAGGTCCCCTTCCTGTAGGCTGTCCGTGTGGACAGGCCCAATCTCGTGCGAGGTCTTTTTCTCAGCCATTGCAAGGACTGTGTCACTGTAGTGAGGTTATGCAAAGCAGACAAGAGAGGAGAACGGGATAGACGAAGTTCAATGATCTCCAAAGTGTTGGGACTGCTCAATCACCCCCATCTCTAGCAGGGGCACAGTCGACCTCAAGCATTATATACATATATATCATGCCGGCCCACCCCGCCATGATATACAAAGCTGATACTAGTAGTTGAAACTAACAGTTTCGGAGGTCCGACAAGTCAAGACAATGGCGAATTATATCCCGAATCAGATTCGGACATGATTCGGACATGCCCGACGGCCAGACTGGGCAGCGCTAGTCCTGATAATGAATGATAAGGGTCTAGTTCGCCGTGGTAGCTCTTCTAATTCCCCGGGTGATGTCGTACAAGTTCAGCATAGATTCATGGTTGATGGACCGGACCGGGGACCAGACCCGGACCAGACTCAGAGATAAGCCCCAGACAACGATACTGTCGGTGTCCAATTAAAGTTGTGTGCAATGGGTCCTTTGCCCATGCCGCGCCCATGCCGGCAGTTTTACTCCCGATCAACGGTACGCTTATCATCTAATCGGAATGTTTGTCCCGACGCCGAGTTTCTACTACTAATAGTATGTAGAGACTTGAGGGACTTGACGTCCCAACCGTCGGTTTTATAATGTAACCCCGGTCATACAAGGACGTCTGGACTCTGCAGGTACAACCCAAGCGAAAACCATGGCAGAATCAAAGGGATATCGTCTTGGGGTTGACGTTGGAGTAAGTGCTTCGACCTACTAGTAGTCCCTGCTCTTGACTTACACGGAAAAGGGCACCTTCACAGATATCTGTGTCATCACGCCTGAGGGTAAGACAGTGCGCGCAAAGGTGCCGACCAACGTGACCGATCAAAGCATCGCGGTCAAGGAGGGCGTGGACCAAGTCCGCAAGCTTCTTAAAGAGACCTACGGATGGGATGGGCGGTTTGAGTATATTCACCATGGCACCACCACCGCCACCAATGCCATCCTAGAGGGCAAGGGCGCGAAAACCGGCCTGATAGTGACGGCTGGCCACAAGGATGTTCTAGCCTTCAGGAGATCGCAAATACCTGGTGGGCTCGGCGCGTGGATCAACTGGCAGCAACCTACGCCCATAGTGCCCCTCGAGCGGACGGTCGAGGCGCCTGAACGTATCTCTATCCAGGGCGATGTCGTGCGACCACTGGATCGAGAAGCTTTCCGAGAGAGTTTGCAAGATCTAAAAAGGCAGAAGCCTGATGCCATCGCCGTCAGTCTCATCAACTCGTTTGCAAATGCTACGCACGAGGAGGAAATCAGACAGGTCCTCAATGAAGAGTTCGGCCCCGACGTCGAGGTTGTAACATCAAGTGAGATTCTTCCCGAGATACAAGAAGTAAGTTCGCGAAATAGCAATAGCCATATCCGTCGCGGAATTGAGGTATAACTGACGACATGATAGTATGAGCGGACAGTCACCACGACTGCGAACGCAATTGTCAAGCCAATCGTCAAGCGATACATGCAGGGTCTCGAGAGACTGCTTGCATCTGACACCGACACAATCCGCATCCTCAAGTCTGACGGCGATTTGACTTCTGTTGGTCTAGCAGGCCAACAGCCAGTGAACATCTTGATGAGTGGTCCAGCGGGAGGTGTCATTGGTGTTGGCCATGTTATCTCCAAGAACACGCCTTACAAGAACCTCATCACCCTAGATATGGGAGGCACCTCAACTGACTGTGCCCTGATCCCTGGGACCAATGCTGTGCTGCGCCGCGAGACTGTCGTGGGAGCATTGACAGTGAAAGCACCTTCAGTCGATGTCCGAACCGTCGGCGCGGGAGGCGGCTCCATTGCCAACTACAACACCTTCACATCCGCTCTTCGGGTTGGGCCTGAGTCGGCGGGGGCGTCGCCTGGTCCTGCCTGCTATGGCAAGGGTGGCAGCCTGGCAACAGTGACCGATGCCAATCTGGTGCTTGGATACCTCCCTTCAAAACTACTTGGGGGAAAGTTCAGTCTCGATGTCGACGCAGCCGCCAAAGCCCTCGAGGACATCGCGCAGCAGATGGGCATGAAAGCCACCCAGGCAGCAGAGGGAATCATTGATCTCGTGAACGAAACCATGTACAGTGCCCTCCGACTGGTCTCGGTCGAACAGGGTTACGACCCAAGAGACTTTGCTTTGGTCGCCTTCGGAGGTGCTGGCCCCCTCCACGCCAACGCCGTCGGCAAGCTTTTAGGGTCGTTCCCTATCATCATTCCACCAGCGCCTGGCATCCTCTGTGCACAAGGCGACGCTACTACCAAAATGTCTCATGAGCAGTCTTGTACCTACATCAAGCTCTTCTCAGCGATCTCAGCCGAGGATCTGCGTGCGATGTATGATCAACTCAAAGTCAGCTGTACCGAAACCATGATGGAGGCCCTTGGAGAGAAGTCTCCTGCCCTCCTCATTTCTTACCAAGCAGACATGCGGTATAAAGGCCAGGCTCTCACCTTAACAGTGGACATGAATGCCAAGGACCTGGCACTTGATACATCTGCTCTACTGTCAACACTACGTGAGAGATTCGCGGCCGCCCACGAGCAGTTGTTCAGCTTCTCACTTCCTGATACCATCGATATTGAGATCATGCGTTTGCGCGTCAAGGCAACGGATGACTCTCCCGACGTTACCATCGAAGCTATCGAGGCGGCTCCCAGCAGTACCCCGCCACAGTCTGCTGTCATCTCTCGTGGTCCAATCGTTGTCAACGGCCAGAAAGTCGAGGCTGTCATCTGGGACCGGGCATTGATCAGTAAGAGTGGATACAGAGTTGAAGGTCCTTGCGTCATTACCGAGATGGACTCTAATACACTCATCCTGCCGGGCTTCGTTGGCGAAATTGACAAGATGGGAAACATTATCATCCAGCCTCATGACAAGGCAGACACATGGAGCGAAGAGCTTGTCAACACGGCAGAGTCGGCGCGTGACTACGTGTCGAAAAATCCTCTGGTCCCGACACTCATCGCCAGTGCCCTCGGTAGTATCCGCCGCGAAATGGACACCCTCATGCTTCGATGTGCCATGAGCCCGGCTATCAGAGAACAGCAGGACGAATTCAATGTCATCACGAACTCCCGTGGCCAGATGCTTGTTGGCCAATTTGGCAGTTTCATCAGCCAGTTCCTCGAGAATTGGACAGGCACAATTGAGGAGGGCGACGTCTTTGTGACCAACGACGTGTATCAGACAAAAGGCGCTGTTTCCCATCTGAACGACGTGATTGTCCTTCTACCTATTTGGTACCAGGGCAAGATCGTTGGATGGGCGGCCAATTTTGGCCACTTGACGTAAGGACCACCCCTATCGCATTTCTCTTGCTGAGTGACTTGACTTACACATGTTGCAGTGACGTCCAAGGCAAAGTTCCTGGATCCATGAGTATTGGGGCGTCGACCATTTTCGAGGATGGGCTCCAAATCCCGTCAGTGAAGCTCTACTCCAAGGGCGAATTCAACAGCAGCCTCCTGGATGTTTTCATGCGCAACAGTCGAATCCCCGAGTGGTTCCAAAGCGATCTGACAGCTCTTGTTGCCGCTTGCAAGACAGCTGCTACACGAGTTTGCGAGGTACGGGGATTATTGTAGATTCACTGGAGACACCAGGTGCTGACGTGAATGATTTCTAGTTATGCGATCGGTATGGCCTTGAGGTCTATCGCGCCGCCACCGACTATCTTCTAGAGCGGTGCCGCTCGGCCATTGGCGAGATCATCGAGACGAAATTCGGCAACGAGCGCAGCAGTTTCACCGACTTTGTTGACGACAATGGCCTAGGCCTCGGCCCATGGAATATCTCCTGCTCCATGCAAAAGGAGGGCAACCGTCTGATATTCGACTGGGATGGCACCTCACCTCAGTCAAACAGCAGCATGAATTATTACCTCTCGACGCCAATGTTCAAGATGTTCATCGGTTATTTCCTACTGGCCGTCTACGACCCTTTCTGTGTTGTCAACGACGGCTTCCATGATCTCATAGACCTGCGGGTACCGGAGGGAACCATCCTGCGACCAGTCCGGCCTGCCGCCCTATCGTGTCGAACGCACTTGCTTGGACGTATCATGGATGTCATCCAAGCGCTGATGGGCCAGAGGAACCCATCGTACCGCTCTGCCGCCGGGTTCTCCGACTCACCGCACCTTTTCTACTCCGGTTTCAAGGATTCAGGCGACTGGTTCTTGCTCTATCAGATTGGGTTTGGTGGAGTACCGGCCAGGCCCATTGGTGACGGACCAGACTGTCATTGCTTGTTCCCGGCCATCAAAAGCATTCCTACGGAGAATATTGAACTTTACTTCCCGCTGAGAATCGAAGCCAACGAGAGCGTGGCTGACTCGGGTGGCGCGGGCTTTTACCGGGGCGGAAACGCGCAGCGGACTCTTTACCGCTTCCTCTGCCAAGGCGAGGTGTCCCTCCACGACGACCGGTGGCTGACGAAACCGTGGGGTGTCAACGGTGGCGAGCCCGGCATGCGTAGCAGGAAGGGCATCTGGCGCAACGACTCATATGGAACGGACACCCCTGATTACCAGATTCTGCCCTCCAAGATGGACCATCTGGTTGTCCAACCCGGTGACGTGCTTGAGTGGGTGACCTGGGGAGGTGGTGGCCTCGGCGACCCCCTGACCCGTCCTGCCGAGATCGTTGCTGCTGAAGTCCACCGGAAGCTGGTGACCTTTGAGGGAGCCAGGAAGAATTATGGTGTCATTGTCAACAAGGGTGACTTTTCCGTCGACACCGAGGCAACGGAGAAGTTGCGAGCCGAGCTCAAGGCGGCGCGGCCGGCAACGTGGGGAGATCTGACCTACAATCGTGGCGGGACCCTCGAGGAGATTCTGGCCGACGCTGAAGCAGAGACGGGCCTGAAGCTGCCTAAGCCAGTGTGGGAGCAGACACCTTACGGGCCACACGTGGCACTTCCATATGTCAAGAACTGGTACAAGACAATGAGAGAACAGAAGGGATGGGTTCTCAATGATTCTGTCAAGGTTTGATCGGTCAAATTGCGATATGCCTAGGTATATATAAAATGATATTCATAAAAGTTCCTGCTTGAACTGATTGTCGTTCTGAGTCGCTGACCCAGTTCTCGGAACTCCTCAGCTCGTGACCTTGGTTTGCCGACGCAGTGCCGGGACTAAGTACATGCGTCTATGTCCCCCAAACGTCTTGCACCCGGAAGACCATCAAGTAGACTGGCGGTAGCCGTATCTTCAAGTTCGGACTCTGGCATCGCACGAGCTATTGACCGTGGTATCTCCTACACATCGGTGTGCATAGGTATATATGCCGCAGCATCTCCGCTGGATGCTCACACGCTGACAGGGCAAAGGGTCGCCCGGTGTCGAGGTGTCATGACCAAAACTACGGTCTGACGGATGCCTAACCCCTCGCCTGACAGCCTTTGATCATTTCGGGCTGTCATTTGATACACTGCCTACCTTACATGATACCTTAGGTACTACGAGCAGGTAATAATATGTTAATGCTGCCCCTACTAAAGAGGTACTTAGCTACATTAGTACGAACTGTGAAGGTATAGTAGCCGATCACCAGGCGCAGGCATGAGAAGTACTAGGCAACCTACTCACTAGTACGTGACCGCTTTCCTGTTGCTGTTGCTGTTGCTGCTGGGGGACTCAAGGCACATGCCGCAGCTGCGTATATACAACATAGTACAACATCTCTCGCCTCCTCGTTCATCTCTCCCATCTTGCCCTTCTAAACACTGCACTCACGCTTGAAACGGCGTAGTATAGCATCGACAAGACTGTTATCTTCCAGACCTCGTCGTTGGACTGGCATCATTGTGACCATCTCATCGGGATCCCCCTCCCACACCTCAGCCAACCTTTCCCTGACCTGTCGACGTATCTCCCCCACTGCGACTCGACCCATTCATTGTACCCACCAACATCCACCTTCGACCACCACTTCACCACTGCCAAAACACCACCCGTTCTCCATACCTGGTGTTTGGCCCTTCGACGATCTTCTTCTGCTTGTTGCAACAAGACCCAGCTCGCTTGTGGCTCTCGCCAGTCCTAACTGCCTGTCCGTGCGTCCCGCCTGACTCGCCTCGCTTCTGACAACTTTCGGGCCTTTATTGTCCTCCTGCTTCCCCTCCGCTTCTCCGACAGCACCATCAACACAATAACACCACCACCACCACGACAACAGCCTCAGCATCAGCACCACCTCGTTTGCTCCAATACGATATTGCGATCGATACTATCGCCCGTTTACTATCTCAGTCAGAATGCCTGTCGAAGTTCATCATTCTCCTCCGCCCTTGCACCAGCCTGGTTCGGGCAACGTTCGACCCAAAGGTAAGATAGCTTCTGATGGTTGGTGGTCACTGGACACCATTCTAACACGCATTCTGTTCCAGGCATCTTGAAGAACCCCTCCTTCTCCTCTGCTACCGGCCGACCGGGGTCACCGATCAAAGAAGACTTCCACTTCTCACCCACCACTCCCCTCGACCCCAAGGAGGAAAGAGAAATAGTCCTTCAAAACACCCTCCAGAATGCCGGCCCTCGACGCTCCTCATCTTCTGCTCCAAGGGCCTCTGCCTCTCGTCGTCATTCGTCCGTAAATGCCAACGCCAATGCCGCTCAGCCCGAAGATGAACAAGAAAAGATGCGCCTGAAGTGGGACGAAGCGAACTTGTATCTTGCTGAGCAACAGTCGGGTGGCCGGATGAAGATCACCGAGCCCAAGACCCCCTATCAATACGGCGACGTCATGGAAGACGATGATGAGGAGGAAGACGTGGCTATCGACCCACGCTTTGTCAACGTCGACGAAGTTGATCTTGCAAAGGGTAAACACAAGAAACACAGAGAAAGCGACATTCCCGGTCTTGAATTAGGAGAGCCGGAAGAAGAGTACAGTCCCACCGCCTTGACCGAGGATGACAGGATTGTGAGAGAGCAAAGTCTATCAAGGGAGGGCAGCAAAGAGAAACATGTTAGTGTCAGTGAAGGCAGCGACGACAGAGTTGCAGAACAAGTGGGCATGCCGACCAGAGAAGACCAGGAGAAGCATCGTCAGTTCGAAGAGCGCCGGAAGAGGCATTATGAGATGAGGGAAATCAAGAATCTACTTGGGTATGTTTTTCTCCTTTTCGAAAACATCTTGCAGTTTGTTGGACATTGGCAACTAACCATTGTGCATTGACAGGCATCCTGAGGACTTGGACATGGAGGATGAAGAAGACCCCGTCCCAGCCGTGCTGCCTCGAGATTTACCCGAGAGGTCAGTCAACGGGACAACTTAAACCCGCCTCCACTGCACGCTTGCCGATGAGTCTCGGCAAACCAGCTGGACCTTTGTCGACACTACAGCCCTGTCGAGCAGCGCGAATGACCATTCCGACGGTATCGCAGAAACCGCGGTACACCACGGTAGTGGGTTTCAACAACGGCAGATTTTCTTACGGTCTTTGTGAGAGAAGGCTTCAGGGTCCGTGCGGAGGTTCCGTTTCTTTTTCTACGACCGACTCCAGCCTCGATCGATCCATACAGCTCCTCAAGATTATACCGACCGCCGGTTTTCGTATCACCAAAAAATGCATCGACCTCTTTGACTTTTGTTTTCACAGGACCTTGTCTTTTTCAGTGCATGACGAATAGCGACTCTCGGATTCAGAATTACGCCTTGCCCCTTTTTTATGTTTGTCCGCGTTTTCCCAGGCACGAGGGACAACACGTGTGGCATTGTTTTTCTTAACCCAGGATGAGCTTTGCACTTGTTTTTCCTTTACGCAAACCCACAACTGAGAAGGAAGCTGGGGATGATGAATGAATGAGAAGTGGGTGAGGGATCGAATGTGTAGCATGGGGAACTGAGGTCTGGGGTTTCAAGAGTGGTTCGAGCCACAACAAGGCAAGACTGCAGGTGGCTCTTCCTGCCAGCTGATGAAATTGAGCTCGTTGCTTGGGGACACAGTCTGGACAAAGAATACCGCCACTTGAACTTCCAAAGGGGCGTGGTGGAAGTTGTGTCTTCGTGGCTCGGAGGGAAGGGAAGAACATACGGAGATATCAGTCAAATCAACTGGCAGTCCAGGTGTGCCGCTGCTGTTATACCCGAGATAAACAATAGGCGAAGTCTTATGTCCTCTTTGCTGGGGCGAGCGACGGCAATGGCTTGCCTTGCCTTGCTGTGCCTTGTCATCGATATCGTGATGAATGATTGTTCCTTTCCTCCTCCCGAGACTATTCAAAGTTCGACGTATCTAGCCAGCCAGCTATCTAGTAGTTTAGCTTATGAGGTCCTCCAAGTTTGGTCAAAGGAAGAACGTACTACTAGTATCATGTTGAAGCGACCCACGAGCCCCTCAAATATTAGATATCAGGGAGATTCAGGAACTGCGTCAAGGATTCATTCACTACCTTGAGCAAGCAAGCATCGCCCACATTTCATAGTTTCAATTATCTTTATCTTTTGTCAAAAATGAAGGCTTTGTTCATACACGAGTGACAATCTCGAGAGGACTCGGGACTACAGTAGGATATATCCATCTCTCAGGAATCCGGTTAAGAGGGTTTGATGATCTGTACAATGCAATTCAATGCAATTCGATTCAGTTCAGTTGTCCAGAGTCTGTCTCAGGCAGTCTTCAGGACCAGTAAGCCCCGTCACCATGAATTTAATTAATTAATGAACCCTCCCTCGATGGAGAGCGGCCTTTGTCGAATCGAACCATGACTTGTCAAACAAGCCTGCAGGCTCCAGGCTACAAGAGCCCAGCCCCAGCACCAACCCCAGCTCTGAACGGAGAGCACATCTGACCACCCATCCACAATTTGCCGAGAATCAGACTCTGCACGAGATCTTCGTTGCACATGACCTTGACCTTGAGCTCGACCGTCGTAGTCGTGGTCTTGGCGTCTTTGGTTCCGGTGTCATTGTGGTTGGTCGCCGGCTGGTCGTGGTCGTTGCTCTTTCTGAACCGGGATTTGGATTTCCTGCGGCTCTTGTCCTTGTCCTTCTCTTTGTTGGTCGCTCTTATGCTGGCTGGCGATGCTGACATCGACATTGACGCTGACGCTGATGCCGACAGCGAAGTCGACATCGAGACAGACGTAGAGAACATGGTCTTTGCAGCGGCGGCGTCTCGGTCATCGACAAAGACCCATTCGGTCGTCTCATCGCCATTGTTCACGCCGTCATCGTCTTCTGTCACATGTGTATCACCATCAGCATCTTCTTTTGGCAGCGATCTCAATCTCGAGTTCGAGTTCGATAATGACATCTCAAGTCTCGCCTTGGCCGAAGCCAGATCCGGTTCCAGCTCGATCTTGCCTGCGCCCAGAGCTCGGATGAGGAACAGGTAAGGCTTCCTTCGAGCCTCCGCCTTGCCCTTGCCCGTGACGACGATGACGCGCGAGTTGCCCAGGATATTCGGTCTTGAGGACATCATGTCTTTCACGGTCACTCGCACTCTGCCATTGCGTTCCGGATCTTGGGTTTCCTGGGTACTAGCAGTGGCAGTGGCAGCAGGCAAGAGTCGGGACTTTGTGGCTCCGTCAAGTTCCGCGCTTTCACCAGCAGGCAAGAGATACGTTGTCCAGTCGACGAAGCGATCCGATCGAATGCATGCTTCGACCCATTTGCCGCTCAAACACGGCAGACCGAGAGCCAGGGCTTGCATGTATTTCTCCTTGCGCGAGTGTCGCTCGGTCAGAAGTGCAGTGAACGACAGGTCGTCGAACTGCGGTTTCAATTTCAGCTCTGTCGAGTCCGGTTCCAGAAGATCTAGGAATGATTCTTGCAAAACAATACCGCCGTGGGTTTCGATGAGTTCGACGAGCGTGGCTTTTCGCAATGGGTCCTCATAAGAGATCGCGAATGCCATGTTCGCAAACATTCCGTCGCACGGCGGCACAGCTGGTAGACAGAATGACGGCGCTGATGGTACCACGGCAGTCAGGTTTCGACGTTTTCTTGAGGCCGGTGTGCTCGGAGTCGACGGTCGCTCCAGAGGTGTAGAGATGCCTGATGAAGAGACTGGGTCGACTGCTCGGTACTGGTAGACTCGGTCACGCATCTGTCCCCACATGTTGTTGTCCAAATAGATCGAAGACACGGGCACCGCTTTGACCGAGTCGGTCGATACCTTCGTTGGGAGACTCTTGCGCTGCCTTGGGGTAACTAAAAGTGTCTTGTGCCCTTGTCTGTCTGTGACGGGATTGGCGTTGGCTTTCCCAGTTGCACCAGTGTCCTTCCCAATATTGTCCTTGAAACCACGGATCACGTACGACACTTTGGGGAATCCCTCCATATCGACTTTGACTTGATCTCCGATACGTAAGTCGAGACTTCGGATACCATATTCGTCAACCTCGTCAGGATCGTACCCTTCCCACTGTATCAAATAGCGAGTATTCTCGGCGTTGGCAGGGCCGAGACACAAGGCAGGATAATATGCGCGAGTCTTGCCACTGAAACATGCAAAAACCATGTTTGGAGCAATCATTGATTCAGCGGTGAGAGGTGCGATATGCTTCGATGTACCAGGGTTCTGGCCATTATCGGATACGGTTGGTTCTGGAATGATGTGGGCGCCGTCCTGCTCCGGTTTGGAATCCATTACCTCTGGAGCAACCCTGGAGAATGATTTGGTCCGGGATGACTTGAGACGTTTGGTGAGGGCGTGTTTGGTCTTGTTGTCTGCGTTTGGAGAGTCTTTGGCCTTTCGTTTCAGTCCCGAGGTTTTGATGACTGGCACGATTGTCTGAGGTGGAGACGCTTCCAAGTCCCATGTTTCGCGTCTAGCAGTGGAGCGTGGCGCCTGACTTTGCGTCTCTGGGGCCGTGATGGGGTTTGTTGACGCTTTCTTCCCCGGGCGGGAGTTCGTCGCCAAAGGAGATTCGGAATGAGCTGGAGTGCCTCCAGCATCGACTGCCGATACTGGGGTTCTAGGCTCAGGGACATTCCCATCCACTTCATGCACTGCAGGCTCATCGTGCTCTGGCCCGTATATCGACTGCGCAACCCCACTGCTTCCAGGAAGGTCAGAGTGTGATCGACCTGGCCGTGGGTCCTCCAAAATCGTCCGGTCAAGTCTCGGTGTCTTGCGTAAAGGGCTTTGGAAGTTTTGATCGAGTTTCAAAGCATCAGTAGCACTAAAGCTCAGTTGGGATTTCAAGGGAGATGGCGCGGCGGCGATCTCGGCCATGCGTTTCCGTCGGCGGCCCGGAGGGGTGGTGGCAATGGGGGGACTACTCAGATCAACCCCGTTGCCTTGGCCTGAGTTTGCAGATGATGGCGGAGGCCGGGTCTGCGCAGTCTCGTACTGACCACGACTGTCGGAGCCTTGCTGCTGCTCATCGGACTTTGCTAAAGATTTTCCATTCTGAGCTTGTTCATTCGAACTAGTCTCCGGAATTGTACTGCGCGCTTGTTGACACGGGGACAACTGTGGAGGAGCACCATCAGCGGCCGCTTTTGCTGTCTCTTCGTCGATCTCATCAGATTCACTGGCTTCGACAGCCCCGTTCTTTGACGGGATCTCTGTATGTTGCAGCACCACCGATGGGGATTGTGGCACACAGTCAATGCCTTCCTCGACTTCATCGGGATTTGGAACCGGACTAGTCTCTTCACGCTCTCTCAGTGGCTGTACTGGCTGAGAATCTGCTATGGCGAAAGGCCCTGAACTGTACGGTAAGGCTGCACCCTTTGAAGCGTTGACTGCCTGTCCACGTCGGAGAGAAGGACTATCCTGAGCTTCGGCAGGAAGGTCATTCGTGACGCGATGGAGTCTTGCAGTAGTTTCGGGTATTTGACTTCCTCTTTCCGAGTAATTCTCCTTGTTGTCATCTTCGAAAACGCCCTGGCCTTGACTCGACCGTGAAACGGCGATGTCGGCATTATCTTCTTGCTCAGTCTCCTCTTCACTATCGTTGTCAGGGTTGGGACAGCTTGGGCGGCGGGTTGGGCTTGACTCGCAACGGATGTCTGTACGCTGTGTAGCGCGAGCACTTCGAGGTGAACCGTGACTTGGAGACCGTATAGGAGAAGACTTGGACAGAGCGATGCCCCTTCCAGACCCTATAGGCGGAGATGACAGCCTCTTCACAGTCGCTTGTCTGCGCTGGTCGATCTGGCGTCGCCTGCGATCCTTGACTATGGAATCCGGCTCATCGTCAAATGCGTCATCCGAGTCGTCCTGATCATTCATCATCTCTTGCTGTCTTAGCAGAGCCTGACGTTTGCGTTCATCCTGCGATTCCTTCGAGGAGACATAGCGTGCGGCTGGCTCTGTCGATGCTCTTGGGTATGGCGACATGATGTACCGCATCTGGGAGGAGCTTCTGGCGGTCATAGGACGTGGTTGCAGTTGGATGTTTGGCGACGGTCGATCGGAAGGCAATTCTACATGAGTGTCTGCAACGAGAGGTGAGGTGTTTGCTTGTGTTGCCGCAAAGGCCTGGCTCAAACCGAGCGAGAAAGCGTCGTCTTCGACACCACCTCGCAGCAGCGGGTTCCGAGGAAGTGCAGGACTGTCGACAGTATCTCCGTTGTGCCTCCTCTTTCTTCCAACCGTAGCTGGGGTCTTGAAGCGCTGAGATTCCGGGAATTGAGAAAGCGCACGTTGGCTCTGGGTGGGTGAGAAATCGACAGGATCCGAATCGTTGTCGTGGGCCGCTTCTCGCGGGGATACTAGACTGGACACAAGGTCAATATGGCCTTCATCACCCTCATGTAACGTGAACTGTGTTTCGCCCTCTTCATCTTCTTCATCTCGGTCCTGCACTGCATCCTGTTGCTGAAGCGCACTTCGACTTCTACTGTTCAGGATTGACTCGATATGTGAAGGCGACAAGACCTGTGTTGCTCCGTCGCTGTCCTGACTCGCCATCTTCTGCGCGACAGAGATGACCTTGCTGAGTGCAACAGCAGATGGAAGCGAATTCAGCTGACTCTCAAGGTCGGCATTTGTATTAATATTAAGTGGCAGCGGTTGCTGAGAGTCAGGGACGGTGCTGGCGAGTTCAGGGACAGGATTCGGTAAGGTCACAATGGTTCTGACCCGCGTGGCCGGTTGAAGTGGAGGAAACTCTGCATATGCAGCCTTGATCGCCTCCAGATGTCGTTGTCGGATCAGTTGGCTTTCTTCTGAATCCGACTGCATGATCCATGGCGCAGTTAGCGTCAATCACATTCAGGGGTACTGACGACCAGGATACGGAAGAATCACACCTGAATTGGTTGAAGGACATCCCATCTGAGTCCTGAAAGATCAAGACTCTCGCTTTCCGTCTCCATGCAAAGCGCGCAGACCCATGGGATCCGGAACTTTGACCATTAAACAAAGAAAATCGGATGCGTGAAAGGCGTGTCAGGGTCCGTCGTGTCTCGTGGCGTGGCGCGTGTCACTTTACGCGAACTCGAATCTAAATCTGCGGGGGACACGCCTAGAAGCCACTAGTCCTCGAATGGATTCAAAAGTACTAAGGTACATGTAGGCAGTGCGCACTTCACATTCACACTCCTCACGCTGCGGGAGATGCTGGAGATACGCAGGCAAGCTGCGATGTTTACAAGGGCAAAGAACAACAAGAAATGCCTGAAATCGCTCATTTATTCATTGAGCTACGTCTAGGGACCAGGGCGCGGCGCCTGATCATACGAAGGTATCTACACATTGCACCATACCTTTCCTACCTACCTAACACATCAGGCGTATTGTTTGTTCTCGGGGCGACCATCCTATCGAAGTAGTCGCAAACAACTCAAGGCACAAGAGCTAATCGTGAATACCAGTATACACTCGAACTTCTCTGCTAGGAGCTGAGACACCGCAGCTCAGGTGGCTGAGAATATAGCATTGCCAGACCCGAGATATTTGGTAGGTGCCTGCGCTCGACACCGTGCGAACACGCTGGGAAAATGGTACAACTGAGGTTGATTTGCCCTGTTCCCGCCACCCATTGTCGCTGTTATCAAAGACTGTACATACCTAATAAGACACATGAGCCCCAGCGCCAAACAAGTGAACTGGACCCCTATCCATAAGATTCATAACAACCGAAGAAGACCGGAACCATTCACTGCAGGATCCGCCATCAATCTCGGCTTCTGTTCGGTGTCCAGCGCCGAACATTGACGTCTCGAATTTTGTATCGTGAAAGAAGATGGCCGATGTCCACATCCTTACGCTTCTCCTCATTCTTCAGCGGAGGCGGGACATCCACATAGCATAAAACCAACTGTTTGTGCACCTGTGCTTGAACACGGTTGATTCCATGCAACCACCACCAAGTTTTCTTGCTCTTACTTTCAACCACCTTCTTCAGCTCGGGTGTTTCAGTCCACGAGGGGTGGCTGTATGATGGGACAATGACAACAGCAAACTCGGCATGGGAGAAGGCCGGGCCTCGGTTGTACAGTAAGTAATCGGTCGAGAACTTGACACCTGATCGCACAACCCAGCCTAGCGAACGGTAGTGATGATATACAACATATGACAGCACGAAGGGGTCGTCAGGCTCCGCAGGGGCGGACAGAGACCGAGGAGGATGGTATGAGTGTCGCCGAAAGAGGGAGAAGAGAGAGGAGGGGGGAAGGACAGCATCACTATCATCGCAATAGATCTGAAGCACGCCTAGCCCGTAGGAGAGAAAGAAGGCTTCCTCCATGGACAGGTTCAGGTGCTCTTGATTTTCTTGCACTGGCAATGGTGTACTCTCTGGTTGTACGTTCTGAAGAGCTGACGATCCTGGACTCTTGATTGGCGAGATCACAGGAGAGCTAAGGTCGAACTCTCTTGCCTCGATCGTCGGGGAAAACCTGACGGTTTTGGCCCGCTGTCGCTGTCTGAGCGGGCGTCCCTCCGTCTGGCTGGCTTCTGAAGACGTCGATGTAGGCGGCGGGGTGGGCAGTCCGTTGGCCTCGATCGCCTGCTTCCACTTATTAAAGTCAAGAATCGTGCCGTTCTCCTTGCCTTCCTCAACTTCGGGTGTGACGGTGCCGCTGGCCGATTCTAGAACACTGCCGATGTCGCTGAAGTCTCCTGAATTGGTCTTGAGGACATTTTCCGCAAAGATACCATTGACATGGCCATTTGCGATCTCGTTGTTGCGTTGGGACTCTTCCACCAGTTTCCGTTCTATCTCCTCCTGTTCTTTACGTGCTCGTTCTTGTTTCAGCTGCCTTCTCTCCTGCCGGCGTTGATTCGTATTCTCTTCAGCAGTAGCACCTTTCTTCCGGCGGTTTTCCAGCCACGTCGGCTCACTTCGGCTCAGGCTGCCTTTCCCAAAAAACCCCATTTCCCATAGCTTGCGTACGGTATCCGGGTCGGTGACATGGATTGACGACGTGGCTGATGAGAAGTACCCATTGTAGCTTGGACGCGCAGGCGGAGATAGGACTTGAACCAGATACGACAAGGCAATAGCCACCAACGACAACGGATTGTGAGGGATGAGCACGGGTAATGGATGGACTTCGACAGGTAAGAGGTTCCGATGTATGTAGTTGTAATTGGGCCGCCGCGGACGTCTTGGAGGTTTAGAGGTGTTGGGCTGGGTCGACGAGGCCTGATTTGGCACAGAGTCCGTCGTGGAAGGTAGGGTAGAAGACATTATGAGGACATTTCCTGGACCTGCGCAGGAAACCGTAGGTCAGCGTTATGTTTGGACAAGTGTGAGTTTCTTCTCCAGAGGAGTCACAAGAGCAATTATTCCATCAGATACCGTTGTAGTCTAATACAAAGGCCCGCATTGGAGAGGCAGCAGAAATCAAAAGCTACCTCCTAGGCAACAAAAGGGTCATCACCGGAATAATGGGAGAACAGGGTATGATTCAGCATATGATTCAGCATATTGGGCATACTTACGTCGCAGCCGATATGCTGGAGGTCCAAAGGAATTGATAGGGAAAGGCCGCACGGCCGAAGTTCGGGGCCAATAGATTCTCTCACATCGCACAGCGTGTGCCCAGGAGACGACTGTAAAGTCGCAGGCGGCTTCCGGCGAGAAGAGAAAGCTGAGATTCGTGTGTTGGTGGTGGTGGTGATGGGTAGGTGAAGAAAAAGGCGTACAGAATCGTAGGTACACTGTGGTAGTAAAGCAGATTCAGTTCAATCTCGTTGGCTGTGATAATTTTGGCTTGGCCGGGCGCGGGGAAATTTTTCGGAATCGAATTCTCGTCGACGTTTGCCGAGTTGTGCTACAGCCTCCAACCACATCTTTTGCATTATCGTCCCATCGACGCACACGAGAACAATCCGCGGTCCATCCTCGTCGACGACCACATTTGTTAAGGAGGTGCACGCCGAACTAGAGGAGCGCAGAAGAACCCGAAGCCGAAATCGTCACTCACCGACCTTCTCCTCTACCGCACCATGCATTTGATGTACACGGAAGACCCGGTCACGGGCAACAGAATCTACACACTGAAAAAGGTTCTAGATGGCGTTGTTACCAAGTCGGCACACCCTGCTCGATTTTCGCCGGATGACAAGTACTCGAGGTAAGGCCGCGTGGACACGGAAACAGTGGACTTGATCTCACACAAAATACAGACATCGAGTGACCCTGAAAAAGCGATACGGACTCCTCCTCACACAACAAAGTAAGAATACGAGCGCAAAGTCCTCCCGAATTACTAGCAGAGCTGACTATCATTTCCAGAAATCGAAAAGAAAGAATAAATGGAACAATACATGACAATTGCGGCGTGTTGGCGTTTTGATGGAGAAGGCAAGGAGAAGGGATACCCAGGAGAAAAAGCAATCAACTGGCTTGCATACGTCGACTAGATGATTTATTCAGAAATCTGAAGCCTTCAAACTATCGCTTTCGAGAATTGATGTTTCGTCCGCCTCCAACCCTTGGTCTTCCCGAGGTCTGACCTCGGTTGCCTGTGAGAATGTTGGGAAGGATATCCTCGTCCATGAGATCCCTCTCCTTCGTCCGCTTCATCGTCGACATGGCCCGAATATACTCTTTCTGATCCTCGGCGAGAACTAGCTCGTTGCCCCAGCCGCCCTGTCCGCCGCCCTGTCTTGGCCCCTTCCATTTCTGGTTGGAACTCCCGCTGGCGGGTTTGGGTATTGAGAAGACGTTGCCCTTGTTGTTCCACTGCATGTTCGCTTTCAAATGTAGCTTTGTCTCGCCCTTGTCGTTCGTCGTGCAACTCACTCGGGTCAACGTAGGCTTTCCACAGCGGGGACAGAATTGTTTGGTCATATCCTTGGTTATTGCAAAGCAGCCGTGGCATCTCAGGACAAATTGCTTGATTTGTGAGATTCTCTGACAGGTCTTGGTCGACAAAAGATTCAAGTTCATTTGCAGCAACACGTTCTGCATGGCAAAATCGCCGGTCATCGTGGCCACCTGTAGATGCTTCTTTTCAGGATGTGTTTTGCTGCCTGCCGCCTCGTCTTTGGCTTGTCGCTTTTTGATGTTTGAAGGAGTAATCCACCCCTCGTCATCGTCAGATGCTTCTAGAGTTTCGCCGGTCTGATCTGTTGATTCCTCTGGTGTCGGTGGAGGATGTGCGGAAGACTCGATTGTCTGTGCCACTGGCTTCTCATCTTTGCGTCCGTCTCTATCCTCGAGAGCAAGTGACTCAACCTCCAGTACAGCGGTGTCCTCGGCTTCTTTGTTATTGGATGCCTCGTCGTTCTCCAGAATCTCCATCTCTTCTCCCTGTGCCCTAGGCTCTTCTTGTGTCTGAGATTGATCTTCGTCTGATTTGTGAGGTGGGCTTCCATTCACACGCTTCTGACCCGGCACAGCCCTTAACCTCCAATCACCGCCATTGCGCTCACATTCGATATCATACGCCAACGCCAGCACCTCGAAATCCGTCTGACTGAGGACTGCGCCATCTCCAGTTTTCCGGGCAAACTCTTTGATCCGTTTCACACTCTCCGGCTTTGGGGAGCGAATTGAGAGAAACGGCTTATAGAGAGTGTCGATCCGTGAGCGTGCTTCCTCGCCGCGAATTTCGGCGAGCACTGATGGTGTAGTGACAAGAACGTGGCCGTTCGCAAGAAGGGTGGAGATACCGGGCGTGTTGAGGAGGAATGGTGACGAATCGAGAATGATGGTGTGTACCGGCTTAACAGTCTCGGGTGGTAGGGTAGTCGCTTGAACGGATTCTGCCATCTTGTTTGAGGGCGAGTCCGACAGAAAACCGTTGTCGACTTCTCATAGAGGTATATGCACCGGTTACCGGGCAAAAACAGAGGCAGCGGGAAGAAATTTATGGAGGCAATGAAGAAGGTTAACGTGGTGATCTTATCTTATCCTATCGCTTATCGATTATCAGCCGAAAATGCTCAAGCACTGAAAGAACCTGGGCTAGTAAAGTAGTGTATGAGTTAGGCACCTTAGGCACCCCTTATCATTACACGCCTAATGAGTACGTGCTGCTAAGTAGTACTGCTCCGCGCTGCGAGCAACCAACCGTGTGAACATTTTTGTCCTTCGTGTCGCAAACTAGTCTGCCGGCAGAGCATTGTCTACGATTACCGCAGAAATACCAACCAGTAGATCAAACCCAAATTGTAATCGAGGAATAAATTCTATCAATGATCAACTCTATCAAACAGGGGTATATATACGGCGTCAAACAAAGTTCTTTCCCAGGGTTCCAAACACAAGCCCGAACGTCGATGTGGTTACTGGTCTGCTTCGATATGCATCGCTGCAGTATGGATTGCCCATTCTATCGGGTTATGCCAGATCCCATCCTAGGCAAGCTGTGCCTGCGGAGATCCACTTGACTCTGTCTCCTGGAGTTAACTTCGCGCGAAGCGTTTGTACTGGCCCGTGACAGTCTTCTAGAGTCAGAGGTGCCAGAGACCGAGGGCAGGTAGGAGAGACTCCGGCCCAAGTTGTCGGCACGAGCGTCTGCCAGGGACTGGGCAAACGGCGAGCGCTTGCGGAGTGTTGGACCATACCAGTAAATGACATAGACAGCCATCACAAGGAGAGTGGAGATGCAAGCCAGAATGGTCACGGCGTAGTCGAGATGATAACGACCACCGATGTCTATCAAGCTAGTTAGTTTGAAGACACGAAAGGACAGCGGAGAGGTGACTTACTGCTCATGAATGGTGTTGCTGGAATGGTGAGGACACCGGCCAGGAAATCTCTAGACCATCCGTTACCTCCCGTCGCGGATGCGGAGTAGGGACCATAGGCGCAGATCATGTAGTCGATAGTGGCCATGTAGATGGCATAATTTGCAATTCCGACTAGGACTGCAAATACCATCGAGCCAATCCAGTGAATAGGCGGTCCCTGAATAGTCCAGGCAAATCCAAAGAGGCCGATGGGAAGGCAAGGCGCAGTCCAGAGTAGCCACCACAGTCGTGATTCATATTGAGCCTTCTCATCGCCTGGCTTGGCTTTTCTCTCCTTGACGTTCCGCCTGATTGCGGGGATGAATGAAATCCATGCTATGGCGTAACCGAGACCCAGTGGAATGAAAGAAAGGCCGACTGCAAAGATGGCAAAATTCCATTGATCGTATACCAAGGAGAAAGACTGGATGAACATGAAGATCAGGGCGTCGCTGAACCCGCTCAGAAGCGATAATGTAAGGACGATTGGTTCAGTGAGGAACATTTTGAAAGGCCGGATCCATGTAATCATGATTTCGCTGGCAGAGAAGCGGTCCTTGAAAGGTTCGAGTTCGTTGGGGCCCCAGATGTTTTCACCAGTAGCCTTGCGTCTCTTCTTCGCGATTCTGTCCATAAGAATGGTTGAACGAGTCTCAGGGACAAGGAAGAAATGGCAGGCTTGTACAAAACCGCCGAAGATGAGTTGAATCCAGATAGTCCATCTCCAAGCTAGCCACTGCTCAACGAAGCCACCCACAATCGGTCCCAGGACTGAGCCAAAGACCGACGAGAAGACAACGTAAGCCACAGCGTACTGCTGATCATCTGATTCCCACATATCCGCTGGCGGGGGGTTAGCATCTGCACATGGAAACCCCGAGGACGGAGGCACTCACCAATCATTCCCAGAGTGACAGACCCTCCAGCTGAACTCAACCCACCAAGAGCTCTGCCAACCATGAGACTTGCAAAATTGGGTGCCAACGCGACGGGCAGCTGCCAAATGTTCACCAGGGTCAAAGAAGCCTGTAGGATGGGCCATCTACCAATCTCTTCACTCCAGGGCGCCCAAAGCTCACAGCCAAAAGCATAGAGGACAAGGAATATCATGGCACCGCACCGAGCAGCTTGAAGACTGACATTGAATTCTTCCGAGATGCCAGTGAGGCCGTTGGAGTACAAACTGGTATTGAAGTTCATCGAGAGCTGGACGAGAAAGATGACGGTGAGGATGGTCCATTTCCGCCACGTGGGAAACGAATACCCCAACTCATCATAGCAGTCCTCCTCGGTGATCTCGATCTTATCGAAGGTTTCTGGGTCCGAGTCGTGTTCGACCTTCTGTTCCGGCGCAGGTTGTCCAACATGTTCCGTCATGCGGTGCGCGCCGTCTCCCGGAGCCATGGTGGAAGCCTTCTCCCACTCGCCGTTCTCCTCTCTGGCCTCGATCGGGGCCGCGGGATCTGACCTGGTAGGGTTCGACGTGGGTTGACGATCAGTGGAAGCCATAGCTTGGGTCGATATATGGTTTGTTATTGTATGTCAACTCTGCGATGACCACATATGGGTATGCAGCGATGGTTGTCGGGATGGGGGGAACGGGGTATATGGGGTATTAAAAGAAGGGAGGAGATAATATAACGTCTTGCTCAGTCACGAAAAATGCGCTTCTACCTTTTGCGGGACGCCTCAATACTAATAAACAGTGGACGCTGGGATACAAGCCAGACACCATCCTTGGGCAAGATGTGCGATGATATCAACAATCTCCATCGCGGTGGAGTAGATAGTTGCAGGGAGTTGCAACGGATCCTAGGGCGGGTAGTAACGCTGTCCCGTGTACACAGTACGTACCTACTCTCGCTACCTACGGTACCCAGGCAATCACAGCACACAGCGTGGCGGTATGATGACGATGGGCCGAGCGAGCCGGTCATTCTTCTTTTTTGCATCAGGTCAACCTGGTCAACCTGGTCAAGGCGGCGCGGGTTTTGAGATAGCGGAAAAGCCAATTTCGAGATGAGAGGCCCGCCGTCCGCTTTGTGTGGGTCCTATCTCCGTGACCTCTTGAGGACTGGTGTGAGCACCTGGAAGCCTGAAAGGGGATGACTCGGAGGAGGAGGAGGAGAGGAGGAGATTGGAGGAGAGTCGGGGAGACCGGGGCGTGGCGGTCGATGCTGGGGCAAATTACAGGCGTTTGGATGCCATTCCGAACTTGTCCGCCGGATACAAGAGTCGGTGTTGGTGCCGGGCGCAAAGTTGATTGGCAGATGGCCGGTTCAGCAACAGGAAGCACCGCGGTAGGTAAGGTGCAGGTGGCCATCACAGCCACGTCGACACCTAAAAGATCATGTGCATGATCAAAAATGTGCCCGGCTGTCTGAACGGGCAAAAGTCCGGCTAGAAAGTTGAGGTCCTCCACAACCTGAACAGCTGACAAGCAAGGGGCAAGACTTCACTAATGGCCCAACTAGTACCATAATAATGACGTAGATATGGTGCCTGTATCCTCCGGGCGAAAAGTCTGCGGGCGAATGAGAATGCTCTAACGATGGACTAGCATGATGGTTGCTGATCGATGCCCTCGATGAAAGATGGCTTGACTGTCTAGGGCCCACGGCAAGACGGGTAATCTGCGGAAATCGGCACTGGCTTATGCAACTTAGTCACCTGCCAAGCTGCCAGCTATGCCAACCGGGGTATCACTGCCGCTAATATTGAACTAGCGTGCTAGCGGGCTCAGATGTCACGTCACAACAACAAACCACTGCACTGGCAGAGGGCGACAAGGACTAGGTAGTAAGGTAGGTGTACACGTACTCAACAATAACAGACTTCAACACGACAAATGAGGCCAAATACCGAGGTATCTCCCTCTACAGTGACGGCTTCAATTCTTTGCTGGAACAAGGTTTGACAGAATCAAGATGGTGAAACAGGATGAAAAAGTGTGATGCTTTCAAGCTTCCTAAGGTGTTTTCTAGAAGACCTCATTGTTCGTTGTATGACAACCAGGCCAGTGCCCGTTAGACTTTGTGCCTGATCTCGGGTACACTTTGTTGCTAAGAATGCTCCTTCGACAGAGCACAGTATTGGCCATCCTTTCCCTAAAATGTCCGCTGTGTTCCATGTATCATTTGCGCCCTGCAAGACAAGCTTCGACCATAACTCGGCGGTATTGGCACTGGACAAATTCAAGTTCTGACCTTTGCTTATTTCCACCTCAGCCAGAGATGCTCTTGGAGGTTCCACGCCGCAGACATTCATTCCATCCAACGCCACGCTAAACTCCTCCATGGGTATCAGGGCCTTTATAAGAATATCGGCCAGACGGGTGCGCCAGACCTGGCTCGAAGTTGCTCAGGAGGAGGAGGCCGCGCATCCGGAGATCTGCCAGGGGGTGGCTGTGGCTTCCTGGGTGCGTTTGTACCGTCCTGTTCGGTGTTGTCTTGGAACACCTGTAAGGTATTTATCGCCCAGTAAGCTTCAGCGAAGTCCCCGGGATTGTTGGCCACATATTCCTCGCAAGTCGGCGCCCGCGTGGCACAGCTAGATGTGTTCCAAACTTCACCCGCCCACTAAGAACTCATTAGCATCAAGCACAGGGGACCAGGGAGTCAGGCAGAACCGACCTGTCCGCAGAAGGTGGTGTCAAACACAATCTGCAAGTTCTTGAAATGGTCGTCGATATTGAACGAGCCTTGGAAAATAGAGTTGGGCGTTCCCCAGCTTTCAGTAGGGACCGGGGTGCTGCTGACAATATCATCCGGGAAGGATCCTCGTGGGAAGAACCAAATCTTGATGAAGTCCGAAGTCCACTCGGTCGCGAAGACGCCACCCCCAGCTGCGTTGAACTCATTTCCGAAGGTCAGATTCGAGACGTCACCAATAGAACAGCCTGCATTCATCGGTTGGTCCGGAGCGTTGACATCGCAGTTAGGAGTGACCAACTCTCCCAAGAAGTCCGTGCCATTGCTGACCACCGCTCCTGCTCCAGTATGCAAAGTCATGCTGTTCGTGGCCTGAGTATTGACCCCCTCGACGATATCTATCTCTCCGTTGCTTGGCCAGTCAGTCCCTACCATCCAGAAAGCAGGCCATGTGCCGCACACCCCTCCCGGCATGTGTACAATGTCGGCAATGACCAGCGCATGTTGGAATGTCTGTGTCGATGAGACTCGAACACTAGCCCGTCCCTGCGGCGCCACCTCTTCCGTGTCCACGCCCATGTAGATGGCAAAAGACGCATTTTCCCCTTCAATGAAACCTGCCAGACCGGTGGAGTTGGCTTCTTCGAGAGATTTGAACTGCACTAGGCCGTCGGTCGGGTCGGCGTCTGTGAAGAAGTCAAAGCCTTGCCAGAAGGCATCTCCAGAATAGTCCTGCTGTAGCTGGTATGCTGCGAACGTGGTCTGGAAGAAAAGGCCGGCCAGCAGCAGGAGGAGCTTGTTATGAAGCATTCTCACGTTTGCTCTTTCTGCAGACGCGGTGGTTGAAGGAGGGATGGGGTTTCTTTGACCGTGAGGGTGTGCCACAAAGGGTGAGCGGAAAGAGAGGGACAACTGCGACTCAATCGCAGTGCGTGAATGAGAGTTTAGGCGTGATGGGATCAAGCGACCATCGAGGCCTGGAAGAAGGTACTGGCAATGTGGAAGGAGAAAGAGAAGACCGGCGCAGGCTTAGAGGATTCAGAGAACGGAACATGAACGAGTTGGGCTTGCTCGAAGAACGACGGTCTGTCCCAAAGCAGAGTAAACAGTAACGTGCCAGTGAGCCAGAGGCACGCGTCGACAGGGAGAATTCCTCCATTTCCTACCGGCACCCTGCTGCGGTGTGCAGGAATGTGGTCGGTTGTCGCTGGAGCGGCCACCCCAGGCATCTGGCCATCTGGGGGAGGAGTCTGGGCTCGACATGACGGGCTCCTGGAGACAATATTGGACCTCAGGCAAATGCGGGAGAGTAGACAATACAAGACAATACAACTGTTCAGCTTGCACAACAGCTCATCTCAATCCAGTCGATTATAGAATGAGAAGGAGGAGATGAAACCATGAGCCAACAGAGCCCTCCCGGGACGTCCTAGAGATAGCCTCGTATCGCATCTTGGTCTTTTGTGAAACGCGTTTCGGCGATCAACCCCCGCAGTCTGATCGCGTCCCACGGCGGCTTTTTGACTGGGCAACATTTAATATTTTGAGCCCACGCCACAGTTCATCAAACAACATACACAGTCAGTTTCACACATCCAATGCCAGTCTAGACCTTTGGCCTTGTCTCTCACCCTTGCAAGCAGATCGCGGACAAGTTATGGCTGCCGGTATCTTGCGTTTGCGATCCAGTCCCCGATCCAGTCCCCGATCCAGTCTCCGACCATCATGACCACCGTGGCGGAGCGAGTGCCAACTCCGCCCGCCTTCGAGCCCTCCGCCTCTCTCGCAATCGCCCATCTGTCTCCAAGTTCAGCGGGACCATCCTCCTACATTGCAGCCAATGTCGCCTTGGTTTGGCCTTATTCTAGCTCCACCCGTAGCCTTGCCTTACTGCTAGCCGATCCAGATGTTCGTCTTCGGAAACAAAAGGGACAGGTCAAGGTAGTCTTTCGCGATGGGGCTGCGAAAGCAATTGCGGAAACCAAAGTCGGCATTGGAGATTCGATATGGCTGTCATTGCATGGCTGTGACTGGAAAGAGACGAGTCAAACATTGTCTACTCCGGGGGAAAAGATAGACTGGGATCTGGAATTCCGCGACCGAGTTCTCTTCCAAATTGCTGGAGATCAGGTCGACAGAGCAACTGTTGACTACACTGGTCACGAATTAGACTCGCATCTCCAAAATGGGGCTACTACACCGTCGGATAGGCCAGAGGCTGCGAGGACCCAAGTCAATGGGCTGGTCCGCCCTGAACAAAGCACCATCCGAGTCCAGTTGACACCTTTCAAATCAGCCAGGAAGTACTCCAGCGGTACCTTCATTGATGCGTCCCTCGATCCATTCGCCGAAGACGATGGCTATGTACTGGGGAAAGGCCGCAAACGTACCAAGTTCGCCAGGCACAGTGGTGCCTGGAGCTTGCTGGACTCGGAAAGTGCAGAAGAAGATAGCTCGAACACGGAGAACGCTTCGCGCAATGCAGAGGCGTTACTGTTGGTCACACCCCCACAGCGAGCAGAGCTTAACGGCGTATCAGATGGAGCGAGTCCTACGAGAGACAAGGAGGAGGGCCTTGGGGAGGCTAGCACAGTCTCGCAGGACTCCATGCCTTTATCTCCTATCTTGCAACCGCCAGACCATAAGGAAGGGGAGCCACCCAGTCCACAGCCCGCCGCCGAAGAGAAAGAACTGTATACGAAACCCACTTCGATCGTTATGGGTCCGCCTCAGACGCCTCTGAGGATTGTGCCCCTGGAAGCAAGCTCTGGCAACAACCATGAGGTGCAAGAACCTGACGAAGATGAGTCTAGTGCTGCGACGACGCCGCGACTACTTCCACTTGCATCCCCAGGCCTTCCGCTGGTCTCGCCGCTCATACGGCGGTCCGGCGTCGAACTCGGCTATTTCCCAGTGTCTGCAGGACTGATGTCTCAACTGGAGGCTTCAGGAGAGGGCTCAGGCAACACAACGCCTGATCAAGACGTTACGGTCGCTGCTGATCACGTTTCAGTTGAGTCCGATGGAACGCCTCTGGTTTTGGGAGATATTACTTTTCAGAGACGAGCCTCGAGCGAGAGACTTTCGGAACCCCAATATGAGGACGATGCTGCTGTGAGTGAAGAACACCAGGCAACCGCATCACCGGTAGATCTGGAGTCGAGACCTCCTTCTCCCGAAATGATCAACCTTCCGAATGGCTCGCTTTCAGCACAACCAGTCTCACCCGGAGAAGCGATCTTTGGCCGCGGAGTTAGTCCCTTACAGGCTGATCCAACCCTAGCGACTGTCATGGGATCAAATTCAGCAGTGGTTGAGATCGAGGACGACGACATGTATGGGGCACCCGAGGAAGCCCCGCGGCCAAGCAGCCCAGTTGCACCTACCACCTCACTCATGCAAGCACAAAGCTCCTTAAACGATGTTGAGCAGTCCACGCAGAAGCATCCTACGACGAGTAGTCCTTACGCGGAGTCACTCCCCGTATCAGGCACTCCCCAGTCGCGACGACTGCCTTCGCGGGAACCGTCCGATGCGACGTGGGAAGAACAATTGACCGTCGGCGCTGTTGACTGCCGATCGCCTGTGACGTATTCAGCACCCCCGTTTCCATTCATACAAAATTGGCACAAGTCAAGAAGCTCCCATTCGTCGAGTCGCCGATCTTCTCGTCACTCCCAAGCCCGGTCTCTTGACGGAAGTGTTGACGAAGATGACAGCTCTGCGCTTGATCATAGCCTGGTTGATGAGCGGGCACCTGTCCAAGGCGAGGATGCTGACGCAGCAGGGATAGGAGCACAATCTGTGGCATCTGAAGAGTCCATGCAGGAAACGCGAGAAGAATTCTCAGAAACCGGCCAAAGGGTATCTGTCGAAGAGGCCGCGAACGCCATTCCCACCCAAGAAGAGCAATATGTCACACCGGATGCCGAAAATGTGGTCGAAGTTTCACCAACATCTCCATCATCTGAGGCTATCAACAGAGAAGATCCAGCCGGACAGCTGCCGACTCCAGATCAGACCCAGCGATACCAAGCTAAATATGATTACACGGTCGAGATACACCCTGTTCTGCAAGCGACAGCTGGCGCGAATGACCCTCCCTCACCCCAAGCAACGCAAGAGGAAACAACAAGTGTCATTTTGCAGAAAGAATCGCAAGTGCTAACAAGTGAAGAAAGTGCAGCTCCTGCAGCATTCATGCCTCTTTCGAATACGCAGCCCGAGACAACCACTTATCGCCGGACGTCTCAGCGACTCTCAGTTAGAAAGTCAGTCATGCCAGTCAACATGTCAAGTCCGTACTTCACGCCTCGCAAGTCAGCACCCGTACTCTCATCGCCGCTTGCTCGCAAAGAAAACATTGAGGGTCCGGCATCCGGCTTGCAGAATATTCCATCCTCTCCAACGGATGAACGCAGCAAGTCGATCGTGACGCGTTTCTCAGTTCATGAGGCAGAGCAGAATACTATTGACGCACTCATTCGGGATCAAGCAGGAGAGGCTAGGACGGGCATCCAAATGCGGAACGGCACCACCACTTCTCTGTCATATTATCCTCACCTCACCTCTCTACACGAGCATTTCGGTAACTTGGTCGATGTAATGGCTGTGTGTATTGAACGATCCACCGAGTCACAGCGATCAAAAGCAGGGCCCAAGGACTACTACACCACGCTCAGACTCGCCGACCCTTCAACAGACTCTGGTGTCGGTACAGTGGTCCAAATCTTCCGACCGGTTCAGATCGCGCTGCCGACAACCGAGCCTGGCGATGCCGTGATCATGCGGGATTTCAAAGTCCAGACTTCGAATCGGCAATTCATGCTTTTGAGCACCGAAACATCCTCCTGGGCGGTTTTCAAAACCGGACATTTTCCGTCAAACCCCATTGTCAGCGGGCCACCCATCGAATATGGTCAAGAGGAGGCGTCGTACATCGAAATCCTCGCTCGCTGGTGGCACAAGGAGAGTGAGGGACTGTTCTCAGGCCGGGCATCATTGAGACACGAGATGGACAATACAGGTGTCACGGACAACTTGAGTGCTCAGGAAGCGCAAACAACGGCGTCTCACTGGGGCAAGGATGATAGCCGCTCTCATCGTACACCGGCACCGGCCAGTCGTCGCAAGGAGAACCGGACAGACAATGCCAACAACGAGGGCGACACTGACGAAGAAGTGCTCGTGGATGAAGACGACCTGGACGAAATCAGTGGCACTCCGTTGGTCGACAAGACTAATAGACGACGGGAATCTACGGCTTCGACCACAGCGCGGTCCACCACCATGAAAGAACCGGGCAGGGAATCTGTTACTCCTCGACGCAGCACAAGAGGTCAAGCATCCCCGAGTGTGGTGCACGAGCTCAGAGATGGCACCAAATATGTCGACCATGGCCGGCGCCGAAGTGGGAGTGTGGTACATGAGCTGCGAGACGGCGTCACATATGTGGATGAGTGACGAAACAGACATTCATAGAGGCGGCTGAGTCCGTACATCATTGCCTGCGGTTGCTCCCACTGCAGCATTTGCCTCGCATGCAGAGCATGGCAGGACACGCGTTTCATGGGCTGTCGACTTAGGACTGTCAGGTGTGAAATAGTTAAGACTGCATGGCTCGCGGGAAGAGTCGAGCGTAATTGAAAGCACCAGACGGGCAAAATCATGCTGCATGTTGATTCATCAAGCTCTTTCTGTCTTCTCCTGCCAACATATAATGCTCTTGGCTACAATCCGTGAATGTTCAACCTCCGTTGAGGTTATGCAGACCACGTTCACAAGAAAGTGAATCCCAAAGCAGTGAGAGCGCTCAACCCAACGACAGTCCACCCGGTAATGATGACTTGTTTGTTTGTGATAGTCGCGCCCGTGTCCCAGACCAAATGTCTCAGTCCGTTGAAGCTGTGGAAAGTGAAAGGGAATGCGACGAGCGCCTTCAGTCCGATTTTGACCAGGATGGGCAGGGAAGCGAAGCTCGCGGCCAGACTGGCGGATTCTAGGTGCCAGCCGAACATGGGTGCGACGAGGTAGGCAGCGCCGAAGACGTAGATCGCGCCGGACAGGGTGGCGCCAGTGATTCGGTGCAGACCGGACAGATACCATGTTATCTGGGGTCGGTAGATGGCTAGATGGGGGGAAATGGGACGATGGCGACGCTGGCTAGCGAGGATCTCTTCGGCTGCGGAAGAGGAGATTTGAGTGGTGGCTGCTGGTCTATGATGCAGAAAGGGAAAAACAGAGGTCAGTTTGATACAATCATAGGAGGTTTGGTGTGCGTGAACGAGGAACATCGGAGTAAAAGAGTGGGAGGGGTGGAATGGTCGCAACAGTCCTCAAGGGCGAAAGTGCATGTCTGACACTCGTGTTGTCCCTCCTCTTATATATCCAACGATAAATGGGCCAAGTTGCTGAGGTTGAACTGAACAGACTGAGGTTGCTGGAGGGTTGCCCATGGTCGTCTTGTTTTACCGAGACATTGAAGCAGTGCAGACAAAAGGTGCCGGTTCCGACGCTGGATTCTATGCTGTGTTTGTGCTTGTGCTGGCTCACCTGTACTGAATATGTTGACCCATCGCAACCGCCACGGGAGCAGGTAATCTCGACAAAGGAGTCTTGCTGAAAGTAGACGGGTTGGCGGCGGCCACTATACAGGATGTTCGGGTCAGTTACAACTGCGCTGCCGTTGCGACCGGGAATCGAATAACAATCGCGGGTGGGAAGTGAACGACTTACATCGTCGAGTGGTCGCCTGCAACGCCCTGCGCGAGAACACGTTGACAGACATGACTGCAGCAGCTGCTTCGGCAGGATAGGATGTGAAGGTGCAGGAGTGGTAGACTCTTGTTCAGTCAGTAGTCAATGGGAGGGAGAGTCGAGCTCATGATGTCCTGCTTCCGATGATGGACGGCGGATGCAATGGACATCTCGGCTGTCTCCGCTTGGCGGTGCACGTGATGAGCGATTACAACAGCAGATTGAACGCACGTTGATTGGCTGTTGAAGGGGCCTAGGAATGATTGGTCGCTGCGATCGTGGAGATGATAGTAGTATGGAGATGATATGGAGATGTTGATACAGAACTTCATCCCTTCCCTCTCTAAGGTACACAGTGCTGAGGTATGGCTTACAGGCCACCATGGCCGAACAGGCGCGATGGTGTAAACAATTACTGTCTACTAGCTGCCTTATGGCATCTAAAGCGGGAATGCTTGATACAACTCCGTATCTGGTTGCGAAACAGGGGGAGGCCAACATCGAGAGAGGTGCTCTCGTGAAAAGGGTGTTAAGATGGACGCGATGGCAGTACAGAGTATCTCGCATACTAGTACTTCGGTGTCAGGATGTGGATGGCATATTAGCATCCTTCGGCAGGAAGGCTACGTTATGTTGTTATATCGTAGCGAAAGTTACGTCCAGAACGCAGTCTCTACCCCTCCATCTTCAGCAGGACCTATGGGCGCAGGTACACATGAACTCGATTGCTCGCAAATTCTCTTAGACTGAGAGAACACGATGTTATTCCGCGCCGTGGACATATGGTTGCGGAGGCCGCTTCAGGCTCAAGCCGTTATAGTCTTGTTGACCTGACCGAGCGGGCGCCTGGAGGGTTTTTGACCGGGAGGACACCACTTGTTGTTGCAGCTTCACTCGCAGGATGAATGCAGCCTCGCCCAGAGTGAATCTCCTTGTTTCTCTATCCAAACACTCCATGCTACTGCGCGCTCTCCCTACCTCGCCGTCCATGAAGTCTCCTCATCGGTATTAGCATCTTTACCAGGATGTGATCATGTCGACTACTGTTAAGCCGGAGTATGCTCGTGCAGACTCATGTATCTGTTCCACATCCTCCACTCCCTTCGTCCGATCTATGTGCCCTTTCCACAGTGATCGCGACTTCGTCAGCGAGATGCCTAAGAGAACGCAGGGATTTAGCAGAAGTCCTGAGAAGCGGCGTCTGGATCCCTACCTCGACAGTCCTACCAGAGAGGCAAACGACGCGAAGCGACAGAAGACGTCTAACACTGACTTCCCGGTGATCAACATCCCGCGACCTCACCAAGAGCCCTCATATTTCTTTGTCGCGGCGGAGATGCTGGAAAAAAACATCACACAAAAGCCGGTATTTGGAGACGAACCCGGAGAACAGATACGCACACAGCCATCTTCTCTGTGTCAACCCGTGCCGCCTGCGACGATCGACTTTCTCGGTGCAAGCCCTGAGTGCCGTCGACTCATCTACCGTCACCTCCTCGTCTCACCGTCGAAATCCATTACCTTCTCCGATCGGACAGCGTCCCCTTCCGTCCAAGCTCCGAGACGTCATCTCCAGACCTCGATCCTGTACCTGAATAGTCAAATCTATCGTGAAGCGACAAAGGTCCTATATGGGGAGAACACCTTCATCGCAGCACATCCTTCACAGCTCTTTCTGCCAAATGGCTTGCAGGGCTTACGACGGAGGACGACAAAATTCATCCGACACCTATCGTTTGAGAAGAGTGGGAGCGGTGCAGATCTGTGCTATGAGACCAGCGAGTCCTTGTACCAACCCATCTGGAAGATGATGGTCGCTTACCCCGGGTTCCTGAGCCTCAGAAAACTTACTCTCCGCCGTGAAGTTCTCCGACCTGCCGACCTCGACTTGCGCGCATTGCGGAATCTTACCGTAAAGCAAGGGAAACCGATAGATCCGAGACCCGTGTACGACAAGAAGGACATGGTGATCGCGGCGGCTGCAAAGCTGGCGTGGAAAGCCGCGGACCGGAGGTGTATCTTTGAGGGCCTCGTTCATGTCGAAGACGAGGAGAAGGAAGTGCGTTGGAAGAACAGGACTTTCTTGAGCAATACAACCGAGGTCTGTCTGACGATGGATGGAGAAGATGGAGTCGATTTGTCTGCAGAGAACAATCTGCATTCGGCGCTTTTGGACATACTGTTCCATGGAAGGGAGGGTGATCTAGGCGGAGCCGACCGAGCATACCGCCAGTATTTGGGGAACCGGGGCTACTGTTGAGCCATGTGTGCTCTACATCAGAGACAGACATGGAGTTGGTGTTTGATGGTTGGAAAGAGTCAAAGAGAACCCCCTGAGTACCGTGCAAAGATAGCGGGCCACCATCAGAGATCAATGTCAGAATTCACTTGAAAGATATCGTGGCACGACCCAGAAACGTTTCTAGGATTGGACATCCGCCAGCTGCGTGTAAAGGTTTCTCCGCAATACACTCTTTCAGCATGGCTGAGCCCTTTTGCACCTTGAACTGGGACAAGGGGTAGAACTGCAGTGGGACAAGCAACCTCTATCAACAATGGCACATTGGCGGCGGATATCTGCGGCTGTCTTGAGTTGGTGGTCGACAAGCCTCACCGCATGAGAGCAGAGAAAATCATGCAACAAAACTTAGTAGTACTGTAGTATGCGAGGAGCTGAGTGAAAAGTCTGATGGTTCCTGCATCATCACTAAGGTATTGATTGACCTTAACAGTAGGTCCAACCCCTGTCAGTTGTTTGAGCCAGCGTTGATGAAGCGTCCAAACAAACCCAGGACAAGGGCGCAAGTGGCGGGATTCTCTACAACAGCAGATATCCGTCAGCTTTGTGACAGGGCGTGCAACCCAAGAGACTCGGGAGCTACCAGTAGTATCTAGAGGCAAGGTACCGAAGGACAACCGTGTACTACTACGATAGACTGTCACACAACTTGGACCCAAGATCACCTGCAGATCGTAGCCGAGTGTCGAGCTTCGAGCGATAGGGCGTGCTTGTCATTCAGTGCAGTGTTTGCGACGAATCTGCCATCCTACTACTACTAGTATTTCCTTGTTTCCATCACGGGGAAGTCGGTGGGTGGATGTCACATTTCTGTCTTCTATACTTATACAGCAGACCGCTCTTGTGTAACTCCAATGTGACGATAGCACGACGCTGGTAAAGAAAGCACCCGAGAGCGGTGCCCTGAACAGTTCGGATACCAGGGCTCGTACATCTCTATACATACCCACGCTATCACAGTCTATCCAATACCGACCTATAGGGGATTCAACCAAGATGTTCGCCCAGCCAGCTGCCAGTGTTGTCCTTCCTCTACCAGGATACTCGTTCAATGCGCACATCTCGTCGCCTGCCGCCGTGCAGCTTCGGCCTAAGACAGAGAGGACACAGACGCCAACACCGCCATCGTTCTCGATCAGAGCGGCAACTGTTCAAGATGCACCAGCTATTGCTGAACTAGGGGCGACCGTTTTCTCGACGACCTTTGGCTTCTCCATCCCGACGCCGGACCTCAACACCTATCTTGACGAGGCATACAGCGCATCCGCCATCGAAAAGGGCATCCTCGCCCCATCTACACATATTATCGTGGCGTGTGCAAACACCGACAACAGAGTTATTGGTTTCGCACAGTTGACCGAAGGCACAAGCGAGCCTTGCATAGCTGACCTCGAGAGAGTGGTCGAGTTGCAGCGCTTGTATATCTACGCCGATTTCCAAGGCGCCGGGGTGGGGAGGACCCTCACCCGCGAGGTCGAGAAGATGGCGCGAGACCGGCGATATCGCATCATGTGGTTGGGCGTGTGGGAGGGCAATTTCAAGGCGCAGCGGGTGTACGAGGCCATGGGATATTCAAGGGTTGGGGAGCGTGAGTTCAAAATGGGACGATGTATTCAGACAGGTTGGATCATGTGTAAGGATTTGTGATTTATCGAGGGCAGCGTTGTTCTTGGGGGTTTGGGTATTGTTGTTGGTCTTGCAGGCATATTGGTATTTGTACCCAAGTATTGCTGGGTTGATAGATACCTATTTCAGGCAAGTATTGTGATGATGTGACCTTGATCATGAAACCCGTGCGCTTCATTGAGAAGAAGAACATAGGCGATTAACGGCAGGTCTGATGGGTCCTTCTGGGACTCCGTTGAAGGCAAAGAACTGAAAATCAATTCGATGCCTGTACCACTTCTAGAGCAATCATGGGTGCTGCGAATGTGAGCCGCCAAGCTGGAGTCCGTGAGAAGGGAGAAGAGAAGAAGAAAAGGAAGAGATTTGTGGTGGTGAGGAATTTGTATGGATTTCACTGGGCGACTTGGCGGACTACACTCCATCTCCATCTCCATCTCCATGCCAGTGCCAGTGGCCTCCATCTGTCCTACTCGGACACCGCAGGTCAATATCGTGCTCAACTTCCATTGCGCGACGTTGAATCGCTTTTTCAGCGAACTCGCGTTCTTGTTAATTCATTCACTACCCACGATGTTCATCTAGGCGTTTCTTACCAAGCGTCTACTCCCACTTTAGGCACCCTCTTCTCTCGTATACATTCTACTCGAGTCGCCATTCTCTACATCTCCTTAAAATACATCAACCATGCATAACGCCTTGAACCGACTACAAGCGACCTTCGGGTTCTTCACCACCTGCGCATTCACCCTGGCCTCAATCATCGCTGTCCTCTCTCTCATTCCCGTCCCTGCCCCCACAAGCTCGCCCACTGCCTCAATCGGGGTCCGCAACGTCCAGGTCGTCAAGGGCCGGCCTCACTACTACTCTCCGAAGCGCGAAGAATACGCCCAAGTGAGGTTTGATCTCGATGCCGACCTATCCAGTCTCTTCACGTGGAACACGAAGCAGCTGTTTGTATATGTAACCGCCAACTATCCCAGCGGAAAAGACGGTCAAGGAGGCACGTCTGAGGCGGTCATTTGGGACACCATTATCCCCGCACCTTCGACGCCTTATTCCTGGCAGAACCTGAAACAAAAATACTTCCCCGAGAAGAACAAGAAGTCGAAGTCAAAGAGTCGGAGAGATTCAAACACAAAATCAAAGACCACGGATCTCGTCAAGCCTGGCCGTCTCTCTTTGAAGAATCAAAAGCCGAAATACCAGATCACGGACCCAAGCGGTGTCCTTAGTGAGAGAAACAACGCTACGTTACAGGTCAGTTGGAACCTCCAACCGTGGGTGGGCGCCTTGGTTTGGGATAAAGGTTACCTGGGCCAACGGGTTGGGAAATGGGGTGCGGGCAAGGTTGGCACGAGTGAGACGTTCGATTTTCCACCATTGAAAGGCAGCAAGACAGATGCTGTCAAGGACAAGGAGGGGCCGAGGACTCCGAAGGTCGGGTCCGCGTCACCTGTTATTGAGTTGTAGGCTGGCATTCGTGAATGCAGAAAATGCTGCTTCTCGAAACTCCCTCATCATCTGGCGCGCATCCCCGTGACCTCCGGCAGCAACTCGGATTTTGGAGCATGCACAGATACCTGCTCGCTGTTCATGATGTTGAAGAGATTCTGATGGGATGGTCGATGGTACTTGACTATACGGGAGACGCCAGCATGCACGGCCAGACATGGGCGCCATGAAATCCCTCAATTCCAGCTGTCTGTCGTTTCTTACGATCACCAGCGTTGTCAACTATCTGAGATCGATCCTTCCACGTACACTGATGGTTCCATATGGAGCTTCCCAGAGAGTCTCAATCATGTTCTGGTCCAACAATATGAAGCGATCTGTCCCAGAACCTTCAATACGCAATCGTTCGCCCCAAACAGATCCAACAAGATGGTTGAAATGGTCAATTGAAAGACTATGACGAATTTGATTGAGAATCTGGGAAGTTACGGCTGCATGCCATCCTCGTTACATGCATAATGGCTTCCTAGCTATGCGGAAGCTTCAGGCTGACGGGGCACAACTTTTGTCCCATCGGATGTGCACCCATGCGGATGTCAGCAAGACTTCGAAAGCTACTGGGCTGATCAAGAAATGTGTTGATGATGCAAGTCCAGGTCATGTCCCACATCAACGGCCTTCCATGGCAAACACCCCCTTCCAGGGGTTAGATAGATGGCCATTGGCGGCCAGGATGAACAATGTGTAAGCGTTGTATCAACGTGAAGAAAGTTGCTCTTGTTATGAATCCTGATACAAGACCCTCTGCTCGTAATTGGCAACCATATACAGTCTCTCTGGCCGCCTGGGATTTCTTTGATGCTCAAAGTTATTAATAAGGGGGATAAAAAAGGGGCTGCAATCGGCCCAGCAACTTGAACCCGCAGAACGTGCCAAGAATTTGGGGAAACATGAAGACTGCATGAGACCCGGTGACTGCGAAATGTGGCCATCCATTGACCGTGACCGTGACCACGACCGCGACCCCTTTGGATTGTGGTACTTCGAACTCATGTCAAGTGCCTGTTGAGTTTCCCATTTCCCATTCCCTCTTCTTAGCTCCCTCGGTCGCTGTGCATAGAGAGTGCCTCTCGCAAAAATACAGCGAAGATGCATCCCCGGCCGTTCTCGATCCTTCTCGGCCTGCTGGCCCTCGCCATCTCTGGAGTCTACAGCACCGCATTGACCTACAAACTCGGAGCCAACGAGAAGACATGCTTCTTCACGTTCGTCGGCCGGCAGAATGCCAAAGTCGCCTTTTACTTCGCTGTACGTTGGAACCTCCCTGCGCGAAACATGTTGGCATTGTGCAAGCGGAGTTCACTGGAGTGGATGTTGGATGAAAGAAGCACCCTATGTTGACTTGTGCTCTTTTTGGTACGGTTCTAGGTCCAGTCCGGTGGTTCCTTCGACGTCGATTACGAGGTATACGGACCCAATGACAGAAAAATCATGGAGGGCCAGAAGGAGAGACAAGGAGATTTCGTCTTCACGGCCCAGACTCCGGGAGAGTACCGCTTCTGCTTTGGGAATGAGATGTCCACGTTCGCGGATAAGATGGTTGACTTTGAGATTGCGGTAAGCTACACCACTATTCAGTTTGTTACTGCGCCCATGTGATGGAAGGCCGTTCAATGCTGTGATGGAGTGCGGCGTTTGCGGCACAGGGAAATGGATGTTGCTGCTGCTCTCATGGACATTCCATTCTGCTGGCTCTTTTACTGACTATGCTTGTTTGTGTCGGTTTGCAGGTCGAAGACGAAGCCACATCCGCCCTCCTCCCCCAAAAAGCCGGCTCGTCGCCCGAGCAGACCTCCGTGCTGGAAGACGTGATTTTCAAGATCAGTGGACAGTTGAGCACAATTAGCAGGATGCAGAAATACTTCCGCACCAGAGAGAACCGTAACTTCAGCACCGTCCGGAGTACGGAGCAGAGGATCTTCAATTTCAGTTTGATCGAAGTGTTGATGATGGTTGGAATGGCCGGCCTGCAGGTCCTGGTGGTCCGCTTCTTTTTCCAGGGTGCTAGAAAAGGTGAGTTAACTGCAATTCCCATTAGATTGTGCTACGAGGAAGAACGCACTTTCTGTTGATGTGTTGAGTCTTCGATTCCAGTTTGGACGGATTACTGACGATTCTTCCTTCGACTTCTGCAGGATATGTATAGAATGCACTGTAACAGTGCGGAAGCCCGATCCTGAGACTGGTTCGATTCGATATATGGATTTTGTTACTTGTTTACTACTTCCTAGTCAACAACATTTGCATGGACAGGAATGATGATACTCAGATGACTTATGCAAAAGTTCGAAAAAGTTCGCGCTCACTATTGAACGGTGGACAACGCATGTTTGTCCTTGGTTGAAGTCGAACCAGGAGTTTTCTTGTGCAACGAACATACAGCACTGTTTTGGGTCATCTTGGCTGGACAAGCAGCAGTCTGGTCTACCAGCGGACCTGCAGACTAAGTCGGCTGGGTGAGGAGCATTCAGGAGCACATGGTCATGCAGCATCTCCAAAGCAAAGATCCATCCTACGATCAAGAGCCTGCCCGACGTGCCCGATAGCGAGAGGTATTAGACGGCGTGGGATATGCACCGCTAACAGGTCCACAGCCGGCTCAGAACATCGATCACGGTATCAGACAATCAAACATGGCTTGTTTCTCCATCTATATATATATATATTTGCTACGCGGCACTTTCCTCCAACCCTCTGTCTCCTGCGGCCCAGGCCACCTTACAAAACAAGTGGCACCGCCAGATCTTAGTATGGGCGCCTTTCAAACCTTCGATAGGGGTTAGGTACACTTACGTTGATAAGGAGAACTCCCGCTGCATCAAGCTCACGGGCTGCTTACACATTCTTGTGGTGCCGCTTATTGTGCAAGGTGGCTCGGCAGTTACACAAGGCTGAATAGCATTTGACGACTCAGCCTTGGATGCCGCGTGCGCCCATAGTCTCCAGTCATGTCCATGTCCAGGTCCTCTTCGATACGACAACGCCGGTCCACTCCAAAGACATCTGCCGCTCGGGAGAGTGTCTATCATACAGAAGAGTCTCGTGAACATGCTACTGAATCATTCGATTACGTGTTTTCGCTGTTTTATCTACAAATAACCTCAGGCTGGCGCACGTTACAAATTCATCGATGGTGCAGATGAACTATATACCGTCTGGGCATATTTGACTATGTCTCAAAGTTTCGAGGTGAGGGCGTTCCAGACTCAAAAGCCGCTCGTACATCCCTCTGCGAGAGTGTATCGGCATCAAGGTGCAACACAGGATCTCGATGAAGATCTGCTCATTCGGCAGCCCGTTCCCGTTTCTTCGTCCGTAGTTTCTCCAAACATTCAGGACGATCCTTGTCCGATTCCCTCGCTCTTCTTCACGTGTACTTGGTGATCAGTCTCGCAGAAGGGGCACTTGAACACCTCGGACTTCTCTGAGCCTACGGTCATGCTTGTGACGGCTTGTTCGAAGGTCTTCCATTGCTTTTCGATGATCCCTACAATGACACGTAGATGCAGGCACGCATTGTAGAGGAAGAGGCGGCCCATTACCGCCAATTCTCCTTCCGACTCCGCCTCCGCCTCCGCCTCCACCTCCGTTCGACTGGCCAGTATAAGTTAACCATTCACCAGGCGTGCCTCATGCGTTTGAGAAACGCCATGGCGATCCTGACCGCTCATGGTCAAGAATGATGCAGGCAAGCCGTGACCGGGGCCATGCTCATAGGCTCGCAAGATCAGGTCGACCACTTCCTGCCTCATCCGAACACATTTCTTGTCTCCCACAAGGATAAAATGACCGTATGATAGTAGTACATCTGCGTGCGTGTGGTAGCGGGTACGCGGACAATCGTACTGGAAGAACTCCATCTTCCGCCAGCGATACAGAAGGCCACAGAAGCGGCATGTCAGATATTCCGGGTGGTCGAGTTCCAGAAGTTGTAGAAACCGTACGTTTGGTGGCCCTGTCGGCAGCATCAAACGTCAAGTCGAGGTGGGAGGTGAGAAGAAGACGAAGTCGTCGACACGAGGCTCAGCAGGAGTTGAGACTCCTGGTCCAGAAATCTCGCAACCGTGAGGACGAGCTCGTTGGGAAGTTCGAGCAGCAGATTGTGCTCAATTTGGTCTGGTTGCTCTGCTGTCTCGGCTTTGCCCTTTTGTTGCCCCCTTGATTAGTTCTTGAAATTTTCAAGGGAGACGCCTAACTCTTTCGATGAGACCTACGGTTGGAGGACTCTTCTTCTGTATAGAGGCAAGGAATCGACGCAACAGAGACCATCTGCTTCTAGCCCAGGTCGGTCAGCCATCTATTGGCGAATCTCAGGAAGTAGCGAAGTGATATCACAACAAGAGGCGGTTTGGAGGCCGGTGTGCGTTCAGGGTTTTTTGGGGGCGGTGGCCACAAGTCCGAAGTTCTTGAGGACGCTGGAGCATCGTGTCTTTGTAGTCCATGCGGAAGTTCGTGGCGCCGGATGTTACAAATAATATAAATAGAAGTTGGGGTGATCGATTAAGTAAGGTACATAAGTTGTCACTTCGAAAGAAGGCAGCACCAGTCCCGGGGCAGATTTTCCAAACTTTAACACAATCTCCGTCTCGACCACCGTGGTAAGGGGTGAGTTTGGGGCACTTTTGACTCATCTTGGATAGACCTTACAAAGTTGATACAATACGGAGCAATGCCACATACCCGAGAATATGGAAGAGAGTATGTTCTGGAGCAGCATCACACGAAAGTCAACGACGTGCGACACCACCAAGGGGTTTAGGTAGGTTCCTCTCGTAGATTGACTTGAGAATATAGGACCGTTCTGTCTCTCACTGGGACTGTCATTACCTGTGTCATCAGAGCCCTAGGCTCAAACCAGCCCATCGATCATATCTCTTGACCACGACCTGGCGGACGCAACAATATAGAAAGATGTTCATTGAGGCAGGGTGGTGCTGTTCAACTTCAGATGTGATCTGCTGGGGGTTATCTCAAATGCCACAGAGAAGCGTTCTTCCGTCCGTATTACGTTGTCCTCAACACTGGAACATCTTGGTCGTACTGACATTCAGACGACTCCATTTCTGGCCGGCCCTTAGACAAGTCAGAAACCGCTCAGGCCAGTAGACATGATACAGCCACCACCAAGGTAAAGGATCCCATGTCTCATATGTTCCGTCTCTCCAGGTCAGAAGATGGCTGACGAATGCTGCATAGTCTCGGACAAGATCTGACAACGACTTGTCGAACGTCAAGAATGATAGTGTGGGGAGGAGAAGCAATGTCACCAGATCATGGCCAACCCAGTAATAGCTGTCCTTTTGCACAGGTGTGATGACCTCGCTGACATCCTCTTTCAGACTTGTGTTGGCTTGCAAAACCGACAGATAACCATCGACCATCTTCATGGATCCATTGAAAAGAGCCACCGCAGTATGTGCTCTTGGATTACACTCGATCGGATACAAGGCGATACTTCCACCGTCGAGATCCAGGTCTCCGTCATCCACCACCATGAAGTCAAATGAGAGGTGGCCTGTAAATCCCGGGCCACCTTTAGCAGCAAACTCCGTGGTAAACTGAAGCATAGCCTTGCTCAGGGGCGAGTCGGAAGGTAATGCTTCGTAGTGCATCAACAGCTCTGCCGAAGGACACGCCACGAAGGCCTTCACTCTCCCTCCGATGACCAAGGAGTGCGTACAGTATTCCCTACCCTTGATGAACTGTTGCAAGATCCAGGGGGATTCAAAAGAGATTCTCAGCCGCGCAATATACTTGGAAGTCTCGGATGCAGAGTCCTTGGAAAGCAAGGTCATGTCACCTCTTACCGAGTCGTCCACGCCAATCGTCTTCAGGATATACTTGCGGCCTCCTGGTGCGTCTCGGAGAATATCTTCAACGGCAGCGCGGCTGGTGACTTCATGAGTATCAGGAACTGTGAGTCCCATGCTTTTTGTGTATTCGATAAAGCTGTGTTTCTCATGAAGAGTCTGAGTCGACTTGACGTCGAACTGAATCGCCTTGCACGGCGTCCTTGCTTCCACCACTTCCTTTGCCATCCCATCCTCGACTGCAGACGCCACGCCAGAACAACTGATCCACAGATCTACCTTTTCTTGGGCGATGATGTCCAGCAGGCTCTGGATATATAGTGCCGAACCGTTCTTCGCGTCCGGGCTGCCGAGCCGGTAGAATCTCCTGAGTGACTTCGACACTCGCCCGCACACCAGTGCTCCGTCAGGTTCAAAGTCTGCTCCGATGACATCGTGACCGGCTTGATAGAATAGTCTTGCTATAGCCAGGCCTTTTGTCATCCCAACGCCAGTCACGAGGACAGTCCGCCGTTGAAATGCGGGCTTATTCCTGGCAAGGTCCCGACTCCTAGTTGCCTTGTTGTGTAAGGTGCTCTGTATGAAGAAGGAGATGGCTAGTATAAACATGTCCAACGGAAAGAAGACAAGGCTGAGCAGTAGCAGGCTCAAGTTCTGTAGCCGATGGGCCAGAATGGAAGATGTCCCGTCCAGCATGACTATGATGATAAGACAACAAGCTTAAGTGTGATTCGGATTTTCTTTTGCAAGATTTATGCCGAAGGTGTGAAGAAGGAACCAGGAGTCAGATCCAGGAGGCACGTTATAAAGTGTCGACGTCACTAAAGCTGAATTTGGCGGAGACGACTTATACAAGCACGCAGCAGATCCTATGCAGAAAAAAGGTAGCTGAGTCGTAAATGACATACCCGTAAAAGATGAGAGCAACTAGGTTTTGGCGCAGAATGTACAGTAGACGGATTAAGTCGATATGGAACAGAGCAGAGAAGCATACCCTTTCAGTCATCCATGGATTACGTTCTCCACTCTAGATACACAGACAAATGCTCGAACTCCTTCAGTCTGGCCTCCATAGCTGACTGACTCCAGTCACGACCTGTACAGGTGAACAATGCACGTGTTTCTAAAGCCTGTACTAGGTAAGAGGGCAAAATCATTCTTTGCCTTTGCAGTAGATGGATGAACCATTTTGATTGACATAGTCTCTATTCGCTTTGCCGTAGGGTAGATGTACAGCCAGCATAGTGTGGCAGAAAACGTAGTCCTTCGCACATCTCCTGCTGCCTGATGGAAGTAGTCTCCCAGCCAACAGGGACCCGATATCATTCCAATATCATGGTTCTGCAAGGCCAACGCATCTGGATATTTCAATGCCATCCTAAATATCAAAGGTCAGCAAGCCTTCAGCCGCCGCCACCATGGTAGTTTGTAGACTCACTGGTACACCGGTTGGTTCGAAGCTGTTGACAAGCTTACTGTCGTAAATCAACAATGGATTGCCCACTCTCGTCTCATCCAGCTTAGCATCTCCTTCCCGCTTGTTATACTGCTTTGCCGTCCTGTCCAAAAAACGCTGGTCCACGCCGTTGACAGACCCGTTCATCTTGTTGGCATGCTTTTTCTGTTCCACAGTACTCCGGACATATTCCAGATAGGGCGGGTTACCTGGTTTGATGACGTTATCCGCGGCAAGGACAGATCCTGGCGTGACCAGTTTCAGTTCTTCACAGAGCTTCAGGTCTGTCGTGTAGGCCGGTTTGTAGTGATCCAAGAACATCAAATCAATATGGGTCAGGACTCCTTTAGAGTGCAACCGCTTGATCGAAGTATCACTGGAGCCGACTACCACCTTGACGATATCACTTAAGCCAGCCAAGTCGACCAGTAGAGTAATAACGGCAGCAAACTCCGGATTCCGCTCGAGGCTGAAGTACCTCTTACCGCCAGCCTTGCGAACTGCGTCTCCGAATAAAATACAGGAATATCCCACGTATCCTCCCAACTCGACCATCACCTGCGGTTTGACCTCGGCTATCAAGTCTGTGACAATGCGGCCCTTGTCCTCGCCAACATTCATGAGGTACTTCTTGGTACGGGCGAATTCGTCAATGGCCGCCAACACCTTTGTTGGAGAGTCTCTGGTGTCGTCGAGATCCGGTCTGCCATAGACAAAGTGTAACAGCTCGATTTCGCGGCCATCGTCGAACTGAAGCGGAGTTAGTCCTGGCACCATATCAACTGTATGAGATTTGACAGTACAAATGTTTCCTCCTGCTGCTGATATTTCTTTTCATTGTCAAACTTTGCCATTTTGTAGAGATTATAAAAGCAAACAATTACGACAATGGACAAATTCACACGTTCATAAATTCACAAACTTCTTCTCAGCAGCCAACCGATCATAGATTCATTAAAGCAGGAACAGAAGTCCCAAATCTCCAGTTTCTGACTCTGGTCAAGTTTGGCAATCTCACATCTGTAGCTCTCAGCCTCTGAACCATCGACAAGGATGACCAGCTGGGCGGCTGTGTCTTCCACCACTGCCGATCGAGCTGCCCCTGAGGTCAGGAACACAGACAGGCGGTGTAAGGTTGTGGGTCGACAAGATGCACGATGTGCTTAGCTGCAGAATGTACCAGCTACTGGTGGTATGGATAGGGTCGAAAGCTTTCAACCAGCAGTCAATGATATTGATCATATCCAGCACAAGGCAGTGAAAGTGACAGGCAAAAAGGAAGACAGATGCGGTGATGATTCGATGATGTCGAACGAGCCAATCACAGCAGCCGGCTAGTAGCCAATTGGGTATAGCGTGTCCTTCCCGGTCAGCTTCTCAGCGTCTCATCTGCTGGCAACTTCAACTCTCTCCATCATCGAAGTCCTCTCGGAGAATATCATGCAGCTGTTGCATCCGTCGTCATCATTGGTTTTAAATGGCTAGTCTCAAGGTACCGAGAGCTGTCCAAGACGTCGTCGACCTTCTTTTTGGTGCCTCGGCCCTCCACCTTGTCGGGGTTCAGACTCCGGAGTTCTGCTGGCGGAGACGTGCCCTGTTCCCTGATATAGGGCAACTCAATCTACCCGAGGAGGACGCTAGGATCTGGCATCTCCACGAGGTCTTGACGCTATATGTCTTCTCCAGGTCAATTGAACATCCGATCTGACCGGCAGCTGCCGTGTCACCTCTTTGCTGTCTCGGGACCTATCGAGGCAGCTGTTGCGTGAAGCCACGGATGGCTAATTCCTCGGAGCACGTTTTCCTGACAGCTTGTTGTCTCTACAGCTTCGAATACATCATGACTGTGTCTGGTTCGAATTCTATTTCTCTGCTAAGGCCACTTCGGGACTGGGGAACTTTGGAAACAGGGACAACCGCCCAAATGTACCTGAGTCCCTGCCTTGCCAGACAGGGCCCACATATGGAACCTCTCTCCACAGATCCGACCTCGATGAACACTGTCAACCCCCAGTGATCCGTTGTTTCATCATTATTTCCTGGATCTCAGTGGGATTCCTAGCGAGAGCGGTAACATGTACTCCATACTGTGTGATGTGGAGAATGCGTGCCTACCTTCGAATGGGCCGTCATGCTCGGTAACAGAAATGATTATATTAGCTTGGGGAACGCGCTCACCTCCCTCTACTTGCTCTGCTAGTTCCGTTCTGTGTCTGTCCTTTGATATTCCTCTCCTTCTTCGCCTATCTCGAGTACTTTGAGCTGAACCTGCAGGATGTCTGACCTCAAAGCTTCTGTTGCAGAGACTCCTGCTGGATTCCATGTCGAAGGCTACGAGAAGATCGAGTATGATTTCACATTCATTGATGGCGTCTTCGATATCAATCGTCGTGAACTCGCCGACTGCTACAAACGATGGGGCCGCTGCTTGGCAGTCATGGACTACAACATCTGCAACGTTTACGGCAACCAAATGCAGAAGTATTTCGATCACTACGACATTGATTTGGACATCCACAAGACAATGATTGGCGAAAAGGCCAAGTCAATCGACACTTTTCTGAGCATCGTGGACTCGATGAACAAGTTCGGCGTCTATCGAAAGGTAAGTGTGATTCGAACCCTTGCGTGCTGGGTTCTCGCTCACCAACTACAAGGAACCGGTACTCGTCATCGGCGGTGGACTTGTCACGGATGTTGCTGGGTAAAATGATTCCACCTGCCAAGATGACCTCAAGGCACTCTGGCCCATACTTCTCTTTGAATGTTGCCTCTCGACTGTCGAGCTAACATTTCATTTCATTCAGCTTCGCCTGTGCCGCGTATCGCAGAAACACCAACTATATACGGATCCCCACCACTGTCATTGGACTCATCGATGCTTCAGTGTCTATCAAGGTGGCCGTCAACTATGGCAATTACAAGAATCGCCTGGGGGCTTACCATGCGCCGATGCATACGTTCCTTGACTTCACCTTTCTACGAACACTCCCCGAAGCTCAAATCCGGAACGGCTTTGCCGAGCTCATCAAGATCTCCACTTGTGCCCACCTCCCTACCTTTGACTTGCTCGACAAATACTGCGAGCAGTTGATCGGTACCGGGTTCGGTCGTCAGGACGGGGCGCCAGAAGAGGTACGAGCTGCCGCAGACGCCATCAACCGTGCCGGCATCCACGAAATGTTGAAGTTGGAAACCCCCAATCTCCACGAGATCGGTCTCGATCGCGTCATTGCTTATGGTCACACGTATGTTAGCCCCCTTTTGCCCTGGCGGTCAGCTGACTGATTACAGGTGGTCACCCCTCCATGAATTGGTGCCCGATGTACCGCTTCGCCATGGCCATGCCATTTCCATTGACATGGCGTACTCGGCGACACTGGCCAATATGCGTGGCCTTCTCAGTGACAAGGAGCACAAACGGATTTTGGATCTCTTTTCTCGAGCAGGTCTGTCCATGGATCATCACCAGTTCGACGAAGACATCCTAGACAAGGGGACCAAGGCTATTCTGAGGACTCGAGATGGGAAGCTACGAGCAGCTGTCCCAAGCCCTCTCGGAAAATGCGTCTTCCTGAATGATGTCTCGATGGATGACATGTACGCCGCCTTGAAACGTCACAAGTCGATTATGAAGAGCTATCCCCGGAATGGTGAGGGTCTGGAAGCCTTCGTCGACGCCAGCGATACTGGTTACACGGTCAACGGCGAGCCTGTTGAGAACCATGGCGCCATGAACTTGAATGGCCACAAGCAACTCAACGTGCTGAATGATGACACCGAACAAAATGGATCAGCAGCCAATGGCCATGTCGATGACAGCAAAGCAACGAACGGATTTGCGAAAGCGACCAAGCATGCGTCTGGTCCTGAGGGTGTGGACGGCCTTCAGAATGGTGCGGTTGACGTTGCGCCCAACGGGCATGCGAACGGCATTGCGAAGGGAGTGAATGGGCATACTAACGGCATCCGAGTCAACGGTGCGCATTAGGGAGGGTGTTGTTGTTGTTGTTGTTGTTGTTAGCAGATAAAATTCTTACAGTACCAACGTGTACCCGATCTCTTCTGAAGTGTTGTATTCGGCTACCCAAAGGAAAGTTCGATTACAAACAGACCCAACCATGACTTTCAAACCATCCTTGCGTGTGAAACTCAAGATCACAGTGGTTTTTGTTGCAAATCTTCACCTTCATCGTCAGGCATCGTAACGTCGTTGCACCACCATGTTATGCTTCGAAGCCACCAAGCACAGGAACAGCTAACACATCCACACAGGTCCGTCTTCGTAGTGGGATTGGACCTCGCAACTGCTGGGTTCTCTCTCCTTGGGCTTCATCCCATTTATAGGTGCCCTACCTTCCAGAATTCAGCTAACTGGGCAAAGTGAAAAGACGATAATCCTTCTGCCAGGGCGAAAAGGAGGTCAGCAGGACCCACTTTGTGCCCATTTGTGCCCATGGCATCCACAAGTCACAGGTAGGCTTGAGAAGACGGGTTTCGATTGTGGTTTGTTCTTCCGCACTTACCTTTGGGATTTTGCATGGGGATGTAATCTCGACCATGCCCAGTTTGATCTGTAGGAGACAGTAAGTCAGCGTTCAATTGTCAAGACTCACGACACAACCAAATCATCACCAGCAAGATTTTTGTTGCGGACGGATGGCACAGTACAGTTTCACTGTTGTACTAGGCCAAGGAAGAAGGACCAAGACTCAAAACCCCAACCAGGTGATGCTGGTTATCAACTAGTGGACGTTCTTACCCGGACTGTCCACGACCCAGGCTCAAAGTTCTTGGTCATATAATTCCTCAGACGATCTGGGTCGATGTAACTGTCCTCAATGACCTGTCGGGTGCGGCCAAGACCGGACATGGATCCGGCGCTGCTGGTGGAAGAGGTGGAGACAGCCGTGTCACGTCTGGGAAGCGACATTCTTGGGAAATGCAGAGGACTGAAATGAAGAGGTGATTGACAGGAAGAGAGGACGAAAGGATTTCCTTCGTTATCAACGGCGTGGTAAGCAGTCAGTTTGTCAGTTTGTCAGTCCACGACGACCCAGCACTAGGCGAGGAAGCTCTGCCACATATTGAAGAGCCGACGGTATCCTACTGGCTCTCTAGCCACTTGACCAGGGTTGAACTTGCTTGGGCAGTCTTGCATGGACTGGAGATGCGAAGATTGAACACGTCCAAGCCAGTGGCTGGCTGTCCCTGGATTGGAATCGGCCACGCCTGACGCCCGGTTGGGCATCCTTGCATTGCACTTCCAGCCTGTCGCTCCTGCGCCATTCATGCCGGTATCCCTCGAGCCGGTTGCATCCTTTGGACTTGCTTGCATTGAGAGGCCTACAACCTCCAACCTTGTTGAGAAGTCCCTCCGGCAATGGTATCAATGCCCCAAAAGTTTGCTGAGAATCCTTTCTGCTGCAAGGGACATGATGCACCAAATCTCATGAAAGTTTCTACTAGACTTCGAAAGAGCTTCCATGATCTGCCAAAGGACAAGTAGTCATGAAACCCTTGTTGACTCCGGGAGCTGTGCATAACCCCAGAGCCGGAACTGGACTCATCCCTTGGGAATTCCTCGCGACATTGTGATGAATTATCCGCCATTCATTGCAAGGAATCATTACATCCATTGTGTCAGTCGAAGTGAATCAGCCAGAGGAAATTGCACAGTGTTATCATTCAGGGAGAGAATAAACTACAATCTCTGCAAAGTAGTATAGTTATGGCAACCGGTTGCCGTGTACAGTAATCCCAGCAGTTCCACAGGTTGATTCAACCTAACCCTGGAGCAACATATATCAAATGCCAATAGCAAATCCTTCGGCTGGCTCGTCGTGCACCTTCCTTATTGCTGAAAGCATCCTACTTCCATCAAAATAGGAGTGCATCAGAATCAAGGGCAGGTCTGGCTCGTTTGGCTCAACGTCTCAAAATGGCAATGTCTTCCTGTGGGTGGCACTTTCAGCAATATGTTCGACGACATTTCGGGCGGATCCAAAAGAAAAGGGAGTATATACCCATTTCAGTCCCTGTGGAGAATGGCCATTGCAAACGACATATTGGATGTGGTATTTGTCGAGCTTCCTTGTCACCTTGAAGGATCCAGCCTCGTTCTTGGTCGAGAGGAAGTCTTCCAGCTTATCCTTGTGAATGAACTGGCTCGGGATGATTTGCTGCATGGTTTTCTGTCTCATTACATAGATGATCGTCTCAAGGGAGGGCTGGACGGAACTCTAGCAGTATTTAGAGATATTGCGCGGGCATTTGGAGACTTCTGAGTGATGTGACCGTGACTAACAGCGTATGATCAAAGCACAAGACCAAAAAAAGGGAATAAACAGACACGAAGAACATCAGGAACCTCGGTTTTATCAGGCAGGGCAGGAAGGGTCGAGAAAATATTCACCCCCTTGGAAAGTGAGGCGATGAGGGGAGCCCTGTCACTTCAGCCCTGGGCCTTGCACGTCCCGAACACATTTCGATCATGTCCTGAGATGGACAACTAAAGTACAATGCATCACCATTGCCTCAGGCTCGATAAAGGACCGTGCAAAAGATGTGAGAATTCCAGCCTGTATCTCAGGTAAGAGGCGCCTTCACATGAGACAACTGTTGCACTAGCTCGACAAGAACCGGTGAAAAGGGTGCAGGATGATCGAATGTCGTGCAAGGCAGACTTCAGCGTGGCTGTGTATATGCACAGTTGACTCGCCAACATCGACAAGGGCTCTAACCAGACTGGTTGTACGGACGGACTGTGGCAGGAGTCATGAATCCATGGCTGACACAATCCCATGTCGCCTATCCTGAGTGTTTGATTGCTCCTGGCGCCTCGGGCAACTCTGCCTCTCTGCCTCTTATCACCGTGACCATCTCACCCCTCACACGACACAATCATCGAGTCAACCCCCCGCCCTCGCTTAGAGAACAAATCAGCCGAATGAAGTCATCAGCCTGATTCCTGACCTCCTGAGAATCGATATCGCGGCAGATAGCCCGACAGATAGGCCTTCAGCCTTACCCCGAGGAGGCCACCACCGAAGCGATCCTGGAGTCTGTACATGCAAGCAAGATAGTTCCTGCAGCAACCTCGTGATGACACCCAGTAGCCACCAGAGAGCAGAATGCGGCATTGACCTCGCTGTCACAATGGGGCTGCATTCCATCCCAGCCATGTTCGAGGTTTGCACCACGTCTTAGGCAGAGCCCTTCTTCCCCTGCACGACGGTCGGGAAGTTGTTGAGGAGGAGCCATGGCGGTGTCGCCGTTTCTGCAGTATTGGATTGAGCAAAGGCCTTCATTGATGCCCTATGACTATCTCCAAGAGCGTCTCGAGGCGTCGTTGGCTGATGAGCATGATCCCTCTTTTGTCGAACTGCTGGTTGAGACGACGGATGTATCAGTAGCCAACAGTCGTGACTCTACATATGGATCCTTTCCAGAGACACCGTCAAGAGCATCAGAAGGCAGGCAGTCAAACAAGTTGGTGCTACCTTTATTGGCCATATATGACAAGGACGATCTCAGACATAGGTTAACGGTTAGTGACTACCTATCTTGGAGGATCTGATCACTGATCAAGTGGGAAGCGACAATGGGACTCCTTCCAATTGATGTCTGTTCGTCACGTCTACAAGGTTTCCATCCTTTGCTAACTCCGACAGCTTCATCCGACAGCGAAACTCCATTAGTCCGCTCAGCATCAACCATGAACTACTGATGGGCTTGCTGGAAACGTGTCACATTTCACTCCGCTTCTTGGATTTTATCATCTGCTTCGGACCCAGAAATGGCGAGACGCGATTGACGCCTCCATCGATATGGACATGCCCAACGATGCAAACTGTGGCGGGCAATGACAGACCACAAGACTTTGGTAAGAAGCCGATGACAGATGCGACTGTCATGATTTAATGAAGAAGAGTGTGCATACTTAGTGCGATTTCCAGAGATCAACCACCGCTCAGAGTCCAAGCCATGGTCAACGAGACAGTTTCTCCTATATCACCAGTTACCAAACACTCGACCTGCTACGGTCGTTTTCGTTGGCATTGGAAAGGTGGCGGCAAAATCGCTACAGGACTACCTGCGCTGCTATGGGAATCCGGGACAATCGACGTCGTGGGACATTCACTTTGTAATATTAAGCCGCGTTCTAGCGAGCTGGCGTCCTTATCTAGGGTACCTGGCCGAAGAAGTCAATATTCAGGTTGGTCCTACCTACCTTCAACAAATTCCCCTATTCACCGAGGGCAGGCGGATCAAGTCATTTTGGCCGATCTCGACGGAGAGAATGTCGAACTTGCAAGACTCCACGAGCGACAATATCTAAAACAACTCGAGGATGCAGTGGACGAGGCAGCCTCGAACCTCGCCCACACAAGGGACTCAGCTGAGACAATGCGCGTGAGTATCAGCATCCACAGAAACTACATGGTAGAAGCTGCTTCACTAGACAACCATGCCATCCTCGACCATGCATTCCTGGATCTTGTCCAGAACTTGAGGCATCACGAGGCTCAGGTGAAGACGTTGCAGCGCAAGGTCAGAAGTGCTTCTGAATTGGTAACATCACATCCCATCCCTTCCCATCTCTCGTTCAATTGAGGACTAATGGCGTAGGTCTCGAGGTTTTTGGATCTCAGCAACAGCACTGCTCTGAAAAATCTAGCACTAGCTTCTGCCCGCGAGAATGCTGTGATGCATGAGCTTACGAAAAAGACTACTCAAGACGCGGCAACAGTCAAGATTCTTACCGTCCTGACTCTCATTTATCTTCCGGCAACAGTCATCTCGGTAGGCACGGATGGCGTCGTCGTATGTACCGTCGGACTGAGGCAGTAGCAGAACTTCTTCTCGACTTCTTTCGTCAACAGTGTCACTAGGCCGGACGGAAGCACATTCCTCGTGGTCGCCAGCAATTGGTGGATTCTTTTTGCTGCCGCCTTACCGCTCACGGGAATCACCATATACGTGTGGAAGTTCTACGTGCACAAAGAGATCTCCGGACAGTATCCTGCTTGGTGGAGGCTCGTGCAGCGAGGCTACAATAACGTGGTCTCGGTTGCGTTGCGCACTCGACGCCAGCGAGACAACTCGTTTGAATGATTAGGCTGCGTATCCTCGGATGCGATACGAGGTAGAGATGCGCACTTATGTGACGGCAGCTGCGCAAAATGCCTTGCACATATCACGGGGCAATCGTGAGCTGGCATTCTCGAATCCATGTCCCCTGGCGGACACTCTCCACCAGCGGCCTGTACATGTCACATCCTCTCGCATGCGCTAATGCGAAACCAATATTCTGTCACAACCCTCGGTTGATGGGCACGGGCACGGCTGAGACATGCTCGAATGCCTCGTTGCCTTGCAGGCTTGCTTTGCTCAGGAAGCAGGACTATTCTCTTGATCGGGCGGCCGACCCTGGTGATGCTGGTGAGGCTTAGAGCAACGTCTAACCCGGGGAAGGTTGTCCAGCCGTGAGACTGCGTGGACTGTTCACGATGAATTGTCCCGAGAAAGGCCTTATACATCACAGCAGGTCCATGTTGTAGCACGTTCTTACTACCAGCCGTCTCACTTCCTCTAACGCTCATGTCCTCACGCCGATATGAAAGCTATATTCAAGAAGCTACGTCCTAGTCAATCGCCCTCGGATGGTAGGATCATATATCAATGCTTGTCCAGCCTGAGCAGATACTGACATGTCTCAGATAGTTCGAACCGATCTCTGAAATCTCCGGTTCCCCACAGACTGAGACGGATGGTGTGGGTTCCACCACCCGCGGGCCAGCATACCAATACATTACTGAGTGCCGCTACCATGGTGGCCCAGACACCTAGTTCATCCCAGGGAGTAACTCCAAGTCAACGGCCTCCCCCAGCTCGGCCTAGTGCACCTTCCCATACATCAACCGCCAACTTCGAAGAATCGAATACGTCCACGACGCAGCATCACCGAGTCCCTTCTTTCTCAGTACAGAAAGCGTCTGATCCGCCTGTTGAAGCCGTAGCGCCAAAGTCTCCAGGTTACCTTTCACCCCGCGGACACCATTCGCGCTCGAGTAGTGTCGGGAGCACTAGCGGGCGTGAGCTACCATTCGAGATCACTGAGGATGAGCTCTTGCCTCGCATTCTACCAGAGGATACGGAATGCAAATTGCGCATCACCTTTGACGTCCGAGATGGCAAACCCAATCAGCGACAGTTCATCTTCCCGTCTCGGAAGGCCTGGGTCGCGCCGCCTTCGTACGAGCAACTCTACCAACAGATCATCGGCCAACTCAGCACCCACAAGAAAGAAATCTTACAGAATCCCCAGAACTTGGGGATTGAAGTCTATCGCCGGCATGGGTCTTGCTTGGTGGTTGGGGCCAGACACGAAGGGCCATACTCTGTCATCGAAGACTACGACGCCGAAGTCCTGGAACAAAAGGCAATCCAGAATATATGTGGATTCATTCATCTGTATCCATTCGAACCGTTCCGCCTGGAGATTTGCCTCCATTTTTCGTCCATTCGCAAAACTCCTCAAGAGCCCGACGGAAAGTATTTCAGGATGGTTACTAACGAGATCAACTCAAAGATGTCTGACAACAACTTTCTAGACCAGGAATTCCTACCTCGCATTCACCGTGATCAATTGACATCAGCCCACATCATAGAACAAATCCTTGTTGAGGAGCCGCGACATCTTCCGGAGAGGTTTGGTACTGACCGCAAGAGTCTTTCCCGTGTGATCGTTGAGAAGGGTGCTTCCATCTTGTTCATCGCCTGCGTGTGCCGATACATGGAGATCGATCTGATCCTACACCTGATATTCGAACATAAATACAACGACGCCAGCCTGCCACAGCTAGGTGATGACGCATGCCCAAAAGCGTCTTGCGACAGCTCCGTCAAAAACCTCCTCAAGCAGCTGAAGGCATTTTTTGCTCGAAGCATCGAGTGTGACGGTAAGAGACACGGTCTGGAAGATGACGAGGTTATGCCCATTATGAACATCCCGAACTGTAGTACAGGATCAAAGGAAACCAAACTCGGCGAGGGATCATATGGCAGCGTGACGGCGGTTACAATCGATCATTCGCACCATTATCTTACGGGAGTGAGTGGCTGCTGCTTCATGATACCAAGCTACAGCGTCGCTAACGGTAGCAGGATCCCGACCGGACTTTTGCTCTTAAGAAGTTTACTGACCACGGGGACTTTGCGGCCTCATTCGTTCGAGAATTCTCCATGCTCGAGCGACTGTTCCGAAAGAAACATCCACATATCGTCACTCATATAACAAGTTGGACCCAACGAAATGTTCATTACATTCTGTATCCTCGCGCGACGCGCAATCTTCGAATACACATGAAATCCCACAGGTCACCAGGAAGAAGTGGAGTCAATGTTGCCTGGCTATTGCGCCAATTCAACGGCCTGGCCAGCGGGCTTCGCAGTATTCACGAAATGACGGAAGAGGCTCCCGGCATGAACCAAAACAACCACTTTGTATACGGATACCACCATGACATCAAGCCGGAGAACATTCTTCTGTTTGAACATGTTGAGGGAAGGAACCCAGTTTTCAAGCTGTCCGATTTTGGAGCAGGCAAGTTCCACATCATGCCTAAGAACCATTTCAACAAGCCCAGCCAACAGAGCTCTCAGCTTCGTGGCACATTGTCGTACTACGGCCCGGAATACCGGGGATCCAAGACAAGACCCTTCGACATCTGGGCCCTGGCTTGCGTCTTCTTTGAAGCCACGATCTGGTTCGCCTTGCCTCATAACCACCTTGCCATATTTCAGTCTCTGCGCGAGGAAGAATCACGCCAAATTTTCGGCTGGAGAGACGACTTTTACTGGAGAGAGTGCGGGAATGGTTCAGCCAAAATCGAACTCCGGCCGGCAGTCACGGAATATTTCGCATTGCTGGGAGGAGAATTGGCCAAAGGGCCGGATGAGATCGGTCGTCTCTTGCTTGGGATGTTAGATCTGATCATGGAGTGCTTCAAGATACAGCCTCAAGAGAGACCTAAAGTGGGAGAGCTCTGCGACAGGCTCGACGAACTCCAAAAGAAGGCAGAGACACTGTTCAAGAACTTTGAACGCGAGGTCTCGACCCCATCGGGGAGTTCAGGCCACAGCGTCAAGTCGAATGACGGCAACGTCTCGGAGAGCGAAGACTTCTTTACACGATCGCCGAGCCAGCGGAACCACACCTTCCCGGAAGATCAGGCATCTCATCGCCATCGATGATATGGGCTTCTGCAGATATCTTGACTGCCTATCACTTGGTGTTTCACACAATCATCACCGGCAATCGGTGACTATCGGCCATTGTTCTTTCTCTCCCTTTTTTTCCTTTGCATGATGACTGCCCGTGTACACTGGCGAACCGGAGTGGACTTGTTTCCCTCGGTAGCCGACCCTACAAAAGAGCAGTCTGGAGGAAGAATGCATCCAATCTTTTCTTGTCATTGACCAAGCCTGGCGTTGGTAGCGAGCGGTATTCTCACTCTTCCATGGGCTCATGCATTCACTGTTCAGTTTCAGGTTTTGTTTCTGCCCTCGTTCATCCATCAATTGCATCAACGACATCAGCGGGCTGGAATGCGTCGGTTGGGAAATCGGAGACTTGAACTTGGCAAAAAAGCGGAGAACAGGAGCTATTATCAGCTTGTTGAAAAGACCCGCTTAAGGTAACGACTGTATGAATGACTCGGCTGCGGGATGAATATCTCATAACTTCGATTGACCACTGCATGGTACACTGGAATAGGGGTATTGATTGGTTCTGAGTATGGGTGGAATCGGAATGAGGTACTGGCATGGATCCCTAAAAAGGCCCCCCGGGAAAAAGGCGTTTTGCGGCGTTTGGGGCTTTTGTTCATATACCCGGGCCAGCCAGCCAGGAAAGAGAGATGAGGTGCTTTGGGAATGGAGATTTGGCGCTGAAAGGTTGATCCACGACTAGAGGTTGAAATATTGCAGTGGAACATTTCAACTATGGCCCGGATGAGTGAGTGTGTTGTTTGTTGAGGAGCAAATATATACCTTGATCGGAACTTGGGCACATAGATGTAGTGAGTTGGTGTTGAACAATCCGAGGCGCATGAGCAAAACATGCTCTGGTCTTTCAGCAAAGGGTTGGGTGAAGGGGCAGGAGGGCCTTCAGGGTTCAGGGAGAAGGTGCTCAGACATCTACTCACTCAGCCGCATTAGAATGAATAGCCCTTGTTCCTATATCAGGTAGAGGTAGAGGTAAGCTCTCTGGGAACTGACTTGGACGGTTGGACCTGAAGGAGAGAATTTCTTATAGGATAACAGAAGGCATATTGATGTGTCTTCATGTCCTGGACACATGTTGGAGTCCAACCATTTATCCTTCTAAGTTCTCAGCCTTGAAGCCCCTGAACCCCTGAACCGGTGAACCCGCTTACATAATCCGACCCCGCTTGGCACCACAGGCACAGATTTGTCCTGAACACCATCCTCGCTTCTCGGCAGAACTCACGATCAACGAATCCGAGCAAGTGCATGTTCTTCTCGTTCAATGTGAAATCATCGGCCGTAGAGAGGGATCTCAAACACCTGTTGCCTCTCTCGCGATCACTACTGGGAAGAAATGTGGCCCTCAGATCTGATTCCTGAAAAGAATGGAGCTAGGAGACTTACAAGCTGGCATCGATGAATCATGATGTCAGATCATCGGCCGCACAGGAGTCGAAGTACTAACCATGAGTACATCTCTCAGTACATGGGATCCAAGATGAGGTACCTTCCTAGGTACCTACGAAGTAAGCGGTGGCAATGGCAATGACAACACGACCGGGCTGTTAGTATTTGTCTGTTCAACGCTACTCACTAAATAAACGACTTGAACCTGACTATCTCAACGAAAAAACGATTCTGGGTTGTGAGTTCTATGGCGGCTGACGGCTGCAGGTACGTGAGAAGGTACTTTCAATCTCTGACTGCCCAGGCCACCAACAATCGTGGGTTCTGAACGATTGTGATACGGACAATTTGTCGACGATTGCTTGGTCTATTCTGCAGAGGAGGTCGAATGCTCGGGTCTTTTCGAGGTTGACCTTGGAAATACTGTGGACTGAAATACTGTTCTGTGCTGGAGTAAGGCTGAGTGGGCTGAAGAAGAGGTATTGCTGAGACGTACGCTTAAGGACGGGTGCAGTCTCAGCTCAGCATCAGTCATACCTCTCAAACCTCAATTGGGGTCAAGTATTTACATTGTTGAGGCGATCTCAGGTCTCTTCGATGGACGTCAACTACTTCACCTGCACCCTGGGTCAAGCAGTCTACCACCAGCAAGAGAAATCGTACAAGACCATCAACGAGTTCATCGATCACAAAGCACGCCAACTCCCAGACCTGGCCGTTGTCGGGTTCTATCAGCCCGGCCAGGACAGATCCGATGGACCATGGAATTCACGGGTCTTGAGCTTCAAGGACATACAAGAAGGCTGTGCCGTAGTGGCGCAGACTCTCTCGGAGGAGTTGCATGCCAGGGCTGGCGAAACAGTGGCGCTGCTGTGCCCGAGTTCGGCGAGCTTTCTGTTTACTTGGCTCGCGCTCATTCAACTGGGCCATCCGGTCTTGCTTATCGCACCTCAGTGTTCTGCTTCGGCTGTTGCCCATCTATGCCAGACGTGTCAAGTTACGTATTTGCTCTATGATGAGATGTACGAAGACCTGGCGGCCATTGCAAAGACTACAGCGTCTGGCAAACATTATGCCTCCTTATCAACTCTCTTGGTACCGTTCGTCGAGGACGGAATATTTGATGTCGTGCAGCAGCAACCAAAAGAGCGCTTGAGGAGAACGGTCAATGTCAAAGACACAGACGTCGCATACCTCCATCATACCTCTGGCACGTCGACCGGCATTTCCAAACCCATCCCACAAAGTCACCGTGCGGCTGTGGGAGTCCTCCCCACCCTGCGCGGCAGCAGACAAGCAACGTTTACCACGACACCCTTGTACCATGGTGGAATCGCAGATTTGTTCCGTGCGTGGACCAGCAACGCCTTGATTTGGCTGTTTCCTGGGAAAGAACTCCCTATTACGGCGGCGAATGTGTGCAAATGTCTTGAAGTGGCAGCAGACAGTGCTGAGGAACATAGGCTTCCGGAAATCAAATACTTTTCCTCCGTGCCTTACGTCCTACAAATGATGGCGGATGACCGGCGAGGCCTTCAATATCTGCAGCTGATGGATATCGTCGGTGTAGGTGGCGCAGCATCACCAGCAGAGGTTGGAGACAGGCTTGTGCAGAATGGCGTCAATTTGATTTCTCGGTTTGGGAGTGCTGAATGCGGCTTTCTGTTGTCTTCTCACCGAAACTTCGAGGGTGATAGAGAATGGCAATACCTCAGGTCAACGCCTGGCAGACAGAATCTTCAGTTCGAGCCACGAGAAGACGGACTCGCCGAGCTTGTCATCCAGTGTGGCTGGCCTCATATGGTATTGCGGTTTTGCATTCTTTTGCTCTAGGACCCAAACTGATCTTGACCAGGCGAAGCACAATCGTGATGACGGGTCGTATGCGACGTCCGATCTGTTCAGCCCTCACCCCAACATTCCCAACGCATGGCGGTACCATTCACGAGCGGATTCTCAGCTGACACTCATCACGGGTAAGAAGTTCGATCCAGCTCCGCTGGAGGATGCCATATGTGCCGCTTCAGCCCTTATAAGTGATGCCCTCATCTTTGGCAATGGCCGACCGTACCCCGGTGTTCTCCTTTTCCGTTCACGAGAGGCTAGGCCGAAGCCGGATGAGGCCGTGTCGGCAGAAATAAGCCCTATAATCGACAATCTGAACAAGGAAAGTCAGAGTCACGCCCGGATACCGCGAAACATGCTCATCCTCATGCCGTACGTGGAAGAACCGAGTCTGGAGAAAAGCAGCAAAGGGACCATCCTGCGCAACAAGGCCGAGGAGCGATACGCAGACTACATCACTATCGCTTACCAACAGATCCTCCCGGACAGACCGACAGACGTCCCAGACGACGACATCCCTAAAGTGGTTCGCATTATCATCGTCACAACGGTTGGGGGCGTGGGGACCGACAGCAACCACGACCTGCACTCGGAACCGTTAACGGACGACACAGACTTATTTGCTTACGGCGTCGACTCTGTAGCCAGCATGCAGATCCGCCAGGCACTGTGCCAACTTCTCCCGGGATCCAGGGGTGCAGCTTTGCCGATGTCGGTGGTAGAAGACGCCGGGACGATTTCTCGTCTGAGCGAACTGATTGTGCGACTGCGGTCAGGAGATGGGGTCGAGAACGGTTTCGGAAGAGATCGAGATCGAGGGGAAGCGAAAGACCAAGAACAGCATCAACTCATGCTCGACTTGGTCAAAGAATACAGTGTCTTTCATTCTGCTAATCACCCGGCTATTTCCAGCTCCCAAGGCGACGCTGCCCCTCCAAACCACGGTCTTCAAGTTCTCTTGACAGGTCCGACAGGGTCACTGGGGAGCCATATCCTACACCAGCTTCTGTCAAACTCACGCGTATCAAAGATCCATCTCCTCGTCCGAGGCGCCAGCAGACACGCCTCCCGAGAACGTGTGATCAAAGCCCTTGGAGCTCGTCAGCTGGCGATACCCCCAGACTTCGATTCACGGACAACGGTTTGGCCATGCAGATTGGGCGACTCGAGGCTCGGACTGTCCAAAACCGATTATACACATCTATCATCACAGGTCGACGTGGTCATCCATCTGGCATGGAGCGTCAATTTCCTGCTTCCACTACGCAGTTTCGCCGGCACGCATCTCGCCGGATTGCGGAATTTACTGGATCTGGCCCTCGCTTCGCCTGACCGGTCGACTCCACCACGGTTCATCTTCTGTTCGAGCGTCGCAGCCGTGTCGAACTACTGCAGTAACAGCCTTGCTTCTGATCGCGGCGCTGAGACGGCCCAGACTCTGGTCTCGATTCCGGAACAGTGTATCGGCGATTCGCCATCGGTGGCCGGCCCAACGGGCTACGCGCGCTCGAAATGGGTCGCTGAGGCAATTTGCGAGGCTGCGCATCGTTCGACGAGGCTGAGACATCGGATCTCCATTGCTCGAATCGGCCAGCTGTCGGGGGCCAGTGATACGGGAGTTTGGAGCAAATCCGAGGCGTATCCGCTGATGCTGGCCAGCGCGAAAGTTACCGGGGTGTTGCCGGATCTGCAGAACGAGATACTGAACTGGTTGCCTGTCGATGTGGCGGCAAGGGCGTTTGTCGAGGATCTTCTCACAGATGCAGATGCAGATGCAAAAGTAGGTATTGGTCGGTCTAACCGAGACAAACTTGTTGAGGCACCTGTTGACGGGACAGATCATGGTCATGGGCAAAAACACGCGTATGGAGACAGTGGTGGTGACAACCTGCTCGATCGAAAGGAGTGTTTACTTTCCAACAGACGCAACTCATACAAGACAGCCCAGGACAGGATTGATGACATGCCCGATGGGACTGCCGACCTATCACCAGATGTTGGTATCACTGTCCACCATGTCTTAAACCCAGACACCAGCGTCCATTGGTCGGATTTGTTGACATGGAAATCACGGTATATTGAATCTCACGCAGCGGCAGGATCAGGATCTGGAGCGTCGAATTCTTCGTTCGAAGATCAACCCAAACCGGTTGCGTTCCAGATCGTCCCCGTCGACGAATGGCTGTCTCGTCTGGGTGCTCTTCAAGAAGATGATGCTACGAAAGGCCATCCAGCTCTCAAACTGCTCGGGTTCTGGAACGATGCGTATGGACGCCGATCAGCCAGGGACAGCGGCAGTGCTGAAGATGAAAATGACGATGGGGGTGGTGCTGAATTCAAGAGAAAGGGGGATGTTGATGTCGATATTGATGTCCATACCCATACTCAAGAACTCAACTTCAATAGGCAGTCCATCATGACCAACAACGACGAGATAAGCCAGGCAATTCAACTCGCACCAGGCCAGGATGTACCGGCAATGAGAGAGTCATGGTCAGAGGTGGAGACTCAGGCGATGACTGAGGACAAATCTCGCGGTCAGGAGCTGGATCATCCACATCGAGTGCCGCGACAATGTCCCTCTGCATCTGAGAACGGAGGTCTGGCGCAAAAGCAAAGACGACAAGGACAGACAACCTACGAGATGACCAAGACGTTTACCGCCATGCCCTCTCTCCAGCATGACACTGGCACCAGTATTGTCGACGAAGAATATGTTGTCAAGTTGTGGAAATGGGTCCAGAGTAACGTCTAGAGACCCCCGAGTGCCTGAGTACTCAATCTTCTGGATCTCGACGATTCTTCTCGAACGGGATTCGTCGCAAGTGTTCAACAAATAAATCGGATTATGTATTTTATATATGCTGTCCAATTACTTTTAGTATCTCTCTTTATTAGTTCCAGAGCAAGTCGGCCGACGATGCCCACAAAGCTCCTTCGACACGATCACTTTTCTCTGCCCGACAGGGCAATCTAAGGGCAGATGATCTCTATGCAAATTCCTCAGGCACCTTGGATGGCATGGAGGGCCATCCACCGCATCCACAATATTTTGGGTCGGTCGATCACCAGAATCCAGCGACACCACCGAACCCTGCGGCCTGAGGCAGGTCATCGGCATTCAGCAAGCCGACACCCTCCTCGATGAGGGTGGTCCAGACGGCATTTCTCGTGGAGAGCGGCCAGGCGGGAGTGTCCCAGTATCTAGCCAGGATGCCACGACTGTTGGCTTCGGCGATATGGGCACGCACGAGCGCCAGCTGCGTCTCGTTGAAGGTGGTGCCGTTGATGTCGCCGATCCAGCGGCTGAACTGGGTCGATGCGACTGGCGACACACTTGCGGTGATGTTGGCCTGGGTATCGTTCAGCAGCGCGAGGTTTGCGTCGAAGAAGTAGTCACGCTGCTGCACCGGCTGGATTTGGTCTAACGGCGTATTGCCCGTTCCGACCACCGTTACAGGGCCCGGGGTGACGTGTGTGCCGTTCCATGTGGTGAGGTAGTTGGCGTCGCGGAGGGGCTGGAGCGCCTCGACGACCACAGGCCAGGTGGTGTTTCCGGCCGTCTTGACGTCGATGAACAGATACAGCGTCTGGCCCGAGGAAGTGTCGAAGACGCCGTTGCGCGTGGGCGGAGACGACACGAAGCGCGAGTTTGGGTTCTCGCGCTTCAGCACGTTCAGGATCGGTTGGATGTAGAGCGAGTCCAGTGTGCGGGCGGGAGTCAAGGCGGACTCTTCGTGGCCCACGAACAGCGTGTCGTCGTACAGCCAGACATCGGCTTCGACGGACACGGCCCCCACAGAAAGCGCCGTGTAGAAGGGCACGTCGCGCCAGTAGTCGTTGTGCGAGTGAATCCGTTTCTGCGAGTCGTGGACAAGGTTAGAATGACACAATGTTATGAGCCGTGATAGATTATAGATGGGATTGCGATTGTATCAAGGTCTGTGTGACAGGAATTCTGGCAGGACCACTTACCGGTACTATTCCTCTGGTCAGGTCGGTCGGGTAGGTGTATGCGTCGCTGTTGTGGGTGTTGGACAGTATGTTCTGCAACGCGGCTGGAATGTCGAGCCCTTCCGCAGAAGCCGACGCTGGCAGCGGTGCGGCGGATGCTTGGAGCGCCAGGGGCAGCGCAACGGCCAGTAGTGATGCGATCATGGCGGGCGGCGACGACGACGACGAGATCCTGTTGAAGATCAAGTCAAGAAGGATCGGTGTAGGAGAGGACGAGACGCTGAAAACAAGTTAACAAGGGAAGTCGCTTCATTTTATGTTGTGGTGTTTTCGTCTTCGATGAAGGGTTTCTCTAATAATGTGGTCTGCCCGATGGAGCATCATTATTGAACGAAGCCTGGCCGTTGGAGTTTCTCCACGTTGTGGACACTTCAAGTTGGGTCCATTCACAGTCTTTCGGTTCCTGCGTTGGAGGCTCAAGCATCCAATCGTCCTTGGGAGATCCATACACGTGTATTCGAGGAATCCATGACTATCATCCCAGGCTCGACGGGCTCGACATCTCGTATACATGAGGGGGGCTTCGACGATTTCACTGGCTAACTTGGCTATGGTGCAAAGCACCGTCCCAAAGGCCGTTCCACAACTATATGCTGTCTATGTAGACAGAGGCTGCCGTAAACCCAACGGTCATGATCCACCTGTCTATACGAACGCACACGGAAAGTTGGTTGTCTGGCGTCCTATCCAACTACGTCGCCACGTGGGTTCGACCAATATCAAAAGTTCCTTTCCGCAGTCGGGTTGAGTACGATATTCGACAGTAGTCACTGATGCTAACGAACAACTTGCGGGAGGACAGCAGGACCCTACGGCAGCCTCTTGTCTCCGATCTCGCACGCATGACTGCCGTGAGTGCCGACTGGAGAGTATGCCTTTCGCCGACTCGTACCCAGGCCTTCGTGCCAATATTCAGTGCAGATCAGAGACGCCGCCGGACGTCAGGAACCAAGGCGGCACTGTGAGATGGTATCTACTGCCAGGATCACGGCATGACCAATATCCTCATCTTAGCCCTGCATACGCATGTCAGATTTCAGCATCCCACCTCCTCTTGGACACTTGTTCATTGTGTAAGGAGCCGCGTGTCGAGGGAGATATAGGGAGCGTTTAAAGTTAGAGATCTGGGCGTGAGGACAAACGAGCGCTTCGTCGGCCATCTTATAGCCATCGCAACTAGGGTGCAGGTCATGATGGTGACCAAGCCTGATCCAGTCGTTGGCAGATTTACCGGTAAGCCCGCAGGCTACAGAATTCGGCTGTTGCATGAGACTGGTTTGAAAGGCCTGGACTGTTGCAGGTAGCCCAGGTACTACTAGATGCTGAAGTCAGCGACCTTAGGACTGGTGCCACGACTGTCATGATTGACACCGCATGAGATGAAGAACGAATGGCCGCACTCGGGACTCGGGAGGAACGGCTCTGTTGACTTTTGGGAGTCCGTTGTTAGTGGAGATGGGCGTTTGGCATTGAGTAATATGACTGCGGTACATGTATGCAGTGCAGTGAGAGACAAGGCGTGCGTGACGACAAAGGAAGGAGGTGAGGTGCTGCTGTGGCGAGTGCGATCTCACCAGTGGCTGGAGCTGCGACATGGGCTGCAGTGGACCATGGAGGTCTTGGCTGTCGAATCAGCTGGAGGGTCACAAGGGTATGACGACATCTCGATCTCAAATATTGTATCCATGTTCCGATCTTCAAGTTCGACCTGGCCACCTTAGTACTGCCACTGTGGTACATCGACTGATGTCTCGTCGGGAGTCTCGGTTAGTCCAGTGATAAACCAGCTATTTCCCCTCGAGGCTCAGTCCAGGATAGAATCAAGAAATCACAAGTACTCGATTCTGCCTAGTGGTCCCCATACCGCACCCGCTTTCGGACGGGTAGTGACGCAGTTTGTATCCTCCTACGAGGCCTTTCCCCAGAGTGAAGTAACCCCTGGTGGCTCCTTCAAGTTCCAGGAGTGAAGCAGCAGGGGCCCTGAGGTAAGGTACCTACCAGGTATATATGAACAACTTACTTCTCTCCATCTCCTTATTCCTCTTCTCTACACCTACCACCTCATCACGCCATCTCACAGCCTACCCTTCAAACCCGCCTTCGTCGACCGACCTACGAGGTCATATCCAACTTCAGTTCCAATCCGAACCAGCCACCATGCAGCTCTCCAACGCCCTCATCTACTCTCTCCTCGCCACAGTGCCAGCTCTGGCTCAAACCGACACCCTGCCAGCAGCCGGTAGTGGAGCATCCGGAGTCATTGCCTCAGCCTCTGGTACCGTCGGTTCTGCAATCTCCTCTGCGTCAGCCTCAGCTGCGGCCAGCTCCCTCTCTTCCATCACCTCCGCAGCCTCTGAATCTGCGGCTTCTGCATCAGCCTCTCTCACAAACGCCGATTCCTCCGTTGCCTCCAGCTTTGACTCCGCTACTGGTGCACTTTCTAGCAGCATCTCAAGCCTCAGTTCTGCGGCTGCCAGCGGTGCCACTGGAGCTGCGTCTTCCCTTTCCTCCCTTAGCTCGGGCGCCAGCTCGGTTTTGAGCAGCATCTCAGGTGCAGCTGGTAGTGCCTTGAGCAGCGCCTCAAGCCGGGCCAGCTCTATCGAATCCTCGGCATCCTCGGTCATTTCTTCTGCCACTGCCTCCGGTTCCAGTGCCGCAGCTGGAACTGCGTCTGCTGCATCCTCTGGAAACGCTGCTGCTGCCATGCCAACTGCATTGTCTGGTGCTGCGGGCGCTGCCATTCTGGGTCTGGCTGCATTGCTGTGAACAGTCTGACATTGAGCATCTGTGGGTGTTGGAAAATCATACAATTACGACCAGCACATAAGCAAGCATCAAGGGTGGAATCATGATACAGTACAGGGCATCAGTTAGCATATGGGCGAAGCGCGTTGCTCAATGTAATTAATCATGGTGATTGAACCACTCAAAATAGTGTCAAAAACTGCAGTTTCTATCTGACTATTCTCGGCTCATGTCATAGATGCCAATCATTCCCATCCACGTATCATATGACTTGCTTGCCATTGAAACAGTTGATACTTTGGAGTTGTCCACAACTGTCGTACTTTGGCCTTTTTGAGTGGGAGTTACCACGGTTCTGTCACGGACAGGTCGACGCTGGACCCATAACATGTTCTTGCATACCATCGATGCATAATCAAATACGAAATGATCTAGTTCCCAGCCTCATCATGTGTCAGCAAGAGCCCGTTGAATCTGACGAGCGCAATCACCCGTTGGGGATGTCAGCTTACAGGTTGCAGGTCGCAGGATTGTAGATCTTGAGCCGGGTGGAAATTTGGAGTATACCGGTATATATATTCGTCTATTCTTGGGAAGTTCGCTGCGTGCGGTGTACTCCCCTGACACTATTACTTCCAGTCATGTCTTTCTCAACGACACGGCGTATTGTGACCGGTAATTGCTCACTGCGAAGTTGCCCGCCGATATAACTAACTGGCACCCAGGTCATGATATTCACGGAAAGGCCATATTCACGAGCGACAAGGTCCTGACCCCAGCCAACCCGCTCGACCCCGCAGGCAGTCCACCCACAGGGATTATTCCCGGCTTCACAAATCTATACAAAACCGATGGGATTCCGGCCAAAGCCCAGACCCCATTCGTCGACGTGCACGGCAAGAAGATCGGCCTTGTCGACCCGTCCGGCGTATACTGTCGCATCGTAGATTTTCCCGCCGTGGGAAATTCCGAGGACAATGTCAACATCATGCATCGAACGCAAAGCGTCGATCTCGGGGTGGTGCTCAAGGGAAGCATCAAGCTGATTCTGGATGACGGGCTTGAGACGATCATGGGTGAAGGGGACGTCGTCGTGCAAAGGGCGACCATACACGTAAGTGCTCTCTTCGTTTCCTCAATGTACCTATCTTTCGTCTTGGTGCTGATGTTCCCTCTCCAAACAGGCTTGGAAGAATGCGAGTACGGAGAATTGCCGGGTTCTCTTTGTGCTGGTCCCTGCGGAGCCTGTTCTCGATGAAACCACAGGCGAAGTTCTACGGCCGTCGCCTACGCCACATCTTGTAGATTGATAAGGGGGTGAGATTGGAAGGAGGTTAGCTAGATAGGAGCTTGAGGGTGTCTCCTTGAATGTCCAAATTATACTCTGTACAGTCAAAGTACGGGAGACCACAGAGACCATGACCACAGGGACTTTGGTGTTGCATTACATAATCCAACTGCCAAGCCCTGGCCCCGCCTTGCCTGCGCCCCAGCCCCAGAATTTCCACTGTCAACGGCCGAAGTTCTTCAACCTTGATTATTTCCTCCTCCACCCTCGTACAACCCAATTCCCTATCAGCGTACAAATACCCTTCGTTCGATCAGCCTCTGATTACTTTTTCGTGGTACGAAGGCGGCATGCCCTAACGCAATCACAACGCGTCGCCACCATGCCCAAGGAGCGCCAGACATGCACCGAGTGCTCTATGCGCCGGCAGAAATGTGATCGCAACATTCCTTGTGTTCGGTGCGTGAAAAGAGGTGACGGGGCAAAATGTACGCGCGAATGGCCTCAGGGTGGTTACGACCCCAAGCGCCACCGCATCTATCCCAGAACTTCCACCAAGCCCGGCAGCAGCGAGGCAGACTCGGACGCCTCACCTACCTCTGTCGGTCAACGTGTTCCCAGGTCATCCAGGGACCCTCCACGAAGAAAGCGGGCTTCTGGAAATGCAGCACCCGCGCCTCAGCCACCACAAGCACCACCACCAGCACCACAAACATACTCGATTAATTCCACTCCAGCCCCTACTACCACGCCAGGAGCCGATATAGACAATGCTGCCACCGTTCTGGAATTTCTGACATGGGGTCGCTCGAAGCTATCTGACTACGACCTCAAAGCTCTTGAACTTCTGAAAGAGCCTCACCATGCTGACCCGGCCTCGGCCTCCAGAGACACTGGTCCTGACTGGGACGTCTCGGCTGGCCTGGGAGGCACAGGCGCTACTCAGATTTCTTTCCTTCAAATGCTGCTTCCAAGTCGTGTGCAAGTCTTCCAACTGGTCGACTACCATATCAACTCAATCTTGTGGTATCATGGGTGCTTTCATGGTCCGACATTTAACGCAGAGCTCAGAGAGGTCTACAAGGATCCCGCAGGCTTGCAAGTCAGGGATATGGACCTCAGATGGACTGCCCTGTTATTCTCCGTGATGGCTGCCAGCATAACTTGTGCGAGTGAACAGTTGGCGCTGTCCTGGGGTTTCAAGAAGACCGAGCGTGCTAAGCTCAGCCGACAGTGGTACAAGGCTACGGTGACGTGTCTCAATCTTGCCGACTATATGTGGCGACATCACATCTACTCGGTGGAGGCTATCACTGTCCTGACATTGTCCGCTCATGTTCTTGGTTTCAGTAATACTCAGAGTACACTATTAGGCGCCGCGCTGAAAATTGGTCAGGGACTGGGGCTTCAGCGCCTTGGGCCAGACAACGATTGCGGCAACACGGGCGGACCACTGACCCCGGCCCAACGAGATAAGGTAATCATGCGAGAGACTGGACGCAGGTTATGGGCGCAGCTCTGCATCCAGGATTGGTTTTCGATCCCATTTTCGGAGATGTACTCGGTCCAAGCGATGCATTTCACCTCTCTCAAACCATTGCCCTACGATGAAGTGACGATGCAGCCATTGCCAGAGAATGTCCCCAGTATGGTCAGCTTCCCAAACTATCTTTATGAGATAGCATATCTGATGCCTCAGATACATGACGCGATCATTACCTCCAATACTTTGTACACCAAATACGAGCAGGTGCTGGAGTACGATGCGAAGATGCGCGCTCTGGCGACAGATGGATGCCCTGCATATTTTTCCATGAGAGAAGCAATCTCTCCGGAGTGGCCGGCCTTTATCCCTTGGGCTAGACGAAGCTTAACAATATGCTTCGCGCACAAGATCATCATGATTCATCGTGCTTTCCTTGGCCGCAGCTTTTCCGAACCAGCCTTTCATTTCACCCGTCGCACCTGCATGGCGGCGGCGAAGACCATACTAAAAGAGGCCAGGCAAGCCTACGATGAAGAAGGACCTATGCTATGGATCGATCAAGCATTCATGGTTGCGGCTGGGATCACTCTGGCCTTGGACATTTTCCACCGCAAACAGCATGAACCCGAGTATGATGAACATAGAAAGCTGGTCGAAAATACGATCAGCATGCTCGGCAAATTCGACAACAGCATGATCGCCTTACGTGGCATCCGCCTGCTTTCATCCTTGCTTGCTGAGCAGTCCCGACTCACAGCGGACCAAACACTGGACGCCTACCGAAAGCGCTCACATGACGCGGGAGAACGTGGACAACCTAAGAGGCAGAAATTCAACGTTCCTAAGTTTGTCGAATCTTTTGTCGGAAATGATTCGTTCACGCACTCTCTATGGAAACCCAACCGGGGTGGTGAGCCCTCATTGGATCTAAATGAACCCAGCGACGCACGTACACCGGCGATGCAAGAACCCAGCTTCACGTCGGACCTAGGCTACGAGACCTTCGAACAACTGTTTCCGCCTCACACTGGTATTAGCAACAATTTCCTGTTCGAAGATCTTCTCAACTTCGACATCTGAAAAACAGGCTAGTGTTCCGAAGCGGCAATACTTTGAGCTTTCGGTATGATTGAGATAGAGGCAAGGCTGTCCGATGTTTAGCCAAGCCCGAGCAACGTACGATAATCGCAGCACAATAATTGGACGATAGACTGACTGCGGGGATTCCCTTTGCCAGCCTTATCTCTTCGTACGTTCCGCATGGCCCGTACTCGGCCGTCCGACTTGCTATCAGCGGACAACATATTCGTATCAGATCTCTTGCAGATGTCGAGGTTCTTGAACATAAAAGGGAGACTTGCCCTTTCACCTGCTTCACATAATCTTCATTACACACAGCACACATCGACCGCAAAGCAACACCGTCCCGCTCCAACACAGCCTAACTTGTTGTACCTGTCATATCCTAAGACGTACATCTCCGCGACCGAGGTGTTATCTAGTCGCCATGGCACCAGAGAAGACCAAATACGTTGACCGACCAGTTCCAACCATCTCTTTGGCCAACTTCTCCGAGCGCGTCGACGAAATCACTGCGCAACTAGTCGCCGCCGCCGAGAATGATGGCTTCTTCTGCGTCGTGGACCACGGCATCTCTCCACAAGAAGTCGAGCAGATGTTCGCCCAATCTGCCCGTTTCTTCTCACTGCCGGACGAAGTGAAGGCGAAAGCCCTATTCTCATCCGCCCACAATGCCGGATGGGAAAAGAACTCCCAAGTTCGGCCATCGACCGGTGCGGCGGACAAGAAAGAATCGTATCAAATGCAATTCGGCCAGAACATGGAAGGAAAATGGCTAGATGAGGCCGAGATTCCGGGCTTCAAGGAAGCCAGTCTAAAGTTCATGTGGCATGTCCAAGATGTCTCGGAGAAGCTTATGCTCTGTTTCGCCCGCGGCCTGGGCTTTCCCGACGACTATTTCATCAAAGCTCACGACGTGAAGAGGCCCGAAAGCCAGACCGTGGCGCGGCTGCTCCATTATTTCGAAGCCCCCAGGAATGCCAACGGTGAGGTCTGGCATCGCGCGGGCGCACACGCCGACTGGGATCTCTTGACGCTGTTGTTCCAGAAAGCAGGACAGTCTGGTCTCGAGGTAAGCCGGCAACCCCGACGATAACTCCTTCCGGGCCTGCCCCATGAGAACATCCCTCTTCGTTTCCTGTTTCACCATTGGCACCCCCCATACTGACAATATCTCTCTTGCTTGTGTATTCTAGATCTGTCCAGGCCGCGAAGCCTCGACATCCTTCGGCCACGGCGACACTTGGACCAAAATCGACCCCGACCCAGCGAGCAACGCCATTATCTGCAACATCGGCGACCTGCTGATGTCGTGGTCTGACGACCGCTTCAAGTCGACGTTCCACCGCGTCAAGGCCCCGAGCGAACCAGACGACTACTACGGCGAACGATACAGCATTGCCTTCTTCAACCAGCCGTGCCGGGATACATTGATCCAGGGACCGCTCAAGAAATACCCCCTCATCACCGGCGAGGAGTTTACTCGCAATGCCATGATGCGGAACTTCAAGGCTCTTGAGGCCAAGCGGCTCGCTGAGCAGGAGAAACAGAGTAGGGCGGAGATGAATGTGACTAGTATGCAAGAGGGCAAAACGGTGGCCGAGGTGGGCGCTTAGTCAGGACAAGGCTCGGTAGCTAGTAGCTATCCTATTGTTAAAATGCATAAAAGGTTCACAGTGAAGAGGCTCTGGCCCCGGGTTCGTAAACGCAGCCCCCTTGGGAAAACCCTTTGCATGAATAGCGGAAGTGCCCATATGTTTGGAGGAAATGTTATTACAGGCGTCTCAATCTCCGGTGCTGACAGAGCGACAGCCCATGGAAGTCCGCGAGACCACCCTATGGGTCGGTCCCAGACATGGATAGTATTCTTTCTTCTGCTGCTCCTTCCAAACGACCTTCAACCCCACGCCTCCCTTGGAATGCTGGATGCTACCATTCAATTCGCCCTGATCCCACGTAGACCACACGTTAGGACTCGGATTTCGATGTACAGTGTCAAGATTATGACCAATTCCTGCATGTATCCTCTTCCAACAAGGCCTGGGGATGGATCACATAGCATGATGAGCACTGCGGGATAGGTAGGTGACTACCGCCGATATTGGGGAACAGTCCTGGTGATGCGGAGATAATCAGCATTACCGTGGGATAAGGGCTGTGTCCAAGCCCTAGGAGATCTTTGTGAGAATTCGAGCGGCTGCTCTGTTCGTGCAGGTTGTCCTCTGCACGATTGCTGGAGAGCCTGATGATGCGATGACTGGCTTTGAAGCGAAGAGGCACCGCACGATCCTAGTCTGTATCAGGGAAGTGATGCATTCCAGTGTGTGCAGGCAGTCTTGCTAGTGCTGACAGGCGGGTAAGTCGATGTTTTGTTGTACAGATGGGTTGTCTTGTTTGTCCTGCGCTAGCTGTGATGATGTAGGCGGATAGCCAGAACGCAGGAGACAAAAAATGAAGCCATACAGGGTGTTGGGGGACAAAGGGACAGTAAAAGGTGCTCAGGTCCCTTTCAGCCTTCGACACCCGTCTTCTTAGCAAAGGCGTCTCTGGCCATCAAGGTGTTCAGCACGGCACAGTTGAAAGCAGCCTCTCCCGGCGGAATGACGACATAGATGTAAGTGTTGTCCGTGAAGCGTGCAAGGAAGCAATTGAAGCGCTGCGTCTGGACTTTGAACAGGATGAAGCCCGCGCTTGCAGCCGTGGTTCTGGTATTCCTCGCGACAGTGTGTTTGTAGGTCTTAAAGATATTGGAGATGCGTTCGTGCCGGTCCGGGTGTGGATTGTCTTCGCCGTACTCGGTGACGACGTTGGTGACGGTCAGGAACGTGGAGCGTTCGAAGAGCACGATCTCTTCGGCCGACAACTGCTTTGCGAACGCCTGCAGGAACCGTTCGATCACCACGAGGTTCGGAATCATCTTGTGCACAATCCCTGCCCAAGCCTTGTACAGGGTCTGGTCCCAGATGCTGCTGGCGAACGTCTCCAGACTGAGGCCCTCGGAGCGTGCGGCAATCAGTTTGCACCGCTCTTCATAGATGCGCTCGCGGTGCTCCGTCTGCACCAGGTCCATCTTGTGGATCAGACAGAAGACATGTGCTGTCGGACTGTACTCCTTCAACGCCTTGATCACTTGGCTGTATGTTTCCAGGTCCTGGTCGACCGACCGCGATTCAATGTCGAACACGTAGATGAGCACTTGGGCGTCGGAGAAGACGTTCTCTCGCTGCGCGTTGAGGTATGAGTCCATGAACGCATCTTGTCTGCCGAACAGAATAACTCGTCAATGTCTGTGAGAAATGCCGGCACCTTTTTGTTTTGGGGAGAAAGAAAGGCTGTCTTGCTTACCCTCCACAGTCCCACAAGTTAAGTGTAAGGTTGCCCATGAATTTAGCATGGCTGTGTTCGACATCGATGGTCGCTCCGAGACGTCGGACATCCTTTGCGACGTAGTTGCTGAAGATGATGGACCGCATGGACGACTTCCCGGAGCCGCTTTTGCCCATCAGGAGCACCTTCTTCTTTCGCTTGCGAGTGTCCATCTTGCTGATCGGTTCTTGGACGCCGGGTTTGCTCGCAGGGGTGCGACCTTTCAACAGTGATGTGATGTGCGGGAGACAGAGGCGGGGTTGCAAGTTCGAGGCTGGCAAGGGTAAGTTGGCTGTTGCTGCAGAGGAGTATTGCATCATCAAGCGCATTCTCCTACAAGGCTGCGGTTGCGTCAGAACAAGGCTGAACGAGAGATCAAGGGCATTATCGGCTAGACTCGTGTTTATCATTCATTCATTCATTCTTCTACTTGTACATAGCAGCTGTCTCGATGCCAGTGTTCCATCCATCCTGGGTCATTATCACTCGGTTGTCGTGGGCAGCCCACTGGAGCTTTGGGGCCGGATGGAAGACCAGGTGCCACCGCTGCATCATAGGAAGAAACAGTCCGTCACTGCATACCTTGAGCAAGCCATCGTCAAAGCGTGTCTCCATAATCATGCTAGTGTCGTGAACCTCTTGTGGTCGCCTATCAACCATGTGCGATCCTTGTCATTCGAATGCAAAAAGCGTTCAGAATACGGTCCCATCAGAGATGATACCAATGGGCGGTCCTCCAGTAATGGGCCGTGACACCTGCGCAATCTCTCGTCCTCCCTGTAAAGCCTTGTCAGTCAACGCAGCATCAATGATTCAGAACTGCTCACCTTCCAAGTTCCTGCCTCGAGCATTTGTGCCAAAGTTAGCTGTTCTGCTCCTTGTAGTCCGAGACCTTTGTTGACAGCGACGAGAAGCTCGTCCAAGAATCCCACGGTAACAGCACGCCACTCGACGATCACATCATCACCTGCTTCGAAGGTCGGGACGACCTCAACAGCATTCCCGTTGCCGACCATTTGATGATAGTTTTTCAAGCCCTGCTGCCGGTCCTCTTCTTTCAGAGTAAGTAATCCAGTATCGACCAACAGACCTCCATTGCGGTACTCCGGAAGGCCAGTCATCAGTTCAGCGCCGGCAAAATGTACGTTGAGTAGCTTGGTCATCGGAACCATTAAGGAGTAACACAGCCATTGCGTCAGCTTGTGGAAGGGCACAATCGTCTCCCAGGGTTGAGCTGGAGGGGACTTGGGCATAGCTTGACAAGGCCAGGCGTCTCCGAGCGGTAGCCCTTGAATCGCGGTTCGAGTGGCAGGCCAGATATCTGACAACCCATCCATGAGGACACTCCAGAGAGTAGGTAATACGACGACAGGAACTGAGGCCGCTTGAGTTGTCGGATGCGACATCAAGTAATCTAAGATGATTCAGTCCAGCCGTCAAAAGATAAAGATAAAAGACATCCTTACCGATCATGTTTCCCGGCCGAGGATCCACGCCGAACATCTCGGCATTCTTCTGAAGCGCGGTGCTCAATCTGATGAGCAGGCCAGCTCGGCCCTCAAGCCCAGACATTGGGTTCGCGTCGGACACTTGCATACCTCGCGCCAATGTCTCAACTGTCACTTTACTCAAACCAGCAGCATCCACCTGATGAGGTTGAGAGGGGTCACTGCTGAAGGCGCCAGCCTTAAACATCTCCAAGCTAGCCACGGCCAACCCTTCACTTCGGGCGTATACCTTACCAGACTCCTTGGACTTGTAAGACCACTTATTGCCGGCTCCTGCATCTAGGAGGACCGAGACCAGGAACAAGTCGATTAGTCGACGGGTCCGCTCTTGGTTGTCGATGGAAGTTGACCATGACTGCAGCAGTTGTGTGACCCTTGGTCTTCCCCCGACCTCAAAATGTTGCCACCGGCCATGGGGAGGAATAGAAGCATAGTCTCCCGCGAAGTCGCGCTAAGCAGTATCAGTTTGCGCGCCGAGCGTCTTCCATTTGAACTCGAAGCTTACCTTAATGATAGACACGACATAATCTGCAGTATCCTTGAATTTGGACATGTCAACTGTGAAGTGATTTAGGGCGTTCACTTTGGCCTCCTCGAGAACCAGTTTCGTTCTTGCTCGGACGGCATGAATGCTTCGAAGATAGGCTGCCGGCTTGATAGCTGGATCTGGCGGTTCCGGGATGGGGGTTTCGGGTAAGACGTTTGCCATGTTTGGAGAGAACGACTTTCCGCCGACGAGCTTCGGGGACTTGTGTGAGTAGCTTGAGATGAGGTCGACCGTGGAGGCAGGCCTGATGAGTGTTGTGTCAGGCTTCAATCCATCTGGAGGTGTTCGTTGTTCCCTTCTCTTGAAAATGCCCATCATATCGGAGAAGACCTATCGGCCGATCGATTGCCTCCTGCGGCTTCCAGCCAGTGGCTAAGGAGGCAGTGGGATTGCAGGGGCTGATAGGCGGACCAGGAGCTCACGGCTCACGGCTAGGGAGGCTAAGCTGCAAGGGGCCCTTAGGCGGCTAGGTGGTGGGAGACGTAACCTTGCCAGCCATTCGTCGTCCCTAATTGACCTGCGCAGCGGGTCAGTATGCCAATAGTAATGCAGCCCGTTTGAAGATGAGCCGGCAAACCTGTCATGCAGTAGCGACGAGTTCAACCAAGCTCGCTCAACCCAGTGATGGTCGTAAGGTCGGAAGAGAATAATCTGGGGAAGCGTTGATGCTGGATAAGACTCAAAGCCAAAGGATCCAGGCTGAAAACGATCAATAACGTGAGCAGTAGTAGGAGGTGGCAGACGAAGTGAGACACGACTGAAATCACTGCAAGCGGGCTGCTAGAAGAATCTTTGAGGTGCTTCTTGCGGCCGTTGGCTATCAGGGCAAGGACAGCATACGGAAGATGCTGTTGAGTAGAATGAATATCGAGGAGCACTCCGCTCAATATCTTCTTTGAGTGCAGTCATCGAAGCCTCATCTACTAACCTACTACTTATGCGACAAGCTCTACCCTTTTCCATGTTTTCTGTGGGCTTGAGTGGGAGCAACGAATATGCACAGTTCAGGAGAAGTCTGCTACCTAGAGTCTATACATGCCCCAGGTACCTGGAGACTTTATCATAGCGGAAGAGCCGTCAACGAGGACGAACCGGTCAAGGGCGAGCCCGACTTTTAGCCAGTGCGCCCCTTCTAAGCGGGCTCCTTAGGCTAAGGACGCTTCGCGTATGGCGCGTGGTGATTGCGCAAAGCCTCCTTAGCTTCCTTAGCCTCTATGTAAGGTACCGGCTGCACCTTAGACAGCTTAGAAGCTAGGATGGTCCAAGGCCTAAGGAGCCTAGGAAGCCCATAATGGCCCGAGGACATCGAACCCGGGCCAGGAACAGCCTCTCCCTATGGGCTAGGGAGCCCCCTGCCAGAATCCCGGTCGGCACCCTCCTAAGGAACCCTAACCTCCATCTGAGCAGCCGCGGCACGAGGCTTCCGGCGCACCCCAGACACCCAGAGCCACGATATTACTGCCCTAACCGTGCACACTGTGGCACCAGTTATTTGCCCTCTACCCTACATGTAGTTACACCTACCTAGAATCCTCAAGATCGAATTTGACATAGACGAAAGCCCAAATGAACCACCCGAAGTCGTGGTGAGACGGACTAAGCACCGGTGTGTTTGGATAAGGCACATGTAGTCTACCTAGTACTAGCCCGCAGATACTACAATGGATCGGTTTTTGCGCAGGGCGGCACAAGTTGCAGCAAAGATAGACTCTGATCAATTACTACCCTCTAAATCTGCCGGGGCCAGACATGAACGAGCTTAATAGTATGTTGGAATCGTGTGCCTGGGGGCCGCCGTACTAGGGCATGCAAGACTATCGATGAGTTCCGTGAGAACCCCATGCGGGCCATACTACTGGACGTGTGGTTAAAGGGGCAAGAATCCTGTCATTCAAAACACGAGCCACGTTCGATTGATTTATAGTGGTTGTAGGGGTTGTTGGCCGCATGTCACTCCGTACGCCAACATCAAACAACTTTCCCTCCGCCATTTTCCATCCTACATATTTTCCTGGGTCGCATAGGTGAACGGCGTTTTAGAATGCATCCACTAGCGAGCACCAATTCTTCTTCTCCTTCTCCTTCTTGATATTCCCCTCCTCGCAGCCATGGATGATATAGCGGGGTTGAAGTGGTCTTCAGCCCCGGCTAATGGACAGAAGCCCTCCGCATCGAACTATTCAGCCTTCTCTACGCTGAAACCCACTCCCCCGGCCTCAGGGCGAGCCTCGCCATTGAGCTCGACGTCTCCTCAGCCTCCTTCGAAGCCGATCACTCCTTCAAATGACAGCTTCGCGAATTTGGTACCTTTCGGAGGGAACTCTAGCAAGAACCTGTCGCTAGTGGAACAACAGAAGAGGCAGGCAGAGGCAAGGCAGCAACAACAAAGGGCGCAGAATCTAGCATCTACAGCTCAATATGCCGGCGGCGATGACCAATTCTGGGAGAGTCTGGGCAGTGGTAGGGGGACACCAGCCGTGGAGAGTGCTCGGAATATGGCGACTTCAAGAAATAACGCCGTGAAAGATGACAACGACGATGATCTCTTTGCAGCATTCAACCAACCTCCCAAGGCGAAATCAGGCCGAACATCAGCGCCTTCGGAGGAAGCCAAGATGGTCGATGATGACGACCCGTTCGAACTTTCAAAAGTAGGACATCAGAAGACTGTCATCACGGCTGCTGTGAGCACTCTGGATAGTGACGAGGACGTGTTGGGACTACTTGGAAAACCCGCGCCTGCGCATGCCCCGGTCCAACCAAGGATGGAATCTCCTCCACCTGTTGCAGAGTCAGGTGTAGCCAGCCTTAATCCTCAGGACAGAGCGGTTGCGGAGCTTGTTGACATGGGATTTCCCGCGGAGAAGGCTCGGATTGCTTTAGAACAAACCGATTCTGGCACAGACATCCAGGCTGCCGTTGGATACCTGCTTAACCAAGCACATGCCGAATCACGTCAACAAACACAGCCAAGAGCTGCCAATCGGCAAAGAGAATCAGATGGGGAGCATGGGAGGAGCCGGCTCGGATCACAAACAAGACCGTCAGCACGATCGGAAGACTCTCATGGCGTCCAACGTAGAGAGCAAGGCTCGGGGCGTGCCACAGAAAAAGACCTTGAACATATGGCAGCGGAATTTGGGACCAACCTTTTGAAAACAGCTGGCGCATTGTGGAAACAGGGTACAAAGAAAGTTCAACAAGCCGTGCAAGAACTGAACTCTGACAGCGACTCGGGCAGTCAACCCCGGTGGATGCGAGAAGCAGAGCGCCCCATCCAGCCGGATCCTCGGTTACGACGGAGGGAAGACGAAATTGCCACAAACAGGCAAAGCGGTCCAAGCATGGAAACACAAGGTTCCGCGCGTGTGACAGACGAGGCAATGATGCTTGAGTCTAGCCGGCCAACGCCTCCTCCGCGCCCAATGGCATCGGCGCGTCCCGAGCGGCGATTCGAATCTAGTGCTGACAGTTCCCGCGACCAATCCCCAAATATGCACTCTGAACTGCGGGAGACGCTGTCCCAGAAACCGCCAGGGTTCATGCGGCAGCAGAACTCGGCTCCGGTAGCAAGTTCACGAACTACACTGAACAAAACGGCTGCTGAGCAGCAGGCCGCTCAAGCCTATGTCAGTTCAGCACGAAGGCGGAAGCCCCCGACCGCGGCTCAGGTACCCGTTGCATCATCAGAGCCAGACCTCCTTGCTGGGGCTTCCAATGAACTGGGTAGTAGAAGGCACCCAACAAGCGTGGCAACCCAGCTTCCTACACGCCCAAACTCACAACCGGCGCGGCGAGTCGAGGCGCCTGTACGACCACCACCTCCGACTAGGAAAGTCCCTCCAGTGTCCGATATCAGTCTCAAAGCATCACATTCCCACCGTGAGAAAGGGAACGAACATTTTAAACGTGGCGACTACTCCTCTGCTCATCAGTCCTACGCCACGTCGATATCATACCTCCCTGATACCCATCCCCTGATCATTGTCCTTCTGACCAACCGGGCCCTGACAGCACTCAAAATCGGGGAGCCGAAAGCTGCCATTGCTGACGCCGATAGGGCTATAGCAGTGATCGGTCCATCCAAGGGTGAATTGGAGACTATTGACTTTGGCACCGGCGATGCCCCCAAACCCATGCGTGACTACTACGGCAAGGCTCTGATGCGTAAAGCGGAAGCACTGGAACAGATGGAGAAATGGGCGGAGGCAGCTCTCGTCTGGCGTGAAGCCGTCGAGGGAGGCCACGGTGGTGCTACGAGCATTCAAGGACGCATCCGTGCCGAGAAGGCGGCGAACCCGCAAGCCGCGAAAGCAGGACTGCCGATGGCAGCGAGGCGACCTGCCACGTCGACGCCTGGGACGAGATGCCGCCCTGCAGCGACAGCATCGGCGTCTTCCTCGACGTCCACAGCAGCGGCCGTTGCACGGCTTCGTGCCGCCAATGTTGCCGCAGAAAAAGCTGATGACGAGAAATTCCGTCTGGCTGATGCTGTGGACGCTCGCGTTCAAGCCTGGAAAGGAGGCAAGGCCGATAACCTGCGGGCTCTCCTAGGGAGCCTGGAGAACGTCCTGTGGGAAGGCTCTGGCTGGAAGAAGATCAGCATGGCCGATCTGGTGCTCCCGGCCAAGGTCAAAGTACAGTATATGAAGGGGATAGCAAAGGTGCATCCTGACAAGGTACGTGATCCCGTGGTAGCAAACGATGCTCCAGCGTTATCGCGATATGCAACTCCGCCCGTCATTCGCGCCATGGATTGTTTCAATCAGCTGTTTGTGCCTGTACTATGCGAGTGTCTGGTAACTGACGCCATTCCTAGATCCCCACGGATGCCACGACCGAGCAGCGCATGATCGCTGGGGCAGTCTTTAGCACGCTGAACGAGGCATGGGATAAATTCAAGGCCGAGAACGGACTCTAGAATTGATGAACGTCTCCTGCACCGTATGCACGGTTCTACGACACGGCCACAAAGCCGTAATGCCGTTTGGTCTCAATTGAGCCTCTCGTGCGGTATAGAAGATATCCACAACACCGCACATAATTCAGATCTCCGCTGATTCATCTTCACATTGCCACTTGTTGGCTTTGGGATACATTATCTGAAACAAGCAAGCTCCCTATCACACACAACACTATCTCTGGCTGACACCCATCTTTGCACCCTTGTTCGACTTCTTGCCCTTGGACTTTCTCGTGGCTCTGGCTGCCTTCGCTTCCAGCCCCATCTTCACTCGAGCAGCACGTCTTCTCCAGGCCAGCCAGCGGTCCCGTCGATCATATGGGCGGACCTTGACTCCTTTTCTCTCTGCGGCACGTCCAATCGATACGTTGGCTTCACGATACGTGCCCTGTCGATGAATCGTAGGCGGAGGTATCGTGGGAGTGGACCCGGTCTTGAAAGCGGCATAGCTGTAACTGCTCGTTGACGAATCTAGCGTGTCTTTGCCCGATTGCGGCTCTTTGACCGGCGTCGCGTACATGCCTAGCCGTCTGCGAGAGGGTGCATTTGGAGGGTATGGCAGCTGCGAGCCCGGGCCTTCCTTTTCCAATGCCACTCCTATATATCGCCGCTTGGGGTGTTTAAGGGGATCTCGGTAGTATCGAACGTAACCGTGTTCCGTCGCATAGATGGTGTGGTCTTTGCCAATGCCCACGTTCTCGCCAGGATGCCATTTCGTGCCTGCAGTCCGGACTCGTTAGAGATGTCGAATCAGAGGAACCCATCAACCCTTACCTCTCTGTTTGAAAATTATGTTCCCCGGCACGACGTACTCAGAGGCCGACTTTTTGGCGCCTAATCGTCTTCCGGCAGAGTCACCAGGGCCATTGGCCCGTCCTTGCTGTGCGTGAGAAGCATGTCGAACAAAGGTCGTGGTCAGGAAGGTCTGCAGGTGCGAATGCTTAGAGCATAGGCTCAAGGAGCTCAGAGAAGATATCAAAGAAGTCATAAGCGTGTCTGAAGGCACTGCAGGCCTGTATAATCGTGGCTGCAGCATGTTGACGTTGATTGCAGGCTGTTTAACCAGGTTGAAGATGTCGCGAATTGAGCCAACTACGAAGAAATGCAAGCCACGCTAACCGCTTTCGGTCAAACACCTATTTGAGACTCACCACTGCAAGATCCAAGAGACCACTTTGTCTCCTTCACTTCAAGTTCCTTTCCTACTTCTCTCTGTTCCAGAACATCCTCACAAGAAACGCAAGCCCAGCATGAGACTAATACTATCGCTTATTCTCGCCCTCGCTGGATCTGCCGCCGCCCAGTTCCAATTCTTCGAGCAGTTTTTCCAGGGTGGGCAGCAGGCTCAGGCTAGTACACAAGAGAAGCAGAACGTCCCCAGCGATTCTAGCTGGTATCGTCAAAACTGGGAAGGAGGTATGTTCCAGATTGTTGTCCCAGCACATCTGAACGCGAATCGACTTGTAAATGAGTCTGCCGCACATCTGTTGGTGCTTCCAGGCGTGGTATTCGAGCTCGGGGGAAGGGAGGAAACGTGTTGAATGTTGCTGACGTGTTTAGCAACCTGCTCCAACTATCTCTGCCCCGACACACTTGCTTGCGTTCATTTTCCACACCACTGTCCCTGTCCTCATCAGGACGTGGAGGACAAGGTTGAACTAGGTGAAGGAATCGCCGTCTGTGCGAGCAAGGGAGGTTACAAGGCCGGCGAGGCTGCACGTAAGATCGAGTTGGCGAGAAAAGCACTTATTTGAAGTGGGGACGGACGTACTACAGTATTGCAGGCCAAATATGCTTGTTCTTGAGGCTGGTGCATCATGTCTGCGCCATCTGTCCTCAAGGCCGCATCAGTCTGCCCGTGGCGCACTGGCGACAGCTTCCTGCAAGCCGATGACCTCTTCGAACCAACCATAGCGGAGATTTCAACCACGGGTTTTTGAAAGCCCGAATACTGCAGGTCACCGCAACTTGGACGGTCTAGACATCTTCTGGCGGCGTTGTTTCAAACTTCCATTCCCAACTTGCATGGCATTCATTTTTGCAGGGGTTGCACGATGACGACGTCAATCCTTGTACTGTCGGATGAAAGGAATACACGCCAAACGGTCCTGGCTGACAACGACGATATGAGGTACTTTCCGAAACTCTAATGCGAATCTCGAGGCGCCACAAGTTGTGGTGACGGAAGCCACTGACAATCCTATCATGTTGCCGTCTGCTTTTCCGAAGTGGTCCTGTACCGCAGCACTATCGAGTAGAGTTTGGATACACATTACCCGTATTTCGTCCTCGTTCTCGGACTTTTGCGACCCGAGAAGGTAGCTCGTCGATGAAACGCAAAGCTGAAGCCCGAGCCGCGATGTCAGCAACGCACCCCGATCGCAGCCTAGTATATGCATCACCAGACCTTCAGGACTGTCAAGAATATGGACAAAGTCTTACGAAATGGGACAATTCTCGAAGAGGGTGGACGGCCAGCGAGCAAATCACTGTGTACAGAGTTACGCGGTTCCGCCGCTTGCGGTTCTCGCCGGGTCCAAGCTAACAAAGTAAGATCGAGACTCGACCGGCCTCCCGTCGCCGAAGATCCCAGAGCCGCTGAGCCATATCAATCAGGCTTCCAGGATAGCACCACACTATGGTGGGCTGGGCACGATACTCACAGTAATGATCGTCAGCTCGAGGTCGAGACTGGGTCGCAACCACTTGTGCAAGGCGCCAATGACATGGGATAGTGGTCCCGGCCATAACGTCGATATGTCTACCACAGTACTGATGGCTCTTTTTTTGACAGCTCAATCAGCCTACCACATCAACGGACCAGCGCCATTTTGACACCGGTCCCTCGTGTCGAGAAAAATAACGAGGGACAAATGGACTCGGATCACATCTGGTTCCCAGGTCGCCACGCATCGATGCTAATCACGAATAGCGGCTGCGGGATCTGAAATCCGATGTGTTTGGTAGGACCAAAATTCTGAAGGTCACCCAACACGTGATGCTCGGTGTTGCCGCCCTCATGGGATACTGGTACAGCAACAACAACCCGATAATTCCACAGACCATTTCAGTCTTCTGGAACGCACGGCGAGCCCTTGTAATGTACGAACCCACAAACCGTGATTCCGAGAGTTCAGCCTTGAGCAACACCACCAAGCCCCGCGCGGGCCTACGTTCAGGGTTATCAAGCAAACAAATCCCCGTGCCCTCTTGTCCGGTAGGCTAAGGGACCAGAAGACCCCTCGGCAGGGGCTACCGACTAACGCTAGTTCATTTGCTGAAGAAACCGCCACACCGCTCCCGCATGCCCTGTCCAGGTCATCTTTTCCATGCCTTTTCCGAAGGACCCTTTGTAGGCCTGGGCGGGCTTCCCAGCCTAGACGTTCTGCCTCCTCAGAAACTCAGCCCTGATCGTCGCATATGCCATGGATAGCTGTCTGCATGGACGATCTGGATAGGTTGTTGGCCGGGGCACTCCGAGTCAAGCTTTTGTCGCTCATTTGTGGGGCAGTGTGAGATCAGAGTGCTCGAAATGATGCTTCCAAAATCGTTTGACTATAAGCTGTCCGTGCCGGTGGTTCTTCCACTGTGGATGCTTGTTAAACGGCCGGCTCTTGATCACCTTTGTCAACTCTGCCAACAGCAGGTCCACGATGCAAGAAGAATATGATAGCCAGCCTGGTTCACCGGGTCCTACGAAGAGAAGACGATACTCGCGTGTGAGCAGGGCGTGCAATGAATGTCGGCTCCGGAAGATTCGATGCAATGGCAGACAGCCGTGTGATCCGTGTGAGGACTTTGATCGCCGTGAGTATAACGTGGAGAGTAATGTTTGGACGACCTGACCTGGCTTACCCTCTTGACAGACTGTACGTTTACCTCTACGAAGGGTCAGCGCACGGCAGGGGCGCCCCGAACAAAGATCCTCGAGGATCGGTTACGTCGGGCTCGCGCCCTTTTATCTAAGCTCGAAGCGCAAATTCCATCTTCGCAGCTTCATGCTGAGGTGAACAGCATTTTTGATTCGCCGCCTGGGTCCCCTTCGTCCGCCTCAGACACACCGGGTCCAACGGATCATCGGTTAGAGGATCAGTTCGAGAACATGCTCGACGGCAAAGGCCGGTTAACCTCTAACAAGAACTCCACTGCATACTATGGCGGTGGCTCAGGATTTGCGTTTCTTCATCAGACACAGCAGCTATTCAATCAAGACCCTTCCGGAAGTAATGAAGCCTCCAATGGCCCCGTTGACCTGGATGCCATGTCAAGACTCTTCGACTCTCCACTCCCAGATAAGCAGGCATTAGCGACGGATGTTCCTTTCGTCAAGCTGTTACCCTCCAGGCAGACGGCAAGGGAGCTACTTCATGTCGTTTTCCAGCAGACATATCAGCTGCTGCAGTTTATACATGGACCGACTTTCCAGAAACAGACAGATCGCATCTACGACTTGGACCCGATGGACTTTGAGGATTCCGACCACGATTTCTTACCTTTGTTTTATATGGTAACTGCGTTGGGATATGTGTTTCACCAGAAGATGCACCGTAAATATGGATGCAAGGGTACCCTCAACCAAGCGTGAGCCAATCTGGGATGTTCTTTTGTGTCTTGCGTATGCTGATCGAACGCAGGATGCGCCACGTTATCGCTGCCCGACGAATGGTAAATCTCGATCATTGCCGAGACATCCTCTCTTTACAGACTCTGTTGTGCTTCATCCTCTTCCTCATGTCAACGGCTCGACTGGCCACTGCCCATACTTTCATTGGATTGGCGGTCGCCGCGTCAATGCAGATGGGCCTCCACTCCCAGGCTTCGTGTGACGGTTTGTCCGAGTTTGAAAAGGACATTCGGCGACGGGTGTTTTGGACAATTGTCAAGCTTGACATCTACAGTGGCACCGTTCTCGGCCTTCCTGGAATGATCAACCTCGACTATGTGGACCAACCCAAGCCGAGCGGTCATGTGCGGGACTACGAAAATGAAGACAGTGGGGGGTTTGCTTCGATAAGCACGAGGAGGATGTTTGCTGCGTCCGCACAATATCTCGACGTTCTCTTGATCATGGGGAAGGTGACACAGAAGCTGTATCCTAAAACTGATTCAGAGGCCCACCGAGTCAGCGGATCCAAGGGAATCTACGTGAGCAATGCCATCATCTCGGAAATTGAGGAAGACTTCAAGACCTGGAGGGAGGGGTTGTCTAGCGCTCTCGGTTCATCCGACCAAAACGACTCCTTGAGCAGGTAATGAGCATTTCCCGTCAATGCTTCGACCTTTGGGCTAACTACGGTATTAGCATTGTCTATGAGCTCGAAATGGTCCACAATTTCGGCCACATCCTCCTTTACCGACCTTTTCTGCACTATCTGGCAAGGACCAAGAGCGACAATCCTCCTGATCCTCGATTACTGCGCTGTGCAACAGCTTGCATCAAGATCTCCCGGTTTACCATTTCGCGATCGGATGCAATGCTCAAGCAAGGGTTCCTGGCACCGGCGGCATGGCAATCTGTCTACACGGTGTTCTTGTCTCTCGTGACATTGGTATTCTTCCTGGCAACCCAACACGGAAACAAAGAATATGCGGCTATACAGAAAGACACAGAATGTGGGATCCGGATCCTCGCCAGCACATCTTGCTTGGATATTGGATCGAGAAAATGTTTGGAAGTATTGAGGGTGAGTTTCATCAGGTTGATGCTCGTGTCCCCTTGCTAATCTGGCTTAGATCCTCACTCGGAGACTGTCACCGATCATCGACCTGGATATCGACAATATTGCTGCTGTGGCTAAACCGCTTTGCAGGAGCCTCGGCTGCAGTCCAAGGGGTGCTCTCCCGTCGGAGCCGCCACCATCGCATATTGACAAGGACGCGAAACCCTTCAGACTGGATAAGGCCGGTAGGAAATTGCCGAGAGAGCCTTCTGCAGTGCCGAAGAACCAGCGTCAATTTGTTCATCGTCCTCCACCGACGGCTCAGCAAGTCCCGGCTATGAACGTGCACTCGTCCAATATGAACATATACCAGCCATCTCCAACATTCTCATACACAGCACCCCCTCCAATGTTGGGACAACCCATGGGCGGAGGAACTGCTGGTCAAGGCCCGGGCTTCTCCATGTGGGATCTAGATCATACTCTAGGGCTGGACGGAACAGGCACATTTGGAGATTCGGAAATGAAGGTACCGTACACCGGGGGGTTTGCTTGGCCGACGGAAGTAACTGGCGAACCAGATGCTGCCGGCAACCGTACTCATACTGTCCGGAGGGGTTCACGCTCACAGCCAGTGAGCCATCCACTGACACAGCAAGACATTGCAGCCTTCATGCGTATCAATCCGGGAGATGAACCGTTCCTTTGAAGGCCGAAGGTTCAAAGCGGTTCCAGATGAGCCTAGCATATGGAAGAGGACTAATTCACACCGGACCGAGCGATATACGACCGACGGCGCTGTGGAATACTCGGGAGGACAAGCTATCTTGCTGGTTTGCATGGTACCATTCTTCGGTCCCTTATATGGCCCAGTGGACATTGCCATCATGGGCCGGGAGCAGGCGTTGTTTAACGAGTTATGAAGACATGAATGGGGTACTATGAACGACGACCAAGGTTTATGCTTTGTACGAAATGTAATTGAAATCAACTTTTGCACCTCCATTCGATAGCAGATGTGACCAAGGACGCTGGCTGTCAATGTGTATCCAAGGAGTTGGACACCATCAACCGATCAAAGATGCCTACCTACATGTTACTGTTATGCCTGATTCATATAGAGGTTGATCTGCAGGCAGCCATGTCAAACAAGCTCTCAATATCTATCGCAGGACGATTACTAACACTTTTACCCTCCTTAATGTACCTTTGCCTTCACCCCTTGATTAGACTTCCCACGGAACTCGGACATATGAGATTTGTCAAGAGTTCCATCTCTACCTAGTACTAGTACGTAGTAGGTACATAAAGTGCTGTCATGAGACTAGGGTCTTGGGAAGACATGGATACAGATGACAGTTGTCGACCGACGTATGATAAAGTCTATGACGCTGCCAGTCAGATATGCCAAAGAGAACACCGGAAATTGCCTCAAACGGGAGATCACTATAATGTCATTGTGTCCATCCTGGCACGACAGTTATAACTTACGGACTGGATATAGGTGTTATCCGGCGGATCGCGTTCTTTTGTGCACATCAATGACGATCATTATTGTCCCACTCACAGATTCGAAGTGGTGGGTGATTCTCTGTAAAGTAACTGTGTACGTGTACGTACTTCATTCTCAACTACGTCCGGGACAGTTGAAGTGTGCGGCATAAGTTGGATTCATTTCGACCCCTCTTGTGTCTCGATGGGATTGGATGTTCAGCGGAGCCTCCTGGCTGGGACAGAATAGGGATGCCGAATATTTGTTGGTGCCCTGTACAGACAAATCCGTGCTACCTTCTTCTTTTGTGTCGAGAGGCTCGCTGGGTCAGGTAGGTCGAGGTAAGGCTGGGCGCTTTATCGACGTAGGAGTCTTCTGATTCTTGGAACGGGCTGAAGTGAGGCTGTAGAGCGAGGAGGAGTGATGAACATCACCTCAAGTCGTCTTCAGCCCTTCAAGTTGTGCGAAGTGAAAAGCTGCACTGCCACAGCTGCGCCACAGGTTGCCAACGGGTGACGTCACACCCCCTTTCAGCCCGACAGGCACCGCGAGGCAGAACTTGAAACGCAGGCACAAAACAAGAACTTGAGGCTGGAGAGCGGCTCTTTATCAACTTGAACTCTATACTCCAGCGATATCAGTTACCTCTCGCTTACTCTTCCTATTACTCTGTATCATCATAAATCTCAAACAGTCGACCTACAATTGTTTCCAACAGCACCGGATAGAACCCGTTCTCATCCCTCAGGAAGCCGATTCCAAGAAACACCCCTCACTCTCACTCTCAGGCAACTGGCAGCGAAGCATCGATACGCATCACATCGCATCGCACCCACCATGTCGGACGCCCCTCAAGCTCTTCTTATCGTCCTCATCACCATCCTCTGTAAGTTTGGGCCTTCAACATATGAGACTGGCCAAGTCTCTGCCCCTCTCGACATCAGGAACCGCAAGAAGCTAACTTCCCTGCGTCTGTTTCATAGTACCACCGGTCGGCGTCTACCTAGTTGCCGGCTGCGGATTCGACCTCTTCGTCAACATCTGCCTCACTCTTCTGGGCTATATTCCGGGCCACATCCACGCGTTTTATCTCGAATACGTCTATTTCGACCGCCGAGACCGCGCGAGACATGGCCAACTCACAGGTCGTCCTGCGCCGGGGGTCTATTCGGACCGAGTCCAGAATGGTGGATTTCAAGGCTATGGGACGATGTAATTTTTCAAGTACAGAAGGATACGCGAGGTTGTGATTAAACACCATTGGGAAGCGCGTAGAGCGTGCGCCGTAGGGGTGGTCCAGAGTCATACATGAATGCTGAGTACAGTTGCGCGGTCAGCAAGCATGGCGGAAACCATGTCCGCAGCCTGGATCAGTGGATAATGGGAATGGGGTTGCCGCTGGAAGAAACGATTGTGTCCTGCAGTGCGGTGTGTGATAAAGACAAGTAGACCGCATCAACATTGAGGACTGATCTTTTCCTAAGGCCTTTTATTACTCCATCTGCTTTGATGCTTGAGAGGCAGTTTTATGACATGGCCATGGCCGTCTGGGGAATTGAGCTTTCTGATACGACATAAAGATCCGATTTCCAATCTTTCCCCGACAATAATTGTTTGGAGTATATTCTCGGGGTATATTTTCGGGGTATATTCGTATAGAGAAGCCCTATGAAATTGGACAGATACTCAGACCGAGTTTCTTAAGCACCGACAAATCTGAAGCTATGCATTGACCCCGCTGGAGGTTTGGCCAGGCCTCGTAGCTGCGCAGCTGTTGGTCCGCACAGCCAGGATGAGCCAGCCCGACACATCGAAGTACATGGTGACTTCAAGATCTCTTTGTCTGGTTGACAGGAAACGCTTACTACCTAGGTACCCTTCAAGGCCTCCCACCTCGGGGCTGTGCTGTTAAGCTGCCGTTAGTTCAACAGCCGGCGCAGCACCAAGTGGCATGGCAACGCTGGTAAGGCGCCAATGATATTCTGAAACAGCCGCCTCGCCTCGCACGCAGTGGTGGAGATGTACCAGACCAGCAAACCTTGGTGTTCAGATGGATCCTCCGTCGCAGTCAAAATCAGCAAGTCTGGTCCGGTGCCGAACAGCATCCTATATCAACGATCGGTAGTCGGTAGTCGGTACGACAGACTAACATCTCCCGGGTATCAACGCAGCTCATCAGATGTTACTCAAGACTTCGATGAGTGAGAACGGTAAAGCACTCAGAGACAATTCAGCAAATCCTTTGGCACTTCGCGATCGAGGCAGCATAAAGTCGGAGGGGCTATCCTTCAGCCGGATTCGACTTGCATATGTCTGGACCCAATTTCATCGAATTGTCAAGCCCATATCGCCCTGGTCCCTATGCGATAGATGGCCGCTTCCATAGTCGTCCGCGCAGTAACTCAATCGGGTCGCATCATCGCAAATCTGCCTCTGCCAACTACAAGCCGATCCTGACGCGGCAAGATGAGTATGACAATGCCGGGCTCCACACCCAAGACGACCAAAATGTCTCGTCTATCAATCTTGGTAGGGGAAGGATTGACAAGTATGGCATAGACTTGGTGACGGAGATTGTGGTGTGTACGTTTGCGGTGCTCGTGTCGGTTCCATTCATATGGCTGGCTGTGGCCATGGCCAAAATGCACCATGAGGAAGTCACGGAGTCGAGGACGGACTTCGTCAAGCAGGCCACTAGCACGGTATGAAACATCTTATCCTTGGTGACCGACAAAGTGTTGACAACTTTAGGTATCAACTCTGTTCACCATCTTGTTCGCCGCCGTCTTGGGCTCAACATTAAGACACTTTGCTACATGGAGACTGCAGCGAGGTGTGAGCCTCGGGTTGTTGGAGCAGGTCATGCAAAGCCGAACTGTTTTCAGCGCCGTGACGACTCAAATCTCGTTTCGAGCCTTCAACCTCACGGCCTTGGTTCTGTTGTGTACCTGGACATTTTCCCCGTTGGGTTCTCAGGCCTCCCTTCGCCTCATTCACACAGGCACGACGTACACGACAGAGACTGGAAGCGTAAGCTACGTCGACACGATTACCAACCAAGTGTTTGATTCGGTTTCTGGCGTGGATTCCCTCTTGACGGCACTGAAACCAATGTATATCAGTTCCGTTCTGGGACCGGCCACCATGAAAAACGGGACAACGGATCTGTGGGGCAACGTCCGAATACCATGGCTGACATATGATGCAAGCAAAGACAATAACGGATGGACTACTCTTTCACGAGACCACCTGACCGAAGGTGCTTATTCGTCACTCGTTGGGATTCCGGTTGCGTCGCTGACGGATCGCAACTCCAGTTTCGCCCTGGAAACAACATATATGAATTTGGATTGCGACAAACCCGAGATTGAATCACTAATTGACATTGGTTTCAATGTGACCTCTAGTAATGGAACCTTCTTGGGTCCCAACACCACCAGTCCCGATGACAACGCAATCTACCCATCATGGCAAGTGGCGATGAACGAGTTTGTGGACGACAGGGTCTACTATTACGGCTACCCGGAGCTTCTGGTCAATGCTAGTGATGCCAACCTTCCGCAGGCGACGTTTCTCTTTCAGACTAGAGGTCCATGGGTGTCTCGATGCAAGATCAACCAGGTATACGTCGAATCTAACGTCACCTGTATATCGGTGACAGATTCCTCACTTCCAGTGTGTTCGGTCGGAGGACAACGACAATCACCCAACCGACATGCCCCATCCACCGTCACCACGCTGAGCTTTCCCAGCACGTTTCGTTACTTGATGCACGAATGGATCATGGCAACCGATCCGACACGCAGCTCGGGATACTCGACGTTGACTGAGTACTACCTGCAGAACACCAGCGCCGCCTTTATCTTGAGCGGCAACAATCGTGAATATGCCGACTTTTCCAATGTGACAGCAGAGGCATTCTCTCAACGGCTCGGCCAGCTGCTCAACACGTGGGTCCTTGCTGGACAAGTGTCGGCCAACACAATGCAATTTACTCTGAATACTCGCAACAGCACTGCGCTATATACTGAAGGTCGTCTCGTCTACCTATGCTCCTGGCGGTGGCTAGGGGTTTATGTGGCTTCCATTGCGGTCATGTTCATTACAGCACTTTTCAGCATCTGGTGTGTCGCCCAGACCACGATTCCCGATGTTTTGGGCTACTCCTCATCTCTGACGCGGGATTCCAAGTTCTTCAACTTTGTTAAGGGGGGCAGCACCCTGAGTGGGATTGCCCGAGCCAGGAAGCTCCGCGAGCTTGAGGTCAAGCTGGGCGAGGTCATTGAAGAGTCAGACGATGGTCGATTCCGCAACGAATTTGTCAATGATCTAGACCCTAGGATGAGCGACGACCGACGAAGGTATCTTGCCATAGCATCACCAGAGTATTTGCGGACTCCCGAGCGCGGGACGTTGTACATTTAAGCGGGCCATCATCATATACTGATATTACAATATCTGGGCACAAAGTGGCCGTCATTGTCAACAAGTATTCTTGTGACTAAAGTATCCGCTGCTCAGCTGACAACAACCAGTCATTGTCAGAATTCACCATCACTGCCTACGACATTGAAGGCAATGAATGCCAGGGGTGGCAGCCTTGCCGCTTTCAAGGTTCAGCCTTATCACGTGAATGCGCCAAGGCTGCGCGTTCTAATCTCAACGCGTCGCGCGTCACTTCAGTGCCTTCCTTCCTTACCCCCATTAACCCACCACGCTGAACATCGCGACGACAACTTGACTTCTTGGATGACAAGAATCTGCCACGACTCTGACTAGGTGTCAGGGAATCTGTAGAATCATCCTTGTTCCGACCGCTGTTCTCATTTCTATCTGGCAATCATGGAAGCTGCAGTTCAACCCGCCCATCAAGGTGTACCTGCCTTGCCAACCCAACAACTCACACCTACCTCGAAGAAACGAAACTATGACGGCGAGATAGTCGACCATACACTCCATACTATCACGCCTCCTGAGGAAACGCGAAGTAGTGGAATACCCGTCACTCACTCTCGTTCTGGATCGCCCGCCTTGAGCAGAGCCAGTACTGCTTTGACTGACATTGGCTCCACGCCAGCCTTCAGTCCTTCTCCATCCGACATGGCCACTGAGACCAAGAAGAGGAAGCTGACTTTTGCCGAGCGAGAGGCTGCTGAAGCTGTGAAACGGGAGGACAAGGACGAAAAGGAGAGGCAGAAAGCCGAAAAGGAGAAAGTCAAGGCAGAGGCCAAGGCCAAGAAGGACGAAGAGAAGAGACGAAAGGACGAAGAAAAGGAAGCCGCTCGAAGGGCACGAGAAGAAAAACAGAAACAAAAGGATGCCCTGAAGCAGGAAAAGGAAGCAGAAAAGGAACGGAGAGCCCAAGAAGCACTCAAGAAGGAAAAGGTATGTATGGTCATGTTGTGGCCACTTCGGGTGCTGACCATTTCAGGCACAATTGCGCATTGGTGCCTTTTTCGGCCGACCAGCCGCTGCTTCAACACCACCTGCCAGCTCGGATGACGCTTCTGTCGGCACATCAAGGAGATCATCCATTGTATCAATCGATATGGGACCGAGTCTGGTAGACGCCAAACCATCCAAGACAACGAATCCGGATTTCAGCAACTGGATCTTGCCGTTCTTCGTCAATGAACATATGGAACTGGCACCGTTCAACCGTTTCCGCTCCCATACTAATCCATTTGACGATCGGCAACTGGAATTGAACCAGCCAATCACTCCTGAAAAGATCAACTTTCGATTTCAGAAGCGTCGGCGGATGAGACGGATCAAACCAGTCAAGACGATTGTGGAGGAAATGAATGCATTGGCCGATGATGTGGTTGACCTGGCCCAACAGCTAGATGATCTTGCTGGGGTACCGTACAAATATTTCTTTTTCCGCGAAGATGTCCGACCAGCATATCAAGGCACTTACACCAGGGTTGTATCACCCCGTTCCGCACGCAAAATTGCCCGCAATCCATCTCACCGAGGTCTTCCGGACACCAATTATGATTATGACAGTGAGGCGGAATGGCAGGAACCCGAAGAAGGAGACGACGATCTTATGGATGAGGATGAGAAATCTGAAGATGAGGATGCTGACGAAGATATGGATGACTTTCTTGACGATGAAGGAGAAGTCCTCAAGCGACAGGCTCTTGTCGGTGATATGGAGCCCAAGTCTAGTGGATTGTGTTGGGATGGAGAAGACTGCCAACCTGAAAATGGTTTCGACTTGACCATCTATCGAATGGATGTGCTGCACGATTCGACCACGTTTCCCATCGACCCCTATTCCACGACACATTGGTCAGACATCGGCAAGACAAGTCCGAAGAAACGTGCAGACAAGATACAACCATCGACCGCAATTGCTGCCATGCAAACCCCACGACCTCCTCTTGTGGCGGTTGACGGGAACAGTGCCACCTCTGTTTCGGCTTCGGCGTCGAATCTGCTGGGTTTCGTCTCCACCCAAAGCCCAGGAGAAAACAACTTTTCAATCTCAAAGTCTGCCACGAACAGTGCAGCAGCTGGAAAGATACCCAAAATGGTACCAGCGGACCTTCTTCCTGCGTTTAAGAATGCTATATCTGGCAGCAGTTTGACGAAGGCCGGCATGGTTGAGGTTCTCAAGAAGCAATTTCCCAAATGTTCCAAAGACGCCATCAAACATACCTTGGAGACGATTGCCGAGAGGAAGGGAGTGAAGGAGGTTGACAAGAAATGGGTGTTGATTGAGTGACTGACTACCGATCAGTCATGCCTTGACGAGACTCCCAATGTGATATTGTACAGTACTGATAGACGGAAGCGGGGGTCAGATGGGATCCGGCATTGTACGTTAGGACTAGGTGTGATCGCCTTGATGGACACTGATATTGAGATTGGCGACGTGGTGGGATCAGGTCGTAGAGGGTTCTGTATCAGTGTGAAGAGTAGCTCTAGAAGCGTACCTTGGTACTTTAGCTGATCAATCTGAAGTCTGGGGCCTGTCAAGCGTACAATGTGTCCAACATATGATTCGTTGTAGTGGTGTTCGCATATATAGGGTTGTAAGCATTGTCTTTTTACGAGCGGCCTCCAGGGCTACACAGGATATTTTGGTCAGCACCTTTATAGACTTTGAGTTCTCCAGCTTCAGTAAGGGCATTCAGTCTCATGTTCTCCTCTCGCGTTACTAGCAACTGGGAAGCATCTGCTTCTTGATACTACGTACGTCACACATCCGAGGCTCGATAGATGTATACTTGACGACTTAACGCGATGGCCAACTTTCGGTGTGATACAATCTCGGTGCGTACTAAATCGGGTGTCGGACTTGGTGTCCTGAACCAACCCGACTCAACAGACTCGAATATAAAAGTATGAATAAGCGTCGCGAGGGGTGGACTGTAAATGGTAGCTACATAGGTAGGTAAATAACTCGTCTTGGGTATCGATCGAGTCATAGATGATTGATACGTGAGCAAGAAGGTAATGTACCTTGTACCTTGTACCTATCTATCTATCTATCTATCTAGCTACTCGGCTCCCATCTTGCCCAGCAGTATCCCAGCCTTAGCCATCCTCTCCTCCGTAAGCATATATTTCGAGGGAACGGTCCAATTTGTCGTCGTCTCATTCGCAAAGTGGTCACCCTTTCCTACTGTGCTCTGTTGTAAACTCGCTTTCACCAATCCGGCCACATATCGTCCACAGCCGCCGGCATTGGTCATTCCGTGACCGCTGTATCCTGCGCAGAGGAACAGGCCGGTGGATTGTCCAGGTGAAGGGTTCGTGGCAGATGTTGAGTTTGATTCCGACGACAACAACGACAATCCTCGACTCCGTGGAGACCTGTCTCCGGATTGCAGAGTCGATGCGGAACGAAGTGTAGTTGTGGGTGGAACTGGTCCGACCCAGGGATGTCCGTCGGCGCTGGATCCGATGATACCGGTCCAAGATGCTGCGATGTCGAGAAGTCCAGAAGAAGAAGGAGGAGAGGAAGGATTGTCGTTGTTGTTGGCGTTGATAGTATCAGTACTGTCTGTAGTGTTGTGTCCATCGAGGGTCCTGCTGCTGTTGCTGCTGTTGTTGCTGTTGCTGTTGTCCGTCCGAATAGCCTCACTCTCATCCTCATTCCCGATCTCATCTTCCTTGCCATCACCATACAAGTTCAAACGGTCAGGTAAACTGCGCAAATACAACTCCACGCCAGGCTCGACGTAGGAATCATCACTGACGCCCACGCCGTTACCGTGAGCTAGATTTCTTCCGCCGCCGAACATGAGATGGCCACCACGACCAACCACAGAAGTGGAAGTAGACGTAGAAGTAGAAGTAGGACTAGCGCCATTGCCATTGCCATTGCCATGACAATCATCACCACCCAAGTGAGGGTTCTGGACAAGGTAATCCGTCATGACACGATCCTGGTTCCCGACCCCCGTGAACCCGTAACTCATAGGAATCAAGCTGTGCGCCGCGAACGGCGATCCTGGGGGTGGCACCAATGCCGACATCTGGGCTTGCACGGGGGAGATCAGGGCGCTGAATTGCGGCAGGAGGTGCGATGTATATCCGTTGGTGGCGACGATGATGCGACGAGCCGCGATAGAGCCACGTGGGGTGTGGATGAGCCAGGGATAGTCATCATCGTCGTCATCATCTTCTTCCTCGTCGTCGTCACTTTCAGCTTCTGCGTGTTCATCTTTAGGTGCAGGACCAGGGGCAGGGGCAGGAGCAGACGTAGTTGTTTCTGTTGCTGTATCCGTAGTCGATGGTGCTCCTGTTGGAGATGGAGATACAGATGCAGATACAGGAGGATTCTTCTTTTCCGTCTTCTTCTTCTTCCTCTGCTCAATTCCCATAACAGTCGTACAAGTCTGCAGATCCAGTCTTCCGACATCGAATTGACCCAGCATGCGCTCCCACATCCATATGATGAGCTTATAGGGGCTCAGAGACGCCGCGACGTCCTGGACAATAGCGCCGACCGCCCCGGCCTGCAGACCGAGACGCTTGATTTCTTCCGGATCCTCCACGACACGCACTAGCGAGCGATGATTGGGAGTGGTGATTGCAGCTGGAAGTGGTGATGGTGGTGCTGATACTGTTACTGTTACTGCTGTCGGGCTGGTTTGTGAAGGTGCGGCGGCGGCGGCAGTATCAGTACCAGCTTCAGCAGCAATATCAGCTTCATAAGTAAAGTTTCCGTTCATGTCCTTGCTTCCAGCTCCGGATGGTGTTGCGTTACCGTATTCATTCGCAACATTCATCCCAAGAGCTGCTTTGGCTTCTTCGAAATACCGTTTATTCCAGAACCCAATACATCCCTTCACCAAACGGAAGTCGCACGGGATCTTGTTCGCGTGGACCAGGTCCTCGATATGGCGGAAATTGCGTAGTTCGAAATCGACAATGTCGTTTGTTTCGGCGTGGATCACCGGCTGTAAGTGTCCGCCGTTCCGACCTGTCGCTGCAGAACAAGTCGTGCGGGCTTCGAGGACCAAGATCTCGGTATGGTCCTGGTTCTCGTCCTTCTCGTTGTTGGTCTGGTTAGGCCCCGATTCTCCATGCGGGCGAAGTTGTCCTTTGACTCCCTCTACATTCGCCCCTGGCTGGGATTGAGGTTGGAGAAGCTCGTCGACGGCGAATGTGCCTGAAATGCCTGTTCCGATGACCACCACGTCCGCTTTCGCCGGTAAGGTCTGTGTGGATCGGTATTCTGCTATCCGGTTTGGATGGGAGGTCTGCCAGAATGATGCTGTTGGGTTGGATGAGGGGAGATCAGCCGGGCCGTGACGGGTAGTGGTAGTGGTAGCAGTGGCCATACCCATAGCTGCCGTGGGAGAACTGGCGTCGCCCATTGTGATTGTGTTGTTGGTTGTCGGTCGTCAAGGATATCGATAGAAATTAGACCGAGAGACCGTTGGACTTGTATGACTCGAGTACTGAGTTGATTGGATATTCTATTCCAACTTTGACCTCCGAACAGAGACACTTTCTTCTTCGGCTTGAATCTGAATGCTGAACTGAATAAAGATGTACAGCTGTTCTGCTTGCTTCAGATATATTTATCTGTCAACAGTTTCTGTCTTTCTTCCTCTTCCCTTCCTGTTCTTCTTCGACGCGGGAGCAGGTCACTCCACTCCTCAGAGCCCAAAGTTGCGAAAAGGACAGACAAGGCAAGACAAGACAAGAGAAGAGAAGGACACCGAGTTGGCGTGTGCCCTGTATGCCTGAGCAAAAAGAAAGTATGCCTGAGGTAGTGGCAGATGACGACGGGGTAGAGACAGGCCGCTTTTAACAGCTCTCAGCCGTGTATATATATAGATATATAGGTACTTTGAGAAGCGTACTTGCGCGTATATCATGGATGATCCTCAAGACCAAGGGAGGGGGAATTGATCTTGATGATGAATGTAGCTGATCGATATCACAAAATCACAGATATGGATGGATGGATGGATAGATAGATATCTACATATCTATATCATATCATATCGTACGTCGCGTATCCCCGCGCTCCACTGCTAGAGCTCTTTGTCAGTGCCGGTCAGGTCCACCCTCGCTCGAAGTTACGCAGTAGTATGTATGTATGTACGCTTAAAAAAAGAACTTGGGATTCTAGGTAAGCACCCATACTTCGATATCTTGGACCCGTATTTGATATCATGTTATATGCCGGGAGAGCGTCCGCGCCATGACATGTCATGCAGGTATCTAGCTAAGTACTCAAGAAAGCCCAACTCCTTTTCGTGTACATCATGATTTATTATTTATGGCTTTGATGCGCTTGCTGTACAAATTAAATACCGTCAAGGAAGACACACACCGTATATATCCATGACCATACCCACAACCAGTGCCATTGCCTTCAGCTGCTCGCAATGGAAAAGACCGTGAGTCAGTAAGTCAGTCATCATCGTAGATGGCCCGTAGAGCAGGGAGGGCAGGACACGCGAAAGGCTCTCCTGTCCTAGGTCCGAGGGAAGAGAGTATCATCCCAGGATCGTTTTTCTCTTCGGGTCGGACTGCATCCCCGTCCTCTTCGACATCGAGACATGCGTATTTCAGGCTGGAACCTCTCTCCAGGTATAGTCAATGATGATGACTCGCTCTTTGGTCGCAACACGTTATCATGGCTCATGAGACATGAGTATGCCTACACGCAGACACACCCCTAGCCTGCAAATCCGTTCAGGTTGCTGTCCCCCCACAGCGGCGCCTGAATATACTCCGCCGCTCTTTCGTGCATGTTGCCGTAATTCCAATCACTCGAGGACGCGGTGCTGTCAGGGGTGATTGGACCCATTCCGGCACCAGCGCTCAGGATCGCACTCGTGCCTAGAGCTGGCGAGAATGGTTCCTGTTTCAGGCTTGTCAAGGTGGGATACTGAGACCGTGAACTGCCTTGTCCTTGTCCCTGTCCCTGTCCTTGCGTAGGACTTGCTGTTGTCGTTGTGGTGGTAGCCGCGGGTGCGGCGGCGGCCATTGTTTGCACTCCCGTAAACGCACTTCCACTTCCACTTCCATTTATCGGACCGGTCTGGCCGTTCATGGTGGATACATATGCGGCGGAGCCTTGAGGGTTCGGCGGCGGTTTCGGTCCTGCGAGCGCGGCATTCAATTTCCCCAGCGCGTTCAACGACTTCGCCATACTCCGAGCCCAGTTTGGTGGATCAGCGAGAGGTGACTCGGCTCCTGAAACAGCTGGTTGCGCGGTGCCTTCCTGTGTTGGAATATCGAAAGCAACATCCTCCGATATCCGTTCGGCAATGACTTGCTCAAGATCACGCAGGAGCGATAATCTGGTCGAATCATGTCCTGTTTCCGGTAGAGTACCTAGCAGAAAGGCGGCAGAGATTGCACGTTGCAGAACGATCCACGACCGTGAAGCGAACCGGTTGGTCTTGTGTAATTCGACATATGACGCAACGGTCGCTTCCAGATTGTCAACACACTGCCGTCGAAATTGTGCTCGAGTGGTTGGATCAAGGGGAGCCGAACCAGGCGATTGTCCCGAATGGTGGGGTGTCTTCCGACGGCCCCCTGGCGGAGACTGGGTCGGGGTCAAGTTGGACGAGTTGGCACCTTCTGCCGTCGACGGAGGCGGTTCCTTCATAGCTGGCCGACACAACTCGCTCGTGAGGTACGCACAGTGAATCCTCAGAGCCAGACGTTCGAGATGCTGAGGCATTGTATGACATTGGCTAGCCTCCCGAAGATGCACGGCACCCTGCGAACAAATGTCGGAAATCTCCTGGGTATATTTGCGAATCCTCTCCCACGTCATGTACGAGCGAGGATGGAGGAGACGTTCTCGCACAATTTCCTGAGTCAATCGAATGATGCCAAACATGGTCTCTGCATAACTTCGATCTCCTGGAGTGCTGAACTTTGCATAGGGGATGTCTGGCATGCACAAAACGCTCGAGGTCGGCCGATCGTAACTGACGGCAAAATGTGAGTCCTGCCACGCCAGTGCCCACCAGATCCGATGGCGTGTCCATTTTTCTGCATCTGGGAAATTGTGCGAATTGATTTGCAAGCCGATCGAGAATGCCATACGAAGCGTCATGCCGAGGAAGATGTAGGCCACTCCGGGATTCATGTTATATGACAGGACATTTCCGATAATCAAGGATGCTTCGATGGTCTCCAGGCAGGGATGCGTGAGGAAGTTGGACATTCGAAGTGCTTGATACGAACAACATACTAAGCCGAGTTAGACGGTGCTTTTCTCAACCCGCAATTGAACTTGCCATAAACTTGCGATGTGAGCTCCCTCTCTTTTGCTGGTCTGTCCGATGACTGAGACCCGGACGCGAATACCGCAAATACCAGAGACAGCCAGGGTAAGGAGACGCCGTATGGCTTGTTTGGATCGAGTTCAAGGTTGTCGCGCAAGGCTCGCACTCGATTTGAGAGCATGAAGTTCAGAGTTTCTTCGAAGCCCGCCTTATCGGGCACCACCGGATACATAGTATAAGCAATGTCTCGGTAAGCCACGAAGAACCTGTGTGGAGTTAGTAAAGCTAACCTGCCCGTCTCAACGAAAAATACTCACTCTTTACAAAGTTCATCATCAGGAATCGCCTTACACAGACCGCTGACATCCTGCATGCTAGAAGCGGTACTCCACAGATCAACAAATGGATATGTGGCGCTCTCATTATCCAGGCCCAGCTTGGGAAGAATGTTTTCCTCCAATAGTGACCGTGCCGTATCTTGAGTGGTTTGACTTCGTCCCAGAGCCATCATGTAGGCAAGGACGGACCTCGAGCCCAAATGCATCATGCCCATCTGGTTACTGGGCGCATGGATCCCTTCTCTGTCGGTGTCGTCCGATCGACTATGTGTTCCGGGCAGGTTGGCATCGTCCATGTCTGGTTGCATAACGCCAGGAGAGGTTGACTCTGTTTTTGTTGGACCATGCAGACGCTGTAATTCCCGATTCATACGCTCCCATTGTTCGCGTGGCACAGTGACATATTGGCCGCTTTGTAGCAGAGGATCGTGATTGTCTTGAACCACGCCATCCGTATGGTTCACGGTGCTTGTCAGAGCGATGCGACGCTTTTTCGTCGGCCGTTCGTATGAACACAACTCTGGGTGGTCTCGTTTCACGCACGAATCGCACGGCAGATTACGGTCACATTTGACTTTTCGACGATGGCAAGCGTAGCAAGCCTTTGGATCTCGCACTTTTCTCTTGTTCCGGATGATCGCGTCTATCTCTTCCTGGGCCATCTCGATCCTGCCATCCGCCCCAGTCTCGTAGTGCGAGTCATCAGGATAGTCCGGGGTCGAGGTATCGGCAGTGAAAGCGCCACGAGAATCCATATTGCTATAGCCCCGGAGGCTCAGAGAAGCGGAGGAGGGATGGATTAGGATGCGGTCTGCGAGGGCGACGACGGCGGTCGGGCTATATAGGCATGCTGGCGAGGATCAAGGTCAGGGCAGTGAGTTTGCGAACCACGGCCAGCGTCTAGAGGGGTGGAGTTGGGAGAGTGACTGTACAATGTAGTTTGTGAGATTCGGGAATTGCACCAAGAAAATGAGTCTAAACTTGAAGGGCGCGCCGCGCTGAACTCCAAGGCGGACTCAGACTCGGACTCGGAGGGGTTCAAGCACCCACCAACCTCGGATCGACCAATGAGGAGAATAGACCAATCAGTGGCTATGAGAAGTCGGGAGCTGACTAAGACAGGGGGGATATCGGAGATCTATTGGTTCGCTTGTCTCCGAGCGCTAGGCCGCAACATGCCTAGCCTCTCCGGACTTCTGGGCGGCTGGGCCGAAAGACGTACAGCCTCGTCGGCCTCTTCAACCACTGCGACTCCTCGATATCAGTATCGAAAGGACTGATTAGTTATTTCTCTCACTTTGGGTAAACACACAGGTGTAAATAGCTATAATTCTTTTGGAATAGGCCGTCAATGACCCCATGATTCCCTGTGATACTGACTGACTACCTTGGGAAGCCATAGAAAGCCATTAAGTTTGTTTTACAAAAAGCCTAGAGATGATCTTTTCTTCACGCCGGCATTTCCGTCCCCTATGATTCCTTGTCTGCCGCCCGAAAAAGCCATCACTTGTCATTTGCTTGGTGACCCAAGATTCACTTTTCGCCCATACGGGCGTCGCTCAACCTCCATCGGTCAAACCATCGGAGATAGGCGTAATTGCGGTTGCTCCCTTGCATGCCGAACACGATCGGACTGAACAAGACAAACAATCCAATGACCACAGCATACAGCGCAAGATAGACACCCCATCGTGCCTTCTTGTTCAGCCGCTGGGTGGTCCAATCGAGGCAGAATCCTGCTGCTAGGATGGCGAAGTAGAGTGCCGGGTAGTAATGGTGGACGTATGTGACACGCCCCATCATGACGAAAGGCAAGTAGTGGAAGAACCAGCCAATGACGGGATATATTCCCGAATAGTGGATTTGGTCGATGTCGCCCTGGCTCAACTCCTTGTATCCTCTTTGCCATCGGATCACATACCATAACACAATGAGGCCTGCAACGCCCAAAGAGGCTGTCGATCCCCAGTAGACGATGGGGTTTCCGAGTAAGAAGTACTTCGTGATGTTATCGTCCCAAGAACACATTCGTAGTCCCACATGTAGGATGGGCCATTGCCAAAACTGGGATGCCAAATCATCTTGTTTGTCGGGATCAGGGACGAGAGCATTGTTGGACGTCATCATGGCGACATTAAGATGAATGAAATCTTTCAAGAAGGGTGACCGGTAACTCTTTGCCTCAGCAGGAGGGACTGCCCAGACATGTTAGCTCGGCCAGAATCAAAATATCGCTTTCCACTTACGTCGGTCGTTGACGTGAGATTCCACGTTCCAATGGGTGTACACATCCCGCGGATGGTTGTTTTTGGTGCACGTCACCTCAATCTGCTTGAAACCCCATTGAGGAAGATTGACAGTCCCGGCTCGAAGATAGCAGCCCAACTCGGTGTGCTTGAGCCGGAACGCCGTGGTCAAGGTACGAATCCGGGATCGGTCAGAAGAGGCGGCATCACTGACGACCTCAACCTGCCAATGATCTTTCTCGTCCCCAACGGTGATGTTGCCATAGCAAGACACTTCCCAATCCGCCTTGGTCATCGGCGCTGCCACTGCATGCGAGTGTAGGTTTCTGCCGGTTTGGGCATGGATGAGCCGGATGACTTGCTTGTCCGAGACAAAGCTCAAGGGTCCTTCTGGGTCGAACTCGGATTGGGTTCGGTTGGGCCAGAAGAACCAGTCATTGTTGGCATCCTTGTGGTGGTAGCAGGTGACTTGCTGTTGCCCACTCCCCTCAGGGTATGTCTGGATATGAGAGTGAAGCAGGCCGCCACCGTAGCCCATGTTTTTGATGGTGACTCTAGAGCCGAGGGCGATTTCCAATGGTGAATCCTTACCCACCTCTGTGCCACGAAGATTTGCTTGAAAGAGCGAGGACATCTGAGCGTCGCCAGGGCCGGAGTTCTCCAGAATCAGGAAATGAAGGTAGAAAGAGAACATGTACACAAGCATTGGAATGATGATTAGACCAACCACTCGTGCGACCAGGTGGGCGGCCAATTCGACCTTGGGCATCTTTACATCACCAAACTTGTTCCACAAATCTTCCGCGGTGTAAAGACCAACCAAGGCCGTCGCGAACAAGCCCACCCACTTCACACTGCAGACGCATCCGATGCTGAGACCGGTCAAGAAAAGCCAGAAGAACCACTCAATGGAGAAGCTCTTGTGTTGTAGTCGATGGAATCGGGCCCAGCAAAGGACAGTGGTGAAAGTGAAGCAGAGTAACATTGAGTCGAGCAGAATAAATCGTGAGATCGTGGCGTAGGAGTTTTCGCACAACACCATCAGAGTGACCAGCCACACGGCAGGACGTCTGAAGTTCAATTCTCTGGCAGTATAGTAGGCCAGGGGAACAGTGACAACGCCGAACATGGCGTTGAACACCCGCATGAACGTGTAGTCCACCTCCTCAGGATATGTCTCGCCAGACTTGAACTCGAACGAGCCATTGTAGCCGGCCAGGTACCCTGACAGGCCAACTAGCATCTTTCCCAATGGGGGGTGGACGTCGAAGTAGAATTCTCGTTTGAGGTAGTGGGAACCAAACTTGCCGAAACTGGAGCGAGCGAGTAAGCCTTCGAATCCCAGAGCAGACGGAAATGCGGTGTCTTACTGTGCTTCGTCCCATGTGACGATTGGAGAGAGCCCTATCCTCCACAGCCTCGTGAACAGGGCAAAGGCTGTGAAGATGATCGGGGCGATCACAAACTCCCACTCATCGAGGAACTGAAGTAAACCGGTCTGCGGCTACGTTGGGGTTAGACCATGAGCGTATGCACAATGTTCCATGCCCACCTTTTGGAGTTTTTTCGTGTCCTCTGCTTCCACCTTGTAGACAGCCTGTCCGTTGGCTGTGTCGTAGTTGGTGACATTTCTTCGGCGCACTTCTGTTTCGTTGCCGCCCGCTCCGGTAGTATAGCCACCGTTTGTATTGGCCATGATGGCGAAGAGAAGTAGCCCAGGGTAAAGAGAGTCCGTCGAAAGGAAGAAGGAGAAGCAGGTGAAGTGGCCGTACTGTCAAGGCCAGTGTAGCCGAAGTAATGAGGGTCCTTGGAGGCCGAGCGCGAGCAGGGTCGCCAGGCGTCGATCAAGAATTAAACAAAGCCGTTGTCATGGAAGATAAGAAGAGAATGGAAGAAAAAGACGTTGTTCCCCTGACCAGATGGTCTTCACAAGATTCTTATGAGAAAGAATCCGGGGGGTGAAAGATGGCAGAATGCGCAGTCAAAGGAACAACGTGTCGAACTTGAAGTCGAAGTTGAAGATGCGGCCACTTGGCGCCAGTTGCGTTCGAAAGGGGCTTTGGGACTCCATCTGGCGGAGAGAAAAAAGGAGGCACGTCAAAGAACCACCGCATTTGTTCCCGTCAATGGCTAATGGCTACATAGTTTACCAACTCCCACAATGGATCTGAATCTACCTTAGCTTGTACATCATTGCTGTCATTCAAACATCTGAACTCATTTATTTGGTGATGCTTGACGCGCTAGGATCCCGGTATGTCACATCAAGCCAAACTGACGCGTCCTCCGAACCTGTCTTCGTGCTCGCCAAAGAGATTCCCAGCTTCTCTACAATATCTGACCTCTCCAGTGCCAGTGCTGCCGACTTCGGTGCCCCAGCATACAACCACCGCATCAACAATGCATGCGAGGATGCCTTCCATCGCTCCTAGGATGCCCCATCCAATGGCGCCGGCAATCAAGCCAACAATGTAAGCATACAAGCTGCCTCGCATGCCACCGCCTTCGACTCTCAAAGATCTGGCCGTGGTGACCCATCCACCAAACCCCAAAGCAAGTGACATCATGAATCGGGTCGCATGGAGGATAAGTTTAGCAAGTCGATACGGCAGCAGAGGCGTGGAATCACTTGTCCACCCGTCACTCCTTGAGCGTTGAGAAAAGGTATGGGGATGTAGGGCTGTGGTGGCCTCGCCTGGCGTAAGGAAGTGCATCTGAGAGATCCCTCTACCACTGACACTCAGTGGCTGGGAGTGGATGGCGGCATAGGTGAGTGTGAGCGGATTGATGAGCACGGCGATTGGACTCGGGATGAACGAATACATTGCCACCCCCAGCAGCATCGTGAGTCGTCGAGGTAGGATCAACAGAGGAAGTCTGACTAAAAGGCTCAAGCCGGTGAACAAGGCTATGGTCCCGGAAAGGGTCGTTGCTGAGTGATAAAGCGCAGCCTTGACGATGGCTTGAGGTGTTGGGGCTGGCACCGCGAGCCGATGGAAATACCATTGCGACACAGTGGCCGAGGTAATGGTGCGTTGCATCCCAAAGGCGATGGCGATGGTCCAGAGATAGACCAGAATAAAATACACCCCCAACCACCATGTGGATGTGTCAATGACGAATTTGCTGATGGTTGATCGGGTTGAGGGATGACCACTGAGGAAAACCCGGGTGAACATGGACAGCCACATCCAGGTGAATGTGATGATAAAAGCCAGTACGGAAAAGCCCACCAGCACCAGTGTTGGATTTGCCGCGAGGATCCTAGTTGCGAATTCGAGGATTGAGATGGATCTTTGCATGGCCATCCTGCCACGGAGGACTGCCAGAACCCACAAGGTCGCCATTACCGCAGGAACCAATGAACTCCACCTCATCATTACGTCCTGGACACTCGAGCCATGCCATGATCCCTTGTAGCTGGAAATCAGAGGATAGAGGGAAAAGGAGTAAAGGATGACCGGTACTGCCACCAAGATGGCGTAGACCAAATACCGCACGTATGATCGGAGGGCCGCGAGCCAAAACAAAGAAACAAATGTCGCTACAAGGGTATAAGTCGCTAAAAGGTGGAATGATCCGTGCAGGGCTGTGTAAATGGTATCGCCGAGGGGCTGGTTGCTGCGAGGCGACTCGGTATGAAGAAAGACCAGAAACCATGTAGTACACATGGCTGCGAGTGCCAGTAAGTAGACTTGAGCCCAGAAAGCATCGTGTCTCGGTTGATGGACAGCAGGTCGCACGCCGTCCGGGACCGACTGCTCGCCGCCTGACGCATTCCTTGAATGCGCAAGAAGCCTGACCTGATCGTTTCCAAGCTCTGACCCTTCAAAATCATATTCCACGCTGGCCATTTGAGTGGGTGTGCGGAGCTGCTGGATTGAAGGAGGATTCTCCATTAAATCCTCAGGAGGCTCATCGTCTTCGTCAGTCCTCAGGGTGTCTTCCAGACCTATGTCAACCATGTGATTTTTTGAGAAACTCGGATCTGCATCTCTCAGCTGTGACTCTGTCGACTCGGTCAGATCTGCCAGTCCGGGTTCTTTGCGTCGGATATTTGAGGCATTGCCATGCCACGAGCTTCTGATGCCGCCTCCTCTTCCGCCAGACCGATCGTGTGGATTGTCTTCATGGCTGTCACCACCGTTGAAGCTTGATTCACTGCCCTCTCCAGCATCCAAAGACGCTTTCATATCACTAGCTCCCAACTGTCGTCGTGAACGCTGCAGGGCGTAAAAATCTGCAATCTCTCGCTCATGTTCTTCCTCGTCGTTCTCTTCCCGAAACTCGTCTGTTGCGCTGTAAAATAAAGGTGCTTGCTGAGGGTTCAGACGAGAGGCGAAGGGGAACACGGAGAGCTGTGAAGATGTTGGTTGATAAGGATTCGGGGCACGGGGATTCACTGGTCGGGACGCTGTCGAAGTCCTCCAAGTTGGGTTGTGTCGTCGACTCTGGCCATCACCGGACCGATGGTCTTCTGCGGGCGCAAAGCTGATACGTGACTGGGATTGTGCAAGGAACCTTGATGCGTCTGTTCAGACATTAGCCATCATCTTCGATATATCAGGAGTGTTGTAACAGACATTCGGAGAACATACTGCCCGCAGGCAGTGGCTACTCAATCAACCAGTAGGTATGAACGGCGATTGATAAGGCGACGGCCAGTCGTCCGTGGACTAATTCGCGTGCAGACAAGAGTAGATCTTGTCGTCGAGAGCACTGCCGAAGAAGACAATTCAAGTAGAGGTGTGAGAGGAAGACAGTAGGACGGAACTGAGTCTGGCTTGGGACGTGGGACAGACGAAGCAGTGAGTCGAGGTTGGTCGGAAACGGACAATGACAATGGGCCAAGGCGACAGTCACTGCACTGGCAGAGCACCTACACCGCGCTCCAAGCAGCTGACAACACAATGATGACTGCTGGCTGCACTGGCCAGCAAACGCCTATAGTTTGGCGACTAGTATTGGGCGTAAGTAGATGTCAAGGTGTCGACCACTGCTCGAGCCAGGCTCCCTTAGACTTTCAGAATGCCGTCTAGGCTTGCTGTGCCAAATGATGCCTTTATGGAGCAGCCCCAGATACCAGATTAACCATTATTGCCTGTTTATCGCTAGTAGCTGGGGATCTTAGGATATGCAAATGCCCTTTTAAGCCCCATCTCCGTGTGCAGCCCCAGCGTCATACGGAGAAGTCAATACACTCCTTGTTCTGCATTTGTTCAGCATTGTTGTCACCAGACCTTGCCGTCTTCAACTCAATAAACTCTTTTGCCCTCGCTTTGGCATTTGTTCCACCTTGGGCCCTTCATCGGATCCAAGATAGCCATTGACGTTAGCCACTCCGCTCATGCCCATTATCACCCCAGTTCCCACGCCGCCTTGGAATTACATCGCGAAACTTGTCTGCATCGGGGATTCTGGTTTGTAACCACTGCTGTGCGTGATCGGTATCCATCTGACGCCGTGAAGGGACCGGGAAGTCCAGCTTAACCATCCGCCTCTGCGAGGGAAGATTCTCCGCCTCCCACGATGTCACCATCGGCGTTGAATTTGGCTCTCGAATAGTGCCGGTTGGTCCTCCTGCAAATGCATCCTTGGGTATCGGTGCCCCCAATGGCGAAGCCAACCGTGTCAGACCAGAAGAGCAAAAGAAAATGAAGCTGTCATTATGGGACACGGCAGGACAAGAGACATACAAAAGCATTACAAGGAGTTATTTCAGAGGCGCGTCCGGCGCTTTGCTAGTGTTCGACATCACGCGGAGGAGCAGCTTCGAGTCCGTGACCGGCTGGCTCAACGATCTCCGACAGATCGCCGAGGAAAAGATCGTGGTCATCCTTGTGGGCAACAAATCCGACCTGGCTGCGCAAAGCACCGGCGTCGAGGGTGGGACCAGACGTGCGGTCACCAAGGAGGAGGCAGAGGACTGGTGTCGGAGGGAAAATGTGGTCAAATATGTCGAGACCAGTGCCAAAAGTGGTGAGGGAGTCGAACAGGCGTTTCTAGAGGTTGCCGAACGGATATACCAAAACATTGAAGCGGGAAAATATGATCTTAACGACCGAAGAAGCGGAGTCAAAGGCTATGGCGCGGGTGCTGGGCGGGAAGAAGGGAAACGGCCCAAGACGGTCAACCTTACAATGAACGATGCAGTCAAGAGTGGTCAGGGCGGAGGTTGCTGCTGAAGGGTGACTTGGTCGGTCACTGCATGAGATTGGGAGGTACTGCCGACTTTAAACGTATTCAACCTCAAGAACAGACAGCGGCGATGAGCCCACCTTGAAATCAACCTACACCTGGCAGACGAGGCTCTCTGGCTGGCTTGCTGGCGAACTGTGCAGATTTATCCTGGCATTCAGTTCCAGATGCACACTGGCAGGACATGTATACCTTATGTATCGGGTCTCATTCCGGCCGCGTGCGGAGAACCTGGTGGTCTTCCACTGCAATGACCAAAACTACCCCGCCATGCTTGGTTGGATGTGACCATCTCAGTCATTATTGCGCAAGCATACTAAGGTATCTTAGATACATATCTCCCTAAGATTCCTTAGCTTCTCTTCCTTCAAGTTGTCCAAATCGATGACAAATTAACGCCGTGATCTCTCACAGCTCTGTCCAGTACATGCTCCAGTTACCGTGTCAGATATTTCGCTCTCATACCCGTCGTTGCTTGCGGCCTCTTTCCTTCGTCCGCATTCTCCCCAGTCACCGATCGTACCTGCGGTCACTTTCCACAATGGCCAAGCTAGACATCTCCATTCCCGACCTCACCTTGCCCGATGGCAACAAGATACCGATCGTACGTTCCCACATCACAGCTGGTTGTATGCTGAAGGGTCACTGATTGTTCTGCGGGACCAGATCGGATATGGTGTTGGCACGGCATGGTCCAAGACCGATGAAAACGCGCCAAAAGACCAGAAGTGCATTGATGGCGTCAAGACCGCCGTTAAAGTCGGGTTCAGACATCTAGATGGGGCCGAGGTATACAAAAACGAAGAGGAACTGGGCGCAGCCATCAAGGATGTCAACATCCCTCGGGAGCAGCTGTTTGTGACCACCAAGGTCATGACCAACATCGACGATATCCCCGCGGCCATCGACCTGAGCTTGAAGAAGCTGGGGCTTGACTACGTCGACCTCTATCTCATCCATTCGCCGTTCTTTGCCGATGGGGACAAGAAGGCGCTCCAGCAGAAGTGGGCGGACATGGAAAAGGTCGCAGCCTCGGGCAAGGCCAAAAGCATCGGGGTCAGCAACTTCTTGAAGCCTCATCTGGAAGCTGTCCTTGAGACGGCAAAAGTGCGCCCTGCGGTCAATCAGATCGAGTTCCACCCTTACCTGCAACATGGAGATCTGCTTGCCTATCACAAGAATAAAGACATCCGGGTTTCAGCATACGCGCCTCTGACGCCAATCGTCCGGGCCAAAGGAGGCCCAGTCGATGGTATCGTCGAGTCGTTGGCGAAGAAATATGCGGTCAACCCGGGCGAGGTCCTCCTCAGGTGGTGCATTGACCAGGATGTGTTGCCCATCACGACGAGTTCGAACGAACAACGGTTGAGTGATTATTTGAGAGTCTTCACCTTCAAACTGACGCCAAAGGAGGTGGAGGGCATTTCCGAAATCGGCAATACGCACCACTACCGGGCTTTCTGGACTCATGTCTTTGATGCCGAAGACCGCTCCTGAGCAAGGAAGGCTTAGAACGGCAGTACATAGTATCCCATGTCGCACATATCAGTCACCTGGCCCAACAGTGGTCCAGACGTTCAATTGCAACTTGACGTCGGCCTTTAATATTAGATCTGTCACTAGATAGCAATACCGAAAGAAAGGATGCTGAATGCTTTCACTCCTGGAAGGCTCGTGGCACTCATCCTCTTGTCTTCGGTGTTCTGACGACCTTTTCCCTGAACAGCCGGCCGGTATAGATATCTAGCCCTACTCGACAAATACAGGACCGGCAGAACTGAAGCTCACAATCCTGTCGATGGATACCAGACAAGGCTCTAACCTGGAGTGTGTAGATCGTTACACCACATACTTTCGGTCTCGTCGTCGATCATGATGTAGAGATGGAGAGCGATGGACCTGGGTTAAATTGGGAATGGATCTTTCGGTACAGTTGAAAGCCCCTTACTTTTCTGTCACCGAGCCTTGCCTTTTCTTTTGCCCGATCTCGAAATTCATCCCCCATGTCATGTGGAGCAGTAGTAGTAGTAGCGACTTCAGCCTCACCTCTCGATATGCGCGGTGGCTTCTCGGTGCGCTTGTCATGGGGGACGACGTAGTAGCACAGGGGACAAAAACTATACGCCGCACTGCAGCCATGGACCGTCGGCGTTAATCATGTCTCAAAGAGGGCCTTTCTACTCGTCTACCAGCAGGAATCCCTGGCATCTTCAGCCTGTCAAGTGGTCGATCCTATTGGTCTGTGTTGTTTCGCGAGACTGTGGAGGGGAACGAGCTGCTTGGATGCTGGAAGTCGTCGCCACCATTTCTGCAGACATCCGCCAGACCAAACCACGAGACATTCCAAATCCTTTTCTTCTCCATGGGCTACTAGTATCCAACATGTCGATTATCACCATAGGAAGTAAGGGTGCGTAAGGTAGTTAAGGTGATTGCGTTGGAGGAGACGAGCTTGCCTACAGCAGCTTACTACTAGAGCTGGCACCGATGAATGCAGTGGTAATAGACAACTGACAGCAAAGTAACAATATGCCTCGGGCGTGCACCGCCTACAACCTTTTATATTCCCGCACTCGCACTGCACTGCATGTCATGACCTTGCCTAATGTGACTGCTTTTGCGGGCAATACTAGTGATCCAGGTACATTGCAGGGTCAATCCCTAACTCGCAACGAGGTAGGATCGTCCTTGGATCTGGTGTCAGTTCTGCTTGTCGGCTGCCTACCTACATATATCAACCTGCGACGACCCGCTGGAAGCTCACTCGGGCAATATTTGACAGAACTCGAAGGGCGAAGATCAATCCCGGGTACTTACTTATAGACTCCCAAGTTTACGCTCGCATTCCTCAGGCTCTCTCTCTATCTCTCTGTCACACATTTCTGTTTTCTTGTCGAGGAGACCTTGCTCTACGACCTGCTTGCTACCTTGTAAAACTGCCAACGGGTGATAGTAGCGTATCGGGACTGGACATCGCATCGGTATTCGCCATCATGTATCTCTCAACATTGCTCACCGCTACACTTCTCCCACTCTTCACTTCCAAGACCACCGCATCCCCTCTGCTCGAGAAGCGACAGACAATAGACCCGCCTGCGAGGTACTACTTACGTACGCAAACGGTCAATGGCCCACACGAGGACACCGGCACCAACAAGACCGACTTGTGGCTGTACTCCCATCACACCGGGGCAGGTCTTGGAGATGCCGGCCTTTCATCGAACCAGTCCTGGGCTTGGGAGGGCTATCTGAACGGGTCCCAGCAACTCTTCACCTACGAAGACAACGAGGTCGGTCCATGGCCGCTGGCTGTCGGCTACGGGCCGTACCAACGTAAGTCATAACTGAGATTGACCAGAAAGTTCTCCGCTCACTCTCTGTTGCCAGAATGGAATCCTGTCACAATCAGCATTGCCGCCGAATCCTCGACAGGCCAGGGATTCTTTTTCAACTCGTCTGGACTGCAATTCAACCAGAGCATCGGCGGTTGGCTAGGTAAGGCGGCCCTTTGCCCGTACTTCCTCGGTCGACAAGAACACTGGGCTAATTGACGACTTCTGCAGCTTGTGATTGGTGGCACGGCGTACCGCAGCTGTTCCAGTTGAATGGCTATTCGTATGGGCCTCTGCCGAGCTCGTGCTCAAAAGTCCAGCTGTTGCCTGTGGCTATTTGAGCATGCGAAGGTTGTAATATATCTGCAGCGGCTGGAGGTCGGGAAATCGATTGGTCTTGGGTTGCATGGTATGCGGCAGCATCGGTGTTCAGCATTGTTTCAGGCATTTGCATTGCATTTCCCCATCATACAGCATGGCCCGATGGCGGGAAAAGGAAAATAGCGTAATAATATAACATTCCATCCACAACCTACCTTGAAACAATTCTTGACTATTCTCTTTTGTTGATTACTCGACTTCAAGCCTGGGATCTCGCTGCGCATCTCGTGATCTCGGAGGACTTTGTAATCGTCGACTTGTCGGCGCGTTGAAATATCCTCGTCTTCTTCGCTCGTTGCACGAGTAGTTCAGCTTTACCAAATCTCTGAACCTCGTCGAGTTCCACATACGGAGATATGGCCGCGGGTTGTCACAGATTCAGGATACGCAGTTGCCAGAATGCACTCGAGGATGCGCCTCTCGCTCGCAGGTGGTCCTACTGCCTTGAGCCGTAACATGTAAATGTGTCTCTCCTACCTCGACAAGCTCCATCCTGGCAACCGACTTGCATTGTCCCGTTAGTTGCGTGCAGAGTGACGCCTCGAAGTCCAGAGTGGGCTAACGCTTGCACTCAATTCCGAAGAAGAGAGTGAGGGACAAGAATTCTGTGGTGGATGGTGACCATCAGCGCAGGCTGCGATTCTTTGTATGCGAAGGAACTTGAAGGTCCAAACTGCGGAAATATACGACGCAGGTCGGCAATCTTTCCCCCTTGGGTTTCTCCTATTCTTTGTCTTTTTGGACCTTGCGTGTTTCCAGGCTCACGTCAAGTAACAGCAAGATGCGATCCTGTTGAACGGCAAGCTATCTGGCTCTCATTGAAAATTCCAGTGAGGCCTCGTGCCATCGTTTGCTGTTTCTGGGGGAATGAGTTCGTCGCCATGAAAACCGACGTGCTGGGCCCACTCAAAGCACAAAGGCAGCATGTAGGCCTCCTCATGCACAAGCTCCCTCCTGTGGTGACATTACGGACGAGTTGGCTTGCTATCAGGTGCATTGATCTTCGACACTGGAACAAGAATATTGTAGCGGAGAGGAGCGCGATTTTATCAGGCTAACCTGGGAGCCTTCTTCTGAGGGACACACTTGATTGGAGTGAGTTAAAGGAAGACAATGAGAGAGCAGAAATGAGCCGCCTTGTCGGTTACGACATGAACACCGTTCCATTTATCGCTCTATGCTACCAACATCTAGGGCCAATCCCACCATTTCTCGTGCAAGTCCTTCAAGTCGATCTCCGAAGGGACTTTGAGATACGACGCAATGTCGGACTCCGGATCAGCCTCTTTGGTCGTCCAGCCGTTTCCAAAGTATGCAAACCTATTTTGACTTTTCGCCAAATAGGTATACTCCCAATCCTCCCATCTGGGTTCCTTGCGAACTATCGTGACATGGGCAGCGCTGCCCGGCCACATACCGGATATTCTGAGGCCTGCTTTACCTCCATTCGCCCAAGAGCTGCAATTGTCCGTCAATACGGTCGTTGCGAAATATGCATCAGAATATTCGACAAAGTCGTCAGCTGCCTGCTTCGAGGGCTCAACGGTCCGGATCCCTTGACTGGACACTTTCCGCAGAAGTTTGGCGTAGTACGTAAGCTGGACTTCAACGGCATGGGGGACTGTCCCTGACGGGCCCGCGGCGTGAGGCCCATGTACGTATAACAGATTTGGGAAGCCAGGAGTGGCCAGACCAAGGTAAGTGTATGGGAAACCATACTTTCCCTCAGGCTTCCACGTTTCACTAAGGTTGACTCCCCGGGCTATGATCTTGTATTGAGGTACAGCGTGGGAACCAGTGGCGCAGAAGATGGCGTCGACTTCTCGATGTTTTCCATCCACCGTCTCAATTCCAGTCTCGGTGAATCGTTTGATGGGAGTCTGGACAAAATCCACGTTGTCCTCCGTAATCGCCTCCAGATAACCAGGACCGGGAGTAAGTCGTCTGCAGTTCGGGCTGAAGTCAGGCACAAGGCTGTCTAACAGTTCCGGTTTCTTGGCCAGTCTCTGCCGCATGATTTTGATGAAATTCTCCCGCATTTCCTCGTTCTCCTGGGAACCCCGGAAGGTGGAGGCAAACCGCCTCCAGTATTGGGCTTCAAGCTCTTTCCTGTACTTGAGGTAAGTCTGATCGTCTTTGAACGATTCCAACTCTTCGGCCGAGAAGTATTGCGGTTCGAAGGTCCTCTCATCTCCAGCCCAGGACCCTGCAATCCAAGTTTTATTCCGCGCATAATGGTCAAGACGGTTGACGATCGGTTGGAGGTTCGGCACGACCTGAATGCCACTTGCTCCGTTACCAATGACAGCAACATTCTTGCCCTTGGGATCAAAAGAAGGGTCCCAATTCGAGGTGTGTCTTAACACTCCTTTATAGTCCCCGATTCCTGGGTACTCTGGAAGTTTCCAGTGGTTGAAACGACCAGTCGCAGTAATGACAAAGTCTGCCCGGTCGACGAAAGTCTCGTTCGTGCTGGTGTTTTTGATGGTAATGATCCATTTCGCCTCGTCGTCACTCCATTCCGCTGTCTGGATGCTCGAGTTGAACTTCACATAGCGGTACACATCATACTTGCGGGCCTGGTCCTGCCAGTATTGCAAGATCTCACTGCCTTGAGCAAACTTCTCGCTCCACTGAGTTCGTGGGGTGAACGTGGACTGGTAAACATTGGCAGGAATATCACATCTCACTCCGGGGTAGACGTTCTCGAACCAGGTGCCACCCTACAAGAGCATGTCAGGTCTGAGTTCCCAAAAACACGGGGGCTAAGTGGCCGCAACGTACCACATCGGCATTCTTTTCATAGATTGTCAAGTCAATCTTGGGGACCTTGGCTGGCAACAAGATTCCTGCCAGGACCCCGGAGAGACCGGCGCCAATGACGACGACTCGCAGACTCCTAGCTTCGTCGATGCCATGATTCTCGAGCTCAAACCTGGGCTTCCAGGGGGAGGGCGGATACGTTATGGGTGGTGCTGGAGCGTCGGCTACTTTCTTGAGCGCATGTTCATGCAACGCCGACCCATTGAGATGTGCCGATGCCTCCTTGACTCTCTCTGGAAGTAGTGGAAATTGGTCGCCAACGGCGGTGCCCCCCGTGGCTTCATTCAATAGGCTTGTCGAGTCAATGCTTCCCATCCTGGCGACTTGGACTCTCGAGGATTGGGGTGGGAGAGAATTCGCGGAGTGACAGATTCGACTCTCCCCGCAGCAGTGGAAGAATCTGTTATTTTGTACTCTGTAAGAACGGTGTTCCTCGTGGGTACCATGCATGAGGTGCTTGTGAGTTACTTGGTCTTGGTCTTATCAATGGGGTGAACGGCGTTGGCATTGACCACTCATAGGACAGACCTCGTTGAGCACGTCTTCGGCCCACCGACTGACATGATCAAATCCACTCCACATACAAGACGTTTGTCGCGGAACTGGTCGCGTTCTAACCGCGACTCTATGCGCAAGTCCGTCAATAGGACGAAAATCTCGTGATATACAGTGCTGGTTTGGATCTGTTGCCGAGACTGTAGGGAAAAGAGGGACAACTCGGGCCTCTGTTTCAGCCTCGCAACCCTTGTCGATGTCGCAAATATCGTTGCAACTTATCAATCCCAACTGTGGCTTTTAGCCAACGCTGGCTACCACTACCTACGTACAGATTGCGCAGTCATGCATGCGGCTGACGCCATCAGGCTCTACGACTACAAATCGTCGAGGGTCCAAGTTCGATCGAGTCGTTGATTCTCGCACCGAGGTCCTAGCATATTTGTATGCCGATGTCAGATCATTGGCCATTTCACAATGGCGGCATCCTCAGTCATTTGGCGACATTACGAAATGAACTCGAGAAAATCCTCAAACTCGACTTATTGCCGATTTAGCTAGGGCAGCATTAGCGGTAGTGGCATATCTTCTCAGGATTCCTGCTGTGCCTGAGAAGACCAACCGGTACTCGATTCTTGGAGAATTATGCTCTGTGATCCGTTCCCCGGAATGCTTACCGGTCCGTCGGGCAGGCGCGTGTTCAGGAGACCACCATGTCACGACGGGAACTGCCTGAGCGAGCGGAGTGTATGGTGGCAGTAATAAATCCTGAAAGAGAAAGGGGGACAGTCAACTTGGGGGCTCCTCAAGATCAGATACTAAGGGTCGATGAGACCATTATTTGTGGGTCTCGAAACAACAACGACAGTTTGAAGTTCAAGTTGCTCTCCCAACTCCCCAACTCATCTCTCTCCCTGTGCTTCTCCGTCTCTTTGGACGAGGATCAACCATCAGTCTGGATACCTTGTGGATCATACCACAGTATAGAAATATCACGCCAAATTCTGGTCTAGGAGCCGAGTTCATGACTTGTTACTGGCTATCGCCTTATCGCGCCGTACTGTCGATTGTTGTCGCCATCCCCTCCGGCGATTGCGCCATCCTGTACCATCGCGTCTCAGCAAGCAACCCCACGATGGCTGAGGGGCGGGATGCCAACAGCATACAGAGTTCATGCTGTCAAGATAACGAGGAATCCCACAACCTTGATAGAGCCGACCGCTCGCCATATCCCGTCCGCCTTGCTGGTGTTGTGGGTTTCATATAGGTCGAGTGAGGCCTATGGCAGTCAAGTCGCAAGGCGTGCTTGTCCGGTCGACGTTGTCGTTCCAGAATAAGTATGATTATATGGTCATCTTCTGCCAAGGTAGGTTCTACAGTAGTGCTACCAGTCTATTTTGCTTGACATTGGCTACTGCTGCAAACTTCTGCGGTCTCTATATCACTGGCTTGAGGAAACATTGAAACATTCACACTTGCAATCGTTCAGCACAACCCTCCTTTCAAGCGTGCCCAAAAACCCTAATTTCAACCACGTCGTGACTGGAACTCTATTCTCCTCGATACATCGACTGCAGAGTCGACGCCTGGTAAGCATGGGAGACGCAAGCGGAACCCAGAGCACTGTCTCTGCACAGGATGCCCCGCAAAAGCAAATCATTTTGAACGCTTTCGACATGTGTACTGTCGGACATCTATCTCCTGGGCAGTGGAAGGTAAGTCAATCATTTTGTGGATGGATCCAGTACTACCCTGGAAGGAGATCATTCACATCCTACATTGTTTGCCCCGAGGAGCCATGGCTCTGACCAGTCAACAGAATCCGAAAGATAGATCAGCCACCAAGAGGAAACTTGATTACTGGATTGACCTGGCGAAGCTGTTGGAGCGTGGAGGCATCAACTGTCTCTTCCTTGCAGATACTTATGGAGGAGTCGACACGTATGAGAACTCACTGGACAATACCATCAGGAGAGCTGCACAATGGCCCATGACGGATCCGACAATCGTAAGTCTCTTTCTTGCACGCATCCTTCTCCCCTAGGGATAGCAAATCCGCGATATATTAGTACCCGACTTCCAAACATCAACCATCTCTAATCATGTCATATGCAGCCCATCTCAGCAATGGCGGCGGTCACAAAGAACCTCGGGTTTGGCATCACCGCGTCCACATCGTTTGAGCCTCCTTTTCTGCTGGCCAAACGATTTTCCACCTTGGATCATTTGACCAATGGTCGGATAGGTTGGAACATTGTGACTTCATGGAAGAAGTCGGCGTTCAAAGCCATTGGAATCGACAATCCCATTGATCACGACGAGCGGTATCTCCAAGCCGACGAATACCTCAGGGTTTTGTACAAGTGAGTCTGGTAACCGAGCACTGTCGTTGCTTGGATTAGCCAAACTCGGGACTGACATTGCCCCCAGGCTGTGGGAAGGCTCATGGGCCGACGACGCCGTTAACCCGGATCCGGAAAACGACTCGTACATCGACCCGGACAAAGTACGGACGATTCACCACCACGGCAAGTATTTTAATCTGGACACAAGACATATCGTCGACCCGTCTCCTCAACGAACGCCGTTCCTCTTCCAGGCAGGCACGTCAGCAGCAGGATCCGAGTTTGCAGCGACGCACGCCGAGGCCATCTTCGTGTCGTCACACTCGCCGACAGTGCTGAGACCGAAGATCGACAAGATCCGCCAGCTGGCGGCCGAGAAGGGTCGGGATCCCAAATCGCTCAAGTTCTTCGCCACGTTCACGCCTATAGTGGGCCGAACGGACGAAGAAGGGCGACAGAAGTACGAAGAGCTGAAGAAATACGCCTCGACCATCGGCGGCCTGGTCTTGTTCAGCGGCTGGACGGGCATCGACATCTCCAAGATCCCGCTCGACCAGGAGATCTCGGCGGCGGACTCGGCCGAAGCGAACAGAATCACCAGTCTGCTCGACATCTTCACCACCACGAGCGCGGATATTCCGAAATGGACGCCGCGCATCGTGGCCGAAAAGGCCGCCTTCGGGGGTCTGGGTCCTGTCGGGATCGGGAGTCCCCAGACCGTGGCGGACGAAATGGAACGGTGGATCCGTGAGGCCGACCTGGACGGTTTCAATCTGTCATATGTCACCACTCCGGGAGGCTTTGAGGATGTCGTGGACTTGTTGATCCCGGAATTACGCAAGCGCGGATTATACCCCCAGGCACCGGAGGAAGGCTTGACTGCTAGAGAGAAGGTGTATGGGAAAGGACAGTCCAAGCTGAGAGACGACCACATCGGCAGCACCTACAAATATGATGTGTACAAGGAGGAAGAGTCGCCTGAGGCGGCCAAAGCTGAGGAAGAGCAGAAAGCGTGAGCCTGGGAGGACAGGATCAAAAGCCCTTGAGCGGTGACAAAAAAGAATGCTGCTGGTTCCACCTGGCGCATATATACCTTGACATTGTCGCGTAGACTAGATATGTTCTAAAGGTGAGCTGTATCCAAAACCACACTCTCGCACAATTTCTAAGCTGGACAATATACAATAGATGAACTCTGTCAAACTATTGGACATCGATCAGAGATAGAGAGACCAGACACTGCATGAGACATCAATTACGGCCGATCACAATCCTCGACGGCGTCTCAAATAAATCTACGGTGGAGTATATCCTCCACGTCGTTCAGCCGAGGCATCTGGCTCGAGATCCCCATCATTTCGTCCGTATCCCATGCATTTCATTGTATCCATTATAGAGCTTCATTTCATATCGAGAATTGTGCATATCTGTTTTATAATCATCCTCAGGCTTCCGAACCCTTGCCGAGACCGTGCTCCTGAACGTCAAAAGCTACAAGGAAAGAGATATATCCTCTTCAATCCTATCGGCTGTTCCTTTCCCGCAAAGCAGCCTCGCGGTAGACTATACAATCAATACATCAGATAACGTCAAACATAATAACGAACAAACCATCATGGCCCCAGGTTCGACGTCGTCTTCAACCTACAAGGCCGTGACTCTAGCCAAACGCCCCACAGACGCCATTGTCATCAACGAGACCTTTACAGCCATCACCAAGCCGACCCCGTCTGTTGACGACCTGAAGGACGGCGAGGTCCTTTTCGAATCCGTCTATCTCAGCATCGACCCGGCCATGCGCGGCTGGCTGAAAGACGCCAGATCGTACGTTCCTCCCGTGAAGATCGGCGAGGTCATGCGTGGCCAAGCTGTGGGCATTGTACGCGAGAGTAAAGATCCGAAGTTCCCCAGGGGGTGCTATGCAGAGGGAATCGTCGGGTGGACTGAGTTGAAGGTTTGTAAGGGGAGTGAGCTGCAGAAAGTTGAACTGCCAAAGGCGGCGAGGCTTACTGATGTCCTGGGGGTATTGGGTATGTCTTTCTTCTTCTTCTTTGGTCTTGTTATCATTGTTCTTGCAGCTTTGGGCAACCCTTCGACTTGGTGTTCTGCAGAGTGGTTTCTTTTTTGTCTTCTCCTGCTACCTGGTTGATGTATCCATGGGCGGGACAAATCGTCGGTCATACAGTCTGCTCTCCCACTTACTCGTTTTGCCGTTTGGGTGACGTGTCGTTCTGAATGCTCTATAACCCTGGTTTATGGGCAGTCACAGCTTGTACGCGTCGGTGCTGTTGGACAATGGCTTGACTTGATTTGGCTTGACTACTGTTGCCCATGGTCGTGTTTGTTGCGCGGTGCATGTATCCTTTGGAATGCTCTATAATCGCTCTGATGTCTCCTCTGCTATCCAAAATTCTGCGACTGACATTGTCCCCAGGAATGACGGGTCTGACAGCCTACTTCGGCATTACCGAGGTAGGCAAAGTCAAGGCGGGAGACTTCGTCGTTGTCTCCGGTGCTGCCGGTGCAACAGGCAGTGTGGTCGGTCAGATTGCCAAACTCAAAGGCGCAACTGTCCTTGGAATCGCGGGAAGCGATGACAAGTGCCAATGGCTGAAGAAGGAGGTGGGATTTGACGATGCTCTGAATTACAAGGACAAGGACTTTCCCAGCAAGTTCCGGGCCGCAACAAAGGTACATTCCCATTCACGTACGTTAGTTTCTGGACGAGTAGCTGACTGACGAACCACAGCAATACATCGATCTCTTCTTTGACAATGGTAAGCCAAGATACATGCCCCGAGGTCTGTCATTGTTTTTTGTTACTAACGATAACTAGTTGGCGGCGAGGTCCTTGATTTGGCATTGAGCAGAGCGAAGCCACATTCTCGGTTTGTCATGTGTGGAGGTATGTTGTTATGTCGAGCTCGGTTGCAAGCAAACAAAATTCCCTGACAGATTACCAGCCATCAGCCAGTACAACTCATCCAGGCCGCAAGGTCCAAAGGTATGTGTCAACGGCATCAATTCGATTTGATTCGTTTCAGTCTCTGTCTCTGGCGACTGTATCTAACACGTCTGTGTGCAGAACTATCTCATGATCATTTCCATGCGCATTCGGTGAGTTGTTACCTTTTGACTCCCTTGAGTATGATCGGCGTCGGATCACAGTGGCTGATGTACCGTGTCTAGAATGGAGGGATTTATCGTCTTCGATTTTCAAAAAGAATATCCTCGAGCCCTCAGGGATTTGGCTCAGTGGCTGTCCGAGGGCAAGATAAAGAGGAAGGAAACCATTGTCAAGGGTGGTGTCGAACAGGCACAGTACGCTCTGAGGGACTTGTATAATGGTGTGAACACAGGTGAGTGTCTACTCAACATCAACGCGAGAAACGTTGGCTATGCTAACGAGAGATCTAGGCAAGTTGTTGGTCGAGGTGAAGCCTGTCGACGAAAAGGTTAAACCGTCTCTTTGATGAGTGGTTCAGCCCGTTTGCGTTCAAGGTGATCATAACATCGACGGGGCAACCGTGGTGACTCTGTATCGAGGAGACAAAAATGCGTGAGGAAGCAGTGGCAGCGAGTATATTTCGCGACCAGAATGTCAATCCGTCAAGACTCCCCAATCCCGGGGTCATGTTTCTTTCTGCGAGAACAACCTTTTCCATCGTGGCACAAACGTCGACTCGAGACTGGATGCAAATGAAAATGCAAATGCAACGACATATGCGCAGTGAGATCAACGGGTTCCTGTTGTGGCTCCTTTTATCCATTTTACCTTTGCGCCCTGGACATGGATCATGGATGTTCCCCTGGTTCATGTTACTTACTTACTCCATGATTCTCCATCCATGACAGTACAAGTCCGACTTCCACTGTCACATCACCTTTCGGACTACAACCACATCCAGTCCGATCTCCTGGTCTAGGGCGAACTCTCCACGAACAAACATTTCATCTCCACTGATTCTCCAGGACAATCGCAAACGCAGTGGGATCTGCGGCAACTCGTTTCCTCTTTCATTCTCGGTTTAACTCTGCACCACACAACGCTCTCATCTCTGTAAGTCTATTTTCTGCCGCGCGTCTGGTTCAGGCCGGGCGAGCTGGACATCCTTAAACCTACCTACGTACTGCCCTACAGAGTACAAATATAAATGGCACCCCCACATCTTGGTAGGGGCGCCCTTCAACCATCAAGAGGCGGTAGGTACATTTACCCTACGTTGCAGGAGAACGCCTATATCATCAAACCTCCGGACTGCTTTCCTACCAAGCAGGCACCTATATCAAATCATTCTTGAGGTGCTACTTATTTTATAAGGTGGCTTCCTTCCTGCCAACCTACCTACCTACCTATATCCATCTTCAACGAATCGACAACCTTCTTCAACCATAGCCACAATGAGTAACAACATATACGACAGTTGCTTATACAAGCCTGTGTCTGGTTCCTCCACAGACCTCGAAAAGAACACCCTTGCTGTCTCTGAAGATATGATAGACATCGAAAAGAACACTCCACTGTCTCTGAAGTCATGACAGACATCGAGAAGAACAGCCTCACCGTCCCTGAAGTCATGGCCAATCCCGATCCCGAACAGGTATGTGCTCTGCTCTTTCTCGAGTCTCTACCTAACTTATCACCAACATACTGCACCTCAGCCCGACGAAGTTTCGAATCCTGCCACCCTAATTCAACGCGTTAGTTTCTACATTCGATTAACACTCTACGTCGTTCTCCCTTTCGGCTGCGCACTTTATGTCCATTTTCACGGCGAGGACGTCTACCATCAATATAACCTGCAGCCCTCAAGACAGGCCATCACAATTGTTGCCGGTTGCTGTATATGCGCGTTCCGCTACTTAAGCCTTCGTTTAATGTTAGAGAAGGACGGGCTCAGGCTCAGCGAGGCCTGGAAAGAGCTGATCAAGGAGCACCATACATATATATGGTTTCTTGTGTCGAATTTGCTCATCACCCAGATCTTTCATAACTTGACTAGAGATCTCATAATTTGACTAGACAGGCATAACGGCCATTGCAGAAGAGCTTCAGAAGGGAAATCAGGGCCCCCGAAAGAAGAAGTAGACGTTAAAAAATGATGCATCTCCACTGCCACGGGATAGTAGTTTGCAAGCGAGCGACGACGAGGTGCAATGTGTGCTAATATATCCTCGCTATGAGTGTGCTCTTCCAGCATGGATTTGGATTGTCAACCTCGGTCCTCCTCTGGGTTCAATGGTTGCCAGATGTAATGCCCGCTCATGTTCTTGAGGCGAAGATGCCCGACCTCCTCTGCCTCAATACAATCCCTCGACCAAGGCCTTGACCGCCTTCCAAGCCTCGTCATCCTGCTTACTCTCGATCCTACTCGGGACCAATCCACCCGTAGCCCTCGAGCAAATGATATCGATCTGATCCCTCCCGACGCCCTTTTCAGTTAGAGTCGTCTTGAGACCCAGGTCGTTGACAAGCCCCAAGATCTTGTCACCCACAAGATCACTATCCTTGAGATCATCCCCGGACCTCGACTCGCCAATGTACGGCAAGATGGCGGCGACCGCATCGGCATTCTTCTTATCCTGCCGCGCCTTGAGCTTGACCACATGACCCAGCGTCAGGCAGGACGTGATGCCATGCGGGATTCCATAGGGGCTGCCCAACGCGTAGCCCAAGCTATGCGACAAGCCCAGGCCGCCCTTGAGGTTCTGGCCGAAGAAGCCGAGACTGGCGTACGCGGCGAGAAACAAGCCAGTGATGACGTCCTGGTCGGTCGGATCGGCTTTGTATTTGGGCAAGAGACGGAACAGCTCGGCAATGGCGTTGAGCGCGACGAGCTTGGTGGGCACCCACGTCGCGGTGGCGTGGTACTGCGATTCGACGGCGTGGTCGAGGGCTCTGATGCCCGTGGACAGGAACAGTCCGGGCGGCGTGTGCAGTCCAAACACCGGGTCGTAGAAGATGTAGGCCGGGTAGATGTTCGGATGGGCCAGGCCGGTCTTGACCCCATTGGGTTGCGTGTAGCCTGCCAGCGCGGTACATTCGGCGGCAGAGAGCGTCGTGGGGATGGCGATGTGCCGGAGCCATTTTCCTTCTGTGTTGCCACTGCCGGTCTGTTCGTGGACGCGGTAGATGATCGCTTTGGCGCTGTCGATTGGACTCCCGCCGCCGACGCTGATGATCGTGTCGATCGTCTCGTCCTTTTGTACCTGGGTGGTTGCTTCGTCGAGCTGCGCGACGGGCGCGTGTTCTTTGATCCCGCTGAAGGTTCCGGCGTGGTGTTTCGCGCTTAGCAGATCCTCGAGGTCTTTGATCAGCTTGGTTTTTGTCGCTAAAGACCGGCCTGTCACGATGAATGCTTTGGACTCGGCGTTGGGCAGAACTGAGAGAATGTGTTTCTTGACCACGTCCGGCCCGTAGTACAGGCCTTTCAGCTGGTTCGGCTGGTATAACCCTGAAAGGGGGTGGAGTGAGGCTTCCATTTTGAAGGATCGGACTTGGACTGGTGAAGACGGACGAAAGACGGAGAAGAATGGGTTGGAGGTCAATCCTCTCCTGCTGGCGTTGGCGCTGGTCTTGATGGGACGTTGGAGCTGTGTCTGTAGGTGTAATGTGCGGATCATGGGATCGACTGTGGAAGGATGGGAGTGACGACGTCTACTTTCTATATACTGGGTAAGGTAGGTGAGATATGAAGCAGACAACGGTCACTGACCGGAATACTGTCAATATGATCTGTTTATTACTAATATAATATAAGACAGTCTTGCCATATGTGATAGTTCAAGCGAGTCTGATGTCAGACCAGGCCGAAATTGCCGTCATCGAGCCGCCAGTCTCCGCACGAGGCTGAAGCGGAGTCGAGATGAAGAAGGATTGGGGTCAGTGGGACAAGCATGTAGGACAGAATAGAACAGTAAGTAGATAATCATGGTGGCCTCGCCAGAGGCTTCGGCGACGCTCGGCGAGATGGTGCCATATGTCCATTTGGATGACTTGGTTGTAATCATGTTCAAGTTATGTTCGTGGATGGTCATTGAGCTATTTACATATTGATATTATCGTTGCTGGGCGGTCATTGCTCGGGACGCTGTATGTCTCCCTGCCCAGTCTGCTGTATCAATTGTCATTTTGCGCTCCATAGCTGACGCACCTACGAAGTGTCGTCGCCACTGAAGATCGTCCCGTCATAGTCTGTACCGTTGTTGGGATAGTCAACCGTGTAGTTTCCGAAACAGGCGTACTGATAATTGCTCAGGTCGAAGGCTCCGGCTTGACTCTTGATGAATGAGTTCAGCGGACACATCCCATCGGTCCTATTCCCACAGTAGCCGCCGCGGATAGTGGACAGAGGCAGGATCCCGTTGTTCAGTCGCATACGCAAGAACTTGTGCGTGGCATTACTCGCATCATACCCGTACTGAGTAGGATAGTATTGTGTCCGGGCAGAGTGCGCAGTCGGGCTTCCGCTGTTACATCCGACCACTTCTGTAACCAACCGAGCTGCGAAAGGCGTCAGATGTGACAGAATAAAGTGTCGGTTTGGGTCAGGGGGGTAGTCCGTGAGCGAAGGCGGGTCTCGGAAGTAATCAACCGAGGCGGCCGTCAGGACTGAAATCAGGATGTCGTCGTGGGAGAAGTCGGCATAAAGTTTCTGACCGAGTGGGAAATCTCGAGTATTGTTGGTGATGCTACTGTTCACGCTCGAGTTCGACGAGGTAATCAACTGGTGCTCCAGTCGGGCCAGAAGTTCCTGGAGGTAGCCAATCCCCTGGGCTCGACCGGTCGGACTGCCGTAAGAGTAGTCATAGAAATACTCCTGATCGAGAGTCGACTCGAACCCAGCCCATTCATTCTCAGTGAAAAGTGTGCAGAAGTCGGATTGACCCAGATAGTTGGTCTCGTAGGCACAAATGCTCCTGCAACCAGGTCAGATGATGTTGACCGATAGATGATCGACTGGAGTCCTCGGACGGCACAACTTACTGCATGGCATAGGTGTCGTTGATGGTCAGATTGTATCCTGCTGGCACATAGTCTGCCAACCGATCACGCGCATCGGACAGATACAACGGCAGGTACGATAGCAGATCCAGATCCCCGAGGATCCCTCCCGGCTCATCGCCCTCATTGGTGCAGCTGTCGTAGGATGCTAGGGTATTGTTTTCCGTTCCACCTTCAGGAATTATCACCACGTTGAATGGATGAGTAGCATTGGCTATTGTCGGATTGGGTTCTTCCAAGTACGACGGCCCAAAGAAGCCGAGGGCCCAGTTAATCTGCGTGTTTTCAATCCGGGACTGCGATGTGGTCCTTAAGACCGGCTTGGGTCTCGCGGTGCCATTGGGGAAGCTAGCGTTGTAGGCGAGTTGACCACTGGATGCATTGAACAATGTTCGGCCATATCTCTGCCAGAAGGTCACCCCAGACTGGAAGAGCTGAGAGGCTCCGATCCCCACAAGGTAGCTTTCACCCATCGAGTACTGGTACGTGTTCAAAAAGCTAAGGGGACCGGTGAATAGTTCAGAAGAATTCGCTTGCGTCCAATTGAAGGTTTTGGCTCCAAAGTTCTCGTCGTTGGCCCCATCGTCAAAGAAACCTGTGGGAAACCGAGCTCCATGTCGTTGCAGGAGATGCACTTGTTCGACCTGACAACCATCTGGCAAGCCAACATCGCTCACCCCGAAAAAGTCCTCCGCATTATCTGCATAGGGTGTCATCTGGCCCCAATACTGCTGTATGACGCCCAGGTCAGTGAGGGGTTCCGAGGAATTGTCGGTCTGCCTGCGCTGTCGGAGAAAAGGGAACGAGGCCGTCAGGGCAGGCAACAAGGCCAGAAGAGTCAGGTGGAAGCGCATCCTGGACTAACGACGAGTTTGACCTGGAGGAAATGAGGTACCGGAAGGCCCATGGTGGGAGGAGGAGGTATCTTTGTACCTCTGAGCCAGTCGGCCGGTATCAGTGGGAAGCTCAAGCTTGGGGTTCTCGAGAGTGACGACAGTCTCAATGGAAAGCCACGAAGCTATGGAAGAAAGATGCATGACGACCGAGCTTGACCACGAATGAGGTGTTGCGGATGTTGATATCGCGGGAGAACTAGGCACAACTAGTGATGGGGTGGGATGAGAGAGATGGAGCACTTCGAGCACTTGCACAGCTCCCCTCCTCAGCTGTATCTATCAAGCCACTGCACACTGCACTCACGGCAGTGCGAAGCTTGTCAAGAATAAGCTGCTGCAGCTAAGAAAGAGCTTGTTCATGTACATACCTAGCGAGCCACCCTTGAAAAATAAGTGGCACCAAAATGATACAGGTTCCTACCTACCTACCTAGGTTAGTAGGTAGTAGGGAAGCATTCCATAAGGTTGATACAACAGGCGTTCTCCTGCAACGTACCTACCTACCTAGGTGCTATACCCACCGCCCATTGAAGTTATGAAGGGCGCCTATATATCAGCCTTACGGACTGCTTCCCTACCAGGTAGGCACCTATATCAACTTTGTGGTGCCACTTATTTTGTAGAGGGGCTTGCTAGTATACCAGCACATCCGGCGAGAGGGTGCGTCCATAAGCCACGCTACCAGCTCTTCAGGCACTTACACATGCGTTGTGCTCGAGGAGAGTGTAGATGGATCATTTCCAATCGACGGAGGCTTCCAAAACATCAACGTGGACTAGAACAGTGTGGTTTCCTGCTTGTCACCGACCGCTTCATCTCCAGCCTTCCTCAGTCCAGTCTTATGGCACCAATGTAGTACTCCGTTCGTGGCATCGTACGTTTAAGGACTTAGGGGGCTGTTGATGATTCGAGTGAATCCATTGTCTCGGCTGCCCGAGGAATCAGGCTTCATGCATGACATGTTCGGGGGTCGGGCTGGACTGCCCAAGCCACCAAAATCGAAGATTGGAGGAATCGGAGAGGAGCATGGCGATACAGTCGTACGAATGAGATATCCGATCTAGAAATGCAGGAGATGGCGGGTGAATAGATGCTGGTTGTGTTGGTAATATCGAAGGACAAGCCTGCGTGGAACTGGAAGTGTTCGCCGCCGCCAACCAAGCAGCAAATGAATCCCCGCCACGAAGCTCGCTTTCCATACTATCTTCGTCCACGACCCAGACTGGCGATTGTTTCGCTGGTGTCGCTCAACTGCCAGCATCTTGTTCCTTCGGGTTGCTGTCCTTGTCATGATCATGCACTTTGCCTGGCAGTTGTGGCAGTTGTGCTCTCCTGCACCACGCCCTCACTACCTCTAGGTACCATCAGCACAACCCTTGCCGTCATACACCCTGGATCAAGCCGACCTGTCCACGGGTGCTCTCCAACTGTAGGGCCAACTCTGCAGTCGTCTACTCAACCGACGATGCGTTGTTTGTCTTAAACACCATGGACACTCGAGCAGACACGTTGTCGGGCCGCTTTGGGGAACAATGGGCCTTTCTGTCGCACCCTCCACACCATGTCCAGGCAAGATCCCTTCCACCATCCTCGAGTTATCTACGAAGCGACCGAAGCAACCTCTCCCCTCGACCTGTCGCGCTTCACTTCCAGCACCTCGATGCCTCACGCTCCAGTCTACCTAGAAATGGGCAGACCTCCTCGATCGGTGGCAACAGTTCGACCACCATCCCATCTCAACCCGTCGTTGTCAGAGTCCATTCCGCCGATGCTTCTATTCAAATACATCCCACAACTCGTCCACCCAGGCCAAGAGAGAAGATGAGCAAATATAACCAGCTACCGCCGATTCAAGAGTATAGCATACAGGGGATTCTTGCGGCCATTGAGGAGGACATCGAAGACAACGTCAATGCCATCTCTGAGATACTCGGGAGGAGCCGGCTGGTCCTGGCCGATCAACATGACAGCCATCTCCCTCCCCAGGGCGAGATCAGAGCTACCAGTAGCTCATTGCAGGCAGTTGCGGAGGCGAGCACGAGCAATGAAAGACTGGCGGCGACTGATGATGTTCTCATATTGCGAGAAGATGCTAGTCTAGTCGAAGGCAGTCATACTGGTTCGGCAGCGTATGGGTTATTGGAAAGATTACAAGCCGTTCCACGGGCACGACGCATGAAGACTGATATGCCAGGCGGGCCTGTGCATAGGCCTGTTTCCGGCTCCGGACGCAACTATTCAGCACCTGCAGTGCTGACGGAAGGACCAGATCTATTCGAGGATCATGATCAGCCGGCTTTACCGGCACCCTCGCAAGCCTCTCGCCAGCTGCTCCGAGATCGTGGGACCGAGCTTCAAGCCGGTGAACAGTCACCCAGGATGACGAATGCGGTCGTCTCTGAAATCTATCTCGCTGCTGGCGCCAATGCAACTACAGTATCCGATCCTCCCGTCGTTTCAGAAAGCGGTCGACATTATCCACTGTATACGTACGACTACAGCGATATTTTCGGCTCCCCATTGCCTCCAGCTCCGGTGGCTCGAATTGGATTTCTGCGCCGACTTCAAGCTCTGATACCTACTGGAGAGCTGCAGACGTTGACTTCCTGGGTCCACGGTCGTAATAACCGTGTGGTGACTGCAGAATCTCAACTGAGGGAGATCCTGGATAGACAGCGACGCAGAGGTGACCCGCCAGACGACCTGCAAACTGGACATGAGGATACTGAGCTATACGAATGATGATATGCAATGATAACGAACAATATATTATCTATATTTTCATCGCTGCAAGGTTCTTTTTGAATGCGACCCCCCGGAAAGCATTGAATAGCATGTCTTTCGCGAGAGGGGAACCTCCCGATGCTCCTTGTACCGGCCTCCAGCTGTTTCGAACCGCACACACCGCTGCACCCCCCTGGCCTATTCAGTGCCATTTGGCCCGCACCCACTGTCGTATGTTTTGGCCATCAACTTCTCCTCAGTCTTGAAGATGTTGACTTTCACCATCAGTCTGAGTATCTACTCAACCCGTCCAACTTGATGCGTACTATAACGTCCAGTTGTCCTGCGTCTCATGATTCGTACCAGGAGCCAGCAAACCATTTGCGGACACACGAGGAAAAAGGAAGAGACAGTTCAACTTGAAGCTCACAAGGACTCCTGGTTACTGGTTCCCAGGAACTAGTTACTGGATTGGGCAGTGCCCCTAAAGAGTTTCTTACTAGGTGATCGAAAGTTGTTTCTCTGCGTGGCTGTTCTTGGATTGCTGCCTATCTCTCCATCTACGATGATGCTTCGATAATGTCCCGCCATTGTCCACCAGCATGCTCGCTGCTAGCCCGCTCACCAGGTATCTACATATATGTATGTAGTATGGCAAGTAGGAGCCAGGGGCGAGGAGCCACAGCCTTGCGCCCCACATATACAAATGTGGGGTCCATGTCCCAATTTGTTACCAGGCTGTCTTAACAATCCGGGGCCGAGGTCCATTGATGATGATACAGAACAATATGGACCCCATAGCAGATATCCCTGGAGAGATCAATCGGCGGCATTCTTTGGGCAGGTTTCCAGCAGTCTCCTAGAACAACTCCACACTCCAGAAATGCGAGTTGCCTTTGTTGCCAGAGTCAATACTGGAGGAATGGCCACAGATACAATGGCCATAGGCTGAGGCAACAACTATCTTGACGTTGTTTGCATTGCCGTCTGATCAACCACTGGCCACGAGGACTGTGAGGGGGCATGACCCATTGCTGGAGTAAATCCGGCACCTATATAGCCGGCCGCGCGGCAATACTCTCGGTCCGACGCTAGAGGCAGCCTTGGAGTTCGGGTCTTCACTAGCAGAGTCTGGTTCAGCGCACAGCAATAAGCCGATGCCGCCTTTTCACAGCTACTCTAGCATAGACGGTAAGATATTGTTACTCTTGAGAGCTTCTATGTCACAGCGATAGTCTTTCATGCGTGGAAGGACATTTGGCACAGTTTCGGGACGAGAAGTATTTTCGCTAGTATTTCGTTTCCTTCGTTTCCTTCCATTTTAGCACCCGCGGGTATAACTTTTAAGAAGCGACTGGGGCTGAGTAGCCGTTGAAGTCGGTCTTCTCTGCCATAATGATCGGCAGTTCCTCCGACGCCAGGGAGTCCCAAGGTGACTTCTCTTGGGGCTTCCAGCCGAGGGCGCGAAGTCTGTTGGCGCGGTTCCTTGCGTTGCGGCCAACGACAGGGCCCGACCACTCGCCGAAAACATAGCTGTAGAGCTCGGGTGGGATCTGCCGGGGCGTTGGGTCGCTGAGTCTGCCCGCCTTGTGGAGCGCCTTTCCGATCTCCTCTGCGGCTCTCTTCCACGAGTACTCCTCCCCGTTCTCGATGAAGAAGTATGGATCCGCCAACACCTCCTCGGCCGGTGCGGACTCCATGTAGTGCACGATGGCCAGGTATCCCCGGGCCAAATCAGCCACGTGGATGTATCCCCACACCGCATTGCCTCCCTCGACGTAACCAGCGAAGCCGTGCTTGAGGGCGAACCGGGCCATGGTCGGAATCTGGATTGACAGTCGGTTGTCCTTGCCCACGCCGTAGATGACGGGTGGAAGCACGATCGAAATCTTGGCCTTGGTGCCGAGCTCGCGGCGACGCTTGAGAATCGCCAAATCAATGGACCGGTGGGGAGCATTGTCGGCAATGCTGTCAATCGTCTCGGGCTTGTCGTCTTCGTAGATCTTGTCGCTCATGCGCTCGCCGTGCCCGCCGTCGGTGATGGCACTGCACCCGCTGGTGTGGATGTAGATGGTGCTCTTTCCGCTCTTGGCGCGCTCGTCCACACCATCTAGGATGGACAGTGCCGATGGGAGATGGTCCGCGGTCGCCGTGTGGATGACAATGTCGGCGGCGGCGGCGGCCTTACGGATGACGTCGCCATCGTCGAGCGACCCGAGCACCGTCTTGCAGCCGAGCTTCTCGAGCTTCGCCCTTGCTTCCTCCCGCCGCACCAGCACCGTCACCGGGTAGCCGTCTTTAAGGAGCTCGTCGAGAATCTGAAGCCCGATGAAGCCGGGACCGAGCAGAAAGACGGAGCCTTTTCCGGTCATGATGGACGCAGATTGATCAGTTTGTGTTTTCAGTTTATGTTTTCAGTTTGTGTTTTCAGTTTGTGTTTTCGCGTGATAAGAAGAAGAGGAAGTTTTCTGTATCTGATCAGCTTCGGAAACTCGACGACTTCTTACCCCCCACTCGGCTGCACTTATATACATATTCAGCCCTGCATAGTACGTCAGGTACATACCCGGAAGGGAGTTGGCCGCTTCCTTGGCGGGATGACGTTTGTCAGTGCCTCCAATCAGGTGACTGTAGCCTGATTCGGCTATGGACTTGGCGCCCAGGTCCCAACAACTTTTGTCGGGCCGCTCCCAAATAGGTAACGCGTCCGGAGGACGGATGGCTAAGCTGATCGGCAGCATAACCCCTCTTGGTCGACCCGCCCGGGATGATGGCATGCTGGTCATTAACCGCCGGAAGACATTATACTCATCCGGCGTCTCGCAGCCTTATAACAGCCTTGTAGCCTACTGGTAAACCGGGTGTCATGTTCATCGTTCATACTACGACTATACCAGTTCAAACCCAAGCACCATTGACTTGACCATTTTCTCGTACCACTTTCCGCACAATGGGTGGCATCATTCACGTCGTACAGCTCCAGTTCAAGCCGGATGCTGACCCTAAGAAGATTGAAGAGGTTCGTTCATCTCTGCGTTGGTACGATCCAGTTACTGCACGCTTCAGTCTCTAACATTGCCGATCCTAGATCCTGGGTCAACTGAAAGCACTGAAGGATAAGTGCATTCATCCCACCACTAAAGCGCCATACATCAAGTCCATCACTGCTGGAGTGGACAACTCAATCGAGGGACTACAGGTGTGTACATGAGAACCCTGGTTGTTGCTGGGATTGCTCTTTTCCCGGCCTTTCATTCGATCCCGGTTTTCCATTTCTGGGATCAGTATGTGAGCTGACCATGTGTAAACCCTTGCAGAACGGCTACACTCACATGATCATCACTGTCTTCGAGAGTGTCGAGGATCGAAATTACTATGCAAAATCAGACCCGGCACATTTGGCTGTGGGGGCAGCTCTGGTGCCTCTGGTGAAAGGCCTCCAGGTTCTTGATATCGATGCGTAAATTCCATCGGATTTGCCGTGCCGCTTTCGATGGCATTACTTGTTAGATTAAATCATAAAAGAATCTTATATGTTTGGTAAATATTGATCTCTTCAAGCAGACCTCGTCGACGTAGTTAAGACACGGGGCAATCCCAGGAGCCTCAGCCTTGCAGCGCCACAAAACTTCACAGTCGAACAGGGCTGTGAGTGGGTCCTACTAACGGGTCGGGGGTCCAAGTCCACGATGACATGCCATTTCTGGAAAGACTTGGGCAGGAGGCTTCGCCAGGTCATATTTCATATCTATAGGACACTTAATCTCAGCAAGAGGGGCCATCTCACCTATAACCCAGCCATTTGAAAGAGACCAAACAGAATATACTTAGTAGGTAGGTACTAGGTAAGAAACAATAAGAGAGACAGCCAAACCATCAGGCCAGCTGAATGGGGAAAAAAGGGGCCACAAAAGGGAAGCAGGAGGTGACAATGGGACAAAGTTGTGTCAGGCTACCGCCGACAATACCATGTCAGCAATGCTAATAATAAAATCAAAACAAACCAAATAAAGGAGTAAGCGAGGATCGTTGTGCCAATAGCATACTCGCTTCCCTACGAGGAAGTCGAAATGATGGCACCTGGTTTATACGAACCTTGAGGGTCTCTACTCGATCGCCACCCGTCGCCGGGAGAGACATACAGACTGCTGCTCATTCGGTCAATTCTGGGGAACAAGAAGCTAGATCTATATGGCGTGGAGGCCATTCGTTTCTTGTTCTCAAACCCTTGCCGAGTTCTATTGCTGGTCTGCTCGACTAGATTCCGTCGTATTATGTGAGACATCCTACCCTGAGGCCAACTTGGGCAGCTTGAAACATTTTCCTTCGCAAGTTGGCGAGATAAATTATGATATGAACTATGAACTTACAAGCAAGGACTAAGTTGTGCGTTGTTCATGTCATTTTGTCCCCGATCGGGCGTGAGTGCTTGATTCCCATGCATTTGCCGTTTTTCATCCCAGAATATTCCCAGGCCCAGGAACCAGGTGTCGAAGCCACCTGGAATGTGAGTTCATGCATGTCATTTGCTTTCATTATGCCAAGGGCATTTTGTAGTATTCCCTCATCCGCCCCGATTATGCTTTGATGCTGATGCTGATGCTGATGGTCATTCGATATTACATGCCATTGTTCTGCCGTTGGTCATTCCACGTTTCATTCATCTCCCAGGTGCCGAGGTGAGTCAAGTTATTGGTAGCTCTCAAGTCGGCCAGACCGTAGAAGGCTTCAGTTCCAGTCACCCCAGGTCTGTTTGGCACCCGCTGCGGTCACGGTCGCAGTGACAGTGACATACTGTGTTACAGGAGCAGGAGTGACGTATGCGGTGGTAGTGGTAGTTTCATAGGCAGTCTGGTAAGCAGTGGTCGTTGCGGTAGCATAGGCAGTTGTTGTAGCGGTAATGGTTTTGTAGACTGGAGTCTCGGTCGTCACATAAGCAGTAGTGGTGGCCGTAGCATAGGCCGTAGTCGTCGCAGTGATTGTCTTATAGACAGGTGTCGCGGTCGTCACTGTTGCAGTGTTGGTGACGGTGGCCGTCTTGTATGCTGTCTGGTAGGCGGTGATGGTAGCATAAGCCGTGGTGGTCGAGTAAAGGGTTGAATAGAGGGTTGATGTAGCGTAAGCTGTTATAGTGGCGTATGCCGTGACAGTAGCATAGGCAGTTGTGGTCGCATATGCCGTAGTGGTCTAAAGACATAAAGACAAGCTTGGTCAGCGTTTTCGATCTGATAGGTGATGTTTGAAGTATAAAATTACTTGGTATGCAGTCTCCGTCAAAGTGACGGCAGAGCAAGTCTTCCCCCAGTCATTCCAGCTACCGGCATCACCACGAGGCTGGAGGGCAGCAGCACTGACACCGGCGATGAAAGCAGCAATGGAGAAGAACTTCATCTTGTAAATGATGTTGAAGCGAAGGTAGTGATGATCCAAGCGAGGGTTGGTAGGATTTATATGCAAGGTAACGAAGGAGCTGATCTTCTCTCGTGCAAGGCTGAAGGTTGAAGTGTTGAAAGGAAGAGACAATCACCATCCTACCTTGACTTCTTTATACCTTCGAGATCCTGCGGAGCGGTAGATGAGCGTAGGATTATGATCTCACCAAGTGCCAACAAGGTGTGTTCTTGTCCCCCGCCACCACGTTGTGAGACATCCTTTGCGACCCAAGAGCTTCGGCAGCTCTCGGTGTTGTTCTGCATCCTGGATTTTCTCTGCCCCAGCTGACAGGGTTCAATAACCTCAGAGTCAGGCCAACAGAGAGGGGATTAGTCCACGTGCGAAAATGCACACAGCGTTCTCTGGAAAAGGATAGACTGGTCCTCCACTACCGAGCTGACCGCGTGGTCCTGCAGAAGCGTGCAACATGCAGGACAAGCGTACAGTGCTGTTGGCAGGTCTCTCCATCATCCTTGTTTCTTTCTGAAGGAGAGGTGGTTGGACCCAAAGTCACTGAGTTTCTGTGACAAACACAATTCCATACTATACCAGGAAGGCAAAAGGAATCGCCATACTGGTAGGTAAGAGTGTGAGGTCAGGTCAAGCTTCCCAGCCTCAAGCGAGAAACAGTAAATATTTAGAAGCCACCATCCCCAGAGCGTCTCTAGCGTCGGTGTTATACAGAGAGCAGCTGTTCCCTGTCTGGATGCAAGCCTCTTGTTTTCCCCGCGTTTGCACCCTGCAGGCCGGTGCAATGGTGGCTGTATTTCGGCGACCGGGATGTCCTAGTTGCTTCACCTTTCCTGTAAGTCGGTCATGGAGGCTGTGGGTGGTGAGGTTTCAGCGGAAAGGAGGACGCCAAATGTTGGGTGACCAGGAACCTGGCCGATCCAGCCTCCACCAGCCAACGAATCCTTCAGGGGCCGAGTTCTCACTTCCCGCTCCCTGGCTATTGCTGGACTGACTTTGTTGTTCCGGGTCACCGGCTGTGCTGGCCATTCTGACCATCAATCTATTCGTGTATGAGTGAAACCCTCTCTCTGCTGCCTCTATTAGCCTAACCAGCAGGCATTGTAAGCAAGGTACCACCCCGTATCCGCATGGGATGCACCGCATCCTCTGCAGGCTGTTCTTTCCTCAAAATTCAAGAATGAAGTCCGTGGGAACAGAGGTTGGGAGGATTCTTCCTCCTGTCTGGTTTCCTGAGCCATCCATATCCTGGAAGACCGGGTTATTTCCTTGTCTTCGAGATTGTTGCACGGCTGTTCGTTTGGCGAGGTTAGAACTTCAATGTTTGTTGACCTTTTGTGTGCTGCAAGTCGGTTTGCACTGTGGCGCAACACAGTCTACTGGCATCACCTGAGTCTTTTGGAGTCTTCCGTAGTACCGTGTACACCATATCACTTGCTCCCTGCTCACCCGCCCAGATACTCCTCCGACATACACCGACTTCTTATTCTTCGAGGCCTCTCAAGAGTCAAGCCCATGTTCTCACCAATACCCGTTCATGGATGTTGAACTTCCCCGAGAACCCTTCACGATTACTTGCGAGTCGCTGTTTCTAGCGCTGAGGCTGGCACTGCGCCACCCATTCGGTGGATATGAATCCTTCCGCGCAGCATACTGACAGGCCGGGATGATAGTGGCTATCTATGAGGACAACTCGGCAATGCCGTATGTAAGCCCACGGGCTCCGATGTAGATAGCCCCGCGGCCAACCCAGCGCTTTCTTTTGTTGATGTCAAGTCGGAATAACCGCATAGAGTAAGCTGCACACCGAGCAGCTCAGCCGTGGATGGACCAGCCTACTTGAATGACTGGAACCCTTAATGTGCTTGGGGCGAGAACCTTTATTGTTGTCGTAGTGGATGGTTGATGCAGAAAAGCACGGTGTCAGCAATCTAGGGCACCTACAGCGTTTCACTTAGCGATCGTGGTCAGATATGCTGCGTTCTTTGTGACTTCGAAAGGAAGCATACAGGCCGGCCGCCGCCGTTCGTACAAGCTCGCGCCGTGACCCTAGGTGCTTTAAGGCAGATAGAAGTCTCCTTAGACCAGGTCCAACTCCATGGTATTGCCCTATTAGTCAACACAGAAGAATGGCAGGTATTGGAAACACTGTCAGCGTGTACGTACACATACCCAGGTAAAAATAGGTAGTACTTGAGGGAAGTTGTGAGTATCCAACAGAATTGCAAAGCATTGCTAAGAAACATCGACTTCGCTACCTCCACAGTGCCATCAGCTTGATCCGGAGACACTTGATACGGATGCCCAAAGATCGACTGATGCGACCGAACAAGTCCTTCCAGGGTCCGTCCTGAGTCTCAATTTAAAGGCTGTTGTGAACATCTCGCGACGACTTCAGCTGCATACTGTTGTAGTGTGGCCTGAGAATCGACTCTTCACCTCGTTTGCGACAGAGATTCCTCTGAAAAAAGAGCCTGACAATAGAATCCTGAACGGATTCTCCGCATTGCGCCTCAAGTCAACACTGAGGAATGATTCCGAGGCGGAGGCCAGTCTCAGTCCCTGCCCACGTCAATAGTATTGGGTCAAATGCAGACGCCGCTTCTGTATATATGGTTGCTTGTGAAGACTTACGACCAGCCGCTGAACGCAGATAATGGACGCTATAAGTCAACACTATTCATACCACATCAGAACGCTCTGGACCATAGATAGCGGTGCATGCAATCACACGACGCGGAGGGCGCAACGAGCGAAGGTTCCTGAACCGATATGGGACAGCTTGCACGACCTCAGATTTTCAGGTGGTCAGGGCTTTCAAACTCGTTGTCCATCACGCACTCAGCTGGACCAATCAGCCAACTCCGGGCCACGGTCGAGAAGTGTCAATTCTCCAGGGTTGTCTGTACTTGACAATCATCCCTGAAAATTTCCAGAACAGAGACAACTTCAGAGAGAATCCCGGGATTCTGCTCCATGCGGCAGATTCCAAACATCAGGATTGACAAGGAAGTCCATCTGTAACGGCGAGATGAAATGACTTGTTCGTGAATGCTGAACGTCGGCCGCGACCAGTCCACAAATGTATGGCAAGAGTTTTCTGAAGAAGCATTGCACACAGGCAACATGGATTGCGGCCGCAGTTCTCGTTGTTCAGGTGGTGTCAGGTTATCCCTTAGACAGATGATCAAGGGCGTGGGCCCTGGGAAGTCTTCACGAGGTCGTGGCGTCCCGTACCTTCTGGTCTATTCTGCTAGCGAAGTCACTGAAAATGGGACACAACCCGCATTCTTTGTAACGCTCGACTAATTCGGTTGATTTCCGGGAAGCCTCTCCATTGGTAGGCTGGGTACCATTGACAGCATTCTGCTCCTCTTTCACTCCCTCAACGAGGGCACCGAAGCCGGTATCGATAGGGACAGAGCCCAGGAAAGGCACATTGCACTCTCGAGCCATAACCTCTCCTCCTCCTTTGCTGAAGACGTTGCTGATTTCGCCGCAACAAGGACACATATACCCAGCCATATTCTCAATGACGCCAAGCACACGTATTTGCGTTTTGACACAGAAGTTCAATTCTTTGCGAACATCGGCCGTAGAGATTGCTTGCGGAGTGGTGACCACCACAGCACCGGAGAGCTTTGGCCCCGTATCGCTCTCGAGAGATAGCGCGTTCCCGTTTCTGGTAGGTTGAGGCTGCACGTCGGCGGCAAGTTTGTGTAGTTCTTCCACAATTGCAATGTGCTCATCGCTGGTGCCAGGCGGAGTGTCGATGAGCAGATAGTCTGTGTTCGGTGGCCAGAGGACGTCAGAGACAAACTGCCTGATCATCGCAGTCTTCTTCGGACCGCGCCAGATAACCGCGGACGAGCGTGAGGGCAGCAGGAAGGCGAGGGATAATGCGTGGAGAGAACCCCTTCTCGAAGGAGTGACTGGCAGAGGTGCCTCGTGGCCATTCGAGGTCTCTGCTTCTCCATCTCTTGCATCGTGTACCTTGACAGGCAGCCAGCCGCCAGGAGCTTGTGTCACTTTTTTGTCTTCCAAATTGAGGAGTCGAGGGATACTCGGGCCTGTGAGGTCGATGTCAAGGATGCCTACATTGTGTCCTTGTTGCGTGAGTGAGAGAGCAAGTTGGAGAGTTACACTTGACTTTCCGACGCCGCCCTTGCCGGAGAGGACTAGGACGACGTGCTTGACGTTCTCAAGGCCCATTGTGGTTGCGAAGCAGGCTTCACGAGGGCTGGGATGGCGGGTTAGTTACATGGAGACGACGACAGATGATGAACCGCAGGACAGGGACTTGGAGTGGTTTATCAGACACCAAAAAAGTAATTGCTAAGCAGCGACGGAAAAGCCCGAGCGGCGTTAATAATATGCGACAAAGAAATTCTCATCAGCCTCATAGGCCTGCGTGAGTGGCGCTATTAATTATTGCACCGCCCATTTGCAGCCTTGCGGCAGCTTTCTAGGCGGTCATGCGGGGGTGGCGATCCAGCGTCCAGGCACCAAAATATGGGCATTGGATGCCACATCTAGCTAAAGATTTTTCGTGGTTTTTTCTTCGCCTGTTATGAGGCAGCTTGAAGCATGTTGTCTCTTGTGAACTCTCTCCAAATTGATTGACAGTGCCTTACCATGGGTCTCAACCTATAGCAGACTACTATCACTGGTATGTTGTGCACGGAATTTGAGCAGTTTTGGGTGTCAAACATATAGGATCCTAGGACCAGTGAATGTACTACTAACCTAGGTGCTCGAGGGACTTTAGCTGGAGAGGGTAGTAGGTAGGTCGGGCACTGTTACAAGGAATGAACACAGCTTGGAACACTATACTATCGCTTGTTTACCGGTGCTTGTACTTTCGACAATAATCATAGGGAACTTATACCTACAGGTACACAGGAAGTTGAAAAAACACGTCCATGGCATTCCGTATCTTTCCCAACTCTTCTTCCCCAGGTCCAGAATACCCAGACGACAGCAAAGCCACTAACCTAGTATTGCACAGTGCACAGGCGCGTCATCGTGATCGGTCCGAATCGGTGATCATTTCGAGGTGATGGCCCGCTCGTTCGCTGTTTGTGGTGTTTTTAGTGGTTGGTGGGTTTGATGGTGTTGGTGCAGTGGGTGTTTGCACGCTGCCACTGCCACTCATCTGCCACCGAACTGCCACCCAAAAAAATCCACCCCTGGTCGGTGTCACACACACAAACTTGCCGCATCGACAACCACGCACCTTTTCTCTGCCTTTCAACCCTCGACACAAATCTGCATCGCTGAGCTAATATCAGTCCAGCGGTACTGTTGTATCAGCTATCAGCTCGCATAACATCTGTCACTGACCCGGTCAGCAAGTGATCCAAGACACCTATTAGGAGGGTAACCTTCCACAAGAGGCATTTTCCGCGTCATTTTACGAGCCTTCAACTCCCGTCGCAGTTCTGGCGAACCTCACCAGGCCGGAATCGCCCCGTCTCAGAGGCTTTAACGGCTGCTCTTGATCACTAGCAGATTACGGTAGCTCCTCTATGAGCAGCAAAGATCTGCTACGCTTTCTGTCGAAGCCGGCCAAGTGAGTGCGATTCTGATCGTTTGAGCGCAGGCACTTTGGCTGACCTGAACATAGGCCCAGATAACACCAGCTACTTGCAGCCTCAAACCCTTAATACTCGCTATCGTCTATCATTCGGGATCTCTTGTCTCAAACAACACAAACTCGCCATAGGTTCTCCGAGAGCCACAGCAAACAGACCAGAAGAGAAGAAACAAATACTGCCCACAATTCCGTTCGTGCAGGAAATCTTCTTCCTCCTCTCCTCCACTCGACCTCCCTAACGACCCTCGGGAAGGGAAATTCTATCTACACCGACATTGCTGCTGGCAAAAGCCAGCCTCCCAATCTCCCGCAGATAGTGGGCCTTCTCTCCTCAGGCGGACACCGCATTGTTCGTCTGGGTGGCAGATAGTGCTTCACTGAATCGTCAAGATCCAGTGTCTTACACTTTACTGTCCGTATCAGACATTTCCGCCCAGCCGGACTTCGTTCACTTCTCCGACAAGGATATGGTACACATTGGGATCCCCACGGACTATACTGCTTCGCCAGCGAGCTTTAGTCACACTCCATCGTTGACCATCAATCATGAAGTTGCGCTAGATCTTGATTCTAGCAATGCATTCGAAGGTCAGCCAAGTCTGTTCGTTTGCAACCGCAATTGCTGACTTTTTTGTAGGGCCCGAAAAGCTTCTGGAAGTATGGTTTAGCCCATCGCCACAAGCCCTCCATGACTGCTCGGAACCCACCGGCCTAAAGGCTGTGCCTGCCGATGTGTGGAAGTCGATGCTGGATTTGGTCAATTGCAAAGTGCTGTCTATCGTCGAGTCCGACGATGTCGATGCTTATCTTCTCTCCGAATCCAGCATGTTCGTCTTCCCACATAAGCTCATCTTGAAAACATGCGGCACAACGACCTTGCTTTGTGGGCTTCCCCGGATTTTGGAGATCGCCACTCTCTTCGGCGGCTTTCCCCGATCTACAGCACCCGAGTCTAACGGTATCGCCGTTGCAGCTGCACCCTATCGGGTCTTCTATAGTCGGAAGAACTACTTGTTCCCGGATCGCCAACGAGGGCCTCATCGCAGCTGGCGTGACGAAGTCCACACCCTCGACAAACTCTTTATCGGAGGAAGTGCCTATATGATTGGCAAGATGAACGGCGAGCACTGGTATCTCTACTTGACCGAACCATACACAATGTTGACACCGCCCGCAAGTCCCCAAAGCATGGATAGTCCAGGACCTGGGACCGAAACGAAAATCCTGAACTTGCCGACTTCTGGCGTGGTCGACCGTGGCTCCAAAGTGTGCGAAGGTGATGATGAAACTCTTGAAATTCTCATGACTGATCTGGACGAGGAGAATGCCAAGCAATTCTACCTCGACCATGCGAGTGCGGTCGCAGAAGATCAGTGGAGAGGGTCGCAGGAAGGACAAGAGGATCATGTGGATGTTTTCGATAATGGCTCTTCTGACGGGAGCGACATCGCCATGAAGGCCGAATCTTATCCAACCGAACTCACAACCGAAGGTCATGCTCTTGGTACCATTGTTTCGGAGGCTTGTGGCCTATCTGAGGTCTATCCATCAAGCCAGTATCCAGACTCTCGTATCGATGCATATCTCTTCACGCCTTGTGGGTTTTCAGCCAATGGGGTCATCCCTGCCCCTCGGGGGGGAAAGGAAACCCACTATTTCACCGTTCACGTCACGCCCGAACCGATCTGCTCTTACGCCTCTTTCGAGACCAACGTTCCTGCGGCACAGGACGGCCGTGAAACCGCCGACATCATCCAGCATGTTGTGGATATCTTCAAGCCGGGCCGGTTTAGTGTCACACTCTTTGAAGCCAAGAGCAACTACGAAGAACGAGCTTATGCAGACGACGATGAGCTGGCTCAAATCAGGATGCTGGAGAGACAGGCTGCTCGTCGTAACGCCAGAATGGACGCCATCAAAGGGTATCGTCGCGTTGATCGCATCGTCCACGATCTTGACGGATACGATCTGGTTTTCCGCCACTACGAACGCCTGGATTGGAAGGGTGGCGCACCTCGCCTTGGAGAGAGAGGCTTTTGATCGGTCATGTCGCCTGAGTTCGTTATGTGTTTGCGTGGCCAACCGCGCGAAGGATGTTATCAATGTCTTTTGGAAATGGTCTACATTCCTTTGGCGCAGGCTGTCGCCTGGCCGTGCGATATTTAATACTCCCACTCCCTGACATCTGCTCGCAAACTAGGTACTAATTGAATTGACTTTGACCGGAGTTTCGCTCGTACAGTACTTCTTCCCCTAGCATCCAGGGGATGTCACAGCGGCCAGTAGCGAAATGTCAGATCGTAGAAGACGCCAGGGAAGTAGACAAGACTCAACAGGCAGAAGTTTAGACCTTGTCTGATGATTGTCCTCCTGCTGGGTGAGCAAGGCTGGAGGCCGTAGGGCTCAAAGCGCAAGCAAGGCTGAGGTGGAGGAAAGAAAGTGGATGCTTGAGAGCAGACATGATTGGCGCATGGATGGGGCCCCACGATATCTTCACCCCCCTCAACTCTTTGTCTCAGCATCTCAGACTGCGGTTGGGCACGTAACAGCGGTTTCCGTACTAGGAACCTTTGCCGATGGGTCTGAGACGCTGAGACAACTCAACTCAGTCTCCTTGATACCAACGCAGAAGGTTAACGAGGCTCTCAGTTCATCCTTCGGCATGGGTGTCAAACAGGTCATATATCTGAGCCAATTTGATCTGGGCCTCTTTTCGGTGTACGTGAGTATCATGCTTTGTCAAGCTTGAAATGAGGCACCAGCTTCTTCCGTACAAACTGCCCCAGGCCGTGCAATTGCACGCCTAACTCGGTCGTGATTTCCCTGCGGTAGCTTCATAGTCTGTCCTTTGAGCAAGGCACGTACAGAATCGTGGGAATTGGTGCCCAGGAAGGCGCCCCAGCATCCATCAAACGCTGGAGCTACTGACCTGGGATCAGTCAGGTCACCCTTGACCACTTCGGCTCCTGAGCTCGCTAGTGCTCTCGCCGCCGGTGAGTCAGGGTCTCTCGTGAAGGTCGGGATATTGTAGCAGATGTCTTGCAACTGCGCCACCTATAGGGTTAGGGTTACAGAGAGAGGTGTAGTGGGCACAACGCGTCGTCACTCCAACTAATAGTAAAACACCCAAAGTGGAAGGTTGGCCGAGTGATAACTCCAGGTGCACTTTCCAAGATGATTGAATGACAACCTGAACTGAATGACCCTCAATTCAATCAATATTGCCTGCATACTATCTCACACCACCTTGACTTCATCTCCCTTCGACCGTCTTCATATTCATCACCCCTTCTATCCTTCGCCCCACGACGAGAGTCGACTTCCCAGGCTAGTTTCAGCCACATCCACTGTATCCCTCTAAGTCAACGAGAGTCTTGCGGTCATGGCGAGTTCACCTCCGGCACCCTCCCCAGCGAGCCTGCCAAACACCAAAAAGAGAGCGTCGATTGGATCTCAAGGACCAGCGCAAGGCGCTTCGAAGCGACCCAAACTGCATCCCTTGAGACAAACCTCATTTCCCGCCCAAGACCTGACCAAACGACCCGGATCGACGGCCACAAGTGCACGCTCCGAGACAGGGAGCCTGGTGTCTGGCGTGAGCAGCAAAGTGGCAGGTCGAGGAAGAGGCAGGCCCAGAAAGTCGGCTCAACTCAATGATGAAGATGTTCGCTCCACCCATCAACCACCAGCCGACACGCGCAGTCAGGTTGAAGGGGGTGGGAGGACCACAGGGCGCGGTACGAAGTCGGTGGTCAGTGCAAGATCGGGTGCGGCGGAGGCTGAAGAAGACGACGAAGGTGACATTGACGGGATGCTTGAGAACATGGACGAGCAGGAAAGACGGCAGGCCGAGGAGGAAGAGTTGCGTCAAGAACAACGTCGTGACCGGCTGGCGGATCAACTCGACCCGGATCAATACTCTCGATACAACCAGTGGCGAGCTCTGTCGTTGAACAATACTACGGTCAAACGACTCGTAAACTCGATCGTGTCGCAGTCCGTGACTTCGGCGCCGTTGCAGGCGGTCCGAATCTACGGCAAATACTTTGTTGGTGAGATCGTGGAACGAGCTCGGGAAGTACAGGTTGAATGGGCCAAGGCATACGATGTCACAAGGGAGGAAGACAGAGAGCGACGACGGGAGCGACTGAAAGAGCTCGAAGAAAAAAGGAAGCAAAGTACCACCGTCGACCTACAGTCTCGCTTGGTGACCAGGGACATTGAAAGACTGAAGAAAGAGATCACCGAATACATTCCCAATCCGCATAGAGGAGGACTACTGCCGGACCATTTGCGGGAGGCTCTGCGAAGATACAAGGCTGACGGCGAAGGTGGCGGCGTCGGGTTTTCAGGTATGAGCCATGGATTGTTGGGGATTCCTGGCTCGGTCGCATGGCGGGTTGGAGAAGGCTCTACCGGAAGACGTCTCCTCAGATGATTGAGAAACACTGGCTGGCGGCGATAGGGTGACCCGATGATGATAAATTCGTGGTCGAAGTCGCCGCGCAACGACGATACGGATCGAAACCATTGTTTATCGCATCTTATCGTCACATTTGCTGTTCCCTTCTCCCGAGCATGGGCAGACAACAAGTTTGTCATTCGACTGCTGGCCCACAGCTAAGATCGTAGCTCTTATCTCCTTGCCGCATCGGAATGCCCGGTCCATTACCGCCTGCCCCGGCCGACGGACCGTGTTCCGTATGGTGTGACAAAGCGTTATCATATGGCCGTGGCACTAGTGCTCCGTACGGAGTACACTTGCGCACTTAAAGTATCGAAGCCGAAATGAGAACTCCTTGCTTATCTGCACAGGCTCATATGAGTTCGTGTCATTCGTTGTTGTGTTGTCGACGGGTTGAGATGGTGAAGCGCTGAAGGGGTCACGTGGCCGATGACAAGGCTGCATATTGTTCACACGTGACTGGGAGCTAACCTCGGCAAAGTTACCTAAGCTACTAGTTCGAGACCGATTAACCCGTACAGGCAACCTTTTCACCATCCTACAGGCATCTAACCCTAATTTGGTTCAGCCCCACTTATTCTCTCTAACATAGCACTATGGTAGTCTGTAGAGCTTCTTTGACATTGTCTGATCCCCTTATCTCGATTCCAGCTAAACACATTCTTGCCCATGATGACCTACTTACCTCCTTAGGATCCTCCTGGGACCCACCATTCTGTATCTCTCTCAACGTCTGCTCTCACAAGGACCGCGAGATCGTATTACTCGCGAAATGAACACCGAGGGAGATTCCGATGACACGCAATATGTGCCATACCCGCCGAGACGAACATGGCAAGCGTGTGAGAATTGCAGGTAAGGAACCAGTCGCAAAACAGCGTCGCGAATCAAACTGAAAGCGTATTAGGCGCAAGAAGGCTCGCTGCCCAGGAGAACGTCCCCAGTGCTCGTTATGTGCCCGGCTCAGGCAACGTTGCGTGTACACGAGAAACCCCTCTCGGTCCCACGAACATCGAAGTCCTGAGGCGAGCGTGCGTGAGCTAAGCGCTGTAAGCTCTTCTGAAAGGCTCCAGATATCTGTTAACGTCGGAGAAGCACGCCAGACGACTTGAGACGGTTGAAGAGAAGCTCGACCAACTCGTGGCTCATTTGAGGTAGGACTTGGCCCTCGCCTTTCAATCTTCTCAATCTTCTCATACTCAGCAACGTCTAGGCCGTCCAATGATGCCTCTTCCAACAATACCTTGGGGCGTCCATATAGTACGTCGTCAGAACACATCCCAAACATCAGCTCCAAGGGGCCCGCCATCAATAGTGCCTCAGCTCGCTAACCGGGAAGCCAGAACCTCCGTCATGACCCTGGACATGGGAACGAGATTTTGACCTTCCCGCGTAACATTGAGTAAGTACGCTTGACATCATGCTATCCTAGATCGTCTGACATTTTCCAGATATGCCCCGAGGGAGCGCATTCCTAGAGATGTGGTCAGGGAAGGAATAAGACTCTTCCAGCAACATTTCGTCTGTCAGCCCTATCCGCTTCTTTCCCTCGCGACCGAGCAAGGTCGACTTTCAACGGCTTGTATGTCTCCCTTGGTCCTCTACCCCGTGCTAGCCCTAGGACTGCGGCTCTCCCAGCATCAATTTCTCAACATCAGCACGACCAGAAGTAAGATTCTACACTTTTTGTCGGAGTTTACCTGGGATCTTCTATGCAAAGCATATGCCGATCAAACATTCGATCTCAAGTACTTTCAAGCTCTCTGTCTGCTGGCTCAAGTTGACTTTGCCTGTGGGTAACCATCCTCTCTGGCTCCGTAAGTGCCGGCTAAAACAGAGCTTTAGGCTGCAAACCTGGACGGGCACAAGCACAGGTCGCCCTAGGACTCAGGCTCGCCGGAAGCCGCGGAATGCTTGCGTCAGAAGATCCAAGTCGAAGCGACAATGAAGAGTCTTTGGAGAATCGTGAAATGATATGAACCCTTTTCATGATGGATCGTATCTACCTTGGTCAGAACATCAGTCATCCTTCCACCCCTGCCTCCTCCTTCGATCTCTTTGTGTTTGGCAGAGGGCCACGTGGTCCAGATGCTCCGGATGAATCGATGCCGCTTAGGACACTCAGAGACACATTGGAGAATTGCAACAACAGCAGATCTCCTACTTTAGTGTCTATGACAGTTGAATTGCTACACATCTGGGAGCAGGTCGTCGCCGATGTGTTCGAGACAAGATCCGGTAGGGCTGCGCCATTCTGGAAAGATGGTTCATCAAGGTCTCAGATCCAGTCCCGTTTATTGGAATTTGAGATGAGTGAGTCCCTTCTGAAACCGTTGTTGAAGCTCTTTCTCACTTGTCAAAGAGATCCAGGCACGTCGCTATACGATTGTTGGCTCCCCTAGGCGAGTAATACAGGGCCTCATCTGAGGCCCTATTTCTTGAGCTGGACCTTTTTCCAGGTTCTGTACAATGCAATCCACTGTTGCCTGTAAGCACAACCTTGATATTGCACCATTTGACTTGCTGATGACCACGTCAAGGAATCACCCTTTCATCATATTCATGAAGACACGCCTACTGCGAGCTAGAGTGCCTCTTTCGTTTCTCCAGAGGTCCTACGAAGACTCCATGATACACGCAAAGTGGCTGGTGATAATCATGCTTGAGCTTGAGGAAGGGGGTCTCATGTGCTACGATCCTTTTTTATGCCATCTACTGACAATCGCCGCCACGATCCAGCTGGAGCATACACTCAACAAAAACGCACAAATAGCCGCTAGTGCAAAACGAAACTTTACGAAAGCATGCAATTTCATTCAAAAGATGTCCCGGCATTGGCCAAATATGCTCAATCTTGTGAGTACTTCGTGTCGACGCTGATCGGGTTCATGTCATTCATGTGTTATTACAGGTCGCCATCCTCGATCAACTTAATATGCGGCTAAGCCAGCGCGAGATCATCAGTCACGTTCAAGATAAGTACGATGGCGCTCTACCCGCGGATGGCATTCATGATGTGGCAGTCCAACCAGAAGATATTGCCTTGATGTGGAAGATATTCGACTATGGGTCCATCTCCGGCGAGCAAAATAGCAACTGGCGAGAACCGTCTGCTCAAGACCAGGCCCACAGCAGCGCACGAACTGGCCAAGTGGCGGTGAATCCGGCTGCGGCTGGACTCGTCGATGGGCCTAGCCTCGCCTGGCCAGATCAGCCCATCAGGCCGGGACCGGGACCAACCCAAATGAGTCCAAGCCCGTACGAAGAGGTCGATTTTGGTCAACTTTGTGTCGACGACTGGTCGCTCTTCGGCAAGCCCTGGTCTGCATACTTTTCTCAAGACAACCCTTACCCCTCGAGCCCCTGACATTACTACGTATTGATGAGGCGCTTGTGATGGTGTCAGACGGCCCATGGGTGCCGCAAGCGCCACAACATAGGACTGGACACTCTTGAGTATGCAGAGGCACTACTGCATTGACAGCTCTCTACTATGATGTACTGCCCTCTGGCTGTGCACACTGAGAACCTCAATTCATTCGTCTCCGCATATCCCAGCATGTACAAGGAGCCTCTACATCCACCATCCAAGGCTCCAACGCTCTCGAGTGTTTTATTGGGAGCTTCGTCGGTACCTATCTTCGATATCCAACTTGAACGGACGTCTCAAATCATACTGCGTAGGAAGCTGGCCTCTTATCCGCTAGCGCGACATCATTCCATTAGATGGATACTTGATCACGATCTAAGATTGGCGTGCAGGTCAACTGATCTAGACTTGAGTACTCGAGAAGATCTAGAACCAGCCTTGCTTATCATGTTCGGGGCTTGAGTTGATTTATGGTTATCAGGTGCTACTCTAATATAGACTTTTGGGTGTTCTGAGCGTAGGACCCGTCGGCATCCGCCTTCCGTGTCAAGTATTTCCCGGACCCACCACTGCCGCATCCGGTATGCAAGTTGATCGATGTTCTCTTATATTGAGGAGAGCTTGTTGTGAATCGAGCGGCGGTAGCTACTTGCATGAAATCATCTTGTGCGCCTATGGACTAGTGACCCAAAGAGCATTCTCACACTTAAAATGGACAGACACAGCAAGATCGTCGTTGTTGGAGCAGGGGTCTTCGGACTGAGCACAGCCTTAGAGCTAAGCAGGACGGGGTACAAGAACGTAATTGTCTTGGATCGACATGTGCCTCCGGTATGAGTTCATCTTCAGAGCCAGAGTACAGGAGAACTAAAAACTCATCTGCCCAGGTGCCAGCCGGGTCCAGTGTTGACATCTCGAGGGTGATACGGTTCGACTATGGCGACCTGGCATATGCCAGACTCGCCAAAGAGGCCTTTGACCTATGGAATACACCACAGTACGAAGGAATCTTTAACCGGTCGCCGTTCGTTCTTGTGGGCGAAGATGAAAACGGTCGCGCGTTCATCGACAGATGCACCACGGGCCTGGGCCGGGCGTCACTATCTTGGCGACGCCTGGAGACCGGCGATGAGACCAAGAACCTCTTCCCTGTTCTGAGTGGACAATTGACCCAAAAGGACTTCCACGCATACTGCAATTTTACCTGTGGATGGGCCGATTCACAGCTGGCCATTGCAACGTTTCGGGACCGGTGCTTAGAAAACGGCGTGTCCTTTATATCCGGGAGTCGTGGGACTGTTCCTGGCTTTCAGACGGATCCCCAGACAGGAACAATCACGGGCGCGAAGACCAAATCAGGAGACCTCGTTCAGGGCGATGTCTTTGTTCTGGCCACGGGTGCGTGGACGTCAGGACTTGTATCCATGCACGACTCCATTCTCGCCACGGGCCAGGTCGTCGCCTTCATCAAGTTGACGGAGACCGAGGTCGACAGGTACGGGAAATTGCCCATCTACATGAACTTCTCTACCGGCTGGCTGTCGTTTCCTCCTCATCAGAACTCGGGATACATGAAAATCGCACTCCATGGCTGGGGCTACACCCACACGGCCGATGCAGACCACACGGTGGCAGCTGGAAACTTGAAGCCCAAACCCCTCCGGCCAGACCTGCTAAGCGTCGTGCCAACTTTGCCCCTGCCGACGGCCTCGAACGGGTCCGGCAAGGGCTTCGATCTGTTCTCCCAGAACTCGCCTCTCGGGAGTTCGACCGGGCTGCCGTGTGTTGGTACACGGATACACCAAGCGGAGATTTTATCGTCGACTCCCACCCAGATTACCCGAACCTTCTGGTTACCACGGCGGAAACGGACAGTAAGTAACCCCGTCATGCGTCTCTGCTAGCTAAGCTGACCATCTTTTGTTCCGCAGTGGATTCAAGTTTCTCCCGGTCATTGGCAAGTACACCACTGGCGCCCTACACGGAACTCTTCCCGAAGAACTGAGGCAGAAATGGCGGTTTCGGCGAGAGTATGAAAATGCAAAAGGAGACCCGATCAAAGGCGATGGCATTCGGCGCGGCCCTGCACGGAGAGAGTTCTTGGCGACAGAGCGTGCAAAACTATAGGTTTCGTTTGACACAACAAAATAGAGACTAGAGTATTTGGCAACATATGGAAGGCTGACCCGTTTCTATGAGTCTGTTGTACAGTGAAATATTCCAACTTCAGAGTGGAATGGGACAGCTTCGATGTGCTATTACAACCTTCAACCTCGAGGTGATTCTATGCGTGGCATCAGTACATGGTGTTCACGAAGACAGTCTTCCTTCAGCTATGATGACTGTCTGCAAATGCCAGGACTAGAGTACAACCACGAGATTCTTGCGCTTATGGTAAGGCTAGCGAGCCCGTGATGCTACATAACCAAGCGACAAGGGATATCTTTAGGAACTCCTCGCACGAGAGATGCTTGAGGTTTGGTTACAGCCAGATAAAGAAAGCTTGACCACTGATCAATTACTGATCAATGTCGTTTTACTCTACCCATCATGGTATCTCCTTATATCCTGAGGTGACACTATCTCTAAGGCACCAGGTATTGTTCACGAAGATAGATTTCCTTCACCTACAATGACCCCGATACGGCTGCACACGTCTAGTCCAGTGATGACTAGCTACCAAATCAGCAATCCCAGGCAAAAAACATAGGCGATCTCTTGTCAAGTATATTCAATACAACAGTGTGCCATATCGCTGGCCCGATGTGGCGACACTCCGGCTTCTGATCAGCACACATTAATCATGCGGAGCGATGCCCAGTACCTGTTGCAAGTCAGAGTCAGCGCTGAAGGAATAGAATCAATGGGGTTTCCAAAACTCACCGGACCCTGGTATTCTCCCTTCTTGACCGTGAAGTAGAAGCCAATGATCAAAACCCAAACTCCGACCACAATCACACAGAGGTAATCTAAAGAGGGTTGGTGTCGGATTTGAAAGGGTTTCAAGGCCGTTCCACAGCAAGGAACATGAAAAAGAGACTTACTCATGGTCTCAACTGTTACCGGGAGTGTCGTAGGAAAGGACAGAATGACAAAAGCAAACACGACCATAATAGGTGCCAACGCATTGAGTGTCCAGCCAGCACGCCCTAAGTCGAAGGGTCGTGGTGGGAGATGGTGACGTCCTCTGATCGCAAGTACAGCTTGGGGAAGGCCTAGTTACGCAGTTAGCCCGAAGGTTGCGTCCCACGAGATACTGACAGCGTACAATAAGTTGTGATGAGCATCATGATGCTGGAGGCGACGATGGACGAGAAAGCCACAGGTGATCCGATGTAGATAGCTCCATAAGCAATGGAGAGAAAAGAGGAAAGGGGAGTGGCACGGATCGGCGATTGTGTGCGTTCATCCAGGTGGCTTAGGTATTCCGAGAATGGCATTCCATTGTCTCGTGCAAAGGCCCAGGTAGTTCGACCCGAAATCAGAATACCACTGCAATAGTCATTTAGGGCGAGTTTGACCACTTAACCAAAGGGGATACTCACCCAATCTCAGAAAACATGATGCTGACAAAAATCAGGCAGGTCAGCGCGATCGCTGCCGCCTGACTTCCAGTGGACTGGTAGAAGATGACAAGGACTGGAACGCCGGTCGGGCTTGTGACAATCTTCAAGGTAGACAATTAGCACCAGGCAGGCAATGCTGATCCCACACTATTGCTCACCTCATTCATATCCGTGACACAGAACAGCAGAGCGACAAGAAATGTGAAGCTTGTGACAAAGCCAGTAAGGATGGCCCCAACCATGGCTCGGGGCACCTCGACTTGCGGTCGTTCCATCTCCTCCTGCAAGATGTGAGTGAGATACGGAACATGTCAATAGCACTTGAGATGATTACCGAGAGATGAGTTGCCGCGTCAATCCGAGGAACTGCCACAACCATGTCAGTGTCTGCTAGCACAGCATCACAAGTAGGCCTGGTACATTGTAGGTCGAGAGCATCCATCCAATAACAAACGCCGTGCCAGCGCTGCTCCATCCGGACTCGTTCGAGAAATTGCCGAAAACGAAACTTGCGGGTTCGTATGGCTTGCCCGCATGCATGGCCACCGTGGTGATCAGACACACCAAGAAAGATGCCAGACTCCAATACACTGCAGTAGACGCAGGTTAGCATCTCGATTGCACCTGGGCCCTGGATCTGGCAGAAGAAGAGGTCAGGTACTCACGGGAGGCCGAGGTCAGCAGTGACATGATACGGTTGCCACCAATGGCAATCACAGTGTTGAGGACGACAATCCCGACGTAGATAAGCCAGACTTGCCATGTAGTAGGCACCTGCGTAAGGTCAATACCCTGAGGCGTAGCGGCATCAACTCCAACGTACATAATCAGGATATGTCAAAACGGCCATTCCTGAGATGAAGGATGCCAGAAAAAGTGCCGCGGAGCTGGATCCAAATGGTCAGGACACATCTGCTGAAAGACGTGTTAGCATGCAAGCTGACCTGGCAATAAACCACCATGCGACGGTGTTGCTCCAGCCGGCAACGAAGCTCTGGTCACTCGGGATCAGTCGAGCTTTTTCACAATGGAAACACAGACACTCACCAGAAACTTGCGGTGCCCGGGCCCGCAGACAACATAGGTATAATGGTAAGGACCCCCGGCACCTGGAAGAGCAGAGGCCATCTCGGCGAAACTAGCACACAAGATAGCCGTGAAAACAGCCCCGGCGACGCAGCCCCAGATGATGGTGACAGGGCCCCCCAGAGCGATGGGGCCCAGCATACTCCCGGATTCGGCGACCCAGGAGTTCAGAATGGAAAAGGCAATACCCAAGGTCGCGATGGTGCCGAATTGCTTCTTCATCTGAACGTGAGACTGGACACATGTCAGTGACTTGACTTCAGCATCGCTCGGGGATGTTGATGCAAGCATACAGTGTACTTGTGCGACACGTGCAGGTGCGCCTCGCCATCCTGTATACTGGCGACGCGTTCTGCGTTTGATTCACCCAGAAAGGTCTTATCTGCTGCCACCTCAGAGCTTGGTGTAGAAGCCATGTTGGGAAGATCCTCTGCGTTGACAACGTGAAAAGCAGTCGTTCCTGTAAGACAGCTCAGCTACTTTGACAAAGGCCAGAGACGTCGGCAAATCCATCATTTGTATGTACTCTGTCTGTCCTGACGGCCGGATTGAAGTACGGAGTGTATCCCAATCGCCGACGGACCGGATTCCGATTTCTTATCGGTGGCATGAGACACGGATGATTGGTTCTGCGACAAATCGAGCACGAAGCCTCTTATCTCCAAACCTACAAGTTGGCCCCTTAAAACCGCTGGTAACCGTGCTCGAGTCCACTTACGAGTACGTACTACCGGGGTCTCCTCGAACGCCTTTGATCGCGGGCCATATACGCCGTTCGCGAGAAACACGATGGCAGCTCTGATCGTTCTCACACTCTGTCTGCTGACAGCACCGCTGTTGAGAGCACAAGAGGTGAAGCTACAGTCGCTTTTGGGAACACTTGACAACAATGTGGAATTTCAGACAGCCTACAGAGCTCCGTGGCAGACGATGCCTCAGCTTCCTCCCATGCCGGCACCCAAGTTCAACGGCACTGCTAGTGTCAACGGAATTGACCTGTGGTACGCCATATATGGCGCCGACCTGGTCGAGAGTCAAGCCCAAGGTCATGCCCCGGTGGTATTCCTTCATGGCGGATTTGCAAACAGTGACTATTTCTCATATCAGGTCGACTACCTAAAAGACGGCCCTCATACGTTGATCACCATTGACTCGAGAGCTCAAGGCCGTTCGACAGACGACACAAGCCAGCCAATTACTTTCGACATCATAACCCAGGACGTCGTTGCCTTGATGGACTTGTTGCAAGTGGAGCGGTTCTCTACTGTAGGCTGGTCTGACGGCGCCTGTACCTCGTTTGGTCTTGCAATGAACTACAGTCAACGCATTGATCGCGTCTTTGCCTTCGGAGCCACCTACAATCCCGAAAACATCAATGCCACTGTCATGGAAACACATACCTTTCAGACATATATGGAATGGGTACAAAAGGAATACAAAATATACTCTCCAAGCTCGGCGTCCTTCGAGGATTTCGAGAAGCGATTGCTGGCTATGTGGTCGTCTGAACCCCACTGGAGCGCGGAATCCTTCCAGAAAATCCCATCTCGGTTCGACAATCCCAATGCTCCAATCATATGGATCGTTGCTGGGGACTCTGAGGAAGCCGTCACGAGAACGACGCCTGGAATCTTGCATGACTGGGTAAGTCCTCAACTCCATTCAACAGGCCAATCTAGATACTTGTGCTTACCCGTGATAGATCTGGGGCTCTTCCTTGGTCGTGTTGCCTTCAGTGGGCCACTTTGCGTGAGCATTGATTCTATTGACATGCAGAAATGCGGACTGATGAGGATGCAGATTCAGCCAAGATCTCGCCACTTTTAACGTCATGCTCAAGCGGCTCCTGGAAATGGAGAGATATTAGCTCGTTGCCCTTAGCACTCTCGTACAGATTTCATGAGAAGGACATGGTCCTCCACCACACGGGTGTATTATACGTCCAGAATGAATGGTCCGTTGGAGCGGGTAAAACCAGGAGAAAGGTGTTTCAGGAGTTTGAATTGTACAAGGCTATGATACACTGTATGTACGTGTTGGACTACCATACTAAGTGGCCTTCAGTGCCCGTATCGCCATGGTTCATTTCGTCGGGTGCAACTCAGCAGGTGTTGAGTCCTCGCAAGAATATAAAGCGGCAAGGGTATATCCCAAAGTAGAAGAGACCGGCCGGCCTGTTAAGCCGGCCAGGCTTGACTCCGTCATAGTAGTGAACAAACTTGAACTCGATATGGCACCCTCCAACCAGCCCAATGGCAGTCATTGCCAGGAAAAGTACGAGGTTGAGCTGATAAGTCGCACATCATAGCGAAAACGTGTATTGCTGCTTCTGTGGCTAGCGAGCGTGGCTACACTCATGGATTACCTTACAGTACTCAACGAGGAGCTTTCGCCCGAGCTACGGAAAGAGTTTGCTAGGCTGGAAGAGCTGTTCACGGTGAATACTGAGATGTTGAAGAAGATCACAAGACGTTTTGGAGAGGAGCTAGAGCAAGGTGAGTGACTAGAACTCGGATGCGAGGCGAGACAAGGCTTCACGATTCCACGTACTGAAGAGAGAGGCTCGCACGTCACAACCTGACCCTTGTTCAAACTTCCAAGTGTCCATTGATCCCCTATCCTCCTTCACTTCCATGGGCCAGACTTTGACTTGTAAAATTCAGGTTTGCGAGAGGACCGCCAGAATATTGTAAGAATTCGATCCACCACCTTCTCCACCGTCCATATTGTCAATTCAGCTGACATTCATTCAGCCTATGAATCTCACCTGGGTAACATCGTTGCCCACCGGCCATGAAAAGGGCACCTTCCTCACCCTCGACCTGGGAGGAACCAACCTCCGAGTCTGTCTAATCACACTGGACACGCCTGGCCAGCCGGACGTTGTACAGCAAAAGTACAAGTTGTCCGAACACCTCAAGACAGGCTCTGCAGACGAGTTGTTCGACTTCATGGCCGATTCCTTGCAAGTGTTTCTCGAGCAGCATCCCCACCAGACGAAACAGTGGGACAAAGAATCACCGTTGCCTCTTGGCTTTACCTTCAGTTATCCTGCCACGCAGGAAAGAATCGATCATGGAGTCCTCCAAACATGGACGAAGGGGTGGGATGTCAAGGATGTGGAAGGTCACGACGTTGCTGAGATGCTAAGAAAAGCAATCCAGAAACGGGTGAGTGGCCTTTTCTTCAAATATATTTCCCATCGACATAAGCTGTTGGCTTTATTTGCTTCATTGAGCTATAATGGCTGACATACATGTCTCTTCACGGCTCAGGACCTCCCGATCAAACTTTTCGCGTTAGTGAACGACACCACAGGAGCATTGATCGCCTCGGCATACAACGACCCCGAAACCATCATCGGCGCCATTTTCGGCACCGGCTGTAACGCAGCGTATATGGAGAAACAGAAGAACATCCCGAAAATGGCGCGCTATCCATCCGCAGCTGGCAATTCCAAAACCAAATCGAACACCACTGGGAATCCAGAAACGGACCGTGGCGACAACGGAGCAGAATTAATGGCTATCAATTGCGAATATGGCGCCTTCGACAATTCGCATTCCGTCCTCCCTCGCACGAGGTACGACGAGCTGATCGACGAGGAATCACCCCGGCCCGGCGAACAGACCTTCGAGAAGATGTCCGCAGGCTTGTACCTTGGTGAGATCTTCCGACTGGTGCTCGTCGAGTTGCGAGATCGTGGAGTCATCTTCCAAAAGAACGGATCCCCAGCTGGAAGGGCGTCTAGAGGAGAGGTCAATGGCTCGAAAGTACCCACCCAAGGTCTGGATGATGCATATGCACTCGACACGGAATTCCTGTCTCTTGTCGAGAACGACGAGTCACCGAACCTGATCGAGTCTTGCAATGTCTTCGAGGCGCATCTCCACCACGCCGATTTGCCCACGATCCCTATCTCTCCATCTCGCGAGGAGTTGCTGTTTTTCCGCCGTATCGCGCAGCTAATCGCCATACGCGGCGCAAGACTCTGTGCCTGCGGTGTATCGGCAATTTGTCAACGGCTGGGGGTGGACAAGGGTCACGTTGCCGCTGATGGGTCTGTGGCCATCAAACATCCGCATTTCAAGACGAGGTGGGAGAAAGCCGTCGCGGAAATCTTGGATATCGAGTACGGCAGAATCGCGTTGACGAGTGCTGAGGATGGAAGTGGCATTGGAGCCGCGGTGATTGCTGCACTGACATTGAAGAGCGATGGTAGCAACAATCTTCAGCAATGACCTATCCATGGTACGTGATATTGCCGTCCCTTCTTGGCTAGCGACCGACCGACTCAACGGGATTGAAAAGCGACGCATTCCGCAGCTGCATTCTCGAGATACATCAATGAAGCAATGAACATTGGCTAGCACCTTCAGCTTATTTATTACCGTTTTGCTATACTACCTAACTTATGGTCCCAAGCGACACGTTCACCCTGAACAACATAAAGGGGCCGCTTTTTCATCCATCTGCGGCCGCAGTCGCTTTATATACGCGCACGTTGCCGTAAATGTCGTCTGGGCGGCCGCGACGTCGTTGACGACGGTGTTCCTGGGGGCGACTTCCGGTCCCAACGGAATATACTTCGGTCTGAGTTCAGGACAGTGGCTGTGATGTGCGATGTAGTATTTCTCCAACGCTCCATTTATATCTTCCCGATACTTGCTTTCGCGTGAGATGGCCATCTCCGTCAGCTTGTCATCGCGAGGGGCTTTCTTCCGATGCGGCATGCCACTGGCTGGGTCGGTGCGTGCTGTGTTCAGGAGCTCGACGAATTCCAACTTGGAAGTCGTCGTCTTCTCTGTTGTCTGCGCACGATGGTCTGCAATTGTGTCGCGAAGCAGAGTGCCCATTCTTTCCAATGGAGTGCCGAAAGAGAAGATTCTGAACAACCCGGCGAGCGAGTGATAGTCTCGCCTGGTCGACGCCCCAGACCCAATATTGATCGCAAGCTGAATTGGGTGAGGATTGGGAGTTAGAAGGGAGACCTCCTCCATGGCCAGAAGCGTTATCGCGTGTGGATCCAAGCTGTCAGAGTCGAACAGTTGGACCGAAGAGTGCTCCGGGCGAAATGAGTTGAACAGGTACTTGGACGCTGCAGTCGCCGCGAACGCATCGGCGATGTGACAGGTGGCGGCATCAGGCCCTTCGCTGATGGGCTCGTCCGGCGTCCGATACGTCCGGAAGATCTGGTATTCACGATGAGGACGGGCGCTCTTCACAGACGCCGCGGCAAAAGCGAACTGGCATCGTGGCCACTCCTTGTCTTCGTATAGCATCTTGTCGCCCGTGCCTTTCGAGTACCTCTCCACTATCTCCGTCACCTTGCTGAGCAGGCGCGTCTGGTTGAAATTGGCGTTATTCCATCGCAACCGACGCTTCTCCATCCATGAGCGGGCGCTGACGGCGTTGATGATCTCGACATATGCTCTTATGCATGTTGGAATGTCCAGGTGAAGCCGACCCAGCAGCAGGGCTATCCAGCCCCCCACGCCAATGCCGCCAATAACATCGAAGACTTCGCAAGGGAGAGGCTTGCCTCCCGTGTTGTCAGGATTAGCAGCAATTGCATCCATCAGCTCGTCCACGATCATGAGCATTGACAGCCCTGTGATGCCGACGCTGTCTGTATATTGGGTTAGTCTGCCAGTGCGTGCAACCAGAAAGAGATACACGTACTGAATGTGAGAATGCGAAGCGGCTTCTTTGTGCTTCGGTCCGTGCCATGATTCTCATCGCCCATTCTTGGGCGCAGAAACGAGCGTCCTGCGAAATCCACAAATACTATCAGGGGCTATAAAGCAGCAACAAGGCGTTTGATTCTTTTTCAAAGTGATTGTTATGCGTGGAGAATATTCTTCGGTCTTGTCCCAGACGCGTTCCATGAAGAGACCATAATATCTTGCGTGGACTTTTAAACCATAAGCGGCAGGGCTGGTCATTGCCACAACTTGTCACATAGCCTCGTCAGCTGGTAGGCAGTGCCAGTCGTATATCTCATCTCCCGAGTCATGCATGGTGAATTGGGCCGGCAGCCAGCAGGCCGCAGTTCTCTCGACCGGTGAATGGTGTCCAGTCATTCGCGACCTCGGTTACAAGGGTGAAATGGTCACCCTGGCCGGATTGGAGTTGAGATTGTGGGGGCTGGGGAGGGTAGGGGTAGGGGTAGGGGGCTACTCGACACAAGAACCTACCTAGGGACCCATGTAGGTATGTGGTGACTGTTGCTGAGCCGCCTTTCACTTTCCACATCTCTTCAGTCGACAAAAGTACCACTAGCCCCTTCCGCCATAGGCCTTCAGCCTCACCTATGCATTTTCCAACACGGAAAGAGGCAGTGAGAGACGCTGACTTGGTAAGGGCAGGCTTGACTCCTGAAACGGGCAGGCGAGACTGACGACTGTTGACTCGAGAGCCGCACTGTCGCCCTCGAGAATGCGCTGAGGCTGAGGCTGAGCCAGCGCCATCTCTGTCTTTGTGCATATGCACAGCTCTTATGGATGTCCCGTATGTCTCACACCTATGCATAATCACCACTGCTATCAATGCAGCTGGACTCGACAATCCTGCAAGTCTTGCGGACTGGCGAAGCAAATGGCGCTTCAGGCCCCCAGATCAAGGGCCAGACTCGCATGTTCCCCTCCCCCATCCCGGTCTTTCACCCAAGGCATTTTTTCTTCTGGTAAGCCGGTGATGTTGACTGGGGTCATCGAGTCAAGAAGAGGGAGCCTCAACCCTGGGAAGGCCGCACAGTCTACACCGGTGGGCATGGAAAGAATATCGCTACCCTGTGTCCCTGGATCTGTCGATGTGCCTATTTTGCTGCAATTGGTCTCTGCTGGAGAAATGGGCGATGTTGGAAACCTCCCTGGAGCACACCCCTTGTATGTGTTCTGCATGAGTCTCTATGTGCCTTTTTACAGCCCCCAGTGGCTTGCTCATTGCCCGTAGCATTCGGCATCTCTTGATTTTCTATGCTGTTCTATCATCTGTCTCTCTCTCTCTCCCACCCACTCAGCCTTGATAAGAATGCCTGGCTCGCCTTCTTCCTGCCTTTTTCCAAACGAAATTGACTTCCCGGGTGTGTCTGCCACGGGGTTGGATCGATCCTTGCCGCTAACAAGTCAAGCCTCTTTCGTCTCACACTCGGTCAGGAAGTGGATTGAATACATACAGAGCTTATCTGCACAGCAGGTTCTCTTCACAAAGGTACACAGGACTTGAGGGCGCTTGTTCGCTCGTCCCGCCGGCTCAGAGACCCGCCACAAGGCCGTCGACCTCCATTGTGCACGGCTTTACGAGTCGTACCAACCGCAATCATGGCCACAAGAACAAACATCTTGGCTTTTGATGGTGGAGGGACGAGAGGACAGACTTCCCTCATCATCCTCCAGGCTATCATGCTCGCAGTCAACTCGATTCTGGACATTCCTGGTGTAACCCTGACACCACAAGACATCTTCGATGCCGTCTCTGGTACCAGTACCGGCGGCCTTATCGCCATCATGTTGGGCCGGTTTGGTATGAGCGTCGACCAATGTATCGACATGTACGATTCATTGGCGGAAAGGATCTTCAGCAAAAAGAAACTGCTGGGCTATCTTACAAAGAGCATCTTTAGCGACAAATACAGCAGCAAGCCCCTACGTGAGTGCGTTGGTGAGCTGGCACGCGCCCACGTCAACGACAAGAATGCTCCCATGCGCTGCGACCATGCTCCAGGCAGGATTCCATGGTATGTCCCAGCCCATTCTTAATGTCAAAGATGTCAAGCTAAAGATTGTCCAGCACCGTCATTACCTGTCGACTCGATCATTCTGGGGCCCCCGAGTCCGGAGCCACGTTTATCTGCACCCATATGTGTGAGCCGGACATTGGTGCTCTAATTTCTGATGCCGCTCATGCCACTACCGCCGCCCCTCCCTATTTCCGAGAATGTTGGTTGGGAGGAAGACTCTACATCGATGGAGGCTTCGGCCACAACAACCCTACCTGGGACACGTATGGTCACTATGACGATGAGGCCATTCGGAGGCTCGCACCCGACGTCAGGGGAACAGGCTCAGAGGCATTCCGTATCGTCAGCCTTGGGACCGGCCGGCCCTTGGAGGAAGCGTCTCAGGCCGGACAGCAGCCGCAAATTCCATACATTCCGAACCCCAGCAAAACGTCCTCATTGAAGAGGATCTCAACGCGACTGAAACATTTCATGGCCCTAGGCAAAGCAGCCATCCGCGCCAAGACAAGTGCAACAAACAACGACGCATTGATAGGCATGGTGGGTAGGGCGAAGCTCGAGTATCTTAGGATCGACGGCGCCAAGGGTGTCAAACAGTTTCCCCTGGATGCATGCGATCCCAAAATCATGCGGAAGATGCGCCAACTAACCGAGGCCTGGCTTCTGGAGCCAGAAGGCAAGCAACAAGTCACCGAAATAGCCCAGATCCTCGCCGAGGAGTGGAATTTGAGACATCTTCTTCCAGGAAGGGCTTCTCAAAGCAACAGTCTCCCTGTCGACGCTCCCTTGTATCAGCAGCCCCTGTCACACAGCACGCCATCGTTGAGGCCCTCCCTTCACATCACCACACCTCTCCGTGGCGCTTTGCTGAACGTTTCTTCGCCACTGGAGCCTACGCCATCGACGCCAGGTCTAACACAAGGGGCCACACAAGAAGGCCGTACCGAATCTATCCGGTCTGTACAGGAACCCCTCTCTCCCCAACCTGAGAGCACAAACAAGTCCGCGACAGCACAACAGCCGTCAGCGATGAAGAATGAGACGACGATTGGGCAACAGTTCAAAGAGTCCGGAGTGGTTGGCGATCCCGTTCTTCCAGATGCAGATGACCTGTCGGTATGACTGTCGGCCCGTCGAAGGAAGCAGGGCCAGCATCCAGCATTGATCTTTCTTTCTTGGTTTGCATTACCGGGTGAGGGGACAAAAAGGAAGGGCTTTAGTATTTTGTTTCTGCTTTATCGGGGTGTCTCAGAGACCCAGTCTGTTCACAGGGACTTGTTGTGGGCAATATGTCACCATAGCATTGTCGAAGGAGATGTGTGAGGCAGGAGACATATTACATAACGTCAACCATCGAACCAAGTGCTGGGGAGATGCGACTGGAAACCATGAACAGGATGTCCGATCACAGTTTGACCAGTTCTTCCCATCAAAAGTGCATCGAGGATGTAAGCGATCGTATCTGGGATATTTCTGTTGAACCAGATCTGTTGCTCCCATGATTGCCGGGGAAGGCGGCCCGGGAAAGTCTCCTGACGAAAATGGCTGCTGGCACACGACTCGACTCGACTATATCACGAATCATAATCATTTTATCAGACTACAATGATGAATGACGAGGCTCTGAAAGTCAACCTGCGTACATGTATATACTGTATTGATGACGGCCCTGGTGCTGCTCTATCGGGACTTGACTACTAGGACTTGAATTAATGCAGGGAGAGTGGCTGGCGGGTGTTGATGCAGCCATGGGTAAGTAGGACTAGTTCACCAAGACAGACAGGGAGATCAGTGGTTTAAAGCACACTTCATACTAGCACTCCTAGCAGTTCCCTGGTGGTCGAGAAATGGATCCTCGTTCCACGAAATGTTCTGCCTGATGCCGCAATCCTGCTATACCACAAGCGCATGTAGCGGCACAACAAATAAAAATGGATCTGATGACATTTCTCAGTGCCTGCGTGAGGTGTTTTGCTCACGAAGCCTTCCCACTGCTGTCCTCGCTGATCGGTTTTATACCATGCTTCATGATCGGACTGTTCAAAAAGTTGTCATAGTCGTGGAAGGCTTCAGTCTGAACCCTGGACACTTCGACCTCTTGTTTGCCCCGCGTGATCACGTCTTGATCGTACTCTGCCACCGCTTCAGCCAGAGTCATATCACCAGACTTGACCTTGAGCATCGCCCTCACAAATCTCTCGCTGTCGCAGACCGCATTGTTGGCTCCTTGGCCCCGATCTAGAAATAGCGTCAGACACCCAGATCTTTGATAACACAACATCGTCGAGGCTCACGAAATGTCATGCTGTGCGCAGCATCGCCTGCCAACGTGACCCTTCCACCATGATTGTCCCAGTCGGTTTTGGGTGCCCAGATCTTGAAAGGAACCACCTTGGCTCTGACATCGGAAGGAATCCATTCCACGGCCGACTTGTAAGGCTCCGCCCATCCATCCATTCTTCGACGAAGTTCGTCGACCATATTCATATTTTCAGAAGTATCTGCTTGGTCGTCCCTTGGCCAGGTCGCCAGAAGATAGAAAATCCACGTTTCCGGCTTGTCGAGGTGAGGCTTGTCGAGCAGGAAAATGCCGACGTACATCGACTTCGGATGCACTCCGACATCGACAATTGGATGCATCATCTTGTCCATCTTGAGTGCCTGCTCTGCAGTGTACCGGACGGGGAAATTGAGGAATGTGTAGGGCAGCACGGTCGACGCAGCTCCGTCTCCCAGCATCCAGCGTCGAATCCAAGAGCTGCCTCCATCCGCACCTACAAGAACGTTTCCAATCTCCGAGCTGCCATCGTCAAAACGAGCCACCACACTGTCGGAAGTCAATTCAATGTTTGAAAGAAGTTTCCCAAACTGAAAAGGTCAGCGTAAAGCATGGGTTTGAAGCCCACTCAGTCGTCCACCCACCTTCACGTTCACGTCTCTAGACCACAGCATTCTCGTCTTCTGGATGTTGAGTCTTCTGACTCCAGGGAAGGGCGGTTGGACCATAGTGGCGCCGGACTGCCCATCTCGAATAATGACGCTTTCGAACCCTGCCTTCTTCGAGTCTAGTTTGGAATCCGGCTGACATTCTGGGAGATGGTGGTAGAGGTTTTCCGGTAGAAGTTGGGCAAGTAAAGGATGACTCCACGCGATGGTTACTCCCCAGTTGCGGTCCCGAGGGGCACTTTCTTTGTCGACCACAACATAGTCAATCCCGTTCTGTTCATGTCAGCCTCAGTTGGAACCAGGGTCGAGGAAGGGGCCGATGCTCGCCTTTTTAAGTCCCTGCGCGATGGCTAGGCCGGACAGTCCTATTCCCTGTTGGTAAACGACAATCAAGACCTCCTCCATCGACTCCTAAATGGCTTACCTGCCCCTATCACTATTACTCGGAGTGGTTGACCCATTGTACTGTGGAAGGAAAGGTCTCTGGTGCAAGTCGTTAGGGGAGAGCTAAGGGTAACAGACAGCTGATGATGTTGAAGACTGGGGTAAATGAAAGTAACCTAAGATCTCCAGCATTCGTTCCAGCAAACCAATTCAGTTGGAGGCCAGCTTTACCGTAATGCCGTGGTACCGGACACAATCTGCCTGAAGGAAGGATCGCATGTCATCTCACATCAGAGTGTCTCGAATGTGCCTGCTCGCGTTGCACATCAAATGCCAAGATCCTGAGAGCGACTGACTTACTAGTAGTAGGTGACAATGATGATCCTACGAGTAGTACAGGATTGGGATATGTTCTCCAGTCACTTGCATTTGCAGGGAGCAAAAGTGAATACGCGGGGTCCTTGAACCACTCCCTCATCAATGGACGAACATTGGCCTACGGAACTCAAACTCTAGTACATCGCCAATCAACCTTGGGGATCTGTTTCGTCGAATGTTTGACGTTCAGAGCACTTTCAGTGGCTTGGCTTTTGTGATGTGCCCTATACCTTTGACTTGCCAAACCGAATAGACGTGGCAAGCCTGCATGATTCGGGAGATAGATAAGATTAGATGTGTGGTGATGCCACTTTCACTAGTTGGATAATGAGACAGCACACCAAGTCACCACTGTGTGACAGATGTGAAGGTCATCTTCCCCGACATGCCATTGTCAACTAGCCGTGTCTGGGTTGAGTTCAAGTCTGTATGCTCAGACCAAAGAGGAAATAGAGTGGATTCAATGGTGGATACCACTCAAGTCATGAAAAAGGGGGTCGCCGATAAGCCTATCTCGACCCTACCACCTACTAATAAAGGGGGACGAGGCTTCGGCCTCCTTATTGCCAATCACAAGGCAATCATCTTGTCAAAGGTTTGCATATATGGACCATTCTCTCTCATGAGTATGCCCGGACACTCTTAGTTGTGAGGCGTCCTGAAGGACTGGTCACTGGATAGATACTACAAGGGTCGTTTTATATTCCTGGCGAAACTGCTTCCTCGTTCTAGACCGAGTGTGCATTTCAATTTTCCATGAATTTGGTGATTGGCATGTAAGCAATAGTAAAACAGATGGTATTGCTTTCACAAGCTGAGGAGCGCCTTATTTGACGGAAAGAGAGGGGGCGTGTCCAGTGGCCCACTCGTACCTGCCGGTTAGTATTGAAGTCTCGAGTCAAGGCACCAGACCGGAGGCCAATTCTACTCGTGAAACGTTCAGTACCACTCACTGCCTTTCTGTCCCTGCCCAGATTTTGCAAGCCAAGCGAGTATCCGGCCCAACGAGCAACAATCCAATCGTGAGACAGGACAGCACTGGCAGTATCTTGGGTAGGCAACCCCATGAACTCCATGGTGCTATTTCGGGTTGTACCCTGTACCTTGCCATCTCTGGCCCCTTCTGCCCACCTCACCTGCTGACTCAGAAGACAGGGTTCATCTGTGGCATATCACCTCTCCACCTCTCCTTATTCATTCTTTCGGGCGAGCTTCAACCCGCGGGGCTTGCTTCGTTGCACGCTGAACATGGCGATCATCGAATTAGCACACATCAGCCTGAAGAATGGACTCACCGCATCAGACGCGCTACTGAAGAAGAACACGAAAGAAGTGAAAAGAGTGATCGAAGAATACAGCCACCTGCCAACGCTGTTCTACACGCAGATCGATGAGCCATCCACCATGTTTGTGGTCGGAGCGTGGGAAAGCACGGACAAACACCAGAACGGATTCAACGGATCGCTTCAGCAAGACCAAATCCTCCAGTTGATCAAGGATCAGATGGAAATTGACTGGATGTACTATATGGACGTGGACCAGTCCCGCATTCCCGTAGATGCGCCGATACTGTCCATCATCAAAGAGACACTGCCCAAGAATACCAACAAGGCCGCCTTCGACCAGGATTTCGCACGAGGCACACAGAGTCTAGGGGGGGCGAGATATGGAGCGGTGTCGGCGTGGAACATACGAAAGGACAAGCACGAAGAGACGGTCCGAGTTAACTTTTCGGGCTGGCAGTCACTGGAAGAGGCGATGGAGGCGATAGGAAATACTATTGAGAATGCGAAGAAGTTCAGGGTCACTCCGATGGACTTGAACTTTTTCTTCTTGGAGAGAATGCAGCTGGAGTAGTCACACATTGAAGCCTCTAATCAGATGGTATTACACACGTATCGTGGCTATTCATATCGTCAACCCTTGAAAACAATGATTCCCGCATTTCCTTCCCCGCCATTTCCATTTCATGCAATACACGAGATATTCATTTTCTCACCGTCCTACCGTCATTCGACCTATCCTTGGCCTGCTTAGAACGATTGCGACATAAGAGGCAGGCAAAGGGGCTTGACTTGTCACATCCAGTAGTGACGCGGCAACCTTGAAGCAAAACCGTCGACGTTCAACTTCAATCTCAGGTCTGCAAGCATCCACGAACTCAACCCTTGCCACTCCCTCATCATTCCTCGCTTTTTCATTAGGCCTCGAGTCTAGCCATTACCGGACCCTCAAGACAAACAGTCAGTCGACAATGTCTCCGACAGATGCTCTCACTCCCGCCCTCCGCGACCTCATCTCAGCCAACCACATTCTCCACCACCACGGCGTCGTCGATGCGTACGGCCACGTCTCGATCCGCCACCCCACCGATCCGACCCGGTACATCATGTGCGGATTCCTAGCACCCGCACTTGTCTCGTCGCCCGCCGACCTGATCGTTTACCACATATCTGACTCGAGCGCAGTAGACCCAAGCGCTGGAAGAGGGTATTCCGAACGCTTCATCCACGGCGAACTATACAAGCGGTATCCCGGCGTCAACTGCGTGATTCATTCCCACGCCGAAGAGGTCCTGCCGTACGTGGTGACCGGCGTCAAGTTGCGAGCCGTGTACCATATGGCGGGATTCCTGGGCGGGCAGGGGGTCAAGGTATTCGACATCGACCCACTATACAGGGACGACGAGCAGCGGGACATGTTGGTGAACAATTCTCGATTCGGTGCAGCGCTGGCGGCTAAGTTTGCCGATTCTACTTCAAATAATGCGCACTCTGAGATGCCTAACGAACCTGTCGTGCTCATGCGCAGACATGGCTTCACAGCTGTGGGGCGGGATATTGTCACTGCAGTCTACCGCGCCATCTACACGCGTATCAATGCCGAGGCGCAGACTAAAGCTATGGCTCTTGCACAACATGCCCCTAGAGCAAGTTCAGAGCATTCTTCGGAGGAGGACAGAGGCGGCAACTCCCGCACGGAACAGCTCGAGTTTGCATTCCAGGGGCTCACGCCGGAGCAGAGCAGAGGCTGTGCCGTCATGAATGAGGGATATCAGGAAAAGCCGTGGCGGCTGTGGGTCAGGGAGGTCGAGAGGTTGCCGTTGTATGAGAATACGTTGAGCGAGGGGAGGAACTTTGCTTGATATGACGGAAATCAATGTCCACTCTTTGGCAGGTTGATGAATGCGTGCAGTCCCGGTGCGCTGGTGAGACAGCGAGATCAGGCTGCGATGGGCATCTTATGGTTAGATGGGAGGCTGGCACCAAGGGCCCCTGGCGAACAGGATCAGAACCTGAGCTTCCTGTGTGGACTCTGAATATGATGGATGCGAGTTTTCAACGAATAACGGATGATGGGATACAGCATGAGCGCCGAATAGAATAAATCGTAACATCGTGAGAAAGAAGGGTATCATTCGCCTGCACTAGTCTTCCAGTTCATCCGGTGTGCGCCTTCTAGACTCGCCCCATCCCGAGCTAGCATGTCAACAAGCGTCACCAGTTTTCCGAACTTGAAGTCTTTCGACATTTCGACAGCACTGGCTGACAGCTCAGCCTGTCTGCTCCTTTTCAGCATCGCCAGAGTCGCCAGACCCAGCATCGTCGCATTGGATTGCCATTAGCCGATCGTGAATACACCGAAGAATCCCGCGTAAAGCTCTTGAAACGAACGATCAAACCACAACACCACTGACCCAAGCAATGCCCGCTTTCACGATCCGTTCCACCACATCCACCTCCGGCATGGTGCGCGGCGCATATACCATGGTCCAGCCTTTATCGACAGACGCCATGGGAAACCGCTGCCCCCAACCCTTCTCCACGACAGTCTTTGCATCCGCCTCACTCAGCCAGACATGGAAACTCAGTTCCGACGGATGATGATGGGCGATTTCCGTGGTGAGGATCCTGTCTCGTTTAGCCCTCTCATTGAGCGTAGGCAGAGAAAGTTTCGCGTAAATTGCATCGGCACTTCCACCTTCTGTTTTGCTGGGCTTCAGGTCGAGGATGTCGGAATACCTTGCCGCGAAGATGGCCGTCATGTCGCTCACTCTCTCTGCCACGCCGGGCTCTATCGCGTCCGATTTGTACGGCACTTGACGCTGAGGCATGGTTCGGGAAACGAGCTGTGGCCTCTTCCCTCCACGGACTGGAATGTTGTCGGGGTCAAGATATTTAGGGCCCGAGGCTGACAGCGTCGAAGCGTCGATCAGGTCATCTTTGCCGAGTTGTAGTAAGGTGTGGATTCGGCGATTGACCCGGATCTTCGTCATGCGCCAGTACCCTGCCCATGTCGGCGGTGTGCCACCTGTGCCGAAGGCTTTCCAGTCATGGAAGTCCTGGACGACCCAGGCGAGAGATATGGCTAGTGCGAGTGCGGTGGACGTGATGGCCGCATTGCGAGGACGGGCTTTGATGGTATTGACGAATTTGTTGTAGTATGCACTGATGGTCGACGAGATCGCTGCCATCTCTAGGAATATCACAGTCTGATGTTCGGTTACGCTAGATATCTCCGAGGTAGTCTGGGGAGGTTCGAAGCGGACTGCCAACGGCCTGTGCTGTTGGCTGCAGAGAGTAGAGGTGAGGTTCAATTCGGCGACTCGACTGCAGTGCGTGAGTGAGGCTCGTTAAGCAATGAGGCGGGGCAAGAAACAACGCTGCTTTAGTAGTCGCGAGGTTACACGAGGCAGTATCCTGAGAAATCAGTTTGATCCTTGCTTCAGAGTTGGATAAATACACATTGTTGAGGAGCAGAGGGATCTCACTGCAGTGAGGGATAGATAGGGGCTTTCTCACCGTCTACTGTGGTATGTCTGAGGCTGAGGGGATTCTCACCATCGTGCTCACATCTGTGCTACTGGTATGCCATTTTCGGTGGCAGATATCAAGTGCTGCTCGAGAACTATTGATCCCGAATACTAGCCAACCTGTTAGACGGACCCGGTGTGAACTCCTGAAGAACATAGATAGGTTCCTAAGAAAGACTGGGGGCAATTTAGATGGATAGAGATGAAAGATGTAGCCGATGTAGCCGATGTAGCCGATGTAGCCAGATATTAGTATGGCTGATATGGCCAGATATACCTCGTACTAGCACTCTATACACTTATCGCACTTATAGCAGTATGTATGCCATGTACGTACTAGTATCACTATTCTGTATTTAGTGTTGCTGTCTGCCAGTTTGGCGACTTTATCGATAAGTCGCCCCGTTTATCCCCGTCACTTTCTTCCTCGGCCCCGGTTTCCTCCGGTATCACTTCTGCACCATCATTAATGCATTGGATCTCCATCTCTCCATTTCCGTCTTTTTTCTCGATCGCCCCGACGAACTGCAGCATTTGTGCCTTGCGACAGCCTTGTCCCTGGGCTGACAGTCTCGTTCACTGACCGCAATCCTCGTCAATCGTCAAGATGTCTGGGCCAGCTTCCAAAGGTCTGGTGCGCGCTCTGCGCCAGGCCAAAAGACCTTCGATCCCTCGCGCCCGCCAACCACGATGTCTCCGACTCGCCTACGAACCCGTTCGAAGTTTCACCAGCACGCCGCGACGGCGAGATGACACCAGCGAGCCCAAACACAATGTCAAGTACACCACAGACATGTACCCCAATCTCAAACGCGACCCCAAGTATTCGGAGATCACGCCCGAGCATGTGCAGTTCTTCAAGTCTACGCTGGGCGACGACGCCGCTGTCATTGACGGAGTGACGAAAGACGCCGTCGACGATCTCGAAGCCTTCAACAGCGACTGGATGAGGAAATACCGGGGCCACACCAAGCTGGTTCTGCGGCCCAAGAGCACGGAAGAAGTGAGCAAAGTGCTGAAATACTGCAACGAGAACAAACTGGCGGTCGTGCCACAGGGAGGAAACTCGGGTCTAGTCGGAGGGAGCGTGCCGGTGTTTGACGAGATCGTCATCTCGCTGGGCCGCATGAACAAGATCCGCAGCTTTGACGACATCAGCGGCATTCTTGTGGTCGATGGAGGTGTCATTCTAGAGGTGGCGGACAATTTCCTGGCCGAGCACAACCATCTGTTCCCCCTCGATCTGGGTGCCAAGGGCTCATGTCACATCGGGGGCAACGTGGCGACCAATGCCGGGGGTCTGCGGTTGTTGAGATACGGCTCCCTACACGGCAACGTGCTGGGTCTTGAGGCCGTGCTCCCGGACGGCACGATCGTCGACGACCTGACCACGTTGCGGAAGAACAACACCGGCTACGACCTGAAGCAACTGTTCATTGGCGGAGAGGGCACGATTGGAATCATTACTGGCGTTTCCGTGTTCTGCCCGCAACGACCAAAGGCCATCAACGTGGCTTACTTCGGTCTGGAGTCCTTCGAGAAGGTGCAGAAGGCGTTCAAGGAGGCCAAAATCCAGCTGGGGGAGATACTGTCGGCTTTTGAGCTGATGGATTCTCAAAGCCAGGGCTTTGTGCACACGGTCACGGGCAACAAGCGACCGCTGGAAGGCGACCATCCGTTCTACTGCTTGATCGAGACGAGTGGCTCAAACACCGAGCATGATAACGAGAAGCTCGAGAAGTTCCTGGAGTATGTCATGGGCGAAGAGATCGTCTCGGACGGCGTCCTCGCCCAGGACGAGTCTCAGGCCCGGGCCCTCTGGGGATGGAGAGAAGGAATCACGGAAGCTCTGGGACACTTTGGTGGAACCTACAAATACGACCTGTCTATACCGATTCAAGACCTCTATAAGTTGGTCGAGGAGACACGAGAGAGGCTGACGTCGAAAGGCTTGGTCGGCGACGATGACTCTTATCCAGCCTTGGGCGTTGTCGGATATGGCCACATGGGCGACTCGAACCTGCATCTCAATATCCCTGTGCGAAGATACGCCAAAGAGGTCGAGGAGGCTATAGAACCCTGGGTGTACGAATGGATCCAGAAGCGAAACGGGAGCATCAGTGCAGAGCACGGCTTGGGCATCGCCAAAAAGAAGTATATCGGCTACAGTCGGAGTGAGACCATGATCAAGTTGATGAAACAGATCAAGAACCTCTATGATCCGAACGGGATCATGAACCCGTACAAATATATATAGACACTCCATCGTCTCAACAAAAGAGAATTTTCGTGAACAAACTCGGACTGTCAACTTCTACGCGTTTGCAGACGTTCTATACTAACTCAACTTGAGAGCTTATGCATCACAATTGGCCGATCGTTTGGAAAGATAGGGTGATCGGTCAAAGTAAGAAGTCATTGGGCATAGCTCGTACCTTGGACATTAATGAGTTCAATGCACGGGCTATCTTGTGCTCTTAGGATGTTTGTCTGGACCTGAGCTCATGTCAACTTCAGTGCGTCGTCGGTTTAGGTGAGATACTAGTAGTATACACAAAATACAAGCAACTCAATTGGTGCCTGTCTACCACCGTCGATCACGATCTCGGTCTCTGTCTCTGGGAACGCCTTTTCCCCTATCCCTGTCCTTGTCTTTGTCACGTTTCCTTCCCAGCTTCAACTCCTTTTCCTTCTCTCGCGGATCAATCACCACGAGGTCCTCTTCGTTCTTCTTCTTCCACATCAGATCCTTGCCGAGGCGGTCTTTGGCAAACGACAGCGAATGGCTCATCCACTCTCTCCCGGCCTCGTCGTCGGAGTCGGCATCGGCGCCGCCGCGCTGATCCCACCGCGAACATGATTGACAGTTGGCGATGAAATGGAGATCGCAGAGAACGGCTTCCTCGTCGTCCGCCACAGCAGACGGTGGAGGCTTTGAATTGACCACCGCGTCGGGGTCTTTTGAGGACGACACCGGCTGCGGTTGCGCCTGGGTCTCGTTTTGTCCATTCGTGGTCGGCTTGGATGAAGCAGAAGCTGAAGGTGAGGCAGAGGCGCCCTTGCTTGCATTGTTGTCGACCTGTTCGAGTCGTGCTTTGAAAGCGTTCAACATCTCTAGGGCAGTGGCGTCATCTTTGGCGTTCGTCTGACCTGGCCGGGGCCGTTTGCGGCCTCTCGTGCTCGTTGCGGGTATCAGCGATTCCAAGGCCGATTTCTTGCGCGTTGTTTCGCCGACGGTTGATGTCACATTCCTCCGCATCGACGCTTTGAGTGCCGCTATCTCAGCCTCGAGGGATGTTTTGCTCGATGAACCAGGCGCAGGTCCCTCGGCTGGCGTGGGAGAACGGGAAGGTGACTCTGGGTCTCTGAGCGGGAGTTGGGTGGTTGGGTCGTGGAATGATGGTCTGCGTCGATTCTCTGGAGATCCTGGCGGGTTGGATCTCATCGTCGAAGCAGCAAGTGGTGGAGGTGGACTTGCTTTCCGCTTTTGCGGCACTGTCTGCGGAGCCGATGGAGATTGCGCTTTACGGTCCGAATAAACTGTCTCTGTCTTGGAGACGACGCCGTTCCGCTTGGGTTCGGCGTCTGGCACATCATCGGCATCGATCAATGCAGGATTGAACTTGGCCTTTTTCGGCCGGACAACGACATCGCCGGGATCCACGTCCCCTTCATCGCCACCGAAGCTGAGTAAAGTCTTTCCGCCCTTCTTCTTTGGGACTTTCTTCTTGGCCGGAGCCTCCACGACGCGCTGGGCGACCTTCTCTCTCGGTCGCATCTTCTGCCACGCCTCTCCCTTGGGTAGTTCGATGATCTCTGCTTTCAAGATCTTCTCGGGATAGAGAGGTCTCTCGGTTCCCTCGACCAGTTCGCCCTCGGCAATCTTGACCACATTGTAGATCCCGTCTCCCTCGACGCGACCAAACATGGTGCATTTACCATCCAGCTCGGCCCTACAGTCGCCCAACGTAATGAAGAACTGGCTGCCATACCCTCCTGGCCCATCGCCCGTGCCTTTCGCCATCCCGACCAGCCCTCTCCGATTGAAATGGAGCCTACTGTGCACTTCATCGCCGAAACTGATTTTCTCATCCTTCTCCCGCCCCGTTACTCTCGCCCAGTCCTCGTCATACCGTTCATTCTCCCGATCTTCATATATATTCTGGCCCCCTTCCCCAGTACCTGTGGGGTCGCCGGTCTGGATGACGAAGCCTGGAGATACGCGATGGAAGATGTTGTCGGTATAGTCCCCGTCAATGACATGTTGAAGGAAGTTTCTAGTCGTCAAGGGTGTCTGGTTCGCGAATAGAGAGACCGTAATGGGACCTGCGGTCGTATGGAGGAGGACTGAAGCGGTGGGAGGAGGTTCGGTCGTGTAGTGCGACGACATGATGGGCCTAGGGGACTATATCGAGAGAGAGCGATTCCTGCATTATCAACACCCGACCCAACGCCTTGACGAGCCTTGAACATGCGAGTAGTCACTGCAATTCGGTATATACAACATCAACCATGGAAAATGCGACCCGATGTTCTGGGACTATCACCACGTGACCTCGGGGTCATATCACGTGCCGGGATATTTTGGCTTGGCATTTTTGTTATTGATGAAGAAAGCGGGACATTTATTCAAATTGAAGTTGTATATACCATGTCAACACACCCAGAGCTACCGTATATACAGCTTTGGCTGCCATAGCCAATCTCATCAGGATCATGAATCTGAAGTCATCTAGGCCTGTGGCAGAATGACCGCTCATGGCAGGATCTTTCGCATAAGGTACCTCGAGGTATGTGTGTATAGGTATTGTGTCGGTCACCGCCACTTGTTTCAACACCGGAAGCCCATCCGTGATTCTTAGGGCTCACTGGGTGAACACTCTCGTTCAAGCTCTTCGCCCGAGGCTCTCATGCAAAAGGACAGACTTTCCAGCGCCCAGTTCTCAAGGATCACCTTGTCTATACCTATACATCAATGACTCTTGATCCATACGCAGGCATATTCGTGGCCTCCAACGATGCCCATGTTTGAATCGTGCCAAACGAAGGCGAGCCTTTTGACCGTCTTTACCTTATTTCCATTTCTTCAACTTCGACGACTTGGCTGTACCATGTTCCGATAAGAGTTTCATGTCGAGACTTGTAACGCTCATCTGATGTGTTGTGTGAAATAGGTTGAGCGAGAGAAAAGTCTGGGGGAGATGGATACGGGGGGCGCCTTCCCTCTTTATTGTTTTCCCCTGGATCGGCAAGTGCCACTTGCAACCATTTAATGAGACGGATTTCTCATTCCGAGTGATCTGATTGGTCGGCAGTGCCAGCCAGATACCTTAACCATCTAAATGACGTGGGGGAATTACGTCGGGCTCTTCATCAATGCTCGACACTCGACACCTTCATTCCTTGATCATGACTCTTCTTTGCTCTAATCTTGCCCCACGGTAGACATCGGCTCTTATCCTTGAAGCATCAATACTAGCCAGCTTGACAATATCTGAAGAGGGTCAAGAGGCCTGTATTTGGCTGCTCGGGAGGTCCAGCTTGCAGCAATATCGAGACTGTTCCTCGTCTGCAGCCGATTCCTCCAGTGTCACCATTGCCACAACTACAGAAAATGCCTCCTGTTTTCAGGTTGTCTGCCGGCAAGATTCAGCGAGAGATGATCTCAAAGGTGTCTCTACCACTACGAGTACGACTACAGACAAGTGACGTCGCCTCCCGCTCACAACGGCGGTCGTTTGCCGCTATTCCCTCCACCAAACCTGAACAAAAGGTGCAGTCAACAACCGACGCTGAAGACAAAAGAGCGGCTCAACTGAATCGACACACCATCGACCGACAGTCCGACGAGGTGTCCTTATCCGGCACCGACGATGCCGTGGCTGCCCAGATGTCGGTGTCGTTTGGAAAGACCGGAGCCGACATGGACCAATTACAGACAGAATCTGCACAACAGAACGCCTGGGGAAACCCGCTGGACGCCAGTCCGGCCAATAGGACTATGAGTCAAGGCACGGCCGAGGCCAGCGGTGGCGTCGACACGAAACCGGTCACGGCTGAGAAGAGTGTCTATCAGAGCGAGCCGAGACTGCAGAAGTCCAAGGTCGGGTCTGAGAAGGAGTCTTTCGCCGGCTCCTCTAAGGTGGTCAAGGAGACTGAAACCCCCTCGATGGTCCAACAGGGATCAAGATAGGAGGCATCAGATGCATTGGTTTTGTATCAGGGAAGGGTACCCGCGCTGCACTGGGATGGTCGGACTCCATTCACAGGCAACAGCCTCGGGTCTGATGTACAGTAGCATATCTTTGTACCAACAATCCATCTATCGGCAGTCAGTCGGCCATGACGGGACAAGCGCTCTTTTCTCATCCTTAAACTGGTGGCTGCCTTTGATTATCATAGCAGAATCCACCCCAGTCTCCTTCCCCATCGGCACTCCAGAACAAAGGGATCCATATCACTACCGGCTGGGGAGGCGGAGTAAAGCGAACGGTGTATACAAGGCCTGATTGGTTCTTTCGACTGTCAGTTTTCCTCATGAACGAGGTGGGCTAGATGTTCGGCGTCATCTCGAACTAGCGGTCCGCAAGCCAGAAATATATCAACTCCCGTTGAATGTTCTTCTCCGATTTGTCCAGGGCCGATTGCCTATTCGCATCGCCGACAATCGCAGTTTCGAACAGCCCGCCGCCGCCACGGGCGAATAGATTACCAGGTATCTTGCCTCGAGGCTTCCACTACAATAAACAGTACTCACTCGGGAGCATTTTCAACAACATATCCTCCTATCCACATACTATCTGATCCTAATCCATGATCCGGTTTACATTTGCGCTATTGTCGAGCCATCATGTCCACCACCGAGACAATCACCAGATCAATCCACCAACCTCATGCATACGCGCCGGAGACGTTTGAGTTGAGCCTCAAAACCCCCGGTAGGTCTCTCAGAGAACTCTCCAAACGGGTCGTGGGCAGCTCCACGCGACCGCATCGCTCTACCTACCCATCCATCTCTTCAGACGAGGAAGACAACCGAGATCGCATTCGAGATGAGGATAATCAACCCCCCGAGTCTGCCCATTCGATCACGCAAAGATGGAACAAGCCGAGAGGTAACATCGGGCGACTGGGATTCGCAAGTTTTTCATTTATCATTGCCGGTCTGAACGATGCCGCTGTTGGCGTGAGTACCTACAAGTCACCCTTCCCTTTCATTAGCACCTGATACCAGAACCAGAATTAACGACCTCTGTTGAACAGGCTTTGATACCATATGTGAGTAAAGCCCGAACCTCATGATCGCTGGTTGGCTGGCTGTTTGTCTCTACCTAACTAACCACAACTCCTTGCCCTGTCCAAATCGAACAGTTAGAAACCTACTACGACCTCAACTACACCATCATCTCTTTGATCTTCTTGACCCCGTTCGCCGGCTACTCTCTGGCCGCCTTCACCAATGCCTCCATCCACGCGCGACTGGGCCAGCGCGGGATCGCCGTCATGGCCCCGATCTGCCACATGATCACCTTCGCCGTCTTGTCTGCCCATCCGCCCTTCCCCGTCTTGGTCGTCGTGAACACCATCTGCGGCTTCGGGAATGGCCTCACGGACGCCTGTTTCTGCGCCTGGGTCGGCGCCATGGACAACGCCAATGCCGTCCAGGGCGTCATGCACGCGTGCTACTCGATCGGCGCGCTGTTTGCGCCTCTGATCGCGACGTCGATGGTTGTCAATTCCGGATTGCCGTGGTGGGATTTCTATTATTTCATGGTATGTTGACACCACCAAACATGGACATTTGTGTGTTTCTTGAAAGCCTGCAAGATGCAGATGTGCTGTTGCTGTTCGACGTCTTTTCTTTCCCTATGCTAATCATTATCTGCTCCATGACAGGTCGGGGCCGCGTTTCTGGAATGGATCGGGCTCAGCTGGACATTCCGGCGCAAAACTGGCGAACTCTACCGCCTCGAACACGCACGGGACAACGATTCCACAACGAGTGGACGGACGAGAGAAGCGCTCAAGTCCAAAATCACCTGGCTTTGTGCGGCCTTCTTTTTCATGTATATGGGCATTGAAGGTAAAAGAAACCCTCCCCAAAGATCTCCGACATTCTTCCCACTCAGCCAGCAAACCAAGCAATATGTCGTCCACCCATCTATCCTCTGCAGAACTGAATCTACCTACCTATGATGTCCTATTTCCCTAAATCTAGCACCCTCTCCCCCAAGCTGATCCCTCACAGCTCTTTCTTTCTATCTTTGTTGCCCATACATGCAGCCTTTCGTTTGCCTTCTATCATACCCTTCATTCCTTCTCCTCCTCCTCCTCCTCCTCCTCCTCCTCCTCTTCCTCCGTCGTTTATACAACCCAACTAACCTCTTCTTGTTCTCCTTACCAGTCGGTCTGGGCGGCTGGATTGTGACATTCATGCTCCGCGTCCGTGGCGCCTCGCCCTCCGCCTCGGGCTACTCCGGCACGGGGTTCTGGGCCGGCCAAGCCGTCGGCCGGGCCTCGCTCGGCTTCGTGACCGAACGCTTCGGCGAACGCATCTGCATCACCGTCTACCTTGCCCTCTGCCTGGCCTTGCAGCTCATCTTCTGGCTCGTGCCGCAATACCTAGTGTCCGCCGTGGCCGTCGCGCTCCTGGGCTTCTTTCTCGGCCCCTTGTTCCCCGGCTGTGTCATGGTCACGGCGAAACTGCTGCCCAAGCATATCCACGTCAGTGCCATTGGCTTTGGCATGGCCTTGGGCGGCACGGGCGGCACGGTCTTTCCCTTCATCATCGGCGCGGTTGCGGCCAGTAAGGGAGTCAAGGTCTTGCAGCCCATTATCTTGTCGTTAATCGTCGTCGTGGCCGTCATATGGGTCATGTTTCCCAGGGTCAAGAAGAGGGAATAAACTTTGGAAAAGGGATCATGGTTTCATTATTACTACCTGTCCAAAGGAAGAACCAGGATAGAATAACAAGGAACATAGGGCACGCTGATAGAGCTGATGAATCTAGACGATCGCCAGAGGGGACAAATGATTGACCTTTTGCAATTCTCGTGCAGCGTTCTGGATAGTAGGATAGACTGTAGTAGAATAAACAGAACCTACCCAGTTCATCAGCCTCCCTTGTAGACCTAGAGTGTAGACAGTCATCGATGTTAGATTGTCCCAGTTTCGTTCGTAATCATATTCGATGCCACTGCTGGTTTCAAGTTCCTGACGACCGATATAGATAGATATATGGCGATCATTCTCCGGTCTACGGCCAACAAGCTAGATCTCTAGACTTGGCCAAGACCGGCATATCAGCATATAACGGACCACAAGATAAACGAAAACTATAACAGCTGCTTAATATAGTTGGAGAGAGCGAGAGAGATCTAGTAATCTATTTGCCGAGCCGGGAATTAAAAGACCTGAATCCATCAAAAGCGGAAGCGGAAACGGAATAACAGAAGACACTGATTCTCCTCTCGGAACATGGATAAACAACTAAACGCATTGCCCTGTGTTCACCGTCCAGTTCTCCAGCAACTATCGACTTCCAATCGCCGGGTATCTCTGGTAATCACTCATCTTTTGCGGTAATCGAGTTCATCATCTCATTTCGTCAAGTATGTTGGAAAGGGAAAGCCACCGAAATCCAACGGCCTTCAAGACGTCCTCCATACTCCTTCTGTCCATTTGCCACCACTCTTGCTGTGAGACTCCGATCTGCAGCCTGACCATCCTCGGTCAATAACAGCTCCGATCGATTCGTCCGCCCAACGCGTGCTAATGTGCGACAAAACATCACCAACCGTAACCACGTTCCTGACCTGCAGCCTGATCTCTTGAGCAGCCAAGTCAGTGATAGGAGAAAAAAGTCGGCAGTGAGGGTAGTGTCAACCCGTGACTAAGGCTGACAGCTTTGAGATCAAGCACGAGCTCGTTTGCGACCGGTATCATGATCATTGTCTTCTTCAACCGAGCTCAATTTCCTTCCCTTGCTGCGCGTGGTAGGTCCATCGACTTTGGCATCGTCTGCCGATCTCGGCGTGGTCATCTCGCTGCTCGGCACGCTCTCAACTCGGCCACCACCATCGCGCTCATAGTCACTCCCATTGTCGTACTTCAGATTGGGGTATTGATCGCCTCCGCCAACTCCGCCTACGGTGCCGTCCATTCCGAAGTCGTAGTTATTTGTTTGCCCACCCTGAACGGTGGGATTCTGGTTGAGGTTCGTAAACAGTTCGTCATCGTCCTTGTAATCGACAAAGTTGAGGTCGTCGGGTGTGCCTGTATTGTTTCCAGGACCTAGTCCGGTGTTGCCAAACTCGTAGTTGCCCATGTTGTCACTGGGAAAGTCGGTGAAATAATCATTGTTGTTTAGAAAGTCGTCAATGTCCAGGGGCGCCGCGGGCACAGACTGGCCATCTCCTATGCCTGGAATGGAACCGCTCGGGCTGAGTGGCTGCAGAAGATTCCTCAAGTTCTGTACGCTCTTGTCTTGCTCGGCTTGCAGTTTCGCCAGTTGCTCGAGGTCGGCTTGGGTGCTTTCCAGGCGGCGATGGAAGTTGACAGGCCCTGAAGGCGGTGTCGAGTTGATCAAAGCATTGTCCTTCCCCGGTGGCTGGTTGGTTGAGTTGTTGATCATCTTCAGGACGTCAGCTCGTTGAGACGTGGTCAGGGGTCCTGATCCACTGGATGATTCGAGGCTGTTGAGGACGTTGGAGAAGTCTTGTGCTGGAGTAGTAGGAGAACCCCCGGCACTGGTGGCGTTGTTGCGTGCGTTGGCGTTTTGGATCAGGGACATCATGTCACGGCCTTGCGCCGAGGCCTTTCTAGAGCTAAGGGGGGTAGGCTGGTTGACACCGGTGTCAAAGACTTCTTCCACGCTCGGGGTAACTGAGGCTTGTTGGCTGTTTGGGATTGGCTGTACCTGGGATGGTGGGTATGGGCTGTGGGCGGAACGAGGAGATAATGTGCTTGCCCGACCTTGGCGTCCGTTTCCGTTTGTGAGTAGTAGAGGCTGCTTCTTAAACGGCTTCTGCAAGTCCCCATCAAGATTGCCATCGTTAAAAGCATAGTCTCCCACATCGACAACGTTTCCTTGGCTCGCGCCATCTACGGGGATGGCATTGGTGAAGAGACTTGCAATACCTTGCATCCCATCATGGCCCTGGATACCGCGGTTGTAGACCGTAGCGAGGAAGGTCAAGATCGCATTGATCGAGTTCTCGTGTCGATTATGCTGCTCCTGGAACGTTGCAGCTTGACCATACAGTTGTTCGTGCTCACGCTTGAGGGCTTGCATCATGCGGGAGATTTGAGCTTGTTGGTGTCGAATGGTCGCCAGCTCTCGCTGCACACTCTTGAATTGCTCTTGCGTGAGAGACGTTTCGGGATTTCTCAACATGAGCTGACCCGGGCGAGGACGAACGCGGTTCTCTCCGTTGTTAGCCGCATCATCAGTGTATTCTTCGACATCTTCTTCCGCCTGATCATTCTCCGTCTTGCCCTTTCTCTTCGAGGATGGCCCGGTGACGTTCTTGGGCTTTTGAATCAACCACAGAAGATCCGGATGACCCCGGCGGAAGTAGGGATTGGAATATTCACTCGGACTTTTGTTCTTTCTCTCACTGGCCCTCATCGAGTTATCGGAGAGGCCCACCTTCTTGTGGAACCCATACATGTTGAGCTGGCGGACAAAGGAAGCGTAGTTGTTGTGTTTGAATAACTCGGGAATTAGAGTTTTGGCAAATTCATCTTCGTCAAGAACAATGAATGAATTGCCATCATCAGACCACCGGATGAGATCGGTGTTTTTGCCATCCTCGAGAAAGCTGGAAAACTGTCAGTGATGGCCGTACTGTCGGCACCGGTCCTGTTGCTTACCTGTTGAGCTTTTGGACAAATGGAGGGATTTGTTTTCTCTTTGCTTGCGCTTCTCGCTTGGCTATTTGTGCTCTGGCCTCGAGTTCCGCAATGTCATCATCTGGCCAGTCCGCTTCTGTAGCAGTGGGAATTCCGTTCAGACCCTCATTCCAGGTCGTACTGTCTTCGCTAACCCGACCTCGATGAGTGGCCAGTTGGGCTATCGGTCTGCGAGCAAGTTGGTTTGACGGTTGTGGCTGCACCTGCACCTGCATTGACGGCTGCGGCTGCGGCTGGATTTGCGGCTGGATTTGCGGTTGCACTTGAGGCTGTGGCATGGTCTGGGGAAAGGCACCGCCGTTCATTGCATAGTTGGCATCATTGTATGGAACGCCGGCCTGACCGGTCTGGCCCCATTGGAAGAAGTCTTCGTTTGAAAGACTTGGACCTAGTCCATCATTGAAGCCCGGCAGAGGAGCGGGCATAGGTGTCACAAAAGGAACCGGGTCCGCCCCAGGAGCCGGTCTTTTTCTGGAGAATCCTTGCGCTGCCATAAGGGGTCGTCGGTCAACGATGTAAGTGGGAAGAAGGTCAATTGGGAAAAGGTGGTTTCTTCGGAGGAAAAGCTTTTAAGGTCGTGGATGTAGTGATTGTCTCGATTCGACGCAGACAGTGGTTGGACACAAGATCTTGTCTGGTAAATGATTCACTGCAGACGGGTCGATTCCGGAAGGGAGCGCATGTGTTCAGAAGCGCGGAGGGGGGTCGAATACGTTTATGAGGATGTTGAGGACAAGAGGAGGATGGGTTGAAATCGTGGTGAGACGACGTGGGAACCGGCCAATGCGTCCGAATCGGATGATGGTGGGAGAGGTGAACGGGACGGAGAGGGAAGGAGCATGAAGAGAGATAATTTGATATTACTTGTCGCAGGCAGATACAACAAGCAGAACGATCACGATCGAGATGCGATCGCAGGCACTCCGGCAGCAGTTTTAGAGTGGTTTGAGGGATCCTTTGGGTGGTTTTTGCGGGATTGGCAGAGGAAGAGGGACGGACGACGGATGGGGCCAAGTTGATGGAGGCCCAGCGTAGCCTAGAGTATGACATCGCCCGCCGACTATTGGCCAATTGGGTGCCTTCCGCCGCGACGGTTTTTCACATCCGTGGCGGCTGCCAGTCAATTATTTCACCGTGACTGCAGGTGGTGTCTCTGGTGTCTCTGCTCTGCTCTGCTCTGCTCTGCTCTGCTCGTTAAGCGATCTGGAGATGCAGTTCCAAGCCTGCTCCACCGTTGCACCTGCGCCTGCGCCACAAACCCATGGCCGTTCGTTGCAGCAGTCCAACTCAATTCACTCCTCCATCCTCCTCCCTCTCTCCATTCCTGCCAATAGCCGCAGACCACCATTCCTTCCTACCACGTCTTAGACTGTTCCTCGAGCCTTGCGGAACAACCCGGATGTCAGATGACGATACAAAACGGCATGAGATGCCCCCATGGTGCCTGTCGCTGCCGCCCGCAATCCGTGGTCAGAGATCAGGAATCTTACTACAGTACGCACTATCATTATAAAATTCCAAGAGACAATAATGGCCAGTTACGGTCCTTCTGTCTTCGAGTCTGCTAACGCTGGTTCGGCATGCTATGCTGGTGCTCATCTTCCGCAAGTCCGGGTCCCGATTCTGTTCCTCTGGTACACTTCTACGCAGTCTAAAACCTCTTCCTAGCATGCCGCACAAACCTCTTTCATCTAAGCGAGCATCGAGTTGCATGATACTTAAGGGAATACGAGAGGTCAAGACTTGGAGAAAAAAGGCTAAGGTCCACCACGAGGTTTAGTTTTCAGTTAGTGCTGTCTACCAGGATCACTCTCTTCCGTTCAAATCAAAAGCCGCTCTCTGCGGCTCATCACATTCTGTGGAGCTCAAAGCCCAAGTTGTAATTCGGATCTCATGTCCGGGCCTATATGTTTAACTTCTACGGCTTCGGTTGGCCAATGAGTTTCCTGAAATCCGCCATTGTCTTCTCCCATTGTGCCGGATGAGACTCAGCGTATGCTTTGGCCTTTTGCACCGCAGCCCAGTCCTCTTGCATGTGCTGAATCTTCTTGGTGCCATTCAATACGGTAGTGTTCCCGAGCCCGAGCACGAGACAATACAGTGCCGATTGAGGACTGATGTCCAGTTGGTTTGCCAGAGCGCCCGCCTCGTTCGACCAAACCAGCGTCGGATTGGCGCTCAGAGTCCAGAAACTCTGATAAATGATGTTTTTCTCTTTGCAGAACTGGCGCACGCCAATGTCATACTTCGTGTTCGGATAGAAGCGATTCTGCACCACGCTTGGCTTGATGGTTGACCTCTCATATAGATCCATCAACGTGAACAGGTTGCAGTTGGATAGTCCCAAGTTCCGGATCTCATTGGGGACATATTGTTCTAGGGTCTGCCAGACCTCCAACGTTTCATTGAGTGTCTGCATAGGTGAGTGGAGGACGAGTGTATCGATATATGGCTCTGCCTTATCGCCCTCCTTGACAACATTGGCAAAGTTGAAATTTTGAAGTGAAGAGATTACTGAAGCATTGACTTGGTCCACGACCGGGCTGGAAGGATCATAAGGCATGTTGCCAGGATCTTGCCCAGCCACACTGGTGTACTTGGTTTGCAGGTACAGATTCGATCTCTTGATTTTACCATCTTTGATCGCTCTCGAAACGCCGGCGGCCACGAGGTCTTCTCTGTAGTGCTTCGGTTGGGCAGCTGTATCGATGGCCTCGAAGCCGTTGCAAATTGCTTGATACACCAGTTCTGTGGTAGCTTCCTTCTTCCATGCGGTGCCGTAGATGAATGCCGGAATTAATTGCTTGCCTGAGAGATGAGGCGCATGTAGGGCCAGCTTTTCGAAGAGTGCCGACGTTGCCATCTCTGTTTTCTGAGACTTGGACTGGGTCGATTGGGATTTGCAGAGGTCAGATTGACATTCAGCAACATCGAACAATAGCCATGCTTGGCGGTGGCACAAGTACAGTCCGACCGAGTTCGCCTCTGGTTACCTCGCCCGTATTAAATGTTCGATGAAGGAGAGGGTCTCATGCTCCGATGTGAGAAGAGGCACAGTACAGAGATGTTGGTCACCGATTGTTCGACGAGTGTTGAGTGCAGACGCTGAATGATGCAGGAATTTCATTGGCAGAGGTCTGTTGCATGCCAATCAATCCACCAACTGCGACTCGACCATACTATCCAGCATTTCAAAGTAATCGAGAGCACGCGAAAAATACAATGCATGGCCAACCAATGCGTCGGAAAGCTTACGAACCGGAACTTGAAGTCCCAGGGGTGCCTGTGGGTGCATAAAGAAATGCACGTTGTGTTACTTCCCCAGATTTCAGAGACAGCTGGCTACTTCAGGCACTCATATACGCCAGGTGCCTATACTGCGCTGGCTCTTATTTGGAAGATACCGGGGAGACTCACAGCATGCAGGGACTTGTTTCAGCCGTCACAGGTTTTTGTGCACCACCTGGGATGCATAGTAGTGATTCACGAGTTGGTCCAGGACCTAATAAACACCAGCAATTACTTGACACAGAGCGCGCACGAGAACAGCCACGCGGGCCCATTTTGATATCCCAATGTTGGTATAGGGTGTCTTCTGGATAGTGTGGTGTGTTTCCTCTTCGAACACCCATGACGCTTTATTGCCAACGACACCGAGGTAACGTCAGCGTTCTTGACAGTAACATAGTCATGTTCACCGTCCACAAGGATCTATCCACCTGACCGCGTCCGCGGTGCAGGGCAAGTAGCGGCTCCAAAAAGGAGGAGGGAAGAATGGGTCAAACAAACACCGGCGGCGCACTGGCAGGGAGTCCATAAGTCCCAGACAACCGTTGATGATGGCTAGCTGATTCGGGCTAAGAGGTAGATCAGGAAAAGGGGAAGCTGAGAGATCGCAGGCATCGTTCAGCAGGCGACAACGTAAGGCTCCTGCGGCGTTGGTTTGGTAGAGACGCTGGACCAGCAGTAGGATGAGCTGATCGCGCGACACGAAGCCGAAGCCGAAGCCGAGATTCGCTGGTGGGAACAACCATTAGTTCAAAGCAGCGTGGACTGTGGATTGCGAGTGGACGAGAAGGACAAGGTGTCAGGAGGTCAACAGGGGGAGAAGCTCAGAACTTGAATTGAATGAATGAAAGAGTTTGATTGCACTGGGGGATTGATTGCAGACTCCCTATCAATGGTGTGGAGAGGCACTGCGATGGAGACTTGCAGGGCCCGAAATATAGGTCGGTGATAATGACAATATGATTGTTACGTACTTTTGGGGCATTTCGGTTTGACCAACCTGAAGGAGAAACTTGGGCTTTCGACTGGCGAACAGATTGCATAACCGTCAAAACATTCTTGAAATGTTTTTGACAGAGCTGGGGTGGGAGACAGTTGTCGCAAGCAGGGCAATTGGAGACGAAGAACTACGTACTCTGTTCTCTATACTGTGTACTATGTAAGTAGACGGGATAAGTACAGGCAACAGGCGGGTTGCGCTACCAGGTAATTAGGGTTAAGTGGCCCTGGCCCAGTTAAACGAGCGCCAACCGGGCCCCCTAAGCCCCTGGCCACCCGGGAAATTTTGAGCCTTTGGACTGACTCACTGAGCACGCTGTGCATAACCATCATCTCGGAGCGCAGGACCGGCACTGGTAGGGGGAATAACGACCACCTAACTACAGAGTAGGGGCTTAGGGGCTTAGGGGGAAAGCCTTAGTATTATTAGGTGGCTCCCTGAGAACCATACGCATGCCCCTTAGCCGCCTCTAAATCCACCCTTACTTCGTCTAGTCCACGTCCTAATTTCTTTGTTCCCAAACATCCCAAAACTCCTTCAAACTCGCCTTTTCAACTCTCAGCTATTTTGCCAATCCCACACAAAGTCGCAGTTGCAGAGCCTTGAATTGCTTGCAACTCGCACCTTTCTAACTCGCGTCTCCGTCGCCCGTCTGTCCTTAATATGCCTCACTTGTAGGCCTGAACGATTACACTCAGCTCTCGACACGTCCAAAGTCCATTTTCTCCTGCATCCTGCGCAATCTTCGACTCGACGCAGCCCGAGTGAAGTCTTCTCAGACCAGCCTGCTATCCTCGCCTTCATCCCGCCTCCAGCCCATGTCATCGAGCGCTTCGATCTCTCTTCCTTGAAGTTCGAAACAGTCCTGATTTGAGGTTCGACCTATTCGCGCAGTCCATTTTTGCGACTCGTCGACACCGGTGGCCCCTGCGCACTTTTCAGTCTCTTCGATCCACGAGCCTTCACCCATCCATTCCGATCAGCGCCATCGCGAATCGGTCATATCTTTGTTCTGGTGACTGTCAGCGAATAGACGCAGTCGAGGAAATCGCAATATATACATTGTTAGGAATTGCAGACCTGTCGCGAAGGATCGATCAGCCGTAAAAAGGGAGGGAACATCGGCTCAAACGATCATGGCCACATTTTCGAACTCCGAAGCCTTCTACGACGATCTCTCTGGCAATTCGCCACGAGCATTTCGGAACACGCAGCTTAATCGCCAGAATGCCAGAAACGATGGATACGGAAACATTGGGCCAGCCATGTTTGGAAATGAAGGACCATTACCAACAATGCGCTTCGACAATGTACGGGATGGATTCGGCGCTCCCATGCAGAACCATGGCGCAGGGAATGTTCATTTTCCATACGATGCGGGCGCGGCACAAACCTGGAATTCCAATGGCGCGTCTCTGCAACCCTTCGGAGGCGGAATGGGTGGTATGCCGCAGAATGGCAACTATGGCCCTGCGCGAAGCGTGAAACCAAGTCGGGGCCGCGTGGGACTTTCGAACGTGAGTGTTTTAATCATCGGATCGTCCGACTCGACACGAAACTAACGTGATTCGCAGCTTTGGTCCGAACAACCTGCTCATATGCAACAGCAGCAATCTGCCATGGTTGGCCATCGACCAGGCATGCAAGGTCGGAACGACCCGCACGAAGACGACGACGAACTGATACCGACTGCCATTGTCATCAAGAACATTCCGTTTGCTGTGAAGAAGGAACAACTTGTTCAACTGATGGTTGACATGAACTTGCCATTGCCGTACGCCTTCAATTACCACTTTGATAACGGGGTCTTCCGCGGTCTTGCGTTCGCCAACTTTACCTCACCACAAGAGACCGAACAAGTCATCCAAGCGCTCAACCATATGGATCTCAGCGGTCGGAAGCTGCGTGTCGAATACAAGAAGATGCTCCCACTCGCTGAACGAGAGCGGATTGAGAGAGAAAAACGTGAGCGCCGCGGGCAACTGGAAGAGCAACATCGACCCCTGCCGCAGACACAACTGCACAATCAAGTCTCTATGTCATCCCTCTCGCGGAACACTCCATCACCACTATCACACCGTGGTAGCAAACCTGGTTTGTCTGATCGAATCTGGAGCTGGCAAAGACGAACACTGACGTTGAGATAGATGTGGACATGAATGATCCGAAAACGCTCGAGTTCTATACCGAAATGACCCTTTTTAAGCGCGATCCTTCTCGCGAAGTTCTCATCTTCCCGCCGACGCTGGAGCCACACCACCGCCGCGTCGTGCACACACTTGCTCATCATATGGGCCTGATGCACACCTCCCGTGGTACTGGGGAACAGAGACAAGTCCATATCCACCGACCTGCCCCAGGCACCAACGTAAGTCCACCGACTCTCGCGGGTGGCTTTAGTTCAAACGACGGTTTGCGCCAGACTCTAGGCAGATCTTCCACCGCCGACTTCAGCGAGGGAAGGCCATATGATGGTCCTGCCTTTAATACTCTGCGAGGGCAGTCTTCTGTCGGTCTCCTGGACGTTATGGATTCCAATGCTTTTGGTCGCGCAACTGACAACAACCTTCGCAATGCAAAGTCATTCGCCGACCTGCGTTCCTGGAGCCCTTCGCCGGTTCCTTCGTCGGCAAGCTTCCCAGCGGCTCTGCAGACCAATGGCGCACGTCTCCAAGCCTTAAATGACACCGCTGGGTCCAGCACTCCTACCTTGGCACCCACCGCGATGCCCACTGGCCCGAACGCCAACCGAGATGAACCATTCCTCATTTCCTCCTTTTCCAACCTCTCCATGGGCAACAATGCAGGTTCGCAAACCAGTCCTCGCCGTCAGCGAAGCTTTTTCGGGAACGGGCCGGAATGGAATGATAATCAAACGCCATATCAGACCGCTGCTCCTATCGGCAGTAAGCGGACGGTCAGCATTGGGCCCGACAATCCAGCCCCAAACTCCAACCCAATGCGGCAATCTCGGGGACCAGGCTCGACCAACACCATCGGATTCCGCCGACAGAATGGACGGGGCAGCGACGAATTAAGAGCAGCGGCATCCGCCATTGCTGAATGAGAGAAGGCCCCGATACCCCCTCCCCCTTTGATGACGCTCTTGCAGAGCAATGACGATTCAATGAACCACGAACGAGACGATTAAGGCCCCCCTTACCTGGAAACAAAAAGTTAGACGCATAGGGCAGCTACATGACTGCATGATTGGACTACAGAAAAAGATTGTTGTAACGACATTGACAAGCCCACGTGGTGCGGCTTGCAGCATGTTTACTTTACGAAGTCCCAAGAAGAACGATTGACTCTGGTTTGTACACTGCTCAACTCTGAAGTCCGAGACGGCCATGCATTCGAGGGCGCTACTGCCGACGAAGGACGATCTCGGTCAGACTCCCTTGATCAAGAGAAACGAATGTGTTTGTTGCTTTCTCTGCTATCATCTACGGTGTGCATTTTGATATGGTGACGGAGCCAGTCTCTACCCTGATGGTCAGTGAAGACTGAGGTCGACGTTATGTATGAGATACACTCGCTTTAATTGCTGGCAAAGAGGAGAGGCCGTGTTGGTCCTGCACGTAATATTTAGATATTTGCTTGTCTTGAGAGAGGATTTTGAGATTGCTAGGTCGGGTCTATTGTTCACTCTCAGAGGCTGAATCTGGATTGTTCTCTGATCTCGTACGTACCTAGATGAATATATCACATATCACGGTGATGGGACGGCTGTCTCCTTCCAATATGAATGCTCGCGAGACTCACGGGACTTGCCATACTAGTAGTTCAGGTATGATTATATAAGCGCCAAGGTCTCTATTCTGCCAGGCATCATGATGTTTGTCGACTGCAAGTTGATCTTCAACACTCCTGATCGCTGTTTTGTGTTTGGCGATTTCAAAGCTTGTCAGGACTCCGAGGGTGTATAGCACTATTGTGCCATCACCATCTACGGTAGTGCAGATTGCTCCAACAATCAATCTCTTGTCTGTCGGCAGGACAGTGCGCTGGCAGATGGCAGCAGCCCTTCAGGTTGTGTCTTTTGGGGCAGCCCACCATTACCTTCAAGTCCACGTTATGCAAGGGCCCGCCACCAATTTCGTTGTGAATCCGCATTTTGTGATCCTCACGGTGAGTGAGTGATGAGTGACTGGCCACCGAAGACTTACTCTAGTGCCCGCTTCAATTTCACCACGTTCGTGCATGATACCAGCCTGGGGCCTGGCTGCCCTCGAATCCCCCAGCTACTATTGCAGCTATCAACACTGCAGCCTGCCCAGAGCTGAGAGGGTCTTTATATGCCAAGACGACTAGTTACCAACACGGCTAGCGCGGTATCTGCGGTGTTTTCCCTTACGATGCGCGCCTTCTTTTCCCTGCCACCCACCTCGCCCTTTACCTTCCAGATACCTACATACTTGACCTGACCTGACCTTATACTCATCTTCCGCACCCACCGGTCTCCAAGTCTGAGGTATCAAACATCAACACCCCGACGCGTCACCTGTTTACTCCATCAGTCACAATCACTGTGTTTCATAGTCGCACTATCCGACCGGCTTTCGACGTTCATTTACACGCGCATCTCTTACAATGGCTGGAGGCAAGGGCAAAAGCATTGGTGGGAAGGCCACTGGCGCGAAGGATTCCACCTCAAAGAATCAGAAGTCGCATAGCGCAAAGGCTGGTCTGCAGGTATGTCGCTTATTGTTCAGACAATCCTGTCGCGCAAATGACGCGCACACCGTCGCGTTGTTGTAATCTGTCTCAACGTTGACTCATCGCGTTTTGCCTGCTATGGTTATCACCAGGCTGCAGCGTCGCTCACTACTGCTCTGGCTATCAGGGCATACGCGCTTCACTGCATCGCATTGTCTTGTCGCCAAATTAACTGACGCGATGTGCAAATAGTTCCCTTGCGGTCGAGTCAAGCGTTTCCTGAAGAACAACACCCAGAACAAGATGCGCGTTGGTGCCAAAGGTATGACCACACCTACCCTAGTCTCTACAAGTGGTGGCGAATACTAACAGAGGTTCCTCAAACAGCCGCCGTCTATGTCACCGCCGTCCTCGAGTACTTGACCGCCGAAGTGCTGGAACTCGCTGGAAACGCCGCCAAGGATCTCAAGGTCAAACGAATCACTCCTCGACATCTCCAGCTTGCTATCCGTGGTGATGAAGAATTGGATACCTTGATTCGGGCGACGATCGCATTCGGTGGTGTGCTCCCTCACATCAACAGAGCACTGCTGTTGAAGGTCGAACAGAAGAAGAAGAGCAAAGCCGATGCATGATTGATTCCAGGATCAAAGATCTGGCTAGACCTTGTTCCGCTGACTCTCACTTGGACTGGCGTTCCAAGGGCATACCGGAATGGATTTGTGGCGTTGAAGGCATGGGGTTTTGCGACGAGTGTATGATCAAGGAAGGACATTCCTCAGTCGGTTCACCGGGATGATAAGTGTTTATCATTGCATTCGCTCTATCGCGGTGGTTTCGGGTCGCGGAGAGATATCCAGATTTTGCTTGCTCTAACTCGGACTATTCCAACAGTCACGCGCTCTTACTTTTCTCTTCATGCAGCACGACTTTGACTTGAAATTTTCTTTTCTTTTCTGATCGTTCATAGGAGTCAGTCTTGCGGCCGTGATATCTCGAGCTTCAACTGTTCCAGGCGTCCGTATCTTGATCATCACACCGCCTTTCAACTGTCAAATGAATCCGAGTCTTTGCATGCCCTGCTGTCCGTTACGGGCGGCCTCGTACAGTCTGGCATCATTCTCCCAACACCAGACCTCGAATAGGCCATTTGATCCAGTCCTGTGTCACCCTTTGTCTGTCGTCTCTGATTCGTGGCCTTTCCCGGTGTGAGTGTCATTTGTCCTTCCCGTCATGTTGAGCTGTCGTCTATTCAGTCTAAGCCCGACATACCTGGCCGGATCATGACATCCAACCAAACGTGTCGGTGGTTCGTTAACCTGGACCTCAGGGTCGACCATGGCAGTCGTGTCTGACCAAGCTTCTGGCTGCCGGCGGCCTGGACCGTCAAGACGGTCTCCCGTCTCAACCTCGGCAGTCGTGCTGCTTGTCCTACTTTCTGGAGGATTTGCCGTCCGCTGTCCATTGGCCGTGCAGGGTCGATGATAGAGTGGCACATAGCCTTGCATGTTTGCAGGACTGCTTTGACACAGGCGAGGTATGAGGTTGTTGACACCCCAGGCGCAGCAAATATGCAAGGCTACCGAAGAGCAGTCTGGTTTTGGCATGGTTGGGAGTCTCCCCTGTCCCACACACATCATCTTCGCTGGTCTTGATGCTGACCGCTTCCATTCTCTGGGTACTCGAGGCTGGTGGTGCCGTCGGATTTTCCTAAGGTCATCCGCCATCCATTGCTTTTCGTTCTTTGGGTTGGGTTGGGGCTAACAGTCAGGTCGACGCTTGTGTTGCTTTTCAGCTGGAAGACGCTGCCTTATGTTTGGGTTCTTGTCAATCTGGCCGTGGGCAGTCCATCCGAGGCACGAGACACGAGACACAAGGCACGTTGTTGGACACACACTGGTGTCATTTCACTCCGAGGACGGTCGGTCTGAGTGTGAGGCGCGCCTCATCGAGGTGAGATGGGCGCTGTTTTAGAAACTCGGAGTCTGAGTGAGGATCTGGAAAGCCACGAGTCTACGACAGTTGCTGGAACTGGCTTTAAGCAGGCATCTCCTGTCACCTGTCTGGGTCACGGCAGTCCTCAATATCGCCATCACCATCATCAATACCAACATACACATACACATACACATCTGCAGCCGCAATCACAGCCCCGGCCCGACCGAGAGACCAGCAACACAACCTACGACGCGGCGTCTACATCCTTATATTTCTATTACTCGGACCTGCATAGAACAGTATCCGACCATATACCTGTACCCATACCCATCATACTTAAGAGCTATATCCATATTGCAGGAAAGAATGCCACGATTATCCTCTGGGCAAAAGGTCTGGATCGACTCTGTGGGCAGGATATATCGGTCTACACCCGACACAAAGGAACGTTGGCGAGGTCATCGACATCATGGTCATCATGGTCGTGACCGTAAGCATCATGAACGCAACATCGATGCAAGAAGACGAATTCCAGCATCTCGCAATCCGAATTCGAAGGGACACTCGGTAAGATTTTCCAGATCGACGAGAAGAGGTAGTCGAAGTCGAAGTCCAACTCGTGAGCCCACGAGAGATGGACAGGGAATGTAAGTCTTGATCCCTCATCTTACTTCCCTCTTTTTTTCCTCTTTTGGCATATTCCAGATCAGTTATTTTGTCTTTTGTATGAGGATGAAACGCTCAAGCGGAACCTTCGACTATGGATGGCTGCACATGAAATTATCAGGCCAACATCAACCATTTGGGACGGGGCCTGGACTATCTCTTTGATCTTTTCGTTACATGATGGTTATTTCCAGCAACCAGGTCTGACCTCTGTGACTGACTTTGTAATGACGAAAGAAGAAGATCTAGACGTTCCCGAACCGGCACAGGCCGTCGAGGTCGAAGCAGGAACAGAGGCCGGGATCGAAGTCGAACTCGGAGAAGCAATAGAGAGCAGGACAAGAATCGGGACAGAAACAGAAACAGAAACAGACGTAGAAGCAGGAGCAGGAGCAAGAGCAGCGACGAAGAACGAGCCCTCAGAGCTCTTCTTGCAGGTATCGGTCTTTCGCATGAACATCGACATCGAGACGAATCCCATGACCCTGACGAGCACGTCTACACGGATGCTTCCGCACAGGACGGGACTGGGCCATTTCTCAACGTCGAAGGACTGCGTTATGCGAATACCGAGACTGATGCCGACGGTGTTGGCGTTGCCGGTGGAGACGGAGACAGAGACGCTCGTGAGAATGATGATGCTGGCCATGGGGCTGGCGCTCCCAGTTCTACTCCAGGTGGCTGGCACGATTATGATCATGATTACGACGATACCGATCACGCCGACATAGACAACCCTGATCCCTTGCACAGTCCTAGGAGGAATGGCCTTTGTGTGCATGGGACCTTCGCGCAGACTTGTGCTGAATGTTCACGACTACGGGAGGGAAAGGGTCGAAGAGAGGACCGTGGGAGAGGAAGGAGTCGAGAGAAAAACAGAAACAGAAACAGAAACAGAAACAGAAACAGAAACAGAAACGGCAACGGCAACGGCAACAGAAGGAGTGGCAGGAGTGGCGCTGGAGGAAGAAGAAGATGCAGAGAGAAGGAAACAGTGAAGATAAAAGATCATGGGAAAGGGAGAAGAAGAGGAGACGACAGATCGAGAATAAGGGTGCCGAAAAGGGTCAGATTATGGCCGCCACGGTCATCGTCGTCAAGTTCAGACTCAGACTCAGACTCAGAATCAAGGTCGGGATGGTATTACGGTGACTCTGTTTATGACTATTTTGGCAATGATGATTCTATCGACAGCGAGTACCGATACGGATACAATGGTGGATACGGTCGAGATCGAGTCCACACCGACAGCTACACCAACGACTACATGTACGGACTGGATTCTTGGTATGATACCTCAAATTGGGATGGAAGTCTCTCAGCACATGACTACGACTATAAAAGACGCCATGGCACAGTATATGATGACGATTGTGATGACGATGACAATTACTACCACACCTACGACGACTACGGCTCAAACCTGGACCTTAACTCGAGGTCGAACGCAGATGACTTCTACGACTATGAATACGACTACGACTACGGTTACGGTTACGGCGATGATTCCCATTACGACGACGACGACGACTGGTATAGACACAGACACGGCTATACTTCTGGCTATGACAGAGACCATAGTCGGGACTTGAGATACCATCGGCGCAACCACTACGACCGTAAATATGACCACAGATTGAGAAGAGATAGACATCGGCACAGACGACGACAGAGACAGAGACACAGGGACCGGGACATGGAAAGAGACAAGGGGTCCTACAGGAAGAGCAGGTCACCCAGCGACGATGGACGTGATATAGCACGCGCACAAGCACGAGCTGCTGAACAGATGGAATGGCTGTTCAGGGAGTATGGGAGTTAGAACCTTTCATCGAGATCTCGAAAGGAGAGAAATACAGAACTGATGCACGAGGATTGAGTGGGTGACGGACTGGGAAGGTTGAGCAGAAAAAGGGGCTGAATGGGGAAGAAGAGGAACGCGAAAACGACCACTCCTGAAACAGAAGCAGAGGTGCTATCACGACAATATGCGAAGGAAGTCGTGCATGCTGAGCTGGTTCCTGCTTGTTCGAAGAGGACGTTGTATTTTTTGCACATACACGCAAGGTATGCATGCTGATGTACACTCTTCATGAAAACGCCACAAAGAATGGTCCTCGTAGCCAAGGTATTGCACCTCCCCTGAGATAGGGACAGTTAACCTCTCATACGACGTTCATGGCGCACTGTCTTCGAAGTTGGGCAACACCTGGATTGCTCTAAAGCAACGTTGCGGCCGGGAGAACATGACAGGATGGATTAAATCAACCTCATTTCGGGTACAGACTGGCATATGTATGCATGGCCATAGCGGCTTCGGCCGCTGGGCGACAAGTTTGCAGTGGTCTCATGCCACATTCGGTTGTGAAATAGCTTACTGGTCGCAACTTGAATGTGAGTCGCTTCTCTTCCATCCCGCAGGAGTCTGTGATGATTTTCGCCTGTTGATAGTTGTCACACTTGTTTCTTCGAGAATCTGTAGGTATCACACGCCAGTCGATGCTTGCCCGAAACCACGCTTTTGTGTCGAAGAGAGACGAAATATCCCTCGTGGCCTTGATAGAGCCATGTAGGATCGAGAGCACCGACGCCCTTAAGGATCGAGCCGCGGTTCATCTGGACTGGCACACTCACCGCAAGAACGACACCAATGTTGCACCGGAAATAGCCAATAGCAGAACTGTGCCTAGTTCAGCGACATCGAATCCATACCGCTTTCAACCAAGCGATGAGCAGTGAGATTTTTGCCCTGGTCTGGCGTTGTTCTGGGTTCCACGGTGGACGTTGAACTCTGACATGACTGCTGGTGCAGACCGCCGTCGGACCACGCACCTCGTACCTGGAGATGGTGTGTACAGGGAATCGTAAATCTCGACACTGAGTGAGAAGCAGTAACCGAGATATCTAATACGAAGTCTCTCGAGAGTCGTCGAAAGTCGTATCAGATCGTCTTCCTCGACTTTTTCCGACTCTTGTAGTTCCCATCTTCTCGTCCTCGCTTTTGGCCCCTTCCGCCAGCTGTTATCGGGGTGCCTGCCATGTTTCTATGCTTCTGTTCGATGGCTCTTCGGACCTGGCGCATCTCTTCGTCTGAATCCACGTTCTTCGAGGCCTTCTTTGGCCGTTTTCGTGAAGGGGTTCGGCGATGCGAATGGTCGTGGTCTGCAGGATCCGCTTCCGAGTCGCCATCGGAGTCTTCTGACGCAGAACTCAGATCGGCGTCATTGTGCTCAGAGGGGGTCGCATGCGTGGTCCTCGGTTTGCCTTTCTGTTTGAAAGATCCATATGTCTGTCTGCCACAAGGTTGATTTGCCCAGATATCTTCGTCTTCGTCCCCGCCCTCGATGTCTTCTTCGTCCGAGTCTTCGCCGTTTAGTCCGTGAATAGACGAGAATCTTGATCCGGTGGCTCCATTAGATTGCGCTGTTACCTGGCCATTTGATTTGGAATTTGCACCGCCAGGGAACGCCATTTTCAGATCCAGGACCCATTCTGTATCTGCTCCATCTCCGCGACTGAATGTGCTGATCCCTCCTCTTGTGACAGTAACGGCACCGGCATGTGTTGCGTTGGTAGCACTCGGCGTGCTAGATGGGGTGGCCGGAGCCGATGGCGCGGGAGATGATGCCGTACTGCTTTCGATCCGTCGACGCTTGGAGGCTGGTTCGGTGGATGGTGTTTGGGTGGTACCTGCGGTGGGAGTGGATGCAGCAGATCTTTGCATGAACTGTATAAGGCACAGTTAGCATCTCATCATGGCTGGAGATATCCTGGAAGTGAGGCCACAGTGAAGATCGGCGGGAATAGTTCACCTTCATATTCAGCAGCCGCGACGACATCTGCTTTGCGGGCTGCTGAGACCTGGCATTGGGCGTGCTGAAGCCCGCCATCTTTGCAGGTATTGTTGCGCCCGTTGTCCACTGAGATACTAGTATCGCATCCAAGACAGCATGCTTTTCAACGCAACAGGTCGTTTTCAACTTGTGGTCGTCAAATCAGTCTGATCAGGAACAAGCCTGACGGCGACGACTACGTAGTAAGAGCCGTGAACGAGGAGATGTCTCCAAAAGAGGCAGACGACAATACACACAGGATGTCTGTTGCACGTGCATGCGACAATTGTTGTCTCTTCAATTCAAGATCGCAGTGCAACTAAACTACAAGTTCTCTAGGAAAAATGTTGACGCGTGAACAATGTGGAGAGGCCAGACAGAAGTACTAGTAACCCTAACCCTAAGGTGCCAGGCAGCGTGACTCGGAACCTACCAATGGGATCGCTATCCGGCGGGAAGGAAAATTGTTTTGCCGGACTTCCCCAAAAGGAAAGAGAGACTCCACTTAATCGTGTCACTTTCCCACAAGGCTGCCAGTTTTTTCTCCTGCGTCCGCTCCGTGGAGATCTGTTTGATTGAGAAAGAATTTAGGCCAGCCTCGACGTGGTGGAAAAGAATGGTAAAAGACTGACTCGATTCAGACTTATCCACCGACATCATGCAAGATCTCAAGTCCATCACGGACCGTATCCCCGGAGTCAGTGCGATGATATATATACCTAGTATGGGAGACACTGTCGCCCTGTTCCTTATCTTGACCGTTACGTCAATCTCCCGCTCCATGCTTTGACACAACACACGACGCACGACGCCCACGATACGTTCGCCACACCATCTATATGACCTTTTCCCCATGGAGACGCCCCAGTCCATCCGCGAGAAGGACGGCACCGTGACCGATACCGATTTTCCAACAACCACTATGTCTTGGTCACAGAGGGCGAGGCTCCGATTTACAGCTGATATCGACACGCGCTGGGCAGACACCATTCTGGTGGGATGTTTTTTCGTCTCGGGCATAGTGGACAGCGTCGTGTTCAGCACGTATAACTGCTTCGTCAGTATGCAGACAGGTAAGATAATTAGATAATTTGCGAATCGAACGATGCTCAAGATAAGATCAAAAGCTCATGTTGAACTAAAGGCAATACCATCTTCGCCGGTCTTGGAGTCAGCGATCTCCCTGCCGACATCCCACGATATACCTGGGTCAAATCGCTGGTCGCCATCTTGGCTTTCTGCCTCGGCGCATTCTTCTTTGCGCGATATCATCGCTACCTGGGTGCCTTGAAACGATGGGTCTTGATAACGTCATTCCTCATCCAGACCCTCTTCATGGTCGTCACCTGCATCTTGATTACTACGGGCGTGACACCGCGGACGAAACCCAATACTTCCGACCATGGGCGTGGGAGATACGATTGGATCGAGCTGTGTCCTATCGCGCTGTTGGCCTTCCAAAGCGCCGGCCAAATCGTTGCCAGTCGCGTCTTGAAATACAACTCCATGCCGACGGTGGTGTTGACCAGTTTATACTGCGACCTGATGAGCGATCCTCATCTGCTTACTGCCGGCTTGTTCGAGGATCCAGACCGAAATAGACGCGCCGTGAGTGCAGTTGCGCTCTTTGTTGGTGCGACTATCGGTGGCGCCCTGGTCAAGTCGGATGTCGGCTACGAAGGAGCTTTGTGGATAGCGACAGGCGTCAAGGGACTGATGGTGTTGGCATGGCTGTTATGGAAGCAAAAGAAACCGCAGTCAAAGTGAGGAGCTCAGTTAATTTTGGATAGATTTATTAATTCCTTCCTGGCCGCCGAGGCGATGGCCCGATCATCGCTTCTCGCCTTGAATGGTGGCCACTACTTTTCGCGCATGCTTCGATGCCCGGAACTCGAGATACCAGATCCCCTGCCACGTGCCAGTGTTCAATGACCCGTCGGTGATGGGAATCGTGATGCTTGCCCCGATCAACGCCGACTTGATATGTGCCTAGTAGATTGTCAGCGACTCTGAGCAGAGATGATTTCTGACCAGTTGGCCTACCGGCATATCATCCAAGCCTTCCGCCGAGTGTCTGTAGAGGTTTCCTTTCCGGTCTTCTGGAGCAATCCGGTCTAGCGCGTCGCTCATGTCCTCTCTTACATCGGTGTCCCAGTTCTCGTTCAACGACAGTGCGCACGAAGTGTGTTGTATGAACAGATTGAGCATGCCCACTTTGTAATTCTTCAGCTCTGGTAATGAGGAGACGACGTGGTCTGTCACTAGGTAGGAGCCTCGCGACTTGGACGGGAGAGTGAAGGTCTTCTGGAACCACGAGGTGGACATGTTGCTGGCGGTCAAGCAGGGTAGGCTGGAGAGCGTATCGAGAGGGAGACACCCGGGGGGACAGTTGATGATGGGGCGAGCGGTCGTCGGGTCTCGGGGAAATATCAGTCGGAAAGGTAGCCCAAGCAGGAATTGAGGCAATCCAGGGAAGAAGGCGACAACAATGATCAGGACGCAGACAACTGTAAAATACTTGGATTGAGTGATGTTTGTCGCAGGCATTTACGAGAAAGAAAAAGGGCAACGTTCGGGTTCAAGGTGTGAGCACTCGATTTCCAGAATCATCGTACTACGCACTCGACGCCGCTACGTCATGATTTCACGTGCTCAGTAGATGGCATCCAGCCAATCAGAATACGCAGGTATAGTCCAGCCTAATAGGACGTCCATCAATAAAGGAGCACCCTGTGTAACCCTCCTCCCCTCATAGCAAATTAATATCGATATCCCGATATAATACAATCATCGCGGCACGGGAAGATTGATTAACCTCGTTGAGCCGATGCCATGGCGCCAGAAAGTGATCGGCTTGAGGGATATGTTGCTGGACTCGTGTGCCCGGGGGTCTGGCATGGAGGGATACTAGTGAGTGAGTGGAGATGGGAGGAGTCAACGCTTGAAGAGTTGATGATTGTATCTCTGGGAACAGGCACACTGTCCGTCTTATCCTTTATTCCAAGGAGGAGCAACGTCCGGGCACGACCGACCGAGCTCTGGCTTATGCTTATGGCTTATTTGTTCGTACTCCGCTGACAAATGCCTTGGGCTCAAGATCGCATCAAAGACGACCATGATGTGCCATGGCTGATGGGGGTCAAGATACGAGTCGTATACCCCGAGTGCTACAAGCACGACTGTGTCCAAGTACTTGGCTATATATAACGGCCAGAAGGCTTGGTTTGACTTCTCCCCCGTTTCAGGCACAGCCAACTAGAAGTCAGAAATACTCCCAAGAAACTTATCCATAGTCGACCCAGCATCATATCATGGCCGCCAAATCCCCCGTCGTCCTCATCCTCGGCGCGGGCCCCAATATCGGGCAGGCCGTCGCCCGCACTTTTGCCTCTAAGGGCTACAAGGTCGCCCTCGCCGCCCGCGCCCTGAAGGAGGTCGACAGCACCGACAACCAGCTGAACATCCCGAGCGACTTCTCCAAGACCGACGATGTGGTCAATGCCTTTGACCGGGTGAAGAAGGTGTTCGGCATCCCCAGTGTCGTCGTCTACAACGGTAAGTCCTCGTCTCCCACGGTGCCGTCGCCGGCCGACTGACTGACGCGTCGCAGTCGCCGCCGTGCACTTCACCCCCGCCGACGACCCCTTCGCCATCTCCTTGGCCGACTTCAGTGTCGACACCACCATCAACATCTACAGTGCCTTTGTCGCCGCGCAACAGGCCGTCTCTGGATTTGCCCAGCTTCCGGCGTCAGCCGCGCGGACCTTCATCTACACCGGCAATGTCCTGAACGTCGCCATCCTCCCGAGATTTCTCTCCGCCGGCGTCGGCAAGTCGGGCGCTGCTCATATGATCTGGGTTGCCTCGGACGCGTACAAAGACCGTGGATACAAGTAAGCCCTCAATCCACTGGCACTTCGGGGATTCGCGCGTGGGAGACTAACGGTGTGAAGGTTCTACTATGCCGACGAACGGAAGGCGGACGGATCGCCCAAATACCGCGTCGACGGCGACGCACATGCGAAGCTCTACTGGGACTTGGCCCACGCCCCAACGCAGGGCCCGTGGATGCAGACATTCGTCGAGGGTGTGGGATACAAGAAGTTCGACACCATATATACGCCTGTCGCGTGAGGCATTATGGAAGTCGATGGTCGATGGTCGATGTGGTAGGTTCGGGCAGGCCGCTTTGCCTTAGGTAGACACTCGATGATGACTATATGTAGCTTGTGGGTGGACTATATGGCCGTAATGCTCGGGTTGCTTGCGCACTTGTACACGCGTTAGCCGGTGAGGGTTATGGTGGAGATACCGACCCTCATCCCCTTCGAGCTTATATCAACTGGCGGATTTCATTCACTTCAATCAGACGGCGTGGATCGGCCATCATTCGATTCATGGGCGTTCATTTCCTGATTCACTGTCCACGGGCACGGTAGGGCAAGGTATGTTTGCGCACTTCACCTCTTTGTCTTGTAATCCTTGCGTAGTTCAATAGAAGCAATCACGGCGCCAACAGAGATGGCTCCGAATAAGACAATTCTTCGCATCTCGCTAAAAAAAGCAGAGTATGTACATTCAACCCATTGTAATCACCTCTGGTGTAATGATTGATTATCAACACCCTGCGCTTCATGCTCACCCTTCAACAGTGGATAATGGCCTTGTACTTCACCCTTCATCGTGGGAGTGGCTGGCATCTCCACCTCTGCAGGATCTCCCGTCGGCGCAAGAGGATAGGGAGTCGACGGCAGCGATTCGAGATACTTTTTGTGCTCCTTTTTCGCCTGTGACAAGTTAGCTTCCTGTGGCATCCACTGGTCCAAGTCGCCCTACATATGGGAGCCCACAGTATGTGCACATGCAAACCTGCGGCTTGTCCACGTTGATGAAGATTCTGGGATGGCCTAATGGACCGCCGCCGCCATCGCAAGCAACGCTTTTGCCATCAACCCATCTGACAGGTTGTTTGTGGATCAGCTCAATGGCAGCATACGGTTGCGGCTGTGGTTTCTATCTTAGCTGGGATTCTCGTCAAAGACGGCAAGATTTTCCCACCTGAAGTTCGAAAATGGTTTGTTCAAATCTTGGTCCGGTCATGGCCAGCTCCCTCGGCATCTGGCTTCTTGACCACGGCTTCGCTCTGTTTGGTGCCTGCATTTGTCTCTGTTCCTCCGCGACATGGGCCAACTCTTGCACGGGCGCATCCTGATTGCCCATCGCATCCACCGGCGTCTCGTTGGTCTTGGAGACATTGGGCGTCAACTTCCGAGGCGAAGGGTCGTTGGCTTGTATGAAGGTCGAGCCGGTCCCGGGTCCTTCTCGCAGGAGGTGCGCTGAGGTAGATAGAGACCGAGAGGATGTCCTGGCGGCATAGTCCACGATCCTAGGGATCCGTGTCCGCACGGAAGATGCTAAGGAAGTCATGGCGGACGACTTGTCCCTGCTGTGTGACTGCTCGTGATCGAAGAACGTTGATGTCGAGATGAGGTTCAAGTTGTTGAAGCTCACTGATGGGGCCAATCGGAGATGTTGAATTGTTACATAAAAAGGATCACATGACCGGATACGGCGGAGTGTTGAGCGAACATACACCGCGTGGGCCACGCTCGCGATTCTAGGTCAAGTTTCCCCGTTTGCATCGTTGTATCTTGCAAACTCATCGTCCACTCGAGATGTACTTAGTAACAACGTGGGACAATCTTTCATACCCTCGACGCGTACGGCAACTAAGAAACAACAAATATGCTTTCCGGTCAGTGGAAACCTCACCGTACTTGTTGGGTGGAGTACTACACCTCCATGTGCCGACCTCCTGGCTTGGCAATAGACAGCAGGCACGCGGCTACCGCGTAACACTGCTAGTACTGCAGTCGCAGGAGCGATGAAGTATCTCCAACATCTTTCGCATTAGTTCTGTGACGAACACTAATTGACCACTTCAACGCTACACTGGCAGCTTGAAAGTGCTCATTGCATCCGCTTCATTCGTGAGATTTTGAGTGGTGTGAAAGATGGCTTCAGGTTACGATCGTGCACTATCAGGCAAGTTAAACCTCGGGCTCGTCTCCAACATAACATAGCTGACCGAAGCAGTCTTTAGGTACTACCGCAACACGTCGAGCCTTATGAGATCTATCGACTAACAAAGCACAGTCCTGATGGGCACGTCTTCCAGGTTGAATATGCACTCGAGGCAGTCAAACGAGGGACCTGCGCGGTCGGTGTGAAGGGGAAGGACATCGTGGTCTTAGGATGCGAGAAGAAGTCGGCCATGAAGCTTCAAGATACTCGGATCACACCTTCGAAAATCGGATTGATCGACCGTCACGTTTGTCTCGCTTTCGCCGGTCTCAACGCCGATGCCCGGATATTGGTCGACAAGGCAAGGGTAGAGGCCCAGTCGCATCGCCTCACCGTGGAAGATCCCGTCACGATTGAGTACATTACAAAATATGTTGCTGGTGTGCAACAGAGATACACTCAGAGTGGCGGTGTGAGACCCTTCGGTATCAGCACACTCATCATTGGATTCGACAAGGGCAGCAGCGAACCGAAGCTGTATCAAACAGAGCCTTCCGGCATCTACTCTGCTTGGTAGGACTATCCGATATGTTGCAGCAGTGCGGGACTGAGACTGACTTGACCCAGGAAAGCAAATGCCATCGGAAGATCTAGCAAGACTGTACGAGAGTTCCTCGAACGGAACCACAAAGACGACATGGACCGAGAGGCCACCATTTCCTTGACCGTCAAGTCACTTCTGGAGGTTGTTCAAACAGGAGCCAAGAATATTGAGATTGCCATCATGGCACCAGGAAAGACGATGGAGATGCTCCCAGCCGAGGAGATCGAGCAATACGTCAAGACAATTGAGGCCGAAAAGCAAGAAGAACAAGCAAAGAAGAAGCCGGGAAGACAGGGCGGCTCCGGCACAGCATCACTGCCAACGCGGCCGTTAGCTGAGGGCGAAGGTAGTGGTGATATTTGACCATCAGACACCTGTTGACACGTCCTTTGCATTAGCGTCCGGAGTTTTGGTACTGAATAAATCCAAGTGGGCTTTCCATGCTTTTTCCCGTCGTCGCACTGTTATATCATTGACATATCGTTGCGGTGTGGCCTCGATGCCCAACAGCGCATCATTACTTCATTTTGCAGAATAGCGTAGCATAGTAGACGCCGAGACTCAATTGCCTAAGTAGTACAGCGCTCAATCAATGCATCTCGCACAGTGAGCTTGAGCTTGAGATTAGCCTAGCCGCCCGTTCCAATCCTTTATGTCGAATATGGACTGCTTCTCTGGCTGTTTGACACGGTCGTCCTTGAGCATCCTACCACTTGTCAACTCTGTTTCCCTCGTGGACAGCAGCAGGCTTACCTGGCATCCATCCGCGTATCCTCGCTCTCAACCTTCAGGGCCGCCTTGGGCGTAGCTGCTTCGATGACAAAGTGATTGTCGCAGTTCGGACAGTACTCGTCACTGATTCCCTTTCAGCCTTGACCATTTTGTCGACGAGTGCCAGGGAAGTCGCCTCACCTCTCATCCCAGTCCTTTGTGTTTTTCCGGAAAGCTTTCTTACACTTTTTGCAGACGAAAGTCTATATCACGCATCAGCGAGAGGACTATTGGAACCCTTCGTGCATCTGGCTTACCATGTCAAAACTCTGTAACAGTGGATGGTCTTCTTGCTCGGCATGGCACTCTGCACAGTCGAACCACTTCCGACCTGACAATGGGGGTTGCGCAATCAGTGCGCGTTCAAAGGGCGCAGTAATGCCCAATAGACTATGTGGTGGAACTTACAGCATGGCGACCGTATCGACACTTGGGCGTTCAGAATGTGTTTGCTGGTTAGACGTCGAGACTTAGTATTCTGTCTGGGGGTTGAGGTTGGATCAGGGGTTGCGAAAGGAATCGACTCTTACCACATGGCGTTCTATTGGAGTTCGGGAGACTGGCTGGATTTGTGAAACCTATACTTCCTCTAACGTATCGATTCTCGATCAAACCATCTAGGCACCTTCCGTGTTGCTGCTGAGACACAGGCGCGTCGCCGTCATGCGAACTCGAAGACAATATTTACTGTGTACGTACTCCACGAGTCAGTTCAACACCCAACGTGACCTATCGCTGACTCGCGCCATCAATCCCCCTTTTCGCTCGGAAATCGCATTGGGAAGTAAGTTATCTCTCTCGTGTACAATACACGCCTGTCCCCAGTTATCGAAATGCACCTGGTCAAGTCGTGTCACTGTGATTTTCTGGTCTTCTTTTTCAATTTGCTCTTCTGCCACCGAGCCTGAAACCCTGGAATGGTGTGCCCATTTATGGGACACAACGACATTATCTTGGAGGAACTAACTGATGGGTTTGAATCTTGATATATCTGTATACAATGAAAGATACAAACGCCGGACCGCAACGTACAGACAGAACTGTACGATCAACTGATTGACATAGAAGACATTCTTCGAGTCGATCATGGAAGATATGTACATGCCGAGGACTGTTGTTCCCATGAACAGGCTTGCATATCGACTGCAACGCGGATCGTTGGTGAGAGCACCGAGAGACCACTGGATAACGAACAGGCAAATGATATACATGACACCTTGAGCCACAGTTTGGCATGCCGCATATTCTTGATCGCTTGTGCCGACTGACAAACAAGCACCTAATCTGGCAGGAGAGATAGTATGAACCCGACTCCGAGCGCACTGTCATACCCATCCATGTGGGGAGGCCCATTCGCTTGTCGGTTGAGGTCGTTAGCTTCTGCATCCTCTTGAGCATATGCGAATTGGGAGAGACAACATGCCCCGTCCTCAAACATCTGGCAGCGATTCCGAGCACCGCACCTCCGAAGTATGGAACCCATAAATCGCCTGTACGGTTGGAGTATCACAAACCACCGGCCTACGAAAGGTGGCCGATGCCCGTAGACATCAAGGTCAATTTGGCCTTTGTCGGGTACCGAGCGGGCTCGGTGATCCTTTTAGATATTCAAGACTGTTTCCATAGCCACACCTATCCTCGAACCCTGGCTCGGATCTGCGAGAGTATCCATCTCGGGACCGGGACGGTTTGATATGCAAGGTTGTTGACCCAATCAGAAATTGCCAGCTCCTCTTCCCATGGATAAGCCATTGAAGAGCTTATAGGCCGGCTGACATTGTTCCTATCGAAGTCTTCTACTAAACAGGCTCTCGTCGCAGTCCATAATCGGCACTACTGTACTATGTCCCTGCCTAATGAGCTCCTAAGGGCTACAAGGGTTGTCTCGTTATCAATGTCCCTGATGGTGATGGTCGTTGGCCTCACGATAGGCACATATTGCATAACTAAGTCTCGCAGTTCGTTTGGCGCCATACTCCGTCCACCTCACAATCTTATCTCCCAGAGAGGCAGGAGAGATAACCAAAAACATGGCTCAACAGACAACCGAAACAGCCAGAAGGCCCACTCTTAAAGATACCTGAAGCAGCCTGGCTGCCAGTCGCACAGGACCTTACAATCATGTGAGATTGTTATATATCTGCCAACCCCTGTTCGCTCAACGGTCGATGAGGAAGAGAGAGAAAAGCAGGGTTCTGTGACAACCCCAGTCAACCAGACAAGTCTTTCGATAGATCGAAAGGAATACTTGTTGCATCATGGCCCTGAAACCATGGGAAGAAAAGGCCAAAAGCGCTCGAGACTATCGTGACTCGACCCTGAGCAAGGTTGAACCTCCTTTTCCGCCTCTACCGGACCCTCTGCCACTGTCTTCACAAGATCTACCCAAACAGTACCTCACAGCGCGAGAATATGAGCTTACGCAGAACTACGATGCCGTTGAACTTCTGCAAATGCTACGGACCAAGCAGGTCACTTCTGAGGAGCTAACAAAAGCCTTTCTGCGCAGAGCAGCTCTCGCTCAGTACGCGGTAAGCCTAGCTCTGCTGAACTGAGAGTACGAGACAACTGAGACGTTCATGCCTGGCTTCTAGCTTAACTGTGTGACCGAACTCATGTGGGATGAGGCGATTGAGAGAGCGAAATACCTCGACTCCTTACCCGAGCCCGTCGGTCCTCTACATGGTCTACCGATCTCTGTGTAAGTAGCCCCCTTGTCTGGGTGTTTCTCTCTTTCTTTTCTGTTCTGCCGCAGAGAACCCAGTCCGATGAGTGCCCAAATTACTTCTGAGAAATGAGAAGGTTTCTTTGTTCACTCCAACCTGTACGTTTTGTTTCAAACGCTATGACTTGCATTGCAATAATGGGCTTGAAGCCTCGGTGGTGCTCTAACACTCTGAACTATGAGAGTTTTCCATCAGAGTGGAAACGGAGATACATCCCCCGAAAAGATGCTAATCCAACTATGTAGAAAAGAGCACCATTCCATGTTCGGCGAGAAGACGACAAATCACGCTTCTTACGTCGCCTGGATCGGTACACCCGGCGCGACAAATCCAGTAAATGACTACCTCTACGACGCTGGATGCGTATACTACGCCAGAACGACCGGCCCACAAACATTGATGGCTTTGGAATGTGACAACAACATCTACGGCAAAACCGTCAATCCGTGGAACAGGAATTTAACCAGCGGCGGAAGCAGCGGTGGGGAAGGAGCCCTTGTAGGCTTCAAGGGCAGTGTCTTGGTATGGACTTTATTGGCGCTTCAATCAACCATGATTCATGAAATACATGCAGCATGCTAACTACAACATATTTGCAGGGCTTGGGAGGAGACATCGGCGGCAGCGTGCGCGCCCCAGCCAGCAACAATGGCGTGTATGGGTTCAAGCCCACGACGAAACGCATTCCCGGCAAGGGAATGAAACACGTGGCAGCCGGGAAAGAATCAATCCATGGCACGATTGGGCCTCTCGCACAAAGTCGCGAGACGATCAATCTCTTCATGAAGACGATCCTCGACAACGAACCGTGGCGCCACGACGCCGGTCTCACGGTGAAGCCATGGACACCCGAGACGATCACGGCGCCCCTGAAAGTCGCCATCGAATGGCACGACGGCGTGGTCAAGCCTCACCCACCGGTGATCCGAGCGTTGCAGATGGTCGCTGACGCGTGCAAAGCCGCCGGAATGGACGTCGTGGATTGGGAGCCCTACAAGCACGACAAGGCCTGGGATATCGTGTCGGGCCTTTACTTCCCGGACGGCGGCGAAGCGATCCTGGCCCCGATCAAAGAAAGCGGCGAGCCGATCATGCCACTGACCAAGTTCATCGTCGAGCAACCGAACGTGAAGAACCGTACTATGCACGAATACTGGGACCTCTGTGTGGAGCGCGACACGTACCGGGACGAATATGCCGCGCATTGGAGCAGCATGGCTGAGTCGGGCAAGGAAGTCGACGTTATCATCTGCCCGACGACCCCCGGGGCAGCGCCGCTGCACGATACGGCCACATACTGGCCATACACGAGTCAGTGGAATCTGCTGGATTATCCGGCCGCCGTATTTCCCGTGACCTTTGTCGATCCGGACAAGGATAAGAAGGACGAAAACTATGTGCCGATGAACGACCAGGATAAATACAACTATGATCTGTATGATCCGCAGAAATGGGTCGGCGCGCCTGTTAGCCTCACTATCGTGGGCCGGAGGCAGATGGACGAGAAAGTCATGGCTGCCCTGGAGCTCGTGGAGAAGGCCATGGGCCGAAAGTGATTGGATAACGCTGGGCCATGCATAGGTATGATAGTGCGATATAGCCATAGATTGGACTCTCAACAGCCACGGTGGTAGCCCCGGCAGCTGGCTTGTACACCAGTGCTGCTCATATCTGGAGTTTGCAGGGGTACGGCAAGACACTTCATGACTATGCAGCATCTTTCGTGATTGTCATCTCCTAGCAAAGCATCTCAATGTCTGGATGGGTTCAAGTTTCAATACCAAGTCAGGCAGCTCCCGACAGAGGCCGAGCCCGTTCCTACTTTCTTTCCTCTTTGAGCGAGGAATGTAATCAATGTATATTTTCATGCAAGACAGGCTTCCAAGCTCCAGTCCTCATTTAGGTATACGGCAGCGTCAAGTCAAACTCCTCAAGTCGTGGCAAATGCCAGAAGATCGAGCCATCGGGCCATCGAGCCATCGATGAACGTATGTATATTTGTGGTGTATATATATACAACCAGATGGTTGGTAACAATCGGCAGGTTGCGGCAGATATTATGTACAGTCCAGTAGTGTTGCTTTACCTCTTTTTTATATCGGTCAGTGAGATATCGACCCGTAACGCCATGTTCCACCACACCTTTCTTTTAATGGTTTATAGCCCCCGTCTGCCATAGGCAACCAATTGATTTGGCCCTAGGAAGACGCCTGCAAGGAATAACAACCACGGGTGAAACGCCACCTTTTCCAGATGAGGGATTCTGTTTGGCTCGGATTCTTGGGAGCCATATCGATACAGCCCATGAATCATGCCCGTAGCCCCGGGCTGCCTTTTGCCTGGTAGTTGTTCGTGCTTCTGGGAGATCCGGAGGTTGGAAAGCAAAAGCCATAGTAAGTTTGTTCGTCTGTCCGGGGGGACAAGACGTAACTAGAAATTGAGAGTGAAACTTGGCCGCCTGTTCGCATGCGGAACTGTCCTGCTCGACCCCGATCCTGCTGTGCGAACACTTCGGTTGGTAGTGGTGCGGTGAATGGACGACGTGGTTCGTGCTATGGCCAGGGATGCCTCGCTGACATTGTCGTCCTCTTCGGTGTCGTCGTCGGAGAAGACACCCTCCTCGTCCGCGGCGGGTGGCAAAAGACCAGGGTTCTCTCTGTCCATTTCGTCTTGGCCCTTCAGTCTTGGCAGAGAGATGGGCCATACAAGCACGATACTCAGGAACGTGAAAATGATGCCGACCGCGAAGGTGACACGAATACTCTGCGCGTAGGCATCAATGACCTGTCCCTTGTGCAGGGGATCCAGGGTGGCGATTGACTGAATCGACTTGCGGACCGTGCGGATGATGGCTTCCTTGGCCGCTTCGTCCGGGGCGGTGACTAGGCGGTAGAGATAGACCAGGAGCGCGTTCTGAAGGACCCAACTACTGATGGCGACGCCCAAGATGGCACCCAAGTTGCGCAGCAGGCCTAGCGTGGTCGTTACCACCGCTTGCTCGTCCTGAGAATGCAGCGACAGCACCGAGACAGTGGTTGCGGGGAAGAACAAGCCTTGCCCGGTGTAGCACCACGGAATCAGGAGGGGGACTGCCCACTTTGGCGTGTCGCCCCTCAGACAGGCAGCCAGAATGGTCCCGATCAGGGATGCGCCCGTGCCGACGGTGATGGGCCCCTTCAGTCGGCGCGTTTTGGTGATATAGAACCCCACGGAAACCGAAGTGATGGTGCCGCCTATAAGAGGCGAGATCAGAAACAGACCGGACTCGGTGGGACTCGTTTGCCTGACTGCCTGCAGGTAGAGGGGGACGTTGAAGATGATGGTGTTTGTGGCGATGGCCCCGCTGACGTTGGAAAACATCAGGTTCGCGGTTGGGATGGTCGACAAAAGCTTGACGGGCATGATGGGTAGGTACGCCTTTCGTTCGACGAAGTATAAAGAGGCCGCTGCTACGACGAACAGGACAAGACTGCTGATCACCACCGGGTGGGTCCAGGGAAAGACGTTGCCGCCGAGGTTGACGCCAAGGATGAGGCAGCTGACGGTGACTGTCAGGAAAATGGCGCCTAGACTGTCAAACGTCTTGAAGGACTCCCGGATGGTTTTGCCCTGGGTTTTGGCAAGATTCGGGCCTAGGTCGGCAGGGCAGGACAAGAAGGCGAGCATCCCGTAGACGAAGATGAATGGAAGCTGCAAGTAGAATGCGGCGCGCCAGCCAAGGCGATCGCAAAGGAGCCCGCCCAGTGCGGCACCCAGGCCGTTACCGAGACCATATGACTGAAAAGCAGCTTCATGTTAGTGACTGTCATGAGGAAGCGTTGCACCCGAACATGCTCAGGCTGACCAGGGAAGGGAGGAACCATAGAGGACAGTTGGATACCAGGATATCGGAGACGTACCACATTGAAGTAACTTTGATAGATGCCTCGATACTCGATCTTGACTACATCGCTTGTCAAGATGCCTGCCATGGAAATGACGCCGCCGGCGCCCAATCCGCAGACTCCCCGAGCGGCAATGAAGCTGCCAATATTGCCGGCGGCACCACACCATGCCGTACTAAGAAAGAACATGGTGATGGCAGCCAGAAACACAGGCCGCCGGCCAATTGTGTCAGACAGGCGACCGTAGAGGGGCTGGAAGACCGTCGACGTCAAGTAGAAGACGGTGCTGACCCAAGACGCTGCATTGGAGGCGTGAAAGTAGGAAGTGATCACGGGATGTGCCGAGGCCATCAGGGTACTATCGAAAAAGGCAATGGTTGACCCGAAGATGATGCTGGCGAAGAGGAAGCGGAAGCGGGGACCCGTAATGTTGCGATAGTGCACGTCGGCGGGCTTCTCGTCCGCAGCTTTTGGTTTGGGGAGGAGACTGGTCGTCTCTGTAGGTTGATGGCCATCTGCTTCTTCGGCAGTTGGGTCGACCAGTGGTCGGTTGGCTTCAGTGTGGTTGGACATGATGCCACCAGAGCCATATGAGGGGCTCCGGGCGAACTCAAGATAGTCCACGAGAAAGCTAAGAGCCGTCTGACTTTCCTCCTGTCAGGAGAAGCCGACAAGACGACGCGGACCAGGTCCCGAATGCCCCGGTGTTTGGCCTTGATGCCGGCCGGGGAGCTGAGCTGCCTTGTACCACGGCTGTTCGGTGAAGATAGATATAAGTAGATGTAAGCGTGGTCCGTGATAAGACTGTACTATAACTTGTCCAGTCCAGGAAATCTGGAGCGGAGGTCGAGACCTCGAATGGAACAATGGATGGATGAATGGATGGGTGTAGATGGATAGATGAGAAAAGTTGAGTCGATACCTAAATAGGTATCTGCAGTAGATACAAGATTCCGCATGTGGATCCCGCGGGTCCTCGGAGGGTTCACCGAGCCTTGGCGCTTACATAATTCCCTCATCGCCAATCAGAATACGCGGTTCGGTAGTGACTCATCCCGAAGGGGCGAAGGGCGACGGGCGTGGTGGGCGATTCCCATACTAAAGCCTGTTCCGATCACCTCAGGCTGTGATCGCAAGCTGAGCCTGGCGACAATCCCTGTTCCAAGCCATTCTCGGACCCTCCGGTACTACGCTGAGGCGGTCGTTCCGAAACAAATATGAACCTCAAAGTCCCCCGACCGTTACGCATCGCCATCCTCGAATGTGACACGCCTCTGCCCGAGACCAAGAAAAAGTACCAAGGCTACGGTGGCGTGTTTGAACTCCTGCTCCGCGCGGGCGCCAGGGCGTTGAACCGACCAGATCTCGACCCCGACACCGGGCTCGAGTTCTCGAGATGGCAGGTTGAATCGGAGCCGGACAAGTATCCCGACCCGTCCACGATCGATGCTATCTTGATCACAGGTTCGAGTAAGTTGTCCTGCCCGCAATATGATATATCAAGGCCACCACCGCTATAGTTGTGAGAGGGATGGAATCTCACGGTGTGCTCGTGGAAAGAGCTGGATGAGGATAGGCTCATCGCTTTCCGAGAGATAGGGGATGGTGGAAATGGGTTACTTTCTCTTGCGCCTACTATACACAGAACGGATGGGTTTACAGCACAAAGAACGGATTACTGACGGCTTCTTTTCTTTCTTCTTTCTGTTTAGAACACGACTCGTTCGCTGATACACCCTGGATCAACAAACTGGTCGACTATACCGCCAAAATCCTGACCGAGACCAAGGTCCGCGTGATCGGCGTGTGCTTCGGCCATCAGATTGTCGGTCGTGCCTTGAAGGCCGAGGTCGGTCGCAATCCCGCGGGATGGGAGGCGGCGGTGAACGACGTCCAACTGTCGGCCAAGGGCAAGGAGCTTTTTGGGGTTGACAAGATTGTAAGTCTGGTTTTGTGTGTTCATGTGCATGCTGTGCCCTTTTTTTGCCGGCAGTCGGCATTTCTGGCATGCCTCACGGAAAGCAGATTTTACAATGTCCGTTGCTTGCATTGATGAGACTATTGGGCTAACCCACTACTGTGACCCGCTTCAGCGCATCCACCAAATGCATCGCGACTGTGTCTTCTACTACCCGGAAGGCGTGGAAGAGCTCGGCTCCTCCCCGGTCTGCAAAGTCCAAGGAATGTACTCCCCGAAACGACTCTTCACGGTCCAAGGACACCCCGAGTTCAACCAGGAGATCATGACCGAGATCATCAACACGAGACACGCGACAGGCATTTTCGACGACAAGGCCTTCCAGGAGCATATCGGGAAAGCCGGCTTGCCTCATGATGGATTGGTCGTGAGCCAGGCGTTCCTCAAGTTCTTGTTGGAATGATGGCCATGATTCGTAGTCGAGTTGTGTGGATTGTTGGATACCAGCACGCATTGGAGTGGTGGACTGTGGCAGGCTTGGGGAATATCATTAGATTTGGTATTCGATGGATCATCTGCATTTTCTTCAATGCGATCGTAAATTCTTGGGATACGCTGGTATCCGAGCAAGCTGTTTCGGTAATGCTTGACCAACCACTGGCATTCCACTGGACTAGACCTCGATCCAGATGGTTGACCATAAGCGGTCATTCCCTGCCACGCCATCCTCTGTTCTTTCACGAGACTGTTCGATCAGCATCGGCCGCCCCAGCAGGGATCCTCCCCTCCGCCAGATCCTTCTCAATCCGCGTAATCTCGGCCAGACTCTTTGCATTCTTGATCATCTCTTGTACCCTCTTCTTTTCCGTCTCGGTCAGCTGTGTCCGCACGCCCTTTCTCGCACCCTCCGCCTTGCCATTAATTCCCGTTGCGGAAACATCAAATGTCCGACTCTTGACACCTCTGATCTTGGCTGCCAATTCGGTCGGCGCGTCCGCAGTTCCGAACAATTCTTTTGCCTGTTCCCGCTCTGCGTCTCTGACCTTCTGGAAATCGAGGAAGCGTATCGACGGGACCGCCCAAATCAGATATAATCGATAATGCTGGCAAGGTGGAAACAAGTCAGCCCATTGACGTGCTTTCTCCTGATGGTGTCTCCAAGATCGTATCTCGCCTGGCTGCCTATATTGCAGGACAACTAACTCACCTCTTTTCTCGTCACGGGATTCTCCAGCAGGCTCAAATGCGTCAATCTTCCACACAGAGTCAACCCCTCCAAGTCAGCCAGCTCTTTGACATGGTTCGCCGTCAGGACCAACGTGGTCAGATTCGGTAATTGTTCCGCGATCTTCTTGTCCACGCCTTGTATCCGATTCCGCGCACACAGAAGGGTATTCAGTCTCGGGGAAAGTGGAAAGTTGGTGAGGATGGCGATGTCGTTGTCGGTGAAGTCGATGGCATCTTGTGGGCCTGCGGCACCCAGGTTCTCGATGGCAGGGATTCTATGGCCTACACAACCCGGGAAAAGGTGTGGTCAATTATGGTCTGTTCATGCTCTTCGTCTTTGCTTATGCTTATGCTTGTGCTCTTGCTCTTCTGGACAAACAATCTTCAAGACAAAGTGTAGTATCTGCTCTTTTCAGACGTACCTCGGAGATCCAGTTCACGCTCTTTCAGAGGATTGAGATAGGATAGGGAGTTGTGGATGAGATCGGCTGTGAGCCTCATCGTTGCGGTGGAGGTGTTGTGTCTCTTCTACGATCGCCCTCAAGATGAGTGAAAAGGCGGTCTGGTATTAGAGGTGTAGGTGGTAGCGGTGTACTGTGTATAAGTACCGCCCCTTTCAGTGTTTATTAGACATTGACATGCATGAACACGATGAACAGCCGGGGTACAACAGTACTATTTCACGTCGAGATTTTGCGCAGGCGATGCGATTGGTTGCCCTGCGGCGCGGGAGCCAGCCTTGTACGGCGCAGTAGTTGAAACGCAACTGCAGTGATGATACGGAGGGTGATACGGAGACGATGTGAAGAAAGACACCCATAATGCGCTGCACGTGCCCTGGCGGAGACGCAGTCCGCTGCCAAGGCCGTAGCGCCCCGACCAAACGGTCTTGGCGCCGCCATCATCCAACTTGAACTCAGCTTGGGACGCCGCGGCCGCCTTCGAGTTGGACTTCGATTTGAACTTGACCGGAGTTGATGTTGATACCATACTGGACTCTCATTTCCTGCCATCGCATTCCAAATACACATCCTCCCATCGTTGACCAGCTCAATGGTGACCTTCCAGTTGAAATCTATGGAAAAATAGACTCCATGAGATCCAATAACAAATCTTACTGTGAGAAGGTCTCCCGCGTTATTAGATAGTACGAATTACGGTAAATGGGCCAGATCGCCACATGAGTATTCTGATTGGCCAGGAACAGTTCCTTATCTCTTACTATACCTACGTAGATATTGATCATCTTGATTTTGTTACGCCATTCGCCAACTAACCAACGGCTTCTAACCCGACTGCGTCGTCGACAGCAGCTCTTGCATGCCATCCACCTGCCTTTCTCGTGCGCCAGGAAGATCTTGGCGGGGCGGGAACAGCGCAATCTACAGCCATATACCACACAGGAACCTCTTTCACAGGTCCTCCGACTTCATCGAGCTCCGCTGCCAAGGAATATCAAGCGAGAATGAACTTAAAGGGGTCGTGGCGGCGGCGCGGCGTGGCTTTAGAATCGCATTTCTCATCGTTTCACCGTCACTCTGGGTGGTAAGGACTCCACCAAGGACTGATAACAGCCTTGGCCAAACCTGAGCCTTGTCTGGAGCCAATGGTGTGCTACCTGCTCCAGCCTCCAGGGGAAGGCCTTCTTCAATTCTGCATAGTCAAATACATCCTAATCGACCACGACAACAGACCATGTCTATCTTGCCTAGCAAGCGGATTCCCTTGCTAATAATGAAGGTGGGTCACTGATCTTCCAAGACGCCCGACGCGCAAGTCCTCGCGCGTCGTCCGCGAACCAGGTAGGCACAGCTGCTGGTGCCACGAGCCGTGTTCTTAGCGGCGATGGTTGCTTGTCATATAACGCCCTGTGGGCGGGTGCATTGCCCCGTATTTTTCAGGACCAAGAAGCTGGGTGTTTTTGAGGGGTGGGACAGATATATCTTCTCTGGCAGCTGCATTCCTTGCCACGATTCCTCTTTTCCCTTCCCCTATTGTGGATTGTAGCGGTAGCAGAAACATACCATTGCACCACTGCTACTTTGGCACGGCCTGTCCAAGCAAGGATGGATCCTGTAAGTCGACATGACACCATGTTATTGTCTTTCTTCTGACTGACTTTTGGTTCAGCCCGAGTTCGACCCTTCGGCAGCCAATGGCGGTAATACCCATGAAGTCGATGTCAATGCCCAATTCGCCGGCTTTGAATACCATGCTGTGTATATCGGCATCTGCGCTTATCTGGTCTGGATGATTATCCCTGGTCTTGGTCTGCTGTACGGAGGACTGGCCCGCAGAAAGTCTGCCCTGGCGATGCTATACCAGTCCTTTGGAGTGGTGAGTGAGGACAATTCAAACGTGAAACGACTGCGGAGACTGATTCCCACCCCGTGACAGATCGGAGTCATCTGCTTCCAATGGATGTTTTGGGGATATTCTCTGGCCTATTCTCGCACTGCCAGTTCCTTCATCGGTGACATGGCCAACTTTGGCATGCAGAACGTCACGGCAGCGCCATCCCCGGGCAGCCCATATCTGCCTGAAATCGTCTTCTGTCTCTACCAGCTGCTTTTCTGCATTTGCACGGTGATGATCGTGGTCGGTGGCGCGTTTGAGCGCGGTCGTATTATCCCGTCTCTATTTTTCGGGTTTTGGTGGGCAACGATTGTGTAAGTCAGTCTGTGGAATTGCATCCGGATCGAGCCACTAAACTCGTCATCTCAGATACTGCCCTATCGCTTGCTGGACCTGGAATAGCAATGGCTGGCTGTACAACCTCCCTTCCCTCGATTACGCTGGAGGTGGGCCCGTTCACGTCGCCAGCGGTTGCTCGGCTCTCGCCTACGCTCTGGTCCTCGGCAAGAGAAAGCTTCACGGCCATAGGACTGCGATGAGACCACACAATGTCTCAATGGTTTTCATTGGCACCTCTCTGATCTGGTTCGGCTGGTATGGCTTCAATGTGAGTACCGGCCAACCGTTAGCATGGTCCGCAGTAATTGACATAATGCAGGGCGGATCGACTCTCAACGCCACCATTCGATCCTTCTTTGCTGCATGGAACACGAACGTCTCGGCGGGAATGGGCGTCATCGGCTGGTCCGTTGTCGATATGATCCGAAATAAGGGCAAGCTCTCCCTCGTGGGAGCATGCGAAGGCGCAATTGCAGGCCTCGTCGGTTTGTTGGCTCCATGAGAAACAAATTGATCAGGCATCTTGTACTGACATTGTTGACCAGGTATCACACCGGCTGCCGGGTACGTGTCGGTGTGGCTTGCTGCTGCCATTGGTCTCATCACTGCCATGGTCTGTGCTGCGCTTCAGGATGTCAACGACTGGCTACATATCGACGAAGGCATGGATGTGTTCAAGCTTCATGGCATTGGTGGAATGGTCGGCTCCTTCCTGACCGGCATCTTTGCCTCCTCATCCGTGTCGTTGCTTGACGGCTCCACGGATGCACCTGGTGGCGTCGACGGTGTTGGCGCCCAAGTCGCGAGGCAGCTGGCCGACATCGCCGCCATCTCCAGCTACTCCTTCACGGTCTCGCTCTGCCTTCTTTACATCATGAAGGTCATTGGCAAGTACATTCCATTCATGGCCCTCCGCATCAGCGAGGAAGCTGAGATCCGTGGTATCGATGAAGACCAATTTTTCGATGAGGAGGTTGGCGACTGGTCCTTGTTTGAGCATAGTGGCATCACACACGAGTCGAAGATGGTTTCAACCCCTTCTACTCCGCCAGACGGGGCCGACAAGAAGACGGCGTCTGTTGAGCCAGACTCAGCAACGGCATAAGGTTGGCCGATACAACAGACGTGCAGAGGTCATCTGGTCGTTTGAACGCCAGTCATACCTCAGTGCCAAATAGGAGCTATGTTGATCTGCCATCTCTAAGCATTGATCGAGGCACTGGATGGTTTGTATCTGAGTAACATTGGGTAGTTTTGGTGCATAAGTGAGCGATCGTCGAGTCGCCAATCATAATCTGGACCTTCGTCGCCCTTCCTTTACCTTGACCTCCGCGGAATCCACCGCTGCGCCTTCAACATCTTGGAACATCTGCTCATTCAGTTTGGCGGTCAACGAGAGCACCCGCACAGACACAGCCGCACCATCCCTGCGGTTCTTGCCCTCCCGTCGGTAGAGCGCGATCGCCTCGATGAAGTCCCACAGTCGTCCAGAAGCTCTGAGCTCACCTGTGTTCGGATCTCGTTCCGGCGTCCAGTCAGGGGCCAGTCGCACCATGGTCGGAGTTTTGGAGTCTTTGCCTTTGGCGACAAGGATAATGCCTTCTTCTTGGAACCGGGTGTAGGCGTTTTTGAGTGACTCCTTATTGATTGCCTCGAAATAGGAGAGATCACCTTGGTGGTAGAGGGTCCGTCCGACAAGTTGAGCTGTGCTCTGAGCCTTTTGCATGTCAATCCAGGGTGTGGTGGAAGCCAACGGCGGCACCAACAACAGCAAGGAGACTGCCCCGAGCCAGCCGGCATCCACAAAGGGCCAAATTAAAAAGCAGTAGAAATCGAAGTTCTCTCGTCCGAGTTTTCGTTCGGCGTCCGATAACCCAATCCATCGTTCGCCACCACTCTCTGTTGCCTGGAGTACATTATCACGTAGCAAGCCTTGCAGGGCCTTGTCCAGATTATGCCGCAATCCGTGCCCTGCTGGGAAAATGAATTCACCCCGGAATAGCTGGGACAAAAAGGTAACCTTCCGAGTCAACTCAGATTCTGCCACACGCTGATTGGCACTGCCACCGCCCTGCTTGACCTGGGTATACAGCGCCGCAGCTAGGAGGGCTTCTGATATGAAGAGGTGGATGGTCATGTTCCGGTAGAACGAGAGCTGGAAACGATCCACCGCGTAATATGTTTCCTCAGCTAGCCCCTCGACAGTGCCAACCAATTTCGGTCCCAGCACCTCAAGAGCGCGTTCGACCACATAGGACGTGGGCATGCCGTGGAAGTCCGCAACTTTACCTCCATTGGCCCTTGTTCTTGCGCAAAGCCAGTCAACTCGGCGGATCAGCTCAGATTTACCAACACCCCTGCCTCGGAGGGTGAGCAGGATGGTACCAACCAAAGCGGTGGGCATGATGACAGAAGCGGTATTGATGTCGGCAAGAACTTTGTAACCCAGAGTGCGCAGCAAGCGTGTTCTGGTCTTTGCGTCGGTTGATCCGGCAGAGAGTTGGAGTGGGCCGTCTTCGCGCCGTTGCTGTCCCTCAATGAAGTCTTTCAAACTCCACGGCTCGTGAAACCTGCAGTCGACTCTACCCAGGTTGAGGGATAAAACCTTGGACGATGAAAGGAAAGCCGCCAGGTTCTCCTTCTCCTTGGGTTTCCCCAACAATTCGCTCACGTACGAGTCAACCTCGATGACCTTGTCGTATTGCAAAGACACTGGGCATATATAAGCATCCTCCGTCCGGCCTGACAGAACCGAATCGAGAAGGAAGCTCAAGATCCCAAAGCGAGGTTGTAGCAACTTCCCGGTGCGGCTCCTGGTCCCTTCAATGAAGCACTCTAGGTTGTAGCCTTTCTGAAGAAGGGTGTCCAAGTAAGCCTGCACGAGAGTCGTGTATAACTGGTCATGATCAAAGCTTCGCCTAATCCACATTGCCCCGACACTTTGCAAGAAGCTGCCCACGAGAGGAAAGTTCAAATTGTCGCCCGCCACGACGACAGGCAAAGTCAGGCCAAGGCGATAGCAGACCAAGTGCAGGGTGACATAGTCTATATGGCTGGTATGACGCGGTAGGAATATAATGGACTGTTTCTTCTTCGCAGCTTCTGTCGCGATCTCCCGCAGTCTCTTTACCTCGGCCTCTGAGACGTGGATGGCGCTGTAGGCCCTAGTAAGTAGCTGGGTAACAACATAAAAAGCGGTCCGAAGGTAAGGCTTGCTCTCCATTTTGCACATCATATTGTCGACCATGTCACTGGTGATCTCGATCAACTGCGATGTAATCTCATGTCTCCGCTTCTCCTTCTCTTTCATGTAGGTAGAGGTGTCAGTTCCCAGGAGATATTCCTTCTCTTCAACCTTCAAGCGTGCCTCTGTCAACTCGATGATTCTTCTTCGCAGGATCGGAGAGGCCATGACCGCGGATTTGACGTTTGCCGTGTAGCCAGGATAGAAGGCGGGTTGTCCGATGACATTGTTATATCCTCGCCATCCGACACCGCGCACAAAGAGTGATATCTCGTGAGCAAAGTTGAAGGGGTTCGTACGGAACCGGGCCATTCGCGAGAGAATGCTATGGTCTTCGGGGTCATCATTGTTGGGGAGCTTGCCCTCCGGGCGGACCAGGTCAGTCATGGTGCTGAACGAAGACTGCGGGAGGGCTTGAGCCCAGAAACGCTAGCTAATGAGGATTGAAACCAAGGCGGCCTCCATGTCTCACTTGTAAGGAAGTGACAGGGAGTGTCAAAGACGATGCGTGCTTCGAAGGTGGAAGCTAAGCTAGAAGTCGTAGATTGCAGCATCGACCGGCCAAGGCAATCTGGGGTAATCCGCAGCCCGGGCTTCCCCCGCGCTTCGGAGATAGCAACCAATCCCATTGAGGTCGAACACTCACTTCTGCTGTTCGTCCGATTGACATTACGACTGAGTGCTTTTTTTGATTTCTCGCACATCTTCTTGACCGGCTAGACATGAACACGAAGCTCGGTCAATGGCATTATGGCAATGAGACACCAGAATCGGTGACCTTCGCGCCGCTTCTGACGCTTCATCACGTGACCGTCTATTTATCCGCTTATCAATCACGTGTTGCCTTTATCTATACAACTCGAGGCCCAGTTGAAGTCTGCCAGCTAGGTCGATTGGCACCCTGGACGTTTCTATCTCTACTAGTATACTTCAGATGCTACATAGTAGGTACATATTGAATAGGGTGGCCTCGTGATAGTCGATACCTTGCGAACTCAGTCAAACAGCACATACCGAACAATATTTACTCCTGAACCAGGCCCTCAAAGAACTTGCTCAGGCCAAAAGCACCAGGATCCGGGACCTTGCCAAACCACGATGCCTCATTACCAATGTACACGGTCCTTCCTAGCCCCGGATGCATAGAAGCCGTCTTTGCAGCACCATCCTTTGCAGCTTCCGCAGCTTTCCTCGGATCGCCTGTTGACTGTAAGGTGTCTTCATAAGGCTGCAGGGCGTCCATCAAAGTCCGGTCGCCGATTCGGGCGGGCGTATATTTGGCCAAGGCAGCCAGTGTGGATTTGAGCGCCTCGCTCCAGAACTTGGTGTCGACAGCTCTCTTTTCACCGGCGTGCAGTTTGAAGAAATGCGTCAGGCTGTTCAGGAAGATGGCGTATAGGGCACCAGAGGTGCCATCCATGGAATCCTCGACTGCGGTGGCCACTTCGGAGAGCAAAGCGATGATATCTTTTGGCGGGGAGCTTGATAGCCTCTTTAGGATGGCTAGACAGAATAACGAGTCAGTATTAACTTCTCGTGAACCAAAACACGCGATCTTAGCCAGAGATGGCGCTCCCTGCTGGGAAGCATTGTAACTCACCTTCCGCACCACGTTTGAGCGTCGTTCCACAGTCTCCATCGCCCACGATCTCGTCGTACTTTGTGACCTCCGGTTCCGCGGCGATGACGGCCTTCAAGCCATTCTCCAGCCGGCTTCTTGCAGACCCGATGTCGCATTGGAGGAGGCACTCCTGTTCCGTATCCTTTGTTTCGGTCTTGGAAGCAGTGGCGCCACCTTTTCCAGCATGTTTTCCGGAGGGTGCCCCGATTTGCCTTGCCGGCACTTGCCAGCCGCTCACATTGCTCGGGGCATCGAGCAGCTCGAGCAGACTCTTCCCGACGCCCGTGTCCACTGTGTTGAGAAGTGTGATCGAGAAACCGGGTCCGTCCAAACTAGTCATGAATGTGCCAGCAAATACTCGCACAGGCTTGATCTGGTAATGGCCCTGCAATTGGTCCACGACCTCGGTCACAACAGCGCCCAACTCCAGGACACTGAGTGCGCCAAGATTGTTGATCAAAACCGCCATCTCGGCCGTCCGCGTGGGAAGGAAGTTTCGGTCCTTGTCGCTTGTGTCGAGTATTTGGCGGAGCATCTCGGCCACAAGAGAGGGGAGTTCGGCGTCGGCGCCGCTTCTCCGCCCACAGCCGGCTTCATTGTGGATGCCCATGCCAAGCTCAACCTCGTCAGGACCCAGAGAGCCTTCCGAGGCATCGGCTCGAGGCCGACCGGGCACGTGGACATGGCTGAGACTGACGCCGATACTGGCCATGTTCTGAGCAACGAGGCGGCCGACGCGAACGACGTCCTTGAGCTCGAATCCGGCGGCAGCCATGGCTCCGGTGACCTTATGGACCAACACGGTTCCGGCGATTCCTCGCCTACCCACCTTCCCGGCTCGACTGCGCGGCACGCCGACGTCGTCGCCAACGACCAGCATCTCAATCTGCAATCCGGGGTTGCGCGCTTTCGCCTTCTCGAGGGCGACGCCGAAATTCAATACGTCGCCCGTATAGTTCATCACGGTGACCAAGACACCTTTAGATCCGTCGACGTTCTCGATGGCAGTCAAGACCTGTCGCGCTGATGGCGATGCGAAGACAGTCCCGGCCACACTGGCCGACAGAAAGCCTTCACCGACAAAGCCTGTGAACGAGGGCTCGTGGCCGGAGCCACCTCCTGATACGATTGACACATTAGAGGAGCCTGGGGCGTACAAGATCTTATTCTCGGTATCGAGTGTCAATTCCGGCCTGGTGATGCAGTGCGATCGCAGGGCGGCTGCGACCAGCTTGGTTGGATCGTTTACGAAATGTTTGGTCTGCATTGTCGCGGTTGCTTGGGGATTGATAGGGTGAGGGTCGAGACTCGCAATGGCCGGGATTCCAGCCTTTAATTGCTTTGATGACGATAATACGGGGGATGGGGTCCGAGTCGTTCAACGTTCAACCGTCTGACCGTGTCTTTCTGTTGCGTTTCTGGGGTTCATTTGCTTGATTGCTGGAAAACTCTGTCGTCTCTACAGGGTCCGCGCGGCTCAGGCCACTAGTCGAAAACACTCCACACGAGCTCCCTCACGTGGTGCACCGTTTCGGACTTGGGCGAGATGGCTTCCTTTTTTAGCAAATCCCAAGGACACGGTTCCATGCGGTCAATCGCCAGAAGCCGGTTGCGGAAAGCGACTCTCCATGCGTGTCCCATGCTCGCTGACTCGGGATTTCGCCCCGAGACCGGGTTGTACTCTTTATAAGGGGGACGTCTCGGGCTACCTAATCGGGAGTATATTGGCGCCTTGATAACGCTTGGAAGTACCCTAAATGGAAATTGGAGCCGTCTACGGGCCAATGTCGGTGACAACCCCCACAAAGGCCATGGAAGTTGTTCTGGACTGCGCATGCAGTGAGAGATCACTTTGCATCGGCCAATAAGGGTTTGGAGCCAACCATGGATGCTTGTGCAATGGCCAGGAACAAACTTCCCTGGAGAGATCCTGGAAGGAAATCCGGGGGCGCCCGGCAATAAAACGTCCACGACCACCCCCATGGCTGGACAAGTCGTGCTAACGCAAGAAGTTTCTGGTAACCTACATACTCTCTGTTTTTAAGACTACCCTTCCAATGGCACCAGGAGTACTTGCAGGCTCCGCCGTCAGCGACACGACACTACCCAGCAATGTCCCAGAGACGCAACAAACACCAGCCAACCAGGAGTCCAAACAACTGTTCTCCCTTGCAGGCACTACCACGGTAGTCACTGGAGGCGGACGAGGCCTCGGCATAACCCTTGCCAAAGCCATCGTTGAAGCCGGAGGTCACGCTGCTTGTCTTGACGTACTCCCGGAACCATCGAAGGAGGAATGGGCTGGTTTGGAGAAGCTTGCGAAGCAGTCGGGGCTCACCGTCTCCTATTACCGATGCGACATCACGAAAGAAGAGGAGCTGTCGAAGGTATTCCAGGACGTGGATGAGAAGGCGCAACAACTCAATGCTCCGTTGAAGGGCACCGTAGCATGCGCCGGTATCCAACAGAAAGTGCCCGCCTTGGAATATCCCGCGGAGGATTTTGAGCGAATGTTGCGAGTAAACGTGACTGGATCATTTTTGACAGCCAAGCACGCTGCCAGAGTCATGGTCAAGCACCGCACCGGTGGGAGCATCGTCCTGATTGCATCCATGTCGGGAAACATTGCCAATAGGGTACGGATTCTTGTAGGTTCTTGAGATTGAACATTCCATTGCTGACGTTCATTACCCAGGGCCTCACATGCACCGCATACAATTCCAGCAAGGCGGCGGTGCAGCAAGTGTGTCGATCGGTCGCCCAGGAATGGGGACAGTACGGGATCCGAGTCAATACCTTGTCGCCCGGTGTAAGTCTCGTGCTCGCCCGCCGCTCCTTTCCTCGAGTCTGTGCTAATTTGTGCAAGTATATCCGTACCGCCATGACGGACGCTCTCCTACAAGCCGAACCCGAGGTCGAAAAGACATGGATGGCTGGCGCGCTTTTGGGACGACTGGGAGCACCAGAAGATTTTAAAGCTCCTATTATCTTCCTCTTGGGTCCCGGTAGCAGTTGGATGACTGGAGCTGATCTCAGAGTGGACGGAGGACATTGTGCTTCCGCGTAGTTGTATATCTACATTGGATCTGTCGCAGAGCGCCAAATAGGCGGCCGGACTTTGTCAATCGTCAGAAGGTTGGCTGTAACGAATCGTCAATCCATCTGACTGTCGGTGAGCCTGCTAAATCTCGCCTTTCACACTGAAAGACCATCAGCCGGCCGGCAGGATCCATTATATTAGAAAAAGTTGACTCGGCGATTCAAGTTGCTGTAATATTGTGCGTTACTGAATTTAAACTCTGCCGTATTTCCATTCATGGAGCCAGCCTTGGCAAACTGCGGAGCAGATGGACGTGATACGTAATAGCAGTCTCGCTTGGCCAAACAAAGGAGTCCATTTGTGGTATTGAACACACCCACAGCAGCCAACAACCATCATACCTCAGCATCATTGCCCTCGTCAGCCGCGATATAGTTTGAGGTTCACGCCTCCAACCCGCCATGTATGGAGGGCGTCACCGCCGAACTGTCTCCAGGAAAGGCCGCCAGAGATAAACGGCGCACACGCTCCCGGGCGGGCTGTATGAACTGTCGGCATAAAAAGAAGAAATGTCTGCTGTCCTTGGCTCGAGCCAGAAAAGGGGCTGGTGTCGTAAAGGATTGAACTTGACTGACGGGCTACCAGGCAACGAGTCGAAACCAACCTGTTCGAATTGCCGCAAGACGGGGGAACGATGTCAATGGGGCCGACCGCTGAGCTTTCTTCCACAAAATGCTTTCACCGTGGACGAGAACTCCAGGTCCACGCGCCTGAGCATCGGCAAGCCGACAGAAGGTCACAAGAAGGTTTGTAACCACGTGTTCTCCCTTGAGACCTTGGCTAAGGCTGTTACCGTGCTTAGACTGCCCGGCCCGTCGTCGAAGAGACGGAAACCCAAGGATCTACTCCGCACGTCACTACAAACGGCAGCAGGAGTAATGGGGGTGGTAGCCATGACGGTGACCGACCCAGTACTGAAGAGGTTCACGAAAATGGTTGCGTCGGCCAGCATGAACTCGAGGCCTTCGAGCCTCAAAGCCCAGTAGCGACAGGGCTCGAAAACCTTCCTGCATTATACTCAGCATTCCATGCAGACGTATCACCAAGTCCTGGCCTACCTATTGAGTCGCCATCCTTGCATGACAATCTGATTGACGGCGCAACCGAGACGCAGCATGTCTCGTTGCAAGGCTCAGCCACTGTGCCGCTTGGTCAATTTACTCCCAGTGGGCAGAGTTGCTCTGTTTTGAAGGGGGTCGACTTCGAACCAAGAATGGGCGACGATCACGGCGCAACCCTGCCTCGTGAAGATGTAGATTTCCAGCTTTCGCCTGATATGTTGACAGACGACGGCATCTTCCTTCCAGGCTCTAGGTATCAGGCGCTCCACAACACACTCCGAAATCACGTCTTTATCACTGCTCGCTCGGCCCAACCCAGTCGCGAAGCGAGTCCAGGATTTGACAGGCCGGGTGAACATGTTCACCCTCGCAGCTTTCCTTCGACTTTTCGTTTTGCCAACTCTGCTGGGGCTGAAGAAATCTCGGGAACCAACATCAAGTTGACTCCACACCAGGAGTTCATTCTATGGAACAATTGGGTTGTCGAAATATCTGCTTGGGTAGGTACATATCGTCGGACAGAGGTCATCTTGCCCTGGCTCTAACATTGCACAGCTCGACAAATTCGACGCTCGGGAACACTTCAGGCACACCCTTCCGATCATGGCCAAAACATGCTCGCATCTGCGTTTCTCCATGCTTGCTTTGAGTGCAAGGCAGCTTGAAAGGAAGAATGGATCTCTGCCGGCCTCCATGAGTCTGGCTTTGTACCAGGAGGCAATCCATAAACTACTACCGGAGCTGAATACAAAGGACGTCACAGTGGTGGCGTCGTGTGTGGTTCTCTGTGTTTTAGAGATGCTTAGCTGTAAGAGTTCCGGCGGCCAGTTAGATCCCATCAGCTAACTCTGTAACAGGTTCACCAAAAGCATGGAGGCGGCACCTTGACGGCTGTGCGTCCCTCATCAGGGCCATGAATATCCGCGGAGACAGTGGAGGAGTCGAGCAAGCTCTCTTTTGGTGCTTCGCTCGGATGGGTATGTCATGTGTCTACCCCCTACAACTTGTACATCATTGCTAGCGCCGCCTTCCACGCGTCGTTTCCATGCCAACTAACATATCTCTCATTCTAGATGTGTGCGGTGGACTGATTTCAAACGAAAGAACCTTGATCCCGATCGATGAGTGGATGTCGAACATGTCTTTCGAGTCTGATTGCGCTGCGTTTCGTGCTCGGACACCAGACGTTTTCGAAGAACACGCCACCTACTCATGTTATTTGGTCGCTCGGGTCTTGCACTTTCTGTTTGGCTCCCCAAAAATTCGAGACAGTCCGCTTGAAGTCTACGGCAAATATCAACCAAACTATGCCGACAAATGGGTAGAGCTTTTCGATTGTCTCGAAGCGTGGTACGCATGTCGCCCTCCAGAGATGCAGGCCTTGGTGTCTCTCAATCCAGGAATACTACATGATGGGACGAGTTCGCCGTTTCCTACCGTCCTCTTCGGTAACGGCGCGGCCGTGTCAGGCAACCAACTCCACCACACTGCGGCCTTGCTCATGTTACAGCACATCCCCAAGAATGTGCCCAAAAAGTCCCGTTCCATCCTGTGGCACGCTCGACAGATCTGCGCGATCTCCATCTCAAATTCCCATCATGGGTGTTGGACCAACAGCGTGCAGCCACTGTGGCTAGCCGGCCAAGTCATGAGTCACCCTGCCGAGCACCGTGCGATCGTTGATATCTACGAACGAATCGAAAAAGAGACAGGCTGGGGGGCGACCTGGAGAGCCGATGATTTGAAACAGCACTGGGGAGATTTGGATGAATGAGGACACATGAGTTTGCAGCTATTTGCATATACCATGAACGCAACCCCGAGCTAAACTGTCACAGAACTTTCCACAGTTGCAATGCCTTTTGAAGTCCAACGAGTCTGGAATGTATGACCTCTACACATTTCGGACATGGCCTAGTCTCCCGATCTGTTGAGGTCACGATGGTCAAATCCGTACACCTGCGCACCCACCGATGCTCCTTCATCAATCTACGACTGAGTAGCCGAGGCGTCTCACTCGAATGTCTTGCCCCGATTTTCCAAACTCATTTCTTCCTCCGTCACGGTCGGCTCTTCATTTGCGACCTTGACGTCAAGAGCCAAAGACCCCTGGGGCTCGTCCATGCTTGCTTTCCAATGAAGCAAGACCTTTTCGCCGGTGAAGAGCTTGTCGATCTGCTCCAGCGACAGATTGCGGACTTCGGGGTAGAAGAACCAGATGATCGGCAGGAAAGCGACGTTGAAGACGGTGAAGTAGATATAAGTGCGGTAGCCGATGTTGCCGATGGACACGGGCGTGATCTCGACCACCAAGAAGGTGAAGATCCAATTGCTCGCGGTGGCCAGAGCGGCCGCTTTGGCCCGGATCGCCAGGGGAGCGTATTCGGCCGGCAGCAACCACGGGATGGCCAGCAGGCCGACGGCGAAGAAGAAGTTGAAGAGGAACAGCATCACGGCGGCGACGATGCCGCTCGCGTGGCCTCCGTCGCTCACGGTCCCGGCCAAGATGGCCATGCACGCCGCCTGGCCTGCACAGGCGAACAGCATCAGCTTTCTTCGTCCGAGTCTGTCAAGACACCAGATGGGAACGAGAGACGACAAGAAGTACGCCACGCCATTGAAACCGGCGAGGAGCATGGATAGGTTGTGACTCATGCCGACCGACTGCTCGAAAATCACCGGTGCGTACTAAGCATGAAAAAAGCATTCTGTTAGATACTGTGTTTCCATTATACCAGTGGGGTAGGCCGAGCATGGAACTCACGTAGGTGATGAGATTGATACCCGACAGCTGCTGCATGAACTGGCCACCGACACCAAGCAGAGTTCGACGACGGAACCTCTGTGGACTGCTTTTGAAGAGGGATAGGAACGTGATACCACCCGCCGCCTCTTTTTCATCTTCCAGGGCGCGCTCAATCTCGTGTAGTTCGGTGTCAATGGCGCTGCTGTCAGACAAGATGGAGGTTTGATCTCTCTGCAGACGCGACAGGATATTGCGGGCATCTTGTGACCGGCCATGCGCAACCAACTATGGAGGGAAGCACACGGGTTAGCTTGCTTGACTCTTTTCATTGTTGTAGGTTTCCACTCTCTGGTACTTACCCAACGCGGCGACTCAGGCAAGACAGCCACCAGGGCAATGGTGATGAGTGCGAACGATATTTGGAAGGCGATTGGGAAGCGAAATTGGGCCTCGCTCTTGACGTAACTCATGCCATAATCTACACATCAACACAGAAACCCGGATTAGCTTGGCTCTTGTCTATACTGACCCAAGAGAAGAGATGTCATGGAGAACTTCGACTTACCGACCCAGTACGACAGCATGACGCCGAAAATGTTAAGCGCAAATTCAATGGACAGACCCTTGCCCCTGGACGTGGGCTTCATGAGCTCGGAATGCCAGACCGCTAAACGAAAAAGACACACACATATGTCAGCCAACGCAAACCTCAGGTATTGTTGGGATGTACACCGAGCAAGATCGTGTCCAAACACGACAACCATCTTTCTTTTCCTCTATCTCTCCATGCACAGCAGGGGAGGACACCAGACAAGATATGGATATGGGAAGACGTACGGATAGTGGCAGTATTGATACCGTTCCCCACGCCAGCAACGATCCGTCCCACGATCATTTGTGCCACCGAGTATGACGAGCACTGAATGGCAGCCCCGACGGCCAAGATAGTACAGCCGATCATGATGGACCGTCGTCGACCAATGCCCTCGGCGAACCCGAAGGCGAGCAGAGCACCGAAGAAGCAACCAATCTCGTAGATGGCCACGACTGTTCCTTGTAGGGAGGAACTGCCATTGCCCGTGTCCGTGGTATCAATGGAGGGAAATTGTTTGGTGAATGCGCTTCCAGTGAGCAAGCCGCTCATGACACCCTGGTCTGTATTCGAACATGTTAGCATCAACGTCCCCAATTTTGAAGTCCAGCTCGGACAGCACAGCATGAGAAGGTGTCAGAAGAAAGAGAAAGCGACGGCCCATTAGCCTGCCATGGTGGTGGACAGTGATAATAGAGCAAAGATAGATCGTGACTCACCATATCCAAATAACAGGAACCCCGACCCTGCAGCGAGGGTGATGGCATAGTCGAGATACTTTCCTCGCAGGTTCGACATCTTGTGTATATGTATGTAGCAGACAGATCTCCTTCCCTTCTTCTATTCCGTCTTCAGGGTAGGAACCTTCTTCGATGTATTCCAAACAGGACTCTCTTTGTCTATTTGTTTTCTGGCAGGGAGGAGATTGCTCGAAGTCTCAGGAACAGGGTTTTGGGAGCGAAAAGGGAGTGTGTGTGGAACGAATAGACGCATCACCAACACCGGACTATAGAAGACGACAAACGCCGTTTATATAAGTCTCCAGCATATCCTCCCTAAGGCATAGCCAAAAACGCCCATCCCCTTTTTCTCTATAACAAGGGTGGGGAACGGGGAACACGGCACGGGCTGAACTCGGTCGTTTGGTCCCCATTTTGATTTTTGGGGGAAGGCGGAGGGCGCAGGGCGGAGAGCACAGAGTCGTGTCTGCTTTGGTGGAGCCCCGTATAAACAACAATCAGACCAACCCTCCGTTCGCTGCTTCTGTGGAGGGCCTTGTCTCCCCGGGGTGGATTTGTAAGGTCCTTCTCACTTGCACTCCAGACGACGTCAAGTGCCAAGGCCGAGGCACAGACTCTTGGTACGGGGTTGGTATCAAGTTGGCAATGTGAGGGCGCTTTTGATTGCCGTAACCAGCAGTCCGATGCGCCAGTGATAGGTACGCGGCGTTGGTATTTTCATACACTAATTTGGGTATAGAAGGTAAATGGGATTATTTCGGCTAGAAGCCCGTCGGCCGCGTTACCCGACGGGCTGCCACCCTACCAGTACCTGTAGTATAATTACTGGTACCTCCAGAATCCTCCCAAGTTGGAGCGCAAGTCACTTGACGCCGTCGGAAGCGCGTGAACCTGACTGAAACGGAAATAAAGGTTGCTGCTATATCGGAAAACCCCGCTCCAACAACATCATTGGCCAGAAGTTCCCCGAAAACCCACATTGTCGGTTTAGTTGATAGAAGCATTAACCGAATCCAGTAGTAGGATCTACCCTGTGTTTTCCTTTTGAGACGACCAAATTTTGTTGATGGTGATCACATGAGGTCCAGACATACCCACCTCGCTACTTAGTGTGTGGACCGCTGTGTGTCGTCGGTGGTGACGTTAACTATCCTCGCCATGTATCTGGAGAGGGTACAGATGTTGGTCAACGTCGAGATCAAGGTTGAATGGAACGGTGGTTGTAGGTGTGTTATAACATGTTGGCATGAACACGGCCAGAACCGCATGCTATTCCCAACAAGAAAACGACGCACCAAAAATGGAAATATATACTGACAAGAGTGTCCTAATCACCGAATAAATATAGAGATTTTGTAGGTAGTTACAAGTCTTGACAGAACGCGGAAAAGAATCGCTCTGCAGACTATAGCAACGTGACTGCAGTCCGCGCGTCAAGGAACGTTCGCAGTAGGATGTACATCCGAGCCCATAGACATATCGTTGCCGGCCTTCAAACTCCCTTGCTCCTGTTGCCACTAACGACACCCCACATCAATCCAATCCAACGCTACCTCGTCATCTCATAAAATTCCCCGGGCAAAATGTCGCCGGCCTTCCTCTTCGCCAAATACCCTTGGATCTTCGGCACGATCTTGTCCACCGTGAAGCCAAAGTAGTCGTACGCCTTAGGACCGGGCAGCGACTGCCCGAATCTGTCGGTGCTCATGCACACCGCGGCGTCGGCATATCGTTCCCACCCCATTGCGGCGTACGGTTCGATGACGATGGTCGGCTTTCCCGAGGCCCTGTTCAATGTCTGGCGTCTGTACTCGAGAGACTGCTTCTCGAACAACCTCTGGCACGGGAACGAAACCACGCGCACACGTAGACCAGCAGTTTCACGCAGCCGGGCAGCTAGATCGAGCGCCAGACCGAGCTCAGCCCCGACACCGAGGATGGTCAGATCGGCGTCCGCGTCTTCTTCAATCACATAAGCACCGCGGCGGACACCGTCGCGGCTCGTCTTGGGGGCGAGCTGTCGGACGGCGTGGCGCGAGGTCGAAATGATGGAAGGCGTGTGGGTGGCTTCGATGGCGGCCATCCATGCACCGGCCGTCTCCTCGCTGTCTCCTGGTCGGATGTACAGCAGATTCGGCATGGCGCGGTACAGTGCGGCCAGCTCGATCGGTTGGTGGGTAGGTCCGTCTTCACCCATGCCGATGGAGTCGTGTGTCGCGTGGTGGATGATGTGCAGGTGTTGGAGAGCGCCCATCCGAACGCCGGGTGCGGCGTACAGGTAGAACATGAAGAATCTGAAAGAGAAAAAAACGTTAACAGGAGATCACAGATGGAACGCAAGTCGATAGATACTTACGACGAAGTCACGGGGATAATCGTGTTCGGGGAATAAGCGGCCAGACCATTCGCTATGGCTGCCATCGCATGCTCGCGGATCCCGTAATGGATATATCGTCCTCGGTAGCTCCCGTTGATGCCGCATTGCGTGCGGAGGCCGGGGTGCTGGAAGTCCTCCTTGCCTTTCCAGATCATGTTGACCGAGGGCGACAGGTCTGCCGTGCCGACCATGAACGCTTTGACTTTTTCGGCGATCGGGTTGAAGACCAGGCCGGAAGATGCACGCGTTGCCGTGTCTTTGGAAGGGAATTCCTTGGGGATGAGTGAGCTCCAGTCCGAAGGCAGTTGGCCGTTTCGTCGAGCCTCGAACTCGGCGGCCAGTTCCGGATACTCGTTGCTGTAGGCATCGAGCTTGCGGTTCCACTCTTCGACCAGTTTCTGGCCACGAGGTCTGATGTCGGCGAAGAACTCGCGCACTGCGTCAGGAATCACGAAGAATTCGTCGGGGTTGAATCCATAGGCACGCTTCATGTCGGCCACAGCCTTGTCGCCAAAGGCCGCTCCATGAGCCACGGCCGACCCGGCCACGGCGCTGTCGACGCCGATGACGGTTCTGACGTTGATGAAGGTTGGCTTCTCTTCTGAAGCACGGGCCTTGTTGAGCGCGGCGATGATGCCTTCCACGTCGTAACAGCCATCTTGGACGTCGATCACGTCCCATCCGCAAGCACGCATTTTGGCGTTCACATCCTCGGTGTTGGTCAGATCCACCGATCCATCGCATGTGATTTGGTTGTTGTCGTAGATCACGGTCAGGTTGTTCAATCGGAAGTGCCCTGCCAGAGAAATCGCCTCGAGGGCAACACCTTCTTGAAGACAAGCATCGCCGATCATACACCAAGTATGGTTCGTCACTAGGTCGTGGCCGGGTCTGTTGAACTCAGCGGCCAAATGCTTCGTCGCCATGGCCATGCCGACGGCGTTGGAAATGCCTTGGCCCAAAGGTCCGGTCGTCACTTCGATCCCTTCATGTTCGATCTCAGGATGTCCGGGACAAAGGGCGTCTTCTCGTGACGAATGATAAGACTTCAGTTGATCCAATGTCATGGCCTCATAGCCTGTCAGGTGAAGAAACGTATACTGGAACAGGCAAGTGTGGCCGTTCGACAGGACAAACCGGTCCCGGTTGAAGAAATCAGGGTGACGAGGTGAGTATCTCATGACATATTTCCACAAAGCCACCCCAATTGCTGCCATACCAATGGCGCCGCTATCAACAAATCAATGTCAGATTGCGACCGCTACAACAGGTGGGGTAGAACAGTACTTACCCCGGATGGCCTCCTTTGAACTGCTGACATAAGTCCGCGATCAGAAGACGAAAAGTCCTCAGCACCAGGTCATGTTCGGCTGTTAGGCGTGAGCCTGTTTTAGACTCAGCTCCTGTGCTTTTGCCCATGATCTTGCCGGAGGTGGCGAGCCTCTCATGGCTGATGAGGTCCTTCTCTGCAATGGGAGACATGATTCAACCTGCGGCTTGAAACAAGGCGTTTTGAGGATTGAGTAACGCTGTTTTCAAGGCCACTGAAGACCTCGAAGTGACAATGGGAAAGTAGATATATGAAAGAGAAGCCCACCATGGTCCTCTGCAGCAACCATATTGGTCTCCGCGGGACATGCAGCGCCCACAGGAGGTAAGCCAAGGTGGAAGGCCATATTTCCTTTTTGGGATATACCAAGCGCCAACCCTTTCCTAATGCGGCATATGTAGCCTCTCTAAAGCCCCGCCATGTCTTTGCCGTCAGGCTGGTCAACTCATCCATCTCAACGGGATGTGGCAATCTGAAATTGATGGGCCTCTGTCTTAGATGGAAAGCCCGGTACCATACCCCACAGGGAGGGAAGTGGAGGGTGCATCGATCGATTGTGCCCCGTGGCGCAACTCATAAGCCCCTCAAACTACCCCAGCACTAAAATGTGCGCGCCGGATGCTCCTGAACTCACCGACAGATCATTCTGCGATATCGCGTTCTTCTTGATGGCAGCACTCTGCAGGGTTCTTGTTCATGATGCCACTAAGAACCCTACTGCCGGTCACACCATTTCAATTCCAATGTGACGGAAACTGTTTTCGCGGCCATGACTCATGTTAAAGTTGCCACGCTTTCTGAAGAATACGCGCGTTTGAAAGTCGTTCAACCTGACGGCAGACACAGACTCTGGTCCCTTGTTTCACACTCTTCTCCGCGCCAGAGCAGCAAATCCAGATTTTGATAGTTTCAAACTTACCACTTCGGTTATTGCTCCGCAACACCTCCACAGGCATAGATCTGAGGCGCCCTGAACTGAAGGATGTACTGTCCTCTTGGTGCTTAGATGCCGTTGATGCCAGACGAGGCTACGGTTGAGAAGACACCTTATGGTTGGCAGGCTGCACTAGTACAAATAAGGCATAGCGCACTATTGCCCCGTACTTTGCCCCTCACGTGATGCGCTGCGATCTTCGAAGACATTGACGAGACTGCGTCCTTCGAACTTCAGACAACTGCATCGTCTATCCTTCTCACCACCCATTCTCCTTATTTGCTTGTCGTTCGTTTCTCCTTGCTGATGCCGACCAGAGGCTGCCCTAGTGAACATTTGACGACCTTTCTTTCTTGTATAATAGCCCATTACTACGCCCGCCGACCCGCCGAAGCATGTGAAAGTCATTTCTGCAATGGTCAAGAAGGCCGATAAACGTTATGGCGTCGTGCTCGATGCTGGTTCATCTGGCACAAGAGTGTACATATACCGGTGGCTGCCCAATTCGGTTGCGCGCCTCGACGAAACCACCCGTCACGCTCTCCCGGAGTTGGAAACCAAGGACACCTGGACCAAGAAAGTGCATCCTGGTGTCTCGACATTTGGGACTTCTCCTGAAGCGGTCGGTCCGAAACACCTGAAGCCTCTTCTTCAGCATGCACTCAAACATGTCCCCAAACATGCCGTCCCCGAGACCCCGATATTCTTACTCGCCACCGCAGGCATGCGGCTCCTTCCCGATGAACAACAACGAGATGTTCTGCGCAATGTCTGTTCATATATCCGGGCCGAGACGAACTTTTACCTGCCAGACTGTGATGTCCACGTACAGGTTATACCCGGCGAGACGGAAGGGCTATACGGGTGGATTGCGGCGAACTATCTCCTGGGTTCGTTCAATTCGCCGGAAGAGCACGATCACGGGAATGATCACCACACATATGGGTTCCTAGATATGGGAGGTGCTTCGGCACAGATCGCATTTGCACCGAATGCCACAGAAGCAGAAAAGCATGCGAATGATTTGACGCTATTGCGACTGCGGACCGTGGACGGTGCTCCTCAAGAGTATAGGGTGTTTGTGACGACATGGCTGGGTTTCGGGGCAAATGAAGCCCGACGGCGGTACGTGGAAGACCTCAAAGCGACTTATGGCCTTGATGCTGTGGTGGAGATTCCGGATCCATGCCTGCCCAAAGGAGTCATAGCGAAGCAGGACGGGACGATCATATCCTCGGCCGAAGCGGGAATTGCTTCAGACCATTACTTGCTCGGCACTGGCAATTTCGAGGAATGTCTCCGGCGGACCTTTCCGTTACTTGAGAAAGATGCCCCTTGCCTGGATGAACCGTGTTTGGTCCAGGGCGTGCATGTCCCGGCGCTCGATTTCGACGTCAACCATTTCATTGGGATCAGCGAATACTGGCACACGACGCACGAGATCTTCGAGATGGCGCACAAGGACAAGGCTTATGATTTAAACACCTATCAGAACCGCGTCAGAGAATTCTGCGAACAGGAGTGGTCGGCCATCAAGCACGGCATCAAACATAAATCATGGGGCAAGGATGTCGACGAACAAACCGCCGTGGAGGTGTGTTTCAAGGCCAGCTGGCTTATCAACATGCTGCACGAAGGCATTGGGATTCCTCGGGTTGGTCTTGAGGACACTTCGTCCTCTTCTGCCCGTAACGGGACGAAAGAATTGCTAGAAAGCGCCAAAGACAAGGGCTTCCTCGATCCATTCCAGGCGGTCGACAAAATAAAGTCCACGGAGGTGAGCTGGACTCTAGGAAAGATGGTTCTGTACGCATCCGCAGAGGTTCCGCCCGCCCGCGAAGGAGACCTGCCCGTCGGATTTGGCAGCAACGTACCCGGTATACCCAAGGATTTCCAGTATCCTAGCGGTGGAAGACTCCAAGATATCCCAGACTATCACGTTGGCACTGGGACGGACTCGAACCCGAATGCCAATACTGAAGGGCCACAAAGCATCACGGACCAGATCCACGATACGCTCTTCAAATCAGACGCGCCTCATCGTCTGCCCGGCTTCATCTTCTTCCTCCTCATCCTTATCATCGCGACTTTTTACCTCTGCGGCCGCGACCGTCGCTCTCGGATCTACAACTCACTATTCCCATCTTCTTCCTTCTCCGCCTCTTCCTCCGCCAAGCCCTCCTTTTTCAGTTCCTTGTTTTCTCGCCACCGCCGTCACGGTGCGGCTGGGCAATATAGCCGCGATGTCGAAGAGGGCGCAGCGCGTCTTTACGACCCCGGTGACTTTGAGCTCGAGAACGTGTTCTCAGCTTCGTCCGATGACGACACGACTGGTCTTGATCCCGAGCTCGCCTTTCGAAATCCCACGTCGCGTCCCAAATCACTGACTAGGACGTCACCGAAAAGTAAACGAAATCTCGGTCGCATGACGCCCGATGCGATAGATCGTAGAGGTCTTGTCGTGAGGACGGAAAGCCGGGAGCGGCTTGATCTCGATCCTGCCACAAATGCACGGTCTAAGAGTCGAAATGGCAGTCCAACCCGGCTGAAATCATGAAGTGTAACGATTAGGTGGTGTTGCTCTAGAGTTTATTTCTATACTTTTACTGGATACTGGATACTGGATACCTATTATGATTGGAATGATGACGATTCTTGATTGTTTGTGGCATGGGACGTATCTCAACTGTTCGTCGCTTCTGTTGTCCGACGTAATCACCATATGCATGCCTCGCGTCCCGTCTCTGAGAACAACGAATCCCCAACCTCATGCAAAATATCGCAATAGCCCACTTTATAATACACATAGTCGACTTCTCTACAATAGCCCAAATGCACAACCTTTCAGGTTCTGTCTTACCTCTGGATCAGAGGTCACCGTTAAACCCCAGTGACCAGTACCTTCATCGCAGTCCCCGTGCCAGCAAGCAAAATGAAAAAACCATCTCTACAAAAAAGACAGAACAGCGAATCCGTCGTCAAAGTAACGTACGGCGCGATCACCAAGCAAACGCCTGAAGGGTCGCCGTGTCAACATCAACTGGCGGACCCACCCCTTTTCAGCCCAGCACTAACAGCCTCAGGCAGACTGAACTCCGGAATGCCCCTCTCCGACTCGGGCTCACGGATCGGACGTAAAAGACTGGAACTACTCCCGCCAGCAGCTTTGCGCTCCCGTTCTCTGACGGCGGCCTGTTGCGCGGGCAGTGTGGTCTGAACTTCGCGAAAAAAGGCCTCGAGACGGTCCTTGTCATGACAGAAGGACTCCAGGTCGTTTTTGATCTGTGCTGGCGTCACGTATTGCGCGGAACTCGAGCGGAGGAGCTTGCGACGGCCAGCAGCAGCGAGGACGTCCGCGGTCACTTGAGGTGTGGGCGTAGATCCCAGAACGGAGATGCTGTTAGAGGCGGAATACGAAGTTGAATTGGAAGTGGAGGTGTTGGTGTCGCCACTCGTGGTTGTCGTTGCTACCGAGACTGGCCGGATGAGCGGCGAGGCGAAGGGCCCGGATTGTGGAGATTGGGCGTTGAAACCAATGATGCCGGATGCTTGCATGGCTGGACCCGGGGCCGAGTGCAACTCGCGCGTTGCTGCCAGGGTTGGGGGACGGAGCATTGTCGAGCTGGGCGCGTTGGCTGTGCCATCTTGTTTGCCGACGCTGTCGAACTTGGCTGCTGCCGCAGTGTCTCGGCTCGGCATCTGTCGCGAGTTGTACAGTCGATTTGCGAGAAGCAAGAAGTCGCCTTCCTCCGTGATCTGCGCGAGTAGTACGCCGGATCGGTGCACGAACTGCGTGTAGCGATAATCCAGCTTTCCCCAGGCCCATTTGATATCAACGTTATCAGGAAACTCGGAGACGGCTTCGAGGTCGAGCACGAAGTTGAACGTCTTCAACAGTGCTTTTTGGTATAGATGATGATCCGAGTTCAAGGGTGCTTGGGGTCCGAATGATGTGGCCGTGAAATACATGTTGGCAACGGAGTTGCGGCGGGGAGGGTCCAGAGCGAGCTTGATACGATATGGAGCCCTAAACGGTTCGTGTTCGGGGACTTTGGCTGCCTCCGCGATCGGCAATTCGACCAGTTTCAGGCCGTATTTCTCTGCTTGTGTGGTCCAGCTTACAAGCGCATCGTCAACAAGCTTCGAGGTCACATTCAGCCATGATAGCTCCAGGTGGTAACAGTTTTCTGGGTTGTGCACCCGATCGTAGTGTAGATTGATGATTTCCGGCCGGTTGGAGCGCTTGCGGTGATCGATGTCGACCCGGATCATTCTGCTCAACGTCACAGTTCTTCTCCTTCGGTCACCCAGCGATTTCCCAAGCTCGGAGCTCCCTTGCGCTTGGAGGGCCAGATTGGAGCCGGATCGTGATCTGCCCGCGACCAGCTCGCGCGTGGGATTCTCCGATATAGGGGTTGGTGGGATCGACCGCTCCGATCGTCGACTGGCCGGGAACCAGGACTGCCTGGTTTCTGGCCGCTGGACACGCCACTCGGGCTTGATGGAGTAGAAGAAATTCCCATCTTTGAACTTGTGACGGCTATTGACGTGTTCGAAGAGACCTTCCTTCATCAAGTCGTTGCCAAGTTCTACAGCCTCGTCCCGGGTGTCGATGTCCCTGAAGTTATGGACCAGCCAATTAGTCAAGTCTTCACCCAAGAAGCAACTGTAATGCAGACGTAGATGCCATCGTCTGTTCTTGATCTCGATGCCTTTGTCGCTTTGTAGGGCTTGTGCCAACCTTGCCAGGTTGAATGACTGCCGGTCGAATTGCTCTTCTTCAGGAAGCAGCTGAGTAGTCTGCACCTCGCCCGCCTCTTCCGCGGCGATAAATTTGTCAAGCTCGGTCGCCACCAGCTCAGAAGGGTTGAGAGTCTCCAGGTTGATCCTCAACGGGTTTCGATCCTTGCTTTTCATGGTGGTCAGGCGGTTGTGAGCAGGTCTCCTTTCATCCGGCGGTACATAGCGAGCCTTCTGCCACATTTGAGTCAGAGCCCGGATCCCTCGCAGATGAATTTCTTCTTCATTCTCTTCGATTTCCGACGGCGCCGGTCTTCGTGCAGTGGCCGGGGGCTCCACGGGTATGAGCACAAAGCGAGCTCGCCATGGTCGAAGAGCTCCCATGTCAGCATCCGTCTGTTTCGTATAATTAACCAGATATTGATCGGCCGCTTCCCATGGATATTGCTCTGAAAACCCAGTGAACTCCATGTCCCGGATGGCGTAGGTCTCGGACAAGATCGTTTTGATATTCGGATAGTACTTGATTTGCTGGGGATAGGCAGGTTGCACGTTGGGACTTCGGCGTGTGTATCTGGTCACTTGGATGCGGTTCGATTGTTGCAGCTGTATTTTCTGTATGGTATTCCCCATCGACATGAAGATAAAGGAGCCATCCGGTCGCACCAGGTCGGGGTTAAAGAACGAGGAGCTGTCACAGGTCCCCGGACCAACCGACTCCATCAGCGATGAGCCAACTACTAGTTGATATCCATATGAAAATCTTAATGCCATCATCTCCCGAAGCAATGTGTCGCGAGATTCGGGAATCTCCAACATGGGATTCGTATTCTCCAGCGTTAACTCGTAACTGGTAGCATCATACTCGGTTTCAAGTTCTTCCTTCGATGGAAAGTCCTCGGTCGTGAGAGGGACCGAGGCGGGAGTACACAAAGAACGCCATCTGACAGTGGTAGCGCGCGGTTTCCGTGGGTAGAGGTGGTGCCACTTTCCGAAGAACGAGCTTTTGTTGGGATCACGTTTCAGAGGGTTCGAGGCGTTTACATTCTGCACAAAAGGCAGGTTGCTCTTGGGGACTGAGCTGGCAACAGATGTACCCAGCCAGCTTCCAGTGCGGTTGACGCTCGCGTCGTCCGCCTGGTCGTCACTATCGGAGGATGCCGACGACGCGCTACCTGCCTGTTCCTCTGCTTGAGAGCTCAGCTCGGCCGCTTCGATGTCATTTTGGAACCTCCGTGAAGTCGAATTTGAGTGATACGAACCAGCGGGACCTTCGTCTATGTGTTTTCGGAGAGGGGTGTTGATAGAGATTGGCTTCGATGGTGTCTCATTTCCTCGGGTCAAAACTCGTTTCATCGGATGCTCTACAGGAGATGGGCGTAGAGTATCGTTGTCTCCAACTACAGTATTGGTAGAAACCGATCGGATACTAGCCGCAGAGGTTGCCACTGTTGGCCGTGAGTGGCCTGGGTTGCTCAGAAGCGGCTGTGCCTGGATGTTGGTGACATTCACCTCGGTACTGGCAAGGGCCCTCACTGGAGGCGCGAGACCTCGCAGAGAATAATTCAGGTTCCGGTTAACCTTGGTCGCTTCGGGCGTTCTCTTGCTGGGTGAAGTCTGGCTTGAGCCGTCTGTGGACATCAAAGAAGGGAGCTGCGGGCGAAAGGGGGAGTTGAGAGATTTGTTGGTGAGTATTTTGGTCAACTTTGACTCGGACTTTGGCTCCTCGACGGGAGTGTGAACGTTGCCGAGACGATGTGGCGTTACAGCGTCCACTCTTTTTGAAGGGTGCGATGTCCTTCTTCCTTGGACGTGTAGGCTGGCTTGTGTCTGGAACAAACCCACATCGTACCCGTCCATGCGATGGAAGACGTCACCTTGAGCCTTTGCGTGAGTCGAAAGCAAACCTTGTGCCGAATGAATCAATTCTGCGCTCAGCCGGGCTTTGCGTGACAAGGTTGGCGAATGGGAGAGACTCCTCAAACCACTTGTACGTCTTCGCTTGGCCCTGACCCGACCAGGTCGACCGAAGGCGGGATTTTGGGTCTCGCTGATGTAAGGTATGCTCATGTCCGCCATACCCAATTCCATAAGTCCCATCATTTGGATCTCATACATCCTCACTCGCGGTACGAATGGGCCCTTTCTCCGTTTGTCACGCTTGACCCCATCCGTCTGACCGACGTGCGCCAGCGCAGTTGCCCCTGGCTCGGAGGCAGCGGACCAGTAAGACAAATCAATCCAATGCGGAATCCCAAAGCACCACCCCAAGGCATTTTCGCGGGTCTGTCCAGATACATAGCTAGCCAGAAACCGAGTGCTATTTGTTGTAAAGGAAGACAACGCGGGAGACAGCTTCCTAGGTTGACTTGAATCAAAGAAGCTGGGACCGGATCCAGATTTGTGGGGGCTTTCGGCGAGCTCAGGTGCGAGAAAATGAAGTGAAGAGTCCTCAGTCGCGGTAGCTCGATACTTGAACAACGGTACGGAATGTAGCGGCATCCTTGAGAGGCAAACCACATCTATACCAACGCCATTGTTGGTTAAATTCTGCGAAGTCACATTGAGAAGATCTCGATTGACTTCAAAGACACCGGTGCCGGCAGTAACAATCACAATCGACACGCCAGTGCGTATCAAATCTCGGTCAATATAGTCATTGGCAAATTGAGTAGTCGCAATGTTGATGGCCTCGAGGATGTTTCCCTTCAGAGCCGTGCTGGGGCGGCCAGCTATACGCGTGGGATGGGGCTTTGCATCTCCAAACGAGACGTCGTTACTGCTCGACGTGTGTAGAGAAATGTCCCTGAGGAAAACACGGAAATCCTTCTTGAGTTCGTCCAGTATGGTGGTCCACTGGGCACTGGCCATGTCGGTGACAACTACTCTATAGAAGTCTTGATATTGGCGAGCCGTCATATTGGGCGCACCTGATGCTGGTGCAGTCTCGAGTCGTCGATCTTTGTTTCGGGCAAGATCGAACCGGTCATACTCAAGGCGGCCGAAGAGAACGATGCTAACCAGATGACGCACATCCAAACCGTGCCACCGTTTGAAAAGCTCGGGGAGAAATCCGTTGATGACACGGTTAAACATGATTTCACCGTTGCCTTCCGAGTCAAAATCCCACATCTCACTAGACATTTGGATAAAGAGAACATAGCGAGCGGCTTCGCTTCGAAATATCGGGATTGTGGTACCCGCAAAGTATGCCGTAGGCACCTTATGGCCGTTCACGTGAATGAACTTGACTGTGAGCTTGACGCTTCCGAGAAAGGTGATCTTTTGGCCTGCAAAGACTGTCCTCCCTGCCAGCTCTTGGCCGACTAGCCGCCACATGTCCGACCTCGCCAAGTAGACATCCCTGAACGTGAATTCGACGTGGGACGCCGTACAGTCTTCGAATGAGGCAGGTAGGATCCATATGTGTGAGCGTGATCGAAGACCAAATGCTTGTGCAATGTTGCTCTTGACGGAGACCTGGAGATTGGCTTGTCTTGCTTTGAAGTCCGCGGAGGCAAACTTGGCGATGCAGAGGTATCGAGTGCCGCGGTCGAGCGCATTTCCAATGTCGCCTCCAGTCCGCCTGTTTTCCTCGTTTTCACTATTCGGTGACTGAAAATCACGCACATCCGACGTCTCCTTGACGGGGAAGATCTCAATTAAGCTGCCTTCGCGGACGTCCGTACCCTCTAGAATTGATTCATTGATGAGGACGTCCTCCGAGGAGAAGCCATCATCATGAACCCAAAGCGTGGCGCGGACTGGCTGTGGAGGAGGTAGAGAATGCGAACCATGACCCACACCGGGCTCGCCTTTGAGAGGAGCCTTCACGGTCGAGCCACTGCTGGTTCGCCGATGCGCATTGCGGTTCTGCATGTCGAGGCAAAATGGAGCCAACCGCCAGTTCAATTCATTCACTTCAATTCACGACCATTTCGGCGCCTCTGGAATACTGGCACATCATAACGCCACTGCGTCTGAATATGTGGCTAGCGTTCATGCTTTCTGCTAGATCTTGACATCCAAGACGATCGCATCCGGCCAATCATCAGACAGTCACCTGTGACTTAGATTTAGAGCTAGCTGCTTGTCGACGTATCGAAAATTCGCAGCGAGGCTCACGAAGCGGGAGATCTGGTACAGGAGGGTTTGAAGGGGCGTCGGAGTCGAAGGTAGACTTCCAAGGTCGAGGTCGAGGTCGAGGTGAAGTTCAAGTTGTTGACTTCGACGTCGATACAAGGGAACGCTGCCAAGCCTGTCACGTGACAACTCTGTTTCAACCTCCATCCTAAAGTTGGAGGGTAAAGGTCTTCAAGGAGGTGTCAATGTCGACCTGACTTCATTATTACCTACGATTCAACCAAGCAGTCCAACTTGGCTGCCAGTTTAGTCTGGTGTTTGTGTATCCAGGGGTAGATTGGTGGCATATTCTTACAGCTAACATCGTATATGTCTATTTATGCCTGATGATACAATCAACCAAAGGGTATCTTTGTCGGAGTCAGAATGAACTCCGGCCCATGTTCATGAATCATCACTTGTACAGGTCTGGCGTGTTCTACCAAACGCTTCGCGTTTCGACATTGAGGAGCCATCTCTTGACCCCTTCACGCAGGACGTTGTCCTGCTTCATCTCCTGACTGGCCGTCTGGTCATCGATCTTGACGTGACCATCCACGTCTTGGGCGCGTTGATGCTTGGCCAAATCATCGTTGACGCTCTTGACAACTTCCTCCAGGGCTCCGACGACCGCTTGCCGGCAGTCTGACTGAGACAAGGTGGAAAGAGGGGGCCAATGTCTACCTTTTCCTGAGGTCACAATCTCAAGCGGCGCGGATTTGACGGAGGAAGTCGTCCCCACCGATACTGTCCGGGAGTGGGCCTGACGCGGACTCGCAACGGCCTTCCCGGGGGTTTCGGCCTCACTGAGAACGCGTTCGATCGCATCTGTGAGAGTGGTGTCAAAGTCCATTACTGTCTCGACCAGGAAACGCTCGGAGTCTTCCTTCGCCAGACCTGGTGGTTTTCGCTGGCGAGAAGGTCCCAAGTCATTCGGGACTTCGACTGGCCGAGGGACAGGGTTGACGCTGTGGTGCGTTTCGGTGGATTGGACGCTAGGAACCTTCCGCTTCAAAGTTAAGCGTTGGATTGTGAATGTTCGCAAGTCAGCAAGAAGCGTTGTGCAGACGTTCACCCAAAGCTCTCCGTTCGCCTCCTTTTCTGGAAACGGGCCGTAAATGTCGTCGACAGGAGTAATTTCCTGTGACATACTTTGTTTGATCTCCTCCTGCAATTCTGAGTACGGTTTCACACCTTGAAGGATAAAATCTTCATGATATCTTCTCAGATAGCCTGCCACGTTCGTGGTACTCAACGACTTGTTGCTGTAGAGTCGGTTAGATCTCGAGCTATATGAAGAGGTGGCATCATCTGTGCTGGGATGGTATGGTGAGTGGCGCCGAAAAGAGGATGCGACAGAAGCGTCCTTGTTTTCTTCCCAGCCTATAAATCCTGGAATATTGACGTCAACATCAACCACCCCGTCTTTGTCATCGACCCGAAGACGTGGCGGTTGAGCATCAGTAGGCGTCGATGGTCTCCAGGTCTCACCCGAGCCACCGTCACGTTCGTTTTGGAGCGCCGTCGTTGGTAGATGAGTGGCCTCATCGACCATGCGCTCCAGATGGTTAGAGTGTAAGTCTTGTATGGGGGACGTCTGGGGGGCGTGCCTGCGCCGATCCCTCAAGCTGCTGATGGTAGCTTCGTGCGTCTCAGGCGGTGGGCCGGGCTTCTTGGCCCAGAGTCCGCTGACATTGCTGATCAAAGACCCCCAGCTAATGCTTGATGTTGCCGTTTGAGGGTTACTGGTACTGTCTCTTCGGAGTATTCTCGCCAGATCAGCGCTGGCACCACTCGCATCGCCCTCTGCGATGACCCCTTCTGGAAAGTAACTGTCCCGCTTGGTTGAGAAAAATGGTACAGGTGTGCCGCTGTTGGAAGCAGTGGTGGAGTATGCAGGATTCGTTTTGTGGAGATGGCTCGGATCGTCGGAGGGTGACAATATGGAAGGGTTCCTAACAGAGCCGGATTCATATTTCGACCGAGGAAGTCCAGAGCGAGAGCTCTTACCCAAACGCCCTGCAATGCCACCGACACTGTCGGTTGATGAAGCACTGGTAGAGAGCGCTGCGGCACTCCTCCGGGAGACAGCCGCGGGACCATCCCGGGATGGAGCATGAGTATGACCGCGGATCAAGCCTTCACCAAGAAGCCGATCAGTGAACGACGAGGTGCTGATGTCGGGTGTGGATAAAGGAGAGAGGAAGCCGCTACCAAGTCTTGCGGTAGGGTCCACATTGTGCGAGAGTGGTAGAAATGAGGCCAGGAGGAAAATGAGGCGCCGTGCCATCGAGCGGCTATCACAAACTATCACTGTTCGGGAAGCAAGGTTGCAAGGTCTGGAGCGTCTCTGGTTCAAAGCTTGAAACTGCTTTCGATACCACTCAGGCCCGAGGCGTTCGAGCCATTCGGTGTGGTTGCCCAAAAAGGCAGTCAGGAGGTTGAACAGGAAGAAGTTGTGTTGCTTGTTCCCACATGCACGAACGAGGTATCTCGCTTCATCAAGCCAAGGTCCCCCGTAGTCGAGACCGAAGCCTGTCACTACACGCGGGATACGGAGAGCGTACGAGATCCTCCACAAGGCATGTTTGGCCACCTGCTGAAGGGTGGCATTTCGAGCTAGTACGTTTGACGAGCGTATGTAGACGTTCCGCTGATTCGTACGTTGTTCCGACGGGCCTTTGGGTGCCTTGGCAGCAGAAGATATCATCGCAAGATTGACCTCCTGCAAGAGTTTACCGACCTCGACACGAGCTAGTCTCTCAACCACAGCTAAACTCCTCAATATGACATTCCAGTTCTTCACAATCGTCTCAATGCCTTGGTCAGTCAACTGCGCTGAAGTATCCGACGATAAGAGATGGTCAGGAATAGAATTCAGGATCGTCCAGGATGACAAGGAGTCTGAACCATATGAGTTGGGAGTAGAGGATGCCATCGTTGAGGCCCTAGATGATGGCCGTGCGGCTGAGGTGCCCGGGCGTTGGTCACCCGATCGTGGTAGATAGCATAACAAGGCCGCTGCATAGACTGGTGTTTTCTTCTCCACGAGCTTCGGTTTCTTGCTCTGCAGGCTCGGTGACTCTTGCTGTTCCCTTCCTAGGGACGCCGGAGAAGCGGGATCGGCATTTCCACCAGCAGAAGAATCCCGATGTTGCCTCAGATCATCCTGGCTGTCATGAAGGCTGACCGGGAACATGCGAGTGATCAATATCGCGTCACGCGACTCCACGTCTGCTTCTTTCGAAGATGACGCTTGGCGTTGCGCATTCGCAGCATGTGTAGAAGTCCTTGCTCTCAGAAGTGGTACGCGTGCGATGGCAGGACTGGTAGCATTCGAGGGAGGGCGTGGACCCAGATCGGTGGGAGAGCTTCGATCACCAGGCAGAAAATGCATTTTGGTGCTCGACCCCAGCTTCGTCGCACTGCTGACGCCGAACATGCAGTCGAGGATATTGCTGAGGTGGTCTGTCGACTCCGGTTCTTTGAACGGGCGGGACCATGATGCAGATGCGCCCGAGATCGTGGAACTCCTGTTCCTTACATGGCTATGCACAGGCGCACCCGGTATCGAGCGACCTCCTGTCTCGCCGGGGTACAACGGGCCTCCCATCTTTTGGGGGCCGGGTCCAGGAGATGAAGCACCAGGCTCGAGATTGTGTGTGTCCAATAGCACCATCGGCCTATCGTTTGTGCCGAACGCATCCTGAGCAATGATCAACCTCAGGTCTCTTGTCTCGTTCAATTCCAGGCCGACCCGATCATCGAAGGGGGATACGCGGAAGCTGGGAGATCCAAGAGGAGTGGTCGGCGGCGAAACAGATTGAGGACGCGCATCGGAGTGAATCTCTGGCCAGAGAAGGGCGCGCGTGTGCGACTCGTCGGTCGCACTCTCTAGCTGGCCACTGCGACCATAGCCTTGTATCAATCTCCCCAGCATTTTGCAGGTCACGTTGGACGACTACTGAGCCTACAGGAGGCCTGCAGCCGTCGCCTCAGAGGCGAGTATGATGGATCGAAGAACTATGCCAGGCAATAGCATACGGAAGTCGAAGAGCCGCGATCGAAGGTCAGGATCGGGGATGAAAGGGCGTACGTCGGACGGCCTTGCCGTGCTGTTCGAGACAGCTCCAACATGGCCTTCGGTCTCGCGGTTCAATTGGGGAATGCTCGGTGTTCGACTACACAATATTGAGTGAGCTGTAGAGCATCCCGGCCGTTGCTAGTGCTTTGCGGTCGCGGTTGTTGTTTGACAAATTATACAGATGGTCGGACTGTGTCCGAAGTTACGGTGAAGGGGCCCGGCAGATGGGCAGCTAGTCCCAATCCGGCAATCGGTCTCGCTGCTGGAACCCGAGCTTGAAACAACATCAACATGACTCTCGCAGCTGCGTTGGACATTCCCACTGCAGTGAACTGAGCATTATGCCACACTTGAACGCCCGTACTCTCAATCGATCTCAAACCGTGTTGGTCCTGCACTCCGTCCATAGTGATGCGATGGGGTCCCTACCCACGACGTTACCGCTGACGCCTGCTGGACCTGTCCCCTGGGCTTCTTTTTCTTAAGCTCGTCAACAGCAACGAACTCTTGAAAGCCGCTCTGAACCACTGCACGCTCCACTGCCAATAAAGCACCTAGCCTGAGCTGTGGTGTGATATCAGTCAGAGCAACAGGAGAGCATTATGGTCTGCGTTTCCTCGGCAGTCTCGAGTCTCTGCGATAAGGGGCGTAGGTCAGCGTGGCAGGCAAGTGCAGGAAAATCGCTGCTGTTGTACTATTCAGCGACAGCTCTCGAAGGCCAACATGGGGGCCAACATAAATGGCTTGTGTAAGCTTTCATGCAAAGTGGCATCAGACCAGACAGACCCCGATCGCCCGATTCTGCGACATTGTTTCCCTGAAACCCTTCTTGCTGAAAGCACGAAGGCCACGTTATCGACCGCGACCACCCTACTCAACTCAGCTTTGATACTTTCTTAACGGTGAGCCCGCTGAAGTCATTGCAGGCTGCAAACTGCTGGAGGTTGGGCGCTCGCCTTGACTCGAAATGACCTGCTGAGACTGTGGACAGACGCTGGTGTTCCAAATCACTTCACTTTCGTCTCAACGACACGCACGTGCTCTTTTCGTGTCGCTGTACTCACGCCAGCCTGTCACTTGACTGCCGACAACTCTTCAATCCTTCAACCGAGTACGAATCCCCTATCCTAACTTACACAAACTCGTCACCCTTACGCTTGTCTCTTCATCTCTTACTGGCAAGCCAATTGTCACTCACCTACTCAACTATTTCTTGCAGGACATACTCTTGATCTCAATCTTGCACTCTCTGTGGACGCAAGTATCTCTTGCGCCGTCAGCCAGTATCCTCGTCCTTTCGCAGTACCGTCAGAGCGTTACTTTTCCTTTTCCAAGTCGTCTTTGTTTCTGGCTCCTGTGCTTCCCATCTCACTTACAGTGACCTAGAATATCGAGCTCACGCCGCTCATTGACGGCTTGTTTGCAACCTTGCCTTTCCGTTGGTCTTTCCTCATTGTCATTTATAGAGCTTCCTGCGATCGATCAGTTGCCTCTTGCGGTTCACCACAACCTCGACATCATGGCACAACTTGATATCCCCGGCTTCCACTCCGAGTCTGTCTTGATCGATCTTACAGCGGATGATTCCGACAGTTACGCTGGTCCTGGAGACTGGGATACAGCACCGGCGGAAGCGTACGTCAAACAAGAGCCGATTGACGAACATGTCTACGCCGCTTCTCTGGCACCAGCAGAGCAACATGATCATGTGGAAGATGATACTATTCTCACTTCTGATCCCTTGATGGAAGACTCAGTGAAAACTCGTGGCCCAGCAGAAGCACAATCTCGCCTCTGTTCGGAACAAGACGACAGCTCATTCCTTCCTCAGGAAGTCGATGTCAGAGATCAACATGACCCTACTATCGTTTCTCAGCAGATTGAGGAGAACGGTGATGCCAACTCTGCCACCTCTCAACCCGAGCCTGAATTCGTCGCTCAAAATTACATGGACATCGCTGACATGGAAGCCCTCATGCTTTACAATGCAAACAAAACGAAGCTTACCGCCCACTATGAGGACGACCCCGCCAGTGCCTTCCTAGAGGCAGCGCGAGCTGGCGACGGTGACTTCGATATGCAGGAATGGGACTCTGTCCAGGACCCGGACCCGGCATTTGAAAACGTCTTGGCCATCGCTGCTTTCGCGCGCCGGCAGGAGGATTATGAGAGGAAAAGATCGCTAGGACTTGCAAATACAGTCGATGATATCCAGTTCGCAGCCGACCAAGCTGCTGAACAAAATCGGCTACGGGATTTGGAACGTAGCCAGAGGGCCTGGACAGACTCTCCCGATCAACCTGAACTTCCTCCAGGCTACGTTGAGGCAGACTCCCTGTTCATCCCCGAGCAATCCGAGGTCCACGAAATCCCTGTCCAGAAAAGAGCGTCTCCAAAACCGAGGAACGGCATTAGCAAGCAGGAGATGATGCAGGCAATGTCGGGTGGAATCGACACAGCGTGCACCAGCAGTGGCAAACCGAAGCGAAAGAATAGCTCCACAACCGACAACGGCCCGCCAAAGAAAGGACCGAGAGCGGCGGGTGGTGCGAAACCAGCCAAGAGGCCTCCAAGAAAGCGTGCAATAAAAACAAGTATGACCAATTTGCCTTCTCTCGGCAAGAGCAACATTATCCGGGATGCTCAAGCCAACGCATCACGACCGGATATGCCTACATTCACGGCTCGCGATAAAAGCAAAGCGCTTCGAGAGCTAATCGCTAGCATTCCATCGGCAGAGAGAGGTCAGCACAACTCTGACAAGAAAGCAATACTGGACGCCACCAAGAAGTTTCGAGGCAAAGGTGCCGTCAGATCAGACGGCCAGGGCGGGTGGAGGCATAGAGACATGGAGTCCTCGTTGTATAACCATCAGCTACTCGGTGTCGCCTTCTTACGCGATCGCGAAAACTCGGGATCAAAACCACAAGGTGGCATGGTTTGCGACGAGATGGGCTTCGGAAAGACGATACAAATGATTGCAAATATCCTCGACGGAAAACCGGCTGAAGACAGTCCGTTCAAGACGACATTAATCGTTGCACCGCCTACGTTGCTTCCTCAATGGATGTCCGAGATGGACAGACATGTCAAGGGCAACAGCCTGGGTCGGATTCTTCGATACCACTCTGGTGCGCGTCTCATCAGCAACGACATCCTCGCCGACTTATCTGCGTACGATATCATTCTTACCACCTATGGCGAAGTCCAGAAAAGCTATCCCATCCCAGATCCACCCAAACATTTGTCGAGCGAGGCTAAGAAGAATGAATGGTGGGAAAAGTTCTACCAAGAGAACGTTGGCCCACTCCACCGACTGAAGTTCCATCGCATCGTGCTCGACGAGGCCCATCAGATCAAGAACCATGCCTCCAAGACCTCCATCGCAGTCTGTGCCCTAACCGGCGTGTACAAATGGTGTATCACAGGGACGCCGATCATGAACTACATTGAGGAACTCTACCCATACTTCAGATTCCTGAGGGTGCCACATACCGGTGACTACGCAACATTTCTCCACAACTACTGCAACAACCGTTTGAGCAGAGATCCCATCAGCATGGGGAGGATCCACAACATCCTCCGGGCCATAATGCTGAGGAGAACCCACGCTGACACAATTTTCAACGCGCCAGTCGTCAAGCTCCCGGGCATCACCCACACCACTCACCTAGTCGAGTTCAACGACGTTGAGAGGGCCATCTACAACATGGTCAAGACAAGGTACATCTACCAGATCAACAGCTATTCGCGCTCTGGAGAGCTGACGGCCAACTATCGGAATATCCTTGCGATGATGCTACGGCTCAGAATGCTGTGCTCGCACATCTTGCTCTGCCAAGATGTCCTTAAGCGGATGTTCGTCGCTGCTGACATCGAGAATCTATGGCGCCTGACGGCCAAGGAGGTCCAAGCCTCTGGTGATGAGAATCAGAAGAATATGATCACGACTTTGCGACGAATGCTACAGACCAAAGATAACACCCTCACCACTTGCCAGACTAAGGAAGCCGAAGCAGATGCCGATCCTGCTGCAAACTCAGAGACTCAAAACGGCGAGGCTTCAGGAGACGTTGGCAAGGGATTTGCTCTTTCTTTCAAGTTCCGCAAATTCCTGCGGTCCTTGAGCGAATCTAAGACTTGGACTGAGTTGCATCTACGGTCAACTTGTGGCAAGTGCCGGCTGCCTCCTGACGACCCGGTGTGTACTTCATGCTTCCATGTGTACTGTAAAGAATGCATCAGTGCCATGGATTACGAGCGCCAGCTTCGTGGAGAGACAAAGTCGGCCTGTCTCGAGTGTGGAGCTCACTTTGAAGAGACGTCACCTTGCTCCGGGCTCAAATCACTGGGCTTCAACAGCGACTCGGTGGCGCGGAAGGTCGAAAAAGCCAAGAGGAAGTCGTTGCCTACGAGCACTGGGGGACAAGCCGGCCGAAGCAGTGACAGCCGTCAAGCCTCCTGCGGTAGCGGCGAGGAGACCGACGAAGAAGATAAGGATCCCGATTGGATCGAACTTATGGGAAGCACTGTCCTGCCGTCCGCCAAACTCACAGCCACAAAGGCGGCGATCCTCAACTGGCAACAGACAGCCAGGGGCGAGAAGATCATTATTTACACACAATTCCTGGGTCTCTGCCGCATTCTTGACAAAGTCTGCTCGGCTGAGGGCTGGGGTCATGTGCTGTTCAATGGGAAGATGTCGCTCGAGGCGCGCGAGAAGGCCATCGAGCGTTTTAAGCACGACCCACAAGTGTTCATCATGATCTGCAGTCTCAAGGCTGGCGGCGTCGGTCTCAATCTCAACATGGCCTCCAAAGTTATCATCCTGGATTTGTGGTTCAACTCTTCCATCGAGGCACAGGCGTATTGTCGCGCGTTTCGGATCGGGCAACAACGCAAAGTGGAGGTCTTGCGGTTCGTGGTCAAGGACTCCATTGATGAGGACCTGATCAAGATGCAGGATCGGAAGGATGTCGAGGTCACTGGCGCCATCGGCCCAGACAGCCATGGCAAGAGAGCCACCATCCAGCAGCTGCTTTCGCTGTTCGGCGAGGTTCAGGAAGAAGGTCAGAACGAATTCATCTTGGTCGAGGATGAAGATCAGAACGACGACGACGATCCGAATGTTCCTATGGCCGACAGACTTCCTCCACGTCCTTTTTAAAGAAGTGGCGGAACGGGCGGCGTGTGCCTTTTTGGGTTGACAAGAGTCAACCTGCTGGATCCGTCACACTAGTTGCGCTCTCTCTCTCTGGCATTGCGGCATATCAAATCATTGCTTTGTTGCATGGAACGACAACTTGGGGCTGACTGGCGGCACACATATCATCACATGGTCTTCGAATCAGTATCAACAGATGGCTATGAAAACACGCATCAATACAGGAGCTACTCGTTCAAGCGATCACCCACGCATGGCATGTTATTCCAATTCCACAACACAGCTAAGGGGGTTGATGAAGAATTGATGGTATTCGGAGCTGGGCCGGGATTGATGGATGGACTGAGACAGGGACGGACAAGGGAGATACTTACTGGGAGGGAACTGGCTGGCCAGGCCAATTCAGAAGGCTTTTCTCACCTGCTACCTCGCTTTCAATATCAACGTCAACGTCAAGTTCACTTTCGATATCATCGCCGCTCAAGCGACAACCCATTCAACTGAACTCAGCTCAAACAGGAATCTGCGTCTGCTTCTACTTTCGCTGCCACTCCAACTTCTATCGAGTATCCTTTTCCTCCAGTGAGGATACGGAAATGCGTACTATTCAGCTCCAGTACGCATGCTTAGCAAACGACACGCAGAGTCGCAGACAGATACGTACTAGCTTCATAGCTGCAATATCCGATTTTGCTTGAACATGACTTCCTTCTTGTAATGTAATTCAGGTATGCTCCCTAAGATGTAGTCTTCTTCTCTATCGTGAAGCTCTTTCCCTTGGGCTAGATCCCGAATTCCCGACCGTCTCTCAACTCTCATCTTCCATCCTGCTTTTATGATTTTGAAGGTAATGCAATATCGTGGGTCTTGAGCCTCGAGTATTCACTTTCTTACAACTGTATCTCTGGCTTCTGATCTTCGATCTTCGATCTCTGATTCTTGACTTCGTAGCAGCATCAAAAGGTTCATGGCCCAGGTCACCGTGAAAGCTACTTTAGTTTACCACTTTACATTGTCACTGACTGAACCATAAGCATTCGTAGCTACCTAGGAATTAGATGTACATATACAAAATACCAGAAATCAGTGTCTTCAATACAGGTCGTAGTGGGGGATTGCGGTTGTTGTCGCTACCAGAATTGTATCCCATGGAGCTGGTTGATCATTGTTTCTTCCCCCTTTACCCCTTTTATATATATTCCTTCTAGTATCAAATGCGACTTTCCCACTTTCCCCCAAAGTGCAGACTCTCATTCATTTATTCTTACTCTTTATTCATCATCTGTTTTTTTCGGTCAGCTTCAGTTCTAGTTGTTCGATCTCGAGTTTGACCTTGCTTGCGACGGCGGTATTGGCGGCGGTGCGGCCCTCGATCCAGGCTGCCTGAAGGCTGGTACTAGATGGATCTCACCCAGAGATCCAGATTCGACGGTCATATAGAAATACGTAATACAAGGCTGCAGTGCGGATGGTTACTAGGTAGGATCTTGATAGTGGTATATATATCCGAGAGTTGATGCAGCTGAACGTCGACAATATCCGCGATTTCTTCCCCCATTTTCAAGGGACATATATGTACGTACCCATCAATGACCATCTGTTTATCGGCGTGGCTTGTTGATTCCTTCTTTCCTTCTGTGTGTCTTTATTGTCTCGACCAGGCCAGCCTGATGCTCGCATCTGTGTTCATATACTAGTAGATACCTGCCCTCTGGGACGATAGCTAGGTATATAAATATGTCATGGTACTAATGGCGAGACACGGAAAAAAAAAACGAGGGCGGACTTAATAGCAGATGCCTCTTTGATAGGTCTAGCCAGCATGGCTCCGTTTCATGTCATGATTTCATTTCTTCGAGTGGATGACTCTTTCTTTGACTCCTCTATTTGACCGGCTTGACTAAGGGGTATCATATACCAATGCGACCGAACAACCAGGTGACCAAACGACCGACGCCGGACCGACCACCAGTGTCCACCAGGAACATCACAGTTGGGATAAAAGGAAAGAAGGAAAGGAACCGGCCTGATCCGGAAGACAACAGGAACGCTAGATTTGCAAGTGCCATGCGTCAGGGGCAGCAAGAAGCAAGTTCCGGCGCAATCGAGCGTGATAGTGATAGATGGTGACCAAGTCTGCTGCCGTGAGTCCCCCAGTCTGTCTCCTGCGCCTGTGCGATGCTGACTTGATGCCCGTTCAAGCCGGCTCCCTGACGCAGTTTATATCCCACGCCGAGCCCCCAGCGCCAAGCTAAGATAATTCCAGTGGAAATTTTGTTGCAACATTCATCAATCCGTGAAGCACAGCTGACAAATTGGACACGGCCATGAATATCATCTGCCTCCCAGCGCTTTGATCGCGGCCTTCCTCCTCTCCAGGACCTCACTTCTCTTGACTCTGGTCCTCAGTGCCTCGCTAGCATGCACCAACGCATCGATGCTGATGGCATGGTTCGTCATGTTGTGGTTGATGTACGTGTACACCTGGGCCGCCGAGTCGAGGGCCAGGATGGCCGATTCATTGAGTTTCAATAAAGCCAGTGCGAGCTGGAAGAGAAAAGGCGAGCTGGTACCGTCATGTTCGCCGTCCTCGGCTTGTCCATCGGGCATTGACAGCGTCACAGGAGTGGAAGGGGCGCTCAAGCCGAGGGAAGGCATGTCGACGCCTAGATTTCTGGATTGCTGTAACGCATAGGGAACCGCATCGGAGCTGTTCAAGCAAAGTCTATGGCACGAGGGATTGAGTTAGTCGACAGCGGGACAACGTGGTTACAAATGTTGTTGTTGTGGGTTTGGAACTCACATCACATCCCAGACACGATACAAGGCTTCTCCGCCCGTCAACACACCGGTGTATAGAGACAAGAACCAATGAAAGGTACATGCCTCGAGCTCAACCCCAAGCTCTTCAAGCTTCGCGCTCAACTTTGGCAGAATTTCGGCGACATATTGACGAAGGACGACCTGGTCGGCTCTCGCCACCAGCAAGGTCGAACTGAAGTACTGGCTTGGGAGGATGACGTCGATGATTGCAACCAGGAGCCAGAAACAGTCTTCGGCGGTCGCACAGATGAGTAGCAGAGATGCCGTGATGAGATTCATTCCTGATTGAGCATGGTGTTAGTGAATGATCCTGCGTTCAAGTTGGTAACTATGGCCACATACCTTGGCAGTATCCAATGCGCGGATTGTGCAGCGAATATGCCCTCAACAGCTCTTCCAGTCGCTGCACACCAGGCCCGTGCCGGAAGAAGACGTTATCCGTCAGTGTTCGACGAACGTCTGCTTTGATCTGACTAGCTATGTCGGCATCGACATCTGTCCCCTCTTGCGACCGAGCAACCAGCTCTTCATAGTATCCCGGATTTCGAAGCGCGCTAGCTCCAGAACATTCAGCCCAGATCTTGGGACGGAGTGAAACCGGTATCCCGCCGAGGACCAATGCCTTGAAATGTAAATACTTGCTCTTGGTCTGTTTTGACCGTCCAAGAGTCGCAATCCCAATCAGCTCGCCATTGAGCAAATCTGCTTCGGGAGTATTGCTGGAGGCCCGGTCCAAGCTGTTCGCCCTCTCTGCCCGCACACGCCGCAGAAAGTCATTCCATCTCGCAGACCGCTCCGCTTGAAGGGCATCGTACAGGTCTGTGAGCTGGTCCAAGAGCAATTTCGTGGGGCCGGAATCCCCCACACTGTCCGTCTCTGAGTCGGCAGTGAAGTCCGATGAGACCGCCGTGACAGCCGTGTGCTGCGGCTCGGTGACAACGCTGGTACTCGGAAGTGCCTTGTGCGCCGCAGCAGAGACCGAAATCGACCTCTCCCGCGACCGGTGAGGCGGCGTGGTGTTACCTGCCGTATCGACCGAACTAACCGTCACCACGGCTCCAGCAGAAGGGGTATGCGATAGTAGCTCTCTAGGCCTGCCGGAGGACAGACCTGTAGTAACCTTGAGGTAGTCCTGCCACGACTTTTTGGCCGCTTCTTCGTCTAGCAAGGCGGGCGTGGTGGGTCTGTCCGCAAAGACGTCGTCCGACTTTGGGCTTTCTCCAGCCCGGAAACTGGCGATGGTCTCTGCGCCACTCATTTTATTCCGCTTGTGTTGTCGTGTCTGCAAAGTCTGTCGCTTTCGGCGTTTCTGATCATATATGAAGCCAAATCTGTCCGTCAGTAATCCATGGCTGTCGCTATTCTGGCTTGTCATGGTCGGTGGCAGCTGAGAGCTCTCAATCATAGAGTCAAGTTCCACAGTAGGAGGCAAACTGCTTGCATTTGAATCCTTTCGAGCATGAATAGGACTGGCAGTGAGTCTATTTGATGTCGGGGTCCGTTTCGGGGGAGGCCGGCTTTGGCCATTGCCACCAGGAGGCAAAGACAACGAGGACTTGCTCGCAGGGTGGGATGGGTTTGTCCGTATTTTTGACAAATCTGCAAGCGAGGCTGAGGCCTCGCTCACACCTCCGGGGTGACTGCCATCCTGTCCCAGAGACGACGCTCTAGATCGCCCAGTTTGAGACTTGCCACTAAAGATCTGCGTCCAGGAAGCAAGAGACCGGCCGGATTGATTCGATCGGACGCTGGCTTCGTCCCCCAATTTGGGCTTTCTTGGAGATTTACCACCGATGAAATAGCTTGCTCCCGAAGGCTGGGCTGGCGGCTGAAAAATACTTTGTAGACCAGACAGCTTGCCGGAGTTTGAGCTGGCAACACGAGGACGCAACGTGGCATCCAGATCTTGGCTGCTTTCGCTGAGGATACTATTCGCTCTGCTTGTTGCTCGGCTCGCTCTCGCCTGTGCAGATGCCATCGAACCACTCCGGCTGCGACTGTCGGGCAGCTCTGTCTGGACAACAGACTTCGGACTTTGATGTATGGGGAACAGTTCGCCATGGAACGTGTTCTCAATTGGACTGCTGACCGTGATCCCCTCTTCCATCGCTTCGCTCATCATGCCATCTAAGGAGGTCGCAACAACTGCCTTTTCTGCTGGGCCGGATGATTCCTGATGGACGGAGCTGCCAGCCCCTTGTTCCAGCCGGAGAAGCCTTCTTTCCACCTCTGCTGTGGGTACGCTGGCCTCCCGCAACAGCTTTTTCAGTTCTCTTTCTCTCTGGTCGGCGCGAATCCTCAGAGCCGAGATCTCTGCGTCCCGTTGCGCAAGATCAGAGGCATACTGTCGCACTAACTTCACTGCTCCAGCCTTGCTGATGAGCCTCTCGATATGATCGTCGCTAGCGAGGTGGAGGGAGCCTGGTATATCCAGAGATGACCGTGGGGAATCATCAAACAGGGCATTCTGTTTGTTCAGGGACGAAGGTGCTCCGGTCAGACCTGCAAGGGTTGCCTTTCTCTCCCTGGCTTTTTGTGATACTGTCCGTGTAGGTTTGGGTGTCACCTCTTGAGTAATTTTCGACGACCGTGTCTCTGGCTCGGGGGAGAAAGATGGAAAAGAGGTCAAGGCGGGATCGGCTTCTTCGATGGAACGGAAGGAATGCTTGGAGCCATGGCGCTTCGGCGCACCCCTGAGGGTTTTGGGCTTCTTGAACTCCGTCGAGGTATGGGAGGTCTGGGACGAAGATCGCTGGGATGCATTGCTGCCGTGGTCGGACATTTTGTAGGCCAGATTGGGTCCTTCACCGGCTTCTGGATACTGTTTGTGTCGAGACCACCACCCGCATCTTCGCACCGGCCAATCCTCGATGGTCAGGTGGAAGACAGGATGCCAAACTCAAGATCATGAGTCCGAAGGAGTGGGATCTGCAGATACACGAGCAAAGAAATGAGAAAGCGCCGTCGGTCTTTGTGCCCTAGAAGACGGAAGACGGCGGAGAATAGAAGTGTTACCCTGACTGTCTTTCACACGCGCACCGGCACACGTTGTGAGTTGGGCATCTGTTGCAGGACAGTTCAATTGCTCGTGTGATGATATGACGCCAACTCATGCCAGTACAGAGTGGTGTTTCCGAGTTACTCCAACGAAGTGCCTGCGAGGGGAGATGTGTGCCACCCGTTGATTGACAGGGGATCTGGTCATCAGCAATAAGATAGCGCGTAGTAAATACGGGGTTAGATAGATACCTTGAAGTGATCTATAATTTGTCCAGACTATCGGATTGGATTGATTGTTGGTGGGTTGCAGTGGAGGATGCGCGTAACGTGTCTACTGTCTACAGCGATGCAGAGCCACCATCAGATGTAGTATGGCGGAGTGTGCGGCCGCAAGAGGTAGTTGGAGTCACGTGCCAGGCTTTTGATGGCAGACATCACTGCACGATACAACTTCATCTACTCTCTAGGTACTCACACCAACTACTCCTTTCATCTGCTCATTCTGGCATCCTGCTCTTTATCAGTCCCTAACATACCCTCTCCGTCAGTGCTACGTGTATCATTTGGTCCTGGAGACTTCTTGTTGGAAGGCTTTTGTCTAATCTGTCTGGCTGGCTGAGACAGCCAGGGCGCGCCCGCGCCCCTCATCTTCCTGCTGTTTGCTTCCTGCATCAAGTCATAAGCATGGACAAACATGGAGCTGGACGGCTTCTAGATTGTCATACACAAGATTGACATGGCAGTCAGACTTGCCCATCGATACCCTTGAACCGCTCCTGTGGATCGCTTCAACGCCTGCCCAATTCCCCCTACAAATCTGCCGAAGATGGGGCAAGGCTATTCCATGACCACTCTTTCTGCGGCCTCGGCCAGCATCGATGTCCCGGAGCTCGCAGACTTTGTTCATGAGAAGACCTTGGCTTCCGCTCGGTTCATGAAGAGCGTAAGGGCTAGAAGTCAACAAGGATTCGTCTTCGTCAAGGCTGTCATGAAACCGTACTCATCGTTTCAAGTCCGCGAGTATGTGAGGCAGATCACGGAGGAGAGAAACATCCTCGCCGACATCCCAAACGCCCTGGGCTATCAGAGGATTATCGAGGTCGGCAGTGGAGGATTCCTTGTGCGACAGTACATGTTCAGCTCAGTATACGACCGAATGAGCACGAGACCTTTCCTCGAGGACATCGAAAAGAAGTGGTTGGCTTTCCAATTGCTATGTGCCGTTCGCGACTGCCATGCTCGAAATGTGTACCACGGGGACATCAAGACGGAAAATCTATTGGTCACCTCCTGGAACTGGCTATACCTTACAGACTTTTCCTCCTCGTTCAAGCCAACCTATCTTCCGGAAGATAACCCCGCCGACTTTTCCTTCTATTTCGATACCTCGAGCCGACGGACATGCTACATCGCCCCCGAGAGGTTCACTACTGCCAATTCAGGTGACCAGCAGGGCGGGATGAATTGGGCCATGGATATTTTCAGTGTCGGTTGTGCTATCGCTGAAATCTTCTTGGAAGGCCCCATCTTCAACCTCAGCCAAATTTTCAAGTACCGCGCCCGAGAGTACAGCCCTGAACACATCCATCTGAACAAAATCGAAGACCCCGAGGTACGGGCGATGATTCTCAACATGATTGAGCTAGATCCAGAGAAGCGCTACAACGCGGAACAGCTCCTGTCTTTTTACCGATCCAAAATCTTCCCGGATTACTTTTACAGTTTCCTCCATCAATACATGCTGGACCTTACCAGGTCTGCCACGGCGGCAAAGCCAGTCGGCCTGGATGTGGCAAGTCTGGGTGAATGTGACGAAAAGATCGATCGCGTCTATCATGACTTTGACAAAATATCCTTCTTCCTGGGCTACGGCCCGAGTCCGGCCAAACGGACGTCACGATCGCCTCTAGCCCTCCGGTCGAACAATCGAGTGAAGTCGCAGGACTCCGATCCTTCGTTGTATGATGGGAGCCTGCTTTTCCTCACGTTGGTGGTCTCCAGTATGAGAAACACTGCTAAGGCCGCTGCCAGACTGAGGGCTTGTGACCTTCTCGTGGCCTTTGCGGAACGGCTTCCGGATGAAGCCAAACTGGATCGCATCCTGCCATACGTGGTCGGCTTGCTGGGCGACACTTCAGATGTTGTCAAGGCGTCAGCAATCTATGCAATGACCTCCATCTTTGAGATGATCGAAGTCGTGTCGCCTATCAACGCATACGTCTTCCCCGAATACATATTTCCTCGTTTGAGGCAATTCGTGCTCGGGCCTTCCAATCAACCCAGTATCCTGGTGCGCTCCGCGTATGCTTCATGTTTAGCGTCGCTGGCGCTCTCGGCCTCTCGCATCCTGGACATGGTCCATGCCATTCGCGCTGACGGAAGGCTGCCAGCCCTGCGTGAAGACGACTGGGCTCCCGAGTCATCCTACCATGGTTTGTATGACGTTGCACGGGCGGAGTTGACGCCACATTTTGAAGAGTCGACGATTGCTCTGATCACCGACCCCGACCCTTCAGTAAGGAGGGCTTTGCTTGGGTCGGTCTCCCGGCTCTGCGTCTTCTTCGGCAGTTCCAAAGCGAGCGATGTCATCCTGACACATCTCAATACCTACCTGAATGACAAGGACTGGATCTTGAGATGTTCCTTCTTTGAAGCTCTCGTGGGCGTCGCATCCTATGTCGGGACTGCGAGCCTTGAAAACTTCGTCCTGCCAATCATGGTTGGCTCCTTGACAGACGCCGAGAATTTCGTGGTTGAAAAGGTGTTTCGTTCATTGGCGCGCATGGCTGCTCTGGGGCTCCTGCAAAAGTCCACCACCTGGGAGCTTGTCAGTATCGCCGCGCGGTTCCTGGCTCATCCAAGCATCTGGGTCCGGGAGAGTGCCGTGCAGTTCATTGTTTTGTCTGCGAAATATATTCCGGCCGCTGACCAGTATTGCATTGTCCTTCCAATGATCCAGCCCTTCTTGAAGAACCCAGTCCATGTGTTAACGGAGGAGCGCATCCTGGATAACCTGAAGCGTCCACTCTCCCGAATCGTTTTCGAGTCGGCACTCAGCTGGGCAGCGAGAAAGGGCAATAGTCTATTTTGGACCGCGGCATCGCGTGATGAAGCATTGACTCTGTCCGACCCCTCGACACCACAAAATCCCTCGGCGCTTGCAAGGAGATTGCTCACCAGGATACCGCCGTCACAGAAGGACAAAGACGATCAGAGTTCACTTGAGACCTTGCGGAATCTGGGCATGACACCCGAGGATGAGATCAAACTGCTTGCGTTGAGAGAGTATATTCTCCGGGTCTCAAAACATAAGTCGCCCGGGGAGTTGGAAGAAAGACAGCGCACGCTCAACAATATCATTGCCTTGAACTCGATCCAGGCCACGCCCCAAACTGTTTTCTTCGACCAACGAGAAGCACTACGACGGACGAAAAGTCGACCAAATATTGCGACGCAGCAGACGGCACGTAAAGATGAACGCCACAGTCTAGCAGATGCGCTCCTCGACGCTTCCACAAGCATCGATGAACAGTTGGCCAGACGGAGTTCGCCTTCAGGCAACGCAAGTGGCGCGGCGACTCCATCCATGAAGCCAATCGACATCGGCAACCGGAAAATATCGAGCATCACTACCGACCGTGGCCCAGCCATCAGTGTGGATGAGGCCAGTACTCCTTCACGTCTGATAGTGGGCAACTCCCCTGCCGGGACCGATCGGCTCTCACTGCGGAAGATTAGCAGCCCCCTGGAACTAAGGCACCGCAATAGCGGCCTTAACTTGATGAACCGCACCGATTCTGCCAAAGCGGATGCAGAAATCTCCACCAGTTCCGAAAACGCCTTTGGCAAGGTCGATGGGCCACTGCACCGAAAGACTGCAAAGACGTCCAGCTTGAGCGTTGCTGCGAGCCTTGCTGGAGGGTCCAGGTCAGTGTCACCTCAGAGCAGCGGAGCTCGAACCCCTGCATATGAGCCCAACCACTCCTATACCGGCACTGATGCCAATGTGCTCCGACTCCTGGAAACCCACTTTACGGAAAACTTCCCCGTTGATCAGGTTGACTTTGGAGGCAACCGTCCGGCAGCAGACACTAAAGCGCCGATCAAGAGAGCCACAGATGTCTTGCAACAGTACACGAGTGGCAGAGCGCCGCAGCAAGAACAGGGATACCGGACCGAGCCATGGCGGCCATCAGGTCAGCTCCTGACCCAGTTTTCTGAGCACACTGCAGCTATCAATCGAGTTTGTGTGGCCCCTGATCATGCCTTTTTCGTAACTGCGTCGGATGATGGTACATGCAAAGTATGGGACACCATCAGGTTGGAGAAGAATGTTACGCCGCGATCGAGACATACTCATCGACATGCAGATGGAGCTCAAGTCAAAAGTCTGTGCTTCATTGACGGCACCCATACCTTTCTCAGCGGTGCAGACGATGGAAGTATACAAGCCATACACATTGATTACAGAAGCGTCGATGGCGGTGAAAGCTCCCGATATGGGAAACCAAGTTTCGTCCGGGATTACCACATACCTTCACGCCAGCATGCAGAGGCTGCCAGAGCCCGAGAAGACGGTGCTGCCGGATCAACCCCCGAGTACGCTGTCTGGCTTCACCACTATCGAACTCCGACCTCGCAATCTATTCTTCTGGCTGCAACTAACAAATGTCGCATCCTCATCATCGACATGAAAACCATGGATATCCTCCATAGCATGAACAACCCGGTCCATCACGGCACCCCGACGACGTTCTGCGTCGATAAAAGGCACCATTGGCTTCTACTTGGAACCAGCCATGGGATCCTTGATCTGTGGGATCTCAGATTCAGGCTGCGACTCAGAGGGTTTGGCATCCAGACAGATTCACGCATCGATCGAATCCTTCTCCACCCGAGCAAGGGGCATGGCCGATGGGTTATGGTCAGCGCAGGGGGAGAAATCTGCGTGTGGGACATTGAAAAGCTGGTATGCAGAGAGGTTCTAAGACCGGGCACATTTACGGCCAGGAGTAGCAAACAAGGTCCCTACGAAGCATGGAATCCCGACGAGGAAAACAGCGAGAAAGTCCTGTCCCGCTTTGCACAAGAACTCGCTGTCGATGGGGACATGGTCGTACCGCAACTGCACTCGACGCCGAATGAGTCGTCCAACGGTTCACCCGTCAAGAAGCAAACTCCCGCTCCAGTCTCGTCGACTGCCACGTCCACACTCCCGATTCTCGCAATGTACATCATGAATGACTATCTCCTCAACCCATCTCAACCAGACAACCCGTACAAGCATCCATTGCTGTTCACTGGTGGCGCCGACCGGGTGCTACGGTACTGGGATATTCAGCGACCAGAAAATAGCTCTATCGTCTCCGGTCCCCAACTTTACGGCGAGGAGGGGAAAGTGGCACAGCCAAAATACGAGGTGAGCCACCCGCTGGCCTTGAGCGCCGGAGCTCAAATAGCGCTTGTAAAAGAAACACTCAACTACGAGGGTCATGGAGAGGGAAATGCATCTCGAAGGCCAACGCGCCCGTCCAAGGATCCAACGGCTAGTCCTGCCAGAACTAGTTCTCCACCACCAACCACCGGCAACTCGACGCCCAACCATGCCGGGCTTCCCAGCGCATCGACGGCATCAACCTCCAAGCCAGCCGCGGTGGCGGCGGCGGCAGCTTCTAAGCCACCCCGCAACTCCATTATCAGTGCTGCTCAACAACAGATCCTCCGAACGCATGCCGACGGTATCACAGATGTGATTGGACTCCGCAAGCCGTATGGGTGTGTGGTCAGTGTTGATCGAGGCGGAAATGTATTTGTCTTTCATTGAGCGAGGCTGGGGGCAGTTCGCATTCTCGACAATGAGGGAAGATATCGGCCTTTTGAGAGCAGTTGACTTCTCTACAAGCTGGTCAATACCGACATAGAAATAGATTAGGGGCCGAGAAATGACATGTAATCATATACCTGCGCTCACGTCGCTCTCAGGTCAATTGTAGTACCCAGTCTCCTATCTTGACTGATGTCTACCTAGGTAGTACTTCACTTGATATAGTATTACTGGTACGTAGTACTGCACCTTCACCTTCCAATCGGGAGCGCAGTTTGACCGCAGGTGGCTGAGTGGCTGAGAGTGGCTGAAGTGGCTGGGGCATGTGGCTGAGGTCTTCGGATCCTCACGCTTGTTGCCTGCGTTGCGCATCACTGCAATCAATCCCTTGCACCTCCGAGACAACAGGCTCCACGTACCTCAGGCTCAGTATGTGAGAGATGGCGATCGCCCACCTGCAGCATTCATTCTCGTATTGACCAACTCTTCATTCGGTTGTGTACCACTCACTGCACAGTAAACACTCTCTTGTTACATTGACAGCGGTCATCCATCTATATCCTTCTGTTCCGCCTGCATCTGCCCCTGATCTCACGCCGTTAAGTTCACCCTGTCGATCGCTATCCCTCGTCCCGCTCTGCCGCCCATTCCCTCAGCTCTACGTAATTCATCTACAATTTCACCTTCCTGAGCCGCGACCCTCGTCGTTGAAACTCCTACGCGAGCGCGAACGCCCTCGGTTCGGCAAACACCGAGGATCTGGCCCTCTGCTGACAGGTCTGTTGTCACTCAGGATGCTCCGAAGTCAGTGAGACGGTCGGTTGGCATTGTCGCTCTATAGATCTTGTTGTGCAGCCTGGATACATGTTCTCAACCATGAGTTATGACCATGGCGGGAAATGTCGAACCAGGAACCGACGCAGCCCCGATAAAGCCAGTGTCATCACTCCGATCACACTTTGAAGGTCTCAAGGTTCACCAAGCGCAGTCCGATGAGCGAGGAAGCGTTCCTGCATCTCCCCAGATCCTCAACCCCATCAATGGACAGTCGCCGGCTTCAACACTCCGTGCCTCGCTTGATTTACCCAGGCCGTCGTCGCCATGGACAGGAGGAGGAAATAATAGCTATGGTGGTTCACAGACCCCCGTTAAGGGAACAGAGTCTCCAAGCAAACCCGGCCACAAACGGCCCATGTCTATGCTCGTCCAACCCTCTCCTCAACTCACGCCTTCGGTCAAAATCGACTCTCCCAGGTCACCCCCACGCACATACTTTGACCGGAGTTCCTCAAGATCACCCGAACTGGTCGACAACACGGCGTTTGCGAAGGTCCGTGAATTTATCTCCCAACGTTCCAGCGCAACCTCCACCCGCCCTACCACTCCGCGGGCGGTGAGCGACGAACGATCCAGCACCGTGAGCATCGTGGGAAATGCAGATCCGGCTCGAGGACCCACAGGACTAAAATCGCCCGCGAGGCCGCCTCCTGTCAATCGGGCAGATAAACCGAAGATACCTACGAAGCCGAACGTGATTTCAATGCCCGGCGGCACTGGCCTCAATCCGGAAGCTCGCAGGCCCTCCTTTGAAGCTCGGATCTCGCCTTTCAGCACACCCCCTAGCAGCGAGGAGAGCTCTCCAGCGCGGAGCCCCGAATTGATACTCCCAAATCAGGCCTTTGAGGCAATATCGACGCCTAAGAAAGCGATGACACGAACCGCACCGTTCGTGTCGAGGGACCAAGGTGGGTCGGCATCAAAGGATGCGCGATCGCTGGGCTTCTCAAGCAAGCCAACCGTCTCAGAGAGGATAGATCCAAGAACGTTGGGGCTTCCCATACCCGATCCCCGACCACCAAGCCGAGGGACCACTCTTCCCTCGAGGGCGAGTACAGTTTCAGAGAAGACGTCGAGGGACCCTCGCGAGTTGGGTCTCTCCAGCATGAGGGCGGCGCCGCGTCATGTCTCTGAGTCAATTCGACGCATCCCTTCCCCTCCGCTAGCCCCTCCACAGCCTCCTCGACAGCAACATATCCGCGATCCTCGTCAGTTGGGCTTTTCCAGCCATCCCTCCGCCGAAATCGACTCGAGTGGCGAAGAAGTGCGGCCCGGTCTGCCTCCCAGAAGAAATATGCAGCCTCCACCGCGACCGTCCAATGAGTCCAAGTACGGCACAGCAAGGCCGGTCCCCTCGCCTAGCCATGTCGCCGCTCCTGACCGAAGTCATAAGCGGGTGGCTGCTGAACAGCTGTCCCGTGGTGCAGGGCCAGTAGACGCTCGATTCCCGCCCCCACCGAAACGAGCCAGTGTCGACGACGGCGACATTCTCCCAGCGACCAGGGCGCAGACGTTTGCCGGAGACTTTCCAACGCGGCCGTCGATAAAATCCCGCGCAACTGACTCGGATGATGCAGAGGAAGTCGCAGAGCAGCCTTCCACGGCGAAGTCGGAATATCCGGATTCGACACATACAAACCGACGACCCCCCTATGTCAAGGGTGGCTTATGGGAGATCAGCACTAAATCCGACTCCAGAACCATGGAAGTATGTGGAAGATACCTATGTACGGCCGGATACACCACCCGAGTCTTCGACATGTCCACTGGCGACCAAATTATGAACATCAACCATGGCGAGTCGGTCAAGGTCACAGCGGTGGCATTCAAGCCTGCCTTGGAGCTAACCAGTGAGGGATCTAGGTTATGGCTGGGTACTAATACCGGTGAATTGATGGAAGTGGATGTGGCCACGTCTACCATCATGAGCACGAATTCCTCTCATAACCGTCGAGAGATTGTTCACATACTCCGAAATCGGAGAGATCTGTGGACACTGGACGACGATGGCAAGCTCTTCGTGTGGGAAGCTGACGAGTCAGGAGTGCCGAACCTGAAATACAGCCATATCTCCCACAAGGTGCAAAAAGGACATTCGTGTTCAATGGCAATAAACGGGCAACTCTGGCTCGCGACTGGAAAGGAAATCCGGGTATACAATCCAGGGAACGACAACTCATTCATTGCCCTCAACAAACCGCTATCGCAACCGGGAAACCTGGACATCACCTGTGGGACCTACTCTAGTGAAAATGGAGGCAGGGCGTACTTTGGTCACATTGATGGACGAGTTAGCATTTACTCAACGAAGCACTATTCCCCAGTCGCAAACGTCAAAGCGAGCGACTACAAAATCAATGCCTTGTCCTTTGTGGGGGACAAGCTATGGGCAGCTTTCAAAACCGGCAAAGTGTACGTGTACGATACGTCGAGTTCCCCGTGGAAGGTCAAGAAGGATTGGAGAGCTCATAACGGGCCGGTCACCGAGATTATATTGGATCCGAGCAGTGTCTGGACATTGCAACAGTTGCAGGTGGTCACGATCGGGCACGACAATTTTGTCCGACCATGGGATGCGGCCCTCGAAGACGACTGGATTGAAACGGAGATGCAGGAACGGGACGTGGAATATTGCACCTTCCGGGAAGTGCGAGCCGCGGTTGTCACGTGGAATGCTGGGGCGTCGACGCCTTACGACTTGCGGAGCGAATTCATTGCCGACGCCATTCATGCGGCGGATCCGCCGGAGATACTGGTGTTTGGATTCCAAGAAGTGGTTGACCTGGAAGATCGGGCGGTGACGGCGAAGAGCATACTGGGATTTGGCAAGAAGAAGGACCCTGTCAAGGCGGAACAGCATCAAAGTCGAGTGTACCGCGAATGGCGCGACTATCTCAGCAAAATGATAAGTCGATATGTCCGCGACCGCCACGCCTACACCGAACTGCAAACGTCCAGCCTGATCGGCCTACTCCAATGCGTCTTCATACGGCAGGAAGAACGACCTCGGGTCCGCAACCTTCAAGCCGCCAGCATCAAGCTCGGGTTGAAGGGGCATTACGGCAACAAAGGAGCACTCGTGACCCGGTTCTTCCTGGAGGACAGCTCGCTTTGTTTCATCAACTGCCATCTAGCAGCGGGCCAGTCGCAGACGTCGCACCGCAACAACGACGTGGCCAGCATTCTGGAAGCCGAGGCCCTAGACCCGGAACCGGACCCAGACGTGCGCAGCTCGTTGTACATTGGTGGCGGCGACGGGGCCCAGATCCTCGACCATGAAATCTGCATTTTGAACGGCGACTTGAACTACCGAATCGACACGATCCCGCGCGACACGGTCATCAACATGATCAAACGCAACGAACTGAGCAAACTGCTGGAGCGGGACCAGATGATGGTCTCGCGCCGCCGCGTGTCCGGGTTCCGCCTGGCCGCCTTCACCGAGCTGCCCATCACGTTCGCCCCCACGTACAAATACGACGTCGGAAGCGACGAGTACGATTCTTCCGAGAAGAAACGGGCCCCGGCATGGTGTGATCGCCTGCTATACCGTGGGCCCGGGCGTGTCAAGCAAGTCGAATATCGCCGCCACGACGGCGTGCGCACCAGCGACCACCGGCCTGTCAGTGGGTTGTTCAAGCTACGTGTAAAAACCATCGATCCCGCCAAGAGGCGGAAGGTCAAGGAGGACTGTTTTGCTCGCTTCAAGGAGGTCAAACGCCGCATGGCGGAGAAGGCCAGCATCGAGTATCTCGTCGCCGTGCTGGGTCTGCCGGAGAGTGAGGCGCGGCGGTTGATTGCCGCCAATTAGATCAAGTAGGTGCCGGATAGCAGTGCAAGGAGCTGCTGCGGTGGATTGCCGTCTCAAGATTCCCTCCCGGGAAAGAAGTGAAATGAAATGAAATGAAATGATAGAATTCAAACACAGACTTGAACTTGGAACTTTGATCTTTGAACTTGGAGATTGGAGAATAGTGTTCACACCTGTTATCGTTTCAAATGAAGCCGAGCATGCAGGTAACTAGATCCAAACTGCGTGCGGTCGGTGTCCGTGGCAGTCATTGGCAGCAACGACACCACAACCAGCAACCAAGCAGCTCTGGTCACATGGATTTAGATTGGATTTCCTGGTTCTTGGTCTGGTCTGGTCTGGTCTGGTCTGGTACGAACGGAGGAACACGGTGGGAAACCAGAGATGGGATGTGAGAGTTGAGTGACCAAATCACGCCCAACTTGGTCACTCTTGAGAAGAATGATCATGATCGTCTACATGCTTATTAGACTCGAGTCAAAAAATCGGCATTCTTGAGCGCGATTGCTGCACTCTCAGGTAATATCAGTGTGCTCGCCCACCTCGTGTCATCATAACCCAGTCATCGTAAAGCAGCGTGCGTGACACTTGGACTTTGAAGTCGACGCCGCTGTCTGAGACCGCCACCGACCGACATACCTCAGGGATCGGCTTAGAAGTCTCCACCACCCATATCGTCGCCACCGCCATAGTCGCCGCCGTTATCAGCACCGTCCTGGTAGCCGTCTTGGTAGGCATCCTGCTCGCCATCATTGATGGCATCCGACAGAAGCATGCCGCCGAGCAAGCCACCGCCCACACCCAACGCAGCGGCACCACCGACACCCATACCGCCACCGCTGCGTCTCGGCGGTGCGGCAGCCCCGTAACCGCCGCCGTAGCCTCCGCCGTAGACCGGACCGGGAGGATAGCCGCCATAGCCTTGCTGGGGGTAGCCACCACCGTATCCAGGACCTGCGCCATAGCCTGCTTGGGGATAGCCGGGCTGACCGTAACCGTAGCCGCCGTGCTGTGCGGGATAACCATGCGACGAAGACGAGGTTTTGCCCAGCAGCTTGCCGAAGAATCCCTTAGATCGGCCAGCACTGTTGCTACTCTCGGGACGAGCAGGCAGCGGGCTTGGTGCGCCGGGATATCCGCCCTGGATGCCTGGGGTGCCTGTGCCTACTCTGGCTCCTGCTCCTGCTCCTGCTGCTCCAGGTGCAGTGCCAGAGTTGTAGTAGTCGTCGGCGGCGCCGCGGTCGCGCAGGTTCTCCTCTTCTTGCAGTCGTCGGGCGAGCTGTTCGTCTGTCTCGTTGGCGCGACGTTGGCTGCTGTACGGGTTGTTGGACTCGAGCGGTTGTTTGGTGTCGGAGACATGAGGGACATCCGGCCCCGCGGAGTAGGATGGAGGCGGGACACCGGGAGGTGCGTCTTCATGGCTGGAGTTGGGAGGTCGTGCGGGCTCAGTTGGTCTCTCCCATGTTGACTGTTTGGTGTAGAGGTTGACGTAGAACCTGAGGTCGAAAGCGAGTGAGTGTCAGTGGCGCGGCAATGAGATTTGAGTAATGGGTGGTACGCATGGGACGAAACAAAGAGAGCGGACGACGGGATGGGATCGCAGGTGCCAAAGACAACGCTCATACGTACCATTCTTTGTACTGGTCGCTGTAGACGGCTTTCCAGCCTTCCGGCACTTTAGGCGGCGGCGGGCCTGGAGGCGGTACGAAGTCGGCCATCAGATGCAGAGCTGTGTGAGATAAAGAGGGATTGGATCAGGAAGAGGGCGTGCAGCTATTGCAAGAGGGTTGGGAGTCTACCGCTTGAGGTAATTGACGGCAGAGCTGTCCTAAGTACTCTGTAGGGTGGCGGATGATGCCGTGGTGAAGGATAGTTGAGTTGCTAAATGAGGTGAAGTACAAGTACTATTAGTAGTAGTACTGTAAACGAGGATGGTGGAGAGTGTAGAGAGTAGAGAGCAGACACCGTCATCGGCTACGTACCTAGGTACATCATGTATGTGCTCGTACTACGTATATCACGCCGCCGGCTTCAAATTCCAATTGTGGCGCAGCTTCACTTCGCTTCACTTGGCCACAGTTCTAGAATCGCCCACCAAGGCATCCAGCATACCTGACATTCCATATGCCGGGAGCCAATGCCGGGGCATATGGCCATGTGAAACGAGCGTAAAGTTATAGTTCTCTGTATATTGTTGTTCTTGATCATGTCGTTCCCCAGCAGCAATTTGGGTCAATCCCTCCTTATCTCGACTATTTCTCTGATGTAGAGCTTGACACGACGATGCAATGGATGTCCAGATCCTCCTCTGGCAACCAAGACAAACCACAGCAATTGATTGCATGCCCACCCAGGACCCAATGCGATGGTATCCTGCATTGTCCAGCAGTCTTCATTCATACATCCTTAGAAGCAAGGTCGTGCTGTTGTTGTTCTCTCAAACGTGTATATTTCAGTCACTTCCTGTCGAAAAGACGCCTACCTAAGGCAGTCTTGCACAAATTCCATGTTCACCCCTTCAGGTCGTACACTCTCCCAGTAGGCGTGTGTAGCGATGGTGAAGTCACCATCCTTCTGTCACCATCTCTTTCTCGTTCATGCTGCCAGAAGTAGTGATAGAGGCAGTCGAAACCTTTGCGTGCTGTGTCCAGTCCAACCTAGCTCATCCATCTTGTGAGAAAGTGACGAGGCGCTTGGAGAGCGCATCATGACCTTACCAAGCCGGCATCTGGGCAGACGATGTGCTCCATACACGACGGTGATGCAATCATATTCAGCCATGGCTGGGATACGGGCCATAGCTTCTTGCCTGCTAGGTGCCGGCCATTGGGTTGCTGTACTGTCTCCAAAGAGATTGACATCTTACAGCTCTGCTCCTGGTTTGACGTTGAATTGCCTGCTGTAGCAGTGTAGAGGGCGATGATGGGTCTCTCATGCCGCCAATTAAAAATGTAGGTTCTCTGGTTCGTGCCGAAGCTCGACCAGGAGATTGGAGACATCCTCAAGTCTCTGGCGGAGTGGTGGCGGCTGGCGCAGATGGAGGATACAAGCACTGCCGAATATGTGAGATGACGTCCTGGACGTACTCACGGCCCTGAGGAAGCACACGGTCCATGTGCATGAAGTGGTGTGGAACTCCTCTAAACCTCCTTACAATGATTTTGTTGCCGGCTGCTTCCACCTTTTGGGCATATGCTTCGGCCTCATCTCTGAGAGGGTCAACCTCGGCCGTAGCCAAGTAGGTCAACGGCGCCAGATTGCTGAAGTCGGGCGCATTCATGGCATCCGCAAACCAGGAGATGTCCCTTCTCTGCTCTTTGGGTTTGGTAGGATGCTGGTTCGAGACGGAGATCCATTTGAAAGTGTCGAACCACTTCAACTTTTCCCAGTTGAGGAGTGGTGCCCATTCGGCCTCTCGCATGCTAGGCCAGGGGCTCATGTCCGGAGTGGCATATTTCCTCACATCACTGATGGTCGGAGTTCCAACGATGACGCCCTTCAACTTCTCACCCAACCCGCCGTCTCGAAAGAGATGGTTCAAGACGAGCGCGATGGTAGCACCGGAGGACTCCCCACCAAAGGTCATGTTCGCGGGATCGATGGAGAATGTCTTGTGATTACCAAGGATATGTGCCACTGCAGCCATGCCGTCCATGATTCCAATGGGGAAGGGATATTCGGGAATCAATCGATATTCGACGTCAATCACACAGCAGGGGACCGAAGCACAGATATGGTGGCAGATGTGCGCATCGGTCTCAAGGTCCCCTACGGCCCATCCTGTGAAAGTCAACACTTGGAAAACGCTTCGGACAGTAGGAACCACATACCCCCGCCGTGGAAGTTGAAATGAACCGGCCATACTTTGCGCTGTCCTGTCTCCTCCCCTGGAGGCACGTAAACTCGCACATTGATGTCTCCTGGATATTTGTCCCAACCCGGTACCTGCGTTTCTCCAATCCCACCGACACCGGTTGCGGGAGCTGCTGCGTAGGAGTATAGGGCCGAATAGTTCTGGCGGACGACGTTCAAATCCGTCGAGGTGGGAGGGCCATTGGCGATGTGGTCATTGTATAATTTGACAAAGGCGGGATCAAGGTGCTCGATGACGGACGGATGGATGGGATTGCGAAGGGGAATGCCAGGCGACTTGGGCCGCCCTTCGTGGGCTTCCTGCATTCGGAGATCGTGGGCATTCATGTTGGTGGCGGTTGTCGCATGATCAAGGTCACTCCGCCCGGCGTGTGCTGTATCGAGAAGGTCGAAAGGTGGCAGCGGTATTCACTGACTGCAATCTGATATAGAGCGACGCCGCATCATGATCGAGGAGAAAAGACGTGTCCCCGAATATGCAGGAAGAGTTCAAGGACAAGTAAGCTGCCGCTGCCGCTCGAGCTCGAGCTCGGAAGTCTCCCTCCAGGTCAGTCGGATTTTGTTGTGACCGCACTGACTACCTACCTACTATTGGGGCGAAGGAGATGGTTTGGGCGGGAGATGTGACCGGGGTAGCAGGGGGAATCGGGCAACAGTGATTGGGTCCAAAGTCCGATGGGGGATGGAGAATAAATGCAGTGTGAAGCGAAGATGGGATCGACTTGTTGTATCGCCTGCAGTGCAGTGTCGTCTGCCACTCTTTGGACCCAGTGGACCCAGTGGACTCTCTAGGCTCCCTAGGCTCCCTAGGCGTTTCCGGCAGGGAAAATGTCCGAGGCTCATTAGGGTCTAGAGAGGCTTCGGAGGCTTTGGAGGCCTAGTATGTTTTTGCGGTGGCTGTTCAAGACTGGACTTTGGGCTTTCGGAGATGATGAGAGGCACTGCACTGGCACTCTGTACACAGTACATACTACTAGCAGACATTGTCTCATCTCACCCTGCGGACTTCTCTGTCTTCTACACGGTCTACTATCATCCTTTGCTTTCTTCACTGACGTTGTGCCTCACCATTGTCATCTCCCGGCAGCGGCTGTGACTGGCGAAATCGGACCCTCTCCATGCTCCTGTGCCGCCTCCCTAGCGTTTCCTTCTCATCCCGTCTTCGAAACGGACCCTCGAGGTTGTCCTTTTGTGCAGCCCACCTTTCTTCTCCGGCGCAGACAACTCCTTTTACCCTCTGCCAACAGCTTGGCCTGCCCAATCAGATACGCTAGGACTGAGCCTGACGGCTTTCCTGGCGGGCTTTCCGGGTAAGAGCCAGGGGTCCCTATCCCCAGAGTGCTATGCTAAGGGGGTTTTGGTGATGCCTTAATAGGAGCTCCGCACATCCGATTCAAAAACGAGAATCATTTTGTCTCTGCACAAGTCATCTGCAATTCTCTTCACGTCCCACACAAACGATCGTCAACCAAGTGGTCATAGGGTCATGCAGCATCCATGATATCGACCTTTTGTGGCTTCGAGCCTGCGGTCCTCAGAATATGCACTCTCCTGCGGGCAAGCTTTTGGTGACAGCAAGCCCCATCTTGTATACCGACATCCAGGAGATTGATGATGGCCAACCTTGGTGGTTTCGGGCACAGTATTCACCAGACGAGTCCCCAGGAACAGTCTTGCCGCATATTCTCTGATCGGGGATCTCTCCAGCCCATTGCGTACGAGGTTTCCATCACAAGTCCAAGTCCCTTGACAACCTTCCTTCAGGACACAAGATGAGCTTTGCTGACTGTGGCTAGTTCCTCCTGTGGCTAGTTCCTCCTCTGACTGTGTGAGCCGATTGATCTCTCGCCGAAACGCACCCAGTCTCGGTTGTCTTCGTGTTGCCTGTCCTTCCACCATCCCTCGTCGCAGTCATAGCCGCAGACGTCTTTGTCCACTGGCAGTTGTCGCCTCAACGCCTCACAGTAGCTTTCCTCCTTGAACCACCACCCCTCAATTGGTTCCTGCTCCCAGCTCTCGGTCGCAAGCGGTGAGTGTCCATTGAGATCGAGCGTTGTGCAAGAGTGGATGACAGCGCGGATCTCGGCGGCCGTATAGACCTCAGCATATGACATGTCCAGGATTTTGCTGGCTATTCTGCTGGGCTGCAGTCCTTGCTCGTGGAGTTCCATGATGTATCGGCAGGTGCTGCCTTTGACAAGCATCCTGCCTGGCCCGTAGATTCTGAGGTAAGATGGATAAGCTCGCCTTCCCTCGACCGGCTGATACAAGTTGATGCCCGTGGTTCGAACGTCGGTTTCTCCTTCGCATAGGCACGTGTTTCTCGTCTTGTCGCCGTTGTCTTCTTCATCTTCGATATCCGGGTTTCCAGCAAACCACTCAGGTTTGAACACTTGCTCGCGGGGCCCATCCTTTTGCTTTTCTTCTCTCTGTGGTTTCCTGTTGGCACCACATTGCGGACGTGCGGATCTCCCCCGGATCATCTCTTGGTGGATGGAGAGAAAAGTCCATAACCTGCTAGGCATGGCGAAGGATCAGTACCTGGTGAGGCCACGTAACGGGGTCTGTGAGACAGCGCATGCGGCACGATTTTGAGAGGTGAGCACGAGTTCGATCAGAAGGCTTCAAATCGAGACAAGTTGGGAGAAGTTTCAGAACACACATTGATCTTCGGTCGCTGTACCTACATACGCACACGCGTCAGGCTTGCTTACCGATTGGTTTAGCAACATGCGACACTGTATGCCCGAACCAGGTTGACGGGCGAGAGTGAAGTGAAGCGACATGGTCAAGCAAACACAGGGAAGAGCTAGGCACCGGCAGACAGATACGCAGGCACCCGCCAGCGGTAGAGACAATTGTGAAGTTATAGCGTCTGCATTCTGTCTACCCAGGCTCATGTTGACTATGGGACGATTTGAAGGCTAGTCCATGTGGCTAACACGCCATAGGATCATGGTCTATCAAAATGGTATATCAGCTTACGAGTGTTTGAAATGAGTGCAATTGTTGGGAGCTACACCATGTGTATGAATTTTCAACCTGGCTATTGTTGCACCCAAGCACGGGATCCGAGCATTTTGTCTTAGCACCACCCCGGGCCATCAAACCCGGACTCGAAGGGACGTTCCTTTTCTTCGCCAGGCAGGTGAAAGTAGAAACAAGGAGAGCTAGTGATGGCTCATGTGAAAGCATGTTATGAGCAGACAACGTAAGCTCTAATCGACCCGGGCTTGTTTGGGGAGGGTTTTCCTTTTCTTTTCGCGCACTTCATAACGACTTCACAACGAGAGACGGGAGGTTGGTAGGTTGGTAAGTTGTAGGGTGTTGCGCCTTCTCCAGCATACAAACTTGTTGCGATGATGTCGAAAGCTTGGGTGAGTCCCCGTTGACCGCAAGGCAGTGGGAAATTGCAGGCGTACCACCTGTCCTTCACATGGCAGCTCTGAGTGCTGGTGTACCAGAATTCTTGCTTTCCAACTCAACCCCCTCTGGGCGTTGCCAGAAGAAGGCAACGTTCATTCCTGCTCGCTGTTCTGTGCAGTGTTCCGCGTCGAGCTAGGCAATGCGAACTTTCCCAGTAACTCGGCAACCTCTCGTCTTTCCACATCGGCCAACGCCATCCCCTCTCGTACCCTCTTGGAATGGCCTTCCAGCCGTTCGGCTGCAAGTGCCACGTCGTCAAGGATCTCTGTCGAAGCAGTGAGATATGTGCCGACATGGCGAAAGAAGCGGGACATCTTGACCACTGGAATGGCGCCTGCCTCGATGGCGGTCATATACTCTTTGACTTCTGCCATCCAGTCTTTCAGAGTTCGAGATTGTTCGGCCAGAGTAAACGTGGAGAAGGTGCGCGACGAGCGGAGGACTGGCCAGTTGCCATGAGGGTGATTTATGACTGCCTTCTTGGAGGTGACAGGATCAGCAACTGCGGTAGTAGAGGTGGTGGCCGGTTGTGAAGCGGCAAGCTGCATTTGGTCGATATTGTCTCGCTCGGCGCTGTTATCGTTGGAATCAATCCTATGGCTGACCTTCTGGCGTTTTGTCTGAGCCGGCTGGTCCTCGTTGAGAGCAACATTACCATTTGGTCGTCTCTTGCTGGAAGATGTGCCCTTGAGTGGTCGCGTCGGTGCAAGCTGCCTTGTTTTCGCCATTCGACTAGATGGTGGGATTTGGTGGTCGACAATATCCCCATCGCCATCGCCAGCACCCTCAAGCTCGGCACCCGCTGCAAGAACTTCGCCGGGAAGGGCAGTGCCATTGGGCGCGTCCTGTTTAGGCTGCTTCTTTGGGCGAGCACCTGAAGGACCATCATTGAAGGATTGTTCTTGATCGCCAAACCCTTGCGGTTCGTACAGACTTTCAATGTCATGCAGGGGCTGTCTGCACAGCGGCTTGCTGTTACGGCTGCGAGAGAGATTGCTGTCTTCATCATCGCTGTCGTCTTCTTCGTCTTCGTCATCCTCACCCTCACCATCGCTGCTATCATCACTATCGTCCTCATTGTCATGGTCTTCCTCATCCTCCTCCTCGTCTGTACCGTGGTATTCAACAACAGCTTCATCGGCACGAGGTGCTTCTGGGCCGCGGCTGGAGAAGACTGGGTAATAGCAATTCTCGTGCCACGTGTGTTCGATTTCTGGGCTGCCGGTCTCGGTCATATCGGTCATCTCGGCCAAGCCGATGTCGTGATAAGTTACAGGATCGCCAGCCTGGTGTCGTAGATCTTCTTCGACTGGCTCCTTTTCCAGTGTGCTAGTTGGGTATTCCTTCGTCAACATTTTCATTTGCTTCCGTCTTCTGTTGTAGGCTCGACGGCTCTTTTTGGCCCTGTCTGGGTGTCTTTTCCTGCAGGCTGCCCAGTGGCTCATAAAACTAGAAGGTGGAGCCTCAACAGATGCGATGAAAGGGATTGATCCTAAGAAAGTCACAGTCAGAGGGGAAAGCAAATGATTTGAGTCACAGTCAGTGGAAAAGAGCAGGACGAGGGTTCAGATATGTGTGTCGAAGTATTCTGCGTCCCTTCTCATGGGCAGTGGACACAATGTAACACTGAGGCAGCCGTGAGATAAGTCTGAAACACAGCCAGACCAAGAGTGACAAACAAACAATCTTGAGGTGAAGGTGAAGGTGCAAGCCAGGCCAGATGAGATTCCATGGACGCTTGCCGTCGAATACGTCCAACTTCAAGGAAGCAACCACGTTCTGCTGGACTCACCACGCGACTCATCTGATTTCATGATGTCCTCTGCCGGTACAAAGTGCAAGTCCTGCTCAACACCAGTCCGATACTGATAGTAGCGGTCGGATGTGAAAGGAAGCGACAGTCAAGGACGGCGGGAGGAGCAGAGCGCGGCTAGAAATCCTGCAGGTTACCTGGGTACTTGTACCTAAGGTAGGTAGTGTATGCTCACCTCGCCTGGTCCTATCAGAGCTAGACAGCAGAAGATGATCGCGGGCGGAAGCCAACCCACTGGAGACCGTCCAGTTCAGAATAGAAAAGGATGAGGCAAGTATGAGAATGGAATCCAAGTCTGCAGTATCCAGGAGACAATCCACCGAGAACCTGTGTCGTCGTCGTTGAAGATCTGACCTAGCAGCCGGGAAGCTGCTTTCAAGACGTCTCAACACATCGGGTGGTTCAATCTTGGGACCCAGCCGAGCCTGCGCACAACTTCCATGCCCAGACCTGGTATGTTCCATTATCTTACATGTAGGTATATGTAGGGAGATGATCCGTGGCTGTCGGTGCCGGCAGTATGCGGAAAGATTTATGCTGTAGCTATAATAGCAGGATGCCAGCAGGGCTGGTTATTCCCCCAAGATCCCTGCTACGCCAACCATATGGGGCTTGGTAGATCGTAACGGGGACCAGAAACGTCTGAGGGGAGGCCGGTGCAGCGATGGGTCTCTGTATATCAAGAAGGGAATATGCTGGGTTCCTCGAGAGCAAACAATACGGATGCGGATGGCCAGCAAATATGCTCAGTCTCAAGCACAATCAAAGCCGTTGCATAATGACGAGTCAGCCGGTCTGCTACTCGGATCAAGCTATGGTGAATGTCGACACTAGTATCCCTGAGGAGGCGATCTTGATGGAATTGCTTGCATGATATGGCGATGTTCGCTTCTTCCTGCCGCGTTTCAGGGGCTGAAATTGCGGACCACCACTGCAGGACGAGCCCCTTTTCTCTTGGTCAGCAAGGCTGAGGCTACAAAGGGAGCTGTCGGGTGAAACCTGAGTTCTGAGTCCAGTTAGTCATAGTAATCGAATGGCGCGGATCAGCTCATATTGGTGCCTATGCGGAGTTCCTGAACAGAGACACAGAAATTGTGAGAATAAAAGGGCAATGCTGTCCGAGACAGTAACAAAAGTGCAAGGGTCCCCAGACACATAGTTGAGGACATTCTCCCTGCAAAGTCAAATTCCAGTCTATTCCAATCCTCAAAGAGTACAAGCATTACGTGCTGTGCAGCACAGTTCGCAGCACCAGAAGTCACCCAAGAAAAGCTCGACGCCAAACTGCCAATCACTCTGGTCAAAAGAGACATAAACCGGGTAACAAAACTTCGGCCTCCATGTTGTACAGATGGAGGCAAAGTAGTCAGGCAGTTGAATGCAAATCTTCTCGCACAAAACACCCCAGCAACAGCCTACCATGGTCGCGCCAGAAACACCAACGCTCGTCCATGTTTCCCACTTCCTCTGCCATGCAGGCTTTGACAGCGGTGAAGATTGTTGTCCCTCGAAAAAGTAGTCGACAATTCCACTCATCAGCATCCCTCCTCTGGCAACTTGAGTGTGGCTAGAGCGATCAAGACATATTCTCCCCCCGATCGCTTCACGCCCTCTTCTTGCCCGCCACGATCCCGGCTTTTCTTCTCGCGGCAATGTCTCCCTCTCCCAACCATTTGCTCGCCTTCACCAGCTGGATCACATTGATGATCTGCTTGCCGAACATGACGGGGAAGCTGACGCCGGCCAAAATCCACGGTATTGTACTGTCCATCTTGTTGGCGCGGGCCATCTCCAGCGCTCCAGCGCTCCAGGGATTTGCAAACAGGGTGCTCGGTTTCGGGTGCGCCGGGGAGCCAGGCTGAGCGGATATTGGGGCGCTCTGGGGTGTAAGTAGCAACGAAGGAGACAGAAGAGGCGAGGAGAAGGAGAGCAGGTAGAGCGCGATGAAGAAAAGTTCGTTGAGGGCGCAAAACAAAAACAGGACAGTCTGCACCGGTGTCAGTTCACTCAATCAAGCACTGCAGTCCCATCCACAGGCTCCACATACCCTGTTCGTATAGTAAAGGTGGAGGATATAGCTCCTGCTCGCTTCCACCTTCTTGTGACTCTGCCTGCTCGATCCCATGGTCAAGCTTGCGTACATGTGGATGTAGTGGCTGGCAAGGTCCAAACTGATCAAGCCTTGGAAGACGATGGACCATCTTGGGAACGCCGAGGCCAGGAAAACCAGCAGACAAGAGGTGGTGCACCGGTCGGTGACCATGTCCAGCACCGCACCGAACGTGGTGGACTGATTATACCGCCGCGCCGCCAGCCCGTCGGCGGCGTCCAGAATACAGGAAAAGCTGTAGAGGCCCGAGCATGTTCGCGGGTGTAGGGGCATATAGTAGAGGGAAGCGATCGCCAGGACGATTCGCGTGTAGCCTGCAATCTGTCAGCTGTGAAGTGCAGGCAGATTTCAGGACATACCGATGATATTCGGAATGAAAAGGAAGATGTTTTCCTGTTCAACTAGTTCTGCTTCAATCCTTTCCAGCGCGGCATTCGCCTTCGCCTTCGCATGACCGTTGGCCGGCAGGTCTTGTTTCTCCCCCTGCTTCTCCTCCATCGTTCCGTGTTCGGGGTGGGGAGGGCCAATGTGCGACGGGGTTCAGAAGGGACCTATCTGCGTCCGAGGCGCTGCAATATCTGCTCGAGGACGCTGCGCTCGACGTAGGGGTTTCGCAAAGGCTGTAGTTGTGAGATTGAGGTCCAAAACACAGTTCTGGCAGAAAAGGCTGGCTGATAAGGAGCTCCAAGCACTGATAAAGGGTTCCGCCTAGCGGGCTGAGGATTCTTTTTCGGGTGATGAGGTTGGAACTTCGGCTTGCTGCGCGGGAGTCGTCGGTTGCGTACTTTCGGGTAAGATGGTGCTGGTAGTCAACAGCGGTCAAGTCGTTTGCGTAAGAAGGATCAGTGGGACGGGTGGTAAAGAGCGTTTTGTGTTTATTCATCCCGCTACAGTCCAGCAAACGGTGGGCGAGGGTTCAGGAGGTACTGTAGTAGGTCTTGTCAGTCCGGAACGGCGGATCTCGTACGGACGAATCGTTCCTCACCCCGGATTTGCTCTTCACCTCAGTAGTATTCGACGATCTCGTTACTTACTACGTACTCAGCAATACTATAAGGCATATACGGTAAGGTAGCTACCTACCTGTACCTTAGCTACGTTCACACTTCCTGTTAGATACCATGAGGCCAGCTAACGTGCCGCACTGATATCACCTCACGTTTGATTGTCCATGTCAATACTGTGGCAGTATGCGTAACAACTGCACTCCTCCGAAGCTACCAGGTTGCATCAATACATTGGATGTATACAGTATCTGCCCTGAACACAACTACCGCCGTCTGCTCCGAGGATCTGCGGCACTTTGTCGCTTATAGTCACGGCTTTCCTTCGTGCGCAGACTTCCAAGGCCCCCCTCCTGCCGTCGCTCCCATCCTCCCATTCGCACGACCAGACAAGTGGCATTGTCGCCTTCTGTCGAGACCTCCGTTGCGAAGTTGACCACATCCCTGGCCGCTTGCTCTGGGGTCCTGGCCTCTTTCACAATATCTACCACCTCTTGGTCATCGAGAGTCCCCGAAACCCCGTCCGACATCAAGACCATGAACGAATACTCCGCCGGGCCCAGTTCAACTCTCTTGATCTCGGGTTCGGCGCTGACGCCAATGCGCTTGGACGCGATATCTCCGAATGCACGGGTGTTGGCGAGTCCGGAGATTCTCTCTTCGCCGAAAGAATCGGTTACGAATGTTGCCGCGTACCTCCTCAGTCTATTGCTTTCCACAGGCGACGATGGGTGATGGTTGGTAGTCAGAGGTATCGCCGCCCCAGTGGCCGTAGAGCAGAGCAGGATTCTCGTATCTCCGACGTGGGCAACCAGCACCGATGATGTCGTAGCAGGGTTCCAGAACGGCGTTGGCGAAGGAGTCGAAACCAATGCCACACTACAAGTACTGCCACCTTTGAACCTCGCGGGCCCGCCAACGTAAGATGCGACTTTGCTGGGCTCGCCTAGTATTTCTCCTTCATTCAATGGCCTTTCTGCCCGGGTATTGTCCCTGGTCTGGGAGTCTTTCGCGGCCTGTGCGGCAACGAAGTCATAGTCGGCTTTCAAGAAGGCGTAGGTGATGACTTCTTCAATGGCAGCGCCGCACTCCACATCTTTGCCGCTTTCTTTCATCGGGACGGACTCTTCTCCTGATTTCTGATACCCGTTGTATATGGAGAAATACTCCGGTCTGAATCGACGGAAATAGCCACCAACAAGATCCTTCCATTTCTTGGTCAAGTCCTCTTCCAGAGCCTGGATCTTCTCTTTGGTTGCGTACTGAATCAACGGCGGGTCTCCGGGATAAGGAGAATTGGTTTCCGATACAGATCCTTTTGCAGCCCCCCTACTCGATCGACTCATTCGAGACGGTTCATCCTTCCTGAATTTGACTGAGTCCAACACTGCTTTGGCTTGCTCTTGTTGCTCGACATCGTTCTCGTCTAGGGCTTGTGCTACTCCTTCTTTTCCTTGGTCATGTCTCCGCAGGCTGGACCGGAGCCCGAAAGAATTGGCCGAGTTTTCAATGTATTCGTGAAGTCTCTCCCTGAGGAAATCGCTACACTCCGCCCCGCCGTGGCCGTCAAAGATAGCAAAGTAGAAGACCTGAGGGTCGCCAGAAGCACCGTCGGCCGATGTGCCCTCCCGAGACCTTGTCTTCATTGTTATTGACGGTGGTGGTCTTTTTGCGAATGCCGGAAGCTCGATGATCCCTGCCTGGTGCGAGTCTTCATTGTAGGGTCGACTGCCCCGGGACACCGCAGCACCATAATGATGTTTCGCGCTCCGGAGGGGTATTCGCACCACGGTCGTGTCTCGTGAAACTGACGGGTGGGCTGCGGGAGCCGATCTGCCATCCGGCGAGTGTGGCGTCGTGTCTTTGCTAGAAAACTTATGGGCGAGGCCTGTCAGGGAACGTGAATCTGGATGAAGGGAGGATGAGGGTAGGTTGGTGACGAAATAGTCGTGAAACGGGCGCCGCTGCGAAGGGGACCCGACTCGCGTCCGCGTGTGAGGGCGTGTTTGTCGAATGAACGTCGATAGGAGGTCTAGCTGTAGTCAGACACCACTCTCGAGGACAAGGAAGAAGGATGAAGTACCATAATAGCACTCGGTTGAAGGACGCAGCACTCGGCTGCCGTAGGACATGGCTGCAGACAACGCTCTCCGAGCTTGCCATAGTATTATGGTTGTGTCGACGGTCTCCTCAAAAGACGAGCCAGAATTACCATCTTCGAAAGAGAAGAGCAGAAAAGGCAATGAGGATAACCTTGGAGCGTGCTTGCTATCTCGACGAGGAGAAGCGAAGCGGGCAATGGGCGGACGTGTGCTGTAGTAGTACGTAGGTAGTTGACGTTTATCGACCCTTTTAGTCTTATTCTGCGAGGACAAGCTTGTCATCCGCTGGCGAAAACAGGCGAGCTCGCCAACAACCCGAATCAACGGTCCAAATAGACAAAATAGACAAAATAGACAAAATATAGTGCGAGCCGTCTCTTCTATAGGACGCAATCAGAATCCACGCTCCCTCAGGCCTTTTCGAACTACCTGAGGTGTGTACCTCAAGCTACTAAACATACCAGCACGACCCGCCGCCCTCGACCTGGTTCAAATCATGTAATCTATACCTAAAGGTACTGATCCGACCTGGGTATCTAGAAAGAATCGAGATCTGCCGAATCCCTTCTCATAACTTCGGTGGATGCGCCCTACCATCTGATCTGTTCGTCCACAACACGCCTGGCGCTTCGTAGGAGTCAAAACTCTCGTCCCCATGAAAGTGCCAGCCCCTTTCTTCCCCTTGCGAAAGGTGGCTACAGTCGCTGTTGAGGATGCAATCCCACCCACCGGCGACGCCTCCAGAGTTGCGCCAGTCGTCGTCATAGTATGCGTCGCCAGTAGTAGGGAGCCGCCTGCGGACAAACTTGCTTATGCCGCAGGTAAAGCACTTGAAATCCTCATCATCAAGATCCTCGGGCACCTGGCCCGTCAAGGCCCTACCGCTGGCTATGATCTGAGCGGCATGACCGCAGAGGAGCAACGTAACCTCTTCATCACCTCGGCTGGCGTTGAGGTACTGTTCATCCACGTCCTGCACTATCTGGGCCAGGGCTCGCGCAACACGATCATGCAAGGGCTCGATCCTTTCTCCATGCTCGGGCGGTACAACCCTGGACTGGTATTCATCATCCAGCCAAGGGAAGAAGTCCCGGCGCAGTCGACGAGGCTCTGCCGGCTTGGGTTGCACGAACCATGCTCGTCCAAACCACTCTCCTATGCCTCTCTCGCCTCTTACTTTCAGGTGTTCCCTCGTGAGGGAATTCGTAGGCGTCATGTCGAGAAGGATCTCCACCGTCGGCCGTAGAGTCTCAAGACATCGGTAGAAAAGGCTGGAGTATATTCTGAGTCGGTCTGACTTTGTGACCTCCGCTAACACGTTGCTGAGATGCTTTGCAGTTTCTCGCGCCTGCTGCACGCCATGCGACGCCAGTGGAGGGTCGGCCGGCAGGCCGGTCGGGTAAGGATGATTCGAACCATATTTGCCTGTGATGGGATCCAGCGTCCATGCAAGCCGATGGCCGTGTCGCAACAGCAGAACCTCGGTCACGGGCATATCTCTCTACCCTATCCTCCTGGGATAAGGTGAGCAAGAGGAGGAGATATGTCTCCTACAACTTGAACATCGTCGCAGTCGATGGCAGAAATGATGGTGCCCCCACGAACTCGACGCGCACCACCAAAGTTCGCACCAGCCAACCACAAGTGCCGAGGTTGTCAGATGCTGCCAGTGGCAGAACGCGGAGCAGGTGGACCAGGAGCCAGTTCAGTACGTAGTATACAAATATAGAACACCCAAAAGGCTTAACGTGTTAACGTAGCATATAGTCGTCAACAGCGAGTTTGTAGAATGGCGATTTGGGAAAATTGGCTCCTAGTAGTAAGTAGTCCATATGCTCTGCGTTACTGGCAGCCTCGTCAACTTGAATACTGCACCAGGCTGCCACTTCAAGTCTACTGGCATTCTTGTCATTCGCTTGCATTTTCATCGAATCTATGCACTCGCATTCCATTACCGTGGCGATGCAGAGGGCGACTCTAGTGGTGGTCGAGATGCTCCCCTACGCTTTTGGGATAATGAAGGCGATGGATATTAAGCAACTGAAATGCACGGAAGGACATGACATGGTTTGTGTTTTCCTGCAACGAGGCTCGAATGGTGACAATGGATCATTTGTATGGAGCGCCGTCATCGATGCTTCTCCCGTGTCAAAAGGCCCCATTTCTGTCTTCGTAGTTCCAACATGAACAAACTCGCGATCAGAAACGCCAATCCGGTGTAGATCTCGGGCCATAGATACGGCCTCTTAGCATGTGGCTCTCGGATCCCAAGCGCGATGGCCTCTGAGACTGCTCGGTCATTAGAACTTCGCGCTCAAATGTTCGGTTCTGGACGACTCACAGAAAGCGGGGATTGAAATTGACAACCACATCATACCAAGCGTCGACGGGAGCTCACTGAGGTCAACGACTTCCGCGCATAGAGGGCCGATTGTCTGGTTCTGCATTAGCATACGATTGCAGTGTAGTTATTGACAGCCGGCGCGTACCCCCCAGTATACTCCGCACGTCACTCCTAGGATAAGCGACAGGAAGATGAGCAATCCATACGAATTGGTCGGGATCCAGACGGCGAAGACCATAAGTGTATTCACCGCGGTGAAGCAGCACGTGACAGTCATCCTCCCGAACCGATCGCTGAGGACGCCAATACAAGGTCGTCCGAAGGCTGTTCCAACATTCAGAACCGTGGTGACAATTCCACCCTGATGCTGAGAAAGACCAAGCGACAGTGCGAAAGCCGAGAGGGTGTAGGTGCAGATAATATATCCGGAGATGGAAAAGAAACTGAAGCCCATCAAGAGCCAGACTCGATACCTCCTTAGCAAGGCCACATCGAAAGCCTTGATTCGTGGTCGAGTAGTGGCGTTACGGTCCCGCATGAGCAGTGAAGCACAAAACAAGACGACAAATGCAATGATGCCGGTGATTCGAAGTGACCAGGCCAGAGACAAGTTCTCGATCATTGGCGTGGTTGCTGCAGAGAAAATGATGCCGCCGACGCCTGATCCCGCAGCGGCGATACCCTGTGCAAGACTTCGATTCCGGTTAAACCAGGCTGGTAGGAGTGGTGTGGCGGGCAGCCAACAGAAGCCGGTCCCAAGGCCGACAAGAATACCTTGGGACAGGATCAAATGCCAGAATTTGGTGGCGAACGAGGCTGCCACAAAGCCCCCTGCGAAAAAGAAACAGCCACAGTACATCGTGGGCTTGGTCCCGAAGGCACGGATGCACACATTGACGACAGGCGTACAGAGCATGGCGGCGGCGAAGTTGACGCCGCCAACGAATGTAAAGTCCAGGTCCGAGGCCCCAGCGAATGTCTCGTGATTGATGTAGTAAGATAGATAGACTCCGTACGACTGCCAGGCAAATTAGCAGGGTTTCCGGCAATGCCCAAAGTAGCGAAGCATACCGCTATGATGCCCCAAGTGAACCCGTTGATCAGGTGCATGGAAATGCAGACCACCCACCCGTAGGGAGGTTCGACAGAGGGATCATAAATTGAGACAGGCTCTCCAGGCGCACTGGGGGGGATTGCCACTTCATGTGCATCTTTCGACTCGACCTCGGCCATTGCATACAAGCCTTCCTGTTCTTGTTTCCTGTCTTGTTGAGATGGTGGTGCTATGCGAAAATATCAGAAGAGGTCATAATCCTCTGCACCGCGTGTGCCAAAAGAGAAAATCTGGCCCCGTTAGGTCGAAGAAGAACAGAAACTCGAAGGTGAGCACGCACCTTTAACGTCGGCTCGCCGTGTGTGGAGTCGATCTATATCCACCTCAGATCTCCCACGGTAAACACGGATCAAGGCCATGTTATGAAGCAGTTGTGTGGAATTGAGCTCTTTGGGTGTTGGACAACGCGGTCCTTGGTGTCCTTGGTGTCCTTGGTGTCCTTGGTGTTGTTGATGTGGACAGCCTGGACCATTGTTCCCAGCGCCGTGGCGGTGAGGACTATCTTGACATGGCTTGGAATAGGGTAGATGTATCAACCTCATTGAGGTCGATGGCCTTCAGTCCATGATGCTTGTCCGACGCTCTGAGCAGCGTGCTTCTCCGCGTTACCAGCACCAAGCTTCACGAACGTCTGTTCCACTGTGGAACGGGAGAGTGGAGGATTCCCGGTGAGGCAGGCAGCGAAATTGGAGAAACAGCGGTCGACTCCGACTTCGCTGGTTCTGAAGCCCTTGAAGACTTCGTAAGTAGTAGTAGTATACAGTATGCATGCGCTCTGTGGTTCGCTGCGAGCAAAACTCATGAGTCAATGATGACAAGGTGGCTGTCGAGGTGTATGATCGTAGACATGCTTTGGCTTTCAGTGCCCGATGTCGGTGACGCGACCGTAACTCATATTCCCGATTTTGACCCCAGGATGAGTCAACCGAAGGCTCCAATACTACTCCAATAGTGGTGAAATCTCCTATTCCGGAAACCGACTTGAAGGAGAGGTCGCCAGAGTGGGATGAAAGAAGCATGCAACAGTCGCAGGGAACACCATCAGGGTTTGTAATCAGCGAAGAGTTAGGTACGAGTATCCCGTCATGGCTGGATCCTGTTACAACAAGCGCAGTTGCCCGGGAGAGACGTCAGTCCAACGAGTCCTCGTATCTATCAATATCAAGTTGCTCGTTTCCTCCATCGCCTAACAATACTGGGAGTATCGACTCTTGAAGCCAGGTCTGACGAGTTGTTAGAGTCGCTGGGTCTGGTAAGCGACTCATGCCCTACTATCTTAAGACGGCCTCGCCCATCCAATCTGCCAGCCGAAGACCGACGACCTTGTCCGCATCTTGTTCCCTGTCGACCGCCTTTTTGCCCGGCTTCTCTGGCTTGCTGCTACTTCTCACCCCTCCCGCATTTGTATGATCCCGTGCAAAGACTTGGAAGCCACGAACATGGGTGTCTTTGCCATTTTGATGATTCTCGCATATGCGGACTTGCACCACCATGGCTTTGAGCACGTCTCCCCCGAAAGGTTCGCGTGGATCGACTTGAAACGGATAGAGCGTAGACTCGACCTCGCGGTCCAGCATCGGTTCATCTTCGTAATAAGCCGTGTCCCTGCCTCCGACTCCTTTCAACGGTACATCAATCCAACCCTTGACCCCCTCGATACTACTATGCGTTTCGCCAGTCTCGGGGTCAGTGGTCTCCGTGACTTCCCATGAACCAAACTCCACCAGGCTGCCCTCCGACATTCCGGCAAAGAACTTAATCTTCGTGGGCGTATATGATTCATCCAGCTCGAAATCCAAGTAGATCCTCATCTTGACAATCGCAACCAGCTTGAAGAAATGCAGCGTAAGGGTGTGGGGCTGAGGTCCATCGCTCTGCCAGAACAAGGCTGAACTCGGGTTCCGAAGCTGAGCCAGAGCACAGCCCGGCTTTGCGGAGGATAATGTCCATGTAGCCAACGAAGAGATGTCCCTCAGCCCCTTAAGTTGTCGGGCATCTTCGGCATCGTGATGAATCGATTCAAGATATGACTGCTCGTCCGTAGGGCCACCCTCCGACGCAGCTGAACCCACCGCGTTTTGGGACAGCTGCGAGGTCTCGGACACTTCGTTTTGGGCAGTTCCGGTTGCGGTTGGTGTCTGCTGGTTACGACCCTGTTGCCGCCGTGGAGCAGTGCCATCAGGCACAATCGAGTTGCCTGGGTTGTTGGAGGGAGGCAGCGGCGTGGTCACGAACGGAGCATGAGGAGGCGTTTCGAGCATAAAAGGCGGGATGGCCGCTGTGATTGCATTCGTGCCTGTTGGCCGCGTCGGGGTGGTTGTCGCTGCGTCGAGCGTCGGATGCGCTGCTCGTCGAGGTGCTCGCGGCATACTGGGCTGAGGAGGTTGCAATCGTGGTCTGTTTCAACCCGCGTCAATCAATAGCACAACTTGAACCCCTGCCATGCTCCTGCCATGCGCCAGGGAGACCAATGGAGACACGGCCACAGGGTGGAAGATGATGTGGAAAAGTGAGGTGCGAACAGCCAGAGTTGAACTCGCTGTGTTTACGACCAAACGCGCCAAGCAAATTCTCATTTATAGGTACCTAGGTATGTAGGTAGTTTATGTGAATGACGTTCGTAGCGAAATTAATATAAAATATACTACGTCGTACTACCTAGGTACCTTAGGTATGTACCTAGTTAGTACTACGTAGTACATTTCCGCCCGCGAAAGACGACCAACCCCCCTTCATATTGCCGCCCGTAGAGCGTCTTAATGTGCATTCCTCTACTATACTACCAGGTGGTTGTCTAGCACATCTCCATCGATGCTGATCCTGATATCCTGTCTTCCCAACGGTATTGACCCGCTTCGCCAACATGACTGCGTCTCATCCTGATGCAGACGTCTACCCACGGGCCACAGGCCCTGCTGCCAGCATCGTCGCTGAACACCAGAAGAACGCCCCCGTCACGTTGTACTCTGGGTGGTTTTGTCCTTTTGTGCAAAGGGTCTGGATCACGCTCGAGGAGAAGAAGATCCCCTACAAATATATTGAGATCAATCCTTATCATAAGGACCCGAGGTGTGTCCAGCTTCGATACCTAGGTGTGGAGCACGTCCAGAATGACCATGCATAGCTTTCTGAAGCTCAATCCACGAGGACTTGTGCCAACCTTGGGTGCGCCACAAAAGGACGGATCGCAGAAGCCATTGATCGAATCCAATATCATATCGGAATACTTGGACGAATCATTCCCTGATCAGATGCCACTCTTCCCCAAGGATCCCTACGAAAAGGCTCGCATGAAGATCTGGATTGACCATGTTACCAGTAGAGTCCTTCCCACTTTTCACCGGTTCCTGCAGCACACCGACAAGAGCCCTTACCCCATTGAGCAGGCGAGGGATGAATTCTTATACGCCCTCAAGACCTGGATCAGGGAAGCCAATCCCGACGGCCCCTTCTTTCTCGGCAAGGCTTTCAGCTATGCGGATGTCTGCCTGGCCCCGTGGGCTGTCAGACTGTGGGTATTCGATCACTTCAAAAAGGGCGGGCTTGGTATTCCACCTGTTGGTGAAGGACGTGAAGACGACGAATTGTGGAATCGATGGCGCACGTGGATCCAAGCTGTCGAGTCACGGAAATCAGTGACAGAGACACTGAGCGACCGCGAAGAATATCTGCCGATCTATCAGCGTTATGCCGAAGACAGAGCGCAAAGCGAGTTGGCCAAGGCCACGAGGGAAGGCAGAGGCGTGCCGTAAATTCAAAGGGGAGCCTAGACTTCAGATCCTTGCAACAGACACATTCTGGCAGGTTGGTGTAATGGCCCCAAGCGCCAGAAGCGTTGAGACGCCATTGCAGGATTGTTGTAGGCGAGGAACAAGGCCGAGACTCGTGATACTAAAGCCGAATCATACCTATCAAGGTCCATTGATATACATTTTCATAGCCATCGAGCCTATTGCAAACCAGACACCCTGACAGGACCAGACCTATACGGTAGATACGTCGTCACGCTTCTTGGACAGGCAGACTTACCTAGTTTCACATCATAGGAACTACAGCAATCATTGAAACGTATTTGATGCGAAATCAACGGGTGGCACCTCAAGTATTGGCCTACACAGTGGTGGCTGCATTCGTCCTCCAAATTGTACACACAACTTTCGTACCATCATTGAAGTGCTACGATGACAAGGCAGGAATTGCAAAAAGTATTTCATTTACACCGCTCTGGCGTGTATGCGTTCCAGGTCTTCTCCTGCAAGCCCGTCGAAGCCAGTCTTCACGAGCTGGTCGATGGCCTCTTCGATTGGCACGTCGCCCTCGACTAGGTCATACCATCCGCGAGTGTCGTTCCGTGAAAGAAGTGCGGCAGCAACGGCAGCGACATCCTCACGAGACACATGGCCGGTTGCTGGCGTTTTTCCTAAAGTGACTCGGCCGGTTCCGGCATCATCCGTCAACATTCCCGGTCGGAGGTTGATGGCCTGGAAGGTCTTGTCGCCGCCGTCCCATCGTTTCTTCGCCAAAGCTTCAAGGTGCTCGTCGGCCTCAACCTTGGCCTGGTAATAGTCAGGAAGGACGGTGCTATTGACATGATCTGCCGCCTTCCGGTCCTCCTCCGTCCACCAGGGTGGATAGCCTCTACGAGAGGCGAGGTAGGAGACCATGAGAAATTTGGAAACACTGGGCATGGCGAGGGCGGCGCTGATATACGCCTTGGCCGCGACCATGTCCACCGCCCGGGTCCGGGCTGGACCTCCTTTCCCGCCGGCGCCTGTGACCTTGTCAAAGACTGCCAGTAATGAGACAGAGTGTCGGATCTGTTGTCTTACCAGCCGACCAAACCACAATATCCGGTTTGACCTTATCTAGCACGCGCTGCGCTCGGGATGGGTCCTGCACATCATCCAGACTGTCGACCAGCACATCGATCGTGCCTGCTTTGCCCTTGCCCAGGGCTAGGATTTCAGCTTCTTGGTCAGGGTTTCGCACCAGACTGGTAACATGCCACTGCTTGGCCAGGAGTAGCGGCTGCAGGAAAAGGGACACTTTCCCGTGGCCACCGAGGACCAGGACTCGAGGGACTGTCTTTGCCATTATCTGCTACTAGTATCTGTAGTCATGCACGGCGCTGTTCGATCTGGGAAGGTGATTCCAGTACTAGTACTACTATTACTTAACTAGTAGGCGGTTGTCGGATACTACGCACGCGGGGTCAGGCTGCGCACTAACGCGGAGCATAGCGAACCTAACCGTGTTAGACCTCCCCACTGTAGGGTGGAGTGCAAATAACTACCTAAGTGCCACAGCACGGCGAGACGATAGCATTACGTGGACGTAGTAGACAATCTTCCACAATTGTTCTTCGATTCCATTCACCTTCAAGGCCATGATGGCCCGGCTGGTCCGACTGATTGTAGTCTGCACCGCTCTCTACCCGTTGCCACTTCCCAATCCCTGCCTCCGACGAAGCCTACCATTCGCTAGGTAACCCAGCTGTCCGGCTGCACAGAGAGAAGATGGATCATGAGGATGCATGCGTGGATCGAGCCGTGTGAACACGATGTGCACACGCCCTCCTCCCGATCCTCTCACTGCCGCGAATGATAGTGCTTGTCGCTTATACTGGCATTATGAGATGTTGAGCAAGCGACAGCAACTAAAAACCGGTCACAAACTCGGGGAACCGCCGCCTGCTCCATCGTACGGATCGTGCCAGCAGATCTCGTTGAGTTCCGCAAACCCCTCGCGCGCATATGGATCACCCATGCAACGGACTTGAGCGATATGCAAGATACGCAAGGCTACAAGGCCAATCATCAAGCCGTGATCAACGAGGGTGAAACGTCGTCTTATCCTGACAGACCAATATAGCCGAAACACGCCCTCTAGCGACAGGCTGACACTCGCAGCGTTGACAGGGCTTGTTGAATTATCTACACTCCTGCCAGCTTAGCCCGATGAAGCGTACAAATGCTGCCACTCACCGGGTATCCGCTGTTGTATGGCTGGAGATTCAACAGCCTGATTGCCTAAGGCACCAAGAGGAAAGGTTGGCCCCGGATCCGATGACTAGGCACTGGAATATACTCAGGGCTCTGCGCAATTGTGTCTGATTCGTTCATTCCATAGTTCCTATCAGTGGTTGTGATATACAATTGATTGCCATCCTAGGTTATGCAATGCTGCTTTGCCTCACGCGGCAAGACATCCTGATAACGTCTGCTCCACGTCCTACCAGGAGTCTCGTGATCGTGGTACATATGAAGCGCGCCTGCCCCCGACCTCCAGGTTCCTGGACCACGGCACTCCTCTCGCTCAAGGTGGAAGCGGAACATTCTCTCGCATCTCACAGACAAACCAGAAATGGCTTCTCAAGAAAGGGCCGCAGGCCATGCTGTGGAAGCCAGGCCTTTCATCCCTGGCACTGTTCACCTGGTCGACTTGGAGGGAACCATGCGAGCGAAGCATGCCTCCAAAGGCCACAAAGATATCGTCCTTGTTCCCGCCCCCAGCAATGACCCCGACGATCCCCTCAACTGGACTCCTGCCCGGAAACTCCTTTCTACATCTTGCATGTGTGTATACGTGTTGATGGTCGGTTTGGCAATACCCAAATGCAGACAGCTCACCGTGCTGACAATGACTATAGGTGGGCATTGCTTCCGCTGCCATTTACTCTGTACTGGTCCCCATCAGTGATGCCACGGGTATGACGCTTGGGGATCTCAATGCCGGCACCGGCTACATGTAGGTAGCATTCTCCCCTTGTGTGTGCTGTCCTGTCTGACGTGGTAAAGGTTCTTGTTCTTCGGTTGGGGTTGTCTAGTCTGGCAACCGTTGGCCCTGCAATACGGCAAACGACCAGTCTACCTCCTGTCTCTGATCGCTACTATTTGCACCCAAGTCTGGGCTGGTTATACGACAACAAATGGAAATTGGATTGCGAACAAGATTCTTCAGGGGTTTTTTGGTGCACCTGTCGAATCACTCTGTGAGATTTCCGTCACAGATATTTATGTGAGTTCTACTCTGCCTTGGAAGCCGGCCCTCTCTCCTCGGTAGACCACGTTTCGATGCCTATATTCATCGATGCCTCCACCTGTTCTACGCCCGTTGCCCGATTGTGCAGAGGTCGCTTCTGCGAGTCTCAGACGGGAGTACTCATTCATGTGCTCAACATGTTGTCGTTGGATCCCATCATGTCTCAGCAACCATTTTGCTGCCATCATAGACTGACACTTCTTCAGTTTACCCACGAACGTGGCTTCTACATAGCCATTTACGGGTTGTTCCTGGCAGGGTCCAACTTCTTCGCCCCCATCATTGCCGGGTTCATCTCCGATGCGATGGGGTGGAAATGGGTCGTCTTCTGGGCAGCCATCTTCAACGGCATCGGCTTTATATATTGCTTCCTTTTCATGGAGGAGACCAACTACTCCCGAAAGACGATCACTGGGCAAGAGTCGGCGGAGGCGAGCGGGACACAGACCCCAATCACGTCCGGGCCTGAAAAAGGAGCCAATCCAGACGAGAAGACCGTCTTTGAACCTCCTCCCTCCACCGAGGAGGGCCTAGGAGTCGTGGAATGGCGCAAGAAGACATATCTGCAGAAGTTGAAGCTTTTCCAGCCAGGCGTGTTCTCCAAAAAGAACGAGCTTGCTGGCATGATGATTCGGCCGCTCAAGTACATGTTCACGTTCCCAGTTGTGGCATACGCCGGGTTTTCCTATGGCAGCAGTCTTGTACGTATGAACTGGATTGAAAACACCTGCCGATTCCGGTCTGACAGTGCTGTCACTAGGTCTGGTTCAACATGCTCAATGGCACCGCGTCTCTGATCCTTTCGGGGGCTCCCTACAACTTCGCCGCGTCCATGGTCGGTGTCAGCTACGTCAGGTAAGTGCAAGAGACTTGGTGCTGGCTCATGACCCAAAGTCTAATCAACTGTTCAGTCCTCTGCTCGGTGTGTTTGCCGCCGCCGCCTACACTGGCATTTTCGGCGACTGGTTCATCCTCAGGTTGGCTCGTAAACGCCGTGGTATGTTGGAACCCGAGTATCGGCTGTGGCTGTTTGTCGCTTCGCTCGTAGCCATTCCACTTGGCCTCATCTTGTGGGGCGCGGGCGCCGCGCACCATGTCCACTGGTTCGGCCTCATTTTCGCCATGGGTGTCATTGCCTACACGAACACCGTCGGTCTGCAGCTCAGCATCAGCTATTGTGTTGACAGCTACCGCGATCTGGCGGGCGAGACCATCATCACCGTCATCATCATCCGCAACACCATGTCCTTCGCCATCGGCTACGGCTTGACCCCGTGGGTCGACAACATGGGCTACCAGAATGCCTTCATTGTCGCAGCCTTTGCTGGGCTCGCCCAGGCGCTGATGTTCGTCATATTTATCAAGTTCGGCAAGCTCCTGCGCCAGAAGTCTACCAACACTTATCTCAAATATGTCGAGGAGATTACCGCTGCCGGGCTCACGCATTGATCGAGGCAAATATAAAGGCTGGAAATAGGGCTGACATAAAGCCCGGACCAGATTGGAAAATAGGCAGTGGGAAAGAAACACCTTCTGAGTGGCGCCTGCCTCGTTCTAGACTTTCCTCCTAGATTAGACAGAATAGACAAGCAGCAAGGCCATCCCCTACTGTGGCAAGGGGATGTCCTCCAAAATATAAATCTTGAAAGATGTTCGAGACGTTCTCCCTCGTATTGGTGAGAGTGATGCCTTGCTTCTCTCGACAGGCGAAGAATAGATGGCAGAACGGCCGGTCTTGTACTTGATACTTACAGAACCTTTTGTGACACCTCTTCCCGAGTGCCATGGGGTGGGTGACACACTCCAGCTTCGTTTTACATGCTCAATAAGGACACGGTCCTTCCCACCAAATGTTTGAGGCCGTCAAGGATGCTCGGTGTCTGAACACGAAGCAGTAAGCCTCAGCAAGCGGCCACATGGGAAGCCTTTGTCAACCTCGCCACCAGATTGTACGAGTCGATCCCGACCCATGTCCTAGAAACTGCTGAGGTGACCAGGAGGTGGTGGTGGAGTGTTGTGGAAGTGATTGCGATACGGATGAGCTTGTCAAGCACCTCCCCACTCATTTGTCACCATACTTCCTCAAAAGACCGTTCAAGATAGTCATAGCACCAGACTTGTACGAGCCGCCGAAGATGGCGTAGTGGTTGAGGTGGTGATAACTTTCGTACAGCGCGACTCGGTCGGCATATTCGTTCTGCGGCTCGGTCTTGGGCACCCGAGAATGGTACTCGGTCCAGAAGCTCGAGGGAAAGCCGCCGAACATGTTCATGATGCCGAAGTCGTACTCGTTGTGGGCGTAGCACGCTGCCGGGTCGTAGACCACGTCTTCCACGGGACCGGCCCCGTCAGGCGGGGCCTGGTCGCGCCCGACGAAACTGCCCCTACCTTTGTTCCCGGACCATAGATCGCCGTGCACCACGACGGGCCGGATCCCTTGTTTGCCCCCGAGATGGCCGTCGCCGAGAAGCCGCGGGACGACTTCTTTCACGGTTCTCTCCACCGTCCTGCGCAGTTCCGGGTCCGAGCCATTGCTCTGCTCGCCGCGCTCGAGGATGGCCAGCAGCCGGCTGTTCGCGAAGAAGTCGGCCCATGACGACGTGAAGGTGTTGTCCTGCGGCGTATCACCGCAGCACGTGGTGACGGGAAAGCCAAACTGCGGCGATTCGCACCCGTCAGGCGTCGGCGCAGAGGTGGTGTGCAGCTTCGCCAGTTTTGCAGCCAGGCTCAGTCCGCTGCCCTTGGTCGAGCTTTGTCCCCTTGTCTTCGACAGCCCACCTCCGAGATCAAGAAACTCGGTTGCGAGGAAGAAGCCGCCACCGTCCAGCTTTCCCCAGGCAAAAGACTGGGGGCACAAGCTCGGGACCGCGTGGTGGATGGCGTTCAGAGAGCAGTGCTCCCCCTCGAACATGACTGCTGCTCCGCCCGAGGACGACGTCTTGACAAAGACAGAGGTCGAAGCCGTGGTGATTCGGAACGTAGATGCAAACCCGCTCCCGCCATGCCGGGAGATCTGGGAAGTGTTCTCTATCGAGAGGGCTCGGAGGATCGCGGGGTCGACGGATGATGGCATTGTTTATTCGGATGGAGCGACCGATAGTCGCGATGCGAGGAGGACCAGACAGAAGACGGGCAGAAAGGAGACTCTACATCTGATTACCCGGGTTTTTTGATATGCACTGCAGTGTACATTGCAATGCCAGTGGTGGATGACCAAAATGTCTTCGCGTCTGCCACATACTATACTGCAGTGGCATGTGGCATGGCGGAAAAGAGACTGACGTAATTCTTTCTGGGTTCGGCGCATCAGTCGCCGGGCGGAATCCAGAGTGCGGGATAGCACTCGCATGACATAATCAGGAGGAGCCTTGCACATCTTCTACAGGGTACATGTAGACTACAGGTACCTTAAGTATCGGAGCTCGGCACTGTCTCCAGCACCATACCTACCTATGTTCCGCCCGGGGATACGTGCATCAGAACGCCTTCGCTGTGCAAAACCCAGATCCACCATGAAGCGCAACAGCTCTCTACTCCTTCAAGTGGGCGGCCGTCCTTTGGCTGCTTGTTCAGCTTTGCCTTTACCCGTCGCCTCTGTGTCGCTGTTGACTATACTGCCTGTGCCACTATCCATCCCGACAGTGCGCTTCTTCGCTCTCAATGTCTGGCCCTGCCCTTGAAATCGTGGCTTCATCTCGTCGGGTGGCACCGGTTCCCCGCTTTCGTCTCGCTTTCGAAGTGGTTTCACCTCAAACCCGAAGAATAGCTTCCCTGGCGGTAGTCGAAGGGGTTGAGGCCCAGTACCGCGTCGGATGACTGCGGACGTTGGCGCATTGGTAGATGCGCCCGCCACCGGGGTGGACGCATTTGGCGTTGGTGCTTTGGAGCCCTTCTTTGAACTGAGTTTGTGGCCGCCATACAGGAAATTCGACGACACTGCCCGAGCACCGGCTGCAGCAGTGTCTGAAGATGGTGCTATGCTAGCATAGTTGATTGACTGCGCCATTGTTCCTTGAAAGTGAATCGGACCTCCATGGGGTTTGCCCGCGCCACTTCGAGGCGTGCTGGTGCCGCTTGTCCGCTCAGGAGGTACATAACCAACTGGTGGTGCGAAGTCAACTTCCAGATCGGTCTCCATTGTTACGATAGCATGTGAGTCCGTGTCAGGCTTTATCTCCAACACAGCAATGTCATATGTCTGATCGTTGTATTCAAAGGTAAAGATGTCTCCCTTGGTGAGACAGGAGAAGTTTCGGAAGGCGTTTTCGAGTACGGCTCGTGGATCAGAGATCTCTAGGAATGCAGGTGATTGGGGTTGTAGCTTGATGAACTTGCCCGGGGGGAGATCGGTTGACTTGACCTGTAATAGGTCTCCGGGGTCAAGATCGAGAGTCTTCATCAGCTGCGAGGAATTAGCATGTTTCCACAATACGAAAGCTGTGGACTGTACCCATTGCGGCAAATAGATCCTGCCTTCTTCGGCTATGAACTCTAGAACGCCTGCATGTGTCCTCTTCCCCGCGTTGCCGTTTATGAGTTCGAACAGCATCGGATATGCGATGTGCAATTTTGTCAACTTGTCCAGCGCTGATGGTGGCAAAAACACCTTTCCGCCGTAGTTCACGTTCTTCCGATCAGGGCCGTTCATCATGATCACAGGATAACAACGATAGTATTCATCGAAGCGACGCATAGACATGCCGACCGGGGGTCCGCCACGGAGGAATGTTGGGTAGCCCATCATATCGTCTTGATAGTACGACTGAGATAGTCAGGATCATTGTATGCGAACAGTAGGGAGAACTTACCATGACGGCTGCACTAGGTCGGAAAGTGCTCGCTCTCGAATATGTCCTGGTCCAAGACCAACAAGTAGTGTCACGACGTATAACCCAGTGACCGCGGGATGAGACAAGCGTCGTAAAAGTAGTCGTACCAGTATGGGACGAGGCCGATGCTGCAAAGGAGGACAAAACCCAGGGAGCGAATCGAAATTCGAAATTGTCAAAATCGGGCAAATGGTGAGAAGGTGGAATAAAGAAGGATGCAAACAGTGAGGGTTGGTGTAAATGACTGTCCCGAGAATGATACGCCCGGACGGTTAGAGGTACTGTAGACTGTAGACCCCTCGAACCGTGAGGCTGCAACCTCTGACGTCGCCAGCCTTATAATTATTATTACCTTAGTACCGTAGTACTATTAGTTCTGCTGGAGTTTGTACCGACCAAAGCTGACAACCCCATCCTGGGTCTGTAGCTTCGTCTAGTATTGATCAATCTACAAGTCACCACGTCTACCGGTTTGTGCGTCTGTCGGTTAGTGCACTGCACGATGTCGTTCAACACTGCAAGCTCGAAACGAGCAGCAGAGGACTTCTACGGACAGCCCACCAAAAAGCCACGCTTCGACGTCCGCAATCCCTCCGCTCTGGCTCCGGATGCGCCTGATGACGATGATGATATCCTTGAGGCAGACGTAATCGGCACCAGAGGGCAACAAGTGCGTCGCGGAGCAGTTAACATAGACGGGTACGATTCCGATTCAGACAACGATAATTTCGACGCCCGGGCAGATGCGAAGGCGAAAGAGAAGAACGCGAAATCACCACAGGAAGACACAAATGATATGTTTGCCGACTTGGAGGAGGATTTCAAGGATGGGGACGACTCCGAAGGTGATGCAGCGCGGCGGGGAGGCAAGAAGAAGGCTGTGCGCTTTCTGGACGAAGACGAGATTGAGGGCCAGGTCAAATCATCCAAGAGTGGCGGTCATGTCTCAGCAGATTTTAGCCTTGCCGCAAGCGGAAAGGGGAAGGCGAGGGCCGAAGTCGAAGACGAAGAGGTAGAAAGCAGTAGTGAGAGCGAAGTCGGCGATGAAGTACGAGCAAGCATAGGAGACCTCGACCCCGAGCTGGGAGCCGGTGCCAAAAAGACACACACCCCGAAATTAGATGCTTTCAATATGCGGGCTGAACAAGAAGAGGGGCGTTTTGACGATCAAGGCAACTACGTTCGTAAGGCAGCGGATCCTGACGCGAAACATGATATCTGGTTGGAAGGGGTCTCCAAGAAGACAATGCGCAAAGCCAAAGAAGCCGCCGACAAGCGTGAGGAGGAGCGAAGGAAACGAGCTCTCGAAGATGATGCGAAATCGACGGCACAGGTCCTGGCCGAATTGATACCTCACCTGGACCGAGGTGAGACGATTCTCGAAGCCCTTGCTCGTCTCGGCAAGGGCAAAGACAAGAAGCGCAAATGGCAAACGAAGGCCAAAGGCCTCTCGAAGAAGCAGCATGTGGCAGTGTCTGAGCATGCCCAGGAGGAAGAAAATGACGCAGCCGAGAACTTGCGGAAAGAAAAGATTGAGTCAATTACAGGAGCGGCTGATATTTTGTTGACAAGGGGCCAACCTGAGATCTACGACGCCGAGAAGGAATCGCTCATGCGGCAGTATCAGAAGGAAACCGGTGAAGAATGGATTGACCCGCCAAAGCCTAACGAAGACGAACCCCATGAAGATAACTCTGCGGAACAGATGTGGGAATACAGGTGGACCGATGCCAGAGACGGTGGAGGCGTCAATGGGCCGTATAGCGGCGACACCATGAAGCAGTGGAATGATGCCGGCTATTTTGGTGAGGGAGTTGAGTTCCGTAGAAAAGACGGCGGTGACTGGACCAGGGTGGCCGAGTTCGCCTGAAAATGATGCCCGATATTCCGAATAATTGACTTCCTAAGCATGGAATATTCCCGTGTCGATTCGCTCTCCGCGTTCCAAGGCCGCGGCTCGGGTGTGCTGGAATGTCATGACTCTCCAGTTGAGTTCACGACGCCAGAAGAGACCATATCCCAACAACTTATCCCCAGCTTCGGCGGAGAGGCCACCGCTGCGAGGCATCTTCCGGCCGAAAACGCAGGCCCTGAATCGAGAGTGGATCATAGCCATAGCGCAGCAGACACAGGGTTCATGCGTGAGATAGAGATCCAGGCCGCTGCAGAGGTAACCTTCCGTACGAGATCCTGATTGTTTGTCGGGCAGGGCATCGTCGTCAGCCAGCGTGATGTTGCCAAGCCCGGCTGTGAGATCGCGGAGGACCTTGTCATCATCCTCATAGCGGGCTTCAATTGAAGTCAGAGCTTGACCAGAGGGAGTTTCGGAGCAGGTGGCCAGGAATCTGTTGTGGGATCCGGCTTTGATACGTCGGCGAAGTTCCTTATTTGCGACCATGGCAATGGCACGCATGACGGCATGATACTCGGGCCTTCCCTCACAGTGATTTGCCATGAGAGATTTGTGAATCTTCGGATCTTCTGACCACCAACGGGCGTCACCAGCCACCGCTACAACAGCCCCGGTATCTGGATCGACAACCACGGCTCCCACCGAGCGTCCATGGCCTGCCTCGTGGGATTCGGCTGCAGCCAAGAAGGCCAAACGCATGTACCTGTCGGCCATTGGGACCTCGAGGGCCGTACGCACACGACGGAGTTGGTGGAGAGGCGGGGCATCTTGAACGACTTGGGCCGCAGGATTGAAGATTGATGGCCAATAACGTTCGGTCCAAAGTGCAGCTTGTTCGGCACTCAATGGGGCAAACCGGGGCACAACAGCATCAAAGCAGCGGGGAAGACCTTCGACATCGATGTGTGGCGTGAGTGTGGCTTGTATGTCCTCCCACGGCACCACGGTGTTTGGCAACAACAGAAAGATGGTTTGAAGGCCCCGGGCGTCGTAGTCACGACGCCACGTCAGATCCAAAGGCAAGTGCGGCAAGGTGCAAAGGCGTCGAAGATGGCTGAAAGAAGGGTGCTTGCCGCCGGATGGAATGATGGGTTTGACAATGCTATACATCCGGGTCAGCCTGGACATCGGACCATCCCAAACACTCGGAGTCTTTGCTTACCTCAAAGCCTTGCTTGTCAGTTTGGCCGGGATCTCGACGACAAAGGCGCGCACTGGTTGAAGAGGTTAGAATGGACCCCCGGGTTTCAAACAGGGCTTGCACACACCGAATTCTTCGTCGGACCTTGTCTCATGGAGGGTTTTCAACGGCTCAAGGAAGAGAACTTGGTCCGCCATGATTTCTGAGGGACAGCTGCATCGTATTGTGGAGAGAGAAAAGTTGGTAGAAGGAATTGCAGGCAGAATTGAAGCGGAAGAGGCAAGAAGCAGAGGTGAGAGGAAGGCAGCGGCAGGTGACGACTTCTTGACGAGTCCAAATCGTGACTGCCCTGGTGGTGGTAGTAGTATGAACTGCAGACGGCGTAAAGGGCAAGAGCGCCGCACTGGGTACAAGGAAGGCACAAACGAAGAAAGGAATACGGGTGTTAGGAAAATTCCACTTCTTGACGCAGCAAAGAACTTGAAGTACAGAGTAAATGAAACATAGAACTCCAGAACGCCTCCGAGCGCAGATTGTCAGCTATACAACGTGCCACTGTAGTGGTTCTCCGACAACTGGCATGACAAGCGACGAAGTCCCTTCACTGTCCTCGAATACTACCAGTAGGTAAGTAGGATCTACACAACTACTTCGTACTTTGTGACCGAAGCCATGTTCAACTTTTCCACTGGCAGGCAAGCACAGTCAACCAATCGGAAATCGGAGCATTAGCGTGGCCCGGACCAATGTTTTTCCATCCCACTGCATGCGTGGTTGTGGCTCCAACTTGAGTTTTGTCTGCGTGGGCAGCCTACCAGTACTACTACTTACCTTCTAGTAGGTAGCTACTAGGTATCTAGCTGGCTACCACGGCAGTATTCAGCACTTCACTGCACTTGACCCTGGTTGCTTGTTTTTATAGTCATAGATGGCCAATCTATACGTTAATGCTTTCACGAAACAGTACTGTGAGCGCCGCACAATCACAGCTGATCTCGAAAGTGATATCGAAGTTGGATGCACTCGTGGTCGTCCAGTCCGATTACTTCTCAAGATGGCCAGATGCAATGCCAGTCCTGTTGTCATCAATGCTTTGACGCTTGGGGAAGGCCGGTGCTGATGAAATCGTGATTACAGCCTTGGATGTTGACACGAGTTGCAAGTCCCAGTCCTCTTCGCCTACGCGTCCTATATTTCGCCGGGCGGCAATCTGATTAAGCGTTGACTCTGAGCACATCCATTTGAAGAGCTCAACGACGTATATTTAACAATGGCGAGTATCTTCCTCGAGACGATAGTCCACCTCCTGCCGAAGTTATCTGAATGGGATTCAGCCTTGGAGAAGCTCACGGACAAGGCGATGGACTATCCGCCACGATCCAGGAAACGTTTTGCGTATCACCCGATCGGTGTCGATCGGGGCAGTTTCTTGTGTAGTGAATAGAGGTAGTGCTATGCGTCTAATTGCGTTGTCTCGCCCTTTGCTTCATGGTTTTTCCAAAGTGAGAGTTTTCACCATCTACTTAGTAGTACCTGGTTCACGTGGATCTCTGTGACGAGGACAAAGCCACAGGAAATGGGGCAGACATAAGAAAAGGTCAAAGACTTGTCGCACAAGTCAGTAGTACTTACCTGAGGTAGCTATATACGTACTATAGAATCACCAGACACGGAACCAGCTAGAGTCAATGTCCCAGCAGGTTGGCCTTACCCCAATCTGGGTGGGTCTGACGAGGCTGAGATGGTGCCAGCCTCGTCTGGCCTGTCTGGGATTGGGACTCTGGGGTACCCCGGACTGGCATTACGAACCTGACGATCGCTGGCGTAGCAACCAGGGTCTCGAGGTCGCTGGTGAATGTTCTGATGTCCCTCTCCGGCTCAGCTCGGTTCGGTGAGAGGACCAGTGGAGCTAGGATTGCCTGATCGCTGTCGTCTCTATGTACGGCTACTGTTTAGTATGCCGTTATTCTCGTCAGAATCAAGCCATCCGTAATCTTGCAACCATCTGACAAACCACCCCCATGTAAAAACTCCCTCGGCGTACATTGCTGGCAAAATCAGCTCCTGCATGATAGTCCACCCCGGCAGTCCACTCTGGACTCTGGAACCATCGACCACCCGGCGGGAATATATGCGCCAGAATGCTTGAGACTATGACTGGACACAGACACCAGCTACCACGCCTCAATTCGTCGTAATCTGCCCAATCGCTTCTGCTCGAGCGTGGTGCTCTTCGACCTTGAAGGCGATCGATATGGCGAATGTTGTCTGTTATCCGGGCGATTCGCTCATTCGACGTTCTACCCAAAACTCACTGCGTCACCTGTATCTTTCGTTTCAAGCTGTATCCATCGCATCGGCACCGGTGCCGTTGGTACCGTTCAGCACAAAGCTGACCTCGCCATTTTCACTGATGAACTGTCTTTCGAAATCAGTCACCAGCTTAGTCGATCTCAGAGGGTCATAGAAGAGCTTGTAGCTCCGCTGCACATCCTCTATGCCGACCTCTTTCGCTCGCCGTTTCTGGCTCACTAGAGTGGATGTCGTGATGATGTTGCTCGCATACCGCAGACCTGACTCTTGGCCGATCTTTGTGAGCAAGGCAAGGGCATCCGCCGATAGGTCAACCTCTTCCTCCTGGGCCCGGATGGCAAGAATCTGGGAGATCTCTTCAGATGAATAAGGTTGTGTGCTGATGATGACGACGCGATCAAGAAAGTCCAATGGGAGGCCATGGGGTGAGGTATATGTCGTTCCACGTATGCGCGTGTTGCCCCTGTTGCTTGCCATGATTACGATTGGGGCGAGGTCCGCCTCCAATGCCCGGTTGATGTAGGAGTAACACTCAATGTCCAACATGTGCACTTCGTCGATGAACAGTACCCCCGGAATAATGTCCGCTTTCCCTTCTTCTTTCCACTCCGCAACTTTCGTGTTGATCTGATCGCGCACTTCGCTTCGAATCTCGCCCGTATCGCCCGAAAATAATGCAAGGAATCCCTGCGTTCTGGAGTTGATCACGTCGATCTCGTGGAGGGAGACTGTGTGGACGACCTCCTTTCGGACCTGGAGCTCGCCCTCAGGACACTGCACAAATTTGGTATCCGCACCCATGGCATCGTAATCCCGGGACCTTGTGTATGACCTGCCCAGCTTGGTGATCTTTCCTGACGATTTGTCGATTGATATCACATCTCCGGCCATCACTCTTTCTTTGGTCATAGAATCGATCATTTTGGTTCCCATGTCGTAGACGGTTTCCATATCCGTAGTTTTGATGGTGAGCTTGCCTTGTTTATTCCCCTAATCCTACTGTCAGCTATGGTGACCCTGAGCCTCCGAGTGTCCTTTCTTACCCCCGAAACGCTTCTATCAATCTGAATCTCCACAACTTCGCCTTCGATGATCTCGCTCTCTTCCTTGATCCGGACGCCGATGGATTTGCGGAAGGCTTGGGTGAGAGCCTCGGTTTTGGACATTTCAAGGGAGAAGATTTCCGAGGATGCGAGCATCGTGAATGGAACATCTGGCCCAAGCGATTGCGCCATGGCCAAGGCAATCGCAGTTTTACCAGTCCCGGGAGGTCCAGAGACCAATACTGCTCTGCCTGCAATCTTTCCCTCTTTGACCATCTGTAGGATCACTGCGGCTGCCTTGCGCGCCTTCTCTTGTCCGATCAGACCCTGTGAAGAACCGCGTGGCTCGAGCGTCGCTAGATCGACTCCCAGTCCGCGAATGTGAGAGTGCGCAGCAATGAGGTTGAGTCCACGGACCTCACGGCCCTCCGACACCGTAGTTATGGGCTGCGCCGAATTAGTCCTTGTGGAGCATCGGACAGAATCAGGAAAACTTACGGCCGCCATTCTTGGGGATATGCGGTGGTGTTGCAGGGGAAGATCTTGTTGAGGGAGTGGGAGGTATCGCTCAAAGTCACAGATTCAAAAGCATCGGTGGTGGATACGCTGCAGAATCCCCCTTCAAAAAATGGTCGATTGCCAGTGCACGTCGAAACCGCGACGACGACGACACGCGGGCAACGTCGAGTGTGAGGATTTATTGAGGCTCGGATAACCTTCCATAATAGGGGTTGGGAGAGCATTATCGGCGCATCCCACCTGCGGTTACCAGAAGTACCGTGAAGTATTACTACTAGTAGCGCATTGATACCGACTTACTACTCCAGCTACCACTGCCATTGCCCACATCAACTCGCTACCATATTCACAACATGGATCTCTGATACTACTTCAATGCGTCAAGCCAGCGCATGGGTTATTCCCAGCCCAGCCTAAAGTCTCAGTACTGGTCAATGACGCACTAGACTTTGCACAGGAACAGTTGACACTGGCGTCGGAGAAGATATTAACCCTCACTATACTTCTAATTTACGAGCAACAGCGGTGTTGGACTCGGTCGCGTTGCTCTCGGAGAGCATGCGGGATGTGGCGGCTGTCAAGATGCAGAATAGTGTGCCCGACACCCGGTCTACATCTTCCGATGCGCCGAATACGTCCAGGGATCCTCGTATTAGGGTGAGGACAGCCTCTCACAGTGTTACCGATCCTTTACCATCCTCCCACCCTAGTGTTGAGAGCGCGAGAATGAATTCTTTTGCAAGGAACAAAGAATCTGTACCGTCCGACTCGAGTACCCCACAAAGTGCTCAGTCCAACTTACAGAAGTCTCACCTCCCCGAAGTGGGGCGAGTCAACTTCAGACAGCACTACGTACTTTTGTCTCAAGCGCTATAGACAACGGCATCGCAAAACGGAAACGAGACTACCTAAAAGCAGAAGCCCAGGCCGCGCGAGCCAAATACGAACACTTCCAGCGGTCGTTTACGCAATTTCCGATCGTCGTCGAACAAGCCTTGGAGGAACAAAAAAAGGTTGACTCAGATTACGAATACATCCAGCAAGAGACACGTAGGTGCTCCGAAGGCGAGAATGCTACTTCGTCGGATCTAGTACGACGGCTCTTTGATATCATCGTCAAAGAGGATGAGCAGTCTAGACTTCGGGCCTCACAAGTCGACGAGCTCCGTAAAGAGTTTGAAACTTTGCGTACACAAACCACCACAAAGCTCCACTCAGAGAAAGCAGCTAAAGATATTACGGATCTAACTGCCGAGAACGAGGCATTGCGAAAAAACGTCCATACCTTACAGGACAGTATGTCGGCTATAATACGAGATAACGACGCACTTCAAAAGAGCCTCCATACCTTACAAGACCGGACGAAAACGATCGAGGATAATATCCGAGACTCGTTTGCTATCCAGCGGCAAGAGTCCGAGGCTTCGGCCAAGATGGACGATAGTCTTCGCACGGGCGTGGCTGAGATCAAAGAGCAGGTAGATAAACTGTCAGCCAGGCTCAAGCCTCTTGAGCAGGGTGCGGTTGATCTTGAAAGCATGAGGAAGAGCACCAACCTGAGGGTGAAGAGTTTACAGACCCGAGTAGAGGATGCGGAAAGCCAGTTGAACTTGCTGCAAAAAGATGCCAGTTGCTATCGAACTGATACGGCCGTTTTACGTGGCCAATTTAGCGACCTCGAGGCTAGGTTGGCCGGCTACGAGAGCAGCATAGAGACTCTTAGGAGTGAAAGTGTTGCTCTCAAGGATAGGATTTCGGCCCTCCAGCAGACAGGCACAGGCGCCGCGGACCGAACCCAGCGTTTACAGCAATCCTTGGAAAGCCACATACGCGAGTGGAATTCGCTACGGGATGAGATTTCTACCCTAAAGCTGAAAATGGCCGCCACCCCGGCGCAGGGCACAGGTAAGGATCTTGGCGCTCAGATTCGGGATCTTCATGAGCGGTTAGATAAGCACACCTCCGAAACGGCGCGCGCTAACAGGGCCCGTGATGTATTGCTTGTGGAGGAGATTGAAAGGATCAACCACGAGTTAAGCGACAAGATCGAGAGCATCCAGAACGAACTATCGGAGGTGGAAAATCACACTCGGCCGGCTGTGACTTCACTATCCAGTGAACAAAGCCAGGTGCTCGAGAGTGTAGCCGGTCTTATACCCAAGCTCCAGGATTCTGAGTCTGAGCTGGCTAAGCTGCAAAAGGGACTTGAAAAGCAAACTCACATAATTCAGTGGCAGACTCACCGGTTCGACAACCTGACCAGTGAGACCCTTGCACGACAAATGGTGGGCGTTCTGTGTCCAATACTGCCTAGATTCGAAGAGGGGCTTGTCAAAGTCGAAGGGGATATTGCCCGGTTATGGAGGAGGCTTGAAGAACCTGCACCGAAGGCACAAGACCCTCCCAGTGATCACGAGCAGCGACTTCTGGCGCTGAAGCAAGACCTATCGTGTGCGAAGACTGAGGTCAAGTCAGAGTATGAGTCTCTAGCCCGTGAATTCAGAACAGTGCGTGACACCGTCATGGCCGAACTAAAGCGACTTGAAGATTCGCATACTCGGTTCGATCAACAGCAAGCGACATGCCGGGCATCTAATGACAAGCAGATGAGCGATGTCGAGGCCCAGGTCGCCGCCTTGCGCCGTGCGTTGTCCGGAAATGACCGCTTTCCGGCCTCCTCGCCAGACACAGGAGCATGTTCGCCATCCAGCCAGGATATTGGAGCTCATGCGGCAGCGGCTGGACATAATGCCTCCAACTTGGAACGATCGACCCAGCACAAGGCCGGGGCGGTCCATAAGCCCAACGGTATTATGAAGGTCGCGATAGAGCCTGAAGAACTGGATGCGGAAGATATTGGAGAGCAAGCATCTGTTCTGCTTGAGAGCTTTCTAAAAAAGCCTGGACAGGCCACGGGCCAGAGGCCTCCTATACAGACAGACACTCTTCTGGTAGGTGCTGGAACGCAGCCTCGTACTAAAAGAAGACGCGTCGACAGCCCCGAACTTGAACGACAGTCTACTACGGGCACTACTATGCCTAATGACATGGTGCTCGCGCAGCCGCAGAAGGTTCAAGGGTTGGCGAAACGCAAGAACAAAACGCACAAAACATGAACGTTTCCATCCTTACGTGGAGAAGGAGATCCTTCCTTTTTTTGATCAGAGCGTTGAGCGAGCAGGGTGACACTGGATTTGGCGTTTGTGCGAGGGGTTTTCTGCTGGACCGAGGATGGTCTATGACTGCGACTGGGATGCTGCTTACGGATGTTTTTGCTGCACAACCGCTGCAACCGCTGTCTTTCATGCGGGCGGGAGTGCTCCCAGTGCAAAGATTCCTCATGTGGCTTGCTCAAGAGAGCTCGAGGACGCGGTAGGGGAGCACGCAGTTCACTCGCAGCAGCATGATATGAAACCTGCGCCGGATTCGTGCTTGTTCTCCCGAGCTGTTTACGCCGCTTGGTCCATACTCGACCGGGGACGTGGACAGAAACAGTCTTTCATGCCGAAAGACGTTGAATGTGTACAGCTGAGGCCTAATGCATAACGTTTCATTGATCACCAATGGTATATGAGTTCCTAAAGTAACTTGAAACTACAGGTCAATATATCCAATTCCTTTCGTACACTTTCCTTCGGATTCGTCACTGGCAGACATCAGCATCCAGCCTCGTCGCCGGCTACGGTCGTCTCTCAGGTACCTACCAAGGCATGTAGGTATGTACCTTAGGTATGTATGTACCTACATATGTGCCTTTAGTCCAATGCTGGGCGCTGAAGCTGACTAACCATGGACTATCCGTTTCCGGCCTAGTGCGATATCAAACTCCCCCCTTTTGCTCCTTTACGCCGTTTTGCTCCCCCTGCTTCTCGTCTATCTCGTCTATCTCGTCCAATCGAACCGCATGTTGTCTGCCACAGGTCAGCATTCAATACGAGCCAAAAGCCTTGGTTGGTTCCTCTGTCGCATTTAAAAGGACAACTCGTGCCCCAACTCCCTCCTCCTTCTCATCGGATTACCTCCATCATGACGGAGGTCACCTGGTCCATTCTGATTGCAGCCGGGCTACCACACCGCACCGTTGGCCTGTGTAAGGTACCTTCAGATTTCCTGCTTCTGTTCTCCGTCTCCTAGCATCAGCACTCGAAAGTCCAACATGACATCCACACCAGAATTAGACGTTGAACCAGGCTCTGTTGGTGTCAAGTACGATGGAGGTCACCACCACCATTTCCGCCATGCCCATGCCCAAGGAAGGCGTCTGCTAGAGTTCGTGCATCCCCACAGCGGGAAGACACTACACATTTGCCGTTCTCCCGAGCATATGGAACAAAAGAGAACCGAGCTACTGCGCGAGAAGACAGTTGACGAGTTCGATGTGATCCTCCAGGGCTCGGCCGAGCATCTGCAGGCCATCAGAGATCTGCACGCCCACCAGGAGGCCAAGAGGAACGAGCTGAAGGAGCGCCATGGAGATGTCTATGCCAACATTGAAAGGGTCAAGTCCGAATTGGACGCTCTCGCGGCCGAACTCCATCAAGTCACGGCCCACGCCGTCTCGCTTGATGCCTCTTTCGACCGGTACGGATATTCCGCCCATCTGAGGACCAAAGACGACGTCTCCGAAAGTGCCTCCTTCCACAGCGGTCACCCGTCCGCGAGTGACAAGCACAACGACCGCACCACCGACGGGCTCAGGTTCATTCGTCGTCCCACCGTCCGTCAATACTTTCACAAAGGCCTGCTCTGGAGATCTGCCAAAGCGGGGGAAGTCGCCTCGTTCGAGCTCTTCGTCGACCTGGTCTATGTTGGCGTGATAGACATCGTAGGTGAAAGAGCGGTCGAACATCCGGGCGGCTTGTCTCTGCTCCACTTCGTCATTGTGTTTGCCATCGGTTGGAGAATCTGGTCGGACTTGATGTCTATCATCAATTATTTCGAGATTGACGACATCTTTCAACGGCTGAACGTCATCTTCTACCTCGTCTGCCTGTTTGGCTTCACGACCAATATCGCCTACGCTTTCGAAACAACGTATACCTCGGTCGTTGCCTTCTACATTACCCAACGATTGTTTGCCGCTGTGTGGTATGTCGGTACGGGCATCATTCTGCCGAACATTCGAGGCACCATGGTGACCATGGCCATTCTCGTGCTGATCTCCTGCGCAATCTGGATCGGAAGTATTCATGTCGAATGGCCTAATCAACTGGCGTTGATTTTTGTAGCCCTGGCATTTGACGCATTTGGCGGGGTCTTCTTGATCTACCTCGTGAAGAACGCGGGCCACAAGACGTTCCTGAACGCCATCGCCAAGTACTTCGAGTTCTTTCCCGCCATCAACATCGAGCATCGCGTTGAGCGCAACAATGCGTTTGTGTCCTTGGTACGCCACCCTGCAGACTGTGGTCCACATTCGAAGCTGACGCCAGTCCCTAGGTTTTTGGCTACTCCATCCTCACCATCTTGTTTCAGTCAAGAGCCTCGTTTGGGATCAACGCTTTTTTCGGCAAAGGTGTCCTTGGTCTCATTCAGGCTTTCATCTTCAACTGGTGCGGTTTTGTAGAGCTCTGCGTCATAGGCCGCATACTGATGTCCCACATAGGATCTATTTCGAAATAGATGCATATCACATCCACGTCCACGCCATCCGACGACACGCCGTCAGCAGCACCGTCTGGATAACCGCTCATCTTCCCTTCATTATGGGATATGTCCTGGCGGCATCCACTCTTTCGCGGCTCGTCCTTGCCCACGATTGCGCCGATGCCAATCAGGAAAGCCTGGGTGAGCATTATCAAGAGCTAAGCGAACCAGAAGTCGGCCAAGCCCTCCGATGGTTCTACTGCTGCGGGCTAGGGCTCGCGTTGATATCGATGGCTGTCATCTCCTTCTGCCATATTCACAAGCGCCTCGCCAATGCCCGGCTTCGGAAACGGCCACGCCTGGCCATTCGGGTCGGGGTGGCGGTCGTCATCATTTGCCTCCCTCTGGCCGACTCGCTTTCTTCCTTGGACCTCATCTCCATCACCACCGCACTGGTCTTCTTCGTCCTTGCCCTGGATCTCTTTGGCAATTCCTGTGAGGGTGATGGTTTCTGGACCGGCGGCTTCGGCGCAAAGGAGAAGAAGGATTGCGTCTACACTGCCAATTGCAAGATGGGAAGAAAGCGACGGCGAGAGTTGGAGAGGGCAATCCAGAATAGGGAGAAGGTGTCTCTGACAGACCTGCTGAAAAGAAGTTCAAGCATGGGTAGCGTGGAGAGCGAGGAAAGCAGAGCGGAGGGATGGCACGGCGGCCACTATTGAAAACTACCGTATGCTACGTGATTCATGGCCTCTTACCATCATTCTCGAAACCCCCGACAGCCCGCCGTGGGATTAAATACCCGCGTGTACAGCTTTTGACATGTTTCAAAACTCCGTGGTGGAAAACGAGGCTCCTCCATCAATCGTACGTACGAAGTCCAAACTGGTCCGATGGAAATGACCACAACGGCCTCCATGGATGCCAGTTTGAATGAGACATTGCTGACGTTCAGCGTGGAGCTGTTCCTGGTACGCCGACATTCATTCGCACACAACATTCATCGCAGCATCCCTCCCATCCAACAAGTGTCATGCTCCTGCAATCGGGCTTCATTTGGCGCCCGGCTTTGCCGCCTTCCGGCCGGGATCGTGTCCCTTGCCTCTGCGATTCGTATTATGATGCGCGTCACTCCGCGCCCGCCCGGGTCTGGGCAGTTGCGAAAAGGGATCTCCGATCTGATTTCTCAATGTCGCCGTGCTCGACACCGAGGTGGTGAATGGAGGTCTCTTCAAGTTTCCATCGCGATCCATGACGTGTTCAAGCAGAGGGTAGTGTGGTCTACTGTTTTCCCAATAGTTTGGGATGTAAACCACCTTGGGCGAAGCTTTGACCGTCGCGCTCTCGTTCCGGGGCCTTGTGACGCTGCCCTGAGCCTGGTGCTGGCGCTGATCGTCTGGTTTAAGACGGGGCCGTCCCGTCGCGGGCTGGTTGCCGCCAAAAGCTCTTGCATGCGACCGTTTGTTGCTCGTCCCACTGGGAACACCGGCATCGACCGGCTTGAGGCTCGAATCCTTCGATGCTTTGGCCGCATAGTCAGATGGTTCTCTTGAAGCTGATGCGGGGGAGGCATGTTTCTGCTGGTGGCTTCTCTTGCACGGCTCCTGATCACAGGCCTCGGCTAGCACGTCGTTTGTGCCGGCTTCGCCTCGAACGATGTCGCTGCGTCTCGACGAATGGAGTTGCTTGGCCGCTTGCTCGTTAGCATCTTCTCTCATAGCAGCTGCGTCGAGATCCTCAACCTCGGGCGTGGGGGGGACCGTCGAGCCCTCCCTGCATGCAGACCGATTTCAGAGCTTGAGTCTGTAGCATCTTGCGTCGCGTAGTTGCAAGTCCCTTCGTCTGGGGGAGGTAGACATGCCGTCAATGTCGTCTTTCTTTTTGATTCCTCTCTCTGCAAATGTGTGCAGCGTCCTGCTAATGATTCTTCCGGCTTTTTGAGAGCCGTTGGGAACGCTGGGGGTGCGAATGCGGCGGCGGTGCTCCATTCAACGGCTTTTGTTGACTTTAGTGCGGCCCTGGGGGTGTCTGGATCTGTATCAAGGGTCACGAACCGGGCTTTTCGAACTGGGGTTTGTTGCCCTTCTGATCTGGTCGGCAATCTGACTCGTGCACACCGGGGTATATCAAGGCCTGATTCAACCGCATTGGTACTGTTCTCATTGGCGGTCAATGTCCTCGTTTTGGGCCTGCACTTTGCTTTAGTCACATTCTTCCCGCCTCTCGCCGGATCGCCGAGCGGAGCTGCTTCCTTCAACATTGTCGATGAAGCCATCCTGTCCGCGGTCCGCGGTCGCTTTGTAGAAGACGCAAGTGGAATTCTGGCCACTGCTGCACCTGCGCCTCGGTCCTGGGTGCGCTTTGGAGCACTGACGGGAAGACATTTCTGCACTTTCGGCCTCCTCACCGTGCGGTCTCCGGTTGACAGTTTGTGGGATGCGGTTGGCTTTATAGTAGACCCAGTTGGGGCGGCGCGGCTTTTGCCCATGATCCTGCCCATTCCTTGAAATCTGGCTGTGGCTGAGCGCGTTATCTTCACTTCAGGGATCGCAGCTACATCCGAGTCTGGACCGTCGTTATCCATGGCATCGTCGTCGATGTAGTCCTCGCCGAGCTGCTCGAGCAGCTTGTCGCTCCCCTGGACGTCAACCTCATTGAGATCGGATACCGAGGACATGGAGGTCATATTGTCCACTGTTCCAGTCGTCTGATCCTTCGGATCTGGAGTCATTGCGCGGTTTATTGCTTGGGCAAGCGAAGACAATTGTGGCATCTGCACCGCAATTCCATCCGCCTCTTGTGAACCTCCTTGATCTCTCAAGTGTCCTCCGTCTTTCTCAATACGCGAATCGCTCTCACGCTGTCCACTGCTGGGGTCAGCCATGCCCTGCTCGTCCGTACTGTTGCTTTCGCTTGGTCGCTGCTGGAAGGATTGCTGGGATTGAAAGCTTCTCCTTAGCCCTCTCTCCACAGCGCTCAGTCTGGGCGATTGTTTCAAAGTGGACGCCAGTAGGCATCTCCCAATCCGCGCCTTGGCGTCGGCTCTCGTCAAGGGACATGAAAGGTCATAATGAAGACACTGGGCCACCCACCATGGATACGGAGCCCTCTTGGTAGGCATCAGACCTTGCCTGGATGCAGGTTCCGGGCCTGCGAATCTTTCGGGGAAGACGCGACGCTCCAACTCGTCAGGTGGTGCACAAGCAAACCACTGACGACCATGGTCTTGCTGTATGCCTATTTCGAATCCCATCCTGGGGCTGTAGCGGAACTTGGAATCCCGCATGAGACGGCTTATAAGGAGAGCTTCCAGGGCTTGAAAGTCAACTTCCTTCCCCAGAGTCCCTTGAAGGAGCTGCAACAGAGGGGAGCGGTTGAAAACAACGGTCTCTCCAACAGGCCGGTCCATCGTCAAGCTATGACAGGGTCTGCAATTGACAGTCCGAAAGACAACGAAGAGAGGTGCATTGTTGACAGTCATGCAAATGGAAGATACCGGCGTTGCCGCAGGGGACGTCAAGTGATGTGGCTGTCACCGATTTCTCAATTTACGGTGACCGTTCAATCGCAGCATCCATTCTCTCCGTTGATTTGGGCTGGGAACGGGCCTTGGACAAAGCGAACATTCGAAGCGTCGTTGTCGCCGGCGGCCTGTTGAGAGGCTGATGGTCAGCCTCATGACTCAAGGAGACGAGCACTGGGCATAGTATGTACCTTATTCCAAGAACGATGACTGAGAACTACAGGTGGACAAAGACATCAACGCACCTCTCGTGACGTGGATATCCTCAATTGAACTGGAGCTTCAGCGACTCCCCAGCTATTTTGGCTACGCAGCCTTCCCAGGGACGGCGGAGACCTGGTTTCGGCAAACCCCTTCAAATCCCCCGAATCGATAGCTACCACATCTCTCATCCGAAGAACAACTGCGTCGTGGAGGCTCATGCATGTTTTGATGATAGGCCGGTCCACGGTCACAAACTGCAGACTTAGCTGTACCTCACTCACACGCCAGTGCTGAAGGAGAACCTCGAACTGCGAAGCCAGTCACCGTTTGGATGCTTGTTCCAATGCGCGAAATGAAAGCACTGCCCCCTCCACCATAGTCCCCCAACATCCACAACTCAAACACCTTGATTGATTCCACCATGTCCCACAGCGCCCAACAAAGAGGTTCTCATGTCTTTCGCCTTCTTCGAAACAATTGGCATGATCTGCAGTGCTGGGTCTCTTGGATCTCGCTCGGCAATTGCCATATACAGACCTTCAATTTTCTGAATAAGCGAGCTCAGCAGGGCCGGGGCGTGCTGTGCTAGGTCGGCGATCTCTGGGTCCTGAAGTCCAGGCGTTAGTGTCAGCGGACGGGCTTTCGAAAACAGTCTACTTACGGAGAGGTCAACAGCATTGAAGGCAGCAACAATCCACTCAAGCCGCCGAGCGGTATTAGTTGTCAAAGAATTGCCCACTGTGACGGCAATGGAGAAGGCAATGAGCGGAGATACATCGGTGGCCAGGTATTCAGGTGTAAAATGAATGAAGAGCTTGTCGAACAGCTCCACTGGCTGCGAGGACTGTAGCCATTTGATTGAACCCTCCTCATAGCGGCCCTCATTCATCATCTGAGAGATCTCTTCGAATTCCAGTTCCTCTTTGGTCTTCAGCTCCTTGGGCGTTGGCCGACCGATGGTCTGCGGGGATGGAGGTATGCGCGCGGTTGATACCTGCTGCGACGTCGTCGACGTGCTACTCTCCCCAAGGAGAGCAAGTTGTCGACGATCCTTAAGAATTTGGCCCTGGAACGCGACTTGGGTATCGGACATTTGCTGCAAAGTCTCTGCTGTAGCCTGTAACACTTGACCAAGTTTCTCCAGCCGACTCATATCGTGTCGTCTGTCATTTTCCAACTGGCGGATCTCTTTTCGTAGTCGAACTTCGACCTCGGATGCTGCCTTCTCGGCGGTCGCAATGGCAAGGCTCTTGAAGGCTGGCACGACTTCCTTTTGCAGAATATCCGCAAGTTGATTTTCGGTCTGTTTGGAGATTTTCTGAGAAACTGTCTCTGCTATGGATAGACTGATTCCGGGACTCTGCAGTGCTGCACTGAGAACCACAGGCAGCTGCGCACCGAGCTCGCGGGGGACCAATGACTGAAGGGAATTCGCAACGGTCTCCCCAACTTGACTGCTTACGGCTTGGATGGTGGCACTCGTCAACGCCGGAAGCATTGATTCATGCAGCTGCGCAGCGAGTATGCGGGATAAGGCCTTCTCGACATTGTTCGTCAAGGTAGTGGAGACCAGTCGAAGCAGAGCTTCCTGACGTGCCACAGAGGACGAGTCTTGCACAACACGATCGTTCTGAATGTTCTGATACAAGACATTCAATTCTTTGCGGAATTCTGTCGAGACAACACGCTCCACCTTCTTAAGCTCCTTGGCTAGCCACTCGTCCGCAACGCCAACTGTAACGGCTTCAGATTTGTCGCTAGCCTGTGGAGCAGAAGGAGGCTCATTGGCAGCAACCGTTGGCATCGGCTCATGTGCCGGTGAAGCGGTATGACCCAAATCAAGCCGTACATCTGTCGGCGGCGATGCAATTTTGGATGGCGACGCTGTGCGTGAAGATGTTTTCCCAGGGCCCGTAGTTTCTGAATGTAGGGCAGATTTCTTCTTGCTCTTCTTACCGTCTTTTGCCATGGGAGAGTCGCCGTTTGGAACAGCGGAGTAAGGTTCGGCAGCGTTACCGAGGACTTGCGAAGGTGTACCTTTGGGGACGTCTTGTCGATCGGATTGGGCAGCCTCTGCACGTTCCCCTACAGAACTGCCTTTCTTCCCCAGCTTCTTCTTCGATGTTTTGACCGACTGCTGTACCTCTTCCGCAGGGCTCCTACTCCGGTTGCCTTCCTCAATCACACTTCCGAGCCTTAATTCTTTCAACGTCACCATGCCCTCCCTAGCTGCGTCAATGGGGCGAATGACTTTGCTATCTGAGTTCCAACCGAGGTCTTCTTTCGTGATGCTCAAGCAGGTGACACCTTTAGAGTGCACAACATAAAGTTCGAACAAGGGGGTTGTCACATCGACGGCTTTCTGTGCCTCCGTTGTCCTATAAATCGGCAAAAGTTCCACACTCCTCAGCTTGCCTTTTCCTGCGAAAGAAATCTCCCGGATTCCACTCATACAGGCAGTGGAGTCGGGTCTGGGAAGATCAGGATCCTTTGTGGCGATACGCTGGATGTAGGTCGCCTGGGCCAACGATGAGCTCAGAGTATACCGCGGAGCCGATAGATGAATGAAGAAGAGTGAATTTCGAGTGGGGTGTCCAAGGACGATAATACCACTATTGGCATGGTAATTGACGCTGCAAATGGCATCTGTCTCATTCTCATGGGGGAAGTTCAACTCCTGGACGGCTTTACCGAGGGCAATGTCCCAAAGTTGTAGGGTGTGGTTCTGTCTCAGCCCGACAAGAACGTACCGCTGAGGTCCTCCTTTGACGTAAGGGCGTGCCTTGTCCACGAACAAAACGGAAGTCGGCCACGATTTCTCGGCTGGTGATGCTGTAGAAAGCGATAGTAGGGGCATGTCAACAGTCATACCAGCAATACGTGCCGATGTTGCAGTGGACTCGTCGATGAGTTTTCTTATGTCCCAAAATCGCAGTCTGCCTGTCTTGTCTAAAGACACAATCAAGCTGTCATCCTCGCTAAACGTGAAATCTTTGCCAGCCTTTCCCGTGGCTATCTGTAGTGCTCGTTCTTCGAATAATTTGTCCACGTCAACACGACGATTGTCGTCAGTGACACCATATCTTGGTGACATTGCAGTTGCGGGCCAGATAAGGTGGATTGCTTTGCCCCGGCCGATAGCAAAGAATTCGGGGTGACGCGAACTCCGTTTTGCTCGAGTCTTCAGCACGCCGCCGGCGGCGTTCTCATCGGATGGCGGATACGGGGGAAATATGAGACTTTCAGAATCAAGCTCGTCCTTCTCGAACAGGTCGTTTCCACTCCTCGAGATTGTGGCATAGTACACGGCGCCACTGACACCGGTCCCGAGCACAGCCTGATCGTCCGAGGGAGCGCCAGTGGAAGAAGTGGTGCACAAGGTGACGTTGAAAATTCGGTCGTGGGAGTTTTTGAAGACCTGCCTATCGCTGCCATCATCCTGTCTGATAATGCGCATTCCCCCATTCTTGACAAGTGCGTACGTGATGTACTTTGAGGTTGCGGCGGCAAGAGAACGATCGAGCTGATCGAAGTCCTTTTTCAAGCGTGAGATTTCCATTACTCCGTCATCTCTGATGCCGACATCAGGAGCTGAAGGAAGCTGCAACGTAATAGAAACAAATGGTTTGATCGGGAAGTTATACACAGGCACAACTCTTGGAGAATCTTTGCTCGGTAACTCTTCCGCATCTTCCCAGTCATCCCCGCCTTCGACCTGATTGTCCCCAGTCTTTTCAGCCTCTGGACTTCTGTGGATTCGTCCCTCGGCAGACGCCAGAAGCGGTACTGCACCACCTTTTGCGACTTCACCATTCTCTCCCGCAGCAGGCTGGGACGGGGCATGGTCTGGTTTGGCTGGTGTGGCAGCTCCGCCACCAGCCTTCTTCTCCATGTCCGACGCAGAGAGCGATACTTCTCGCGACATTGTGTTTGCCTTGGTTGCAGACGGTAGCTTGGGAGTAAGGATTCTTCTTCTGGCAACGTATTCGGGAGTAGCGAGGCCAGAATGTGCATCCGAAACTTGATCCTCTCCGGCCTCGACACTTGTGCGAGGAAGTTCGACGCTGTTCGCCGGAGCAGTACGGTCTACTTTTGGTGTTTGTGAACGGGAGGCGTTCAAGGCTTCGAAAGGGTTGGTGTATGTAAAAATAGACTGACTGTGGCTGGAATGGTTTGCTTCTGGTCGCGATGCTGCAGAGGGTGTCGCTTTAGAGCCGGGATCTAAGCCAAAGAATTGGACCGGCGAGTTTGCCCCCTTTCTTGCCGAGGTTGTCTGGTCATGGCCCATTTTGTGCGACTTTTGATGTTCTGTACCTTCACTTAATACGGATTGTCCTCCTGGGGTGTTGAACGCGTGCGACCTGCTGAGCAGCTTGAGTAGAGCATCTTGAGACGCGTCCCTAAGGGAATTTAATGGTGGCTTGCCACCATCTCCCTGATCGTGCAGATCGAATGCATGTTGCTGCGTCGCTCCCAGCGTAGATGGCGTAGGGTTCATGAACTTTGCCACCAGATCAGACGCGGACACGGATGTTTCATGGGCTACTGGCTCTTGCGCAGGTGGCGCTTCAGCTTGAGGCGGACGTTCCACAGGTTTGGCGGAAACAGTGGCTTTGGTATTGCCGCTGGGGGCAGACGAGGGTGAAGGACCGAAGTTGAGGAGATTCAAGAGAGACTGGGCTGTAACGGCCGAGCCAGATCCGCTGCTGGTAGCCATCTGACCGTGCTGGTTCTCGTTAGGCACTGCTCTGAAAGATGGAGGTGGGCTAGGAGGTGCTGGCAGCGTTGCAGCAGGCTGAGGTTGTTGGCGGTTGGCGGTTGGCAAATTGGCACCGCTGGAGTTGTGAAAGAGCGTCGGAGGATCGCGAGGTTTGGGTTTGAGGTTGGCAAACAGAGCTTGGAGGTCGTTGGTCGACATTCTTCCAGTCGGTCCGAAACGACAAGCTACTACTGGTGGTCGAGGGCCTTGGAACCGAAGGACGACCAAGACTACCAGGACCAAGCTCAAGGGCAGGAGCTCTCTTGCTCAGGATGCTACACCTGATGGGAGAAACTGGGGTGAAGGATGAATGATGGCACCAAGTAAGTGTGCAATACCTCGCAAGTGAACAAATACAGAGGTTGTGTTCAACGATAAATTCGTGAACTGCGGGCGAGGTGAAAGAAGCTGCGGAGGCGATTACTAGTAGGTAGTATGGGTTGACCTAAGACGCCCACTTACTACCACAGCTACGTACCTACCTACCTAGGTACCTAAGGTACTAGGTTACTAGTACCTAGGTAGGTACCGTAGTTGCTCCCTAAAGTACCTTAAGGTACCTCTAGCTACCCTACCCACTGAGTTATGGTACCTACAGTAGGTAGGTAGGCACTACTAGAAACTGAAATACTCGTCTCGCACCCCCCTCCCCAAAAGTTTTGTAGGATCGTCATTATCATGGCATTACCTTAGATAATCACCTTCTGGATTGACCGATTGGTCACCAGCCGAACGGGCCCATTTGCCCATCACGACTCTCGTTCTGTCTCTCAATCCGCAACTAGTAGGTACCTAGGTACATACATACCTTGCAAGCCTTCCGTGCTCGCAACCTCCCACACAAGATCCCGTTGCAAGTGATTCTTTGTCAGGCCTGCTACGATGTACTGTTTGCGAAGGTGAGAAAGCGTTACCCTCTTGCTGGAGATGGGTGGCAGGTGCTGACACTCGAATATAGTTACCTACCTTTGCTGCTCCTCCCGCTACCGCTGTCGCTTTCACCGGTTCATCTCCTCCTACTGTTGGTCCTGACCTTCGTTCTGAACCGGCCTTGTTTCTACTGCTCCTTCCTCCTCGTCATATTGTTCGCAAGCTCCTGTCACTGGTCCAGTCGCTGTTTTGTCGACTTCAGCCTGCACGGAGAAGACACACCCTCGATCGCCTCATGGTTCGTTCCCCGCTTGTACACCGCCGCCGATGGTGTAGCAATGGCAAGGAAAGCGGACGACACGTCCCAGTTCGGTGATTTTCTGGCGGATGTTACACGCAGCACCGTGTACGGTATCGGTCATCTGGTCAAGAATTCGGCATCTGGATTCTTGAATGAAGCATACCAGAGCACGCAACCTGCCGCGCCTTCGCCGCCTTCCACATCTGTAGCCGTGGGCTTCGGAGCCCACTGGCTTAGGTATTTACTTGGTCGAACGGAATGGACACTACCATGCGTCGGAATTAAAGTGGTATTGTGACATCGAAGTCGGGCGCTGAGAGTTCTTGCAGTCTGTGACTCGTGATATCTCCCTACACAACTATATATTGAACTCCCTGGCTCACCTTGGAGACTCAGCTGGATGTAGGTACCACAGATGCACTTAGTTTCGTCGAAGGTGCTCAATGGCTTACCATCTATTCTAGTCTAGGTCAAAGAGGCCGCCGTCATAGTAAATCAAGCTCGGCCATAGGCAAGAGCACAACTCGACCGTCCCGTGTTCCACGGAAAGATCAAATGATATGATTTGGAACTTGGAAACAAAGTGCCTTCGGTACACATTTCAAATGCCAAACGCTGCGTCAGAGTCATCAAGCAATGCGCTCAACTCCTTGCCAAAGCTGTCAGCTACTTCGGCAACAGAGGCAGCGCTCCAGCGAGAGTCCATAGCTGGCTGCGCCAGACGCAACATGAAAATTTCTTGTTGCGAACGCAGGGTACTCGTCTCTCGATCTGAGTACGATCTGAACCGATCCAGCCGTCTTCCAGCGGAATTACTGAATAGGCCAATCGTCTTCCGTAATGGAGGCCCAGAACACGAAGACTGCAACAACACTGAGTAATGTAAACAGGGTTTCGAAGAGAGCGCCGTTGATTTTGCCGTGAGTGGGATTGCATATGTGGACAGATATCACATATTCGAAGACCTGCCCTATAGCGAAAAGGAGGGCAGCCGTGACCAGATAAACCATTGGTTTTGTCTCTCCAAGGACTCTGAGAACGAGGATTGATTCCAGAACAAAGAAGAAGAACATAAAAACCAAAGGCACCAGCTGGTAGAGCACGTAGAGCGCAATGTTGCGATGTGGCGGCTGCAGTGAGGAATTCCAGTATCCAGTCCATGAAAAGGCCGTATCGAGCGCAATATAACCCGTTCCAATGAACAGGGCCAGGGCGCTTCCTCCGATTAGTCCTAGTGACAAAGGTGTGCCATCGTCAATGAACTGGTATCCAATCAGGGCGTTCATCAGCAACAGCCATGTTGTTGCTGTGATGGCTGCCAGGTGAACAGCCGTGAATCCCTTCCGCACGTCGTTGTCAAGTGGAAAGCCACCAACGGTGAAGATCTCGCATATCTCGATGACCAAGAAACCGAGCAAGAAGAGCTGCATCTCCCGACGACCAACAGCCGCTGCTTTTCGTTCTGCTCGCCATAACAAGAATAGTGTGACCAGTATCGCAATCCCGCAGAGCAGTATTGAGCCTAGATTGGCAAGGTATCTGTTATTACTCAGAGAGATCCCGCGAAGGACACAGCCGCCATAACTGATCCCCGGAGGTTGATTGTTATGTGTGAGAATCTAGCAAAAGTTAGGGAGAGGAGAAGTAAGGTCATCGTTCGAGGGGACGCACGTTGCATATGGGTAGCGTCGAGTCGCGACAGAAGTCCTGCGAACAACACGTCAGTCGCTTGTGGAAAAATCGACTTCATATCTCGTACTTGGAATTTTCCAAATTGTGTAGACCCCATTTGTCGGTCTCTTGACGAAGCGTTGTGCTCGACTGCAATCGAACAGGAGGCTGGCTTCGACGAACAACGCAGTCAGATCTTTCGAAACACCATGTACGACTGAGGTCTCGTTGGGTGCGATGGTGAAATTGTCTGCGCGCAACGGGTCTGACGACTGCTCGGTCCAGGAGAGTCGAGAGTATGTTGGTTGGATGGGGTGGGAGAGATGCGATATTCTGGGAAAGTCCTAGTAAGCAACGCAGGAAGAGTGGCAGGGGCAGCGGTGGGGTCTGTGGAGCTGCAGTGCATCAAGTAAAAAGTTGGCAGGGCAGACTGGTTGTCGGGGTCGACGAGTCAGATCGTAGCCGCAAGGTGGCAGCGGGAAGCCTGCTGTAAGTGCAGATCGCGATGATGGGGATAGTAATAGGGTACCTTGATTGTATATTCATCCAGTAAGGGTGATGGTAGGCCCATACTAGACCTACCTAAAGTACCTATTATTAGCGTGGGGTGGCGGTGCAGGACTGTAAGATTAATCGTATCTACTACTACTACTACTACTACTACTAGACTGTTACTGTCGGCTAGCATTGTTTACCTAGTAGTAGTAGTAGTAGTAGTAGTAGTAGTAGTAGTAGTAGTAGTAGTAGTAGTAGTAGTAGTAGTAGTAGTAGTAGTAGTAGTAGTAGTAGTCCAACTGAGCAGATACTAGTAGTAGTATTAGGACTGACATACGTACTAGTAGTACTAGGTACTAGGTGAAGCCCTTCGGCAGTTTTCCGATATTGATCGACTTTACTACTAGTACCACGTTAGTACATAGCAGTAGTAGTGGGTGATATATGGTGGCACCAAAGCGACCATCCTCAACTCGAAGCACAGAATCATCGCGATACATTTGTTCATTACCTATTGACTCCCATGTTACGCTTGCACATCGGACCATCTCGGACACGGCAGAAGTTGGCTTAGTACATGCATTCGTCACTCTCTCTCGGCTTTAGTTGAAGTCCCTTAGCAACCTGCAAATACCAGTGCGCCCATCTGCTCTGCCGTACGGTCCCTCGTTAATGAGCTCGTCAGCGCATCTTTGAACTCCTCCTCCTTCAGACGGCTCTGCATGTTTCGTCCGCATGGCTCAGTCCCCGCTTCCGCATCGGTCTCGTCGCCGGCCCAGTCTTGAATCTAGAGCTCGCCATGCAGACGATGGGAGTGATTCTGATAGTCCAGCTCCACCGAACCCCCGAATTCGACCCTCGCGCGCCGTCCGACGGGTGGAAACATACAGAGAGTCAAGCGATGAGAGCCCGGCGCAAGCATCTACTGTTGAGTCTGAAGCCTCGTCTGAAGAGGTCTTCCTTTGCAGAGGCACGAGGTCCCGTCCGGCGAGGTCAGAAGAATCAGTCCATTCTTCGCACACCAAACCAAAGTTCACGTCTACTGGAAGACAGGCACCAGCAGGTTCATTCAGTTCATATAAGCGTCGGAAGATACAAACCTCAAATGTTCAATTCAAGCCGGCTGCGCACTCAGAGATCATCACGCCGTCGCCCACTTCGAACCAGCGCTTTCTGCCCTGGCAACAACTTCCATATGAAGTCCTCGCGAGCATCATGAAGTATGCTGCCTATCCGCTGTACGGCCAAGCGTCTCGCAGCAATCCTTCCATCAACTGGCTTTGCTCCACTTCGCTACTATGTCGATCATTCCACGAGGCTTGCATGGCTGCATTGCTCTACCGCCCTCCCCTGTACCCTGCATGGCGAGCTCACGGCCTGATGCGATTGCTCAAAGAGGACCCTGCCACCTTAGTCACAGACTACAAGAGAAAGATTCACTATCTCGACATTGAAGTCAAACAGCTTCTCCTCAGAAAGAGTGGGATTTCCCTTGACGACCTTCTATCGCACACTCCTCTCGTACAGGGTATTCGCCTGTATTCGAACCATGATGACTACAACACCCTTATCTGGGCGCAGCCTACCGCCCAAAGACTGAACTGGTCCTATCCTCCGCAGATCTTCGAGCGTCTCGACAAAGATAATATTAAGATGAGAAGCTTTGAGTGGAACGGGCGGTTCCCCACCGCGCTGGAAACGCTTGAAACTGCAACGCGTGTCCATGCAAACAGCTCCTTTAGTCACCTCCGTCACCTCGCTTTTCTGAACCTTACGCTCCCGGAAAAGACCAGTGAAGCCGACGTTGTCAAAGCTCATAGTCTGCTTGCTGGAGCACTGAACCGTCTAGGGGAGCTGACGAGTCTATCGTTCCGGAACTGTGCAGTGCTCGACGACGTTGCCACCATGACGCTTCCGATTGGTCTTCAGGACTTGGAGTTTTCGCACTGTTCACGTCTGACTTCCGAGGACCTAGAACAGTATTTACGGCTAGGTGGCAGCTCTCTGCGGACACTCAAGCTTTTTGGAAATCAGTCCATGTCTCTGGGTTTCATGGCCGGGTTTCGACAATCATGTCCCCGTTTACAAACACTCGAGGTTGACATGCTCTACATCGATCCAACCTCTTATCGTGATCGAGATCCTCTCTATGACGAATTGTTGCCCAGTGGCCCTCCCAGTTGGCCCACTGACCTCGTTACCGTATCTGTCGAGAATCTACGGCAGCTGTCTGCGGCAGATGCGGAAGAGTTCTTTGCCTCGCTTGTCGATTCTTCTGAGCATCTCCCCTATCTCAGGACACTCAACATCAAGGCAATTTTGAAGGGCGCTGGCTGGAGAGACCGTGCTAGACTGAGGAAGACGTGGTTGGCCCGACTCCAAGATGTCTTCCTTAGCTCGGCTGAACCCTTCGTCACGAAGATTTCGTCCAATACATCGCCGACGGTGTCACAACGACAGAGCAGCCGCATAGCCAATACCCAGTTCAAGAAGTCGAGTATCAGAATGAACGCCTACGAGAGAGATGCCACAGCGCCAAATCCGGTCCAACCTCGGTGCGAGATTGTGAATCTAGTGATATCAGACCAGAGGCCTGCCCAAGACCAGTTTCATGAGGACGACTTCTTGGACGATGAGCCCAGTGATGATGGGGAATGGAATGGTCGTGATACGGAAACTCTTTCTACTGGTTATGCATGGTGATATGGCAGTCTCCACCACTCTCAACGCCGTGATGTCTGTTACGGCAACTGGGGCCCCTGATCCCGATTTCAGTACCTTAATCTATGCTAAGCGATCATTTTAAGCAGACGAGATACACTCGCAAATGGAACACTTGTCTTCGTTTACCAGCAGGGAGGGCAATCATGATCCGTCCCGCCCAATCGATAAACCCCGTCATCCCGATACAAAACTCAGGTTCATCTTAGGAACCCGATGCTCACAGTAACTGTTTGTTGCAAGCTCAAGACATGCGACATCGTGAACCTGGGTCGGCGTAGAAGTGCTCACGTGTAATACTGGATTCGTCACGCCAACGTCGCCTTTTCATTGCTCATGCTCGAGACCATCTCTAATACAAGTATGGAAAAGGATCACTTATAGTCCACGGTCGTTGTATTTGTCGCCTTCGGAATACTTTTGCTGTTATTTGATCCATTGCGATACAAGACGTACTTCTCGTGGGAATATGTACGGTAGGTAATCTCGGATGGGGTATTGTTCCCACGCCATCGTTCTGATATCTACAGGTTTTATAGCATCCTAGCCTAATTGAAACAGCGCATTCCCTCCTTTAAACAGTCAGACCTATCTCGGAGGCATATGGCAGGATGAATAAGTCTCCAACTGCTGACACAGACGCCTTCGAATCGAGTAGTTGTTTGGCCGCCTGGATGTGATTAGCGTTGAGACACACAGTGACTTTCATGTTTGGAGACTTACCGCTTTCACCTTCTCCCCAGTAACCTTGTCGATTGCAGCACCGATCTCATCAATCTGGAACGCTTTACCTTGCGTGATCAGGCCAGACCCGGTAGCTTCGAGGCCAGCATCAGTCTGTTGACCGGCTTCGAGGGCCTTGAATTTCGCCAATGCTGTCGCTTTTTTGATGTCCTCCTCTGCAACGTCGCCCGCGGCGACCTTCTTCAGCGCCTCTACTACGTTGCTGCAGGCTTTCGCGACGTGAGACGCGTCTCCAGATATGGTGACATACAGAAGCCCTGCATCTGAATAGGCGGCGTGCTGAGTAGATACGTGAGCCTGTGGGAAATCCTTGGCAGCTCGAGACAGCAAAGAGAAGCCTGGAGACCACTTGATGCTCGACTCTCCTCCAAGGAGCGCCGCAAGGACCGAGATTTCCGGCTTGAACGACGATCCAGCTGTGAACGAGCTTGAACCCGGGAAACCAAGAACCATCACGTTTCCTGAGTTGTGTGCAATTCTTTCCTCGCCACCATAATATTGCGAAGAGGGACTCGAGAGGTCGAACACCTGGGAGCCATTTCCAGCGTCGGTGAAGAATTCGCCCACCCACTTGGATAACTCCGAGTGGCTTGCACCGTTGGCGACCACGGCGATATTGGACCGGGCATAGGCAGCGCGGCTGAACTCGGCGATCGTTCTGGTGTCAAGGTATTTTGAGATTGGCGTCGAAGAGGTTGGATGCAATGGCTCGCCCAGCCCGCGGTGAAAGGCAATGGCGTGCACAGAGTTAAGCGCAAGTGACGACGGGCTAGCGAGAAGGCCCTTCTGCTCAAGTTTGAGAACACGGACCACCTCCTCATCGAGCTCGTGTGCTATGTTGAATTAGACATGATCAAACGCCGATCCGGTATAGGGTCTACATACTTGTGTACCGTGTCTTGCTTATTATTTCTCCCAACAACTCTGTGAAATATGGCAGGTCTTCGCGGAGGAATTTGGCTCGAAGGACGAGGTTCTCGCGGGAATGGTAGGCAGACAGATCGCCACCCAGTAGCTCGGATTCGCGGGTAATGCGCAGACTCGATCGCTTGGTGGTTGACTATCGACGGTTAGCCCAGAGCGTCATCCAAGCCTGCAGCCACAGTCGAACCTTGAAAGCGAATTTCTCAAGCACATCTGAGAGCCCGGGAAGGGGCTGATATCTTGTGCCGGCTTTGGCGACCACAGTCAAGGTCGTCGTAGGTCCAGGCAAATCTCTGCTGGCATATTTGATGCCAGAAGAATCCCCAGTCTCATATTGAAAACTGCCGGAAGCTGCTGCGGCCAAGCCTCTGCGCTGGAACGAGGCAACTGAAACCTGACGGCGGGTAGCTTGCAAGGCTCTTGAGCCCAGCGAAGCTCGAGAAGCCATGGTGAAAGCGGTATCTGTAGCTAGAGGCAATATGGTTGCGGTGCGTTTGCTGGACGAAGGAGCTACCTCAGTATGCAGTGCAAGTAGTAGTAGTGCAGTGGATGGAATCGAGCGAGCTGCAGTGGAGGTGCAAGTCGCGGAATTGGACGTTCTATCATTGGCGGGTACTACGGGCTAGCCTGCCAAGCCCTCACACTCTTTTCCAACTTGAAGCCTCTTTTCTAGTACCTGTAGATATTAGTACCTAACTACGATACTAATATACCTGACTACCTTGTATAATCCTCACTACCTACCACCTAGTACTACCTTAGTTTGGTAGTCCTACTATAGTAGTACTACTAGTACACAGATCTTACTTCTACTACTAGTAGTACTAGTAGTATAGTTAACTCTATTACATCCTAAACACTTTTACAAGCACCACATTCGACATCAGCTTTTGGTCCAACAACAGCAGAGAAACCCTGCGCGCTTAGGTATTCATCTCTTCCTTTCTTGAACAATCCTGAACACCTATTGTTTACTCGTTGCTATAACTCGCTGTTGCTTACTATAGCGGTTAACACACCTGGACAGACTCGATCGATGGAGTAGACACAATTTTAGCCATTGTCTCTTCCCGATTCATCTCCCCCACTTCCCTTCGACACCGTTACTAGGTGCAGCTGCAACAACCATGGAGGTATGAGGCGCTCATACACAACGCCCAAGTGCGGCAGCGCTGACTCGTGGGCAGGAACTTTCACGGCTATGCTGCCTTGCTGTCGAAGATGTCTACGGCGGATTTCTCGCTGTCAGTGTTTCCTACATGTTCTCACTACACCACTAACCAACCTTAACAGCAAATTTTCCAACACTTGATCCAACAGGGCAGGCTTTCTGTCAATCAACTCGCACAAAGATGTCGGCTTCCTTTGCGCCAGGTTAAGGCTGGAATAGCCGCTCTGATCCAGCTTCGTTTGATTTTCCACTATACCACTCCCGACGGCCTGTCGACCTATCAAGCGAACGTCCACAGTGCCTACAATCTCATTCGAGCTGGCAGAATCGTCGAGCTTGTTGCCAGGAGATATGGTCCGGCCGCCGCCAAGATCATGGAGCACCTAGCCATCCTCGGCTACGCCACCGCAGACGAACTGGAGGCACACGTGTGCGAAGACAACGTATTGACTACCTCAAAGGACTCTGCCGAGTTGACGAATGGACATCATGAAGAAGGCGTTTTGCTTGGCGGAGCGAATCCGGAGGTCAGAACCAGTTTTCGCACGGCCCTGAAACATCTCTTAGACGACAGATTCATCTCGTCCGTACGCGACGCCCATTTCCAATCTGAATTCGACGCTCGCCAAGATGTTGAGCGCCATTTACAACATCTTGGAATGCTTCCGTCTGCCAAGGGAAAGAAGATTCAATCGGATATCGACCATAGGGTCGATGTGGAACTCGAGTCGCGTCTGGACGGCACGGTCTCGTCCGCATCCATAATGCAAGACTTTGAGCAGCGGGATTCGAACGAAAACATGACCTACAGCCAGGTATATCTATCCACAATTGTTGGAGTGATGCAAGCTAACTGCTATGGCACAAGCCTATGCTGTGTATTGATTATTCTAACCTGCTTGCCGCCATACGCAATGAGAGGGTAGCATCCACTGCATACAAATTGTTTGGCCAGCCAGCCGCACAGGTGGCGCGAGCAGCTTGTTCGCAGGTCGATGTCGATTCTGGTCCTTTCAAAATCCAAAGCGCTACCTCCGCACCAATACAAAGACTCAATGTCTCCCAGATACGCAGCAGCATGGCTGAAGAGGCAACACAAGAGACCCTAAATGAGGAGGATGCTGAGAATGGCTGGCTTGGAGAGTACGCCCTCAATGGTTATGCTGATCCGCAAGTCAATGGCGCACAGCATTATTCACAAATTGATCAGCATTTGGCAGTACTGGCAGAAGGTCCCTTCTCCTTTCTCTCACAAGAACCTGGGGGGGGGCAGTGGCTGCTGCATCGGTCTAGGTTGAGCAATTTTCTGCGGGACGGAGAATTGATGAGATTTATGGGCGAGAGCTTGAGCGGACCGGCTCTCAGAATCCTGCGTATGCTCATGGATAAGGGGAAGCTAGACGAGAAATCGTTGCAAGAAATTGGTCTGTTGGGCGCAAAAGAACTTCGTCAATGCTTGGCTCAGTTGCAGCTGATGGGGTATCTCGAGCTCCAGGAAGTCCCCCGGGAGCCCCAGCGACAGCCCAATCGCACAATATTCCTATGGTTCTACGATGCGGAGAGGGTTCGAAAGGTGGTTCTTGGCAGACTCTACAAAACTATGGCACGATTATTTCAGCGCTTACACCTGGAAAGGGAGAGATTGGCGTCCACCTTGAGCAAGGTCGAGAGGACTGACGTGCAGGGGAGCGAAGAAGAAATGCTTTCACAAGCCGAGCTCCAGGTTTTATTCAAGTGGCGTCAAAAGGAAGCTTGGTTTATGACCGAAATCAACCGTTTGGATGAATCCGTTGTCATCCTCCGCGATCTTTGAATATCGAACTCCGGGTTTCTCCAATAAGGCCGTTCGCGTCCCCTGGCCGGCCAAAACTGCCTGTTTGGGGTGACTGCACAATACAAACATGTCGCGTCCGTGGCTTGCGTCGGCAGCACGATCGGTGCTTCCGCTGCAATCGTCTTGCAAGTATGGGAGACCAAATATGACGTGTTCTTGACGGCGACACCGGCAATACGAGTTTCAGAACTAAGCGGTCTTACGCCTTGGGCTTGCGGCATTGCACGCATGGTGCCTAGCTGAGTCGCGATCATGGGTTTCTAGAGGAAGCTCGGTCATATCCTCGATTCCAAGGTTTCTTGATCCTTTGGATGGATGAGGCTTGGTACCTCGTCCCGGTGTGCTACTGTCTACTGGGCTTCGCGTCAGAGGTAGAACACCAGTGCTAGAATTGATCGGCCTAGACAATTTAACGACTCCCTCGACATACCAATTGTCACAGCCATCGGCTCGCTTTGATACATGATCGTCAACAATTATGGGAAAGGCAGTAAAGAGAAGCGATGAAGTTAAACATTCCAGCTTCTACTCTGGGATAGGTTAAGGTACCTTAAGATCAGGTAGTCCTACACTGTAGGTATCTAGGTAGGTACCTAGCCAGCCAATCATAGTATACCTAGGTAATGTACTAACAGGTAGTACTACTAGTAGTACGAAGTAGCAGTGCCTTGTCTGTGGCGGTGTAGTAGTGGTTGGCCTGCAACTTTCTGTAACGTATCAAAGTTGTTCCGTTCCACTCCTTGGCGGACGCTTCGGCTTGAGCTTCAAGTTCCGCAGTTGCTCTGTTGAAGTTCCTTGTCGAAGTTGAATTCGACAGCTTTAACCTCAGACTTCCCATCTTCGCAATCATCCAATTCTCAAGATGGCCTTCGCTTGGAAAGCCGCTGGCCTCAGGTATGCTCACTGTCTATTTACTTTCCAGCAGGCCGGGCCACTGATATTCGCAGCTATAACCGATACTTGGCGATTGCCGCACGAGTTGTCCGACGATCGCTGAAGGAAGGACCTCGACTTCACGCCGAGAGGAGAGGAGAGATGGACCTCCGATTTGCGAAGTGGCAGGTGAGTGCTACCCCAGGCCGTGGTCCGCATCGACAAGTTCACTGAACTCAATATGGTAGAATGGCAAACAAGGCGAGAACATGAGCTTAGGTGCTGCCAACGCAGACGCGATGGCCGAGCACGCAGCACAGGAGGCGAAGTAAGGGACAAGAGATATCCATGGCATGGTAGGAGCACAGCAGGAGGTACGCTGAGACATACAAGAACTGTGCGACTTGATCACTCAGAACCAAAAGCATAAAGTCCTTGCGCAAGGCACCAGTGGTGGTTCCGGATCCGCAGAGGGAGTATGCACAATTGTGAAATCAAATATCATCTTGAACAACCTGAATCTTGCCCAATGCTCTACTTGCTAGGTACCTATGCATATAATAATGCCGCATGTGAATTCCTTCAATGCGTCAATGGTTCGGGCGGGCATTCGTTTTGTAATCAGTTCTTGCTTACATGGCGTGGGATTACCGCCATAATCAGACAGATAATCTGTCCACTCACACCTGTCTCTATATTTTAGATTTCCTAGTCTTCTTTTAACACCGACTTCAGATCCGTTGGACCTAAGCAAGCAATAGGCCAAGGTCATGGTGTCACCACGAATCCTTCATCCCAATGTACAGATAAGCGATATCACTCGACAGTTTCGCGATGCGGCCTCACGTTGGTGTGCAGCAAATGTCCACAGCTCATCTTCTGACAACTCGTAGGGTTACAACCCGGGAGACTCATTAAAGATGAGCACTTCACATTATTCGAGGCCGTCAGCGCCTTGGAGGTGAGACGCTTGCGAAGAACTTTAAGCACTGTGACTGATCATATGGTATTGCAGATTGGAGATCCCAAGATGGACAGCGGAGTCCTCGGCTCCGACCATGACCTCGAAGGAGATCTTGATATCTCAACGAGCGCGTCCGCCGAGGAAACGATATGGCTGATGGATGAACTGATGTGTCGTGAGGTATGGTTCCCGTTCATTTGGCGTACTGAATGAATATTGCTTACGATCTAGAAGGTCGCATGGCATATGGGTTACCCTCTATCACAGACTCTCTTTACATCGGTGCATCTTGAAAGACTGTTGTGGCCAGAGCCGAAGCAACTCTCCGAAGCTCGATTTGACCGCGTCGAGTCATCTAAACCACGCCCTCCATCACTCATTTCGGATATTTTCCAACCGTTTTGCATTGGTCTAGTCAAGTGCTGTGATCTTGTTCTGTCGACAATCACGAATACGCACTACTACGAAGTATGGTCCCAAGATGCAAACAGATGTCGTGTTGCTGACCGTCTGCGTCCAGGAGGAAGACTTTGCAACACAGATCTACAACAGGCCGCTACTGCATGATTTTCCTGTTTCAGAAGTGTCTACACTGCTCCAAAAAGCACGCATGTGGCTTCAAGCCAGCAGTTTACCGCCAAAGCTGAGTGACGCTTTGAAAGCCCGATTAGATCTACGATATGCTCTTCTAGGCCTGTTTGAGTCCCCCTCAAATAGCGCAGGGAATATAACGGAGCGTCTGGTGGGAAGTATTGCCACCATCGAACAGATTGAATCGTCGGCAGCACTTGGTCGCCCAACCAGCAATGAAGCATTTACACTGAAAATCCAACGAAAACTGGCGAGTAATGTACCACCTCGTCCAATGATTGCCATCGAAAGACGTAAAGCGTTCGTCTTCCTGCGACAGCTGATTACTGATACGCTCATGGCTCTTCAACTGCTCAACATTACCTCCAGTGACGATTTGCTGGTTGTATATCAGACATTCATGGCGCAAAACCCGCAGCCCGCTGTCTATGTCCGAGCTCTCCTCCAGACATTCCTGACCTACAACCATGCCGTGTTAGGCAAATTCGCCGTCAGGGATTTCATATGGCAAGACATCCAATCTCTGGTCCGACCTACTGTGTCACCGCTCGACCGTAGTACCGAGTTGGGCTCAACGACAGCCGTTTCACAATCTCAACTGTATTCACAATTGGATCACTTTATCAGTCGATGCAGCCAGTCATTTCTCGACCTATTCCGAACGTTTTGCCTGAATCGGTGCCGGGTAAGACGGACGTTATGCCATGCTGTCCTAGAGTGGGATCAGCTTCAGGCTGATGCCGAGGAGATCGACATCCTTGCACAGTCTGTGTGCCAGGAAAAGCCAGTGTCATATCCGCCTGGGGAGGAAATTACTTTCTCATATTCTCTCAGCAGTTGGGTATATCATCATAAGCTCGTGCAACTTCGAACCATTGTCCACATGGGGTTCGAGCTGTCGATCTACGCTCCACACGAACTTGCCGGCATGTGTTGGTACCTCTCCTTCCTCTCAAGCACTCACCTTTCACATCTAGAGCGAATCGGCTTCTTCGTCTCTTCGCAGCAGCATTCGCAGCCCTCGTCTCCAGATGGCGCTCGAGCAACCCTGCGGAAACTGTATAGGCAATTCACATGGCTGAAGGCCACCGAGGCTCTAGCCAAGGCTTTGCATTGTCTGCTCGTCGTCCTTCAACGACATGGTCAGTTGGCAAATCCAAAGCCGGCCTACGCATCGCATCGTCTGAGATACGAATTGAGGATGCGACCATTCATGCACTTATCCGTCCCCGAGCCGATAAGTGTTGGAGTGGCTCAAGAATTGTCGTCCCTGCAGAAAAATTCTGACCAAGCCATACTCCAGCAGGCGTCTCAGCTGAGCCAAATAGCAAGAAAGGCATGGGAAGAAGTCCTGAAGGAGAAATGGAGGCTATCGGCCACCCAGGAGGCTGGAGACTCCACGCAAACACACTCCGAAACCATGCAGTATTCCACGGTGGAAAGAGAATGGACACGGGATGTGCAAAGCTCCATGCGAGCCAGCATCGGCGCCAGCATTGCCATCAGCACCCTGACGAAAGCTTTGCAAGAAAGCCGGATCAATGCCGTGAAAGCAGAGATACCGCCGATCGGCCATCGAGATCGGTGGCATTCGTCATGGCCGGTGCCAAAAATCTCGATATAGGACCAGGTCTTTCCATCGGAAGAGCCTCCAAATCGGTTCATCTACTATTCTCGTCCAATTTTTCCTCATCCTACCGCAAGCCATGTAGAGCCGCATTTTTGGTTTGAACTATGCCAGCATGTCCTCGCTGCTGTTGATACAGCCTTTCTTGCACCTGACCTCAGTGCGGCGACGTAGTGTAGTAGGATGATTGGTAAACTGACGCTCATGTTGGACTGCGTAGCCTCATCTCACCTTATCACGTGATGTGTATTCACTGAGGACGTTTTCTTATGTAGTGAATAGAGGTAGGCTACGCGTCTATATATTCGCGCAGCCTACGCTCTCTCCTCCATAGTTTTTACCAACTGAGAATTTCACTATCTGCCTGGTTCAAGTGCTCAATGGCCCTACTACCCACCGCAGTGTTCAAGTACCTTAGTACCAGTAATAGAACTAGTACCGATAAGAGGCGCCAAGCGCCGATTATGATCTCCGGGTGGCTGTTCGTAATCGACCCTTTACAACAAAATTTCTTGCCCCTTCAACACTTCCTTTTTGACCTGATCATTTTACACCAGCGACGATGGCTTCTGCGTACAAGTCAGCGATGCGCTCTGGCGACTCGCCCGATACGGATGACACAGGATCCGTGTCATCAGATCCCAGCAGCAATACCGTTCGGGCCGAGTCACCCAACGACAGAGAACAGTCTGGAACCAAGCAAAAGAACAACATCTCACAGTTGCCGCCTGAAATGCGAAATCGCATCCTGATGTTGACGTCTCGTGGAGTTTCCTACAGGTTAGTTAGGTGACCTTCTGTACCAGACGCGGGCCTGACCTTTTTAAGACATCGACATCTCCTCAGCGACCTCCACTCACTACTCCCTCACACCTACAAGGACACCAAATTAGATACCAAGTCATCGAACAACTACAACTCTGCTCTTAATGGTCTCGCCGACCTTCACTCCTGCAATTATGTGTTCTTCCTTGAAGCCCGAAAACATGGTCAAGATCTGTACCTATGGCTGGCACGTGCTCCCAATGGACCAACAATCAAGTTCAGCGTGACAAATGTCCATACAATGGCCGAGCTTGGCTTTGGAGGAAACTGTTTAAAGGGTGGAAGGGGTATTGTGGTATTCGATAAGAGCTTCGATGAAGAGATTCCAGGACAGGAACACCGGTCTCTGCTGCGCGAAATGCTGCGGGGTGTCTTCTCTGTGCCGCCGAGGGGCGTGCGAGGGTTGAAGCCATTCATCGACCGGGTCATCGGCATATATGGACTCGACGGCAAAGTCTGGATACGCGTCTACGAAGTCCGCGAAACTGACACCGAGAAACCTAACAAAGAACGTGCAAATGGCGCCGATATCTCCCTGGTCGAAGTTGGTCCACGTTTCGTGCTCACTCCCGTTGTCATTCTTGAAGGCAGTTTCGGTGGCCCGGTCATCTATGAGAACAAACAGTTTGTCAGTCCAAATCAACTCCGGAGAGAAATCAGGGTCCGCCGAGCTGGCAGGTACGCCAGCCGGCAAGGGGGTTCACAGGAGCTTGCGGTCAAGCGAAAAGCATTGGAATTGGCAACGGGTGCGCCGAGGAGGGCATCAAGCCTAGCAAACGCTAGATTGTTTGGATGAATCCGATGGTAAAGCAGGCTGCATCAGCCATCGGAGAAGACAAGGTCAATCTTCGACAATAGCCCAACGTCAGCAAGTTCCATCCACGGTACCTGTACAACAGATTTGTTCGTGCAACTAGTTGGCACGCATGTCTCTGGCCGCGCGACTGCATCGAACAAACTCTTGAGGCGGTGTTGGCGGCACAGAGCACGGAAGACCCCATCAGTCAGGCTCGACACGGGTCGCATCTTCAGCGAGTTTCCCCATACAAAGGCGATCCCGGTGACAGCGTCTGTTGTGCCGGTCGTTTATATGAGAATGGCACTGTCCCTGCCTCGAAATTGGTAGACTTGCGCAGCTTGATGCCGTCTCCTACCTGCCAAATTGAACTTCAACAAAACGGTTGTGCTTACCTAAGCCGCCGGCTGCTGCCACAATGCCTGTCCTTGGAGGCCGATGCAAGGCGGTTTAGCACACATCAGCCATGCAGCGAATCAAGGTTGGTCCGCGGAGCCGCTTTTTGCGTGCATGATGGTGTACTTGCCTTTCCATATGCTCAGGAATGCATTGGTAGCAGAAGCGTTCACGGACATACTGCAATACAGTATATGCGATACCACATGAAGTCCTTCAGCGGCAGGCAAGTGAGGATTCCATCAGGCGCATTAATACTCATACAATGCCCAACCGATGATGTAGCTTCGAACTTGAGGGCCCCCCGTTCATAGGGAAACACCAATGAGATTCAAAGAATGGCTGCTCTCGTATTGTGCAAGTTGTTTGTTAATAGAGGTTGTTTTTTTTGCCAAGCTGTCCGTTATATGTTAGGTATGTAGATACATTGTAACTCGTAGTTGTGTACTACTAGTACTAGGTAGTATGTTTATTACATGTATGCAATAGACTTACTTTACTAGTAACTCCATTTCACGCTATCTTTATCACTTCCCGTGAATCGGCCTCCTGAGTATATTACCGCTAAGAAGTTGGTCTCCCTTCTGTCACAACGACTATACTTGAATTCTCAACATGCGATGATGACCATGAGGTCTGTCAAAGACCGGTGCTCCTTGCCGGGACATTGCATCCCTTTTCGCTCTCAAGTGCGATGAGCGTGCGCCTATGCCGTTTGTTACTTCAAGATAACCCCAATGTCGGGTCGCGATCTCATAATCCAGTTGTGCTTCTGCAGCAACAGAGCTGCACTCTGCTGGTCAGTCTATCCTCACCCTGCTTGGGCCCCTCACATGTCTGGCTTAGTTGCCGCCGTCATGATCAACCTGTCTTCTGATGAACATTACAGACGAAATGGCAATGCAACGACTAGCCCCGGAACTTATCGCTCGCATATTCGAATGCCTCACCACCATCTCAGACATTCTCAGTCTTTCTTTGACGTGCCGATACTTGAACCAGGTTCTTTCCAAGTCGCAACAATTAGCCCTGTTTTTTAGGGCTATGGATAAAGAGATGGGACCATTGGAAGACATCTTACAACTCTTGACCCAAAACAACAACCAAGTGCTGCACCTGCATCGTTCTCCGGTCTTTTCGTTCGCGCTACTTGCCCAAGTCAACACTATTGCTCGTGTCGCCGACCGCTTTGTCCAGCTGTACCCCAGCTTCAGATGGGCGGAAGCCAACAGCGCCCAGCGTCGCTTTCTCGATGACTTTGAAGCACGCGGCCTGCGGCGTGCAGTATACCGCTTCTGGGCCTACAATCAGGCCTTTTCCGACATATCATCTTCTCGCCCTGGACGCCCAGACTTGCTGGCAGCTGCGGAGCGTTTACAACTGCTGCGGTCGTGGTCCACAGATGATTTATACGAGTTGGAGGATCTACGCTGTACACTGGAACAACTATTGGCTTCCGAGATCTGCCCAACCGATGGACAAATATCCGCCAGGGTTCCGGAGCCCACAAGACTGTCACACACATATATTCGACCTCTCTTACGCCACAGCATTCCCACCAGTGGTATGGCTTTTGACAATGTCTTCTATAGCTCCCATCATGCACACGAGCTTGACCAATCTCGGCCGTCTATTCAGGAACTGCGTTTCCGACATATGCAAGGATGGGGCAGTGAGCTCCAAAACTTTTATCTTGTTCAATCCTTCTTGAAGTGCTCTCCTGCACAGATCCTATGGCTGTATGACAATGTCGTCCTCAAACAGGATGTTGAGCAATATATTGAGCTCCATACCCACGACCCGTGCTTCTTCGAAACTGGTTCCATGCTGTTTCATGATTGGACCACAGTCCTGCATGTTCGTGGGATCGACGCGGAGAAGGCTAGAAAAGCGATCTGGAGTGGGAACGCGGGCATTGCCCCGGAAATGGGAGAATAGAAAACGTCCTTGCCAGACGCCACAGCCGTCCTTATAGTTGAGCGAGCCCAGTATTACAGTCCTGACTTTTCGAGCCCATACAAATATACCGAGCCGTTTATTACGGACCAGATACCAGCAATAGTAAGACACAATTAGTGATATATTCCAGTGCAGAGAATCTTCAGAAGAGTACAAAAGGACGGCAGCGGCATTAAAATCGCCATAAAGGAGGTATGACACGCCAAAACGCCCTTTCAGAGACCGTGTTTTCAGGTGGGCCTAAATAGAGTTCGACGGCGGCCGCCCCCGGTTTCTAGCGCCGCTTCAATACCAAAACGCCATTTAAAACGCCATTACTGGAAGCCTCTACCCTGTTTTTTCTACGGGATAGGGTCCCGTGGTGAACGCTTTTTAAGCCCTACCGGAGGCGGGCCCGCGACTGACGTTTTTTACTCCTTCTCCTATACAAAATAGTGCTTTTTTAACCCTTTTTGGGGACACTAATATTGGCTAACGAGATTTACACCTAAAAGAGGTCGGTGGATACATGATGGGAGTGGAGTGCCGTGAGCTGGGTTGAGCGCTGAGGTTTGATTGATTGATTGATTGATTGATTCCTAGACCTTTTCGGTGCCCGCGAAGGGACCACGTAGGCGGTTACTCTTGGCGTGCCTAATGCCAAATCTATTTACCCCCGCAGGACCTAATCCTACTAACTAGTTGACCCCTATTGCTGCTTTAGTCGATTATTGGCACAGCCTCGAGTCACGGGACTCGAGGGCCATATCTAATCGGCTAACGCCTCCTACTCAGATAGATCCTCCGTCTTAGAATTCATATCATACTAGCACGCTACGTTTGCAAAGTCTCACGTCGTTCGCTCCGTGATAGAGTTAACGAACCCACCAGCATCCACCGAAGCATACAACCCGTGACCACATCAAATACGTGACCAAGCTCGAGGGATTCTGATAACGCCTTGCTCCACAATACGTGTGCGGCTCATTTGCAAATCAACAACATTTGTTGCCCTTCGCGTCAGGTGTACCCGAAGGCGTCATGTCAATCTTCACGCCGCCGGCTGGCGCTTGTGCCGCGTCTCCGCTGTCGAGGGCCTTGCTCGACACGATCCGATAGATTTCTGCCCACACATGTCAGCCTTGGAATAAGAACAAGATCACAGGACTTGCCAGTCAAGATATTCTGGAACGCCAACTCAACGTTGCTGGCATCGAGGGCGGACGTCTCGATGAAGGACAGATTGTTTTCACCTGTTTCGCAAATATGAGTCCTGAACCACACCGGAGTAACATTTGGGAACTTACTCGCAAACTGCTTGGCTTCCTCAGTTGGAACGGCGCGCAAATGCCGCAAATCACTCTTGTTCCCAACCAGCATGATGACTATGTTGGCATCCGCATGGTCCCGGAGCTCTTTCAGCCATCTCGTGACATTGTCATAGGTCTGCCGTTTGCTGATGTCGTAGACCAAGAGTGCCCCGACAGCCCCTCGGTAGTAAGCGGATGTAATGGCGCGGTATCTTTCTTGCCCGGCAGTATCCCATATTTGTGCTTTGATCGTCTTTGTATCGACCTGAATCGATCTAGTCGCGAATTCGACGCCGATTGTGGATTTGGAGTCGAGGTTGAATTCGTTCCGCGTGAATCGGCTGAGAAGGTTGGATTTACCGACGCCAGAGTCACCGATCAGAACAACCTTGAAGAGAAACTGATGGTGGTTAGTGACAACTGCAACATGGCCAGGCAGAAACGCACGTCATATTCATCGTTCGCCATGCTGGGCGTGTGGTGGAAAGGACCGTTTGGATAGAGAGAAGCGGTCGGGGAAATTGGCGACGAGGAGTCAAGGCCTCAGCATTGGGTTGGTATAGGATGGCGATGATGGGAGTTCAAGTTGTGGACAGAGGAGTGCCCAATGCTGCAGTGGTCGTTCAACAGCGCGCCGCAAGGGACGTTGCTTGGCGCTCTTCTTGAGACCAATTCTCATTGGCTACTCCTTCACCACACCTCACTGCAAGCTGCCCCTGCGCATTGCCTACTACTGCTACTACTACTACCACGACGTAGTACGACAGTACCATAGTACGTACCACTACCTCCCTGTACCTATGTAGGTCCCCTATCAAGGTCTACCCATGTTTCATCTCTACATGGGCGAGGAGTAATCGATGGGTCGGTCTCATATCGAAGAAAAGTAAGCCTTAGTTTCCTGCGCCTAGGGCTTCCTGCCAGCGTTTGCGATATCACAAAGAACATCCAAGCAGGAGGCATTACCGCTTCGGACGCCCGGACAGCCGATTTCACGGCGTCATATGCAAGCAGATTGAGCTACGTGCTGGTCACTTGCTCCTGACCAAACTCACGTTACTCTGGTGCCCTGAACGTGTTCACTCATGAATGACGGTTGGTACAAGTACTTTGAGCCGGATTGGCCAGGGCAGTCGCATCGGATAACGATGGTAGACAGCACCAATGAATCTACCGTGGGGGACGATGAGGTCGAGTATGAAGTCGAAAGAATCCTTGCACAACATACCACCGATGGGAAAATACTTTACCTTGTCAAATGGCTCGGATATCCAGACGAACAATGTACTTGGGAGCCAAAGGAGAGCTTCTTAAATCCTCAAACACTTGCCGATTGGCAACAACAATTGGCGCAGGGTGATACTTTGGACGACGAAGAAGTGGCTGCACTGCAGGCTCGCATGGATGCATACGCTGGGATACAAGAACGAACCGATACTGTGCAGGAGACAGTGGAGAGAGCACATGCGTCAGCTACCGTCGACTACAACCCTCGTTTTTCTTACGGAAGAGAAAAGATCCAAGGCCTGCTGCAAGAGTCCCCCTCAGCTGATAACCGAAAGCGAAGTCCAGGACCTCTCTCCAAGCCACTATCTGATATCGTGAAGCTACGGAAGCTCACCGAACCTTCCTCTGCCAAAATCAGAACCGCACCATCCAGCACTAACACCCCCAGCACCGGCCATGGCCAAGCTTCAGTCATCCGCCGGAAGAGCCCCAGTATGGCAAACACCATAGTCGATTTGCAATGGTCGGCCGCTGCCCATACCCACATGGCCATCCGAAGTACGCAGCATCGCACAGGGGATAGGTTCAAAAACTTGAGACACCAAAACAATTACTTCAAGCTTACTCGCCGAGAACCGGCGCCAGACATCTCGAAGATCGAACGCAGAGCAGCAGATGAATGGTTGGTACCTCGCAGAGCCAAGCCAGCGTCTCAAAGCCCAAATCTCACCTCTGCAAGAGATGCGGATGATGAGTCGTGGCTGTTCGTGCCAGATGATGCCCACGAAGAACGCATTGGAACTGGCACCAGGGTGTCTCCAATTGACGATGCGCCAGACCAACGCCCACGCCAAGCTGTTGCGCCAAGTCATGACAGCAGCGCGTCCTCTCAAAGACTGTCCTCCGTCCCAGAACCTATCATACGGGCTGCTGCAGCGGCATCTTCAAACCCGATAATAAAGGCTCGGAATGGACGGACCTGGCGTCATGGCGACGTTGTAGTACACCTACGTTACGGCGATCACGCGGTAGGCGACGTAAAGATCCTCCATCTCCCATCCTGGCTGAGAACCAAGCTGCTGTCACTGAAAAAGCCCTCTGAGCAGGCGCTGGTTATTCATTTCCTGTAACGCAATGTTGTCGATGTTGACACCTTTTCTGCGTGTTCTCGATATGTAAGACTTCCGTTCCCATACTCTACAGAGTTGACCACTAACGGAGCCAGCTGGGGAATACCACACCAGCCTTGGGAGGCATCGAGTCATATGAAGATACGATACGAGCTACGGACAGCCTGGCGGAACACTTGGAAGTCAACAATGTCGCTGCTGTATGGGAATATCCGGAGGAAGAGGAGAACTTGGTCATGATCCTCTATTCCTGTCGGGCTAAGGGGTGGCGCCATTTCGGCAAAAAACAGGTGACAATGTTTGAGCCACGACTTCATTTGGCATTTCGAAACAAGTTGTTTGGCTTTCGTCTCAATTGTGGGCCGAATGAGGGAATTCCGGCGCCACCACATCCTGACAATGCACCAAATATCGGCCAGATTGGGCATCTAGGTGCCGAAGTCCAGGGCACCATGCAGGGTGTGATATCGCCTGTAGACGCGGACATGGGTGTTCAAATCTCGACGTTGGGATCAACGAACGAAAAGGCCCTGAGCTCATATCAGAGTTTGGACGAAACAGATCCATCTCCTTCGTTGCGCGACACCATCTTTTCGATTGCTGTTGAAGACATCCTTCACGTCAAAGACCAACCCAGGAGAAAAGCCGCAGTGTATATTGCCTTTGCAGCCTCACATCCACTGCAGGCGACCGCGGTCAAGAAATGGCTTGGAAGGCACGTTAGCCCACGCCACATTTACACCGATGCAGAAAAGGATGGCTGGGCTGACTGGTGCGATGAAATTGATAAGAAGCTGGCTATCGTCCTCTTCCACAACGAGCGCCCTCTGTATTGCGACTTGAAATACTTTTCGCGATATCTATCCTCGACCGCAGGCATCTCTTGCTACGAAATGTCGTTCCAATATCACAAGGATGCCACTTCGCACTGCGCAATCTCCAGACTTTTTCCAAGAGGTGCTGCGATATTTATCACAGAAAGATCAATGCGGAAGTTTCCAGAAGAGTCGTTGTATGCGATGCGATGGTTTCAAAAATCCTCGGCGAAGAAGGTCGAGAGTTGGAAAATGTGTCTTATGCCAAACGCGGTCGACTGGATACTACGACAGGCCCAGGAATGTGGTAGTGAAGACCGACAAAATTACATTGGAATGCTCGAAGTGATCCACAGGCTACAGGCGCAGTCGAAGAAATGGGACGTTCGAAGAGCGAACGGCGACCCTGACGATTTGGTCACCAAGGTCCCCCGGTATGAGCAACAAAGATTTCTCCTGTCGCTGCCCGTTCCACCGAAATATCCAAAATGGTCTGAGACGACGGTGCTTGCCGAAATGTCGGAGGATCAGATTGACGACCGCGATCTCATACTTCTAAATTATTTCTATGGCTTGGGGGCGACGAAGGCGGCACAGTACCGGAAATTTCTGGTGTTGGACGACAAGCAGCCCGATAAGACTCGCAAGCACTCCTGGCATGTCAAATTCTGGCATCCCACCAAATTCGTGCGCGAGATGAAGTACTGAGTCATGCCAATAAACCGATCAGTTGCTTTGCAGCTTTTCATGAAACGATATAACACATCGGCATGGGATTATGTCGTGATGGAATATTGCCTCGACGATATGCGTGTATCCTTTCCCGGTTGACAGGGAGGCAGCCGGCTTCCGCATCACGGATACGAGACCTCAATGTCGAACTGAGACCGAATGAATTTGCAGAAGCATATATCACTGTTTTGCATACGCCCAATGTGATTATGCGAACGCTGAGGCACTGCAGCCGGGGACGTCTAGGACTTCCAACTTCCCTGTTCCCATGCGGGAGCATTGCCAAGGTCCTCCATTCACCCGACTTCATTTCGAACGACCTATGATGAGGGCCCTTCGTACTGCGGCACGATTGATGCGAAGTAAGCGTTTTGGATTGCTGGAATACTCGGGTGATCATAGACCAATCGTGGACATAGCCATCATTTGGAGGCCAGGAAATCCTCAATCTTCCAATTGATACTGGGAGTTGCGCTGAATCAGGGACCTGTAGTAGTCACATAAAACTTCGGGTTTCGGTACTATCCGCCACTCCATCCTAGTCAAAAATTCAAGTTCCAAGAGAGCGAGTTCCTTCATGCTAACGCCGCCAACTCTGGCGTATGTTTTGTTGGTCCAAAACGAGTCACTCAACCCTTTGCTCGCAACAGTTGCGCTAGTGATCAGAAAACGGTGTACCGTTAGGCTGCTGATGGTAAAGGCTGGATAGAGAGCGCAGAGGCGATCGATATAAAAGACCACACTCAGAAGAATTGGTGGAGATAGTGTAGCGTGAGTCGTCAATCGTTGGAGATAATCAAGTACGGAAATGCCGGGCGGAGCCCGGGAGTGGAACCTGGTCAATTGTCCATCTCGTAGGGGAATAGCATCATTGTACCTGATCAGTTCCATAAGCATGGATGATATCAAAATGACCAGATCTCGAGTATTGCAATTCTCATATTGACGCGGCATCAGGCGCACCGGAGGAGCTTCTGGGCGCGGCTTTTTCAATGGCGACTGGAGCAACGACTGCTGAACCTGCTCTGTGATATCCTTTGTGTCTGGATGTGTCTCTGCCATGGTCTCAACAGCCGGTCTCTTTGCTTGCGCCTGCCAGCCATGCTCTGGTCTCATATCATTTGCAGTTTTTGACGAGCATGTCGCAGTCCCTTGTTCAGGTGGCTGTGAGGTGAGCGCTGACATCGTGAGATGCTCGTCGCTTTCAGATAGCTCGAGCCCAGCGATCGTGGATGTGGGTGTCTTAGTCGCAAGAGGGGTAGACACCTTTTGGTCCCGGGGGGACCACTGCGTGCCTCTATCGACCATTTTTCGTGGGCAAGATTGTGGGCTGTCACGATCTAGCGATCTGGTACTGGGGTTTCTGCCTGTCTTGTACGAGAACTCGGGCGAGAGGTGAGATTGACGACTTGGTTCGTTAAACTTCACGGCCGACCGGTTTGGGTGTAGAGGCTTCGCAGGTTGATCATACTGTGGCCGTGGGAATCTGGTGCCGCCGGGCTCAAGATTAGGGGATGGGGATGTTGCTAGCATATTCAAGGAAGCTCAACATCTGATACCGCTGTGGCTACAAAATCCTGTATTGTGAGGAAAGTATAGCATCGCCTCAGCGTGATGCGGAAGAAGCTGTGGTTGCGCCCATAGAAGCTCGTCTCGATGTCGGCGAAGGACGAAGTGGTTGCGAAGAGGCCCTTTCAAGAGTTCGGCGGCCGTCCCAAGGTGGAAAACAGGCACATTCAGAGCGAGAGCATGCGAAATGAAGGATGTCGCATATTGCGGGATTGTTGAGCGCCTAAGAACAGTGCATCTGAGAGTGCAACTCCTGCTAGTAGGTAGTACTAGTACTGTTAGCAAAAGTCGAGGACGAGGTCCATCGCTCGGGGAAGATTTCCGAGGGGAGATTGATTACCTTAATGGCGTGGGGTACCTACTATTCCTAGCAGTAGGGTAATTGCGCCAATCACTGTACTGTGCACCACACTGCAGCACTTCAACAACTGCTACTACCTCCACTTGAGCACGAGGCGCTGTTGTGCCTTTACATTCGTCCACCATCTTGATATATATTGTCCGGGGGCAGCCAAAGTCCTTCGAAGTGCGTGGTACGCCGTCGTCGCTTGCTTTCTGGTCCACTCGTATCTCCTCCACGCCCACGGCCCCTTGAGTCAACCGAACCTCCCCCGTCATCCCGTCCGAGAGCACAGCGACGCCTTCCTCTTCCTGGCAGCACTCTGCCCGCCACACGCCCTCCGAGAAGACTCAGCTTCACTCCTGGACGCGCTCTGTTCCTCCTAGGATGGCAACCACACTCGAGGCTGGGCCGCCTGCGCTGCGTCGGTTGCAAGAGTTGCGTGCTGCTGGTGAAAGCCCGCTTCTGGCGCTGAAGACGATCAAAAATGACTTGACCGGGCATGCTTCAAGAAAAGTTGAATATATTGGGGCTGGGCTTACACTTGCTCTGGCAGAGATCCTGTCCGACATTCTTGCCGGAATGCCAGCGACAGGCTCTACCTCTCCGGAACCAAAGCCTGAGGATGAAATGGTATTCACGCAGATTGCCCAGATTACCTGCGTGATTGCCCATGGTATGTGACCAGGTATTGCCCCGTGTGTGAAAAGCATACTAAATCCATCGGCAGAAGGCCCCTCCTTCGTCCAACCGTTGCTAGAGGTCGACATTACACGGGGATTAATAACCTGCCTTCTTCTACCCTTAACCTCCAGAACATGTCTCGCAGTGTTGAAGTGCCTTATTGCTATTGCAGAAAACCTGCCTCCCGCTGAGTCTCAACAATGGTTGCCACATCGCGGACCGGCGGAGCTACTCTATTCAAAGAAATACATCTCCTGTTTCGGCAATATTATTGATGCAGCTGGCGATACAATGGCATCTCAGCAGGCCTGCGATGCCGTTCTCGCCCTGCTGTGCAAAACGGTCACGCTCGAAAGGCAGAAACGTGCGCTGCTTGAAAGTGGAGTCTTGAAAACGCTCTCAGCTCGTTTAGCATCCTTCGTGGTCGCAGAGGGACTGGTTCCGCCCAGCCCGGTATCACTCGACTTGGACAACAGCACAAGTGCCGGGTTGCCGAATCCAGCCCCTTCCTTCGCTCACATGTCGCCGGTTCTGGAGGCTCTTTCTCTTTTAATTGAAGGTTCCCGCCACCGGGCCAACGTTTTCCTCTCCGACCCGGCCGTCAAGGCTGTTCTTCCGGAGTTGGATGATGATTTCTCTCCATCTGATATTCGGCGTGCGCCGTGGGGGGCTAGCTACTTTTCCGGGGCGGCAATTCCCCGCCTATGCCCACATGGGCCCTTTGATATGCTTCTCCCATTCCTGCCGGTCCTGGATAGTGCGAAATCGGCCATACAATCTGGTTTTCCTCCCTTGAGCTCTGTCGCCTCGATGCCGAAGCGATGGGCATCCTTCCTGCCAACTTCGTCCGAACCCATTCCACTAGGCTTGAATGGTGTCTCCACAGAAGACGTCGAGGAAAGCTCCGTCATACCCCTGCTCCTTTACGTCGTTCGTACGTCGAGAGGAAAGCGCCGTCTTCTTGCTGCCAAGCTGCTGGTTGATCTTTGTTGCTTGGATCTCGTCAAAAAGGAGCGACGGGCTTCATTCGCTGCCTTATTGGTCCCACTTCTAACTCGTATGCTGGTATCCGACATGGCGCAGGCCGACAAAAGTACCCATCTCAGGGGATCGTATTTGTGCAGTGGCCTTCACTACACGAGAGCCGTCCCAGCTGTTTTAGCCGCCCTTGTCATGGATGATCCGCGCATGCAAAAGGTCGCGGTCGATGGGGACGCTATCACTGCATTGTCGGCCGGATTCAAGACGACATTTGATGATCCCGCTGGGCGGAAACCGTCGCTCTGGCAACCATACAAGGCAACTCAGATGGGAGCTCAGCGAAAGTCACCCGGAACGAGGCTAGGACCCGAGTGTCCATCTTGGACGATGAGGCGCGAAATGAAGTACCGCGAGGGTTGTCTACAGGCGCTAGCAGCAATTGCGCCGTTCGAAGACGATTATCGCAAGGAAATTTGTGACCAGGGAGTGCTGACACATGTCATACTAGCCCTGGAGCCATATCGGATGACAGAAGGCGCCAATCAGCAAGTAGAAATGACGGGGAATCCGGTGCCTGTTGTACTTGCCGCCTGCGCAGTCGTGAGGGTGCTTACGAGATCGGTGAAAGCGTTGAGAACAAAGCTGATCGAGGCGGACGTTACGACGCCGATAATCAAACTCATGAGTTCGGCAAGTCCGGAGTTAAGGATCGCGGCTACGAAAGTGCTCGCAAATCTGGCCATGGATTTCAGCCCGGTCAAGGAAAGCGTGACAGACACGGCTGTCGTCAAAAAGCTGTGCGAGCAGGCTCATTCTGCAAACGCAAGGCTCCGGCTGGAATCACTGTGGGCTCTCACGCAACTCGTCTTGAACGCCAACAAGAAGTTGAAACAGGATGTGGTGGACGAGCTGGGTCCGAGCTGGATAAAATTGTTGATCAGGACCGATCCGAACGACATACCAGCTGGCGAAGTGATTGGTCTTGTGGAGAGAGAGTATCCGCCTCTCACGGTCAGCAGTGGACGATCCTCACGGCATAATAACATTCGCGATGTTGTAATGAGTGATGATCCCGATGATGCACCAGATAGCGTTCGAGCAGCACCAGACAATGACGGGGAAGCGGCCTTAGCCAGCAACGACGGGTTCGACACGATGCACACGACCCAAGATGACCTGGAGATACAGGCGCAGCTGCTCGACCTCATACGCAATCTCTTTTGTGGTGACGATGCATCTGATCTCGTCAAGTATGTCCTGGATGAAATGGGTCAGGACGACTTCTTCAGAATCATGCTTGACCGATTACGGCCACGCACTATGGCAGGCTCAACTCGCAAAGAGAACTACACGACAGCGGCACCAAGCACAATTGTTGTCAAAGTGCTTTACATCATCTCGCATGTAGGAGCGTGCGAGTCCAGGTGGAGGAGTGCAATTGCATCACATTATGCCTTGATGAAGCAGGTGTTGACGTTCTGCAGTCACTCGGACCGAGAGATCCGAGCGCAATGCTGCTGGCTCGCAATCAACCTAACTTACGAAGATGATGCCAGTGATCGACTGGCGTGCAAGCATCGGGCGGTGGAACTACAGAAAGTAGGGTTTGTTCCACAGCTTCGGAAGTTGGAGAGCGATCCCGACTTGAATGTCAGGGAGCGAGCGAAATCGGCCATTCATCTGTTGTCAAACTTGATAGAAGCTTGAATGTGGTATGTACACATCGATATCAGCCAGATGCCGACGGCGGTCGGGCGGGTGAGATGCCTAAGGTGGTGTTGATAGTAGGATCCGACAGCGGGCTGTTACGGGTTGTCTTTGGGTAGGAAGGATACTGCCTAGTAGATTGGAACTCATCGTTGCCACCATCATGTTAGGTATCATTCAAAAGCTTGGGCCGTAATAGGCTAGTGTCGTCTCGATTTGCCTCAGAAAGATACTTATTACCTAGTAGTAGTAGTAGGTACTTTCATTCAAAGTAGGCGGCCAGATGGCAGCAACGTCTCCTTTACCTGTGGAACCGCGCAGTGACGTTGTTCACTCGGCCGGACGTCACCCGAGGGACCGAGGCCGAATCATTTCAAATTTGTTTACTACTACGTACGACGTACTACGTACAACAAACAGCCTTGGCAGTCGCGACCAACTTCCAACTTCAGATCAAAACATCAAGTTGGAAGGTACCTCCCAGTGGTCATTGTCTGGCATCTTGTGAAGATCTGTACAGAGTGCATTGACTTCCATCCAGCCGTCTTGCCCTTTGTTCGTGGTTCCTGGCGGCATGGGCGTCCAGAAGACGCGTTATCCAAGCACGACATTGCGCAAGATCCTGAAGGCCCATTCTCGCAAGAAGGTTGGCAAAGGTGTCGAGCCTCTGGTCCTCCTCAACTATGTTTTGTTCATTGAAGAGTACGATATATGAGCCCACTTTTGGTACTGCTGCCAACATGACATACATTAGGATTATACAAAATGCGAGTCGCAGGGCGCGAGTTGACGGAGAGAAACTCGCGACGGCCAAGGATATCAGAAAAGTCACAATGGTCTGCACAATCTGCTCTTTGATGAGATCTTTTCATGCTAACTACAGCAGAACAGTCTTCGACGATTTAAAGCCTGACGGCACCAACAACCCCAGGTGACGAAAGTATCTCGTCCACAGCGATGCCCCTCACACACCTGTGTCCGAGTGTGTCCGCTTACACGTAAACGCGATTCTCTGCACCCTTTGCACCTTGTGCCATGCATTCATTTGACTTGAGCATCCTTGTTAGAGCAAGAGGCGGTTGCATGGAGCAGGACTGGCTTGGATCAATCGGATGCACGACCTCGATTTGTGACGCCAATCACTCGCCGTCGGGCCTTTCAACTCCCTTGTGGTACAAACACCGGAAGTCGGTTGACTGTGACTCAAGGTGCCTCGAAAGTCGGTGGAGCGAACGAGGAAAGCATTTCAAGAGCCAAGAATGAACGCCTCTCTTTAAAGGCCAAGAGGGTGCCCCGGCTCCAGGCCAGATTCGCGGTCATGTTAAGTCGACTACGCATGGCAGCAACTAAGCACGAGGCGTGATACCTTTCTTGCTGGGCTGTCCACCATGGGAGGTTCTCGTTGATATCTCGACAGACCTCTGTTTGAGTTGTGTGAATACGTGTTTCATTTCTCCTAGACAGAATACCTACTACGAGGGGAGTCATACCGGATGCGGGCAAAGCATGCCCTCCCCAGAGGCCTGACGTGTGATAGAGCACTGGACGCGAGCGAATCGGCGACTATTGCCAAGTTGTATCTCCAAGGTACACAGCAGCGTCTTAGTATCCAGAGAGCCCTCTCCTACTATGGTGCAGTGGCTGTACCACGTACGTACATACAGGTAGAGTACCTACCAACCAAGTACCTACCTTTCCGGATTGAGTAGTACCGTAGTACGTACCTACCTTATTAGTACATAGGAGGTACCTTATGTAGTACCTAATACATACTAGGTAGGTAGGTAGTTACCTAAGTGCTCGAGGCTGCGGAGGCTTGGCGAGTTTGGTAAAGCCTCCTCCCTCCATTGCATTATTCGTACTTCTGTCAAGCGCGTGCGACTCATCATTCTTCTTTGCCAGCCTCACGCGAGCAAGAACCTCACTCGGTCAAATACCTTTTTTGCTTTCAAGTGTCCTACTTGCTGGCCCGGTTTCCTCTTAGTCTTTTGCTTCTACCACCCACAATTCAGCTTTCGAGTCTGCTCTAATAACCTTCATTCGACCGATCAACCTCTGCTCCAATTGTGCCTGCAGCTTCGCTTCCCCATATCGTCTCTTCGAATACCGGCCGTCACCCGAGCTTCATCAATATGTCTACAGCCGGGTCTGTGTCCAACGACTCGAAGTCGGCAAGAAAGCGTAAGGCAAAGGACGGAAGTGCTCCTCCAGGAAGTGGTGCAGCCACTCCATCTGTCGAAGCACCTGCGCCAGATATGTCGAGCACGACTAATGGCGTCGATCCTCACGGTCAAAGTCAATACATCAAGGATCTGTCAAGGTAATCTCGTTCCCGGTACGTGGTGATAAAAATAAATAGGAACTGACACTGTGCCAGAAACATCCGCAATCTTCACAAAAAACTCGCTGCCTCCGCGAAGGCCGATGCTGTCATCAGCGAAAACCCCAATGTCCCCCTCGACGATCTGGTTGCAGCAAAGAAACTCAATGCAGATCAGAAGGCCCAGATACTCAAGAAACCTGGTCTCCAAGCCCAGCTCGCCCAGCTTGAAGAACAGCTTACTTCGTTCCGCGCCTTCGCTCAAGAGGTAGAGGAGCGGTTTGCCCGAGAGAAGTCAATTCTGATCGAGGAACACGAGGCAGAGATCGCAACAATAAAAGAGACCGCAGTTCGAGAGGCGGAGGGAATCAAGGCTAAGGCTGTAGAGGACGGACTGCGTGTTGTCACCCACTTCTTACACGCTGCGGCTTCGAAACGCCAGTCGGAAGACGCTGACTCTGACGAAGGACGCGCCTTCGAGGGTGCTCTATTACTGGTTTATCAGGGCAACGATGCGTCTCTCACCTCACTCAAGAACCTGGTCTATGGTACGGACGACAAAGTCCCGGATGTCAACGGCGAGTCTTTGGAGGTCACCTATGCACAAGTGAAGCAGTCCGCTTTGCAAGGAGCGCGAGATGTGTCCTCGATCACAGAACATGAAGTGGAGCAGGCAGGGGCAGCCCAGCCTGAACCCATTGCGGCTGAAGTGCAGACTGATCCCACCGTGGCGAGTGCAGGTCTGACTGAACTGGACAACACCACTGCCATCCAGACCCCGGTGACTACCAATTCTACTGCTCCAACCGACGCTATCCCAATCCCCGAGCAAGCATCCATTGGTGCAGATGCTGCGAATGCAGTAGCTGAGGCTTCCTGGGATCCTCAGGCATCCGTTGTGACCGACACAAGCGCAACCAACGAGGAATGGGTGCAAGTTCCTCGGGACCCTACTGAGACCGACACCGGTATCGCCGCCACGCCTGCCGCTTTTCATGGTTCGAGTAGTTGGGCGGAGGAAGCTGGCGCTGCGGCAGAGGAGAAGCCTGTTGTTGAAAACGATGGATTCGAACAAGTGCGCCGTGAACGTGGTCGTGGACGAGGTGGTCGAGGCGGTCGTGGAGACTCCCGCGGTCGTGGTCGTGGCAATCGTGGGGATGGACACCGCGGTGGTCGAGGAGGCGGTCCGAGAGGTCGAGGTGGTCCCAGAGCTGACAAGAGCTAGATGTGAGATTGGAACTGGGCAGATTGAGGAACGAGCTCACACCCATCCCTGTCATGTTGAAATTGAACTTCAACGGCTCGGCTCCGACTCTTCTGGAGCAGGTGCTGACATGGCTACGCGCTTGAATGCGACCGTTCCGCGTGAGCAAAAAGTGTATGTGCAAACAAATGGGAAAATGGAAAAGCAAACATGATGGAGTTTGTTCACGCATCATCTGGAGTCAAAAGCATATTCGCTGACACGGAATCAATGTAGTCTATAATGAGTCGAGGGACGAGACCAAAAGCCACCGAGTCACCAGCATTATGATACTACGTACGTTCAGCTCCCTTTACACCACCTATACCACAGTGAAGGACGCTTGTGTGGATTGTGGAAGACATACAAAACTCAGGGTCAGCGTGCAGAGCAAATATGCGAACTGTGGTGACCCCTGCAACGAGAGATGTGGGATAGCCCTGATGCCCGGACGTCCACTCAGTTTCATGCCGTATGTTAGATGATTACCTACTGACCATCACTTATTAGCACCGCTCCCAAAGTAGACTGCCGGACTCCTTGAGAGCAGGGGTATTGCACTTGCGCATCTGGCAGTTTCAGCTTGGCAGGACGACACTCATGTGAGCCTCCGAGGTAGCAAAGCACGCAGATAACATCGCATGCGACAACCACCCGCTCATGTCAGATCGTGAGCAAGATCTTGGACTCGAACGATCCCACTACCCCAGCCAATGGCCGCCAACCCTGCACACGAGGCATTGGGGCACCAATCGACGGCGGTGACGGCCTGCTCTTCCTCGAAAACTGCCTCCGCCACCACTCCGCTGTCTTTCTGCTGCCTCTTCTTTTTGGTCGATGGCATGGACGCAACCTCAATCCTCTCTGGTTTGAAGCCTTCGTTGAAGCGAGACACGCCTGCTCTTAGTCCCCGGCCATGGTACAGGTCAAGCTCCTTCCGTTCGTGCGATGGAACCAAGTCCCCACCCAGCTCGTCTGCCGAAAGTGGCCGCCAGTCATATTCGCATATCTTTTGTAAGTAAGCATTTGCAGCCTTGCCTGCATCGCCTCTTCGGAAGGGCAGGACTTTTCGCAGATAGTTGGTTGACAATACCTGACCTCGAGCATTGCCAACCAAGATGCATGGATGCCAAGGGGAGCTTGCCAGGGCCGTTGCCGCTCCCGAAAGTTCGGGCAGTCTGGCTATCCTCAGCGCGCTGGAGAACTGCCGCATGTGATGGCAGACAAGGAAGGTGGCCGAGTGTGTTTCAACGTGCGTGTTCCCTGCCCTATCGAGCCCAGTGATGAATGAGCGTGTCAAAGGTGAGAAAAGTAGGTCGCGGTGGGGAAAACATGCCCTTGGAATGGAAATTCTATCCTGGTCGGGGCTCCGTAGATCCGTCATCACCAACTCGCCAGAAGCCGAATTACTTGCGATGAAGGCGGAGCAAGGACTTGGCCAAGCCGCACAGATTGAGGTGACATATGTGTTGTGCACTTGTTGTCTGAGGTAACTCGTGAGGCTTCTGCCGTCCTTGCCGCGTGAGGCGAGGTCAAAGACTTGTATCGATCCGTCCGACGCGCCCACCACCAGGTTTGATGGGTCCATGAAGGCCAGGCTGGTGAAGATTGTGTCCACGGGAGGCGCGACAGTGATCGCAGCTTGCTCAGCCCTCACAATGATTGGGGACCCGGAGTTGGGTTCTTCTGGCATGTTCAGAGCCAAAACTCTTGCATAGCCATCGGTCGAAATTGCACCAAGCAGCCCAATAAGTACGTCTGGTCGACCACCGGTGTGTCCAGTATTCCCTGTCTGTGCAGACGGACACCACTTGATACGCCGAATGTCGCCCCAATCCGTCCCGACCACTAAAGCCAGGCGTGGTTTGGCGTTGAAGGATAGTGTGCGGACACCAGTAGTTCGAGTCGATTCTGTCTCAAAAGCCCAGATCTGGATACTTGATGGGTATGGAGGAGAGGGCCGGAACGCTGGTCGGTCACCCACTTCACCCGGAACAGATTGGCGCTGGCGAGATGTACATCGAGTAACGATGGCAAGATATTGGATGGGTCCACTCACTGGGGCCCATGCGAGGCATTGCACGCTTTCACCGACGTTGATCAGCCAGCCTTCATGACGGCGACGATTTCGAAAAGAGCTTGAACCCTGCTCTTGTTGCACGGCCTCTTCTTTTGGATCGGCCGGCCACGCTTGGCCAAAATCCAAAGGAGAGAGATGGGCGAGATCAATCTTTGTTTGCCTCCCCCATGGGCCCAGGACGACCGAATGAGCTACTGCAGGCGTAGGAAGGTATTTCGCCCGAAGGCCTTGTTTTTCTATGGTGAGCAGGACTTGGCTCCTGCGCATCATATGAGCGAGTGGAACCTTGTCCGGTGACTCTGAACTTCCCGGAACATACTCTCCATAGTCGGTAGTGACACGGCTGGAGGTTGATGACCGAGACTGCTCAATGCTAGCAGATATAGAGATGCGACTTGGAAGTGTCACGTCGGGGCCCTTGAGCCAGATGTCTCGGGCACGAATGACATCGGACAAGTCTTGCACCTCGGGTCCATACGTCTTTTGGTATCTGCCACGTTTCGAACTATGCGTTCGCCCGGATGGGATGCCTCGAGAATGTGACGATGTGGTGGTCCTGCTCGACAGATGTGGGCGTGGGTTGTGGCGAGAATGTTTTAATGTCGTGGTGTCATCTTCAGAAGACAGGCTCAGGTCGTCGTCTTCTTCGCTCGGGCTCTCAATCTCTGAGGGTTGGGAGGGCGCGGTGGAAACCACGGAAAGATCACCGGCGCCTTCAAGGGACGGGTCTTTGTCTTCGCTGCCAATTCTCGATACTAGATTCTCATTTGGACTGGAGCCTGATGACTCGGAGGATGCGCGTAGGATGCGCAAAGTCTCCTTGTCCCAGCCATCATTGGCGTATTTCGGATTGGCCTTACGCTGGCGGACGGGACGTCGTGCAGACGAAGCCATGCTACCTCGGGGTCACGTTCGGGAATACAACCAGTGTTGGTGTTGTGAAATCATTCAAGACATTGGCGATCGTTATTTACCACAGCCGGGAGAGGTAGAAGACACACCAACGCGGAAAGCGGGCACGAAGGTCTCGTAAGTAAAGTCCATCGCTACCTCCTCAGTATGCTCCGTCGGGTGGCGCCATCGAACAGCAGCAGCGAAGCTGTGTGCCGTGGTTGTAGGTGATAAGTATGTCGTCTGGTGTCCAGAGTAGCAAGTTTGAATTACCGTAGGTCGATGCTGAATTCCCGTAAAATTCAATTTTGTCTGACGGCGATATAAAATCGGGTTTGCAAGCTGCGGCAGACGTGACTTGCAGTGGTGGGCCGCCGCAGGGATGGCCATGGAGACTGGCTGCAGTGGGTCATTACAAACACTGGCCAACGAAATGATCCACTGCAGGTGGTAAGGGAGACTCACTAGGTAGCTAATTACAGGTGGGCGTCTAGTCTAGCGGGTTTTTCCTCTATAGCGGTAAGTTGCTATTCCTAGTAATTACGGCTTCCGGCTAGGGAAGGTTGACTCGGCGGAAGGTAACTTGAAGTCAATACGTACCTTAGGTAGTAAGTAGTAAAAGAATATATATTATGATTCTAAATGTTAGGATTCATGCAGAGGCAAGCGTGGCATGAGATCCAACATGGACCAATGAACAAAGGGAGGCAGGATTGCCGAGGAAATATCACGTGGAGCTTCGTGAGGCAAGCTCAAGGTCACGTGATGTGATCAGTGACTGAGCACGCTGAGCACACGCTGAGCACGCTGAGCACAGCAGGACACTACGAGTCTCTTATGTCTATATAGTCTTCCATCTTTCCATAGCAGTTCATAGTCTCTCGTAGTCAACTTCGTTCACAAGCTAGACGTTACCATCGCGTTGATAGCTTTCGTTCTGACTTACCCTTGTGCCCTGGAATACTATCCTCCTGCCTTCCCACACATCAGGAAACCCTGATCGATATCGTGACCCCGAGGAACGATTCGTGACACTAAATACTAGGGTAGGCTCCTAGAATACAATAAGCCGCTGTAGTATATTAGTATATTGAACTTTAGGATGCTAGGTGAGTGCTAGCGGGTCTTAGCGGGCACTCCCCTGTTAGGGCCTGTTTCTTGGTGAAAAAGAGATGCCGAGGTGCTACATGGTACCCATTGTCTTTACCTCAACGTTGACCATGTCTACACGCGGCCACGACCAACTCGTCCACGAGCGCTTCTATACCCGACCTCTGCTCTGTTGAGAGATACGTACATATCTAACATCTATAACGGGAATGTTAATCCTCATCCCTGATTCTTCATCGCAAGTCACGTCTTGGACGGCTTTTCGACGCGTCGTCAAAGTGTTACACCCGGCCCCAAAACCCTGATCCACCGGTCCTCTGCTGTCAGCGGAAGAGAAGAGCAAGAGAGAAAGTGTCCACTATACAGCACAAACGGTAGGTCGAGGCCAGCTTTAGGGCGGCGGATCGGGGCTTGGAGACCGGCAAAGTCGGCGCCTCTGCGCCTCCGCGCATCTACTATTGGGGCTGAATAGGGGAGCATGGGACAAATATAGGAGCCGTTCTATGTTATAATACCCCAGACATTGATGCGTCGATCGTTGTGCTGTTCCTTGCCCCTATTCGGCAAGTCGTCGACGGGCTACAAGGGCGCCAGCACCATTGTATCCCTTCAGCTACGCCTCGACCTCAGACACTGGTTGAGCAGGTATTACCTATCAGTTCATCCCACGTCAGGCGTAGCCCCAGGCAAAGTTGTCCTCCTCCTGATCTTGTCAAGCCTGATCCGACGTCCTTACACTTTCTCTTCCGTCGTGACGCTCAATACAACAATGTTACAAGACAGGTTACCGGTTGTTGCCGTTGTCTTGGGCTTGTCCACGGGTGTCTGGCTTGCCCAACAGTCGGCTGCATTCGATATCTGGGATGACCCTCATCCTATACTGGGTCTTGCAGTGCTTGCATTGGGATCAATCCAACCTATTCATGGAGCGGTTCATGACCGTCTCTCGTAGAGACGAGCGCTCGACGGCCGAGCAGGCAAATCCACCAAGGCACTAGGTCGGACAGCAGTTGGACGCGTGCACCTGTGGCTAGGCGGCCTCCTCCTTGTCTTGGGTATCGTCAATCGCGGTCCCGGCATCAGATTGGCATCTTTCAGCCCTTTCCAGACTGACCCCACCTCCGACATGGCCGTAGCGTCGTGGCAGATGTCATATTCATTCTGTACATGAGTTCCAGCCTAAGGACGATGCAGGGCGGAAAACTGAAAAGACACCGCCGCTATAGATCTTGCGTTCGTTCTTGGGATGGCCCTTGTACCATTTGCGTTGGATCTCCCCAACTGTATTGGTAAGGATGCCGATCACAAACAGGCCCGTACCGATGTAGACACTCCAAGGATCATAATATATCCTCTTTTCACATGGGTGCGTCAAATGCCAGAGTGTTCCAGGATTTAACGGCGTTGTTGAGGAGGCCGATTACCACCACTGGCCCCAGTAATATGGGTACATTGCCATGAACACTGGCCCAGTTTACATGTTTGGCTGGTGATCCGATCGAGAGCGCCCAAATCAAGCTTGGATACGGCGTCATTCCTGTTCCCGGGAGAGGAAGGCCACCAGCCGGCGGTGCTGCTGGCGACGACAGCCCGAGCCTGAGGGCAATTTCGGGAAGAGGAGAGTGAAGAAGAAGTTGCCTTTGCCACAGATGAACGAATGCTCGCAAGCCCACGAAGATGGCAGTCCCTAAAGGCACCTTTCCCCTCTCTACTCGCAGCGGTTCGCCCGACGTTATCACGTCAATGTTTTCCAACGGACATTAACGGTTCGTCAACGCGGGAAGGTGCTGCTTAGTCCATGAACAGTAATAGACTGCGACGCATGTATGCCTTTGTTGTCACGCATCTGAAAAGCAGTCTAAAAGTTACAAAGCGTTCCGGGAGGCCAGAGAGCGTAGGCGACTCGGATGTAGGGCCTAAGGCGGCTGATCAGGTTTCTTACGGCCTCGCCTCTGGGGGGATAGGGGGATACTCACAAGCGAACAGGCCCAAACGCGTCCCAACTATATTATTATCGGTTAGGCCAAAGGCTTGTGATACACTGCATAAGTGCTTTCAAATATCTAGAACTGTTGGCTTTTATCAATGAGGATAGAAACGATTACGGGATAATCATTAATGGGATTGATTGGTACGTACCTAGGTAGTTTCAATCGTCCATCAAGGTCTTGGGCGGCCTTCTCCGATACGTTGCAATATGAGAAGAGGTGTGATGCTCCTAGTACAACTACGACCACGAAGGACTCACTTACTACCTTGCGATACCTTCCAACCACACTCGTCATTTGTCTTACCATCGACCGACTTCGCACGTCTCGTCAGTCTAGTCATGGCAGCCGCCTCTTTTGACACGGGTCTCGGGCTTGAAGGCTCACATGTCCTGGTAACCGGATCCAGCGGTGCAATAGGATCCGTGGTAGTGACGGCGTTTCTGTCTGCCGGCGCAAAAGTCTCGGCCTTTGATATCAAGAGGCCAAGGGTTGCTGTCGATCATGTGAGGCTACGTTCATATCAAGTCGACGTCACCAACGAGTCGAGTGTTGACAAGGTGATGGAGATGGCAAGTGCCTCGTTCGGGGTCATCTCGACTTGCATTGCCGTCGCTGGCTTGGACTTGTCGTTTGCACCGCACCACTCTCTGGCAGACATGTCCCTGCACGACTGGCAAAGGATCATGCAGGTCAATGTCGATGGGACATTCCTCACCTGTCGAGCCTGGCTTCGTGGCATTAGAGAGTTTGCAACGACAAACACCAAGAACATTTCGGCAGTAGTCTTCGGAAGCGAAGCTGGGAAATTCGGCGTTCCCAACTGTGCAGCATATGCGGCATCCAAGGCCGCAATTCAAGTCGGCCTCGTTAAGTCACTGGCGCGGGATGCAGTGAGCATAGATCCGCGCTGTAGGGTCAATGCAGTCGCACCAGGGCCTGTTGACACGAGTCAATTTAGGAACGAGTGTGCAAATGATCCCACGGCACTGTGGAGGGAAGCGCAAGCGACAGTTGCATTGAAGAAACCGGTTGCAGTGGAGGCTGTGGCCCGGGCCTGCTTGTTCCTCGCGAGCGACAATTATGCCGGCAACATCACTGGACAGGTACTTCCGGTGGACTCGGGGAAGAGTGGCAGTCTATTCTGGCTGGCGGACGGGCAAGACGCTTGAAGTTCACAAGAACCTCCCAAGGGTGTTGGATGACGTGCCATGCGGCCCTCATTGTAGCGAGGAATTTGGGGGGGGGGGGGGGGGGTGGCGACTGTCAGTCTATACTGGAAAGCCTTGAAATGGATGTGTCGAAATAATGACCGGAAGAGCGGAGGCAGCATCGAGAATGGCCTGCGTATTTCAGCCCAGTGTTCATGGGATGATTGAGGGTTTCCGATCAGAACAGAGGCATCGGATAACCATAAGGAGTACATGATGTTGGGTGGACTTTGCAAGAGGGAGAATGCTACTTCCCAAGATCTGTCGGCATAATCGTGCCCGGGCGTACCATGCCCTGATCGGGACATCTCCTTCTAATTCTGAGTAGCTTTGGGGCAGTCTGAAGAGATTGCCTTGCATGTTCACGGCTGATCCTTTGTATCTCGGTATTCCAGCGTCAAATTCCGATATAGGCAGAGTAATCGCGCCTGCACAGACGAAACAGGAATGCGAAAGATGTCAGTAATCATCGACGTTGACGAATATACCCGGGAGGCCAGGAGGTGATGATGATTTCAGGAGGGTGTGGTAGGATGGCTGGTATCAGGACCGGGATCATCGAGTCGGATCGGATGACAGGCTGATTTCGTGCCTCAAGGGTGGTTGGGAAAGCAACCAGTGTTCAGCAGGCGCAATCATTCTTGTCCCATTCTTCTCCGAAGGTGCGCTTCGCGAAACCTGGATCTTCGGGAGATGTAAGAGGGATGGTCGGACAGCGACAGTCCAATGGTTACCTAGTAGGATCAAAGAAAGCCACTGCTGGTACTTACTAGTAGGGCGCTGTGCGTGAGAGAGCCAAATCACCTTAGATGCCTGATGTTGAGGTACAAACAAGGTGGGCAGCTGGACACAGTATCTACTACCCACCACCTACCCTTACGTTGGTACCTAAGGTACCTTAGGTACTGTAAGATATCTAGGTAGGTATCGTACCTAGGTAGTAGTAGATGTTGCAACCAAAGGCAGCAGAATACGAAGAACGTGTACTGCGTACGAGAACAACATGCACCAGGGCTGGTACCTGTAGGATCCTACTAGTACTAAGGATATTGTGCGCTAGGCCCTCGTCCTAGGTACTTATGGTAGGTACCTACTAGCTCGCTAGTATGAGCCACGAGCAGCAAGGCCGATGAACGAAAATCACGGAGAGAACATTCTTGGGGGAGACAGTTCTGATTCGCCAGGAGAATGATGCCAAGCTTGCAGGTCCCAGTATTTCTCTCCTACTAACCGTTCTTAGCACTAGCACCCGCCGCAGTTGTATTTGCCTGCGGACACCGCGAGCCTGAGGTGCCACCTCTGCTGCTACTGTCCTGCCTTACCCTACCACTCTACTTCCACTACCATCACCACCCACGAGCTGCTAAACTCAACTCCACACTTTGCGGGTTTTGTGACTCTGAAAACCACAAGTGTCTGGCGACCAGCGTGGCTCGATAACATTTTGGACGTTGACACAGACAGCAGCAACGAGCTACCATTCGTCTGAGCTGTGGTTGTGGGTGTTACAGCAATATCTTCGTTGGGGTCTGCATTTCCTGCTCCCACCTCCGCAGGCAGCGCACCAGGACCACCACAAACTTACCGTCAACTGATTGCGCACGGCGCGAGAGCGTTGTCAAAGAGACAATCCACAACCCTCTTCCGTCCCTTTTACCTTCGCCAACATCGCCCAAAAGACCGGCGCCGACGAGCATCCTCCTTACCCCTCTCTCCTTCCATAATCGCCTCGTCAGCCGACACCACACGGGTTTTAGAGTCTCCGAGTCGCTCAAGGGAAGAGATGGCTTAGAGGTTCCGCAGGTGTGATCCGACGCACACTGCATAGCTGCACCGGTCAATAACACGCGGCGCCATGGCATCGACGCAGGATGATGATATGTATCTGTTCTCAGGCAGCCTCGAACACACAGCCACCTTTGCCGGTCAAGACTTCGACAGCTTCTTGACCTCACCAGCTACCGAAGCCGGCCCGTCGACGTCGAGCGCAGGATATCTCAACCCAGTCGATTTGTCCATAAAGCGGGAGGTAGATGAATTCACCCCTCTCCCTGCCGGTGACGCCTTTGCGCGCTCTTCGCGTGGATCTGGATCTGGTTCAAGTACGTCCTCTGCCGAGTCTCTCGATGACCACAAGCGCCACGCATCTGCCAATTCGACCGCGTCCCCCCCTGCGCTCGATCCTTCCCTGCAAGGCACCTGGGGAAGCGGAATAAATGGATTCTCAATATCGTCTAATGAACCCCATTTCGAGGATGCGTCTATGGCCGGCTTGGACTCGGATTTTGAAGTCAGCAATAGGCAAATGGCTACCGACTTCGATTTTGAGACGGCTGCGAGTACGCCTAGCGGTTTTGATATGATGAACCCAAGCAATATCAAGACCTCGCTGATCGCCCGCCCCTTCAATCAACAGCCAAACATTTCCGCTCTTGGGAAGCACCACTCACCCGCCGGCGTCCCAAACAATGGTCAGCCTCATTTTATCTTCTCCAGTTCCAGGGACGAGTCACCGCTTCACGCCATGCTCCCCGCCCAAGGCCATTCTCCCTGGAGTAGACACTCTCCGTCGTCCGGATTGGAGGAGACATTTAATCACATCACCATGAATGGGGACTCGCCCGGAAACGCGACCTTTTCTCCGAACGTGCAGTTCTCGGCGACAGGCTTCAGCTTCGACCCCGAGTCAAGTGCCACACCTTCCACCTTCAACAAGGACATCTCTTCTCCCCCTTCCACCGTCAATTCTGCCGAAGCCAACCCTGTACTTACAGTACACCCCACCTCTCTCAAATCCCGGGTAGAAACCCAAATACCGATCAAGTTGACCCTCTCGTCCCTTCCTGCCGGAGCTAAGAAGCTAAGACTGCCGAAATACACAATCTCGAAGCCCAAGTTCTTGGCAAAACCTGACCCCGACCGGTCAGCCGAGATCTTGGAACTCTATACGTCGTTGGTATGCACCAGTGCTATTCAGGATCCTGCCAAATTGCAAAGGGCGTGGGCTCGAGCGAGAGGGCAGGATGTGCCCCCGTGCAATGGTCCGAGCCCGGCTTCCTCGACAGAGTCGTCCTCCTCGAAGGACGATGAAGACAACCCCTTGAATGGTGGCGAAGTTCGTATATGCACCGGCTGCATACAGAGAGAGAGAAAGAGAGCTTCAAGGAAGAAGCAAAAGAAACCTGAGGAGGAAGAATTGTTCCAGAAGGACGAAGAAAGAAGGGTAGTTGTTTTCAACACCAACGAACTGAAAGACTGGGTCGAAGTTCCTCGTGATACGGATGGCTTGCCTGTCGCCGGCGAAGGTCAAAATATCAACCCACCTCCTGGAGCCATGCAGGTTGAGCTTCCCATGCGGATAGCTTGTTATTGCCGCCATCAGAATGAGAAGCTGGGGTTTCAGGTAATCTTCACTATCAAAGATTATCGAGACAAGGTTCTTGCTCAAGCCATGACCAATCCTATCATGATCACTGATGACCACAAAACCCACAATACTCCTGCAACCGAGTCGAATCTTCCTGCGGCTGCACAGCCGCCGAGTCATCAAGTACCAGGGGCCGGGATCTTGCCAACCATGGGCTCAGTGCAGAGTCACCCGCCTCCAGTCAACCCCAAGATGTTCAAGCAGTCTTTTTCTACCACCGACTTGCATGGGCTGCAGCACAACTTCAACCCTGGTTATCCCATGGCGCCGCCGAGTAATCCCTTTGCCATACCATTGGCAGTATCCGGCCAGACTTCGACGTCTCTGACCCCTCGGAACCTGTCAAGACCTGCTTCTCCGAACGGACCATCAGGGCCTACGACGAAACGACGGAAGCAAAGCGGATCTGGCAAACTGCCCTCTGGGTTAACAATGACTCGCTTGGACACTTCGCAGGTCCCTTCTGGCCTTGCGACAATGCCCAACAGCTCGTCCTCCTCGCCATATGCCCAGAATATGACGTCTTACATGGCGGCGAACGAGCATCAATTTGCGGTTCCGCCTGTGCGGCCTGGTCCCTTTGGCGCGAGCCCTCCGACTCCCAATGGGAATGATCAATCCTTCGCTGGCAACATTAACCGTTCTTTCAGCCTGGAGAATCTCCCTCGGCAGGCGGCAATGTCTGCCCCGCCGTCTCGACAGCAGAGCAGGCCCGGTAGCCCGGGGTCTGCAAGGAATAGCTTTGGCGCCGCGGATGCCCATTTCGGGCAGGCAGTGACTAGTCAGCTCATGGGTCAGCCTGCGCGTCGTCCACCCCCTCTCATACACAAACTTGTCCCTGCCGAGGGCTCTGTGACAGGTGGTACCGAAGTGACACTTCTAGGGAATGGATTTTATCAAGGTCTCGAGGTTATGTTCGGGGACACCGAGGCAACGACAACGACGTTCTGGGGTGAAAAATGCCTAAACTGCATTGCTCCTCCAGCTTTGCAGCCGGGGGTTGTGCCTGTTGTCTTTAAACATGACCATCCACAGTATTCTGTGATGCAGCAACAATCCCAGGCGCGGCCATCGCTCTTCACATATGTCGATGACAGGGAGTTGGAGATGTTCCGCCTCGCATTACGGACACTTGGCAAGCAAATGCAACACCCGACCGACGACCCTTACTCAGCCGCGCAGCAGCTGCTGCAGGGGCAATCACACTCAATATGGCCTTCCCACGCCAACTATAGCATCACTTCGGGACACCAGCGTCATGCAAGCCTTGTCGCAGGTGTTCCCACAGATACGCTCGAGCTCGAAAGTACAATGATCCGTCTTCTGGAACACATGGACGAACAACGGCGCTTCAGAGCTCCGAGGTTCGATCTCCGCCGTCCTTCTGGCCTAACATTGCTTCATCTAGGCTCGTCCCTCGGGTTGACTCGTTTTGTGGCTGGTCTGCTCGCAAGAGGCGCCGACCCTAATTTGGTGGACAACAACGGTCATACGCCCATGCATCATGCAGCCATGAACAGCCACACCCATGTAATTCATCGACTTCGATTGGCGGGTGCCAATCACAAGGTGCGCAGCATTCGACAGTTCACCCCTGCCGATCTTGCAACCTCTCTGCTCGCCTATCAAGCAACAATGACCCCTCTGGGGCACCCTCGGTCGCTCAGTGTGGGCGATTCGCCCATGCGTCGGCACAGTCGCAGCTCCTCATCTCTTCGCTCTTTCTGGGACAACGTGTCCGACCACTACGATACTACTGATACAGAAGATTCTGCCGCATCTGATGGCGACGACGAAACTCCCACCATGACATCACCCGGGGAGCTGGAGCGCTCGCGACCTCCAAACCAGACTAGTCTGGGTGAAGCCGTGGCCAATGATCCGCTGGCACGGAGGAACAGCGTGCATCATAGTGCCGCCCCAAGGGCTGACTTACCACAAAGCAGGAAAGAGGATGCTACAACAACAGTAGCGCCACCGGCGTTCATGCTTGCCTGGCGTGATCATTTGGTAGCTCAGTTACAACAGTTCAACGACAGTGCTCACTCGGTCATGCCGAACCTTGCCAACCTGAACGGACCTTTGACAGCGCTGCAAGATTATCAAGCCTATCCGATGGTTCGTCGAGTCAGCTCGCTGTTTCCTCAGCGGCCGAATTCCAGACAGCAGCGTGGTCAGCGTGAAGGCTGGTGGGAGACGCTGACTGGCACCTCATGTCCTGCGCCATCTTCGCCCCCCGCCTATGGCGACCTGTATCCCGAAAGCGGAGGCAACTCGGATGATTGGAGTCTGAAAAAGTCCTTTGCCATTCAAGCGGCTGCTGGAACTACGGTTGACTTGCACTTTGAGCAGAGATTGGCCTCTCCCGGTTCAGCTGCGTCAGAGCCCGTAGCACGGAGACAGATTGAGAGAGTCGAGCTGAGTCGCGACAGAAAACTGTTCTTCTTCTGGGTATGTGACACTACCAGATTCTCGTTCTGCCTGCTAACATATCCTCGTCACAGATTCCATTGCTAGCTATTGTGTTAGCTATGATGGTCAGGAGCTCCGGTTTGATGAGTATATTCGAGTTGCCGGCCACGACGGGGCGCGGTACCGTTGGAAAAGAGGCCGTTCAGGCTTCATGACAACATGGTTATCTGTAGCATGTGTTTTAGTGATAGTTAGGGGAATCTCTGGCTTCTCTGCTTAATGATGGACGGCAGGACCTTGTTCTAGGCCATTCTTAGACATGCACAGTCTTCTACGTATATTCCGTTGAGCGACCATCGATGAGATGGTCTGCACGGCATGAGGCGGTCGCAAGCCACACAGCCACAACCTTGCCAGCATAGTACATCTAGTAGTAGTAGGGGCAGAGAGGGTAGAAATAGAGTGCCACCTAGGTATAGCTTCGTACTAGACGACCTAATTATAAACCGCAGATAATAACTTGAACTTGGATGTTGATCAAAACTCCAAGTGGTGGACATGTCAAAGCTTGGCCCCGGACTAAGGTACGAAGGTAGTAAGTACTACTACTACTAGACTTGCACTAGTAGCAGTACACAAGTCGGGCAGATCCTATTGGGACCGATACACATACACCACTGCATTTCCTGTCCAGTACCAGAGGGAAGCACGAAGCAGGAAGCACGAAGCGATCGTCAACAAAGCTATTCGCTGGTGCACGCGGGCACTGTAGAGGGGCCAGTTCACGCCTTGAGGTCCCATGACTGATTCCTGGAGAAATGAGGTCCAGTACGAGGACAAGCATGTTCATGAAGTATACGACCAGATCGCAACTCATTTCTCCGCCACAAGATACAAGGTTTGAGAAGGCTCAAGAGACATCATGGTCGACAATTGACGAGCCTTGCAGCCGTGGCCGGTGGTCGACGAGTTTCTGCGCAGCCTCCCCGCCGGAGCCGTGGGCTTAGATGTCGGCTGCGGCAATGGAAAATACCTACCCGTGAACAAGAATGTCTTCATTGTCGCCTCAGACAGGTCAGTGAGGTCCCAGCGCATGTCGTCTTCCTACGCTAACTGGTCAAAGATCAAAAGCTCTTGTCGAGATCGCAGGGCAACATCAACCCCATACTGCTATTGTCGCAGATACCCTGAGCCTCCCTCATCCGCCCTCGCGGTTCGATTTCGCCATATCAATAGCCGTCATACACCACCTCTCATCGGTTGATCGCAGAATCCAGGCCATCAGGGCGATCCTGCAGACTTTGACTCCACCTTCCCGAGCATCGAGCGGAGGTCAAGCGTTGATCTTTGTGTGGGCGCTTGAGCAGAAAAATAGTCGCAGGGGTTGGGATCGAGGCGGTCAACAAGATGTTCTTGTGCCGTGGGTTCTGAAGCCGGACCATGCCTCTCAGCCGGACACTCCAGCCAGAACTTATCAGCGGTACTACCACTTATATCACGAGGGCGAACTGCAAGACAACGTGATTGCAGCTGGCGCCCGAATATTGAGTTCGGGCTACGATCGGGATAATTGGTGGGTTGTCATTGCTCGACGGGACTGAGCCATCACCGCGTGGCAGGGGGAATTGGGACTCCTGGAGTGCCCGTTGCTGTCTAGATTACAACGTTCTTGGTTCGTGGGCAGCAGTGGTCCCTACAAAAAAGCAGAAGAAACCCGAGAACGAAATCACCATAAACCCGAAATTCTACTTGTTGCGCCTGCCCGTAACCCCAATGAGCATGCTTCACCGAGACACCATGCCGCCAAAACAGTCTATCGAAATCGGGAATTCCGTCCTCTCGGATGATCGTACAGCTGATGCTGGTGGAAAAGGTCTGGAGGGTGTGGAGGTGGTGCCGAAAAAGCCGGTAACCCTGCGGTAAGCTCTGCCAACGATGGCAGTTGCTGTGGTCCAGTCAAAGATGCTTCACGCGCCATCGAATCACGCCGCAGCCGGGGAGCAGGCGTGCCATGTCGGTATTGCGATCTCGGAGGCAGGAGGGTCGATGGCTCGGCACCGCTTCCAGCATTGGCTAGGGAGAACGGTGTTACGCCCGCTCGCTTCGCCATCTCATGCTCACCCATCTGCCAGTGCATTGCTTCCACAGCTCTCCAGGGCATGACCATCTCTTCAGCTACCCTAGCCCACATGTCCGCGCGGAATCTAGCCAGAACAGTTCAGTCAGATAGTCTGTCTTGCCTGATGTTGACACCTTGTGGCACAACGGTCCACAAGATCCGATCTGATCCCGGCCATCTGGTGCGACGTTTCTCAACATACCTCTCGTACAACCTCGCCAGTTTATTCTTGCGGTCCTCATCCCACTCGCTCCTCCTTTCCAGGTAATTCTGATAGTGCAGCCTACAGCTGATGGCACTGCGACCGGGCAAGTGCTTGCTGATATCTTCCCACTTCATTCCATCCTGGCGGAGTTGGATGATTCTCGAGTCCTCTTCTGGCGACCACTTTGATTGCTTCTTGGCTGGTGACTGTGTGGAATATCCCTGGCTCGTCAACGGTCGCTTGGCCGGGACCACCGGACGCGGCTGGGGTGGCAAAGGAGCCACGCTGGTGGCGACGCTCGATAGCACAGACTCTGAACGACAGACCGAGGGGGGAGAATCGGTTGACTGGCCTTCTTCGTCGGTCGTCGATTTAAGCAGCGACGAGATATCCACGTTGAATGATCGAGCGAGACAACGAGTGAAACAGTGATGGTAAGGGGTTAGAGAAGTCGGTTTCACAAAAGGAGTATATGCTGCCATGCACGTGGAAAGGACGACGCAAGAGTGATGTAGAATTCGGAGCAGAGTCCAGTAAACAACGAAGAGTGTGCAATCCTCGGGATCGTTGGCTGCTTTGGACAGGGCCAGACAGTCAGGCGACACAGCTAGGCACAGGCTTATGTGCAGAACGCTGCTCGATCGCAGAGGTCAGGGTCGGATAGGGCTTCAGTTAGGGGGTTGGAGGGTAGGGTAGTTACATTACAGGAGACAACGAGAGAAGAGCAGATCCAGAGATCAGTGCTAGCGAACGTCGTTTAAGAAGTACCCAGCAGCACGGGAACGCTCCAAAGTGCGGTCTGCCAAACAGGACGAGGCGGGTCAAGTCTGTGGTTTTCCCATCACCATGCTTGCTAGCCATCACGGTTTTCAGGCAAGAAGGTCTGTGACCGCGCCTTGACAACTGTCTCTGGTAGTGCCAGCACAAACACGCAAGCTCAGCCAGGAGCCGGAGGGCTATACTTGGCCTTCAGGTCTCCATGTCGATGCAGCGGCAGCGGATGCTGGCGTCTGCGCCATCCCCTTCCGGCATCCGCGTTTGTCCTGTTGCCCTGCGAGCGGAGATATCTGATATCATGGACGCCTCATGAGAGCGGATTCTGGATGGACTGGGCGGGTCGAATCCACGCTGGCCCTCTCTCGCCCATCAGCGCCGCCAGGGGAGTAGCACTAGTTGAGAGCACGAAGGGAAACTGCATTGGACTGGCGGGGGGGGCAGCAAAAGGCCGGGGTCCAGCAGCTAAGGGAAGGGCTTTTGCGGTCGAGCGCAGCTGGAGCAGCGCCGTCGGCGGAGGCGAACTGGTGTCAAACGGCCTACTAATAAGAGTCCGTCGCGGGATAGGCGAGGAAAGGGATGTCTGAGAGCCGACAGCCACGGAACTGCTATGGGGACCCATACCGTTCGTAGGGTGCCATTATCATGTTCGTCTCTGCCGCTGATGGTCGAAGTTTGATGAGTTGCTTCTTGCGGCCTGGCGGATCTTAACATCTTGGATTCTTCAGGAAGCAACCCACCAGGTACTACTACTACTACTACTACTACTACTACTACTACTACTACTACTACTACTACTACTACTACTAGGGACTTTATAGTATCTAAGGGACCTATAGTTTAACATTCAGTTCCCTGGAGTTTGATTGTCTCTGTCAAGCTGGCGTCCCTTCCGGTGTCCTGGTATCTCATTCCTCGCTCTCTCCTACCACATCAACCTCCTCTATGAGTCGGTCAGCGTTACTAAGGAGAGTGGCCTCTTGGATTTGGCATCATGTCCCACTTTTCCGACCTTGTCTTCCAAGAACTTGAAGCTGCTGCGCAGGAGACCGCCATCTCACGATGAGAACTGCCTGGGCGAGCCAGAGAAAGCCGATTGATCCATGCCCTGTCTCGGTCTCTGTCAGTAACAGAGTTACTTGTGTCTGCTACTAGTAGCCTTAGCTTCTTCGATCTAGAAACCGTCCAGCCTGGGACCCCTTTTAGCCAGCAACTTCGCGCAGACAGACGTCAATACGGTTCCGCCGCAATTTGGTCCTGGAGCCGGGGAGCACCGGACCATCATTATGGGTTTACACTAAAAAAGAGGACATGGGAAGAGCGGGTGGGAAAAACCACAGACCAGGGCCAATTGCCTGCAATAGAGCGCAAAGTTGATGGTAAGTCAGGATACTCTGCCATCCGTTCGAGCTTTATGCTGTACTATGACCCCTTTGTCTCCAGCTTCCAAGGTTCTATAACCGAAGAGAACATAAACTGTTGGTGATGCACACGCTGCACAGCTGACCGCTGTAGTACTACGTACCAGTTAGCACCAAGAACCGCCATCTCATCCATCTCATCGAGTCTCCTACCTGGCACTATCGCTTGCATGGCTGATGACCGACACGTCAATCACCCGCAGCAGCAAAGAACCCCTTGTCGTTTTTTATTAGCAGGGCCCAGCAATGGACCCAGCAAGACTAAGGCTGGTGGGTCCCGAAGAAATCTTGGGGTGGAAAAAGAGATCGGACTTCGGATATGCCAACAAAGTCAGAGAAAAGTGTCAAACGTACTTACATAGTACCACAGTACTAGTTTTGGGCCAGGGCTTGCAGCACACAGATCAGCAGTTTACCACCTACGATTCATCTTACACCACCGAGCTCTGCAAGCGACAGACGAATGCCAAAGTGGTGTCCTCTCGTAGCGACGACGGTTTATCAGATAGGCGGTTCTGAAGTTTGCCCAAACAATAGACCAGCCATGATGGCGGTGAAAAGCGGTGTACACACCGACACTCCCACACTTACTTCTCAGCAGGTATCGCAACTTACTTCAACCTGCAGATGGCAACAGGCAGAAGCATGCTCTCAGTATCATGTGCTTTGACGATGGCCGGCCGGCCGCCTGAAAACTGATTTGTCGACGCTGCAGTTTTGCAAGGTGATCAATATTATCGTGTGGCTGTATGGCATGGTGTCATTGTCGCTACAGATCCTAGGGGGTCTCAGTCGGTCGGATATCTTGACAGCTCAAACGATGCAGCCAACGACGCCTCCATCTGCCGACCTGCATCCATGCGCCCTCAGCTGGGCGCCAACATACTACGTACTGCTGTATACTGGACAGCCTTCATTCTTCATGTCGCCATGTCAAGACACCTGCCGGCAAAAGCCCCAGATGCATGCAAACAACTGCTGAGAAGGACCGTACCAGCGCCCCAGCTGGCTCAAGTGATCCTCTCCGAGCCTTTTACAAGTGTGCTCCCAAACTCCCTACCAAACTGCTGACACTCGTGCGCAGCCACAGAGAAAAAAAAACATGAGCAGGATGGTTTCAGTCACTGGAGCCTTTGATCTATTGGATTTCCGGTTAGGGAACGGAAACAACCGTCAATGAGTCGTCTGGCTGACCGTTAGGATTGAGATGACCAGGTTACCCATGATCGCTCGCTCTCTCGCCTCGAACTCCACCTGCTTCAGTCAACCATCTCGGCCCCGTCTCAAATCGTGCGGAATCTTCTCAGTTCCTTCGGCCAACTTATATCTGCTCAGGGCGATCCGGATATGAGACCAGTCCTGAGGACTACTGGAAATGCGCTGTCCCGTGCCCGCTGCATGGGCTTCCCACCGCCTCGAACCAAGCCTTCACCTTGAAGCCTTCAGGCCAGTGACCAATCATACCCTTCGAACATTCTAGGTTGCAGAAATGGGCAGATGTCATGTTTCACTGTCATACTTCAGCGCCGCACTCTTAGATGCTGAGATTTATCAACGAGCGAGGACTCGACGAATAAATCCAGACGTGGCGTCTAACACGACAGAACCACATTTAGCCATGATGCTTCGACGAGCCGTCTCGGAAGTCTCGCCAAGCAGGGTCTCTTCTCATTTGCTCCTTGTGGAATATCACGTCTGAATCTTCAATCTTAACCTTAGTTGTCTCATGGCAGCTGCCAGCCTCTTCCTACCTTCGGTCACAGCCGCCCATCATTGTGGCTGCGAGGTTGTTATGTCCAGACGAGGGTCACTCAAATATTCAGTAGAGTCAAAAACTTGCGATAGAGAAGACGGCGGATGGCCATATCTTCGACGTCCCGGTCAGACTTGCTAGCTACGATGATAGGGTCTTTGCGTCAACCCGACCCTCTCAGTGTCTCTTACGTGACCCATTCCTGTTGAGCTCAGAGCCACAACTATCACAGTTCCTGCGCATCAGAGGAGTACAGCCATGTCCAGGTTTTAAGTTCGGTCGCTCCACCGAAGCAGTTCTCTCGTTGCATGGGAGATCTGCAGAGATTGAGGAGCGTACGGACTGCTCAACGTTGTGGTTGGGATCTTTGATCGTACGGCGGAGCAGCATTGTGTCCCGTTCAAACACGTGTAATATGACTTAAGGTGGTCGGTCATTCTCGAGCTCCGGCATTGAGAGTACTACTGCTTGTCGATCCGCATTCCTCTCCCTACTCTATTGTCGAGCCAAACGAAGAATCTGTCCGTCCCTGTCTGCCATGATATTCCGGCCGCGATTTTCACCTGACGCAGCTTCAAAGCCAAGTCATTAGCAACTTGATTGCAACAGCCGGCAGATCTAGGCGTGTGAAATGTCGGTGCGCTGTCCTTTTGGATCCTTTCTGGTCCATTCGCCATCAGCTGGCTCAATCTCGGCTGGGCCAACGTCAAAGCTGTCATTCTCGTCTTGCTCGCCAAATATCTCCTCGATGTGTTCCCGTAGGTATGCGTCGAACCTCCCGGTGCGCCTTTCATGCATGGCCTTTCTCGCTTGGTTCTGCCACCCTTTCTCGTAAGAGCCGTCGCGTATGTCTTTCCCGAACCTTGAAACGGCAGCTTTGACGTACGTGTCGTCCAGTATGAAATCCATGGCAAGAGGGCAGAGGAGTCTCCCAGACCCATCAACCTCGTATTTGCGATACTGCGGCGGTAAGGTATCAATGATGGCGCGTTTTTCGTCTTCGCTATATCTGTCATTCCACCCTGCAATACATGTGATCAGGAACGCGTGAATATCCTTGGTGATTATAGGTGATGTGGAATTAAGGATCCGAAGGGACGACCACGGGCCCGTATTCCGTTTCGGTCTCTTCGACGCAGGAGGCATTTCTGTGGTGGCAGTAGTATGTGAAACCTGTCCGCTTCCTTGAAAGCTGTCAAGGTTGCATCCGATGTTCGGCAAAAGGACCTTTGTCAATCATTGATCCGCTTTGATGCCGGGTTGGCCAGCTGTGCAGCGCGGGGACGGACAGGTGCCAGCCTGCAAACCAAATCTCTCTGGGTTGTGAAGTAATCTTTGCGTTTGGGGACAGAGAAACAATACAATCAACCTGGTCGTGTTCGCTGGTAGAATTTGAAGTCGGAGAAGCGTAGGTAAGGCAGAAAACAGGTGAAATAGTACCCAGTGGTCTGCACAAAGAGCGACTTGTTATGTACTACTAGTAGGTACCTTAGATAGACTACTAGTACTACGACTAGTGGTAGCACATAAAGGCACTGTAAAAATAATGATTAACAGACAAAAGAGAGGCTCTTCCAGGCAGATTTAGACTGACGTCATGTCACGCGATACTGCTCTCTCTTGGGTAGCAGGCGATGACACAGTGAGATTGATGTGACATGAGCGAGCAACCAGCTGCTGGTTAATAGTGTACTAGTACTCAAGGTACCTACTAAGTAGGTAGGTAGGTAAGGTAAGTAGATGGCATGCTGTCAAGATGAGGATGCTGTAATATACCTTAACTGGTAGATTATCTTAGTACGTACGTACAGAGTACCTAGTCTGCCATCACTGAATACTACCCGTATTCGCGCTATGTGGTATACTACTACTACCTGTATTATTCGTAGATCTTGCCTCGGTCCATCTATGGCCAATCATAGTGAAACAAGTTTCCGCAGCCTTCTATAACTCTGTATGGCTGGTCATTGTTCGGTCTGTGTCGACGATAAACCATCCACCACCTACCTCATCTCAATATAATCAACTCAAAGACTACACCCATCATCGTCGCGGCAACCACCCTCCCAGTGTCAGTATAGGAAGACACCGTCGGTTACTATCACTGACTGTCCCCTTCTTTCGCACAACACGGTGACTGTCGTCTTCTCCAAGATGACCTCGTCAGCGCTGCGTCGAACAGTGCACACAACAGTGATCGGCCTTTCCAACGCGACGGTCGATCTGACCAGAGCAGCCATCAAACTACCCTCCGCCTATTCAAATTATGTCGCCTCCAACTCATCCTCCGTCTCTAGCGTCGAATCTAGCCTGCGATCGCTAACCTACCTCCTTCCTGGCACAAGATACCACGATTCTGAACTGGCGTCCGAGGCGCTACATACATTTGTTCAGCTCTTGTCCATCTACCATGACCATCTCCTGAAAAGTCGCGCTGCTCTCCTCACCCTGTCCCCTACAGCCGTCGAGGCAAGCCATGCGAAACCACAAAAGAGCAAGCCTTCACTTCACGCACGCTACACCATCTTTTGGACTTCAACTTCCTCGCTCTACACAAAGATTGCGACCTTGTTAAAGGTCGCCCAATATACAGAATTGTTGTGGGAAATGGTGGCGCGACGCAAGGGTGGTGAAAGAACAAGGTGGCGCGTGGTTGTTTTGTTGGAGACGTTCAAGGCTGTCTGTCGGCTGTGGCTGATGCGCCTCACCCATTCTAGACCGTTGGTCAATCCGCCCATGCCCCTCAGAGAAGACTTTGCGCCGGAAGAATCCGAGGAAACAGAAGACGAGTTCTCGGAAGACGAGTTGAGAATGGCCGATGAAGCAGCGTCATGCAATGTTCGAGGCGTGCTGGGCGACGTGGGTGTCCCAACACCGCCACTGTCGGATGCTGGAAAGTCCCCTGTAACCTCGTTGTCCACCACTGACCCCTATAGCATGCCACGAACGGGCTTCATGCTCCCAACCTTGCCCACGCCAGACACGGTGTCGGCGTATCTTCTGAACCATGTGCTCACGGCGGACGATGTCAAGCCGGCCAAGGACTTACTTCATCAATGGGCCTCGCTGCGGGGTCGGGCCGCCGAAGTAATGTACATCCTTCGACCTGTCATCTATGCGCTGCTGATGCAAAGGGTTGCACGCATGTATGGCTATGAAGGGTCAAAGTGGAAACGGCACTGGACCCCGTGGCTGGTTGGTGTCACGCTGGAATGCCTTGCACGGCAATATGCCAAACAAGACCTCGCATCTCGTGCACCTCAAAGAGCCAGAACTGGGCTGTCGGCTCTGGAACGTGAAGAAATGCGGAAACGAGGATGGAGTCTTGCCTGGTGGGGCATGAGAGGCGCCTTCTATGAAAACATCACCAAGAAGTGGGTGCATGGCGTAGCGGACGCCCTGAAAGGCAAGCCCATTCTGGACTTGGCTGGAGTCGTTGTCGACGAGTACGAATTTCTCTGGAGTAACTATTACTTCAGTACTGCGACAATGTGATGCATCTTGGGCAGGGATGATGCCAAACCGTTTGCTGGACGGCTGCGTCATTGCTGTTCAATGGATTCCGCGCCTTCGACCAGGCTGCCCACACGTATCTCCGGATCGAGAGTAATTCTGGCCACATGAAACCGGGGCACGTCGGCACCCTCGTTGTCATGGCGGCCGCCCCAATGTTAGGAGCAAACATTTCCACACCGAACCACCCCGGAGCGGGTCTCAAGCACGACTATATGGCCAGTACACTTAAGGGGTCCGGGCCTCCTGGCGGTTGTCGTTACAATGGACAAGGAGTCTGGCGCTCGCCAAAGGATCAAAGCTTGTGAACAAAGCTGCAACCAGGTCGACCTTGCGCGGGAGCTGTGCATGGCCACCAGTACGTGTTAGCTGTATGAATGACAATGGTCCAACACAGGAGGCGCCGGTGATCTGGAGTGGGCGTCGGAGCTTTCTTGTTGCACCCTCGATGCGATCTAAAGCACCGGAGCAGATATCGTATTTGCATGCTCTTTGCGTACTTCAATCCGCCTTGCATGGTAAGACACACATTGTTTCCACCAAGAAGGAGCAAGCGAGGCAGGATGGCTTTCGCTTCCTATTCTGTCTCGATGCCATTGCCTGACGAAGAGGCTGATTTCTTCAAGCATCTTCTCGATACCCTCGACGGCCACTCACGCAAAGAACACCTTGCCGGTCTCGAGCAAGGTCTCCGTCAAGCGCAGGATCAGCTTCAGACTTGCACCGCATTCTACAATGACTATGTCGCCTCCTTCCGTTTCATATCCTCTGAATACCCACATCTTCGGCGTCAAGTAACCGGCGGTGCCACCGCGCAGCCTACGCCTGCCACAATCACCAACCATTCATCCCTCAACCAGCTCGAAGGACGATGGGCTCACGAAGCTCGCATCCACGGTCGTATTTCAGTCTTGTACAAAGCTCACGCCGACCTGGTGGAGGGTTTGAAGGAACTTGGACGGGTTTGGACCGCGATCTGGGGCATCTACGACGACATCAATCGGCCTGGTTCAAGTGATGAAGTGGGAAAGCACCGGACGCTCTTTGACAACGGATACGGCGCTCAACTGGCCTTGCAGCTGGAGCTTCTTGGAGAACGAATGAACGCGACGGAAGAGCGTATCACGGAGCAGCGGTTGGGACTGGACAGCGACTGGGAGGCAGGACACCTTTGACGGACTGCAAAAGACCCGTACTCACCGGCTGCCGTTGAAAGTGGTTCGAGGGAAAGTGGTCAGTTCGTGCCATGGAGGTGGCCATCAAGGATGATCGTCTTCCTGTAGGCGACCCCGAACATGGGACGACGATAGGGCTTGTGTGTCGATCCTGGAGCAGTGTGACCAGTCCTCTGCATTGGGAACAGATGATGTACTAGCAGCAAGTCTATCGTAATTCAGACGCCATTGCCGGGTGTGTCCCCTGCTCTGCCATCAGCTTCAGTTGATCGTTTGATGTCCTTTGCCCTGGTCAGGTCGCTGAAGTCGCCCACTGAAGACATGTTTCCCCTGGCAAAGCTGCTCGTGGAGCCTCGATCCGGCAAGGCCGCAATGCCCAAGTAAATTTTCTGTTGCGACCAACCCTCCATCTTTGCTCTGTAAGCCAAGTCAAGGATTCAGGATTACCGAACATCAAACCGACATTGCTTGTGGTGCCTGCTTGGTTCCAGTAACTAGGTAGGTATTCGGCTTCTAGGAGGACAGGCCCCCGGCATCGGTAAAGCGGGCACAATCATTGATCCTCCTATGAAACAACACAGCCATGATTATCCATCTGCTGGCGAACATGAGTGCGACGGGTTTGTCGTTCCAGTGACTTACCGCGCAATCGTCGTATAGATCGCCTGAAAAGACGGCGGAGTCCATCAGAACAGTCTTTTCGAAACACATCTCGGGAGTAGAGGACAATTCGGCGCCATCGAACGCTTCCTGGAACGGCGCCTCTCGCGTACCCGATACCACTACTTTTATGCATTCTTATGCGGCGTCACAGGTTTGAGCGTGTGAACGACTCGGTCAGTGGAATCTCCAACATGCTGTGGCTGGTCGGTGGGCTGTTGAAGAAAAGCAGAAGACGGCGCACAAGATCAATCTAGGGGTTGTCAATCGAGGTGCATTCTTGTTTTTCGGTATCTGAGACCATCTGTCTGCAGAAACGCGCCTCCTGGACCGATCAATGACCCGCAGAGGCATATCTCCGTCCACAATGTGGAAGCGGCAGATTATGCTCGGCTTTTTCTCAACGCAGCCGTGAATTCACGCCTAATGCTGCAAACAGGCCGCAATAATGAATGAACTTTTGCTAGCATCCGCCCAGCATTCGAGTCCACTCTCGTGGCTTACACATGTCCAGGGGATTTGTCCCTTGACAACGCCTGCTGCTGCCTCCCGCCCGTGTCTTGTTCTCACTGCGCCTGCAACGGTCGTGTCTGCTTTCCTGCATCGTTGAGCTCCATGACTCTTTTCACCGACCGCAGATGGTACACAATGTGAAGATCATCGTCCGCGGGCAATGCTCGACCCCACCGCCATGGCATCGCAACTTTGCGGTTACAGTTGAGGGACTGAGCATGCCAATGGCCGAGTGGCGAATTGAATGTGAGAAGGAGAAGAGCGATCAGTGTAACTCGTTATGGATCGGCTAGTTCGGGCAAGCGGACTGCAGGTGACCGGGTTGCTTGCCTGGGCCGATCGTTAGATGATTCCCCAAGATCAGTGGTTCGGGTTGCTTACATTTGTAGCAGATGCGCTCATTGCTCGCCTCAGAAGGGCAGTCCCGAGACAGATGGCCTTGTTCGCCACAGTTCTATCTTGAAGTGAGCATTTCACCGCTGAATGGGGCAGGGCGAGACCTACGTAGCATTTCTGAGCCCGGCCTTGGGTGCAGTCACTGGAAGAAGGTTAGCAGGCTGAGACAGACCTGATCCAATGCTGTCTGGAGTTACCGTGACATATGACCAACGCCACCACACGACTGCAATTCGAGAAGAGTCTGTTAGAAATTCGATGTTACCGAAGGCACATGGCAACTCACGTAGCATGTCTGACCGCCGCCACCGCCGCCGCCGCGACCGAAACCGCCGCCGTAGCCGCCTTGACCACCGCCGTAGCCGCCCTGACCGCCAGAGGTGCAATCACTAAGCCAAGTTAGAACGGGGTCGAAATGGGGATTTGTTTTTGTGTTGAACTTGCCGTGCGATGTGGCCTTGTCCGCCGCATCGGTAGCACTCGCGAGAAGGGGCGCCACCACCGTAGGCATTCCCGCCCGCAGCGCCCCAACCACCACCTGCGCCAGCAGCAGGTGCGGCCTGCGGGCAGTCACGAGCGAGATGTCCTTCATTGCCACCTATTCTAGATCAATTCCTGTTTGCGGAAGAATCTGCCGGGGATAGAACTGACATTTGTAGCACGACTTGGGCTTGGGAGCAGCAGTGCAGTCTCGACTAAGGTGACCTTCGGCTGAAGCAGATGAGGTAAGTGAGAGGCGCCAGACGGGGGATTGCGTCGAACGTACCTCCGCAATTGTAGCTATCGAAAGAGTCAGCAGACTGAAGGGATGAAAAGTTCAAGGGATGGTCACTCACCAGGTCGGGGTGCCTTTCTTAGGGCAATCTCGAGCCTGAAGGAGAATAAGAGAATGTAAGAGCAGGGGCAGCGATCGCAAGAACCTGGTGCGAAGAGTCACCACAGTTGTAGCAGCCTCGTTCCATGATGAAGGTAAGGGTGGTCTGTTGAGGGCGTCTGCGAAATGCGCTGATTAGCAAGTTACCGCCAAGGCACAGCTGAGCGCTCTGGCATGCGTACTAAGAAGAGAAAGGGAAAGAGGCGAGTGGGACAGAGAATGAACCTGAGAACAAAGGAGCACTCTGTGGGTTTGGGAACGTTCAAGTTGGTGAAGGGCGGTTGGATTGAATACAATGCAAAGAAGTTGAGTTGAGCGAAGAGAAAGTTGAGGGGTGGAAAATATACGATGGATGATATTTACCGCTAGCAGTAGCAATTCAAGTTTGTCAGTCACCAAGCAAGTAAGGTACCTAACCTGACATACCTAAGGGGTACCACAGTACTAACCTAGGTACCTAGGTACTCTGTAGTACTACTAGTACATTACATGTACTTGCTACTAGTAACACTAGCTGCCACGCACTACTAGTACTACATTACTGCTACAAGGTAGTAAAAGTTGCTAGGAGGAGGGAGACCGCGAAAAGCGGAGTGCGATGGGATTTGAAATGCACGTCACGCCCTATTCAAGTTGGGCTCCTAAGAGCCCTGGGCCTCCTAGTAAGGGGCCCTTCCTGGCCAGACATCTGCTCTACACTGAAGAATTCGGTGGCTAGATTCCAGTAGTACATACACCAACTACCTAATCTTATCAGTGATATCTTTGCCCATCCAACTTGAAGCGTGGTGAGGCTTTATCCACTGCACTTCACGTCTATGGCGACTACCTACATAGGTACCGCTGATATCGCTGGTATCGCTGATATCGTATCATGGGTCAAACAAGGCAGACTACAAAGTGCTTACGCCGGGTCCACGGTTGGCGGCCAGATCCGACAGAGATAACAATACTACTACCTACTGAGTAGGTAGTAGGCTGTTGCTTTTGAAGGCCTGCGCGGCCACGATTTATCCATGGCGAATCTGTGATGGAAAACCCTTGTGCCGTACTATACATGAACCATGCCTGTGGCGATGCCCTGGTCATGCATACATGCCACTGCACAGCGTTTCCGCTCTAACGCCGTGCTAAATGCCTCAATGGAAACCTCGATGCGAGGGTGCCGGGCCATCTAGCTTTTCTTCCTGCCTTTGCCCATTGCGCTTTCCTCGGCTTCCTTCTTATCACCATTCACGGCGCCATTTGAAGTCGACTTTTTGCCATCCTTCTCTTTCTCTTTGTCGCCCTCTTTCTTTTCAGCCTCATCTTCTTGCTGTTGCCGGTTCTGATTTTTGTTGTCGATGAGATCGTGGAAAGCGGTGATGGCGCGAACGAGGGAGCTTAGGTAAATTGTCATTTGCTGGTCGTTGACCTTGATAGTCATCGCACGAGCCAGGTCACTGTTTTCGACTTGATTCGGAGCATTGGGCGTCGACGCGGGAGGGGTAGTCAAGTTAGGGAGGAGATTGAAGATATCCTGGAGGTTACCAAGGATGGCGTGGTTGATGGGTAACTCGCTATCGAGAACCTTCTGTAGGTACGTGCCGATGTCTTTTAAGCGGAGATGAAGGCCTTGGAGGGACTGTAGCTGTTGGGTAATTCTAGAGGAGAGAGTACCGACAGCAATATCCCGGATGTCTCTTAGAAGGTGTTCGACTCCAATCTCTTCGGCTTCTTCGGCTTCAATGATAGACGGCGTATGTACAAAGGTCTTGGTTGTGGTTGTGCCGTCATCTTTGATCTCTTCGATGGCGAAGTATGCGTCTGTGGGCACACCAACCTCCTTCGGCTGAACATCGATGATGACGAGTAAGGGGTTGGGGGTGTATCGTTTGAAGAGCTCATTGATCTCCAAGTCAGATGCCCGAAGTTTTGGGCCGGAGTGATACCACCCGATCAACTTCTCCCTGGCATTGACCTTCTTGAACATTTCTCGCATTGATTCGACGTAGTTGTGGTCGAGAAACCATACTGAAGGGTCTTTTTCGTCTTCTTCAAAAGGCACTGTAGAATATCAGACGTGATCTTAGGACACTATGTATTAGACCAACCTGCGAAACAGTTTGATACCCGGACATTCTTTCCATCGTTCTGTCCTAAAAGCACTCCGACCACTCTTTTCCGGGTTCCTTTTGCTGATCGGCCATAATGATCGGCGACCGAGAGAAGTACCAAAGGAGCGACGGAGACCTGTCTGCTCACCAGGGATAGAGTTTCCGCGGTTGTCGCGGGCATGATGGCGTAGAGGGAGATGAGGGAGATGGGGAAGGACCGAGGAAGGTATCGAACGGATAGCAGAAGATGACTTTCCCGAAAGCAACAGAAAAGATGCTCGAAGCAGAGGACTCAGCGTGGGAGTGATTGGAGGGAAGATCAGTTTGGATTGTGCTGAACTTGAATGGTACGTATACCTAGGTAGGTACAACAAGTAGTACTAGGTAAACGAGTTGAGGAGCACTGGCATGTCGATTTCAGGTCGCAGGCTGGCGAACGACGCGCCTCAGTACTGGCCATCATCGCCCCAACGCTGCGGGTATCTGTGCTCGAACGAACAACTCCCACACCCACCGTACTAGTACTACCTAGTACTCTGGTGCAGCTTTCTCAGCCTTGCGAGCCTTTGCGAGCCTCGCATTACCAGAGACCTCTAATTACCTAGTACTAGGATACTACCACGTACCTTACTACTACTAGTACTAGTGCATGTATGACCAGGTACACTTGCCTCCAAATATTGAATACAGTATAGTACTACCGTCTATAACATTCCACAAGTTCTAGGCTCGCAAGAGTACCGAATTTGAAAGCCCAAATGTCTTTGTTCGTACAGGCATCTGCACCCTAGATGAAAGACCACACGCTCACATGGATGTGAAGTCAGAGACGCTCTCGTGAAGCAAGGCGAACAGTACTTTCACCGCATAGCGGCCTAAACTCGGTCGCAGCCTGGCGAGGCTATGGCAAAGGGAGAGAGGATCATCTTGTGTGCCGAAGAAGATAAACCGGGCGTAGTTGGAGACGTTTGAGGAGCAGGACGCGGGCTAGGTACGTTGTGCGGGAAAATCAGGATACCTCACTTTTCACCTCCAAGTTGAAGTTGAAGAAACGTGACCTTCTTGGCGGTTGAATTACTATTCGCACCAACTTCAAGTTGAACTGCAGTGCAGTGCTGCAGTGTGCGGTACTACTAGTAAGCGCAGATGTACTTATTGCAGCGTGCCGTGTGTAGCTCCGGAACGATGCCGTTTTCGGCCGACAAACTTGCTGCACTTCGGTAGAGCGGAGGTAACGAGCTGTGATAGTACTAACGGACGTACTACTACTAGTAAGATACCAACTTGTACCTAGGTAGGTAGGTATTATTCCCACCACCGGACACCACCCTTGCTACTGCGTACAACGCTGCTTCAGGAAGTGCTTCTACCAGCCTTGCTTTCTCTGCGCCGCCTCGACTTCCTCTCAACTCCTCGCGTCATTTACATCTCTCTCAGGCCCTCCTCCCACTCTCCGCCTTCTCTCGGCCTTCATTAGGATCCCTCTGAGAACCTCCCCTAGGCACCTGCAACCATGGCACCAATCACTGATAGCCACATCGATGATCTCAAGGAGCTCGTCCACAAGCTCGAAGGTCGAGTGCATGACCTTGAGCGCAGACTGGAGAGCGGAGGGAAGAAGCCAACACCAGTTGAGTCGATGCGGATGATCCTCATTGGCCCTCCTGGCGCAGGTTCGTCTCCCACCCAAGCAGTGTTCGACGCGTTACTGATTCTTCATCTCCTAGGCAAGGGAACTCAAGCCCCTCGCATCAAGGACCGATACTGCATATGCCACCTGGTACGAATGCTCCGTGGTCATGACCCATTTGGAACCTACAATTAATCCCGGTACAGGCAACCGGCGACATGCTGCGCGCGCAAGTCGCGAAAAGAACTCCTCTGGGACGGGAAGCCAAGAAGATCATGGACCAAGGTGGTTTGGTCAGCGACGATATCATGATCAACATGATCAAGAATGAGCTCGAGACGAACAGAGAATGCGAAAATGGGTATGTTGCGATCCTCCCGGTCGCGCGTTCTGGCTAACACCTGCCTGCAGCTTTATCCTGGATGGCTTCCCCCGAACGGTCACCCAAGCAGAGGGTCTGGATTCCATGCTTGAAGCCGAGAGCAAACCTCTGAAGCACGCCATCGAACTTCAGATTGATGATGGTCTCCTCGTCTCTCGTATCACTGGTCGATTGGTCCATCCTGCCTCGGGCCGAACATACCACAAGGTCTTCAATCCTCCTAAGGAACCCATGAAGGACGATGTGACCGGCGAACCCTTGATCCAACGAACCGATGACAATGCCGATACTCTTAAGAAGAGACTGAGCACCTATCATCAACAGACGGCACCCGTGGTCGGATACTACAAGAACAAGGGTATTTGGGCTGGTATCGATGCCAGCCAGGACCCAGACCATGTATGGAAGAGCATTCTGGCCGTGTTTGGCGATGCCAAGGCCGGCTCCTCGTCGAGCAGGATCTTGAGCAAGATTGGGTTGGCTCGGTAGATGGGCATCTTGAAAAACTGCCAGAAAAGTGATTGTCGTTGCTGCACATTTCGCCCTTACGAACCTCGAATGGCTGCTGGGACGGAGATATGAGAAGACCAGATTCAACGCTCGAGCTATGTTTGCAAACGTGTACAAGGTATGGGTTTTGGGATCGAAGCCTGGGTCTGGTCAGTGGGAATGCATAGCATGTCCTGATCTGAAGTACATAGCTTGCGCCCATCGCGAGACGAATGCCAAGTCTAATCGGAAAGGTGCAAGGCTGCGGGAAGAAGCTTCATCTATTCATGCTTGACATTGGGAGCCACCAGAGACGGCCAAATGCCGAATGACTGACTGATATTGACAGGTATTCAGGCCAGCGCAAACCCTGACAGCCGCGACGTCACGAGGAAAGTGAGAATCGTCGGTTTGGAAACCTCGTCTTGTTTCAAAAGGTGCCAGTGTGTTGCAACAATGTCTTTCCTGGGTACCTAACAGATGGTCGGCGGAGCGCCCTTCATCCTGTCGAGTCTGCGGTCCCCTCATTGTCTCTCCCATCTCTAAAGTCTTTCTGGCCCAAGGTGATACTTAGTAGATGACGCTTCTTGTGATGCTGGGGACGGGGACGATCGAACATTTACACACGTGGCCACGCTCCTTTGACATCATCACATGAACACTTTCCAATCAGTCACAAGTTCAGTTCGTCGTCTATCAAGGATCCCTTTCTAGTGAGTACCAATTATGGATAGCGTCACTGGTCTGGCCTTGACGAAGCTACCGGGTTTCGCAAGCACCGACAGTTCACTTTCACGCTGGAGCAACTTTGGTCCCTGCTATGAATCGAATGCCTCTTGATGGCGTCCCACGAACCTGACATGAGTGCCGTACTCGGCTCCACGCTCTCCTCATCATCCAGGAAGCAGAGTCCACCAGAGGATCTGGTACACGTACGGAAAATCGAATGAACCGGAAGCTCTGAATGAACCACGGCCTAGATCGGTGAACCGAGGTTGCGGATGGAGGTTGGGGCTGGAAGAGTCCATCAGGCCCACCGCGACTCGATTCAGAAATGATCTCGATTGACGAACTGACCCAAAACAAGACTGAGCCCGTCAGAGGCTTCCAGTACGCTACATCTGAATGACTTCGAAAAGGTCCCATTCTGGCTATCCTTCCCAAGCTCCATGCTGTCGGAGAATTCTTGAGTTGACGCCCTTGCGCGGATCAGACATCTCCTTGTGTTCTCATCAGCATCCGTCATTACGGAGCTCATCCTTTCCTCCAAGTGCTGGCTTCGAGGATTTTCCGGTCTCCCTCACTATTGAGACCTTGCTCCCTCAACACCTTTCTATCGGGACCTCCGCGCTCTCGTTGCTCCCTCGCACGGCCCACTCTCACGTTTCCGCCCCAGCTACCCTCGACTCCGGCCAGCTTCTCGACCACGGTGTCTACGTCCTCGGCGCGGGCCAAATCCACGAAGCAGTAATAGTAGTTTCCAGGCTCGCCACCCGCGATTTTGCTCGGATGCGGCGAGATGAGCTTGGACACGGTTGTTGGCGTGATCCCTGTATCGGAGAGGTGAGTTGCGAACAGCGTCTGGATTTCCTCGTCGAGGGCAGACTGAGGTTCAATGCGCGGGAGGTTGCCGACAAACAGACGCCGTCCCTCGGTCTGCGGTGCTTGCCAGTGAGAAGAGGCATCGGTACGGTTCCAGCGGTCAAACGTTGGCTTGTACTCCGTACCTAATACCGACCGGGTCAGTACGGTCGGACGACTGGCAAACTTCACAAAACTCACTTCTTTCTTCCCTCGTCTCTCGTGGCCGTCCCCGGTCAAAGTTCTTGACTCGGACTTCTCGTGCTGTCCCGTTCTCGCCTTGATCCTGGCCCTGGCCTCGCTTGGCCACGCCAGGACTCACTCTCAGCGCCCTTCCACGCACATCCAGGCCATTCATCTCCGCGATGGCCCGCTGTGCCTCCTCTGGGCTGTCGAGATCCACAAAACAGTAGCTAGGGTTGCGCCCGGTGAACGGGTCGGTCGAGATGGTGACACGAGCAACATTGTAACCGTGCTCAGCAAACAGGGACTCGATGTCTGCCTTCTGCACTGTGTAGAGCAGGTTGCCGACGTAGAGACGCGTGCCCGCTACTCCATCGGGAGAAGACTGTGTGTTTGAGGGCGACTGTGCGTCGTTCCGGTTGAAGCGCGAACGAACTTGTGGCAGCTCTGTACGGGGAGAATCGTCCTTTACGCGCCAGTTGTTTGAGGCATTGGAGCGAAATTGCCTTGCAGGCGGTGATGGTATTTCGTCCATTACGACAGCCAGTTCACCAGTGAAGAATGGTTGAGAAGCGTTGGTGGGAACGGGGCAAGAGAACCTAGCTACCTACCGTGGACGCACCAAGCTCAAGGGAGAACGACTGGGAGATTGTAGGAAGAGACTCTAAACGAACTTCGAGTGCGAGTGCGAGCGCGTCAACACCCTTCATCCTGTGCCGCAATTTAGAGCCGCTGACAGGATTTTTGATGCCAAGAATAAATAGAGTGCTTTGCTCCGAGGGTACTATATGTTACCTCTTCAAGGTAACCTTCTACGTGCCAATTATCTCTATTTAAGGTAACTTCAACTGCGTCCCTTACATTTGGTGCGAACGATGCTTCTGTGGACTGATGTGAAGGACAATACCGTTCCATCATTTCATCTGATTACTTGCCCTGGGCCCGAGGTACCTTTCAGCATATAGATCCCTCTCTTTGTCTCTCTTTCTTCTAATATCTTTATTCACAAGGCTGCTCAGAGCCTAGCGATCGAGGACAAGATCTGGTAGTTTGAATGGTATGTGACGCCCCAGGGGTATCCTCAAGCTGACAACAGGGTCATTCAATGGAATATACTAGGTAGGTAGGTGCTGGTGGCCCTATAGGCGTGATCAATCTTCGTGTGCTTATCACAATGGGAGATTTGTGACCGGCGGAACCGCATGTCCCGACCTAGGAAAGGTCAAGCCACTAATCTTGACGAAATCAGGAGCCTTCTCGTCGGTCCAAACTCCAACGGATCTATGGCCGACAGGAAAGGTGCCAAATCCCGCAGAGTCAATAACCACCTCGCGGTCTTCCCAATTGAGAATGTCTCTCCACTTCTCACCGGTATGTCGATGACCGACGAACATGCGCTTCGATCTCCTATCCCAGCTGTTGGTCATGATGACCGCTAATCCCGTCCCATGGGATTTGGAGTTGTGTCCCATCCGGGTCCAGCCGATGCAGTCTGCGCTGTCGAGGTAGTCTCTTTGGGGCCCGTATGCATACTGCTTCCTTGCAGCCAGTAAACGGGCAAGCTTACCTCCACTTGCCGGTAGTCGTGCGCGAGGACCGTGGATGCCGAAGATGTCGCCCCAGAACACGCAGGGTGTTCCAGTGTCCCGACGCAGGAGAATAAGAGCATAGCCTAGAGGAACAAACCATTCTTCTACCGGGGCTGCGAGAGGTTGAGTGTCTTGTGTGTCGTGGTTGGCAACAAAGGTCTGTGAAAGTTCGAATGTGGTCAATGCTTGAGAAGAACAGATGGATCAGTGAAAGAGCGCGACTCACCACCGAATGCTGCGGGTCTAGTTGTGTCAAGGCTCCGTCAAATACCGTCCGCAGATCCCATTGCCTGCCCTTGGATAAGTCGCTGAACGTATAGACCAACTGGACGTCAAACAGATGTAGCCGGCCATTAAACTTGTTGAGCACCTTTTCCAATACCTTGGAGTCTGCATCCCAATACTCGCCGACGAAGAACATATTCTTCCCCCGGGGCGCAAGTGAGTCGAGGTGTGAGATCAAGTCCGCGACAAAAGAAAGTGAGTAATGTTTGATAGCGTCGAGCCGCATCCCACCTAAATCTAGACTGGACGAGATCCAAGAGCTCCAGTTGAGAATGTCGGAACGAACAGCTGCATGGGAGTGGTCGAGGTCGGCAAACATCCTGTAAGTCGACAAGCGTAGTCAGTATAGAATTCTCTGAATTGGAAACACGCGCGCTTGGTAGCCTTGCAGAGGACCGGGGGTCTTACAAGTAATCGTAGTTGCCCAGTTCCTTGCTCACATCGCTTGCCCAGTCGCTCCGCTTGCCTTCGCCGATGAGTTTGAAGACACCATGCTCCTTCCTACGAGCATCATAGTCGACGCCAGAGAAATGTCGCCAGTCATATTTCATGTTGGAGTATTTCGGCCCCCGGCCGGGAAAAGTGAATTTGGTCCAGGTTTCAAGCTCGTACGGCTGTGAAAGCTCTTTTGTTCGGTCTGCCAATGACACAATCAAAAATCTTCCTCGGCGAATGTGAAGCGGGAAAGGAGGAAAGCTTACCGTTCGGATCTACCTTGACACCCCAGCTTGGTTCTTTCTCGTCTGCACCTGCTTTATGATTCAAGACCGTGTCCCACAATACTTTGACGCCGTACTGTCTAGCCTGAGAGCAGAAGGTTTCCAGTTCTGCGCTCGAGCCCCATTTGGTCCGGGCCGTTCTGTCGTAGTTTCTGGCTTTGAACTCACCCAGGTCCCAAAGATCGTAGATTGAGTAGCCATTATCATCCACAGAGGTGGCTTTGCAACCTGGTGGGAGCCAGATGTGCGTGATACCGAGATCGGAAAGATGTGGTAGCAGGGACGATAGTAGAGTGTAATGGCTCAATGTATCAGATGTTGTGCCCGGTAGGAACCATTCAAATGATTGGAAAATGGTTTTGTTTTCCTCCGTAATTTGGTTGTCTAAGGAAATGACATCAGTTCAAAAGGGACGGTACTGCCTCACATGGTCCAGCAGGGAGAGGAGGAGGATGCCTGTCAACCCCGGAAGACTATGGATCTCATGTACTGGTGAGAAGTCAAACAAACAAGTGGAGATGTTCTCTTGTCATCGTACAACTTCAATCCCTCATCTGGCGTCTAGTGCACGGGCCTTTACCCCCTGAAGAAAAGACGTACCTTCAGCCTCGCGATGCCGGCCACTGCCGCCCAATGTGCTTGCCAGCGAACCGAATCGCTTCATTCTATGGTCGATCTCCCTATGACTACCACCGAATTTCAACGGTATAAAAGGTCAAGTCGGCAGTTCAAAGACATCTGCTATATGTATGTGGCCCACGCATAGTCGTCGTAAGCTGATGACATGGAACCCGAATTCAAGACAAGTTACACCAGAAGGATTTGCTCCCTGAGGTATCCTTCTCGGTCTTCGACCAGAGAATCCGTCGACAAATAGGGCGTTGTATTTGTGCCTAACTTGCAATCCGCGGCAATGGCGGTATCCGAGACATCAAAAGAGGCCCCGTTTTGTTGAGGTGCAAGGATGATACGCCAGTCAGCAGAAAAGGAGTGAGACATACCATGTTTCATGATGTGATTGGTCCATACTAAGCGACGAGGCTGAGGCGAGGCTGAGACAGATGCAGCAATCAGAGGGCTTGGAAAGGCCGGTATGTGTGATCAGGGATTCCTAGAACATCGAACTGGTCCATCCTAGACTCTATATGCCCAGACAGTCTAGCTCCGAGTCCTTGGTCGACTGGAGAGCTTGGAAGTCAGGTCAAGGCCACATCATAACCTGCTCTGCTATGGAAATTCGGAAAAACCCACTAACCCCCTCCAAAGGAATACGCACAAACACAGTTCGCATTGTTTCGTCTCTGGGAACTCTGCCACAATCGCAAATGGCTCTATGGATCAATTCGCTTATCCGAGTGGCCAAGTTCAACATCAATCCCTACCATAGGCGAGTCGCGGAAAATCGTCCCACTCATAAGAAGCTCCTGGGCATCGGGCGCATCGTGCATATCCGTCAATCGTGCCACAAAATCCACATCACCCCCAGGCATCAGGCCGTAGAAGCTTCCACGGACCCCGTCACCGCCATCAAACTCGATCTCGCCATCACACCCACGTCCGAACCTCAATTGGCCAGTACCATCGTCTCTGGAGCGCCAATTGAATGATTTCGGGTGGCGTTCTGCGATGCCATCCAACTCATCCACGCGCATGACTCCGCTTTTGTTGCCGAAGCGAAAGCTTCCCCATAGCTGTCCAGCTCCATGGTCGATCTTGAAGGCGAGCAAATTGGCACCCTGGAGCCGAGGCAAAGTTATGTGGTAGTGACCGGATATTTGAACCATTTTCCGAGGTGGAGAAGGCGGGCTACTGAAGTTGATGGAATCATATGCCGGCGGAGCATCGTCCATGTCAATGTCTGAGGAAGTGCTTCGATCGCGAATGCTCGGTTACGAACTACGGGGCAGGTTACGAGTACCCGGGCTCTGCAGATATGGTTTACCTCGTCTGGCGATCTGCTTTGATCGGGGACTATCGTTGAAAGAGATCGGCTTCGATGGTGGCCCAGCAGTCGTCGCAGGTTGTCCGGTGGATGGCTTAGCTCTCGGTGCCTTAGCTGTTGAGGCTTTTTCGGGAGCTTTTGGCTTTGCAATCTGCTTCTCTACCGTCTTTGGCTTCGAAGTGGCTTTCGTCTTTGGTGCCGGGGTGGTTCTCTTTTTTGCTTCTGCGGTTTCCACCTTCTGCTTCTTTTTTCCGGCCGATGGAGGAAGGCCAACTTCGAGGCTGACATAGCCGATCTTGAGTGAGATGGTGGCTCCATGCCCTGTCCCACTGTCACTAGCCCTCCTCTTTTCCCCGTCGACGTAGGAGCCTGCTGTGTCTTGCTGGCGGCGGCCTTGGCCTTCCTGACCGACGCGCCATATTCCTTCTTCATGTCGGTCTCCAGCTTGGAAATATGGGGTGGGACGGCGAGCGCGCCAGATACGACGGCCGTAGTCAACCGCACTTTGGCGGTGTTCTTGTCTTTGGTGCGCGGGAGGCCATAGTGATTACCTGTGCTTCGTACCAGTGTGCGACTTGATCTTTGACGGGTGCACTGCCTTTCTTCGGAAGTAGGAGCTCTTTCAGGTCAGACGCCGAGGCGCGGGGATGGCGTTTGTTCTCTCCCAGGTCCACAAAAAGCGTATCGCGGTAGAGAAACTCGCCCCTCTTGACCTCAGGGGCAGACATCTTGTACCGGGGATGGCTCGGCTCAGGCTGCTGGGGGAGGCGTGGTACAGATTAAAGACTAGAAATACCATGATAGAAGTAGCGCAGCTGTGGGATCTCAATGGATTCTGCGGAGTTTCCCATACCTGAAGTGAAGGTATTGCTGTGAGAATGGAAGTAGGCCTTGGGCACGTCAGGGCCACGCAGCACTTGGCGATTGTTGGCCGTTAGCAATGATCAGGTCTTCGAACGTTGATAGTCGCAGCTCCCAACGCACAGCTGTTGATATACAAGACGAGTCCGAGATAATCGGGACCAAGGATAGCTCCAGAAGGAAACGAAAGATGGCAGGGGGTCCCCTACCCAGGTACCTTTTGGATGATCCTCAGACGTTATCGCTGGCAATGTCTGAGTCGGAGGATTTGAAGCTGCTGTAATGCCTCCCGGTCAGCACCCAGCATTGGTCGACGGTAAGTATCGTGTCTCTTCGCCAGACTCGGCGCCAAGATTGCGCTCCAACCTGGCTATCAAGATGGAGCCGAAGCTCGAGGTTGAAGTTGACGTTGAACGTGAAGGGCTCGGCAGACACTGAGTCATGGCGATAAGATAAGATAACGTCTTCGAGTCATTCTGGATAGCGAGATAGTGGTTCAAGAAGCGTTCCCGATCCGAAAGCGGCGAGCAAGTGTCCATAATAGGTTAGTTGCCCCAGATCCCTTTTGCCCATCTATAAAAGGGGTCAGTCCAGCAACGAAGATCCAGCGAGACTCAAGTAGACCACGTATTATACTATCTACTCAATACAACTACATGTTGATTTCACCCACTATCTATGCCGACCATTAGTACTTTCGGACCCGATAGTCGGAAGTTGTAGTCCAACTGCCCTAGCGTAAGGCTGAACACATTATGCACAAGGCTGTGACAGGCATCTCATTCAACCGACAGCGACATAAACAGCGCTTATGGCAGATGAACGAGGTCGACGCGGTGCCGGTGGCAGAGTCATTTTGTTGATAATGGTGTTGGAAAATGGTCTATGATGAACGGCCATCCACCTGCGCCGCCATATTTCAGGACATTTTTCATGTGTAACTTCAAACCGAGGACGTACAGATGGGTGGCAGCGGCATCGAAGACACAATATACCAGTTCTTTGACCTAAAGGTAGGTGGCACATATTAATCCGTCTCAGGTTGTCTGACTGTTAAGTGCTGCTTTCATATCGACGAGGGGGTAGAGACATACCTATCTTGGGGTCTAGAGCACCACCGCCTTTCCCGGAGCCGTCGACATCTTTCAGCCATGGGACCGACGAGAAATTCAAATAGGCCTCGAAGATCTCTAGGTCCAAGGCCAGAAAGTCCTCCCAGAAAGGGTGCCAGTAGCCTCGATTCTTGGTGAATTCGACCTTGAGCATTTCGCGTTGCTCATCGAATGGCTTCCCTGCAGTAGTATGTTGCTCGTAGACTCCCTCCTCCTTCATCACTTCAACCAACAAGGGAACTCCAATGTTACAGGCATGAATGCCCAGGGTCTCCGTCAGCTCGATCACCTCAATTTTCTCGGCCGGAGTGGCGCCCTCTTGCAGTGCTGCATCAATGTGTTTCCTGACCCCGGGCAGGTAGAGGTGGGTGGAGGCGGCGTCCACAGCGATAGACATGAGTTGCTGCACTTTCACCGAGAGGTATTTCTTCTTTCGAGGCACCGGGATGAGGTTCATGCTGGCCTCGAACAGATCGGGGCTGAGTTTTGCAATGCTCTCCCACGTCTCGTCCCATTGTGTCTCGCCCAATTGGCTCACAAACACCTTTTTCAGTTCCTCTGGATCTCTGGAGGGCGGCATCTTGCTGGATGACTGGCAAACGCTTACTTTCTCTCGCTTCCGCAGGTAGAAGCGTTGGCTGCGAGTAATAATGTGAGGTACTCTGTCAGAAACGAGGCGCCATTGAGACTGACAGACTCGGTCATTTACCGATGTCGGTGTGGGTTGGGCTTTGGGGAAGAGAACAAGCCCATCCACCAGCATATGTGCTCTCCGTTATGCTGCTAACAAGTCCCTCAGTTGTGAAGGCGTCCATCAGCCCCGGTGCCCGACCTAGCCGAATTCTTCATATTCGCCAAAATGCAGGAGCCACCAATTCGAACATGATGCGGGCGAAACTCGAGTTTCCCATTCAAGCGTTGTAGCAGCCCCTCCACTGGAAAATAGTTGTGACTGGGGCTTTTTCGACGACAGGGACGGTATCCTATGTTAAGGTCCACGCTCTACTACTAAAGAGCAAGTTCATTACGAGTACATCACGATGTTGCCGTCAAGATCTGCCGAACTGTCTTAACGTAGCTAGCTTTGCAGTGAGGCGCACCTCGCAAGAGATTGCCACCTTTGGCAAGCAATGAGCCAGCCCAGAGACACTATTGCACCATGTCGTGTTCAGTTCCTCGACTGACCAAAGAATCGCGACTGATTGCGTGGATTCTCTTCCCATTCGAAGTCATGCGCAAAGATAACTTCAATGCCACTCGACTCCAGCTCTTGAATCCGGCCGATGGTCTGTTCGGCTAGGTTCTTGTCGGCATGGATACAACATAGATGCCCTTGATCATCAAGCCACTCCCCTATTTGCTTCTCCTTCCTCATGATGCGCCGGTCATGACAGGCATCACCGGCCAGATAAACACTGGTCGCCGGACCGATCTTGGCCAGCAGGTTGATGTGACCCGGCAAGTGGCCCGGCGAGTCGACAATGTATAAGCTGCCATCATGGAAGATATCCAAAACCCGGGGCAGGCTCCCGTAGGGCCTCCATTCTTGTACAAAATCGGGTGCGTTCGGATCCAGTTCTTCCTTATTGGTCCCTTCATCTACCTCTTCGTAAGGGTTGGACAATTCGATTGTCCTTTCAGCTGGCAACAAATCTGCCTCGAAGAAAGAATGGCTTCCTCGCAACGACCCTGTGCTGTGCATCAGAGCGCCGGATCCGTTGCCAACAACAAAGGTGCAGCTGGGAAAGTCACAAGGCTCTCCGACATGATCCCAATGCACCTGGTCCTCACAGTTAGCTCTGCACTTTGATTGAGCTGCGAACCTACATGAGAATATATCACATAATCAATGTCGGCCGGGTGCAGGCCTCCAGCGGCAAGACTTCTTGTCACATCAGGTAGGGTCGTCAATGGCTGTCGGCTCTCGACATGCTTCTGGATAGGCGCCGAGTAGCGGTTGATGTCTCGTCGTAAACCAAGGTCAAAGACTATCCGCGTGGTGTGATTTGTTTCTGGGTCCTGGTGAACGACCAAGAAGGACAGCGAAGGGACGGTTCTTTTGGCAGTGGTCGAGGCTGGGTGGACAAAGAACCGTTCGGGCAGGGAGAAGTGACCGGCTTGGAGGGCAAAGACCTCGACGGTGGCCTCAGATGCGCTTCCAGGAGGTGAAGGAGGAGGCTGCCTCACATAGGCTGTAGACATTCCGCCTCTCAAGCCAGAGACACGAATTCAAAGGGAATGGATTCGTGGACATGATTTCCACACCACCTTCAAAGTCCAGAAGTCGCTTTGTTAGATACGGGCGAAGGACGCCAGCCCAAGCCTGGTCCCACATTGACTTGAGAGGAACCATGGGAAGGTTGGGGTAAGTGAGCAATACCTGGTCGAGGATGGCGAGCTGTAAGCCTGCGAGACTCGAGAGTACCTCCCTGAGGTGGTGAGTGACTTGCAGGTGGTGTCTGGGGATGATGAACACAGGTACTTTAGCAGGTACTAGGCACCTACCTCCTAAAGTACCTACATACCCAAGAGGTACAGTACCTGTTATAATCTTGGTTTCTCCAAGCAGAACCGAAGGAAGGTGCATATCTGGTACCTAGGTACCCAACCTACGTTAACCTTAGCGGGGTCAGTACTTCTGCAGCCTATGTGAGGCAGCCTAAAGAGCCACCTACCGATAAGGTATATATATACCAAGTGTACCTGGAGATCCCCACTGGCAGGACTCCTACACCGCACCCCGCACATCCGCCGTCTAAACCTCAAACGTGGACAGCCGCAGGCATATCGCAGGCACCTAGTTGTCGTTGTCTGCTGATGTTCACACCTCCTTGGCCCCCCTGCACCTTTAGTACTAGGTACCTAAGGTACCTTACGTACCTAGGTTGCATGGCACCTTACTCAACCTGCGGTAGACACTCAAGGTGTGACTCGTTTCCCCTCATCATTCTCCCTCTTCCCCAGACTCTTCAGTTGTTCCCCAGATTCCGCCATTCCTCCATCACCCATCGCTCCGAATGAGGCCAACTTGCATCGATCCTAGTATGATTACACTTCCCCTTTCGCTCTTGGAGCATCCCAGCCTAATCTCCTTTGGCCGCTCGAGCGCTGCATCCAATGCTGGAAGACGCAATCACAGTGGCAGTGGGAATTGAGGGTCTGGACCATGGTAGAAACAGACACCACGATGAACCGCCGCCGAAAAGGTCCAAGAGGTTCCAATGTCAACACTGTCAAAGATTCTTCGCTCGCCTGAAGCCCCTCCAACGCCATGAGAGGACCCGTATGACAGCCAGATGTCCTCTCCTCGGGGAGTGCTGTAAGGCGTCCACCGTCGTCTGAGCGACCTTCAAGATCGTGGCCGTCTCGATTGTGCGGTATTCCATGAGCAGCTTCTTTTGGGGGTCTGACTTGGACGCCTCGAGGGTGCCGGCGATGATGCCCGTGCCAGGGTCAAGGTAGACTTTCTCCACGGCGGCTGCGGTGGGCAGCATTGTGATGACGGTGTTGGCACGCCGCACAGCCTCGAACCCATTCGACACCACTTCGACGGGAGCTTTGCCGGCCGTTTCGGCTCGGAATATCGAGAGCGCATCCTGCGAGACATCGCAGATCAATAGAGTACAAGATGACGGTGTTTTCGAGCGCAGGCTGGCTGCCATAGGGTAGCCCATAACACCCACGCCTGTTGGGCACAGAGTCAGTCGATCAATCACCACCACGGGGACGGTCGAACTTACACCTATAAAAGCGACTGTGTCTTCCGGGGATGCCATGATTGGTCGTTACTGCTCTACAACAGAGTCGCCTGCTCTTGTGGTAGCGCCTCTATTCTCTCTAGCTCATGTGTGCCCTGATATGGTCATGTCTTTGTAAGGTTGATCTTGCGTCGACTTGGATTTGAGACTGCGTAACGTAGCAGGACTGGGCGAATTCAACCATGTTTCCGCAACAGGATGGGATGACCTCCGCGGACAACAGATCGGCAAAGTCCCCCCACCGCAGGAATCGACAGCAACTGACCCCAACTGTGTATCGGCTGCTGCTGGCGGCCATCTTCTCCTTCGGTCTCTGGTCTCAAAATCGTGGGAGAAAAAGGACATGTTGCGAGGCCTCTAGGCCTTCCCCACTGGCACGTCCGACGACCCACGAACTTTGGAATTGGAGAAGTCGGGGGATTGACAAACGCGGAGATGGAGTACGGGGTTGAGAGATGGGGCCGATCGTGCGAGCGGCGGTCTTGCACTGTAATATGTCTTAGGTACTGACAGAGTATTCGCACTGCTAGAAGCTACCTGGTACCTTACCTACCTAGGTACCTGTCGAACCCTCATTTGCGCAGCCTCCCACGTGACCGTGTGACCCGCAGCCTTGCGTCGAGGCATTTTGTTGTGTTTCTGACCCTTGTATGCACCACATGCATGAACACGGAAAATATGGGCCCAAAAAGGCGTGTCCTTTCCTATGCTTCGACTAGGTGGACCGCGACCAATGGACCTTCTGCAGCTCTGTAGTATTCATCATCCAAACCCTCGCAGCCTCAGCTACAGAATCCCCGGATGAAAGCGATGCCCGTTCTTCTCCCGCCAGTTCTTGTCGTGTGCCACAATGACCTCAACGTGTGTGTCCGCTTCGAATACTGGACTCGGTGTCTTCAAGAGCGGTCCAATCCTCTTTAAAGGTTCTTTTCGCCTGGTCCGTGTCGATGTGGACTGACCTCAGCCCGCCATTTCCGTCGTCATACAACGCGACGTCCTTCTCTCCCGTTAGGATCCGCGGGTCATGACAACAATCACCTCCCAGATATACCCATTTCTGAGGCCCCGTTCGGACGAGCAAGTTCACATGGCCATACAGGTGCCCTGGGCTATCAACGACATAGATGCTGCCGTCACCAAAGAAGTCGATGATTGCTGGAAAGCCCGCAAACGGGTTCCATTCGTGTGCGGTCTGCTTCTGAGCCGCCGTCGTGTTTTCCCTAGACACTGGTGGCAATTCCAGGGTCCGGTCCCGGGGTAGTAGTTCTGGATTGAAAATCTCTCTTGGGTAGTGAGGAGGTGCTCCATGCTCGAGCAGATGCAAAGTCCCGGAGCCCACGACGTCCTGCGAGCAGGGGAAGTCATCAGGTGTACCCTCGTGGCCCCAATGCACATGACTCAACATCAAAATATCAATGTCCCGAGCAGGATCCAATCCCCCTCCCCTCAGGCTGTCTGCGCAGTCGGGATGCAAAATCGTTGGCTGTCGGTTGGCGATGTGAGCCTGTTGTGTGGGAGGATATTTCGTCAAGTCTCTTTTGAGGCCGAGGTCGAATACAAGGCTGGTGGATTTCCCAGTAGGCTCAGGATGCTGGAGCAGAAAAGATAGCGAAGGAACAGTTGCTCGCTTTTCCGGATCTGCGTCTGTAATGAAGAGCCGCTTGGGCAAGGTCAGTTGGCCAGCTGAAACAGTCACATAGACTTCTCCTTCCGTTGCAGACCCCATCGTTGATGTTCGGGATTGAAGGGGGGCGCGCAGCATTCCTTGGAAGACCGAGGACAAGGTAAGTATATTCTAGTCGGATAGATTTGCTCATGGTGTAAATGGTGCATTGATATGAGATGCATTCCTGTCTCCGCAATATGGAGATGCGGGATCCCAACAATCATACTTGGAGAAGGAATCAGTCTCCCCACCATAGTATTTCATCCTCGGTTCGTCGCTGGAGGTTGTAATGGTCAAAATTGTTGCTGTAAGCGCCCAAATCGACCGTTCAGACACATCTACCCAGGCGCTAGGACAGGCCACGAGATTGCCGGTACGAAGTTCAAGTTGTTCACTTCCCTTGATCCGTAGAGGATTCCAGGAAGAGACAACAGTTCTTGTCGCATGGAAATCCAGTTGGCGCCAGCTACAACGAGGCGCATCTCGTCAGTCATATGACCACTTCGCGTACGTCATGCACGTTATGATGGACGGCCAAAAGCAGCTGCATCGATCTTCCGCCGCTGCCTCCCAAGGAAGCCTTGCGGTTCGGCTCCGGGACCTAACCCGCGATTCCGCCCAGCTGTAGAGGAGCTGGCGCTCGCGAGGCGGAGGTTCTGGTCGTACCACGCAGAAGCCATGAGATTGAGTTCGCGCTGGAGAAGCGTGTTTTCATCCCTAAGGACGTCAATCTCGGAATCTCCACCGTTCAAATGTGACTCAATCGATGATGGCGGCGCATCTTCCGGGGGTGGAGGCGGTGGGATCGATTGTGCATCGTCTTGCGTATGCCGGTTCCCCTCTCGAAGCCTTTCTCGCATCTCTGTGATCATCAGATCCTGCTTCTGTAACGACTCCAGGAGCGTTCTGTTTTTGGTTCTTTGCCGCTCGATGGCTACAACAAGCTTCCTCTGCGCACGAAGGGAAGATTCTCTTTGCGTGGCAGTGCCCACCTGGGCCTGTGAACGCATCGCCGACATGATGGCCTTCAGCTCAGTCTCCGAGATTGTCTCCCTGTCCGCGCCCTGGTCAGGTTGGGTGGCAGAGGGAGAGAGAGCATCGTCGTTTGCGACTGCATCGTCGCTGTCTCGACCGTGAGTGGGGATGTCGTCCACATTCAGGAGCGCCGCTGTCAGGCGTGCTTCCGATTCGAGCAGCTCAGCTTCCTCCAGCGCAAAATCTGTATCAACGACCTCAGGGTGTTTCTCCTCTGTTTCCGCAGGGGGCATTCCGTCTTCATAGTCACGTAGGCGTCCCTGAAGGTCTTCAACAGCCCGATCTTGTCGTGAGAGTTGTTCTAAGGTGTCGTGATACCGTGCCTCAAGAGCGTGATAGTCGAATTCCAACCTCTTCTTCATCTCATTCAACTCGTATCTCTCCTGTTCGATACTTGGCAACAGTCGCCTGTACTCGTCAATCTCTCTTTGCAAGTCACTGGAACTTGCACGTGCAGAATCGAACTGTTTCAACTGATTCTGCAGTTCCGTCACTTTTGTTCGAAGATTGTTGTTGTCCTTCTCCAAGTCCTGGCTCGCCTCTAACTTTAGTCTATACTTCTCGGCGGTGTTGGCCTTGCGAGCCAGTCTGTCTCGCTCAATTTTAATTTCATCATAGTCATCTTGCAGTTTCTGGGCCTTTTCTGCTTTGATCTTGAGCAGCTCGTTGGCTTTGCGAAGGTCATCCGCCTCGGACTCGGTCTCGAGGACTCTGTTTTCGAGGGTTGCGATGATGGCGTCATGTTTCGGATCCAGAGCTCGGGTGGAAACGTCGGACCGCCCTGCCAGCAGAGATGCGAGTCGGTCATTTGCCTCCATCAGTTCGTCTTGGAGCTGATCGAACCGCCCCTGCAGTTTCTCGTACCGCGAATGGCTTTCGTCTAGTTGCTTCTGCAACTCCCTTTTCTCGTGTGCAATTCGTTGGTTGTCAGCTATCACTTTGCCCAACCGTTCCTCTGACTCCAGCACAGAATCTACCTCTCCGGACTGACGCGGCGAGACAGGGAGTTCCTCGGTCGCAACCAGCTCGTCTGGAATCGGTTCCTCGGCTTCTCCACCCTCATCTTCACCAGCTTCTTGGACTGTTTGAATGAGAACCTGTTGGGTCGATTCGGATAGGTCTTGCATCTGTTTCAGATACTCGATGCGATCGGCACAGTTGATGGCTGCGACCACCAGAAGCTTCAAGAGAGCCACACTGTCGCTGAGGGAGGAGGATTGCGCGATTGCTTTGAGGTCGGGTCGTCCGCCGGGGAACGGTAGTCGCTGGCGACATTCCTCGACGAGGAAGATAGACAAGGCATCATAGATGTGCTTCAAGTTGGTCCATTTGTGTATCCACTGATCCGTATTTGGGTCTTCTGGAAGCTTGCCAGGGAAGCTGAAGCGGTCAATTTGCTCTGTAGGCGATTAGTGCATCAACGCGAAACCTGTGATGGCGGCTGAGTCCGACGTACGAAGCACCTTCCATATGATCTGGCCGTTGGTAAAATCATCTACCGTGTAAACCGGGTCGGCTACAGCAAGACTGTTGACCCAGTCGATGAGTCCTGCGGCCACGGCCTCGTCAGTCGCCATGGGAGTCGAACGAATCTATCCGATATACATTTCATTGCTGCATGGTGGGATAGTACAACGGCTAAATGTGAAGTGTAGTACTAGTAATCAATAGCCCGGTAGTCTCAGATAGAAGTACTAGTAGTAATGCGTACATCAGAGAGGTTTCTATTAGACGCGTGGTGGCTGCAACAAAATGTGTCTCCGAACGTTGGCGCGTCTCTGTCGGGTATGACGTCGCCCAACTCATGTCATTCTGCCCATGGTTTGATTGAGGAGTCTATCGACACAAACAACGGGACAAAGTGACACACTATGGGGTACCGTGTAGCACAGGCATGCACGCTGTGTTCTATCAGGGTTATGAGCAAGGTTGTGGAATCAGAATACGTTCGATTGTTTTCAGTGCAGTACCCCGGGGTTCAGAGAATGCCCCAAGATAAACACGAATTATCTAAATGTTCAGCGTTGGCTGACACCTCTTGAGCAACCACACGGACGCCTTTCTACAGGCGCAATTTTGTTATCACAAAGACCAGCTTCGCTTCCTTCCATACCATTCCCTGGAACTCCTGTGTGTAAACCCCCCCAGCCTCCATCGTGCAAGCAAACTCGGCTCACTGGTCGTCGGTGGTTATCGATCCGTCGGCGTGGACGACATAGTCATTCTCAATGTATGGAGCGTAGGTGTCGGCCATCACAGTGATCTTGTTGAGCGTGACTTCGGAAACCTTGGCAGCGAAACCCTTGATCAAGGCTGCAGTGGCGGTCAGTATGATTGTCTCGTAAGAGACAGGTAGCTCTTACAGTATTCGTGAGTGATGATTCCTCCATCTTTCTGAATCTCTTCAATGGCCTTCTGTATGACGGACTTTGGGGTGTCTGCTGGGTATTGTACAACAACAGGCTTCTGTGGTGGAGGGAGAGCAAGGACAGCGGCGACCAAGCACAGAAGCAATGTAAGATAGAAGCGCATGTTGGAAGATGACGCTGGGTTGATGGCGCGCGAGGTGAGAGGTGTGTGATGAATGTCGTTTGTTGAGCACGGAAAAGATCTGATATTGTTGATTCTGTTCACGAACGTATATTGAATTGACGTGTTGAAGAGACGAGAGGGGATCTGTGAATGGCCGTCTGATAAGTAGACGTAGTAGTAGTAGTACTCCTGATCGTACCACCAGCCTGCGACGTACTAGCGGGTTGACCTGTCAAAGCACTGGCAGTGCAGAGCGTGATTTACCATAGTAACTGGGGTGCAGTGGCTGCACACTGGCATGCTGGAACCCGCCGTTTCCGTCACCACCTTATGTAAGCTGGAGGAAATCCAATCACGTGATAACGCTTATGAAAGCGAGGTCCCCGATCACGTGGAACAGATCGCGTTTGCAGTTTAGGCTCCTTGTCTCGATCATCACCTTCAGGTTCACTTTATCCGACTCCTAGGACAGCTGCTAAACCCTGCCAGTGACTCCTCTACATCGGCATGTTTCGGGTCGGGCTTCACGGCTCTCATTGGAATACGCCGGCAACCATCGCCAACTCCCTCGTGTCGTATCAATTACTAACCTCCACGATATGATGCCTTGATACCGAGATGGTTCATCACCTGCGTTGTTTCTCAGAACTTCCATTCCTGTCTCGCGGAGATGACCAGATGTTGCAACATTCTGCCGGATCCTGCCGCCACGACCGACTGCGTGATCGAGCTTGGGCTGCAAGGTGGTGGACAGCTGTCCGGCTTGTCCTGATCGACAAGCCCAAGTTCCATTCAGATCTCTTCGATTGTACAGCAACCTGCTAGAACAGGTTAACGCCTGTCAGCAGTTACTCCACCACGCTGCGTTTGTCTACGCAAACAAGCATCTTCAAGCTTCACTCAAGCATAACCAAGCATCGGTATCTGGCCGCCAATGCAACCTTCCTATCTACCTGTACCTCTGGCTATGCTGCATGCTGCGTCATGTGTTTCCAACGTTTTCGTACGTTATGCTTCCAACGAGGTGCTAGTCAAGACGTGCAACCTGTGGGCCATAATGTGGCAAGGTAGGAAAAGGTATTTGAGATCAACTGCTATACCGTGTGCTCCATGTTCTTCTTCCCTCGCTCTCCAGCCCATACTCGTTTGTATTCAATTCCGCCTTCGTCCGAATCGAGATGCGTCTGCCCATCTTCCTCGCAGCATGCCTTGTGCCCTGTGCCCTGGCTATTGACAACCCACATAAGCATGCCCCGAAGAGAATTCACAACACTCGTGCACTGCATGACCACCGGCGTCTTGTGAAGCGGCAAGCAGCGAGCTATTTGACACATCAAACTGAGAGTAGGCTCTAACAAGCCGTATGAGTGATTAGCAGGACTGACCGAGTCAGAATTTGCAGTCAATGGCTCGGCAATTCCTCTCGTGGACTTCGATATTGGCGAGTCTTACGCCGGAACGTTATCAATCGATCAAAATAGCTCAAACCCCAATCAGCTATATTTCTGGTTCTTCCCCTCGGACAACCCAGCTGCGTCCGATGAAATTACCATCTGGTTGAATGGAGGGCCCGGCTGCAGCTCGCTAGATGGACTTCTGCAGGAAAACGGCCCTTTCCTTTGGCAGAGTGGCACCTACGCGCCGCAACCGAATCCGTTTTCCTGGACCAACCTGACCAACATGGTGTATGTTGACCAGCCGATTGGCACAGGCTTCTCTCCAGCGGCGCCCGGCGCCCCAGCACAGATCAGAAATGAGGTCGACATCGCCCGAGATTTTGCAGGTTTCTGGCAGAATTTCATGACCACTTTCAATCTTACCGGCAGGAAGGTATACATCACCGGCGAGTCATATGCCGGGCAGTATATTCCATATATTGCCAGCTATATGCTTGACCAGAACAACACAGACTACTACAATGTCCGAGGAATTCAGATCAACGACCCCAGTATTGGAGTGGACGCTGTCCTCATTCAAGGTATTCCCATTGGCAGCGTTTGTTGACACACTTTGACTGACCATGACAGCTCCTGCGGTGACGGCTCTGAATAATTACAAAAATGTATTCGCCCTCAATCAATCGTTCATGCACGACATCAACGCCCGAGCGGAGCGATGTGGCTATTTCGACTTCATGGACAAGGCTTTGACGTTTCCCCCGGCTGGCAAGTTTGTGGCACCAAATGATTCAGCCCCAGGTCTGTCTGTTCACTCGGGGTGGCCCCCTACATGATATTCCGGGTCTGACCGCCTGTAGGTTGCGATGTATGGGACGACATCATTGCCGCGGCAATTTATGTCAATCCCTGCTTCAATATGTACCATCTAACCGACTTTTGCCCATTTCTCTGGGACGAGCTCGGCTTCCCATCCCTCGGCACGGTAAGTAACTCTTGAAGACAACGAATCATCGGAGAAGCCCAGGCTGACCGAGACACCCATGCAGGGTCCTAACAACTATTTCAACCGCAGTGACGTCCAAGCTGCCATCAATGCGCCACCAACTAATTATGTAACCTGCGGCGACGATTCACTCTTCCCCGGCGGCGACAAGTCCCCACCCTCGAGTTTCACTGCTTTGCCGTCTGTCATCGAGCGTACTAACAATGTAATTGTCGGCAGTGGCCTGCTGGACTTCCTCCTGCTGACAAATGGGACTCTCATGACACTCAACAACATGACCTGGAACGGCAAACAAGGTTTCTCCAAGGCCCCCAGCGATTTGTTCTACGTTCCATACGATCCGTCGTTAAACTTTGTTCTCAACGAGACCGAAACTCAGCCTATTCCTCCAATTCCCGTTGGTCTCGTTGGCGGTGGTGGAATTCTGGGCACGACGCATACAGAGAGGGGGTTGACTTGGGTAACGGTAAACCTTGCGGGCCACGAAATCCCACAATATGTCCCTGGGGCGGCATATAGACAGCTCGAGTTTCTGCTTGGTCGGATCGGCAACCTGACAGAGAGAGGGACATTCACCACCCAGCAGGCGAATAACAGCAGTACTGCCTCCCTATAGAGAGCGGAGAGGGAAACGGCCAGGGCCAAAGCGATACAAATCCGTTGCTGCAATATTTGGTTGTAACCGCCGGACCTCTCGCTGTGTATTACTAGTACTAGTAGTACATGAAGATGCCCAATCCGCCTTGGATGAGGCTGAGATAGACTTGAAGGGTGCGGCAACTTAGTACATTAGGTACGTAGTACAGAGCTGAGTGGTACTAGTACTAGCTCAGCACCAATCACAGCCAATGGGGTCACTGTTCGGCGGCCTACCTAAAGTGGTGATAACACGTGACATGTCTGGCTGCTGATGTAAGGGAGCTTGGCGTTTGTGTCTGCGACTCCGAGTCTGGGCTCGTCTCTTAGGCTCTCAACGTTGCTTTCATATGTACCTACATACCTTACCCACCTAACCTAACCATCGTCTCATTGCTAGCTGACCTTTTCATCCCTTCGTATCTCGCTCATCGTCTGCCTAGCCTTCGTTAAGGTGGAAAACCAACCAAACTGTCTTCGACTGAGCCAAGTGGCAATAGCAGCGACCGCGCGGTCTCCACTGGTCCTGCCCTGAGCTACCTTTTCACAGCAAAGACGCAAGGGCTCCTACAAACAACTGACCTCTTCTGCCTGGATTTGACCAGTGCCTTACACCATATCTACGGCCGATGAGATGACAGATTAGAAGAGGTGGAGAGTGGGAGACATTGAGCTGTTGGAAGGAGTTGGGGTTGAAGTTCTGAAGAAAAGAACGAGTCAAACACACTGTCTGCTTTGGGGCTGCCAGAGGGTTGTAGATAGCCAAAAGATACCACGACATTTCTCTTTCGTTGTCTATCTACCTCAGACCCTTGTGTCTGACCCTGAGTTGAACAGCCCGTCGGCTAGACCGACCTCGGCCCAGTCACTGTCATTGCGTTGACATCGAGAGTCCTCTGCTGCACGCTCGATTTTCCGTTTGACTTTCGAGCCTTGACTCGAATCACACTCACCACACACTCACACACACTCACACCATCACCTTTCAGTTTTCTCCTTCTCCACCTGTGATCTGATCTCTTTTCTTGTCCTGTCGTCATCATGTCAGGTCTACCCTCTGATGAGGTCGCTGAAGACTACAAGGGCTCCTTGGAAGACCTTGTGACCAATGACCGATATCAGATCTCCAACCTGACCTTGATTGCCAAAGAAAACATTGAGCACGCCGAAGCAATTTCGCGGGTCCTCCAGAACCACATCAACCGAGTATGTCAGCGTCCCTTTCTCTTTCTCATTACGACCTCAAGGTCTCCGAAGCAGGTGTTTTGCTCTGCTCTATTCGTCGCACCGTGCCCAACCAATGCTGATACCTCGAGACAGGCACCTCCGGCACGAAAGTTACCCGCACTATATGTGTTGGATTCGATCGCCAAAAACGTTGGTTCTCCATATACGGTGTATTTCGGTCGCAACCTGCACCAGATCTTCATGCATGCTTACTCCCAAGTCGATGGCCCTGTCCGTCGAAAGCTCGAGGAAATGTTGAAGACGTGGCGCGAACCAGTCCCGGGGTCGCTGTCACCAACCCCGGTGTTTCCCCATACCAGCACGCAATCAATCGTGGACAGCCTAAACAAGTTCCGCTCTCCCATGCCAGCCGCCACCCGTCAGCAATCCACCCCAGTCCAAGCTCCTCCTGCGAGAATCCTATCTGACCCCCGGTATCGACATACTCCCACCCCTCCACAGTCGTTTCCACAGCTCGCTGCAGCTATCACGACCCATACCAGAAGTCCTCAGCCGCAAGCAGCAATTCCACACCTACCATACACCCAGACACCGCCACTATCATATAGCCAGCCTTATGGCCAGTCTTATGCTCATCAGGCCAATTCTCTTTATCCACAGCAGCAGCCACCTGCTCCGACACCACAATATCATGCCCTTACTCCGCAACCTCGGCCTGTCTCATCCGGAGGTGTCGACATACAGAAGTTGCATGTCGACATTGATGACCTTACCACAGACGCCAAAATCGAATGTGCCACTCACCCCATGGATGCAGGCGCTCGAAGAAAGCTGGCCAGTCTTCAAACGCTCAAGGAGATTCTAGACAGCGGCAATGCCTCGGAGAGAGACTTGATTGATATTAGAACTACGATCATGCAGAAGATGGCGGAAAAGATCACAGCAAACCAGCACCTTCCGACGCAAACAGCGAGTTTACCTATGCCTATATCCAACGCGTACGTCCCTCAACCGCCAACCCAGCATCTGGCGGCTCCGGCTCCGGCCGCTGCTTCATTGTTCAATAGCACGAATCTGGCGGAGCTGTTACGAGCAACCGTAGGCCAACAGCAAGCACCTCAACAACCGAACTACTACGCGCAGATGCAGCAGCCACGCGTGGTTACTCCAGTACCAGTCACTTCTGCAGCCCCTGCAGCGACCGAAAATCCGCTCTTGGCCCAACTTCGCGCTTCGGGTCTCTTGTCTGCTGCGCCAACTCCTCTTCAAGGCATTACTTCCACCATGCCTGGGGTTGCGGCTTTTCCAAGTGGCCTTGCAGGAGAAGTCACTTTATCGTCGGCAAGTATTCGAATCCCCCGACCGCACTTGATTTCGAGCTTCCTGAACTCCCGACCCAATCAGTGCAGTACCTGCGGTAAGAGATTCATGTCAGATGAGAATGGCAGGGCTAAGAAAGCGCGACACCTTGACTGGCATTTCAAAACCAAGGCCAGGATGCTGGAGGCTGAGAAACGGGGCCAGAATCGCAGTTGGTACGTGGATGAGCGCGAGTGGATTGCGAGTAAGGAGTATGAAGATGATGCTGGCCCCGTTGATGCGATCGGGCAGCCGACCAATGGTGCGTCAGTGGTTGCCAAAAAGAAGGCCCCGGATTTTGTGCGGGTTCCAGCGGATCCGGTCCTCCGATCGCTGCCTTGCCCAATCGACCAGGAACCATTCAAGAGTGAGTGGAGTGAGGAAGTGCAGGATTTTATCTGGAAAGATACCATTCAAGTGGGAGGACGATACTACCATGCAAGTTGTTACGCCGAAGTGACCAAGGGGCGCGACAAAGGTGGCGTCTCGACGCCAGTGGGAGGCATTGGACGGATAGCGACTCCTGATTCTGTGCTTGGGAAACGGAAAGCAGAGGTAAGATGACTGCTTAGGCTGGTGTGCGGAAAGCACTAACACCGGGTAGGAGGACACCAATGGCATCAAATCCAAGATCAAGCTCGAGGCCATCCCGCCCATATGAACTGCCCTTCAGAATCCAGAACGGCGTTGAAGGCAGAATTTTCTTTGACATGGGTTGGGAGATTGACAACTTTGGCACCATTGCCTTTGTATAGGGTGGCTATATTCAGGGAGGTCAACAGGCACGGCATGGATAGCAGATGGAAGCACACTTATTTAACTAGTGTGAATTGAAGCATTGGAAGCATGCCAGTTATTCGACGGTCCCGTTATATGGATGGGAAGTAACCGATACAATACAATACACTGGATATTGTGCACAACCAAGATTCATTTCCTTTGCAATGATGTTTTACAGACACGGTGGTTCGGGCGTACCTACCTACTTGCGTAGCACCTATATTCTTGTATGAGTCAAGCAACTCCATGTACGTACTACCAATTTACCGTCGAGGCTGGGACATACTAGTATGTATACCAAGTCTGGCGAGATAACGTCCAACTCTGATAAGATGTCGGAGATAAGATAAACATCAACTCCGTGTGGTAGGAGGGAGCTCTTTCCTTTCTTCTGCTGCTCCTCTGCGCTTTCCTCGAATCTGCTCCTCGATTTGGTCTCCACCACGACTTTTTTTCCTTTCTCCCTCGCCCAGTCTGCCGGCCATCGTCATTTTCCTTTTCACCGGCGCATACTCTTTCTTTCGACTTGGTCCGCAGTCGCATAAGGCACCGCTTCCACTTTGCAATTGATCCGTCACTCCGAGAGGTCACAAGGCCAAGCGAGCAAGGCAATTGACTTGGATACTAAGAATTGACCGGTTCAATCTCTCCAGCAAATCTGTCTATCCGAACCTCTCCCGTTCATTACGCCGCCTACTCCTCAATCATCTCAAATCCTTGAGAAGACGCGACGAAATCTGCGTCATCATCTTCGGCCATGTCTCCTCCCGCAATGGCACCTGCGCTGGGGTCGGCAGGAACAGAATATAAAAAAGAGTCTGGAACTGCGAGGTTACTCGGGTCAGGTAAACATACTCCTCAGCAGGTTCGAAACGCCCACGATACTGACTTCCCTCCCCTCACACAGGCTCGGCAGGCGTCGCAGAACTTCTGATCTTCCATCCTGTCGACACAATCGCCAAACGGTTGATGAGTAACTCCAGCAAAGTACGGCTCTCGTCGACGAGGTCTTAAGATCCATGCTGACTGGCCGTTCTAGGTGACCTCCGTGTCTGCTTTCAACAGCGTCATCTTCCGCGAATACGCCTCGGCTCCTATCTCCACGAAATTCACCTCCCTGTTTCCCGGTCTCGGTTATGCCGCCGGTTACAAAATTCTACAACGGATATACAAATATGGCGGCCAGCCTTTCGTGCGTGACTACTTGACAAAACATCACGAGCAGGACTTTGACAAGGCGTTCGGCAAAGGAACCGGGAAAGCCATGCTCAATGCCACTGCGGGTTCGTTTATCGGCATTGGCGAGATCGTCCTTTTGCCTCTAGACGTATTAAAGATTAAGCGACAGACCAATCCTGAAGCTTTTCGGTCCCGAGGTTTCTTCCGAATTGTTGCTGACGAAGGCATGGGCTTGTACCGTGGGGCCGGATGGACGGCTGCGCGTAATGCCCCTGGATCTTTTGCCCTGTTTGGCGGTTCGGCGTGGGCCAAGGAGAAGCTTTTCAAACTGGAGGACTACAACAAGGCGACCTGGGGGCAGAATTTTGTTGCGTCAGTCGTCGGTGCATCCGGGAGTTTGATTGTCTCTGCCCCGCTGGATGTCATCAAAACCAGAATACAGAATCGCAACTTCGAGAATCCGGAGTCAGGATTCAGGATCGTGGCGAGTATGATGAAGCACGAAGGCATCACGTCCTTTTTCAAGGGGCTTACGCCGAAAATGCTCATGACCGGGCCGAAGTTGGTGTTCAGCTTTTGGCTGGCCCAGACTCTGATTCCCGCTTTCGGGAAAATCGTGTAAAGCGACACAACAAAGGTCGGGGAACTCCAAGGGCCTACGGGGTGATTTGGAAGGATGGCGGATAGCGCAGAAGTCGGTCCCTTCGTGCTGGAGTCAGCGGCAACCAATGCTCTTCGTCGATATATTCTGCATCTACCGCCCAGCTTGTGCCCTGCAATCCAAGGTTTTTACTTCCAGCAGTTCGTTCGTGATTTCAACATTGCGTTGTCGGGTCTGCCTTGCATCTATGGTTAGCGGCCTTTCAGGCGCAATCCGTGTTATTGGGCATGGTGTTCAGCGGCGTTGATGTCGTCGCATGGAAGGGGGCCCTGAAAAGAGCGTCAATTGAGGGCCACTTCCTTTGCGGCGAAAAAAGTGAACTTTGTGGCCAAGAGTGTGTAACATGCTGCAGTAGCTGCGGAGTTGAAATAATTTAGGTGGTTCGATAGAGGACAGCAGGGGAACACGACAGCAGGGGAACACGACAGCAGGGGAACACATAGGTGTTACCAAAAGGAAGAAAGGAACTGCACACGGTCTAAAGAATACGAATCTTCACTTCTAGCCACAGGTTGCCTGATTGAATCAGCCTGGCCTTTTCCCCGCTGTCAGTGTCGTAACCACTCCAGGCTCCCTGTGGACCTGGCAGTCAGATCATGAACTCGAGGACAGGATGGGAGGTGCGTGAAACGCCCGCCACGAGTGACGGCCCTGCTGTGCTTCGAGTTCGTTATCTCTTTGAATTCACTCGCTACCTGCCGAGACACTCCTGGAATCGACCGAAAGACTGAAGCGACCAGGATATGCATGGTATCGATGATCTGTACGAGCAGACGACTTCCATCTATGCAAGTCCTACATCTCTGCAGGACGCTTTGGGCCCCAAATTGAACGTCACGAAGGGCTCAGGAGGAACTGTGCCACGACAGCCATGTACTCGTCAGGGATTTCGAGGCTGGTGCAGTGACTGGCGCCGGGAAATGTGTACCACTTGACCTTGGGGATGCCGGAGAAATAGGGGTACACGCAACTGTTGCCCCGAGGTCAGCAACGACTGGCAGAAAGTATAGAAAATGGGAGGTGGCCGAGATAAAAAGGGATGCGGAGCCTTACCTGTCCCTTGCCTCGTCAAACTCGGCGTTCAATACCAATGTGGGCACGGAGATTTTGTGCACCTGGTCCGTAATACTCCATTGCCTCAGAGTCCCCACGACAGTAAATTCGCTGGGTCCGTTCATGGTTCTGTAGACGGTATCGTCCTTGTCCACCCACGCAAGCGTGTCCAGCAAGGTTTGAGGGAAGGGGAAGACGCGGCACAGATGCAGCTTGTAGAAGTATTCCACGGCGTGCAGATACTCGGGGTCGGTATAGGTCTCGTCAGCCTCGTGCTTGGACAAGGCGTGCTGGATGTCGGGGGGCAGTTGCTTCCGCCAGAAGTTGCAAGACTCCACCCACAATGGCATGCTCGCGGGTGAATTGGAAATGATGAGCCTCTTGAGGCCGGGATGACCCCTGACAGCGAACATGGCCCCGAGCATGCCACCCCATGACTGGCCGAGAAGATCAAAGTCGTCGGCGATGCCAAGGTGGTCCAGGAGATTGTCCAGCTCGGCCATGAACAGATCCGGTTGCCAGAAGGCCTCGTCCAATCTTTTCTCCGGTAGGTGTGTTGACCTGCCGGAGCCAATCTGGTCGTAGAAGACCACGGGGATGCCATACTTGGCCTTCTCGGCCAGCGCGGAGAGGGACAGAAGGTAGTTGTGCGCCATCCCGGGTCCGCCATGCAACGTCACCAGGGGCCGTCCGCTGCGTGAGGCCGTCGAGTCGCCGTACACCTTGTACCATGTCTCGCAAGGTTTGGGAAGTGTGGGATGCTGGAAGGCAACCGTGCCTTCGATAAGACCGAGCGAAGATGTCATGGCGCCGGCACTGGCGCAGTGGAGGGCGATGGAAGAGTGGTGATGGCGACTTCTTCGACCAAGTCAAGTCCTTAGGAATGGAAGTGAAGGGGGGAAGGAAACATCTTTACCGACCATGCCATGTCCAGGGACGGCCAACAACCTGTGGACTGGCATCCAGGTACATCTTGCTGTGTAGATGGCAGCTCACATCATCCAGTGAATGTGAGTTGGACGCCCCCCTTTCCCTTCCCCCCCCCTCCAATCCTCTTCGGCACAAGACACAGACAGCGATTGTCCAGGTGCCAATTGGCCTCTAGTCACCTTCCCGATTCGGAAGCTGATAGGGTTACGACGACTGGAGAAGTGCGTGGGACTCTCCTGCTGCAGTGGGAAAGGTTCGGGCGGAGGAGAAGCGAATAGGTAAGGACAAGGCCAAAGTGCCGACACAGTACTACTACTAGTAGGTGGTAGGTGGTAGGTGGTAGGTGATGAGGCTCGCCTACGAGTTGCAGTGCCACATGAAGACACGAACGTTGTGAGCAATTGTGGTGCAGTGGGCCAGAACAGAGCGCAGGTTGCATTGCTGCATGCGCGTTTCGACGATGAGGATCTAAATGCAACCATATAGAATACACATGATGCGTCGAAATGGCATTCTTCTGTCTCTCCTGCAACGGAGACATGCATCTGAGGCAGATGCCGCCAGCTTCCCTCCTCATCCATCTCTTCTCTCACACCACACAAGGTACTAACTTGTAGTATGAGCAGTTCCCCTACCCTATCCAACGCGCCTCGGGCATTGCAACTGAACCCATGTACAGGACTCGGTCGGGGCATTGAGGATATGCTCGTCCCTCAGAACTTGTGCCGTCTTGTCGTCTTGTCGTCTTGTAGGATTTCCCCCGGCAATCGCAGGAGCCGCAATCGGAACCCCGTCATGAATACCCCGGAATGATATGTGCGGCCGGTCAGGCGCCGTCAAGGACCCGCGGCGAAAGAGACTGGGTTCCTTGCATGGCACCATGCTCGTGCGGCTCTGACTTGTACGCAGCCGCAGCTTCGCCCGTGTTCATCGTTGTAATCATCACCGTCTCCATTACTTGCCCGTCTTGATCCCGTCGCTGAAGTATCTGCGCGTCATCCTGACACTTTTCTGCCAGAGTGCCGCCAGGCTGGAATCCTGGTCGGGGTATTTCTCACGTTGTTCTCGCTGGATACGTAGCGTGGCCGCAGACAAGCCGACACACACCGCAAAGATAGGGTCGAAAATCCTAAAGTCGTGAGTATTGACTGCTTTCCACAGTCGAGGCATGCATGACAAGGAGGTTATGGCCACCTACTTGGAAATTAGCCACGGCTGTGCAAGGGAAGCCATTGTGGTGAGCAGATGTCCTGGTAATTTGTCCTTAACATCGATGGAATTGAACAATAAGGCAAGTATGAAGAGCTGTATAGTACGGGGAGCTGGAGCAATTTGTGGATAGAATCAAAGCGGACGGATGTTGCTTTATTATTTATTTCTCCAACTTCTGCGTAGCCTCGTCACATTGTAAACATAACTACCTTACGTACAGTGTGATATTTGTCTGTCTACTGCCAACCAACATTGTTGGATCAATTGCTACCCCTGCTCGTTCTTCATGCAGCTTGCCTTGTAAGCAAACGACAATCCTTTCGCCGTCGTGACTCGATGGTGGAGGATGGCTTTTTGGGGTCACACATCTACGCTTCGTGCACCGCGCCCCAATGTCCGACTTGCTCGAAGTGATTCCTGACTTTGATATCAAGCCGTACACGCACCTCCTCCACTCCCTCGAGAAGAACGACATCATCGTTGCCGACCTGATCACCTCCGACCCCAAGGAGATCGCCAGAAGATGTCCTCTGCCCTCGGCCGACGTGCAAAGACTGGTGGCAGATGTTATCAAGGCTCTGCAGGGTGATGTCCAAAGCGGCATGAGAAAGATATGCAAGGCTCCTTCTTCGCGGAGCGGCGGCAACACTGCAGGCGCCACAATAGAACATATCAATGAAGGCACTGCGACGGTCGTGGGCAGCCAGCAGGTCAAGACACTTGATGCGGCCATAGACCAAGCATTAGCTGGGGGCTTCCAACCAGGTCAGATCACGGAGATAGTTGGAGAGAGTGCCGTTGGAAAGACTCAGTTGGTTCTTGGGCTCCTGCTCTCCGTCCAGCTCCCTCCGCCGCGGGGGATGGGGAAGGGCGCAATCTACGTGTCGACAGAGGCACCGCTCAACACGAGTCGACTCAAGCAAATGCTCTATTCCCATCCTGGATACGAAAGCATGGAGCCTGAGGACCGACCATCTCTCGACTACGTTCACACCATTGCCACCAACGACCTCGAGGCCCAAGAACATATCCTTCGCTATCAATTACCTGTTGCAGTTCAGCGCTTCAAAATTGGACTCGTCGTGTTGGATTCGGTCGCTGCGAATTTCCGAGCCGAACATGAAACTCGCACACCAGCTGGTCTGGCCGAGCGAGCTGTGGAGCTGGTCAAACTCGGAGCCATGCTCAGGCGCGTCGCCATCGAGAACCAGGTTGCAATCGTGGTGACCAACCAGGTATCAGATCGTTTTGATGACCCCAAGAACGTGCTTCGGTCTTCGTCGCCGGCGACCGCGTCGTCTCCAGCCCTGGCGGGCCCGAACGTGCCACCTGGTATGGCCACAATACGACAGGAAGTCCAGAGTCTGGACTACCAGCAACAGTTTTTCACCGGTTGGGGAGACGACCGGCAGGGGCAGGGCACGCGTGGACAATACAAGAATCCTGCGCTGGGATTGGCGTGGGCCAACCAGATCTCCGCTCGCATCGTCCTTAAGATGGAGAGTGAGCGGCAAGAGTATGTGGGAGGCAATATCTGGAGAGACAGGAAGAAGAGCCGGACCTTTGCAGTGGTATTTGCACCCTGGGCGCCTCCCACCTACCCAGCCGTCCCGTACGAGATTGGTACGCAGGGCATTGTTTCTGTTCCCCAGCCCGTCGGGCCTCCAGCAGCCCCTACAGCGGTGGATGAAGAGCATGCAGACCTTCTGAATGAAGAGCTATGGGCCACAGATGAGGACGATGAGTTCCCCTGATCACGTAGTTTGGAGGGAATAGGTGGTCATGAGCTGCTCTGGTTGGGTACTTGATCGAGCAGAGAAAGGCATTTGGGAGTCTTCAGATAGTACAGCGGAATGGACGTGATGTACCAGGTAGTACTCTCTACACTTCTCATCGACACCTCCTCGAGTCGCTCTTCACGGTTCGATCCTCAGTCCACCACATGGAAAGCGTCAGGTAAAGGTGAAACGGTTGAATGTCATGACCCCCACTGTCATCCGCATCCAGTACAATGAATGGCTTCACTGAGTTTCACAACGCTCCCACAGATGTCGGGGCGCGACAGGGATGATTACAGAGATGTCCCCTCATGTCAGCCTGGATCAGGAATGTCGATGCGAGTTGGAGACTTCATTGGCCATCGATCACATTTGACAGAATGGTCGTTGATCATATGTACCTACTCTTCCACAAGCCCCAGGCCGCCAGCAACATGAATGGTCCTTGATTGATATCGAACGGCAGAGATGATGATGATGATGATGATGATGATGATGATGATGATGATGATGATGATGGCAGCGCCGGTGTTCGCTTGCTGCCCGCCACATACCAACTGAATCTCAGTTTGGATGGCGATTGAAATGCCTGTCAGGAGAAGTCCGATACGTTTCCATCCTGCTGAAATAACGCTCATCAGTGCACCACTTCCTCGTTTCTCCTTGAGTCGGTCCTATTTCACCTTGACTCAATCCATCTGCATTGCATCTGCATTGCTTCTTGTCAGCTGTCCTGTCCTGTCCTGTTGAGTTAGTCTTTTTGTTCACCCAAGTCCTAAGATGAGTGCTGCCAATGGACCCATCGTAGCAAAAAAGACGCACAAGCACCCTCTCGACCAGCTGAGTGGCGACGAGGTCGAGGTCGCTCGTCAGGCCGTCCTGAAGGTCCGAAAAGCGCATCTCATCTTTCGCAACATCTACACCGTTGAGCCACCCAAGGCCGAGCTGGTTGAGTTCCTCAAAGCCGAGCATGCTGGCACCGTTTCGGCAGACACGCCGCGCCCTCCACGGCAGGCTCGCGTCCAATACGACGTCGTCTACGACGACCAAAGCCATGAGTACTTGGAGTCCATCGTCGACCTTGCCACGGGCAGCGAGGTCAATCTGAAACGAGTGGACACAGGCGTCCAGCAGTCCTTGACGCTAGACGAATTCAAAGAGTTCAACGAGGTCTGTGTAGAATCAGAGATGTTCAAACAGGCCATCAAAGAGCTTGATCTCGACGAGAAATTCGACATTGCCATCGACCCCTGGCCATACGGTGGGCCTGATGTGGGAGAAATCACTCCGCGGTGGGTTGGCCTGCCGGGTGGTGTGTGGTTATGTGCTTCTCCTGACTTCCTATTCCAGATATACGCAAGGACTTTGCTTTGCAAAGAGGCGACATGAGAACCCCGATACCAATCATTACGCCTTCCCTCTCCCCATCATACCCGTGATGGACACGAACAAAAAGGAGATCATCCGCATCGACCGCTTGGCCACTGGGGGCACCGAGGACGGTCTGGAATATGGAACCGCGGACAAGAACGTGCTGGAGCACTGTCGCCCCGCCGAATATGTTCCAGAGCTGCTAGACATCCCTCTCCGGAAAGATCTGAAGCCGCTGAACGTTTTGCAGCCCGACGGCCCTTCCTTCACGATGAGCGATGATTCATTGATCGAGTGGCAGAAATGGAGATTCCGAGTTGGGTGTGTGAGAGCTCTGTCTGGTCCGATGCGCAGGCTGGTTGCTAATGTGCCAACAGATTCACGCCTCGAGAGGGCGCGGTCCTGCACGACGTTCATTACGACGGACGGAGTGTCCTGTATCGCCTGAGCTTGTCGGAGATGACGGTGCCTTACGGCGACCCGCGACCCCCTTTCCAGAGAAAGCAGGCATTTGATTTTGGTGATAGTGGCGCCGGACGAGCGGCTAACAACCTCGCTCTCGGCTGCGACTGTCTCGGTGTCATCAAGTACTTCGACGGCATGCTTGTTGACTCGGAGGGCAGACCCTCAGTGTCGAAGAACGTTGTCTGTATCCATGAACAGGATAATGGTATTGGATGGAAGCATACCGACTTCCGAACCAACCGAGCCGTGGTGACGCGGTCAAGGGAGCTGGTCGTCCAGTTCATCATCACTCTAGCAAACTATGAATATATTTTCGCATTCAAGTTCGATCAGGCTGGAGGGTAAGTTCAAGTTGCGTGTCAAAGATTCCAGTTGTCAAGCTACGATGACCCAAGACTGACTTTCACCCACTCACCCGCAGTATCACTGTCGAGACACGAGCCACAGGCATCGTTTCAGTCGTCAACATCGACCCTGGCAAGGTCAGCCCCTACGGCAACGTCGTGTCACCAGGCGCCCTCGCACAAAATCACCAACACATCTTTGCGGTCCGGATCGATCCCGCCATTGACGGCCATGCGAACACGATCTTCACGGAAGAGTCGCTGCCAGTCCCGATGAATCCCAAGACCAACCCATTCGGCAATGGCTACGAGGTCGTGCGCAAACCAGTGACCAAGTCGTCTGCCATCCACGCGTCTCCTTTCACGAATCTGACGGTCAAGATGGCCAACCCCAACAAAATCAACCCGATTTCCCAGCGGCCCGTTGCGTACAAATTCATTCCTTCGCCATCGCAACTAATGCTCGCGGATCCCGAGTCCATTGTGGCCAAGCGGGCGGCCTTCGCTCATCATCATGTTTGGGTGACCAAATACAGGGACGAGGAGCTCTTTGCGGCCGGAGAATTTACAAACCAGTCCCTGAAGGAGATTGGCGGGGTTGCGGACGCGGTTGCCCGCAATGACAAGGTCGACAACGAAGATGTGGTGGTGTGGAATGTCTTTGGGCTTACTCACAACCCGCGAGTGGAGGATTGGCCGGTGATGCCTGTTGAGATCCACCAGCTGGAGCTGAAGCCCGCGGACTTTTTCGAGAGGAACCCCGCGTTGGACGTTCCTGGGACTAAGAACCTGAGCAGTGTCGAGATCGGACGAGATGAGAATGGAACATGCTGCCATACCGATGGCACGACGAACGGCACGGCGAACGGGAATGGCTCAGTACAGGCGGCTCCGACTTCACATCTGCAAGGGACCGGGAGCATACGGGTGGCAGATGTCAATGGGCATTGAAGGATGATTTGAAGGGGATTGAAGGATACCACAATATACGGAAGATGTGTAGAGAGAAGTGCTATCCACACCATACTGAAGGAGAAGAAGGACGAAAAGGGACAGAACAATGTTGTCCTGAGCAACCAATCACAGACATCTCATGTCAGGTCAGGTCTATTGTTAGTTGGTCTAGAACACTCTAATACTATATACCTATCCACACTAGAACGTTCAAGTTCGTGACTTTAGTCCTAAGGTGGTAATAGCACCCCTAAACCCGCCTTGGATACCTTGATAATGTCATTTAAGGTATGTGAGGTACATACTAGTACGTACCAAGTGATCCCTAAGATTTTTACGTAGCAGTGACTACCAGCAGGATAGATGATCATCGTCCACTGCATCTAAATGCAGTGATTTCCCGCAGTGCGTACAGCTGTAAGTATCCGAGACTCACTATGAGTTAGGTAGGTAGGTACCTAAGGTACCTAGTACGTAGATACCTAAGGTACCTAGTACGTAGATACCTAAGGTACCTAGTACGTAGATACCTATTCTCTCTGCTCTCTGATTACTACATATTAGGTAGTAGGTAGTACCTCGGTACCTAATTGAATGAATGCTTTGAGGTCGCACCGCCGCGCGACTAACAGCAAGGCCCCGTTATTTTCGGCATCTACGGAACGCCAGGAAGGAATATGATTTGCTGGCCATGGCACTGGACCCGATCCAAGACCTCCTGCAACTTGGGTTTGCCCATTCAAATTCTTCGCTGCCGTTAGCACTCGCACTCGCACTCGAAGAGATGGTGAGCGATGGCGGGACAGACGGAGGACAATCTGGACCGCCTCTCGACCTGACTGGCTGCACACGCTGGTCTTGTGCTCCGTTCTTTTTCGCTTTTCAGACAATTCCAGTAGCGGAAGGTTGGCACGCGACATCGCACTGCGGCCTGGGCGGCAGATTACTAGGTACAGGTAGGTACTCTGTACATGTATGATCCTTTCCTGCGCTCGCTTGCTCACTCTCCGCCAGAAGTCTGCTACTACTCTGTCTGCCAGTGCGACGTTGCTCAGGCCGTGTCTCTTCAAGTTCTGCGAGCAACTGTTATCTCACCTCCTACCTACCTACTACCTAGCCAAACTTACTACTACTAGTGGGCACCTATCCACCGACCTGCCAGCGCCATGATATGAGCAAGGCTGCATCCGACAACTATTCTCCTTCCCTGTTGTCTCATACTGGGCGCCTTCTTCTTGCACAAACTACATGTAATCATGATTCACTGATCTCAACATCCAGCTGGCCACCTTACTCTATACATCATACTTCAGTGGTGCTTTCCTGCGCAGGCCAGAACATCGAGCCTAATACAGTCTTCACTCCTCTCCGACCATGAACCTCGACCCTCTGGACGTTGATCTCCTCAGCCAGCAATCACCATGTTCTCGAGCAACTGGCTCCTCGTCGTTCTCGTTACCTTCTTGGTGACTCCGTTGAGTCGTGGCCAGTTGACACCCTCATTCTCCCCCTCGGCCACCCTCTCGCCCTCCTCCTCGCCGTCCGCCCTGCTCGACGCAGGTGAGCCCTCCGCGTCCGCGTCCGCTTCTGCGACTGCCCCTCCAAACCCCGACCGAAACAAGTACTTCCATGAGCCTGGTGGCGACGACCTCCTGCACCATTACGATGCTCGCTTTTTCCAGAGGATCGTGACGGACGAGGAAAGAAAGGACACTTTGAGACATCTCATCCGGGCATACTTCCTGACATTTGAGTACCTGGGCCTGGAAACCTGGATCGCACACGGCACCCTGCTCGCATGGTACTGGAATGGCAAGGTCCGAGAGAGAAATTCACATGCAACCCTGGGCGTTGGCTGACCCTGACAGATTCTACCCTGGGATTGGGACTTGGACACTCAAGTCACCGATCAAGGCTTGAAACTTCTCGCAAAACACTACAACCAAACCTACTACGATTATGAGGAAGGCGATGGTCAATCGAAGCGACGCTATTATCTCGACGTGAATCCCTGGGCATGGCAGCGAGATCGCGGAGATGGTGCCAATGTAGGTGTAACCACCCTGGCCGCCTGAGAGAAGGACTAACCCGGCCGCATAGATCATCGATGCCCGCTTCATCAGTGTTGACAATGGCCTCTTTGTCGACATCACCGGCTTGTCCGAAGTGTACCCTGATACCGAGCCCGGTATTATCATGTGCAAGAACAACCACCGTTACCGACTAAGAGATATCTTCCCGCTGAGGCACACCTATTTCGAAGGCGTCAAGGCCAAAGTGCCCTTCTCGTACGTCCCGATTCTAACGGAAGAGTACAGTGACGCGGCGTTGGTGCGGACCGAGTTTCAGGAACATCGATGGGACGCAAACAGTCGCGAGTGGTTGAAAATCCCCAAAGATCAGGATGTCGTCAAGGAAGAAGGCGGATCCAAGCGTGGTGTCTCTATGAAGGATGATGGTGCATATGCCTGAAGCCTGATTTGAAGACGCACATCAAGAGGGGCCCAAGGTACTACTAGTAGTAGATTACATACAGTTGGCACCTGTGATTATTCTCGGCATATTATTGGTTACAATGACAACCCAGACACATCACTCGATGTTCTTGCGTTCTATTGTTGCGCTGTATACTGGTAAGGTAGAGTATCAATCCACCTTAAAGTAACTGTAGTACGTACCACGGTAGAGAGAAGTAACCCTGAAAATCTTTGGGTTCCTGCGCCCGGATCTCGGGTGGCTCCGTGGCTAAAAATGCCGCCTTTCGACCTATTACTAAGGATTCGGAGCTCAAGGGCCCCTGCAGTGATGCTCCAGATCGACGTGCGTCATAGGCTTGCACGGGGGCGAGTTACGGGCTAAGGGGCTTCAAGTTCGCAGTGTAATTGGGAGCCTTAGCATGCGCCGCCGCCTCTCTCCGCTGATTAATTCAGATGGCTTCCAACTGTGCAACAGCATTTGGTCGAATGGCAAAGAATCAATTCCGCCCAGTCCCTTGGTGAACCCGCACCTTTCTCTTTCTATACCTTGTCTATCATATTGACTGGATGGCCTCAACAAAACCACACCATTTGAGATTGAGATATCTTTTATAATACCACTCGAACCTAGACCCTATGCGGATTCAATATCGAGATGAGACCCTCGACCTCGAGGATGTTAACGACGATACCATCAGTGGCCTCGCTGTACGATGCGCAGAGAGAATCGGCGCCGACGTCGAGCGGGTGTCTCTCTTCTTCCTGCCGAAACCGGGCTTCATCAAACACCCGTTTCCCGATCGCAAACTGAGTGACTTCCTTACGCCTGCCACGCGCATCAAATTGGTTGGCGCCCCAAAGTCCGAGATCAAGAAGTTGGACGACATGGCGGCTACCAGCCGAAGGACATCACGAGCCAGCACCGTCAAGCCCGTCCAGGCAAACAAGAGCCGGGATTGGAAGAAGGTGCAGGAAGAAAGCAGGTACACTTTCCACGCTATAGAATCCCTACCATACCTACCGAACCCGGAGAAGAGTCGAAGATATCTTGAGCGCTTGGCCAACGACCCGGGGATCAAGGCAGCCATGCGCAAACACCAATTCAGCGTGGGGCTACTCACCGAGATGAACCCGGCGGAGCATACCACACACGAATCCCGGACCTTGGGATTGAATCGAAACCGCGGCGAAGTGATCGAGCTGCGCCTCCGGACGGATCGGTATGACGGATACCGAGACTACAAGGTCATCCGCAAAACACTCTGCCACGAGCTTTCGCACAACGTGTGGGGTGAGCATGATCGCAACTTTTGGAACCTCACCAAAGAGATCGAGCAGGAGGTGGAGAGGAACGACACGCTTCACGGGGGCCACCGTCTGTCGAGTGAGGAATTCTACAATCCCGACGACGTGTATGAGGACGCGGAGCATGCAGACCACGGCGGCTGGACCGGTGGCGATTTTGTGCTGGGGCGATCCAACGATGCTCCCGGCGAGGCTGGCTTGAGTCGGCGAGAAATCATGGCCCGCGCTGCCATGAGCAGGCAGCAGAAGGAAAAGGAGGCGCGACAACGCCAGGAGCCATCATCTTCAGCATGAGCGATTTGTGGCGAAGCGACCGGGAATTGCTGTTTTGATTTGGCTGGTAGATCGGATTGTTTGACAGCAAGGCGTTGGTGGTGAACAGAATGTCGTAGACATACGCGTCTACATACATGTAGCATGCAATGATTATTCCATCTGCTCTCCCGTGGCATTATTGGGAAGCTTGAAGCGATGTGAATGATCTTCCCTTGAGGCGCTGCAGCGCGTGTCCTTGAATTCCAAGCTCATTGGCGTAAAGCGCCTCCCGTGGCACAGAAGGGAGAATACTTGGACGGTCCTCACCCACGATATCAATATCGATATCGATAGACCGTATGAAAAAGACACTGCAATAGGGGGAAATCGAATCCGATGGAGTTAGAGTAGGACTAGTAGACCATGTTGAGTGATGTTTTGCCCTCTGTAGAAGTTTTCATCCTCGAGCACACAGACAACCGTGGTTTAAGGCCTCATCAACCTGGTTTTGGCCTTCCGCATCTCGGCCAGCTAGGTCAGCGGCTGTCGGACTCCAGTCGAGGGCCAGGGGATTCCAGTATTTGGTTGGACCTGCATCTGCCATCGACGACCAAACGCAGGAGCCGCTGGAGTTGAAGCAGTCGAAATCCAGATACCTGACAGAACGGTGACAGCAGATTTGGCAGTAGTACATATGAGGTACCTTACCCGAGGTAGTAGCACAGTGGTAGGTAGTAGTAGGACCGTCGACGTCAGTGTCAGCAACGCAGTGGAAGCAACGCAGTGGAGGACAGCGCAGTAGTATGTAGTAGGCAAAAGTGACTTCTTGAGGACTGAGGATTGGGGACCATGGCGGCGATAAGAATTACTATTTGCAGTCAGTGCTGCTCGGTCAGTCAAACCCCGAACTCTACGCCCTTCTACGATACGTAGTACTGCAATATAGCACTACGACTGCGATAGAATCTCCACCGATCTCAACTCCACACCCCCAAATGACTCTTTTTTCCCTCGCTTTCTTCCCCTTCTTCTCGAAATCAAGGCTTGTCGCTGTTGTCCTGCTGAATGCCTCAGCTAGAAGGAGCCAGGCCTCTGGTGCCCTCTGAGAATTCGGGTCCGGCTCCTGTCTTGGGCGCAGCCTTCAGCCGCCGCTTCAGCGAACAATACTCCGATCTCGCTCGCGTCGCCATCATGAGCAACGCCTCTACCACCTCTACCACCTCTCCCAATCCTAACGTCGAAGCCTCACTGAATCTTGTCGCAAATCCCCCAGGGCTTATGCCTCCTCCCAAAACCGCTTTTGGACGGGCGTCCTCCAGCCTCACCCCCAACAAAATACCACCCAATCCTACGAATGCTTTGGGAAGGGCCCTGACTGATACTCCTGCGTCCAGTGCACCCACCAGCCCCCAAATGTAAGTGATACGCCTGGAATCCTGGCGCGGTGCAATGCAACGCAACGCAACGCAAGAGACCGTGTTGACTGACTCCTGTCCTGTCTCCAGACTTGCCCGTACAAGCGCCAGTGTGTCTGGCACCACCACTCCCAAAATCCGCGCTACAACCCTCGACATCCCCGGCCTGACTCGCTCCAAAGTCTCGCCTGACGGGCGGATCTCGGAAAGAGATGTCGGAGCCAAGCTGGTCATCATCATGGTCGGCTTGCCAGCTCGAGGGAAAAGCTACATCACCAAGAAGATCGCCCGATATCTGAACTGGTTACAACATCCCACCCGAATATTCAATGTTGGCGACCGTCGCAGAGTGGCGGCTGGCAGAGGGCCACCAATGCCTGACCGGACAGAGGCTGCTCTTCGGGAGTCCGTCCGGCGCATGAGTTCGACCACTGGCGGGCCTTCGACTATAGTGGACCACGGCGAATTTCTGCCTCCGCCAGCCATGAAAGCCGAAATCCGTGTCAACGATGAAGCCAGTTCTTCGTCGCCGACCAGCCCCCGCCAGACGAACGATTCTGCCGTACCTGATAAGGATCAGGATCAGGATCAGGATCCGATCTTGCTCTCTGCCCCGGAGCCGATAGATCAGTCCGCTCGGTTCTTTGACCCCCAAAATACCCGCGCGAAGCTACTCCGGGAACAGGTTGCCCATCAGGCACTAGATGAATTGTTGAAGTACGTGTTGGAGGAAGGCGGCTCTGTCGGTATCCTGGACGCGACCAATCATACACAAGAACGACGCATGGCGTTGATGAAACACCTTCGTGAACGGGACGAGAACATCAATGTCCTGTTCATCGAGTCGCGGTGCCAGGACCAGAACCTGCTTGAAGCCAACATGCGACTGAAACTGTCGGGTCCGGACTACCGTGGCAAAGATCCTGTTGCGGCGTTGAAGGACTTCCAGGAACGGGTCCGGCAGTACGAGAAGTCCTATCAGAAGTTGGATGCATTAGAGGAAGAACACAACATGTCCTACTGCTCCATGATCGATGTAGGCCGGAAAATGGTCACTTTCCAGGTCAAGGGGTTTCTTTCCATTCAGACCGTGACCTACTTGATGAATTTCAACCTGGCTCCGAGACAGATCTGGATCACGCGTCATGGAGAATCCATGGACAATGTCAATGGCAAAATTGGAGGGGACAGCTCGTTGAGCCCCAACGGGGTGAGGTATGCTCGAGCACTTAGCAAATTCATCGAAGCACAGTGGAAGATTTGGGAAGCGAACCAGGCCGAGAAAAAGGCCAACACACATTTCCCGCCTCGGCCGGGTGACACGACACCTCCCAACCCGGCCTACACGGCCCAAACTCTGCAACAACGAAACTTCTGCGTGTGGACGAGCATGTTAAAGAGGAGTATCGAGACCAGTCAGTTCTTCAACGAGGATGACTTCGATGTCAAACAGATGCGAATGCTGGACGAGTTGAACGCTGGGTCCATGGAGGGCATGACCTACATGGAAATCCGAGACAAATTCCGCCAAGAGTACGAGCTTCGAAAGCGTGACAAGCTGCACTACCGGTACCCTGGCCCGGGCGGCGAAGGATATCTGGACATCATCAACCGCCTGGGAAAGGTGATTCTCGAGATCGAGCGGATGACAGATCACGTCTTGATCATCGGCCACCGAAGCATATGCCGCGTTCTTTTGGCATACTTTATGGGTCTCGACCAGGAAGACATCAGCGATCTGGATGTGCCGTTAGGGGTGGTGTACTCGCTCGAACCGGTAAGTCATGATGGATTTTTCCATCGAGGTATTCTTGCTGATATGAAAATGCACAGAGACCTTATGGTGTTGATTTCATGGCGTATCGGTGGGACCCAGCCACTGACGAGTTTCGACACGAGCCTGACTATCAAATGAGGCGAGCCACCGACCCACAAGCAGCCTGATTGGGACTTTTCCCTGTCCCATGACCCATGACCCATGATACCCCCGTTCCTACTCCTTGATTTCACGGCCATGTTTTGTGGCATTTCTCTTGTATATATTAACTTTATGGATTTAACAGCATCTTGTCGACGAACCCTGGTCATTTTATCTTCTCCCATTTGGCGTTGTTTGCGACTGGACTAATGGCTTTGGGGTTGGCAGGCAAGATAGCTGTTGGCATGTTCGGCCCAATGGCATATCTCGCATCAACTCGTGGGTGGACTGGTAGATTGCAGGATTTGTGACGCTTCGGGATATGGATGATTTTTGGACAAGGAGCGCTGGCGTCGAGGAATTGCTGCGGGCGTGGGCATAGAGGGTCCCCATTGCTCGCCGGTCGCAAAGATCCGAGACTCTTGCCAACGAGCTGGTACGGATACAGGCGCACAAAAATGGCGATTGAGAAATCCGGCTATGGGTTTCAGCGGCGGATTTGTGTTTACAATCTGATATGAACAGACATGCGGAGTACGGATACCCCTTAGAAGCAACAGGAATGATAGCCCTTGTGCAAGTAATCGTAATGATTGACGACGATGATATCTGTCAACCTTGGGTCGTAGGATTATACCATCTATATTACCTACCTCCCTATATGGCAAATATATATATACCTTGAGTACCTACCTCAGGTAGGTACCCAGGTAGATATACTATATGCCTTACACAGTATGTACTAATATCACAGTACAGAAAGATTATCTAATCTAATCATATCTTGGCACACATCATACCCGGTGTTATCCTGGGAGCTGTGATTGGCTGCTGGCTGACGACCTCATGTGTCTTCCAGTATTCTCTTGCTCTACTTCCTCTTCGATTGCATACACCATCCACCTCGGACTACCAGAAGAACAAAGTATTCATATTTGGGACACTTGCAAAATATATCTCGAATCCACAAATGCTTACCTCTGCAATCTACTGTGCCAGTGACATGACAAGCCTTCGACTCACCAGCGCTGAGTGGGAAACCATGAACCCGCCGTGCCAATAACAATTGGTGAGCTTGTCATCTATCATCTCTAGTAAGCGAATTCAAGCAGTACTACAGGTACTTGTGTGTTTCAGCTTTCAATCAACCAAGTGCCCATTGTGAGCTTCAAGCTTCAAGCTTCAAGCTTCACCGGGGCGTCTTCGTCGCAGCATAACAGCAGGCGGGGCAAGACGTCGGCGAGTTCGAATCCGTCTCGGAGCAAGTGCAAAACATTCCTAGCAGACCCTGCGAGGCTCACAGTTCTGTTTCTTAGTCGAAAGATGCCGACTCTCCTCGTTTCGAACTTCAACATTGCCTGTGCGGTCCTGGGCGGATTCATCACTCTGTTCGGCCTGGTTAGCTACCTCTTCAAGGAGCGTTTCTATCTCTCGGAAGCATGTACGTGCACCCGAGAACCTTCATCTCATCTGTGAGTGCTGTTCCCGCTCTGACACAAGCCATGTAGTGATATCACTGGTTGCCGGCATCATCTTTTCTCCACACGCCACGAATTTTGTCAACCCGCTCGAATACGCCGGTGGCTCGCCGGAAACCCTCGAGCATATCACACTTTACTTCTCCCGTCTTGTCTTGGGCGTTCAACTCGTCCTTGCCGGTGTCCAGCTTCCTAGTCGTTATCTGTACACCGAATGGAGGTCTCTGGCCCTCCTGCTGGGACCCGGCATGACCGTCATGTGGCTGTGTGCCAGTTTGTTGATCTGGGCCATGGTGCCGCACCTGGGCATCCTGCACGCTCTGGCCTGCGGTGCCTGCGTCACTCCCACCGACCCCGTCTTGTCCAATTCCATCGTCAAGGGCAAGTTCGCCGACAAGAACATCCCGAAGCCCCTGCAGAAGATCATCATCGCCGAATCGGGCGCCAACGACGGCCTCGGTTATCCCTTCCTGTTCTTGGCCTTGTATCTGATCAAGTACACGCAGATGGGAGGCGCCGGGCAGTCGGGCGGGGCGGCCAAAGCCATGGGATATTGGTTCGGCGAGACCTGGGGATACACCATCCTACTCAGTGTCGCCTATGGAGTGGCCGTGGGTTGGATCGCAAAGGAGCTCCTGCACAGGGCCGAAGAAAGGAAATTCGTTGACAGAGAGAGTTTCTTGGTGTTTGCCATAACTCTGGCCCTCTTCATCACCGGCACCTGTGGAATGATCGGCTCCGACGATGTCCTCGCCTGTTTCGTGGCTGGGAATGCTTTCACCTGGGATGATTGGTTCCGGATCGAGACAGCCGACGACTCTCTGCAACCGACGATCGACATGCTGCTCAACATATCCATTTTCCTCTGGTTCGGCGCCGTCTGTCCGTGGGCCACTTTTCGGACCAACGACATCGTCCCTCTGTATCGACTGATCTTTCTGGGGATTTTGATTCTCCTTCTCCGCCGGCTACCCGTCATTTTGGCCATGCACAAGAACATCCGTGAGATTGAGGAATTTCATCAGGCTGCGTTTGTGGGCTTTTTCGGCCCCATTGGCGTGTCGGCCATCTTCTATCTCTACCTTAGCCTGGACTTCCTTAACCAGATCACGGTCGACGGAGAGGTCCGGGAAGATGCCCGACATCTGGGAGAGGTGATGCGGGTGGTGGTCTGGTTCTTGGCAATCTGCAGTATTGTCGTCCACGGTCTGTCAGTGCCGCTGGGAAAATTGGGCTATCATCTTCCCAGGACCATGTCACAGGCGCTCAGCAGCGAGAGAGAGGAGGATGAGCCTGAATTATCTGTACATCATCATCAGCGGCGAGGGATCCAACTACGCCGGAGAAAGAAAGTGGGCCGAAGTGACCAGGCACCGGCTGCTGGGGCTTTCGTTGTCGGTCGCCTACGTCCGCAACATGACAGCGCACAAGGAGGTTCGGACGAACCTCACCGGCCGGTTCAGTTCATCAACATGCCGCCAGCGGGGGCTCAAACACCTGTTCACGAAGGACGCGAGACAGGAGGATCTATCGAACCATAGCCGGGGCCGCCAGATGCACCGAATCTCCATGCCAGCATAAAGAGAGGCTTCCAACCCCGGGAGGCTCTGAACATGAAGCCAATATATTACCAGATGCAACTCGACGTTATGCCACGCTCTTTGGCTTTTGTGTGCACCCGTGACATCAAAACAAGAACAGTTACAAGTCGTCTCCTCTTCGATTCATAGTGTTCACATTCAGGCCTGTGACGGCTTGCGTAGAGGACTGTAAAGTACCTCTATAATAGAACAGCTACAGATGTAGAATGATGGCCGGGTCTCAGTGACGAGACCTGTGGCATCCATCCTCAGCGCGCCAAACCACTGGGCCGTATAGACTCCGTGGACAATCATTAAGTAGATAACCTTCTTTGCATGTGTCTACAGAGTCGTGTTCGGCGTCAGACACGGACGGCTTCTTACCCCGCGTCGCAGGCATGGCGTGGTAGTACGACGACGGGCCACACGACTACTACTTTCATCACGAGTCAACAACGGGCTTTGCAGTTCTTTACATGGTCACAGCAAGAGAGACTGCCCACGTTGTGTTCAAGTTGACCACTTCTTACCCACTGCCGCTCTAGGAGTAAGGACTTCACTCTGACCAAGACTGAGGATGATGGTCTAGTGCTCCTTTTGTTGGACGAACCACCATCGCTCGTGGGCCTCATCCAAGTTCAATAAATCCTCCTACTTAAATCACGACCACCTGCGCAGTGCTCGTCCATCCTCGAGACTCTACTGCGCAGTCCCCTCGCCTTCCGGTCAATCTGCCTCGAATTCGACACCTAGGCGTCGTTTCTGTCTCCTGTCGGTTTCGTGCACTCATGGCCCAACCCTCGCTCGCCGCCCGAACCAACGATGCCTCACGGGCTAGTCCCAGCTTCGCCAACACGAATGGCATCGCAGGAATGAAGAGAAAGAGAACACCGGAACGCAAGTTCTACGCCGTCAAAGAGGGGAAGAATCCGGGCATCTACGACACATGGCCGGAATGTCTCAGTCAAGTCAAAGGACACAAGGGCGCCCAATGTATGACCCTCAGCTACAAGGAAACTCGGTATGGAAGCGGTGCTGACAATAACGTAAGACAAGGCTTTTCAATCCCTTCAGGAAGCTCAGGCTTTCGTGGACGGGCGACTCCCTGCGAAGACGACTCCCGGGAACCCGAAATACTATGCCGTCCAAAATGGAAGAGTCCCGGGTGTCTACACGGACTGGCCACAAGCTCAGTCGCAGATCAGAGGTGTCTCCAAACCAAAGTACAAGAAGTTTGACACTCGAGCGGAGGCGGAAGCCTTTGTCGCCGCGGGAAAGAAAGCCAGCACCTCGAAATCGGCACAGAACCTCAACCCCGATGAGGAAATTCGGCGCCTGATTGTTCAGAAATCGGCGCCCGGATTGCAGCTGAATGGCACGTATGCGCCGACTGACAAAGATGGCAATCCCTACGATATCGGTCGGAGACCTCTCCCTCCTGGTGCGGAAGATGGCTACGACCCAAACATCAAGCTGGCCCCCGATGGCTCGCTCGTTGATCGCACAGATGAGGAGAAGAATCGGACCAAGAAGGTGATGAGGGAAAAGGAGCGTCCAGGCATGCTACGGATCTACACCGATGGCTCCAGTCTGCGGAACGGTCAGGCCGGAGCGAGAGCCGGCGTCGGAGTGTATTTCGGACCACAAGACCCAAAGTATGATGACCTTCCGCTATCCACATCCAGATTGACCCCCAAACATCCTCGTTCCCTGCCCTCCAAACCTCATCTTGTGTATACCATCGACTGGGCGCAGAGACAGAGAAGCCCAGACCCCGACCAGGTTATGCCGAACAAGAAACGACGAAGAGGAGCCCGTGGCGAAGCAGAGAAAGACAAGCTAACGAATTGGCGTTCTAGAAATATCTCCGAGGCGCTGAAGGGCAGCAAGCAGACCAACCAGCGGGCTGAATTGACCGCCATACTCCGAGCACTGGATATTGCGCCTCGACATCGCGACGTCACTATCTACACGGACAGCAAGTATTCCATTGACTGTGTGACCAATTGGTATCGGAATTGGCAGAGGAACGACTGGACCAACGCCAAGGGGAAACCGGTCGAGAACAAAGACCTTGTGGTGGACATACGCGACCGAATCGAGGAGAGGGACGAGCTCAAGAAGCAAACACTCTTCGTCTGGGTCAAGGGCCATCAAGACAACGCCGGCAACATTGCGGCCGACAAGTTGGCCGTGGAGGGTGCGGCTATGGGCCGAGGCATCAAAGGAGCAGAAGTTGATGATGAAGCTACGGCCGGCAAAAATCATGCAGGTCACAGAGCGGGCAACACCGCTGGCGTTGGTGGCGAGGAAGATGACGAGACGAAGGCGGCATTTGAAGCCATGGAGCGTGCCATGGATGAGGATGGCGATGACGAGTTCAAATGAGGTAAACATGGTGTCCGCGGGTCAGAGCAGTATTGAAATCATGATCCAGTGTACATATAACGCTTCTGAACCTGACTCGAGTGGTTGCCGATCGCTTCCACTGTATCCTTCAACTCAAGTCGAGTCTAAACTCTGTAGGCCAGCATGATACTGCCGCCTGACGTTGCGCAAAGGGTTCTGGCTCATTATCTCGCAGACTTAGGTCTTGCACCCTTCAGCCCCGTAGCGGTTCCCCGACAAACAGATCAGTCCAGTATTCTTACAAGCCTTGCATTGGTCGGTTTGCCGAACGTCCTATTCCGACTTCCGTAGGGTTGGGATTTCGGGTTCTCGGGAATTGGGAGCTCGACAAAGATGGTGAGAGATAGATGTATACGGCATGCTCGTCGCAGCGAGTACATGAACATGACGGTAGGCGGCCGTCTCGAGGCACGAAGTTCTGAACGTTGAAACTGCGTAGAGATGTGTGATATCGGTACCAGATACCATGAATGAGCTATGCTGCCTGGCCAGTCGTTCGTAGCACGAGATGGTTCTTACACCATGTGTTGCTCCATTGTAGCTTATAATGCGAATATCGTGGCGCCTGGTCGGAGTACAGCCCGAAAAGACGCATTTCTCTCTCATGTCAATTTACCAGTCACGGCTCTCGCTGAAGCGTGAGATCGCTGGTATTGCCGTAGGAGGCATGTGTGTCCACAAGCCATGATGGCGGTCGCGGTCGCGGCAAAATGAGCACCTTGGTGATGCTGGCACATGGCGCGGTTCATTCATGCTCTGACCAAGGTATCCGCCGAGGCCATTGCCCGTATTTGAAGTTCGCGCCGCTGGGAATGCTCGATTCTCCCAAATCCAAACATGACGCTCAGGTTTCCAGCCTCAACGTCAAGACCAGCAGGGTGATGTAGGCGGCGATACTCAAGGCGGTGAGCGCGACGACGACGTTACCACTAGTTCTGAAGCGTTTCCTGCCCAGGCCATCGTCGCCCACCTCGCTGAAGAACTGGCGATTGCCTTGCTGGCGACGGTACGCGCTGACGACCAGCACGCCGGCGCCGTAGACGGCGAACAGGGCGCCGATCGAATAGAACTCGGAGGTGAAGATCTTGAGGACGATGAGCGCGAACGAGAACTGCGACAGCGAGGTGCGGATGTAGGCGCCTTCGAAGGTCCGTTGGGCCGCCCGCACTTCCACCAGCTCGTCGTTGGTCAGGTCGACCGAGCGCGCGCGGTGCATGCGCAATCGGAATTGGTCCTCGGCATGGCGAGACTGGAAGAGTCGAAGAGAAAGTTGGTTAGTTGAGAACTGAGAACCATGCGTACTACTAGGCTGGGAGCTTACAGTGAACATGTTGTCCTCCTATAGCGCATGGGCTGTAGTTGGCCGGGCTGGGTTCGTTCACATGTTACTAGGTAGTCAATGTGTGCTTCCTGAACATCAACATCTCCCTTTGGACGATCCGACGATCCCAACGCGGCGTGGAGGACGTGAATTGTTGCCGCTTTTATTCTCTACGTAACTGCGGGACAGACTAACCATTTCAAGTTTGACACCCTACTAATACTACTAGTACCTATGTACCTACCTACCTAGCAGACTGCTCAGCCTCGTGAGGTTGTATTCAGCCTTGCGCAACCCACTGGTGCCACCTGCCCCCAACAAGCCGCAGTTCTATCCGAGCGAAGTCGCCCGTCTCGTCCAATCGTGTAGTCTCTGATCTGCTCGGAGGATCAGACGCCGACAATTGCCTAGTACGTACTAGTACCTAGTACTGGGTCTCGAGGAGAACTCCGAGCCAAAGTCGGGGAATCAATTCTGATTGGCGTGACTCGGTCTCTGCTCTCCCATCATATCGGTCCTAGTATTTATTGATAAATCTGGTGGACACTCCATCTCCAATCGCCGCAGTTGTTATTTCGTGACATCCATTCCCCAGAAATGGTTGGTGCTCGTCCTCGATCCTCTGTACTTCCTTTTCTCTGAGACAATCCCGTGAAGGGATCTCTCTCACAAGCGGCCGCAGATATAAAGCAGAGATGTCCAAGCTCATAGATTATGCGGAAGGTGAGTCCGGGACGGCGGGGTTCATCCATCACGGCGCTTCAACTCTACTGTGCGCCAGGATGCATTGATCGCTAATGGACGATCGTATATAGTGCAAAAACACACCTCTAGAGAGTCGTGCTGGGTCATCCTCTACGGCCAAGTCTGGGATGTGACCAATTTCCTGCCCAACCACCCTGGCGGTGCCAACATCATCCTCAAACTCGCGGGCAAAGATGCCACCGAAGAATACGACCCCATACACCCTCCAGGCACTCTCGAAGAGAACCTGCCCAAGTCCGCGTGCATTGGACCTATCAATCCGACAACGCTGCCACAGCCTGTCAAGGCGGCGAAAGATGTTGGACCGGAACCGGACACCCAGGTGGAAGTGCCTTTAGCCGCCATGTTGAACCTGGATGATATCGAGGCCGCGGCCACCAAGAAGATGTCCAAAAAGGGGTGGGCCTATTATTACTCTGCTGCCGACGACCTGGTGAGCAAGCATTTCAACAACACAGTCTACAGACAGATCCTCCTGCGACCGCGGGTCTTTGTCAACTGCAAGGATTGCGATCTCAGCACAAGCTTTTTGGGTCACAAGCTGGATATCCCCATCTTTGTATCCCCGGCAGCCATGGCGAGACTGGCGCATCCCGATGGAGAATGGGGCATCGCGCAGGCGTGCAAAAAGTTCCATACAATGCAGATGATTTCCAACAATGCCAGCATGACACCCGAGCAGATCGTCAAGGACGCCGGACCGGGTCAGGTCTTCGGCTGGCAGCTCTATGTCCAGACAGAGCGGAAGAAGTCGGAGGACATGTTGGCCCGCGTGAACAAGCTGGATGCCATCAAGTTTATCTGTCTTACCCTCGATGCGCCAGTCCCAGGCAAGAGAGAGGACGACGAGCGTGGAAAATTCATTGTTGAAGACACGTCCCAAGCCATCAAAGACGCCGGTGGGAAGGAGCTGAAAGGTGGTGGTGGCATTGGACAGTCATTGTTCTTCGGCACGGATCCGACCTTGACGTGGACGGAGACATTGCCTTGGCTGAAAAAGCACACGAACAAGCCCATCATCCTCAAGGGCTTACAATGCCATGAAGATGCATATATCGCCGCCCAACACACCCCCCAGGTTCAGGGCATCATCTTATCAAACCATGGTGGCAGAGCAGCAGATACCGCACCTCCAGCGGTGCACACGCTGCTGGAAATCCGGAAATACTGCCCCGAGGTGTTCGGCAAGCTGGATGTGGTTGTCGATGGCGGCATCAAGAGGGGCACCGACGTGGTCAAGGCCTTGGCTCTTGGAGCAAAGGCTGTAGGAATCGGTCGCGGGGCTCTTTTTGGCCTTGGAGCTGGTGGCATCGAGGGGGTGGAGAGAGTGCTAGAGATCCTGCGGGATGAGACCGCCACAGCGGCCAGATTACTGGGTGTGGCCAAGGTGACTGAGCTCGGTCCATTGCACATAAATACCAGAGCTGTCGAGAGGGATGTTTATGACGGCCCTGCGAACTTACCCGGAATTGGGGGAGCCATGAAGGGTCTTTGGGTTCAAGCCAAGCTGTGAGGCACGAAATGTGGACGGTGGAGTGGTTGAATCTGTTTCTCAGCTTCGGCGTGATGTTGATGGCTGGCACGGCGCACTAGGTTTGGTCCACCGAGTTCAAGAGGTTCAAGCATAGAGAGGAATCCCAGAGTAATGAACCGATACACCAATGTTCTAGTCCCGGATCAGAATGCTTCCTGTCCAACGCCTGTGCCAAACCACGTTCGTAATTCATCGCTTTCGCTTTTCGGCCCGCCAATTCCGCCCGTATGGAAGTAGTGTGAAAGTCTCATGTTCTCGTCGTCCCCGTCGTCTGGCCAATCTGTCCTGGTTGCTGGTCCGCCCTTTTGCTCCAGCATGTCCTTGATGGTACCCCAACTGAACCTGCATTCGTTGCCGAAACCCCAAAGGGGGTCAACGGCCGACTTCAGCCAACTCACGCATCTGGCGTCAGAAGGATATCCGGAGCCCCAAGTAGCCGCATCTTCTGTAGAAGATGTCGAGTCCTGTTGGATGTACGCCTCCATGAGGGCTTCACAGCTGACATCCCGTGTTACTTTGGCGACGACACTTGCCGCGCTGACACAGGGGTACAAACTGTCCGCCTTCTTTTCCACCGTGATGTTAATGGTGGGAAAGATAAGCTCCAGTTTCTTCTGGTAGACAGATGGCTTGCCGATGGTGTCGACGTAGATTTCTGTAACATTGACGCCCCTGTCGAGGACGCCTCGGATCAACTCAACAGTAGCATCCATGGCTTGGGCGTTGAGATTGTACGATCCGCCATTCTTCAGCATTCCTGCTCCAATGTCCTGGGCACTGAGGGATTTGATGGCCCAGCCTGAAGACTGGAATAGATCTGTGTCGGCGGTGCAGACGGCTTTCATGAGATTGGCTCGGACGGCTGGCGTCAAGACTTTGGAGTCGTCGAAGTGGTGGGTGTCGGCCAGGAGAGATTGCTGGATCTCAATGGGTAGGTAGTAGACACCATACACCATCGGCCCGATGACAGGGCCACGGCCAGCTTCGTCCACTCCTAACACACACGGCGTCCCAGGCTCGGAATGCAGGTCACCTTTGGTAGTCTCAATGCCGGCGGGAATGCTGCTGTAGTGCGTGTAGGATTTACCTAGCAACAGGCTCTCGCGGTGGGCTTCGACGGAGGGCGGGACATGGACTGCCGTGACGACAACTTCGTCTTCCATTGTTACTGGTACGTTTTTTTGCGATATTCTGTGCCGAGTACAAGAAATTTGATGTATTCATGCATGAAGGTAGAAACATGTTGGTCATGTTGCAGTCGACGCGACATTGACCGGCGGACGCGTCAAAGAACGCACCTCGAACCGACGCACTCCACCGTAACACTTTATTCCGGTTACGGCAAAGTGTATCAATAGACGCCGAGAACGCTAACCCAATAAGTTCGCCTCGACAACAAGGCTTCCTCTTCAATGTTAACGAACGTTGGACGACCTCTCTCACTGACCATTGGACTTGTCGCGGAGGGCTCAGATCTCAGACCGGTGTTGAAACTCTTCTTGTTTTTTGGAGTTCGCATCTCAACTGCGGTCAAGATGGCCCCTCGCTCAGTGCCCCGCCGGCAACGCGACAATGTTGATTATTCGGCGATAGGAAAATTGGGAAGGTGGGATGCTGGCACGTCCCAAGGATGAATGGACCACTGACTGATCGGTTGCAGACGGACAGGCGTCACCTTGGACCAGCGACCGCTCGACGCCAACGGCATGGAAGAGATTTCAGGCATCTTCTCTTCCCCGCGCAAGCCATCTCCATTGAAGAAGATGACCACCATGGAGAGTGTGGAGGAAGGAAGCGCGTCGCCGGAGTCGGTGGAAGACCATGTCAACCCAAGTAAGTGAGGGTGTTGTTGCCGTTTTGCCGTTTTGCCATGATTCAAATGTTCTATCCTTGCGTCATTGATTCCAAAGTTAACGTGCCCGCAGACCCTAGTCGTACTCCATCCCGAACGCCTGCTTCTCGAGGCTCTACCAGAAGAAGATCAATGCTTCCGCCGAGGTCGACATCTCCAAAGAAGAGCGGGATTAGTGGAACGGCTAGGAAGAGCGAAGGGGTTGACATTTTTGCCTCAAGGAAAAGCCTACGACACGATGATGTTGAGGATCGAGAAAATACCCCGGTATCTACACCGTCTCGAAATGACCGGTCTCGAAGGTTCAGTTCGAGTCCGGAAAAGACGCCACTACGCGACATTGCTACAAACGGTGTATACTCGGGCGCGAAATCTAGGCCCTCGCTTGTGGACATTGAGCAATCCGACGTTGGGGGCCATGGTCCAGCCGAAGTCCACGAACCGGACTTCAACGGCGAAGCACTGCAACAGCCGCAGGCTGCCATCAGCGAAGTCGACGATTTTGTGCCACCTCCTGAAGAAGACGACGAATCCGAGCACGCTGATTCCCAAAGGGAAGAATCTGTGGAGCTCGGCGCTGCATCACTGGTTGATGATGAAGAGGCTGATGGAACATTCGAGCCGGAAGCTTCAGAGCCTCCGCCCGCACAAAACCAAGCGAACTCAAGGAAAAAAAGAAAGTCAGATGCGATAGACGAGGAAGCTCAGCGATCGCCTGTCCCGACTAAGGTTCGCAAGAGGGGAAGGCCGCCGCTCTCCGAGAAACTTCAGACTCGCGAGGAATCCAGCTCGAATGTCGCACCATCTGGATCAAAGGGGAAACGGCCGCTCAGGGCTAAAAGCCGAAACACAGGAATTTCTTCGCGGCAGCAGCAGGAACTGGATGTTGTCATTGAGAAGGTGAAGGCAAGGCCGGATCCCCCGAGATCGTTGTACATCCTTCGGCGGGAAACGCCCCTGGACGAGACGGTGACGCACACCAGAAGTGGGCGGGTAAGTATAAAGCCACTGGCATATTGGCGCAATGAAAGGTGTGTCTACGGCGGCAGTCCCGGTGGCGCAAGCTTGGACGAAGGGGCTCGATTCCCATTGAATAGTATCAAAGAAATTGTACGGGCTGAGGAGGCAGAAACAGTCACCGAGAAGAGGAAGCCAATGAAGAGGAAGAAGTCGGGCAAAAGCGCCACAGTGCGCAGAGCCAGAATCGAAGACTCGGAAGCCTCGAGTTCTGACATCGAGATAGACGGGGCTGGAGCCGAAGATGCTTATGCCGAAGCATGGGAGACCGAAGTCGGCACACTTCGCGGCAACGTGTCGGTATGGGACCAAGAAGAGCAAGCGCCATTGGAGCAAGAAAAGGAGGTGGACATCGCCCACGCACCGGCAGCGATCCAGACGCGCGAAGTCAAGAGCTCCAGCCTCCATGAGGGCCCGACCTTCAGATACGCCAAGCTGCTCAGCACTCGATTTTTTGGCACGGGGCTGGTAGAGTTGCCCCCTGGGGGAGTGAAGCGGCCGAAGAACAGTCGAACGATGCACATGGGTTTCTTCGTGGTCAAGGGACGGGTCACTGTCATGGTAGGCCCGATCGGTGGAGAAGTGACCGGTGGTATGACCCGTTTCAGTATTGGAAAGGGCGGCTTTTGGCAGGTTCCACGAGGTGAGTTTGTCCCTGAGACGCTGCTATGCTTTTTGAGACAATGCTGACCTCAATGGCGTAGGAAATCAATACTCCATCGAGAATGAACTCGACAAGACGGCGCGAATATTCTTTAGCCAGGCTTCTGAAACTTCGCCTCACGACGACGAGTCCTGATCCGAAGAGTGATGTTTGAGTAGTGGCTGGTGCTGTCATTGAGTCCATTTGATGACTCCGGCATTGGGTTGATGATGATGTCGAATGAGCTACGCCTCGAATTGAATGCTTCGGCACGTTTGCATGTAACATGACAATGAGACATGACCAGGTCTTCACGAATAACAGCCTGCTGTAGACTCATTCAGTAACATCCAAAGTGTCTGGCCTTCTGCAGGGCACGAGTGATAGCCCGGAGACTACATAGTCAGATTCATTTCTTGTTCGAATGGGTCCTTGTAGGAGAGTAAAGCGCTGGGCTCGGGGCAATCCTATGAGAGAAGAGCGAGTCTGGCATGATTTTCATAATCTCCTTTCTGATCGGACGTTGGTGTTGAGTGCGTGATGTTGTGTTTTATGTTCCACCGCTTCGTCGGACTGTACGCGACGTCCAGGGATGTCATTGCATTTCCTAATTTGCTGGGCGCTTCGGCGTTGGTAAGGCATTTCGGGTTGACACACCGAGGGATGGACCAATGCCTTTTTGTTCCAGCAGTGATCACTCTGTGTCGCATGTAGAATACCCACCTATTGTCTGCAACGGATAGGACCGTTGGACTAGGAGAGGCACAACACTCGATGTAGTCCTTTGGCCACCAGGCCATCCTGCTTGACGGCTTCGTCGCGGCCGAATAGTCTCACATACAGCCTCTGCTCAGGTAGTCCATCGCCTGCCTTCTCTCTACAACTCCTCCGTATCCTCGTCGAGGTCGTCGAGGTCGTCCAGCGGTGGGAAAGCCCCCACCTCCACCTTATCGGGCCTCGCAAACACCCCAAACTTGTCCCGACATTGAAACACTCTCTTCGTCTCATGTGATCCGTCTCCGGTCTCAACACTGACGCTGCCATCGTTCCGGCCGGCCGGTTCATCCAGCTCGACTCCTACCCACACGCAGCCAGCCTCCTTGATGCCGCCCAGCCCCGGAACCTCTCCAGTGAATCGGACGACGCCTCTGCGCGCATCATCGTTGCCTACGCGACACCTCTGCCCGACCTTGATGCCTCCGGCAGCGAGCTCCGCCTCATCATGGGTGCGTCGCTCATGCGCCTGCTCCTCAGGGGATTTTGTATTGGGGTCAAACCGGCCTAGCTTCTGGCGGCGCTTCCAGGCCAGCACGCTGTCCTCCAATTTCTCGTACTGTGATTCGGGCATCTGATACTTCTCAACCGACGAGAGGTCGGAGAAGTTGATCGTTTGTCTCGCGTTGGCAGGCCGCGTGTCGAGGACCTCGATCTCGGAGCCCCGACGTAATGCATACCTGGCATCGCCGACGATGGAGGACTCGTCGCCCAAGAAAATCCAGGCTCCATCGACGCCTCTGGTACGGAGTGACTGAGCGCCAGCCGGTATTCCCGTGACGGGCTCGAGTTTCGCCTTCAATTGCGCAATGGTCCATGAAGGTGTGACACGTCGTTCAGCAGCCAGCAGCGGAGCCGTACCAGGGTTTGCGTCGTTCGGAACAATAATTTGAAGAGGGATGTCAGGGGTAGTTGATGCCGACATCTTCGCTATCGCTGGGCCGGCTTCGTCTGTGAGGCGACGTTGGGCAGTAACAACGAACAGATGAATGCCGAATTCAGGAACTTAGTCTGCAGTGCTCGAAGGGCGTCAGGTTGTGGACTGAACATAGAGCAAGAGCGTTCAAAACATCTTCTGGTACTATACTACGTACTACGTGAAGATAAAGGTAGCTGCTTTGCTGTGCTGCCAGTGTGCTTTGGACTTAAAAGAAGTCAAATGACAAATGAAAAGACTCGAGCTTGGCCTGCTGTGGATGTGCTGATTCAAGTTCAGGTGGTCGGATTGAATAATGGATTATTGCATTTAATAGTAATGATAACAAACATCGCATCTCGTTGTTTTTCGTTCATCAGCGAGCTTTTTACACCTCCACACCTCCATACCAATGTGCTATTATTGATACCACCGCTGTTGATTTCAGGCATCCTTCCAGCGTGAACACGTAGCACTGACCACTGCACATTCGACAGTTGCTCCGCATCGTGCTGCCTTCAACATATCTAGTCGGCAAACATATCGCAGACAATCTCCTTTTGGCGCTCTTCCCAATCACAATCCCCCAGAGCGTCTCGACCATTCTCTCACGAGTTCTACCGCCATAAGCCCCTCGCCGTGCTAGTTAGACCACAGCTGCATTCGGCTGGATGATGCAACCACAGGTCTAAACTGGATACTGTTCGGTATCTGCTGGTGCTGCTTCGACTCCATTTGGTACGTCAAGTTCCATTTCGGAAAGGCGATGGCGCAGGATCTTCCCTGTGGCCGAACGGGGGATTTGCTTGACAAAGACCACGCCTCCCGTAAGACGTTTATACGAAATCAGCTTGGCCGCCACAAGTTGCTGAACGGCCTTCGCAGTCAATGGTGAATTCCTTCCAACCTCGCCAGCGACTGCATCCCCAGACGATTCGGCAGCAAAAGCGACAGGAGCACGCACGACGTATGCACATGGCAATGTCTCTGGGAGTCCAAGTCCATCATCGCGGGTGATGCCGACAACCGCAACATCTGATATTTGAGGATGCTTCATGAGCACGGTCTCGAGTTCTTGCGGCGCGACCTGCCAGCCCTTGACTTTCATGACCTCTTTAATCCTACCCTCATAGAACACTTTGTCGTCGAGAACAGAGACACGATCGCCGGTGCGATAGAACCCGTCCGAGTCGAAAGCATCCCGGGTCTTGTCGGGGTTTCCAAGATAACCGGTAAACAGCGTGGGTGATTTGATCAAGGCTTCTCCGAGCTGCCCATCCTGTCCGACATTCACTCCGCCGACGTCGACCAACCTCATCTGGACATTGGGTAACAAGCGTCCTACGCTTCCAGAAGTATCCTTTACATTCCAGTCGAACAAGGTGTGCCAGCCAGCCTCAGTTGTACCCCAGCATTGAGCAACCACAGCCGATTTGGACAAGACCTTGTACACCTCGGTCTGTACGCTTGCTGGCATGGGCGCGCCAGCACAGATGACATAGCGAAGGCTCCGAAGTAGATGACGTTGCGCGTGGGGGAGCTGGTTCAACGCCGCAATGATCGGGGGAACAAGTGGTGTGTCAGTGATTTCATGAGTGTCGACGGCTTGCAGAAAATCCTGCAGCACGAACCTGGGAAGAAAATAGGTCTGGATGCCAAGACGCAGAGGAAGGACAAGGGCCAGGGGTAGGGCAAAGGCGTGGAAGACAGGAAGACAAATGAGTTGTGATGGCTGCGAGGGAATGTCAGTTCGGATCGATTTGACAGCTGGAAGCCCAGGAAAGATGACAATACCTCATAAGACCTGGCATCGAATTGACGCTCCAAGAGCGTACTTTGTGTGACGATGGAACGATGTGGAATCATGGCAGCCTTTGGAAGTCCCGTGGTCCCACTGGTCATGGAATACACTGCAATCCGCTCGTTGACAGATGCGTCGTCGTCGTCGTCAGATGGCCCGCTCCAGTCATTCTCTCCATTAACGAGGAGAGTCCACCAAGTACGGCAGCCATCTACAGGAGGGGTCTGTTTTGGCAGATCAACGACAAAGATGTTGGAGACAGGTATGTGGCATGCTGAAGCGGCCTGCATAACTCCCTGGATACAGTGGCCCTGGGCGAAGATGAATTTGGGCTTGGTGAGCCTAAAGTGCCGAACAAGTTCGGAGGCGTTGCAGGCGGGATTGGTCCCAGAGACGCATGCGCCGGATCCGATTATTGCCAGCCAAATCAAGGGGTACCAGATCTATCATTGCCCCGGATTGACCAAGTCAGCTGAGTTACACCACAGGCGGTGGAGTGTCGGGAGATGGCCTCAATCCATCACAACAACCAACATCGAACTCACGTTGTTAAATGCATGCACGCACACGCAGTCCCCCTCTTGCAAGCCAAGGTCCTTGAGGCCTTTGATGAGCCGGCGGGTGACATGAAACGCTCGCCTAGCAGAAATCGAGTTGGTAGGATCGGCGGCATCAATGAAGATCTGGGAGGGAAGCCCTGAGTCAGCTTGGATCCGAATGTGGGGAGTTCAAGCTGTTTACCGGCTTGTCATTGTCATATTGGTCAAGATTAGCGAAGACAAAGGACAAGATATCGGTGGATGGAATGGTCAATGACTCGGACGAAGTCCAAACAGCGCCTGTGGCCAGCACTGTGGACGGAGGCATTTTGTAACACTGGCTTGCATAAAAAGACAGGTGCCAAAGACGTATGGCTGGACAGCATGGACAGCTGCAGGTCAGGTAAGACAGAGGATGCAGGGTACATGCCCTGGTGAGGACGGCTGGCAAAGGAACAGCGGATAAAGTATAGGTATTTGTGAGATGAGACGGATCGGATGCTCAAGAGAAGAAGGACACGGTACGTCCACAATGTGAAAAGAAGACAGAGGCGAAAAGGCAACGAACGCAGTGGTGAAAACAGGGCCGCCTGTGAGTCAGATACGGTATACTCCCCTTCCTTGACTGGGAGGCAGTATGCGTATGATGGAGAACCTGACTGGGAGGAATGAATGCCTACCTAAGGTAAGGTACCTACTACTGACTTCGATCAAGGTGGTCGTGACGCTCAGCTATCTTGAATGGTAGCCGCGCAGTGAGCGCGTCAGGACTGACAGGGTGACCACCTGCACACTTGAAGCAGTGCAGTGCAGACGAAAGAGGGTCAGTTAATCCAATCGGCCAGGTATCCGTTTTGAGGTCCGAGGGCGCAGGCAAGAACAAAGGAGCGCAGGCAGCAGGAGAGCGCAGCCTGAGGCAGGTAAGGGAGTGCCAGAGTAAGAGACCACCTGCGCTGCGCTGTTCCATGGCAGTGCAGTGTCTGATACGGCAATGCATTACACCGGCCTGCCAGTGCTCTGACTCGAAGTTGAAGTTGGTGACATCAATTGCGGTGCAGGTAGCAGGCATCTATTCTGACAGCGGCTACATTAGTCAAGTCAGTCCCCCCAAACGGGAGGAGTTGAGACTACGGCTTCCATATCTGCTGACCGACTGACGGCAGCGAGCTGCAGACTGCGCTTGTCCCTCGGGGAAAGATACCTGCCATCACCACGAGTATCTACTACCTACCTTACCTTACCTCACAGAGGTAGGTAGTAGTTCTGTCGCCATAAACAGCGAAGCATGCATCAGAGTATCGCCGACTATCAATTGGCTACCGAAGATGCAAGCAAATGCAAACCGAACTGGGCCAGCTTCTCGTCCCAAATCCATGGGTTCGATCGAGCCTGTACTAGTATACACACTGCCAGCTGAAGGCCGGTGCAGCCTCAAATCGAATGATTCCATATCCGCATCTAATGTCGACACTTCAAGCATCCCTTCATCCTGTCATACTACAAGTTCACTGTGGAATGATACACCACTGGCATGGAAACGGGCAGGTAGGAGTTGGAATGTAGGGTGGTTAGAAAATACCATCAATACTAGTACTGCGTGGAAAGCGCAGTCCGGGGGCTACCTAACACCACTGCAGCTACAACGACAACCTTCTACCACTACTACTATATCACTGCACAATACTACCATCTCATCTCCTCATACTTGCTGCACTGCCTGCACTGCCTTGTGAGTCTCCTGCTTCCTTTCACTAAAATCCACTGCGGTACTAGTATTCGCTTTCCTTCCAGCTTGTGGCTGCTTTTCTGTCATCCTTCGGCTTCGGTTTCGGTTGCATGATTTCTCATCGCCCACGTTTTCGAGTCACCTTCAGTTGCCGCTCTCGCCTCAGCACGAGCTACTCGCCTGCTCCCCTACTCCCCTACTCGTCTTGCCTCTCCTCGCTACCCTCGACGTCCTCCTTCTCTGTTCGGCATCTCCTATGCAGTATCCCATCCATACATCATCGATCGCTTGTCTGTTTCCAAAGTTCCTGGCCAGTACTTGTGTCCGCTTTGTCCCCCAGAAGCAAATCCTCTTGAGTCCCAAAAGGAAATCGCCTTCCACATTCTCACGGGAAGAAAGAGACAGGCGACCTTCGATACACTACATGCACGTCGTCGACATCGCCGGGAAAAGTCTTGTGGTCTCATCTGTAAGTGTATTCCTACGTGTTCAGAGCGTTCAGAGCGTTCAGAGCGCACGTTCTCTATTTGAGCTCCAGACACTCTTCATCACTGCCCTCTGCTGTCACTCACCATATATTCACTGTGTCATGGCATTTAAGTTGTACTTACTCAACCCCCCCCCCCCCATGCGCGAAAAGTCTTTACGCTATCTCGCCCTTGTTTATCCTCTGACTCTCCCTGGCTGTTTCAAGCATTTTCTCTGACGGCATGACACAGCAACCGGGAATGGCACTGACTGCCTTGCCCATCGTCTCTGAAACTGCCAGCCTTCCTCAGCAAGATTCTGTGCGTTCTGCACTGGAATCAGGCGCAACTTCGCCAGACAACCTCCTCACACACACTTTGTCCGAGGAGGCCCAGCGTCCAAAATCTCAACACCAAAATCCGGACTTGAGAGATTCATCCGCAGGCACTTCACAGCCCATTGTCTCAAGAGATGGGGTACCTCCGGATCAGTCTTCCTCAAAGGCTGCGTCGTCCTTCATCCTAGAGAAACACCCGATACCAGAAATACCCATGGAGGACAAAAAGTACAACCGCATAATGAGAAATCTCCGCTGGACGGTTTTGTCTGTCTACCGCCGCCTCAGCACCCTCGTCTTGACCGCCAATGTCCTTGCCATTGTTGTTCTTGCTGCGCAGCACAGACTCCTCTCTTTGTCACCCGAGTCGGCTGCTACAGCGGTTTCCATTAACTTGACTGTAGCAGTCCTAGTCAGACAAGAGCTAGTCATCAATGCACTTTTCTGGTCGTTTGGCAAATGTCCGCAATGGCTTCCCCTGCGCATTCGTCGGCTGGCTGCAAAAATATACCACCTCGGAGGGGTACACAGCGGAGCTGGAATGTCGGCGGTGATTTGGTTCGCTTTCTTCAACGTTGCAATCATCCGAGTCTTACGAGCGAGAGCAGTTCACACCCATCAGACGGTCATTCCTGTCATTACAGTCATACTCGATGTATTGCTCCTCTCCATCGTGGTTACGGCCCATCCCGCCATTCGCTCAAGGATGCACAACATGTTCGAGATGGTCCATCGTTTCGGGGGTTGGACAGCCGTGGCCTTGTTCTGGATCCAGTTTGGGCTGCTCGCTGATGAGAAATCCCACGATCCGAAGTCCAACACTTCTCTGCAAGAAGCAATCGCGTACAGCCCGGTATTCTGGACCCTAGTACTCACCACCGTCTCTCTGGCACTTCCTTGGGTGTGGCTCAGGAAGGTCCCGGTCCATGCGGAATCTCTGTCAGACCATGCCGTCCGTCTGCATTTTACATACACCAACCTACCTCTCTGTGCCGCCCCTAGACTCTCGAATAGTCCACTGCTGGAGTGGCATGCATTTGCAGGTATCCCTGAAGAAGATGGCCAGGGGTTTTCTGTCCTCGTCTCTAAGGCGGGCGATTGGACCGCTCAACTCATCAAATCACCACCCACGAAACTCTGGGTCCGGGGGATTCCCACCATGGGTGTGCTTCACGTGGCCCCGATCTTCAAGCGAATGGTTCTGGTTGCCACAGGCTCGGGTATCGGCCCGATCATGTCATTGTTGTGCAAAAGAGACGTTACATGTCGAATATTGTGGTCAACCCCTGACCCTGAGGTCACTTATTCGACTGGGGTCATCGAGCATGTCCGTCGTGCGGACCCTGAGGCCGTCATAATCAACACGACTGTCGCGGGAAGACCTCATCTCGCCCGACTGGCGTATGAGTTGTACGTCTCTTCCGGCGCCGAGGCTGTGTTCATCATCTCCAACCCCAGAGTTACACGACAGGTGGTGTATGCTCTTGAAACACGCGGAGTACCGACCTTCGCACCAATTTTCGACTCTTGACCCAAAGAGACTCCTTCTCACTTGTCTCCTACACAATCGATGCAGCATCTGAGGGAGACGGTGTCGTTGAAGGTCCGTGTACAAAAGGCGGCGTTTGATGGAGCCTTTCAACCGACGTCTGGAGCACGCTCCACGCAGGCCCAGTGGTCGACGTCCCTGCCACTCCGGGTCAGCCTATTGATCTATCCCATTCCTCCGAGCCGGGATTGTCTGCTTCCCCTAAATATTCTCGTTGCATTTCGGGCTGTATTGAACATTCGAGGACCGCAAGATGCCGTGACGGTCGGCCACACGGCGAAAAGTCGCATTGTACAGCTGGACCACCAGAACCTCGACGCCCGGTCAAAGTCAAGGATCGGGATGCAATATGGCGGTTGATATCTTACTGCAGCAGCGAGAGTCCGTAGCTACTTAGCCGGTCTATGACACAGTATTTCTTGACAGTGATTCAATCAATGTATTGGGACAACTGTCCCAGAACACCATCGAAAGTGCACGCAGCATAGATGAATTCTCCTGTATGAACATGTTACCAGCCGAAACCATATCGCGCCTCGTTAGCAGATTTCCCGCCATCTGATTCCAACAGTGCTACAGCTGCAGTGTTGCATTCGTTGTGGCATGCCGGGGGCAGCCCTAGGTTGTGTCGTCTTCAAGTTCCATCCACGATCCAAAGCTTCTGTTGCACAGCACACAGCAGAAGGCCGTTGACTCGTTGCACCGCTTTCGTCGTGCAGCAACAAATCTTTGTCTCAATGAGAGGGTCGGGGTCGAAGCCACATACCTCGCTTCCAATCCAGAGACGGACAAAGGCCAACAGCATAACGTCGAGACTCGAGAGGACTTCGGCTCTGGATCGCTGGACACTCGATGCTGCTCATGCGCTGTATTTCCGACGTGTGACATGTAGGTATGCTTGCACACGACAAGGTCGGTCTGCGTCAGTTGATTGCAACTGTGCGACAGTGACATGTATATGTCTATCATGACCACCTACCCTTGCCTACCTCGGGGGACGTCAACGGACGATCTGTCGTCTGCGAGATCCATCATTGGTGGAATTGTATCTGAGATTGCCTTGGGCTGGATACACTGCAGGGACCGAACGCAAGTAAGAGGATGGGCTGTTACTTAGTTTCTGTACTTAGGTTCCAAGACTCGTCAAGGCTCTAATCTAAAGCATGGCGGAAGACCCAAGCACAAGGGATTTCGTCTCAATTGTCAGTATTGTCTTAATCTAACTTTCTTCTGGTGACTGATCCATCATCAGGAATTTCGAGGATGTCTAATCTGTACACTAAGTGCCTGTCATTCTCGTCCATTTCAGCTCTGCACTGATTCTCTCGCAAGTGGGTGTGCTCTGATGAGAACGATTGAGTGCCATGCTGAGATGAAAGCCATGCCGTTTCTGCCTGCCCGTTTCTTCCATGTCCACAATCGTACATTTCCCTCCAGCAATTGCGCGGTCGTGCTCGGGGGCCCAAGACTGGAGTCTGGAGGGTCGGATCTGGCTGGCAGAGGCTTCCTAGCCTGTGTCTGAACGAAGATAAACATTGAATACAATCTGACATGATGCTGCTTGTTGCGACCGAGGCTGTTTGGAGATTGGAGGTGGCCGGAATAGTTGGCGATACCACTCGTCGACAACGGGCCAAGGCGGCGTATCTTGTTCCTCCGCTCAAGCTGTCGAGGTCCCCTTCCTGGAGGGCCGAGGTGGTCTGTACACCATGTGGAAGGCCTCCTCGTAGGACATACCCGCCGCGATATACTGGCGGCATGTCTCGACTTGTTTCATCGTGAAGCCAGCGCCCTCGTGGATCAATCCGTCGTAAACTTCGTAATGGTTGGCGACCGAGTCATAAATCATTGAACTAATGTTTACTCCCTTCCACTTCCCCGGCAGGCCTCCCTCTTGTTCTTCCCCTTGATCATCCACTTCGTAGGACCCGTTGCCTCTTGCCTCGCGGGGGTTCTGTTGACGTTGGGGTTGGCGGTTTTTGTCGGCATAGGATCGGGAGGCGAAGTTTTCCGGTCTTCTGTTCGAACCATGTCGCTCAGTGGCATCACCAACATCCCTCCTTGACTCGGCGCGCTCACCCTGAATCTGCTGGCCGTCGATCCTGGAACAACTCTTCTCTGCCTTCTTGTCATTGGCTTTGGACTTGTTTTTCTTGGCTCTGAACTTGCTTTTCTTGGCTCTGGACTTCTTTTTCTTCTTGCTGGCCGGTGCTACAGCTGCAATATCGTCGCCCTCGCCCTCGCCATGCTCTTCCGGTTCCTGTTCTCTCTTTCTCTTTTTGGCTTTCTTTCCAGCGAGGCCCGACGAGATTGCCGGAGGCTCCTCTGTCGTCATCTGTCGTGGCCGGGCAGCTGGGGCGGCAGCCAAGACAGCCTCATCCCCAGAGTCATGTTCGTCCTTGATGACAATCACCTCTGCGGAGGTGGCTTTGCAGCAGAAGCAGTTGCCCGACAAGATGAAGTGTTGACCTGAGAGGTGCGCTGCGCATGAGGTGCATTAGGCTGGGTCCCTTCAGGCCGAGGAGAGGGTCTTGAAGGAGGCATTTCGCGTCCGATGAAATTCTTCACACCATTCAGAAGACGCGCCGACGCGCTTCCGAATCGCGGGAAGCATTCCTTGGGGATCAGAGCTGCAATTGATCTGCATGCTGCCATGGACGAATTGGGCCGTGGAAGACCGTAGCGAAGAGCTATGGGACATGTCTCGTAGACGAAGAGGATGGCCCGGTCTAGCACCCCTAGCACCCAGTCCCGACGAGGAGTTCTTGGGACGTAGCACCCTGGCACCAAAGCGTCAATCCCATTGAGAAGTTTGTGGTGATGTCGGCCCAAGTCATGCTTAATATGCTGGAAATGGATGCAGTCAAGACCCGTCTGCATCCGCGGTGTTGCCATCACGGCTGCGGTGGGGATCGTGCTGGTCGGTGTTGGGTCGGTGTAGGTGGAAGGCGGATTGCTTTGAGGTTTCGATATCGGGTAGCTGGCGAGGACGCTGGTGATTGTTGCTGATTTGGAGCGAGTATTGAAGAGAGGTTCCTGGGGTGAATGGGTGGTGGGCGTGAGCGCCGTGTGGCAGCTGGCGAGGACATCTCTGGTCCCAATGACTGCTCGCCGAGGACAAACTCTGGCGTTGGGTTCGGAGAGAGAGAACTGAGTGCTGGAAGGAAGATGAGCTGCATGCTCTTTGAGCTGACCGCGCCAACCAACTACTGAGAGATCTGAAGAGGCGGCCACAGGTACCTAGGCAAGAATGGTAATGTGGTCAATGACAGAGGCCAAGTTGGAGGTAGAGCTGAGATTGAGATTGGGACGAGGCAAGGAAAAGGTGAAGTTGATCTCAGGCTTGGTCTGAAATCGGCCTCAGTCTCGCCAAGAGAGAGTTCTGTCGGACTCGCACTCGGAGTCGACGACACCGCTCGATCTGCACAGGGCACTGGGCGCGGTCGACAGAAAGAAGAGGCGAGATAAGGTCCAGCATAGCTGAGGTTGATGGCCGCTTGAAGTACTTCGCCACGTGGGAGACTCATCTGTCAAGAGTCCTCCTGTCGAGACAATATTGGGTACAGATTTAGGTTAGCTCTGGTCAATTCATCCAGTGACAAGGAGTAGAGTACTGGAGGGTGATCAGAGCCACATTGATTTCTTTCAAATATCCAGATCAAGTTTCAAGGTTCTCAGTCAAGGTCACCATCATTCATCTGCGAATAGCCAGCGCCCATCCCCCTTCATAGCTGCTTCATATCTTCTCACGACTTCCTCCCGTTCTCGCCGTCGGGCTCGCTCCCGGTATTCCTGCTCTTCCTGCGTCCCAGGCATGTCGGTGTCCCAGTAGCCCGGCGGGCTCTCAGGACGGTCGAATAGCGTCTTGTGCATTTTCCCGTACAGGTTCGCCAGTCGTGTCGTCCGGGCCTCAAACACAAGATTCTCTTTGGCCATCGGAGTCAACGTCCGTATCTTCTCCTCGGAGCCTGGCCCCAAGAACTCCAGCAGCAAATCATCTTCTGAGATATCAGTGTCGGCGGGAAGAGTCGCTGCTAATGCTTTGAACTTGTTGCCACAACACTCAGGTCGTGTACATCCTGCAAGGCACTTCCGCGCCTCGCGACCTCGAATAGCTTCATCATAGGCATAGTCGCAGCCTCCAGTGTACGTCGGGTTGACCTTGAAATGTGAGAGATTCAGACGATTCACCGGCCTCGAGCGGAAAGGCTCCTCATCTTCAGGAGCTGAAGGTTGGGCCGGCAAAAGAGGAGGTCGCCTAAAAGAGGCGCTGCCATCCCTCGCCAGGTTACCAACGCCTGGGATTTGGAGCTGTATCGGAGCTTCCTCCTCTGCTTTCGAAGCAACCGTGCGCTGAATCGAAGCGCTAGGCGTGGGACGTGGAAGCAATGGGGTGACGGGAGCCGGGGCAGCCAGCAAAGCCTGCAATCGATTATTGGGTGAGCTGGCCTTGGCCTTTTGAGGCGTGTTCTCCGTAGAGGTATCGGATTGGCTTCGATTATGGTCCTCGCCGTCTTCCGCTATAGATGTGATGGCATGGGCTCCTCTGTCGCCGAATCTCTTAGACCGTGGGAGGCGATTGGGGGCCGCAACATTTGCGGAGATCTCTCGCAGTGGTCGTTGTTCGTCGGGAGTCTTGCTGCGAGGCCGTTTTCTGGACGCAGATGCCGGCGTTGTAGCGTCGAGTTCGTTGGAAAAGACGATGGGTGAAGAGACACAGGGATTCTGTAGTCGCCATTTCCTCTCTTTGGCCTGAATCAAGCGGAGTTTGGATTTCAGTTGGTCGATCTCGGCTTGTTTCTCCGCATCCTGCCGAAACAAGTGATCCAGCTGGGGGGAGAGGTCGCGAGGTTCGTCCTTCCGCGCCCGAGACAGCTCCTCGACTTGACGCTTCAGCTTTTCGTTTTCACGCTTGAGCCGTTCAATGGTCTCAATGGTCTCTCGGGTGCGACGTTGAAGATCATTGCTTTGAGAAAGGGCCAAAATCAGCGTATCTGTCAGAGATTGCGGCGTGCTCATGTTTGTGCAAGGGGTTGTTTGTTGTAAGACTGTGCCAGCGAGGGAAGCAGAGGCAGAGGCAAGAAAGTCGCGTCTCGTTGTTTGAATGACGCGCCGGGGCGGGAAAACCTCGGTTATCGATAAGGCTGGCCGGGTTCTTTATCTGCATGCGTCCAACTTGAACTGGAACGTCGACGACTTGGTCAACCGCCAATGCAATCCTCTTCCCACAGATCGTCTATGTACCCCGTCGCGCCTAGATTCGGAACAGTGTGTGTCTCGCGGTTCGGAGCTCTATAGAACAGCGAAGCAATGCCCAAACGGAGAAGAGATGATGCAGGTGAAATCCGGCCTCCGGTCAAAAGATCTCGTACCGGATCCCGGCGTAATTTATTGGATATCAGTGACGAGATCCTTCTCCGGGTGCTGTTCTTCCTGCCCATCAGGGATTTGTTGAAAGTCGAATGGTAAGGGCCATCATGATTTACCCAAGAATGGACTGACAGGTCGGACAGTGTCTCACACCGATTCCGCTCACTTGCCACCGACGGTGAACTGTGGAAAGCGAAATACTACGACACTTGGGTCAGGTCTCGAGCCCGTCGCGCCCCTCCAAGTCAAGGTCGAGAGGCATCCCAACAACGGCTGAAGGCGGCAAAGTGGCTCCAGCATGGGTACAAACTACGGAACAATCCAGCCATCGACTGGAAGCGTCAATTCAAGATTCGCACAAACTGGGCATCGGGGACGGCGAGACTCTGCGAGGTCGAGGTCGCGCAGCCTCCATCACCGCCAGTCATAGCCAAGGTCTGTCAGGGCATTATATTCACGGTTGACGGGCGGGCTGGACTACGTGCATGGTCAGGGGAGAGGACGTTGAAGGCACAGTTTCGGCTTGAGCCTTCGGCTGAGGCGACATGCATGGCTGTTGAGACCATCGAGGGCGGACCGCATCTCGTCCTAGGCTTCGCGGATGGATCCTTTTCGACGTATCTATACCAAACCGATGGACGTTTCGAGCATCTCTTGACCCAACATTCAGCCGATGGGCCGCTCATGGCCGTGGCGCTGGCCATGCCATATATCATGACTGTCTCCAAAACCAAATTCCTGGCGCTGTATGACATGACCACACCAAACGTGGCGAGAGATAGCCGTCCTACTGCTTCACCTATTGCTCGACTTCAGTCCGATGCGTCCTTCTCGCCAGTTTCGCTTTCTCTTCGGAGAACACCCGGCAACGTGACGGCAACAATTGCCTATGCATTCAACAGACTCCGGTCTGGATGGTGTCTGGGCCTTCAGGAGATCAGACTTACGCCGGCCGGGGCCTTGATAGACAGCAGGTTGACTTCTTCTCTCGACACTCCTCTGGACGGGAGATACGAGGGTAGGGACAGGTGGGGGCTGTCAACGCGTTCCGCCAGCTCACTGCCCGTCCCTCTTCACCCCCAACTGATGAGCGCGCCAACTTCACTTTCCTACGAGCATCCATTTCTGGTTGGCACACTTGCCGACAACACCATCATGTCATTTCTAGTAACCTCCAACGAGGAGAAACTGGAGATCAGTGCGGGCAGACGTCTTTGGGGCCACACGTCTGCTGTGTCGGGAGCTGAAGTCAACAATCGAGGGAAAGCGGTATCCATCAGCTGCCGAGGGGACGAGATCCGAGTCTGGGAGCTGGAGGCGGTCATGACCAACAACAGTCAGCCCAAGACTAGTACCAAAATCAAAGCAGTTCACTCCCTCTCCGACGTCGCTGCTGCTTTGGCCAGGCGAGGTACTGGGTTGGGACTTGCCGTCCAGGATTTGAAACGAGAATTGAGCCTGACCCGGCGATGGGTTGGCTTTGACGAGGAACACGTGGTGGTACTGGGCGACAGAGATCAGAAGCAGGTCATGGCACTCTATGATTTTACGTAGCGTGGTGATATTGACAACTAGACATGAGAATGACCACAGCTTACAGATTCAGCTCGAGCAAGTCTGTGCTCATCTTCCCGGACCAGTCAAGCTCATTATCACACACCCAACTCTCCCCATCCTCCACCCCATGCTGCGAGCTCCTCCCTACTGACCAGCCTTACGCACATACCGGAGTTGAAGAGTTCTGGAGCAGACTTCGCCAGGACCGCAGCGAGAATGTGTTTGCACGAGGGCATGGAACCGCTGCACGTATTAGTTGCCATCCCTCCAAACATCCATCCTGCGCTTTCCACAGATGCTGGCGTGGCCTTCGGCGACCTAGATATATCTCGTGCCCTGTCCATTCGACTGTCATTCATCTCGTGCTCGTCACGGTCTATATTCAGCCCCTGGAAAGCGGAGACACTAAACGCGGGACAACTGCAATTCCAGCTGTCGAGACGGACCTCGTAGAACGTGGTGCTGGCATCCAGTTTCCTTGACGAGTAGCCCGACGAGCCTATCGCCCTGGATCTGCCTACACGGCTATATGTGTTCGACCTCGACGTAACGGCGGATGAGGATTGGACGTAGTATACCTCACACCCATGGTATGCATCTGTCGCATGTCGTAAATCGGTCTTCACCTCCAATCCAGTAGACGAGCCAGGCTCCCCTAGTTTCGGTGGACGTTGTTCGTGGACGTCCCCGTCTCGTCGGACCGTAAGCCTGTTGACGAGTCCCCGGTCCAGAATATCCAGCGCCGGCAGCAGCTCATGCGGGAAGAGGACGTGCAGAGTCACAAATATGCCACGGGCACGTTCTGTGTCTGCTGGCGAAAGCCTGTGCAAGGCACTGGGTGGCTGCTGAGGTTCTAGAACCCTGTTCTGCTGGGGCTGGGGTTGGAGAGGTGTGAGGCTGGACAGGCTCTGGAAAAGAGTGGTCATCATCGAGCCGGATGGTGGTGCGTGAGTAGCCATGGGATAGGTGCCGTTTCCGCCAGTTGTTTACATGTCCATCTTGGTCCGTTCCAACAGGACACGACGTAGGAGGTGGCGGAGATGTCTACCGCGGGTTGGAGAAAGAGACCAACAGATGAGGCGGGCAGCGGAGAGATATAGCGGTTGATGTTCACACTAACATATTCCCCCCATATGCAGCCTCGTCAATCGCGCTACGTCCTCCACAACCTGCAACCTCTTCAGATATACTGGAGATCAGGCTGAAATGAGGTCTGCAGAGATGTGCGCGCTGATTGGTTGGAGGTGAGTCCTGCCGTTAATTTAGGCTCCCGCCCGCAGACTCAGCTGCGGTGGAGCATATGCTTATTGGAGCGCAGCCACAAAGCCAGGTCGCGACAATGCAGCGCATCCTTGAACACGGGTGCGAGCAACGCAGGACCTGATCTGTGGCGGGAGACCCTCTCCACCGTGCTCTGACAATTGCCTTCTCCCGACGATGAACCTCCCAGATCAACGCTACAACTCATTCAACGACTACTCGACACAATGAGTCCTCCGAAGTGCTCTAGTCCTGCGCGTTTCGTCACTGTACCATGGATGGAACGGAGCCTCCTTCAACCTCCAAGGTGATCGTTGAATGCATTGATCCCTACAACCTATTTAACAGCATCGAGCCCCATCTGTCAGCCAGAACTCCTCTTCGGAATTTGCACTGGAAGTCTCCTAATCGTCCTCTTCGGTCGATACCTTTCTTGGACGTTTCCCTTGTTCGACAGGACACCTCGGATGGATCACAATCGAATATTCGCAGGCACCAAATTCCCGGGCTGCGACAGACTCCCTATGTCAAATTATACTTGTTACGATGCGATGACAAGGAGACATACAACGAGAAGGTCAGGAAGGAAGTCCGCCACTGGATCAAGACACAGACATCTGCAGCTGAGAGCAAGTCATCGGCAAGGGGTCAGGAGAATCACGACGCCTTCGAATGGTTGATAGTCCATGTGGTGCTTCCTGGCACCGCCGCAGCCAGTCAACCCAAATCCGTCAAGCATATCTCGCTGGAGACGGCAGATAGCACCGACAGCGTCAACAGCAAATCGAAATGGCCCGGCAAGGGTTCGTCGACAGTATTCGACAAATTGAAGGCCGATTTCAACAGTGCTTCCAAAGCAGCCATCAACCGTGTCGCACAAGTCAGGCTTGTGGAGTCCAAGGACAAGTCTACGGCATTGACACGCGGAGAGCTCGAGGAACAATGGCAGGACTTAGTCGAGAGCCTCAAAGCATGTATTTTGCGATCCTTTGATGCCCGTGTGGCTCAATATGAAGGCGACATCCGCGAAAGGGACAGCCAGCGAAACCTGCCGGGCTGGAATTTTTGCACCTTTTTCATCCTGAAAGAGGGTCTGGCAAAGGGGTTTGAAAGCGTGGGGTTGTTAGACGATGCCCTGGCCATCTACGACGAGCTTTCCCTTGGACTTGATAGTCTGGTGGAAGAGCAAGCGCAGAGTCTTGATCATGACGAAAATGGTGCGCTTTTGAGGTTCTCCAAGGAGACCAAGGAGCTACTCAGGGCGGCTCTCGGCCCTCAAGACGCTTCTACGACCTCAAAGCACGATGCTGAAACGATATCAAGTCTTGGAGACATTCTCCAAGCTGATCGCGACGCGTTTCCATTCGATATAGATCGAAAGAACTATCTCGGGCTCATCCTCTCCAACGAAGTGTCTGCCTTCGATCTCCGCGTTTACATTTTCACGCGGCAGATGGAGATTCTTTTCAGGCAAGGCCGGGCAGAAGTTTCGAGGTCCTCCCACACCACCAAAGCTCTCCCCGATCCGATTGTCATTGCCGATATCGCAGAACGTGCCGTTCAGTCGATCAATATGGTGGCCCGCAATCTACGCTTGGAACTATACAGTGCTTGGGGAGGCCAAGAAGGTCTGAGTGCCGAGGAACTGCAATCCCAGAGGACGGTGACTGGGAACATAGTCTCGACCTGGCAGTGGCGTGCATGTATGCAAATCCTGGCACGTATTCTACCAACCTTGGGCGTGGAATCTGAGTATGGTACGGCGAGTTTATCCGTTGATGCAGTTGAGCTCTCGCGCCATACCAACGTGTCGTTTTCTGGCAAGTCTGGTACAGATGGCAACACGCAGAGGATGTCGTTGGCGGTCACCGTCCGTCCTTACCCCCACGAAGGGTCACAGGAACGCAACAAAAGAGCTTCATTTCTCCCTGATGGCGCAGTTAGCCGAAACTCCATCTTGTCGCGGCCTGGGTCGGAGCGACTCGCTCTGTGGACGTCGGCACTTGCAATGCTGGCAAGACGTGCGCTGGAAAATATTGAAGGTGCGCGGTCATGGGTAGGACAAATGAAACAATTTGGCTTGACGGCAGGGATCTATGACGATACTGTCCAAACCAACGGACAGAAAAGCCCTGAGCATGTGTCGGATGATGATCATCCGCAGCGAGATCTGCACCAAGATTTGGTGGCCGGCCTGGGATCGAAAAGTTTGCAAGCAGCAGCATCCTCCAAATCCATGTTCTGGAATCTATATGCGCTGTTGTCAGTCCTGGCATATCGCATGGCGGCTGAAGCGAAGAGCCATGCAACTGCAGAGCAGATCTTGACCAACCTGACGGAAATGGAATACGCCCAAGGCAATCACACGATTGCTGCTCGGTATCTCCACAGTCTTCTCGGTCCGTTACCGCGGCCGGTCTGTCGTCCAGTTGATGGGTATCTGCTTCGCATTTATGCAGATTGTCTGAGCAAACTTGAAAAGACGACGGAATACGGTCGATGTCTCATCTCCTGCCTGCATTGGGCAGCCCGATGCTGTGCCGGTGCCCAATTGACCAAATCCACTGCCACATATCAGTCATATAGTGACCGCCTTTTCGGGTTGGTCGGGAACATGGCAGCGACCACGCTTCCACTGACAACCCTTTTTCGGATCTTAAGCGTCTCTCAGACAATCTCGAAAATTCAAGGCCGTGATGGGTTTGCCATGTCAATGGTAATACATTCTTTGGCTGGTGTAGCAACACCACCGGCCGATGATATCAAGATGAGACTGGTCTCGAAAGAGGGAGCTGAGCCCCGATTCCTGGCCTTGAGGGCAAGCAATGATTCGGGTATCCATTCTACCGGAACTAACATCGTGCTCGAGGGTGCGGTGACGACGTTTGGCTGGTACACACCGGATGAAGTTGAATTGAGGTTTGGCAATTTGAGACTTTTGCATCATTTCCTCACGCCCCACAATGACGAGTCCGCGGAGGACGACGAATTGTCCACCCCTCGATCGATCATTGCGCCCGTGCTTGTTTATCCCTTTTCCGAATCTTTCGATGTCAGGATCAGCCACTCCCGGCACATCCATCTAGCACAGACACGTCGTCTGCTGGTCGAGATTCTGCCGGGGGCGAACGAGGCCAAGCAGTGCAAACTGCGGCTCAAGACTGCTACTGCAGGGTTGAGACTGAACATCCATGATGCACAATTGCTGGGCGGCGTGCGTCCTTCGGCTGCTTTACGGACCGCCCGGGAGGGCGATGCCCTGGTGCTGATCGTCGATGACCTGGAACCTGACTCACTGACCCAGGTTGAAATCCCATATACGACCGAGATTGCGTCAGAACCATCGGTAACCTTACGAATTGACGCCAATTACGAAACCAGTCAGGGCGTGTTTACCATGTACGGCACTGCTCTCGTGAACGTGATTCTACCGGTGACCGTGAACGTGCAGGACATTAGTAGGACAGGTTGCATGTACTCAAGGTTCACCATAAGTCCCGCCACACTGGTACCCTTACGTCTGCTGGACTGCCACCTAGAAGACAACAAAGCATACACGACTACTGTGGGACATGACTTCCTTGACCCGCTGGTAGTCTTTCCCAAACAGCCGGCGAGCTGGGTAGTACGTCTGGCTCCCAAGAATGCAGAGGCGCTCAAATCAGCGCAACGGTTAACCCTGTCGGTGGACTTTCAGTCGTTAGACGAGGTCATGTTGGTTGCCCTCGAGGACAGCTTTAAGTCGGCTATTTCGAAGACGCAGTATGCATACGCTGCGAGGTTACTCGTCGCGCATTTGCAAAATCGAATTCGAGCGGCATGGACCGAGCAAGATTTGGAGGTGGCAGGGTTGTCACAAGAGGTTGAGATCTGGGATTTTGATGATATGGACTGGCCATCTGTGTTGCGTGCGTTTGACCGGCAGACGTGTATGGAGATTATGGCTTGGCTGCAGACATGGCACTCCGGCACCCAGCCTATCTGGCTCCCATCGAACAAGGCACGACAGCGGCAGCTCCAGCTCCATGTGGACATACCTCCACCACCGCTGGTTGTTTCCGCCGTGTTTGAGATGAATGGGATGCACATAACACGGGGTACAGCCGCCCTGGGGCAGCCGTTGATGACTGTACTGGTGATGAGTCTAGGGGGTGTGAGAGAAGAGGAAGTGGAAGGGGCATTTGAAGTGACAGCACTCTCCGACTCTTGGCTGATCGGGGGCAAACGCAAAGGAAATGTGCGCTTGACCGCGCAACCCACTCGTATGCCAATTGTGCTGTTCCCACAGCATCTGGGGCATCTTCTCCTTCCAATCGTCAATGTGAAATGCAGGAAACAGGTCAAGATCGATGGTGATGGCGAGGAGGGCTGGACAGAAATTCCTTGCGAGGTGCATGATGCGACCCATGGATGCAGTATCTTGGTGACTCCAGCTCTTCGAAGTACGACAGTGGAAGTGTTTGGAGCTATACCAAACGAAGGAATGGGACGACTAATGGCAAGTGAGAGACGATGATATGGGAGGGTGATTGCCGGGCAGCGTGACCTGACAGGCCATACTATGATACTCATGCGACCAGAGTGTGCCGTGGAGGGTTTGGATGTATCCTGTAGATACAAAGATACCCTATGTATTGGATTGCATGATCATTGAAGACTGAGTGCAACTGAATGAGATCTGCAGGCACCGGTTAGGACGCCTTCCAGAAAGAGATAGGCTCCCGACAGGATGGGCGGAACGAGCCGCGAACCATCCGAAAGAGAATTAGCGTATAAATGCTTGGAATGACGACAACACCGCACGACTCGACTCGCGGCGGAGCGCCACTGGACATTATTCAAGTTCGCGTTTGCGATGCGCCAAGACTGCAGGGTCTTTTGGTGCACTGCAGTGCACTGTACTGAAAGTGGCCCTAGCGATACTAGTATCCGTCAAATCGAACACGGGGCCATCGGACCTTTCCCACCGCAAGGGACGCTTCCCCAACAAAAAATCTGGTTCGTCGTGGAGCCTTGTTGATTCCTCCACCCCTGACTCCTGACGGACAGAGATCGAGTTCTAGGCTCGACACAACCGGTCAGCTCAAACCTTCTTACGCCGCCGACGCACCCATGGAATTGCAGATGAGATGCAGTGGTGACGACAAATCAGTCAGACAAGCACGAAGGAGCGGCGACTGACTTGTCTGGCCATTCCGCCGAGCTCAATTGTTGGAAAGCCTAAAGCCCCCAGCTCTCAGAGGCCTGCACTTCTGGTTGGGACATTCCTCCCTCCAGCATGTGTTATCAGCCTCAGTCCAGGGATATCTGGCTTGTTGCACATGTCAGGCAGATTCGACTCGATCGATGACCTTTGGCAGAAGGCTTCAACCTGACCGACGAAGACAAACGCTGAGAGATCGTCCATGCGCTCGCGCTGGACCTTGTCATCGGTTAAATATGACCACCTGAGGTGCTGGGCCATTTACTGCCGCATAGACGGGCTCCTCCATGATGAACGACAGACAAGGTGACCGAGAAAAATGGCAGGACTTTGAAGGGGTCAGGAGGTGAGAAGGTCGAATGGCGAGACCAAAATTTGCAGACGTAAACAACAATAGTAATATCACGAAGTAAAGGAGAAACCATAACATAATAACTACCTAACATACTCAGGCCGGGGAGGGACGCCGAGGAGCGGAGTGACTGATCGGCCAGCGATACAGATGTTGGGACAAGTTGTCTGAGCCGGTGGGACGGCCTGAGCGACCATACTGCTACACAAGTACTTTCGATAGACAAGACATAGAGCTCCCTTCCGCCCTTTCATGTGCAGAAAACACAACAGGGAACCATGCTCCCGAAGGCACACAGCCTGGGACTTTTCTCACGCAGATCGAATTGATGGAAAATGCGCAGTAAGCATTGCACACAACAATGAACCCTGCCAACTCTGGTATCAACATCTTCCAGTTGGTGCACAGGCGGTAAGGGGAAATGGACCAATAGCGTCAGATAGGTGGGGATGCGTTGGGGTAGAGCTACGGGAGGCGTTCGAGGGGTCCTTTACAAAAGAGACACCTACATCGTTAGACAGACAGTTAGGATCGCCTACTGGATACCTCAGGTAGGTAGGTAGTACTAGTAGGGTGTATAACTCCGATGGCACGGCGCAGGAGACCCTGAATTACTTAGGTACATAGGTATGTACTAGGTACCTTAGGTACCCACCTAGACTGGGCGGAGGCCGCGCCCTGATTTTAATGCTGGGGTCATTTCCATAACTGTTGAGATTCGCTCAGTGGGCCGGCTGCCCAGTTGTTTTCCCACCGAGTTTCTTCTGCTTAGGTAGGTCTTTAGTGGTAGTAGTACACTACTGCAGGCTGATGCGGTCCCTGCCTGCCATATACTAGTAGCAGGTGACTGACTGCTTACAGAGTAGGAACTTAAGGTAGTGAGTGGTGAGTGGTGCTGTACTACTAGTACTATGGCCGTAGTATTCATGCTTGCTGGTAGAAAAGAGTGCAGTGCAGTGGTAATCTGTGACACCGTGACTTATGCCATCCGCATTCCTGCCAACTACTAGTAGCAGCCGCACCTGTAGTCCATTATATTTTCCTGGAGCTGCCGTCGCTTCGCTTCTCTTGTTTCTTTACTTCTTCTGATCTCTGCCTGCATCTGTCTGCCGTCTTCCATCTGACGCTCTTTCGTCTTGTCCTGCGGTCTTGCAAGCAAGCGTCGTCTGCCAGTGTCAGCTCGATAAGCCGCAGCAGTCTGCCCAGTCGTCCCCGTCTGCCGCCCCGAGCCCCAACAAAAAGACGTGGGATTGCCATTGCAGCTTCTCTCTTTCTCTGCTCAACCATGACATCGACTGCGTTGCCGATGGAGGCGGTCCTTCGTCGTGTGACCTCCACAGATTCCACGCCAGCGTCCTCGGCGAATATCTCTCCTCTCACTAGTCCTCGATCGTCGCCTTCGTCCACCTCTCTCTCTTCTCTAGCCTCTGACGATGCCGCTCCCCCAGAAAAGCAAGTGGCTGAGAAGAAGCCATTGGTGGACACGTATGGGAATTCGTTCGCAATCCCCGACTACACCATCGGAGACATCCACAGAGCCATTCCTAAACACTGCTTCGAACGGTCTGCCGCCACCGGTCTGTACTATGTTGCACGAGACGTCGCCTGCCTGGCTACCACCTTCTATCTCTTCAACCGCTTCGTGACGCCGGAAAATGTCCCTTACACTCCAGCTCGAGCCGGCCTCTGGTTTCTGTACTCTGTGGTGCAAGGCCTGTTCGGGACCGGCATTTGGGTGTTGGCCCATGAGTGTGGACATCAGTCCTTCTCGACCAGCAAGGTGGTGAATGACACGGTGGGCTGGTTTTGCCATTCGGCTCTCCTGGTGCCATATTTCTCCTGGAAAATCTCGCATGGCAAACATCACAAAGCGACGGGACACCTGGAACGAGACATGGTGTTTGTCCCACCCACCAGGGAAGCATACGCCTCCAGGAGAGGACAGCTGCTTCATCAGATTGACGAGCTCACCGAAGAGACACCCATTGCCACCGCATACCACCTGATCAGTCAGCAGCTGGGTGGATGGCCCATGTACTTGATGACCAACGTCACCGGCCACAATAAGCACGAATCTCAGCGTGAGGGGCGTGGCGTTGGCAAGCACAACGGTTTTGGGGGTGGTGTCAACCATTTCAGTCCTGCCAGCCCATTGTACGAGGCAAAGGATGCCAAGTTGATAGTGTTGAGCGACATCGGTCTTCTGATCACCAGCAGCATTCTCTTCTGGGTGGGCAAGAAATATGGCTTCGCCAATTTGTTTGTGTGGTATTTTGCACCATATCTCTGGGTAAACCACTGGTTGGGTGAGTCCCAATCTTTTTTCCGTTTTATTGTTCTTGAGCTGACCCAGAGTTTCAGTGGCCATCACGTTCTTGCAACACACCGATCCCTCTTTGCCCCACTACACTCCCACCAGCTGGACTTATACTCGAGGAGCGGCCGCCACGATCGATCGAGAGTTCGGATTCATTGGACGTCAATTGTTCCACGGCATCATCGAGACTCACGTCCTTCATCACTATGTCAGCACGATTCCTTTCTATCACGCCGACGAAGCCAGCGAGGCCATCAAGAAGGTCATGGGTCGTCACTATCGCAGCGATACCAAGGACGGAGCGGTCGGCTTCCTCAAGAGCATGTGGAAATCCATGAGAATGTGTCAATGGGTGGAACCCATCGAAGGCGCCACGGGCGAGGAGGCCGGTGTGATGTTCTTCCGCAATCGCAACGGACTGGGGCTGCCGCCTGCTAAGCTGGCGAAGCCTGCTACATCGTAGGTCGAGATCTGGATATGAGAGAATGGGATGGTGCAAATGCAGTGAGCAGCGTCGCCTGCACGCGGAGGTCCGCCAGTTTTCATTTGATTTCTGTATGTTTTCGTCGACCTGCAAGAAAGCTTGGAGACAAAGTCTAGACTGGTTAAGATAGAGGCGCAAAGACAGTGCATACATCAGACCGCAGATAGACCAAGAAGACGTCCTGGGCTTGTGGTAGGTACCTAGAGTGGATTGCGCGTTTGGCCATCTTTTTCGATTGCTTGAATGAGCGAAGTCTTGAGCAACAACAAATCAATCCATAAGACAGATATGAGTTTCCGTTCCACCACTGCAGGTCTGTCTATGTGCTATATCCCTAGGTACCATGTTCATCAGTGACCATAAGGACAGAGTAGTAGACTCCCGTAGCTCTCCCGGGAAAAGTGCCGGACTGTGTCGTCCACATGTCCCCGAATTCAAATTCCTTGGCGGGACATAGGTGATGCGATCAGGTGCAGTGTGATATACGCCCCTCAACGACGTCGCAAGTGGAACATTGCCTCGTATACCTGTACCAGCGAATCCACGAAGATGCAATGCTGACGCCTGAATCAGCAGGGGGATTCCAGCTTCCGCCGCCGCCTCCATGTGCAGACTGTCTTCGTTCGGTGTGCTTGGTCTTTTACGGCCGTACAAATTTCTCCCAGATGCGCCGTGCCCGCTCCTCAAACCAGCGCCAGTTTGATTGCCTTTGGTAGGTAGTAGCTAAGTACCACATGTACTACTATCTATCATTCGCCAGAAGCCCTCGCATGAGTGTCCCGATCAGGCTGTCCCCCACAGTGTGGTTTCGATGCCAAATACTGTACGGCCGCACGAGCTGATACCATCGGTGAGAGTCTTGGTGAACTGTCTCTGACGGACGTGTTCTAGTCAGCGATACCGTCGTCATCCCCAATCTGACATGACGGTGTCTCTACCTAGGGACGTAAGCGGGCGGCTCCATGATTACTACAGGTAGGTACTTAAAGCAGCTTCTCGTCCCAATACTTTATCGAACCAATTCCAAACCTGTCATATCACATCGCAAAATTGTCCCTTGCTGAACCCAGTTGGACCTTGCCGGATCAGCAATTGGATACCCCATGTCGTTTCAGAGCGTTCTGCCTCCTGCCACCAAGCGACCAAGGTCTCAGGCACGATGGCCGAGTCCAAGCAGACAGTCTCTCTATGTAAGTTTGCGTCTCCCCATCCTCACCAACACAACATTGTGTACACATGCTGATGCCGACTAGGCTCTTCGCGAGAATTTTGAACTCTCCACATGGCTCCTGCTGGGAGCTCTACTCCAGTCTATTGTCGTCTTTGTCGTCCCACCGCGGTATGCCACCATCCCGCTGATATTGGTGCTTGGGACACGTGCAGCCAATGCCATGGCCATCACGTGGGGTTGGAAGAGAAATCACTATCTGGATGAGGCGATTTTGCATCGCACCTCTCCTCAGATACCCGACGAAGACGGCAACTTCCATCAAAACTCGGCTGAGGAAAAGGTGGTCGTTTTTCTTTTGGGCGCCAAGGCAAACCACCCGTTGGGCATATTTGGCCCGAACCTCAAAACCCTGGGGGATTATGCTACGCAGATGTATGCCGAGCTGGACAAGACGGCGCCTGATAGTGGATTCTATGGCGGTTCCTCATGGACCAACCAGGACAAGAACGGTGCCACCGAGTTCCTCTTTCTCAGCTACTGGCGGTCCACCGAAGACATCCACAAATTCGCATACGGACCCCTCCACCGTGAGGCTTGGGACTGGTGGAACAAGACCCTTGAGCAGAACAACCACATCGGCATCAACCACGAGATCTTCGAGGTCGATCGGAAGCATTGGGAGGCCATCTATGTCAATTTTCAGCCCACCAACCTGGGGGCTACGACTTATCTTCGCAAGGGCGACAAGTTGATTGGGGGGACTGTCGATGACCAGTGGGTATCACCCCTGATGGACGCGAGACGAGGCAAGTTGAGGAGCAGCGCTGGCAGATTGGGTCGCGATCCGGGCCAGCTCTATGATAAGTACCAATTGGCGCCAGGTGCGACTCGGGAGGAGGCTTGAATAAGACGAGGTGAGAGATGGAATGCTGCCCTGCGAGCATATTTCTGGTGTACAATATGTCATGACGAATAGGTATAGGTATATAACTAAGCACGTGGTTCTTATATTCTCTCGTTAACGTGGCCGTGGGGGTACAGTTAGGCAGCTGTCAGCAATGAGTAAGCAACTACCATCTCGGCACACCTTCCAAATATAGATCTGTGTCTATATCTGGTTCGCAGCCTGATGAGCCTCGGTTTCTCTAACCATCCCCGCCCTTTCTTTGCCAGCATCCACCCTCTCATCCTCTCCGCTCTTCTCCCACCTCCGCCGTCGATGATCTGGGGGAACTCCAACCCCAGAGTGGCGCACCGGGACCCTGCTAGCTGATGAAATCCTGTTTGCTTTGGCGGCATACCAATGGTACACTCCTCTTTGCCCCCTATGCGACATCAAGGACTGCCTCGGGCAATTGCTCCCAAATATAAAACAATCGATTCAAGTCCGACTTTCCTGACAACGAGTTGCTTCGCAATGAAGATTGTTCTGTTTCGATCATCAACCTTGTCCTTGAATTCATGCCCAGCGCAGTGACCTAACTTCCCTTCTCCTTTCACGCTGCTATGCCTCACAAGTCTCGTTGGACGGTCCCCGTGCAGGAGTGCTCCTTACCGACCTTTCTCTTCAGGTCGCCCACGCACCCGTTAGGCTCCAAGCGCTGCTTTTCCGAAGCGGAACGTCCTGGCACTCATTACTTCACACGTGACCAGTTTCGGCTGTGGGCTCAACGATTTGCATTAGGTCTACAACGGTCCAAGCACTTCCAAAAGGGCGACCGCATTCTGCTCTTCAGCGGAAATGACCTCTTTGTACCTGTGGTCTTTATGGGTGTCTTATGCGCCGGTGGCATCTTCACCGGCGCCAATCCGACGTTCGTGGCCAGAGAGCTGGCCCACCAACTGAAGGACAGTGGCGCCACCTACCTCCTGTGTGCGGATGCATCCCTTGACACAGGAATGGAAGCGGCCAGACTGGCAGGACTCAACTGTACAGAGCGGGTGTTCGTCTACAACGCGAAGGTTTACGACGGAGAAGCCGAAGGCTTGAAGGGTTGCAGACATTGGAGCGAGCTGATTGCCCCACCAGAAGATGCGAGAGGGTTTCAATGGGACGATCTCACCGGTCCAGGAGAATGCCACAAAACGCTGGCCTTGAACTATAGCAGCGGTACCACAGGTGTCCCGAAAGGTGTTGAGATCAGCCACAAAAACTACATCTCCAACACGGTCCAGGTGGCTCAACTGGCAACACTGTGGCCTGACCACGAGGCTCGGGCTGCCCGGGCTTCCTGGCTCTGTTTTCTTCCCCTCTACCACGCCTACGGCCAGACATATTATTTGGCAGGAGCCTTCAATCGGCAGATCCCGGTCTACATCATGCCCAAGTTCGATTTCCTCAAGTTCCTCCAATACATCCAAGAATTCCGCATTACCGACCTCACCCTAGTCCCACCAATTGCCGTCCTGCTGGCGAAACATCCAGCCGTGGTCAAGTACGACCTGAGTTCCGTTGAGAATGTGGGCTCCGGAGCTGCGCCGTTGGGCAGAGAGGTGTCCGAGCAAGTCGAACGGCGGTTGGGCAATCGATTGAACATGAAGCAAGGATGGGGCATGACCGAGTAAGTCTACCCCTGTCACGTATAAGTGCCATCTAGCAGTAAAGCTGATTCGTATCACAGGTGTACATGCTCATTACTGGGCTGGGACCCTAACAAGATCTCCACGACAAACTCGGTCGGTGAACCCAATGCCAACTGTGAAGCCAAGATCATGACGGAAGACGGCACCGAAGTCACCACTCGTGGGCCCTCTGCTGTTGGCGAGCTATGGTGTCGCGGACCAAACGTGATGAAAGGCTATTGGCACAACCCACTGGCCACGGCCGAGACACTGACAACGGATGGCTGGTTGAAGACGGGAGATATTGCCTATGTTGACAACGACGGCATGTTCTTCATCGTCGACCGCAAAAAGGAGCTCATCAAAGTCAAGGGAAACCAAGTTGCCCCGGCCGAGCTTGAGGCCCTGTTGCTGGAGCACTCCGGTATCGCCGACGCCGCTGTAATCGGCATGCCAACCGAGGACGGCGACGAACAGCCCCGCGCTTTCATCTTACGGCAGGTCGGCCCTGATGGGGAAGCACTAACTGCCGATGAGGTTGCCAAATTCGTTGAAGGAAAGGTCGTCCGTTACAAGCGTCTGACCGGTGGAGTTGAGTTTGTTGATGCAATACCAAAGAACCCATCGGGGAAAATTTTAAGAAGGAAATTGAGAGACCAAACAAGAGAGAGGATGAGAAGGGAGGGGGCGAGATTGTAATCTCAACTAAGACGCTCTAATGCTTGAGTCTTGACCGCCGTCCTGCAGTCGCCCTGCGATCAAAAAAGATTCAGGCAAAAAATGAGTCCACGATTTAGAGAAGCAAATCTACTTTTTGTCTATTCATTGCCCTAGACTTATTTGGCCAAGCGTCGTGCGGAAGCTGTCTTATCTTTGCCGTCATTCTTGAGTCTGAAGCTGGCAGTTGGCGTATAGCTCACTGACTTCAAAATGAGTCGCCTAGGCTGCATCGGTTGTTGCAAGGCTGGCCTCCTGCTCACTCCAATTCTGCCAGTGCCTTCCTCTTACGGTCCTTTTGCCAGACAAAGAACCACGAGGCCAATATGGCCGTGATTGAGACGACAAGAAGACATAGACAGATAATGTAGGATACCCGATACGTCGGTCCGTAGATGGTGCTGTAGACGTGAGGCCCGACGATACCGCTAAATTGAGCCATGGCATTTGTGACCCCGATGCCAATTCCCGCAGCGACTGTTCCTTCCAGCGCTCGAATGCGTTCAGGCCAGATGACCGGATAAGCAGATCCTGCACAGGATACGGCCACAATCAAAGCAACATACTTGACCACCGCATTGTGGACCGTAATTAGGATGATGTAGCACACGATTGTCGTACCCTCGACTGGATTTGTGTCAGTGTTCTGATATAAGGAGAGCGAGTGAATGGTGTGGGAAGAGACAGGGCGAACGAAGACAAGAGGGAGGCTCATTCTTACTTGCAACGGCCGTCGTCCAGGGTCGGATCCACTTCTTGTGAATCAAGTAGCCCAGCGTGTTCAAAAGCAGAAAACATGCCACGTATGGCGGCTAAGGGCATAGTCAGCGTGGTTTCACAGACAGAGGTGTTTGGTGTATTTTAACATACAATGTTCATCAGTTGGGATTTGGCAGTGGTGGTAAATCCCAGCTGGTAAATGACCGTTGGCAACGCATAGCTCACACCAAAGCCACCGATTCCGTGGGCGATCCAATAAATACAGAAGGTATAGACAGTAGGGTTCTTGAAGAGCACCCTCAGTGAGCTCCAGTCCCAATTGTCCTCCTTTCCAGATGGTGCGGTCGAAGACAAACGGCGAGCCACGATCTGCCTCTCCTCAGGGGTAAGCATCTTGGCTGTATGAGGATAGTCGGGCAATCCGAAAAGTGCAACGAACGAAAGGACAATCGCAGGCAGTCCTTCCAAGACGAAGAGCCAACGCCAGCCGGCAAGACCCCCAAGCCCGTCCATGAAGCTGATGGCGAACGCCAACAATCCGCTCAGAGCACTCGACAGCTGGCCGACGGAGTAGAACAGAGCGATGCGCCATGGCAGCTCGGTCGGGCGGTAGAAGAACGCCATGTGGTACAACACAGCAGGGTAGAAGCCGGCCTCGGCCAGGCCAATGGCGAAGCGGACGCACATCATCCCCTGGAAGCTCTGGGTGGCCGCGGATGAACAGGCGCAGATCCCCCAGACCAGGATCAGGACAAACATCCACCGCGATGGGCGGAAGTATTTGAGCAGGACGGTGTTGCTCGGCTCGAAGATCAGGTAGCTGTATGAGAAGATGGACAATGTCCATGCCCACTGGTTCGGGTCCAGATCGAGCTCTTTTTTGATGCCTGTCCCGTTCTCCAGGTTGATGATGGCCGCGTTCGAGTAGTTGGAGGAATCGATGACCCGAAAAATGTACACGACTGAGTAGAATCCGACAAGCCAGTAATCAATCTTTCGCATCGCCTTCTTCTCAAGCTCCTTATCGATCACCAGGTCACCGTCTACATCGGTGTCCTTGGTCTCCGACGAAACGCTGCTGGCGAGCACAGCAACCGTGGTGGTAAGGGCGGCATCCTGATTCTTCTCGGCGCTCATGTTCAAGGACCAAAGGGAGACAATGCCTTCGTAGATTTGGAGAAAAGAGTACGCGGAGGTAATGGACGTCTGGCTAAGCACAAGAAAGAGGCTTTGTGGCTGGTCGATACAAGCACACGGCGAGATATGCTTGGTCCCATCTCCATCTTCCATATAAAGGTCGCGTCGATGCTTGAGATGGCCATCACGACATATATGGTTTGAAAGGCGTCAGGCGGCCTCTTTGGCTCTCGAAATTCCTCTTGGTAAGCATTTGAGGACTCTTCTTATCCACAAGATGCACTTCATGCCCATAGTATAGCTGTAGCGTGATGTCGAACGTTATAGCGGATGGCGACATAGCCTGGACGGGTCGTCTGGACACCAGCAGAAGGAAAGGCAGGCATAGACTTCTTGATAGCCAAACAGCGTGACAGATGCTCTCATGGTCAGACACCTCTGTCAATGGTCAATGGTTCCGGAAAAAGCTGTCGTGGGGAAGATGGTAGTTGCCGTGGTGTCATCTCCATCAAGCACGTCGCTTTAGAAAGAAAGCACGCCATTGACATGGAGATGATATCCCACGCAACCCCGACCGAAAGATACGTCTGAGATATCTCACTGGTCACTGTCACCTACACATGGATGAACGGCATCAAAGCACCGTGGTAACCCCGCACCCGCGAGCACGTTCGCTTGTTGATATATAAGGAGATACTTCATCGGACAAGCACTTTGGGCGGAAGACATACTCCTCAGACCCTTGCAAGCACCCCCTGAAATCTCCGAATCACTTCTTTCTTTGCATCATGGCACCAGTAGCTATTCAAGAGCCCGTGGCAGACACCAGTCGAATCCTGGTCAAGCCATGGTCCCGGCCAGCCCCAACATCCGAAGATCTAGAATGGGCTCCCTTGGCCAAGATCGATCTCTCGCGCTTCGACGAGCCGGGTGGTAAGCAAGAACTGGCGAAACAACTCTATGATGCCGTCACCAGAGTCGGATTCTGGGTCGTTGTCAACACCGGCCTGGACGACGACAAGGTCCTGAGACAATTCAGCATCGGCAACACCTTCTTCAAGCAGCCTCTCGAGGAAAAACGCCAATTCCCTTGTAACTTTGCCGAAGGCGAATACTTTGGATATCGGGAGAATTCTCGATGGATCGGTGACACGGGTATCAAGGAAAACATCGAAATGGTCAGTCATACTCACCGAGCTTTGAGGCACTGTGGATCTCTATAGCAAGCATACTGATCCCCAGCCTTGTTCCATCAGCTCAACATCCCCAAGGACATTCCTGCACTTTCGAACGTGCCAAAGCACGATATCGTGCGCGAGCACTATGACGAGATCGCCAGCTTCCACCGCGAAGTCTTTGACAGAGTGGTTCGAAAGCTGCTTGTTCTGATCTCCATCATTCTCGAACTGCCAGAGGACTATCTCCTCAATGCCCACGCCTATGACCAAGTCTCGGATGACCATCTCCGTTACATGATCTACAACGTCCGAACCCAGGACGAGTGGGATCGAGCCCAGGGGTACAGCTTGGGCGGCCACACCGACTTTGGCAGCTTGACCCTGCTCTTCTCTCAGCACATTGCCGGTCTGCAGATTCGCACACCAGAAGGTCAATGGAAATGGGTCAAGCCTGTGGAAGGCGGCATCACCTGCAACGCCGCCGACACGTTGTCATTCCTCACCAATGGTACGTAGTTCCCTTCTCGTTGCGATGCCAGACACCCATCATGCTGAATATTTGAGGCAGGTCTCATCAAGTCGACCGTCCATCGAGTCGTGAGTCCGCCAAGGGACCAGATCAACGTGCCTCGACTTGGCTTGCTGTACTTTGTCCGCCCTGGAGAAAACACTCCCATGAGGACTGTGCCGTCGCCTCTCTTGGAAAGGCTCGGCCTGCTCACAGACGAAGACAAGGATCCGAACAGGCCGGTCCCAACCGGCACCGAATATGTTCGTGCACGTGTCAGAGATGTCCACTACACGGATGTGGTGAAGAAACGTGAAGGCACCTCATTTGACTTCAAGGGCTTGAAGGTCCAGAACTACTACGCCTAGAGTCTGTGTGGCGTCGGGAAATAGACAGCTGAACTGCGCTTGAGATCGGATGTGCATAGGTGGCCAGTCGTCTTTGGGGTGGTAGCAAAATTGGCCAAATCCAGCCAGGATGTTGTGAAGTCAAGCTCCTTCCTGGCAAGGTGCGGCATGTCTAGGCTGGGGAGTCTGCCACTTCAGCGATAGAAGGGAAATAGTTGATCACTCTCGCCGGTAAAATAACCACTTAGCTGTTGAAGAGTGTCTCGAAATCTGTGCGGCGTGCTTGAGATTGACAAACGACTCGTACGGGAGTGGCCGCACGAGTTGAGGAGTGGCAACACCGGCTTGACCTCCAAATTCATGGTACAAACAGTGTCTCGATTCATATGTCTTATCATTGGTATCATCGTAGCAATATGCTAGAACACGAAGCCTCCCAGCTTTCACAAACTGCCAAGGTTTGTGTGTCGAATCTCACTTTTCGTCCTCGTCGTCCTCGCCCAAAGCGACCACAGCCATTTTCAACTCTCTCACAATCCTCGAGTCCAACTTGTCTCCTTCCTTGGAGGTTTGCAACCCAAATTCCTTTTCATCCGTAGGAATAGTCATCGCTCTCCGATTGTCGTCTTTCAATGCCAGCACGTCTCGAATATCCTCGGCGATGGCTTTCCTGTGCTCCTCGTACCCTTTCAATGGCAGTACGGTCAACGGATCTATCGCCGCAGAGGCTCCGGCCTCTCGGTATGCCTCAAGCATTCGTGACAATAATGCAAGCGTTGCCGCCTCGCTTGCCAGTGCCAAGGTCAAGACATCAGTTCCCTCGGCTCTTGATTGGGGACTGAGCATGAAGCTCGTGCTTGCACGAAGAAGTTGGTTTGGGAATTGGTTCAAGAAAGATGAGATCTCTGGAGCCATTGCGCCACCAACTGCGTGCAAAAGGTTTAGACATAATGGTAGCAGACCTGTGGACCAGATTTTGTAAAGAGTAGCACAGCTGGGCCGCTGGTCCACATGTGAGGCGCCGCCTGGAACACGCTGCAACGACTCGGTTGTCTTGGAGGTCAGTAGGCGACTCAGCACCCCTTCGATTGCGAGCTCTTCTGCAACGCGTGGGAGAGAAGACAACGACGCGAGCATCTGGATGGAGGATACGGCGTACCGCGGCTCATGGTCGAAATTGGGACCTGTGAGTAAGTGAGACCAGCTGTACAGCAGGATGCACGATGAGGCTGCCCCGGAAGAAGATATTCTGTCGGATAGTTCCACAGAAAATTGCGAAAGCGTCGGCAAACGTAAGATTCCTTGCATGAGAGTGAGAAGGAGGGACACGTCGCGGAGTCCGACGGAATTGGAGGTCTCGGTAGAGTCGGTGTTCTGCTTTGCTTGCTTTTGTTCTTGGACTGCCATTACGACCGACTTGAAACCATCAGCTACTATTTGTGTCATGATTTCGAGAATCATTGTGTTCGCGGGGTCAAATGTAATCACAGAGGTGCTGGTACCCGGGATGGTTGTTGGTCTGCGCTTTTTGTTGACGTGAAAGGTAATTGCCATAAGGAGGATGTAAAGGGTCGAACGCCAGTAGTTGAGATCATCGTTCATGATAGCTTTTTCGTAAGAACCGTTCCGGAATCGGACAGCACCCCAAGCAGGCTCCAATATGCCAACGAAGTCCGAGCCTCTCGCACCAACAGCAATGAGTTCCCCAAGCAGCGCAACGGCAAGATCCGCCCGAGTCTGGAAAAGAGAGTCGAATATGGCTTCTGCAGGATAGACCTGACTGTTGGCTCGTAGACAAGATTGGACGATGTGAGCCATTGTCTTTTGAATCTCACGGTCTTGGACAAAGAACTTGCAGTGGTCGACGCACAAACGCTGAAGACTAAGCAACAGCTTCAGCTCCGAGTCCACCAGGGACAAATTTGCGTTTGCTCTTCTGAACTCTGCAGAGAAGGATTGGTGGCTGGCCCTTCCACCACCCCCATGCCAGTATACGTCCTCAGAGAACAGCTTATTGGCAACATCAAGATCGTAGAAGAAATTGGTGCCGTAGTGCGTTTCAGTCAAACCGGTGCGCTTGATATCGGAAACAGACAGGCCATTGTACTTGGCAGCAAAGTTCCTCCGCAGATTGGTGTGCAGAGATGCATTGTAGCTCGAAACTTGAACACCATTTGACGTCAACCAATTGATTAGGGGGATGAAGATTTTGATGGCACCGAGATTCCTGGTGGCCTTTGCGTGATGTAGATGTGTGTTGGACAGGTCCGTGACAAGAGTAGCGATAAACTTCTGATATGCAAGTTGAACTTCGTCGTTGCGGCTGCCATCTCCACGCGTAGCGTAGGAAATGACCTTTCCATACAACTCTCGCGAGGAGTTGAGGTTGGTGGCGACCCACGGCCAATTTTGCTGTGCCTCCAAGACAAACTCCAGCATCGCCACGGCGACGGGCTGCGGTAGAGATTCAATATGACTCAGTTCATCAATCGCGAGCTGCAGGAAGTTCTTCCCTCGAACGCATTTTGTTGGCGCTTCTCCATTCTTTCCCTTCCTAGAGCTGTCGGGAGCAGCGCCAGTTAAAAGTACCATTGCCAGCCACTGCTGAGAGTCCTTGACCAACAACACCAATGTTTTCCATAGTTCGGCACGCTCCTCATCGCAATGAGATCCCTGGTCAATGTGTCTCAATAAGTGCAAAAAGTCGGTGCAAGAAGCCGAGCCTAGATGTCCTAGGAGAGATGATGGTCGATGTTGACCAACATATGAGATAACCGACCTAATCAACCTCAAACCCTGGATTCGGTTCTTCGACTTTACTTGAAGAATTCGAACTAACGAGGGTATGGCATTGAAAACGTGCACTTCTGCTGAAGAGAGCGGCAGACCTTGAACTTCCCCGTACCGGGATATCACGGTTGCCAGTTCCAACAATTGACTGATATGACGTTCGCGATGACCCGCAGAGACCAGACCGGGCTGTGCCACATTGCCGGCCTCGAAAAAGGAGCGAACGATGGGGTCTACAGCAACCTTGTCTGACCCTTTGGCGCGAAAAGACAATGCAAGAAATCGGGCCGGTTCCACGAAGACTGCTGTCGCACTGGATGAAGAGTCCAAGGATTCGCCGATATCAAAAGCATAGCGAAGGATGTTGCAGAACGATTCGGTAATAAGGCTCATAATCCGAAGTTGCTGTGTTTGAGAATCGAACGCCCAGTCCGATATCTCTTGAAACACATTGAACATTGTTTCGGTCATGGTCATCAATACCGGTCCCTGAATTTTCCAACCCGCAGGTAACATGGATCTTCTGCGTGCTGTGACCACGGGAGTGGGAGAGAATCCGTCATCGCTATAGGAGAGGGCCAACCCCACCAAAGCTGTGTACAGGCGAGCGCATCGTTCTAGAAAATCAAAGCTCCGCAGAGGCATCTCCACAGCTGTCACGAGCCCAGGAATGATAGTGGCTGATGACTGACGACCCAGGAGACTGGTCCGGTTGAGGTTGGTCCAGATTGACTGGGGCCGGATTTTGGTCAAAACGATGATAAAATCCATGCAAGAGAGCAAAATCCGGAGGTCGAAGCTCGAAGTTGACCGTCGACGAAACGACTGAAGTTCCTGTTCGAAGATCTCAAAGATGTATCCAACAACATCCATCTCTGGATTGAGATGACTACTCGCTTCATTCAGGATGCTGTTGCAACGATCTCGCACTTCATCACTGCTCCGTCCGTCGAAGGCACCGTGATGAATGGTAGACAGTAGAGACGCTAGGAGGCCAATGATTTCCGAGACCGCTGCTTGCGGTTCATCGAAGGGCGACAGGGCGGTTGGCAATAGACCCATGTAGCGCATCTCTAAGAGCTGACCCAGATACGCAAGGCCCGAATACTCGTATTGCCATCGAATAACCTTTGGAGTCGAGTCGGGGTCTGATATGAGTTCGCCTTCCGCATCGGCGGGGATGACAGATGTCGACTCGGACTCTTGATGTGTATAAGTCAACAGCCTGCTTTGCGTTAAGTCAAGCATGTTGATGGGCTTGTTGAGAGCGACGAGGTTGATAGTCTCGTCATCGCGAATAGTCCTATATTCGACACCTTTGACGGCTGCTTGGGTGAAGGAGGCGAGCTTCCTTAGACGATGTTCCACGTAGTGTGTGCCTTGATCATCGAAAATGTTTGCTTCCGCAAGAGCGCTAGAGAACCGCAGGAATGGCAGACACTCGTAAGGAAATCGGGCGGCAGAGACATCGTAGAATCCTTGAAGTAAAAATTCGTCGTCGGCAAACTCAATCGCAAGATCATATGGTTGTCGTTCGCCCTCTTCGTCGGACCCTGAGGAGAGTAAGGACAGTTGAGCGGAAACAAGCTCTGGAGTGTATCCCAAGAACGAGTGAGATACCGTGACGAGCTCTTGCAGTGTCTGCAGCTGATAGGCCGAGAGAAGGCTGGATGGATGAGAAGAAAGGTTGGTGGCAGCCCCAATGTACTCAAAAACTTGACATTGGCCAATGACCATGTTCAGCAGAACATCGGACGGGTCATCGTTCGAGTTGCTGGCCGTGACCTTATCCAAGAATTCTTCGAATATGCTTGTTTGGGACGAAGCGCTGCTACCGAACGAGCTTCGGCGGCCTGTTGCAGCGTCAAACGTTGCAATGCCATCAATGGTATTCTGAGACTGGTGATTTTCTCGCACTTCTTTAACAACGGAAGCGAGCAGCCGGATCTGGTGAAGTACAATGGCCCATGCCAAAATGGCTGGCCCTGCTTGCATATTCCCGGCATTAGCTTGCGAGAGAAGGAGCTGGTGGATCTCATGCGCTGCATCAGCGTCAAAAAAGTACTGTTCTTCTCGATTCAGCCGCACAGATGGCATGGACAATGCAGTCTCGTTCAAGGATGCAATCGAAGATGCAAGGTCGAAAAGAGCAGCCGTGACAAGGGACGCCGTGTACTGTATCTTCCGAATTGCCGCCAGTTGTATCTCATTCTCAGAATTGAATGAGGAGAAAAACCCGACTGACGCCATGAACTGCAACCACTGCAAGAGAGTATGAGAAGATGGAGTAGTCTTCGAGCTCCTGCCTCTCAGCAAAATAATTTCTAAGACAGTACCGATTCGTTCCAAGCAGGTCGTATCATGCATGTCGTTGAGGAGTGTAAAGTCCGATTCGTCGAGATCCCATCGCTGGCCGGTTTGCAACCTTTTTAATTCTTCCTCAAGTGCACTGACGCCAACGTCAATGTCATCCGCCAGGGAAACCTGTGGCTTGGGGGCAAGGCCGGCAGCCAGTTCTTGTAACTTGCCCAGCGGTATATCCTTAGTCTTGGGCAACAGACTGGCATCTAGGAGAGATCTCCTCGTTCGAAGCACAATGGCCTGTTGTTGTAGATGCCGACACATCAGCCCTGCCCGGCGGCAGCTTTGATTGTCGAAGATACCGTCATCCCTGGTGGCGGAGCCCACATTGGCCTGGAACTGTTTTTCGACAAAATCAGAACCCAGAGCCTCCCTAAGGCTGGCAAGTTCGGCCTCAGAATAGCCCTTCTTTAGCCTTGACTCTGGTCGGTATTGCCATTCTAGGACCGTTACCCTCAAAGCCTCCAGCTCATCCAGGCTTGCTTGTTTGCTCAACCATAGAGCGTCTGCTTTTATTTCATCAATGTTGTAAAGAGAATCCGAAGCCGAGGCGATCGTAGAGGTGGTCGAATCAAACGAGCTTTTGGAGAAGGCCGAGGGCGGAGGAAATGTGGGAAAGAGTTCCGACAAGACTTTCTTCGGTCGGTCACCGGAGAGTATCTCAACAGCAAGTCCAGATCTATTCTCATCGTGGGACAGCAGTGCGTCCAGAAGATCGTCCCATGAACTAGGCATATGTTAGTATTTCTGGCTATGATCAAATGGGCGGCGTCCACCTTACGGAAGAAGCAGTTCGCCAGCCAGACATTTGCCCAGATCCGGGAGATACACAGGGCTCAGCGACCCTGGCGCCATAGTTGAGAGGAAATGGAACTTGTCAAGGCATCGTCAGTGGTATGGTACAAACTTGTGAATGAATGGATCAATATTGACAATGCGCTGCCACCCAGAGAAGCGCGTCGCGACGTTTTGGGAGGTGCATGCTCCGCCCTTGATTTCTGCTCTCTTGGCATGTTTGCCAGCCAGATTCCTGCATATGTAAGGTAACTTCAGCTTAGCACGACATGATCCGCCGTAAAAAGTCTGGGGAAATTTCGTGACCACAAAATGCAACTGGGGTCCCATTCACCTCTGACTCTTTCCGGCCATTGGAAATCCCTCTCTGTGCACAGCAGAAGGATCAAGAGCCTCCTCCATCCCTCTACATAGCACCGAAGATGGCTCCCTCTGCTCTGATCGATCATTCTCCCCACCAGCCGACACCCGCACAGAAACTACCTTCCGCGAGCAACCTCGTCCTCATTGATAACTATGACTCCTTCACTTGGAACGTCTACCAATACCTTGTACTAGAGGGCGCAACTGTCACAGTATACCGGAACGACAAGGTGACGCTCGACGAATTGATCGCGAAGAATCCGACACAACTTGTCATTAGCCCGGGTCCTGGCCACCCGGACACCGATGCAGGGATCAGTAAAGATGCCATCAAATACTTTGCGGGCAAGATCCCTATACTGGGCGTGTGCATGGGACAGCAGTGTATTATATCCGTCTTTGGTGGGCAGGTGGATGTTACGGGCGAAATCCTGCATGGCAAAACCTCTCCTCTACGGCACGACGGGAAGGGGTGCTATACATCATTGCCACAAGACCTTCCCGTAACGAGATACCACTCCCTGGCAGGAACTCATCCAACTCTGCCCCAATCACTGGAGGTATCCTCCTGGATCGCCAAGGGACCCGACGGTGGGAAGGGTGTCATTATGGGAGTCCGACATAAGGATTACGTGATCGAGGGTGTTCAATTTCACCCGGAAAGCATTCTGACTGAGAACGGAAGAGTCATGTTTAAGAACTTCCTGGCAATGTCTGGCGGCAAATGGTCCGAAAACCCGCATGCGATTGAGGGTGGCAAGAAGGCATCTCCCGTCACAAATGGCCACCCCTCGTCGAAGAAGGAATCCATCCTCGAAACCATTTATGCCCATCGACGAGAAGCTGTGGCAGCCCAGAAGCTCGTCCCATCACAGAGACCCGAGAATCTGCAAGCCACGTACGATCTAGGTATTGCTCCACCTCAGATTTCGTTCCCGCAAAGACTTCGACGGTCGGCGTATCCCATAGCTTTGATGGCCGAGATCAAGCGAGCGTCCCCATCCAAAGGTATAATCGCGCTTGGCGCCTGTGCCCCAGCCCAAGCTCGGAAGTACGCGACGGCAGGAGCCAGCGTTATATCCGTCCTCACAGAACCCGAATGGTTCAAAGGAAGTCTTGAAGATCTAAGAGCTGTCCGTCAGAGCCTGGACTCTATGCCGAACCGACCAGCAATCTTGCGCAAAGAATTTATTTTTGACGAGTATCAAATCCTGGAGGCCCGCCTAGCTGGAGCCGACACGGTATTGCTTATCGTGAAGATGCTAGAGAGAGAGACTCTAGCACGACTGTATCATTACTCCCGCTCGCTCGGAATGGAGCCGTTGGTGGAGGTCAATACCGCCGAGGAGATGAAGATTGCGGTTGACTTAGGCTCCCAAGTCATTGGGGTCAATAACCGCGATCTTACCAACTTCGAAGTGGACCTGGGAACAACAAGTCGTCTGATGGATCTGGTTCCAGAATCAACGATTGTCTGCGCCTTAAGCGGGATCTCCGGACCTCAAGATGTCCAAGCATATCGAAAGGATGGAGTAAAGGCTGTCCTTGTTGGTGAAGCTCTGATGCGCGCGACCAACACAGTTGAGTTCATTGCCAAGCTGCTGGGAGATCCGGATGTTGCACCAATAAAGGCGGCAGAGCACCAGCTATTGGTCAAGATTTGCGGTACACGGACGCCGGAAGCTGCGAAGACGGCCATCGAAGCAGGCGCGGATCTGGTGGGCATCATCCTGGTTCCAGGACGAAAACGTTTCATTTCAGACGATGTTGCTCTACAAATTGCAAAAGTCGTCAAAACGACACCCAGACCTGCAGCAACACTATCAGAACCGCCCAAAATCGGCGCATCGGATTTTTTCGAGCATTCGTCGAGACTGCTGGTCAGGCCAGATCGTGCGCAATTGGTCGGCGTCTTCCTCAATGCTACTCTGGAACACATTGTTGAACAGGTTTACAAGCTCGGCCTGGATGTGGTTCAACTTCATGGCTCGGAACCGATCGAATATGCTCGAGGTATCCCGGTCCCGGTGTTGCGCAGATTTTCACCTTCCGAACCAGGCCTCATGAACCGAGGATATCATACTCTGCCGCTCATAGACTCTGGCGCCGGTGGTGTAGGCCAACAACTGGACGTGAAGCAAGTGAAGTCGCTATTTTCGAAAGACCCTGGTCTCAAGGTGGTATTGGCTGGGGGGCTCACCCCTGACAACATCACCACGGTACTCGATGCCTTGGGACCCTACCGACCAAGCATTGCTGGGGTCGATGTCAGCAGCGGAGTTGAATCGGACGGGAAGCAAGATTTGTCGAAGATAAAGGCGTTTGTTCAGAAAGTCAAGAGGCGCTAGAAGGTATGCAGGAATTGATATTCAGAGACTTTTGTTTTCAATCTCTAGTTGACTCCAGTTGACTCCAGTCGCTCCCGATTTTTCCCTGCTTCATCATTGCAGAGCTTAAACCTCCATGTCTTCTTGTACTGCCTTCAGCCTGACAGACGATCATCTCCAGCCAGGACTGGGAAACTAACCCTGCTCTCCAACCTGCCTTCTCGAAATGTCACCCAGGCACTTTCACCTCTCTCACTCAGTCTCCTTTGAAAGCTTCTTTTGCAAGTCCTCGGCCTCTCTTCAATCCTTATTCTTCTCATAGCCCTTCTTTACTTTACTTCCAAAGTCTCTTCAATTGGAGTAACCTGTCGGTTGCCAGGCCACAATCCCAATCTCCTGCCCGTCTACGACTCACCAGCCACCAGGCTCTGCTTTCACCTTCTCTCAGATCTGGTGGGATCTTCACCCTCTTGACGCACTCATTGTTATATCTCTCAACTTCCAATCCGAGCCTCAACAAGATCTTCGTTCTCCTGCTTTGTCGATCATTTTACCTCATCGTATAATCGCCATCTCTTGCAGCAATACCAGTTACGCCCTTGCTCACTATGGGTCGAACGTTCCGTAACATCCATATTGCGTCCACCAATGATTTCCCAGGCGAAAAGAACGACAAGATCAAAGGGTGGATCGAGCACAATGGCGGCACCTTCAGCAAAGAAATATCCAAGGAGGTCACGCATCTCATTGCCAGTCAGAAGGCCTGGAAGCATTACCACCCACTAGGTAGGTTTTCATCCCCCCTTTTTTTTGTCTCGGGACAATGTCATGAAGAGTCTGGCACGAAGGAGGCCTAGTCCCCGTCTGTCACACGCAATACTTCTTCTTTTTATTCTGCCTTTGTCCCTCAACCGATCTATGTTTGCGCTGCTATGTTGGACACCGAGGCCCAGCGACACGATCTCGCAGGCACACGATCAAACATTCACTTTGTGTCACTCTCAACACTCCAAATTACCGTCCTCTTCGTCCTTGGTGTATATATATAGAAGCAAGTTGTGCTCCGTCTATTTCAGTTTATTCAAGTAGCCAGAAACGCACATGAACTTACTCACATCGCTGGTTCTGCAGTCAAAGAAGCTCGTCGTCACCGCACTGTCCGCATCGTCCCACTTGAGTGGTTGGAGGATAGCCTTCTGAGCAAATCGAAACGTCCCCTCGACACGACCAAGTACGAGTTCGAGCAGCACCATCTCCCAAAGACCACACGGAAAAGGAAAGCAGCTCTGGAGGAGGATAGCGAAAAGCAAGCCGTACCTGGCAACATCAGCACAAGCAAGCTTGGAGAGCAAATGCCACAATTGAAGGCAGAGAAAATGACGGGCAAGCAACAACCCAAGAAACGGAAGATCATGAAAGAGAAGTCAAAGAAGCAGGATTTGCCACTCAGCAAAGACGAACGCATTGAAATCTCTGGTATGTCCATCCTTCCAGCCTCTTCAAGGACTCAGGTTCCTGTTTGCGAACATCTCCGCAATAAGAACTTGAAGCCGATCTATACCGTCCCGTCTGAGATATACTGACACGGCACAGGCAAGGAATTGGACGCTGCATGTGCCGAGTTCGAGAAAGAAATGGGCGTTTGTAAGTGTTCGGATTCCTGGCATTTAGGGGTCTTCAGTACTAATCCATTGAAGCCGGCTACCGCCCTTACGTTGACAGCAATGGGTTCGTCTTCCTCATCACGCTGGTCAGGAAGGACATTTTGAAGAATCGGCTTGAGAAACATCGACTCAAGGTGCGTTATGCACCTGACTTTGCCTCCCACCGTAGCACCTTCTACCCGATCATGCCTGAAAACCCAGATCACCGCCGCAAGGTCTCGGATGATGCTGTATCCACTGGCACTTACGAAGAGCAATGGTTTTCGCGTGCCAGTGCGAATCATGCTTTTGGAAGAGGCTATCTTTCGCAGCTGCAAGCTAGCTTGCCAGCTTGCCCTGTGCCGTTGTATTACTTCCCCAAGCCATATCCCTACTCCCAGTATCCGGTCGTTGCAAGTTCTCTTCCCCGATCCCTCAGACCATCCAACCCTGCATTGCGAGTCCGTATTCCGGACCCATGGGCTCAGGGATTGCAGCTTTTCGAATACGACCCTTCAATTGCAACGACCTCAACATCAGATTCCGCCGCTCCCAATTCGAACCAGCCGAAATTCAAGTCGTACGCCTGTTACTTCATCTACTCTCGACCAGGTCAACGCCACGTACAGATGCTCGCCCCACCTGGCAGCACGTTCGATTTTGCCTGGGACATGTTTCGCAAAATTTTCGAGAAGCGAGTCGGAGTGGATTGGGAGAAGCGTGAGAATGCGAAGAGACATCTCCAGCCGGATCAGGGACAGGACGACAAATGTGGTGGGGAAGATGGCGCAAACGATCGGCGATGGGAGTTCTGGGGACCGTTGGTGGCCAGTCGAGAGAAGACGGACCTTGATGAGAAAGTCCCACCAGTTGAAGGAATGGAGTCACGACCGAGTGTGACTGTGGTCATCAACACAGCCAGGCTCACTGCTGCAGAAGCAATCGACGCCCAGTCCAGGACACCACCAGCAGGCTGGTGATCACAACTAGGCTGGGGGTTCAGCGAAGCAGTAATAGCGCCCTTGACGGGCACATTGAGTCAATCGCCACAACAGGCGCTGGGCCCCGTTTCGGCTGGAAGAGCCGACCTGCCACTTGAACATTTCCAGCTGAATATCTTCGCCGAAGATGAAGGGATGACGGGAGTGGGATTGTGTTACTCTGGAAAGTTTGCGATGGTGCTCATCCTGCGGTGCGTTGATTCCAAGGAGTTTGAAAAATTTGAGACAGCTGCGACATTTGCACATCGGCAGAGAGGCGGATGACTGCCTGCTTGTGCGGTCTCACATCAACCAAACCTCTCATAGATAATTCTTCTTCCGTCCTGTCCGGGTGTATTGTGTCAAGGCCCATTCCACTTCACCACCAGAATCCTTCTCCAGTGTGCCCCCTTTTATCTCAAAGCATCTCATTGTCATTCTAGGCCCGACTTCAGCAAGCTCCACGTCACGATAGCCGGTCTGAACGAAGACATGATGCCGAACCTCAATGCTGTCGTCGACATTTTTGAACGTAACTACTCGATTCCCCACCTTGTGAGGGCCGTCGCGTGGTGGAAAAAGATGTTTGAGGATCTGAATCACTCTCTTTCCCAGTCGTGTCGTGAATCCCTCGAAAATCAGATGTGGGTATGACTCCGACACAGTGCCTCTTGCCGCATCAGGTATGTCCGCCCGTAAAACAACGTTGTGGAGAGAAAAAGAGGCGGTAGGACCGTGGGGCAAATGCGAGATTGTCATGGCTGTCGGAGTCCCTCGATGTTCGTGGAGGAGAATGATATCGGTCAGCGCGGCGGCTTTGGCACTGGATAGCAGGTTCGGGAGGATGAGATTGCCACGATTCAGTCGGATCGCGGTGGGCAGGAGGAGTCGAATCTCTTTGGAGAAGGCACTCAGGCGGGTTGAAGGGCTTCGCGAGGTGGTGACAAGCGGCCTAGGATCGGACAAGCCGGAAAGCATTGAGTATTCATCGTCGATAGAGTCTTGCGCGGCGGCAGTCTCGGGGTCCAGAGTTTCATCGTACTTGAAGTCTTTTCGAAGGGACTTGTCGTTTGCGACGGAGGGATCTAGAGGCTTGCCGGTGGCCAGGGACTTTTTGAGGAGCGCACGCTTCTCGGCAATGCTGGCATCTCGAAGTTGAAGAGCGCGACGATAGATGTAGTCCCGTCTCTCTCGGGCATGTCTCCGGAGCATTTTTTGGCGCTGTGCGGATGAGGAACAGGCAGAAAGGCAGGAAGGAGAAGGTGGTGAAGGTGATGGCGGAGTGATGGGTGATTATCACGTCTCTTGTACGTACCTGACATTATTTTTTATTGTTTCTAGGTGGAGTCGAATTTCGCCGCACTAGCGACTCATCCTCGTCAATCTTTACCACTGCCACCATCACCACCACCAACCATCACCCATCACCACCCTTATGATTGAGAGTGTTTCCTCCCTCCCTCCCTCCCACTTCGGTCCCTCCTCCACCTCCCTCGATACCGACCGGCCCTCGATCCTCCAGCTCTGGTGCATGTACGACATCGTGTTCTCAACCGCTGGAACGAGAGTCTTTGGAGGGGCGTGGAATTGCGGTTGCCAGGCGTGATACAAATGGTATCAACGTCGCAGGAAGATTGGGTCACTCTCTACACACTTGCGCTCGCTTGTTAGATCCTTGATTCGGGATCATACTTTACACCACGCTCCCACTCATCTCAAGCCTGTTGGAGCCCGACCTCTCCAGGCGATCCCCTTTGTCGAGGCCCAACATGGAGGCGTTCAGCAACATGGGGAACCATCTGGTTTCCAACTCTGCAGCCGCGATCAACGCCAGCGACGATATTTCCACCGTCGACCCCGATGAAAGCGTTCTCAGCCTGGCCAAAGGCCCAAGAAGGCGACAGCATGATGACGAGGAGTCAGAAAGTATCGAGGAGGATGACCTCGAGAGCCTTGCCAGCGCCGCGGTGGATGGCAAAAAGCAAGCCGCAAAGGCCGAAGAAGACAAGGAACTACCACCGCACGCTTGCGCGTAAGTTGGAAGGCCCATTTTGGCTGTTGTCTACTGACAGCTGTTAGCTACTGCGGCATTCACAACCCTAGTTGCGTTGTCCGATGCCTCACTTGCGGAAAATGGTTTTGCAGCGCCCGTGGTAACACTTCCTCCTCCCACATTGTCAACCATCTGGTCCGCGCCCGACACAAAGAGGTCCAATTGCATCCCAGCAGCTCCCTGGGCGACACGGTGCTGGAGTGTTACAACTGTGGTACGAAGAATGTCTTTTTGTTGGGGTTCATTCCCGCAAAATCAGACACTGTGGTGGTGTTGCTCTGTCGACAACCATGCGCCGCCATGCCCTCCTCCAAGGACATGAACTGGGACACTTCGAGATGGCAACCACTCATAGAAGACCGCTCATTCTTGCCGTGGCTGGTGGCGCAACCAAGCGACCAGGAACAACTTCGTGCTAGACATCTGAGCCCGCAGATGATTGCCAGATTGGAAGAACTCTGGAAGGAAAACTCGGCCGCCACCATTACAGACCTAGAGAAGGCTGCAAACATTGACGACGATCCTGCTCCGGTTCTGCTCCGATACGACGATGCCTACCAATACCAGAACGTCTTTGGCCCCCTGGTCAAGATCGAAGCCGACTACGACCGTAAGCTGAAGGAAAGTCAGTCGCAAGACAACCTGGTTGTTCGGTGGGATCTCGGTCTGAATAACAAGCACCTGGCCAGCTTCGTCCTGCCCAAGCTCGAGTTGGGCGACGTCAAGCTGGCCGTTGGCGACGAGATGCGGATCAAATACACTGGCGATTTGCGACCGGCTTGGGAAGGGGTCGGTTATGTGATTAAAATCCCCAACAATCAATCCGACGAAGTCACCATCGAATTGCGTGCCAAAGGCGACCACAAGTCGGTGCCGACGGAATGCACCCACAACTTCACGGCTGACTACGTCTGGAAAGCTACCTCGTTTGATCGAATGCAGCTGGCCATGAAGACGTTCGCCATCGACGAAATGAGCGTCTCTGGTTACATTTTCCATCGTCTGCTGGGGCACGAGGTTGCGGCAGCACCTATGAAGACCCAACTGCCCAAGAAATTCAGCGTGCCTGGACTCCCTGAGCTGAATGGCAGTCAGATCAACGCCGTCAAGTCCGTTCTACAGAAGCCCCTGAGTTTGATCCAGGGCCCACCAGGTACCGGCAAGACTGTAACATCTGCCACTATCATCTATCATCTCTCCAAAATCAACGGTGGCCAAGTCTTGGTTTGTGCTCCATCCAATGTCGCAGTGGATCAACTTTGTGAACGTATTCACCGCACTGGCTTGAAGACCGTCCGAGTGACCGCCAAATCGAGAGAAGACGTGGAATCGTCCGTCAGCTTCCTTTCGCTACACGAGCAGGTTCGAATGAACGACAGCAATGTCGAACTCAACAAGCTTAATCAGCTCAAATCGGAGTTGGGAGAATTGTCGAGCCAAGACGAGAAGAAGTACAAGTCGTTGACACGCGCCGCCGAACGGGAGATCCTGACCAACGCAGATGTCATCTGCTGTACATGTGTGGGCGCGGGAGATCCAAGACTGGCCAAGTTCAAGTTCCGTACTGTGCTTATCGACGAGTCGACTCAATCAGCCGAACCTGAATGCATGATTCCCTTGGTCCTGGGCTGCAAGCAAGTCGTCCTCGTCGGCGACCACCAACAACTTGGTCCTGTCATCATGAACAAGAAGGCAGCCAAGGCCGGGCTCAACCAGTCTCTGTTTGAACGCCTGGTCATCCTGGGCTGTGCACCGATCCGGCTGAATGTTCAGTATCGGATGCACCCGTGCTTGTCGGAGTTCCCTTCCAACATGTTCTATGAGGGATCGCTCCAGAATGGTGTCACGATGCAGGACCGGCTTCGGCGCGAGGTCGACTTCCCGTGGCCTGTCGTGGATTCGCCCATGATGTTCTGGTCCAATCTGGGGAATGAAGAAATCTCGGCTTCTGGTACCTCTTATCTCAACCGCACCGAAGCCGCGAATGTCGAGAAGATCGTGACGCGATTCTTCAAGGCAGGTGTCCATCCCAAAGAAATCGGTGTCATCACGCCATACGAGGGTCAGCGCAGCTTCATTGTCAGTTCTATGCAAGTCAACGGCACCTTCAAGAAGGAACTGTACAAGGAGATCGAGGTGGCGTCGGTCGACGCTTTCCAGGGACGAGAGAAAGACTTCATCATCTTGTCTTGCGTGCGATCCAACGATCATCAAGGGATCGGCTTCTTGAGTGATCCCCGTCGCCTCAACGTCGCCCTGACGCGAGCCAAGTACGGATTGGTCATCCTGGGCAATCCCAAGGTGCTCTCCAAGCATCCACTGTGGCACTACCTGTTGCTGCACTTCAAGGAGCGCAACTGTCTAGTTGAAGGCCCGCTGAGCAACCTGCAAATTTCGCTGCATCAGTTCAGCCGACCCAAGCAGTCCTATCGTGGGCCACAACGCTACCAAATGGCTTACAACCATGCCAGTCATATGGCGAATGGCATGATGAATGGTGGACGAGGGACAGGACTTCGCAACGAATACCGGGATGCAGGATCTGTTGTTGGTTATATCCCTGATGATGTGTCCTCCCTTCATTCTTCTTCCATGGGTGGTGTTGGTGTTCCGGCTGGCTATCCGCCAATGTTCCAAGGTTTCACGCCCGACACCTGGCCCTCCGTCCACAACGCAGGCAACCGTCGTCAGAATGGGACCAAACCAAGAGCTGTTCCGGGCAGTGTGGCCGGTGAGTCGACCGTCGCCACCGAATCCGACATCACTGGGAGTGTAGTTGGACAGGGCGGAGTCAGCTTGGACCAGTTGTCGATTCATGACACCAACAAACATACGAGTTACAACCAAGCCGATCGATTGAAGAGGTATGTTGAAGGTGGTGCTCCCGGGGTAGGCTATATTGGCAGCCACCGACTTGGGAAAGTTCTCCATGAGGACGAAGATGCTCGCAGCATCTCTACCGCATTTGCCAGCCAAGTCGGGGGTGGCTACGATTGATTTGAGCAAAAAGTGACGACATTCTTGACCGAACAAAATTGAGCTCAACAGAGCATGCTCCTATGGTGCATTTGTCAGCCCAAATCATGTTGGACATGGCCATCACGCAGGCCTAGTCAAAGTCACTTCGTTGACACAGGAGTTTCGACCTGCCGCCCGTCGATTTCAATAGCGCCAACGCAACCGGACCCAGGTCAGCCGGCGGTGATCTGTAGCCAGAGCATCGTGGGAATGCAAACCGTGCAGTTGCGGCTCAGACAACTGAAGGCGGATGATGGAAGTCAGGGTACGAGCAGAGTGAAAGCCATTGGCTGCCGCAGGGCTGGACGGAGACACCAACAGGTGATCAGGGAAACCGGATCACACTCTCCTCCGTTCGTGTACCGTGTCTGTCGCGAATGTGGCTGGGTTGAAGCTGATCCGGAAGAGGATTCGTGCCTGGGTCAAACTACATCGGCCACATGAGGAAAGAGTAAGAATTACCAGATTGACATTATTGAGATTGAGGTTGAGATTGAGATTGGTGCTGAAGTGGAAGAGACTGAGAGATTGAAAATGTGTTGATTTAATACACCCACACTCATTAGAAGTATGCTTTTCTGCGCAAAATAACAATATCATCTATTGCGCTCAATTGGTCAGATTGTAGGCTTCGATCCTTGAACAGCATTGTCTATATCGGTGTCAGCGATGTCAATAATCATGTAAAGCCGGCAGAGTCACAGCATCCAGACGTTGGACAGCGGCACATGGGAACTCCGCCTGACTACTAGTAGGCTACCATGACAGGTTTGCGGCCCATGGATGATAGAAATCGCAATGGCAACGCACAGTGTTTGTTTCATATCCTCGTAGACACGACACAGGAAAGGCAAGGTAGGGGGATGAAGAGGAGGTGGTTTCTGTCCTGAGACGCAGACGGTTCTCCTGAAACCACCTCGCCTGATCAGCCTCAGGGGGTCGCGCACGTCTCACCCTTGTAACGCTCCATATATACACGCTGACGCCATCCCCTCCTGACCCCCTTGGTGTCTTCCTCCTGATTCCCGCCTTGCTCACTGGCTATTTCTATGCTTCAGCATCTGGCACTGTGTTTCGGACCACTGTACTCCGACAACAAGAGTCTCATTTCTTGCCACGGTCTCGCGACTGCAAACCGTAATGACGCCGCCATTTGCCAGTATTGCTGCATCCTGTCTGGGGAGTCCATAATGGCTTGTGGCCCGTTACAAGGTAGGTGAGGTTCCTCTGTGTGATTACATGCTTTTCAACCCGGAGGTCCCGTGAGGTTTATTATACTATATTCCTGCTTCCATTTAAGAAACAAAAACTTTGAAGTCGCCGGCGACGCAGCAGAACTGCAGAAGGGTATATTTCCATCCCTCCCTCATCTTAGGTCGACAAGATTATCCTGAACGCTGGACGTCCAGTAACTATCGTTACCCAAGGGCAGGCTATTATGGCCGTCGAATCAAATGCCACCCCGGCAGCAGTGAAGGAAGCATTCGAACAAGAGATCTACTCCTCGGATGGCACTGGCGTGCGCTTTGGCTCCCTCTTCGGCTCTGTCGACACCTCCGAGCCAGTAGAGGAACGAGTCCTGGTCATCTTCATTCGCCATTTCTTTTGTGGAAATTGTCAAGAATATGTCCGTCGATTGTCATGCCCCGAATCACCATTCCATCCATCTCAGAGACTCGCCAACGACATCTGTGCCAACCCGACGAAAAACGGCTCGAAACCTGTTTCACATCCGCCGCCATCGGTGATCATCGTCGGGCCTGGCCTGCCATCTCTAATCCGATCTTATACGGATCTCACGCAATGCCCCTTTCCTGTATACGCCGACCCATCCACGCGCTTATACGACATCCTGGGAATGCACCGAACTCTGTCGTTAGGAAACAAAGCACCGGAATATATCCAGCGCTCCCTCCTCAGCAGCGCCGTGAAGTCCGCCTGGCAAGTCGTTAAGCGGGTCTGGAGCGGTGATGCAATGGGCGGTGGTAACTGGGAAGTTAACGGTGGAGAGTTCTTGTTTGCGAGACACGATGGGGGCCGTGTTTGTACCACGCACGACCCGCCCAAATCGGACTTGCCCTCGAGACGATCAAACAGACGAACAGGCTGGGCGTCAGGATCAGCGATTCATGGGTTGGGCTGGGAAGTATCCTGGTGCCATCGAATGCTTAACTCACGCGACCACACCGAGCTCGTTGACTTGCAGCACCACACTTGCTCCACCATATCTCCCATCCACATACACGCCCGAGTAGACTCTCCGCCGCAGTCGATCCTCGTTAGAGGCAAACATCATGTCCAGCTGGAAATCAAATCCCAGGGCTACTCCAGCCAATGCCTTGGTTCATGCCCGGGTCCCGACATACCCAGATTCCGCAACGAAGCTCCTATTGACCATGATTCTCCACGGCCGCGCTCTAGGCTCCATGGCAGACTAAGGTCGCGGAGTCAAACCACAAGCTTGCGCCGAGCGGGAACCCTACCAGTGCCTACCGGAACAACAACTTCTATGCGGCTCGAATCGCCGGCGTCAACTGTCCTGTTCATGGGAACACAGCCGCCGCATACCTCGAGCACTATCGAGGAGGGGGAGGAGAGGGGGGAGCTCCCACCGCGGAAAAGTCTCACGGCCAGTACGGTCGATCGTGTTGGGGTGTTAGTACGTGCCAAATCGATGTCGAATCGGGCGGCGAGATCAGGGACGAAGACACCAATTGGCGGAATCTTCAGAACAGCGAGCAGGGCGACGTCGCTGGTTCATTCAAGACGTCGGCCTCAATCGAATGCGGGTTTTCAATCGGATCCAGACCCAGACAACAGCAATATCTCTCGGTCCAGCTCGTCTCTACCGTCCCGGTTGGATACTCCTTCAAAGGCACGTCCCAAGTCCTCGCCACGAGGTCATGCGCACAAGCGTACTAGAACCTTCTCGTTCTCCAAGCCAGGTATGAACCGTGGGGAAGTGAAGATAGGCGATAACGGAGTCATGCTCGTCAATGGCGTCGAGTTCATCAATGTGATTTCTGTCAAGGCTCGGATCGAACGTGTCGATAGTGGGATCCGCCATGTGGATTTTGACCGTTCTGTTCGCTGAAGGATCGTATCATAGTCGATAGGGAAATCAACAGGGCACACAGAGCCTAGGCGTTGGTGCTGGCGGTGGCAGACAGAGGAATCAACGCCAGACCAGGGTGATATATGTTATCGATCACAGGCAAGGCGTGGATCTTGCTATATCCTTATCTAGTGCAAGCATGATGTATCCACGATTGTGTCTGAGCATTGAAACTCTAGTCATAGCTTCGTTCTATCCTCCATTCTTCTTTTGGCCAGCCATGTTATCGCCTTCCCAGACCAAACCGTTCTGTCAGCGCCGTATCGTCATGAACCATTGGCAATAGGCGATGGGCTGGTGATTGATATGCCTGTGAAGACGGGCTTTTCCTGGTTATCCAGCAACGGGTCATATCCGTTCCACGATTCCAGATTCTCGTCGATGCTGCTCATGTGTACGGCGACTGTTTCTTGTCCCGGTCGGTCATGGTGTGTGGCTTGCGGTTGCGGCGCCATAAATGACTGCATCGCCAGATTATCAAAGTTGTTCAATGTTTGCTCCATAAACGCACTCTGCTGTGAGAAGGTCAGACTCATAGAGGCGTCTGGTGCCTGTATAGGTGCAATCGAGGGGCCGTTCGCGGTTTCAACGTCAAAGTTGACGAATCCATCTTGCACGCCAAATTGGCAGCACGAGTCACTAAAGTCGTTGGGTGTCATGGTCGCAAGAGGGCCCAAGTCGGTATGCCCTGTCATTGAAGCCGTATCCAGACTCACGGCAGGCGCCTGCTGACTTTGTGGAGCAGACAGCATCATTGGCATGTTACGGTTCCCTATTGACGCGACGGTAGCCTGCCCAATGCTGTAATCGGTACCTCGAGAAGAGTCAAGATCGATCCAGCTGAACGATGTGTTGCCCAGGGGACCATCCGAAAAGTCCCAAGTACCAGCAGAATCAACAGGGAACAAGTCCCAGGGGGTAGATAGACTTGGCACCTCGTTGACTGGTTCGAGATATCTCTCGGTGGGATCTGGTGATGTAGCGACAGCCGTCGCCGGGGACTGTACGTGGGAACAATGGGCACTGAGAGGCTGATTCGTCCAAGAATGTTGTTGAATGGGATAGGTAAGGTAAATTGCACCAGGGTCTGAGTCCTCGGGGAAAAATTGCTCGAGCTGCTGTTGGGAGACCCCGGGTGTCTTCGAAAGAAAGAACGACGGGCGTCCGCCCATACATGACCGCGGATTGTTGTCTGTGGTGACCGAGGTGGGCATCAGACCTTCTCCGGCGTAAGCCTGTTCCGCGAGGATTTTGACCTGTTGTTGAGTGTGCTTGATCGAGGTCTCATTGTTAGGGTGATCGGGACAGTATAGACAAGAACAGCCAGACCCACAGGAGCAGGTAGCCACCCATGCGTCCTTTCCGGGTCGGGTAGCATCTTGCGCAGAGTCCGTTGGGCGCTTGTCTGCTTCTGACTGTGAGATGGTAATGTTCTGTCTATGTCGACAACCGCTCGAGGAAGCATGTGAGGGAGATTGGGATTCTTCTTTGGTCTTCTTAGAACTGCAACAACTGGATTTGTCCACTTCAGGAGTCGAGGTCATCCCTTCTTCCCGCTCCTTCATACGCCGTCGCCGTGCCTGGTACTCCTCGTCGTCGATCTCCTTGCCATTTGCGTCTGCCCAGACCTTTTTGAGTGTCATGGTATACCCATTTTCGTCCTCCCAAACCGGACGCGGGGTCGTTGTCGCCTCGCGGTTGATGGTTTGAGGACCATCGACCCGCACAATGACATACATTTCCTGCGTGCAGGCGCAGTCTCTTTGACATTTGCACGTCTTTGTGGTGCATGCGCAGTTCCTAGGACAGCGGCAACCTCTTTTCTGACCAGCAGACGGTCGACCTGGTTGATTGGTCTCGGATATGGGTCTCGTTCTTCCATGGTCACACTTCTGCACTCGATGGCCTCTTTTGCATGATTCACAGGCGTATGTTTTGCCGTTGAAGTGTTGGATTGCTGTCGAATCCCCTTTAGTCGTTGGCTTTATCTTTCGTATTTTCCCATCCTCCACACGCGTACTTTTGGGTGTGCTAATACCCTTGTCACCCGGTTGATCCTGCATGGTCCTGAAAGAGCGTTGATGGTTGGACCTGGTAAATCTATATGACAGGGGCGAATATGCGATTATCCGTAGGCGAGTTGAGCGTGGTACAAGGGCGGAGAGAATGTAAGAAGCCTCCGCAGAGAAATGGGATGACTCGGCCACTCAATATAGTGCGGTCTCGTCCGGATGAGCGCGTGTGTTCCGTGAGAGTGTAGGTAGTGCTACTGATCCGAAAATCTCAGGGTCGTGTTCGTGTCAAACGAGCGAATGTGGGATTCATGGCGGTGAAAGCGACTGAAGGCAGATAGGTGGGACGCTCGATGTTTCCGACGTCGAAGAGAGCGCGGTCTTGCGTAGGTAAAGAGATCTCAGAACGGTGGAGGCTGTCAAGGGCGCAGTTATGGACTTGGAAGTTCGCAACGTGAGACGGAGCCAGACTCGGATTTGACCAGTCAAGTGTCGGCATCAAACAAGACGGCGAGACCGACAACTTGAACTACAACCCGGACCACAATGCAAGTTACCTAAAGACCGCCACGACTACCATTCCACTTGGCTTTGGGTTCTATTGTTGCATACATAGGCTGACTTTACTATTGTCTTTGTTGGTGGACACCTGATTTTCTGCCGCCACTTCGTTCTTTGTTCTCTTGTAATTCAGAGGGTCGAACGCTACCTACGCTCATGAGGCCGGGCATGGACGATCACGACCACGAGAACACCGATATCAACAGCAACGGCTTCGCCAATCCAAAAACAGCGCGTACTGCCCGCACTCCTAACAAACCCAAGTCGCCGGAGCTTTCGACAACCTCATGGTGGTCATTGCCTCATCCCGTCAAATGCGTCTTCGAAAAGTTTCCTCTAATCACCTACCCTGAAAATGAGCTTCCCCAGAGAGCTCCTCGTCATCAAAACGAGAACATCCTGTACATATTCCAGACACTGGAGCCGCGGGCCCGAGATGCGCCGTCGTTCAATCCCTCGTGCTTGAAGTGGCAAGCATATCTGAAATTCCACGGAATCCCCTTTCGAACTCGGGCGTCCAACAACCATGCCTCTCCAACTGGAGCTCTGCCTTTCTTGTTGCCTGCCTCCAATGACCCCCATAGATCGGCATCTCCGGTTCCTACCGCACGAATCGCACGGTGGGTGGTCTCACAGGGCGGCAAAGAGGAGGCGATACATATTCGACAAGATGCGTACACTGCTCTGATTGATCATGTCCTTCGAAGTGCGTGGTTATATTACTTGTATCTGGACGAAGATAATTTTCAGGCCGTTGCATGGCCTCTCTATGTTGCATCCACCTCAAGTTCCTACGCCGTCAGAACCAGCCTCGCATATCAGCTTCGGAATGCTGCACGGGAGGAGCTGTTGAAAACAAACACTGTGATTGACGGACAAGCATTGTATCGGAGGGCGGAAGAAGCCCTACAGTCGTTGTCGATCTTACTAGGAGATGAGAACTTCTACTTCGGCCAAACCACGCCCGGTCTCTTCGATGCAAGTCTGTTCGCATATACCCAGATCATTCTCGATGAGAAGCTGGACTGGAAACAGCCAGCCCTGAAGCTTGCGCTACAGACTCATAAGAACCTCGTACAACACAGAGCCCGGTTGATGCGCGGGTTCTTTTCAGCCTGAGCATACCCAGAAATATGGAGGCTATCTTCTTCGGGAGCTCGACGAGCTCTTTTCTCTCACCTCCTCTTATGGAAGATCCCCCCAAACCACACAGCGACCCCGACCCATTTTCGAGATCGATTGCCGAGTAGCGGTACCATGGATTCCTCTACCATCCTCTCCTCAAGCCGTCCAAGGAGTTCTAAACCATTTTCGGTCGCCGCGGCCTGAACCTCCGTCAGCGTGTGAGCATAACTGGTGGGACGAATCTTCTTCCCAGTCTTGGGATCGGTGAAGCCCGCTTGACTGAGGCCACCCATCTCGGGATGCATGTTCGTCAACAGCAGGAAGCCACCAGGGTTGAGGATCTGGGCGACATGGCGGAAGAAGGTGTCCGCTGGGACGTGTTCAAGGACCAACGTCGAGACCACAGCATCAGCGGGCTTTGCAGACTCTGGGGCTTCGGCCTGTTGCAGCATGTCAAACACCTGCAAGTGCAGCTTTCCGTGGAGGGTTGATTGTTCCAGCCGCTGTCGAGCGATCTCCAACATGCCCGAGCTCACATCGAGACCTATGACCGAGGCATTGTCGATGTCCAGCAAGGCAGCTGTGTTCCGACCTGTACCGCACCCGAGGTCGACCAGTCTCCAAGGGCGAGGGAGCTGCGACATCTCCAGGAGTGTCAGCATGCGTGGCATCAGCGTCTTGATCTCAATGCTGTCGAGTGCTTGAAGGAAGTTCCCATCGGTATCGTATACGTCAGCCCATAAGTCGTAAGCCTGGGCTGTGGAAAGGTACCGGATGGATGTATCTGTCGAGGGCGGGATTGCCATCTCGATGCCTTGGGAGTGATGAGGTATGGGTGTTGCTACCAGTGCAACCTCGTAATATAGACCAAGATTGAAGGTTAAACTATGGATGGCCTCCTGTACTATCGTTCATAGCCTGCATTCAAGTCGTACCCAACATGTGAACCACCTATATCGACGACAATAACTTGTCCTGCTGGGGAGATTCTTGTCAGGTAGCCGATGATACACCGATCCTGGAAGGTGTACACGCTTATGTTGCGCTTGTCGGGTTTATCTGGTTGGAAATTGACGCGAGACGTTAATCAAAACGATTTTATACCAACTCCTGCTCCTTACCCCATGAGACTGCCAATCCCTTCCCCTCACCATTCATTAGCATCGACCGATGAGTCACAAAGACAGTCGAGGCGTACTTTTTGTGACAACAAGTGGATTCTATGTTGCCTTATCCTGCAACGTTCAACCATACGATATTCTCCAGGGGTACATAGTCAAGTAGGAACATGTTTTCTCGCCAGTCTGTGACATGTCCGAGTTGACGAAGTCAAGCCGGAGAAGTGTCAGATGCAAAAGTACACACCGAAAAGCGACATCTAGTTATACATGTTCGGGGGTAATCCACCCGAAGTCCAGCATCCAAACAAAAGACAAGAAAGCAAGACAGAAACCCGTTCCGCATCGAAGCAAGTAAACCACTCGCATCGGTTGAACTCAAAGCAGGACGCGCAAAGTCGTTCAGCGCAGTTCTGTGCCGCAGACTGGGTATCTCAAACAATCAACAACTGCGCAAACCCTCGTTCTTTGCTATCTGGCTCCCACGCCGAAGACGCCGCCTCCCTCCTTCAAATCCTCCACCAGGTCTTGAACATTGGCCAGGTATTTCCCCAGTAGGTTTTGCTTCTCATGCGTCGTCCTTGTATCACCTGTTGGCTTCTGGCCTCCATCGGTGCCGTTGACCGGCTCTCGCCGTCGGTCAAATGCAGCAATCAGTTCTCTTCCCCGCCCACCCAGGATCGCGGTGTTGGTGGTTGATGTTGATGCCGACATCTTGGGGGCGGACGATTCTGGCATGAGGTAAAAGTATAGGAATTCGACGAGCTTTAGTTTGACTTCGCGCGAAGTGCTGCGGGATTTGAAGAGTGAAGTTACGACCAAGAGGCCATCGATCGCTTCAAAGGTTCGCGTATTTTGTGGGTGATCGAGCAGGCAGGTGACAAGGGCCATGATGGTGGCGGATTGAATGGCTGGGCAGTTTGAAGGATCCAGGAGGTCTAGGAATAACTAGGGGAGATTAGCCGCTTCAGTCTGACCGGACTTTAGAGTCGAAGCACCTACATTCATGTAGATTTCTTGACTGAAAAGCGCCCGTGAAGGCGGGTGTAGCAGAAGCACCCCCTGAATAAGGTCCAGTGTCTGGGTCACCAGCAGGTCATTTGTCCCGTTGCTTTCTTTGCCCAAGAGCCGCTCCAGACAAGCAACCAGTCTCATAGCGATATTCCATTGGAAGCTCTGTTGTAATTTGAAGAATTCGCGGAACGCCAGATCCTCGGTCAGCTCACACAATCTTTTGCCTGAATGGGAAGGGGATGTCCCAAGAAGCAACATAGACTGTCGACGGTCGACAACGGAGGCTTTGGAGAGGCATAGTTGCGCAAGCAACCCTTCGACCTGTCGTAATCCTTTGCGAATCTTTTGGGGCGAAGTGGAGGAAAGGTAGTCGAATGAGTGCGAAAGAAGGGTTTCCATGCTGGAAGTCGTAATATAAGATGGATAGTAGCTTCAAGATGGGTGACTGCAATGCAAAAGAGCCGAGTTCCAGTTGCGCTCTTTCGTATAGAGAGAACCTACTCGGTAGGTACTACGATCGTGAGCAGATGGCGAAATGGTTGTCAAGGCCGCAACAAGTTAGATCCAAACATTATGGCCCTCCAATTGCGAGGGACTGCTAGCTAGTACTAGTAGTACTAACTAATAAACAGGTGCCTATATTTCTACCTGTAGTTGCACTAGTGTTAGACTAGGCGCCTTGTGATGATGCCCCGACTTCCTGCCTGGATCGTGCGCCAGACGCCTGAAGATCCCGGACGTAGCACCTAAGGCGCCTTCTTAAGCGTTCTACTAGTACCTGTATCTTGCCTTTCGGTGCCAAACCCGCCCGATCCGAGTGGCTAACGCGGCCTAGGAGCCGTCTGGCATAATGGTCCTTACTTAGGTGCCCTACGTACCTAGTAGTATATTATTAATGGTGCAGAATGAGAAAGCCTTGTGGTTTCGTCATACGTTCCAGCACATGACGGCCTCGATTGCACATATGCGCCTATCTAAAACACCGTGACTTGATGTTGATGCCTGAGGGCGTCGAATGCCAGTTCACGAAAGAAATCAACTTCGAGCTCGAGCTCAGCACCTTTCAACTTTGTCAACCTTCATCGTCCCTCCTGCTTTCATCTGCTTTTGACCACCACTTACCGCTCTCGAAGAAGCAACCGAACCCTTTCACATGCTCGTTCTCGCCTGAACCGGTTGGGCTCTCCCACACATGTCGACCCTTTCCGAGAACCCAACCTCACCCAACGCGATCCCCATCCGCTACAGCTCTGCCGGAGTTTCCAATGGCGTGCAACATCAGCCCTCGAAATCCGTCCTCAAGCCGCTTCCGGAGGATACTTGGATCGCGTCCAAGCACCACTCACTCCCCCCTTCGCTGAGCCCTCCACCAGCGCTGGTCGACGTCACGAATGGCATCCGGCGCAGGCATTCTAAAAAGAAATCTACTCCGGAAAATATCATACCTCGGCGGACAATGGGAGACTGGACGGAGCAGAAGGAGAAGATCATCCTAGGACCCTACGACTACCTGTTCTCACACCCAGGCAAGGATATCAGGTCGGCCCTTATCACGGCATTCGACGGCTTCCTTCATGTTCCTAGCCGATCGCTCGAGGTTATCAGGAAAGTCGTCGGTATGCTACACACATCTTCACTCTTGATCGATGATGTGCAGGACGGTAGCATCCTGCGGAGAGGAATACCTGTGGCGCACAACATCTTTGGTACGGCCCAGACCATCAACAGCGCCAATTATGTCTACTTCCTCGCTCTGCAAGAACTGCAACACCTGGAGAATAAGGAAGAAGCCATTGAGATCTTCACCAGCGAGATGCTCAACCTCCATCGTGGCCAAGGAATGGATCTTTACTGGCGTGACACTCTCACGTGTCCAACGGAAGACGACTACCTCGAAATGGTGCAGAACAAAACCGGTGGCTTGTTCCGTCTAGCCGTCAAGCTGATGCAGGCCGAGTCGCCTGAGAAGGGCCGACTAGACTGCGTACCCCTCGTCAACCTGATGGGGTTGGTGTTCCAGATATGCGACGACTACCTCAACTTGTCTTCCAGCGTCTATACTAAGAACAAAGGCCTGTGTGAGGACTTGACCGAAGGCAAATTCTCCTTCCCCGTCATCCACTCCATCAGGAGCAATCCCTCCAACCTACAACTTATCAATATCCTCAAGCAGAAACCCACGGACGTCGAAGTCAAGAAATACGCGGTTCAGTATATGGAGGGCACGGGCAGCTTCGAATACACGAGAAAGGTCGTGCAAGAGCTGAAACAAAAAGCCTCAGCCCTGATTGCGGAGATGGATGGAGGTTCGGGGAATGGCAACGAAGTGAACCTGATACTGGACAGGATGGAAGTGGACCAGTAACACACATTCGGGTCGCGCATGGATTCGTGATATAACGGTATTCGGAATCGCTTCAGAACATCTTTTCGAAGAGCGGGCTCGACTCTTTATGACGGCGCTGTTTCAAGCTCTTCTTTCAGTCGACAGTTGATGTTTCAATACCCGTACTGTGTCTTGTTGGAAATAGGTACATCTCAAGACATATACAGTGTGTTTTGTTTATAGCCTTGCAGAGCTTATATTGAAGGGATAGCCTTATATGGCGTCGTCCTGCAGACACCTCGGCATTAAGTAATGAATGATAATCATGAACTTCACTTCTCCAGTCCTTCTTTGATCCACGCAACTCACAAGCGATCCATCCGTCATATGCCAACGTGTGGAAAGCCTGCTCGCGGCAAAGCATGTCGCCGCAGATATTGACGAGACTACTACCTCATGCTACTTTCACTAGCTTGATATTCTCTCATCCTCCCTCAACACTCACTGTCCTTATACCCTCATTTTCAGCCAATCGATCAAAGATGACAGCTCCTAAGTCTCTTGATTGTATACTGCAAAATGTTTGGGATTGCAAGTATATTTTGGGATTGGGTTCCTAGCACGCTGGCAACGAAGATTTTCGCGTTCGGCTAAGTCTCAGCTATACGATTCCCAACGTTTAAAGTGGCGTACTAATGATATTCATCATTGATGAGAGGATGGAGTTTCTTCCTTTCATATCTTGATATTCCTGGTATGATCTAGTGATACTGACGAAACAGCCTTAGACCGGTGTGTGTTGTAAATAATAAGGTACGAGTGTCCTAAGTAGTCAATTCGAAATATACCGAAAACGAAAGGCCTCGATTTTTTGTTAGGGCTATAGTTAGATAGCCCTCCACTATACGATTTAATAAGGGAGTGATTTCAGAAGCCTGTGCTTTTCTCTCTCAAGGTACTCCTCGAAGGTAGTTAGACGAATTCCATAACTCCGCTGAACTTGTTCTCCATCAATGGTGAGGTCGACCATATTGGCCCATAGTTGGAATGTCTGTGTGGGAACGATATTCCTTGCCGCTATGATTTCCTCTTGGTTGCGCTTCCTGACTCTAATCGGGCGTCCGCTGACCTTCTGGATAATATTGGCGGCCTCTTGTATCGTCAAGTTCTCGTTTCCAAGGTCAATTTCCTGACCACCAAATCTGTCGGGGTTCAACAGCGCCGCGGCACCGTACTTGCCAATGTCGTCCTCGTCAATATGTGCCATTCTCACGCCATCCTCGTATGAGTGCACAAGCTCGCCACCGTCCTTGAGTCCAGGAAAGTGCCAGACGCTGTACGGCAGCAGGTAATTGGCGTGGAACCACGCGGGGCGCAAGATCGTGTAGTGCTTGACGCCAGCTTCGCGGACCATCATTTCCATCTCTGCTTTAGCGATGTAGTAGCCTCGCACGCCACTCCTTTTGTCGAGTGGACTGTCCCACTTGCTGCTGTCGCCAGTGAAATAGGCGGTTGCTAACACAATGGTCTCTACCCCGGCCTGTTTGCACGCTTGTACAATCCCGCGGGTCTGCCTTTGCTGCGCATTTTTATCGGTTGGTGATGGCTGCAAATTTAGATATATCCCCCTGCAGCCTTGGGCAGCCTTGTGGAAGACGGCGAAGTTGTCATTGTCGCCTTCAAAGAGTACAACACCTTGCTTTTTCAGAAGGCAAGCTTGTACACTCCTAATGTTTCGTGCCACTGCGTGGATCTTGACACCAGCAGCGAGAAGATGCTGGATGATGGCTCTCCCTTGCTGCCCCGAGGGACATGTGACTAGATATGTTGCCATCTATGGCGATGTGATTTTATTGAGAACTGGAGCTATTCGGAAGGCCCCGGGGCCGTCAGCCTATATATTTTGGTGGCTGTACGGCGCTTCGGGAAGGTCATTATATGATTGGTAATTGTTCACAAGCGTAATGGTGGCTATCCTATCTCTTTTGCCCTATGATTCGCAATATAGAGCCGAATGGTAAGCTACGACAGGCAATGGTCGAAAGAGGAAAGTCTACGGAGTAGCCTTTGCGGGCTCCGCTATGTGGGGTGATCTTCCACCATAGCCTGTGGACGTACACAAGTAGATAATGCAGCCTGAGAGATAACGGTAACCCGGGGTAGTCTCCACCATATACATATCAGATTGAACTTGAGACACTGCCTTATCTGCCTGAGGCTATTGGACCTGCATGTCCATGGTGCTGCTGCGTCTACTGAGTTGTGGTCTAAATATTAAAGACTACAAAAAACGCACTGGATATACCAAAACACTTCGATGTATAACAACATTCTAAGGATACTCTTTTAAACAACTATGAATAATAGTACCGAGAAGATGGCCGCAACGTCCAGCTCGTCTGCCAGGCCAAAAGATGAGGTGAACCAGATTCCTGGTACCTTCATGCTGAAGGAAGGTCGGGGACTTTTTTCCTCCTCACACAATGACCAGTGGACTTACTTCTGTATTACAGTGCGAGGCGACGGCGATACCGCGGTCGTATTGTTTCCAGAACCGACCTCAGATCCAAATGATCCTCTGGTAAGTAGCTTCTCTCGCAGCTCGAGATCATGTCGACACTCTGATCTGGTACTGATTTGACTCGACAGAACTGGCCGAAATGGCTCAAAGTGGTGAACTTCGGATCCGCATCCGTTTTCGTGTTCTTTACCTTCGTCCTGATCAACATTCTCTATATTCCCTACGCGATGCTCGTGGCAGACCTCAACTTTGCCTTTGGCGACTTTACCAAAGCGCTTGCCTTGTGCTTTACAGGCATGGCCATAGGCTCAGTGCTGTTCTTGCCCTGGCTCCACAAATTGGGTCGACGGCCCTTGTACTTGTTCAGCTCCTGCATCCAATTTGCCGCAGGAGTATGGTTGTCCGAGATGCATTCCAGGGGCGAATTGATCGCAGCGTACTTTATCTCCGGCCTAGGTGGTGGTCTTAGTGAGACGCTGCTTCAAATTACCATCGTCGACCTATACTTCGTCCATCAGCGTGCCACGATGAGCGCACTCTTTGTGCTGGTGCAGACTTCAGGGTCGTGTCTAGGTCCTCTTGCAGCAGGCTATATTGTCATGGGTCAAGACTGGAGGTGGATGTGGAGGTGGTGTGCCATTTTCCTTGGTGTCAACCTGCTCCTGGTGTTCTTTTTCTTCGAGGAATCCAAGTACATTCCTGCTCTCCACGGCGAGCCGATTCGGGAAGCCATACCACCACAACAGGATCCCAAAGGAAAATCGCAGGATACCCTAGCACCAGCACATGATACTGAGGAGCAGCAGCAGCAGACGACTATTTCGACAGCGACCCGCCCTGCCATCAACCCACTCATCAAACGGAAGACATACCTCCAGCGTCTCGCCTTATTTACCAACACAGATGCCCCCATCAAGCACCATTTCTACCAGCCGTTTGTCTTATTATTTTCTTTCCCGGCAGTGTTCTACGCAGCTTTGACCTATGGAACCTTGACGACATGGTATTCAACCCTCATCTCGATCACGGACTCCATCGTCCCTTATCCTCCGTACAACTTCAGCCCAGCGAGCGTAGGTCTGCTCACTTTCTCGGTGAACGTTGGTAGCATTATCGGAGCCTTTGTCGGTGGGCCTATTTGCGATAAGTCAATCGTCTGGCTCTCTGGGAGAAACAAAGGAGTCTTCGAGCCAGAAATGCGTCTATACATGGCATTGATGGCTACCATTCCAGCCGTTGCAGGCATTCTGATGGTGGGAGTGGGCCTAGCACATGTATGCATCCGAGCCCTACCCGCACCAAGCTACTCAATTCTAAGTACACAACTGACATATCTGCTAGGAGCTTCACTGGGCATTCATTGCCGTAGGATTTGGCCTCTTCGGCTTCGCTTGGATTGTTATGGGCGATGTCTCTATCGCATATGTAACTGACTGCTATCAAGATGTAAGATCATATCCTCCATGCAGCTTTCTATGTCCTGATTATTGTTTGGAGACTGACGTGATGCAAATTGGGCTGAATAGTTGGTTGGAGACGTTCTTGTTGCCGTGGTGTTTGCTCGTAACGTCTGTTCGATTGCCGTTCAGTTTGGGCTGTCCCCGTGGCTCAAGGCAGTCGGGCTTCAGGATCTGACAATCTCTGCCGCCATGATTGCTCTGTTTTTCATGCTTATGCCTATTCCTCTCCTGTTCTGGGGCAAGAAGGCCAGAGCAAGGACCGCCGAGAAATATCGACGACTGGCGCACGAATTGCCGTCTTATCGTGCCACCTAGTTGAACATTAAGTGCTCTACGGAACGAAAGAGGAAGAGGTGGAAATGCGAAGTATTGTATCGACTGATTTGAGGCCTTGAGGGTGAGACTGAGAGCTCAGTAGTTGCTGTGGTAGGATGGTTTGTGTTCTTTTAATCAGTTATAATAAAATGCGGAATAAGATAACCAAATCACTTGGTATTACATTTTACCTTGATCGTGAAAGAAACATCTAGAGTGCTGTGAGCTTGATATTAATCGACCGACAAGATGCCTCAATGTTATGTTATAAGATGCCGTATATAATCAACTGCGGCGCGATACATAAGCTGTTCTATTATATACAGGCGCCGTCTTATGGCAGGTCCTAGATATCGTCTGGTGCATACCGACTCTGCAACACAAACGTATAGTCCTTTTCAATACTGCCGTCGTCCGCCAGCTCAAGCACGTACGATCCAAAAGCCTCAACCTTTCCCTCCTGGGAGACTCCGTCGAACATGAAAAACACAATGTTTTCTTTGACCTGGGCATTGTACGCCCGCCATTTCCATCCGTTCTTGATCACGATGTTATCGTGCGAACCCTGGATACCGACCTCAAGATCTGGGTATCCTTTGGCCACAAACCCGCCGAAGTGTTGACCAGTCGGCGTCCAAAGACATCTGATTTGTCTTGCTCGGATCTGTGCGTCGGGCTCGTTGAAGGCGCCAATGACTCCATCGGCCAGAGCTTGGGCGTCAACCATGTTTTGTGTGTGTGAAAGAGTGATGCAGTGATATGTTGCTGTTTGATGTATGCCTTGAGACGAAAGAAGTTCCGATCCTGCCTTCTGCTGTTATTTTGCTGGCTGGGTCTCGTGCCCGAAAGAGGTTGATATGCTAACACGGCTCAAGTCACGACAGTTAAGGCAATATACTTCAAAAGGAATGAATAGATATAAGACGGCCAGCTGTTCGAAAGATTGTTGTTCTTATTATTCACCAAGGAACTACCGGGTTTGAATTAGCTGTCGAGCTATATTCACCGTCCGAAACCTTCGCCGTCCGTCTCCATAGCCGAATGGGTAGGAGGTACTTACGGTAATTTAGACGGCACGAAACACGATTACGCCTAGATATCTTTAGGAGTGTCTATCTATCCCTATCAGAACTAGCGAACTAGATAGCCTACAGGTCTAGAAGCGGCCTTGCCCCTGATCTCGAATCAGTCTCGGTCTTAGCCAATGATTCATTATCGTCAAATTTCAATCTTACGACGCAATCAAGCCTTAGCTAGATGAGCTAGAGCACTGTGCAGAATGTGCCATCCTGTTACATTTTAAGAAACTTTAGTCATGTATATGGGCTGTATATCATCCATGAAAATATAGTACCCGAGATTCTGGAAGGTCTGTTCCTAAAGATCCAGCCATCTGCTCCACATCCTCCGCCATCATACTGAACAGGTCCATGTCGAGGTTTGTGGGATAAGTTGAATTTTCTTCGGCAAACCGGACTGATTCTTGATCAGTGTCCGAAGTCGTGTCTGTTGGAGTGTTGTTGACTATATACCCACCTGGCTCACGAAACTCATGACTGGTCTGCAACGGCGATCTGCTTTCTTTCTGCATGGTGCTCTCGAAGATATTGCGAATCCATCCTGCTAAAACGTAGCATTGTTCGAATTGTCGCAAGCTAATCAGATTGGATCGCAGTTTCTGGATCAACAGCTGCCTGAGGTGTCTGTTTGAAGTCTGCGAGCCGATATATTGGATGGTCATGGCAGCAAAAATGGCGGTGATACTACGAAGTTAGATGTATGAGAAGCTGGTAGTCGATGATTAGGTGGTGCGGTACATACACAATCATTGGGAAGCACTCTGGCTTGTAATGTAACAAAGCGTCTTCCACGTCACGGGTGATACTGGATGCATACTCGATTGGATCCGTGTAATCATCCAATCTAGGAGGGTGAGAGGTCCAACTCATGCGCCGAAGTCGTTGGACGAATTCGATTTTCCAATAGCTGTAAATGGGTCAACCCAGTTTAAATCGCAGAATCTGAGTGAGACGTACGTATGGACAATTCTGAGCGTCACAGTCAAATGTGACCCCTGATGGTCGTCGCGCAGAAGCGCTGGCAGACTGTTATACCATAGATCAAGAGTGTTTTGTATTTCTTTCTCAGACGCAATGCGATGGCTTTGCGCCTCGGTCAGGATGATACGTGAAGGCGATAGATGGCAGAAGTAGATGTTCGAAGCTTGCAAAGTTAGATCTCAGGGTTAGACAGCCTCGAAATGGGTGCCCCTACCTATCCGCGAGAGATTGGCCTGAGCCATAACGTATCTTGCAGTGGCCTCGGACTCATCGGGAAAATCTTCAAGAGTAAGCTCCTCGACGTCGCAGTCCAAGTCATTGATCAAACTTGGAGTTCCTGCGGACAATGATACCTGACGGTCACGAATCTCCGTGAGGGTTAGTCAAGTCTGCATCTGCGTCAACTGGATCCGTAGAACTCACGTATAAACACCACCATACTCGTTTCCAGTGTGCCTTGGTGTCTAGCGCCATATGACTCTTGTCAATACTACGATGCATTCCTATAGACTCGGCAAGTCGAACAGCAATAGCAAGCCACCACATGGGATCCCTTATGCCATATGGCTGACCGAACCAGAAATGCAGTAAAAAGGAGCACATCATCTGCAAGCAACGAGTCTCCTCTGGATGTTCATCGAGACATCTTCTGGCACGGGTGAAAAGATCGTCTTTGGCATCGGCGCGGCTTTCAAAGCTCATTCGGTGAAGTATGTTCATATCGCAGTGCACCGAGGCAATGAATAGAACGCAGCGGAGCAATACAATCGGTACGTAGCCGTCCCGAAGAGCCAAGAGGAACTCAGTCTTGTTCAGGATAGGATAGAGGACATGAAAGCGTGTGAAGTAAGCCTCCACCAAGCCATCTCTCAAAGCTTGTGGTGGGAGGTCATCGGGAAGCTGTTCACGCACTGGTTTTTGCCATAAACCACTGTTTGCACCTCCAGGCTCGTGGGTTTGGCCGTGTTGGTCATGCTCGTAGGGGATGTACTGTCGCAGTTTGTCGTTTTCATGATTGCTGGCTCGTAGGAGGAAAGACGCATACCAGCTTTCACCAATGAAGCCAGAGTGTTTCTCGTACAAGGGGGTACGAGGGTCCTGCGTCTCTCGATCTAGCTTGTGTTTATTCAATGTTAACGACACACTTTCCCCATTCTCAGCTGTCTTCACGATGCCCGGACCGTGATGCTTTTGCGAGAAGCAGAGTTTTGTTAGATCCAGACCGTAACCTACTTCGTGGACCGACCTGTCAATTTGCGCATTCCCTGGAGTAGATTGAGTGTCGGGATTGCTGGATGAGGTTTCGGAGAGCGTGCTTGGGGTTTGGCTTCGAGGCGTCTCCGGCAATGTCGTAGTTACGAAGCGGCCAGCCGGGCCTCTGTTTGGGTACACGTTGACATCAAACCGAGAAGTGGTTTCAGGGGGTAGGAGTATAAGAGACACGAGAGGAGGCTTACCTTGCGCGCCTAGTTTCAATGAAACTGCAGTCACTGGCTCGAGCGTGCTGGCAATTCGAGCAAGGGGGCCCGATGCCAGAGGCATCGCATTTGATTCGACGCGCATGACATCTCTTGCATGCTTTCAATCGGCGTGTTCTTGCTCGGGGTGGGTGATGACCAGGAAGCCTCATGTCTTGGTTGTCCCAAGTGATTCTGGGATTCTCCATCGGTGGTGTTGAGTGGTCGCGGTTGATGGATGAGATGGAGGGTTGATCCAGCAGCAGAAAATTAGCAAGGGGAGAGTTAATAATACGGCTCTGGCAGAAGCACGCTAACCATTCGGCTGTGGACCATTCGGCTGTGGTTGGACGGTGCTTAGATGCATCTTTCCCTGATACATGCGGATCGAGACAGCAGTATTGAGAGCCTAATTGGTTCCCGGTATATCTCGTAGTATACCTACCACCTTTTCTCTCGATCAGTTGTAGAAACAAATGATGGTGCCAGCGCGGGCTTGGACTGGGGCAGGACCCAGGAGAAAGAGATTGGGGAACGCCACAGGCATATATCTGATTGTGTGTTCCGGTCTAGAACCTGGGGGCTCCTCATCTGATATCTCGGTCAATCACCTTATCGAGAATTATGATGTCGTCCTCGCAGACAACAACACTTCAGTCTGTCACCAAGGGCAGCTCTTTGCAGGAAGCCGACAATGCAAGGATTTCCAAGCAGTCTCTGCCCAAGCCACCGGTATTTGATGACAAGTACGAAGAACGAGAATATCTCAAAGGTCGATTAGCAGCGACATTCAGACTTTTTGCAAAATACGGCTTCGACGATGGTGTCGCAGGTCATGTTACACTGCGAGATCCTGTTGACCCGGACACATTCTGGGTCAATCCACTAGGAGTGCCCTTTGCCCACCTCAAGCGGTCGGACTTGGTACAACTCGATCACGACGGTGTTATCCTTGCCGGTGGTCCAGTTCGGGTCATCAACAAGGCAGCTTATCTGATTCTTGCTGCAATCCACATGGAGCGTCCCGACGTCAACTGTGCGGCTCACTGCCACAGCATCTACGCTCGTACGTTCTGTGCATTCGGCAAGACTTTGGATATGACAACCCAGGACGCATGCGCGTTCTACAATGTTGGTCAACTCCCATTTCTACTGCTCGAGTTGGTTGCTAATTGCACTCAGGATCATTCGGTCTACGAACAATACCACGGAATCGTCTTGTCGACCGAAGAAGGAGACCGAGTTTCAGAAGCACTTGGAAACAACAAGGCCGTGCTAATGCAACATCATGGCCCGCTCACGGTGGGAAGAACAATCGAGGAAACAGCCTTTTGGTACGCCACCCTGGAGAAGGTTTGCTATAGTCAATTGACGATCGACACTATCGCTGCGGGTCGTGGCATCCCAGTGAAAGCTATCAGCGACGAGGAGGCAATGGACGCATATAAAACGCTGGGAAGTCCCTTTATCGGTTGGTTTGCAGCGCAGCCCATGTACCAGGTAATTCACAAAGAGACGAATGCCGCCTATCTGAGTTGAATTCGATCGAAAGCACCTAGGGATTGATAGTGTTCGACCCAAATAGTCAGTTGCCGGCGAATGCAATAGTTCAGTACAGTGCGTCGTGTTTGCTACAATATCGAAGATACGCCTTTTGCACTGCAGAGGCAGACCGTCTTGGATTTGAAGAGTGCGTTGTGATAGCTCTCGTCTCGTGTCAATTGTCCCATAAAAAGTCGATAATTCCGGCCGCAGTTTCAACTAGTAAGCATTCAGAGATCTCGATTAGCTTCAAGTTTCGCTTAGCATATATAGGGTACCTGGTTTGATACCATAGGCAGTGGTCTTAGGATGCAGAGAAGTGGGTAAGCAACCACTATGTTTAGCTTGCTCCATATCCGTCGTATGATCTTACGAGGAGCGAGGATCAGATTAGGTTTTGCTGCGCCTATGGTGATAAGGGCCAGCGTGTGTCTATTGATCGATAGCAACGTATTCTGACACATGCATCATTCCTAGACCACGATAGCCGATAGCGGGCCATGTTTTCTTGAGGGGTTTGGTTTGTTGAAAAGCATCGATCCATCTTCACAAGGACTCTACCGCTCATCTTCCCTCCACCACGGCCGAAACACATCTTCGAAAATGGTCTCAGTCGGGACAGACTGGAAAGCATTGGCATCCGAAAAGCGCGATGCCGTCCTGGCGCAAATCCCAGATGCATGGAAGATACCAGGTACAATTTCCTCCGCAGACGAAGTGCCGGACGTTACCGGTCCCTACATCCAGCAGTTCCTAGATGCTCGCGAAATCATGGTCACGGAGACCGATGCTGTGGGGATTGTCGAGAAGACTAGTTCTGGTGAATGGACTGCCGTTGAAGTCACCAAAGCATTTTGTCACAGGGCGGCTCTTGCTCATCAATTAGTACGCCTTATTATTTATTTACAAGTCGGACGGTAGTTGATGGTACTCATAGGTGAATTGCCTCCACGAGATATGCTTCGATGCTGCTATCGAGAATGCTCAACAGCTTGACACTTATTTTGCGGAATATAAACAGCCAGTCGGACCACTTCATGGCCTACCTGTGAGCTTAAAGGATCAATTCCATATCAAAGGCATCGAAACAACAATGGGGTATGTGGGCTGGATTGGCACCTTTCAGGGCAACAAGGACGATCCCCGAAGGTTCACCTTCGAAAGCGAACTTGTTAAAGAACTCCGAAATCTTGGTGCTGTCCTCTACTGCAAGACTAGTGTTCCCACGACCTTGATGACCACCGAAACGGTAAATAATATTCTAGGGTATACCTGGAATCCGAGAAATCGGCACCTTTCGTCGGGCGGAAGTTCTGGAGGAGAAGCTGCTCTTATCGCCTTAAAGGGATCTCCTGGAGGGTTTGGAACCGACATTGGCGGCAGTGTTCGGATACCAGCCAGTTATAACGGTCTCTGGGGATTACGTCCCTGTGGAAGGCTGCCTTATGAAGGAGCTGCAACCTCGATCGATGGGCAAAACACGGTGTTATCTGTGGTTGGCCCACTGAGTTCTTCCCTTGGAGGGCTGAAACTCCTGTTCAAAGCTATTCTCCAGCAGCAGCCCTGGCTTCACGATCCGATGGTCATCGAAATACCATGGCGTGAGCCGATCGTGGAGGAGACTCAGAGACTCATTACCAAAGCTAAGTCCACGCCTGGCGTTCTTGCGTTTGGTCTTTTGAGGCATGACGGGATTGTGCACCCAACTCCGCCAGTAGCTCGGGCACTGGGGTCTGTCGTTTCAGCGTTGAGACAAGCGGGACACAAAGTAAGTTCACAGGCTGTGTCCAAGACCTAATTTCTCTGACCATGCATCCAAGATCATCGAATGGGACCCTCCATCGCACAAGCTGGGAGCAAAAATCTTGGTGAGTCAATTACAGATCACCCTGTGAGATGACCGAAATGTTGATGTTATGCCCAGATGGATGCCCTGACAGCCGATGGAGGTGCAGACGTACGCTACCATCTTGGTCTCTCAGGCGAGCCACAACCAGAGCAGATTGGAGTCAACCGACAGCAAGAAGAGCAAAAGAATGTCCTCGAGGTTGCAGCAATCAATATCGCCAAACGGGAGTACAAAAAGGCATATCTGGAGTACTGGAATAGTACTAAAGACCTGACAGACACTGGTCGTCCCGTGGATGCCGTCTTGTGTCCAGTCACGGCCCATTCGCCCATCACCCCCAACAAGAGCCGTAGTATGGAATATACGCTCGTTTCTAGCTTACTGGACTACACTGCTGTTGTCATTCCAGTCACTCATGTCAAAAAGGAGGTCGATCTTCCCCACACGTCAATGGAATACCTGAGTGAGTGGGATAAGCTCGCCCAAACCGAATGTGAGTACCTTGGAAGTGTTATCTTTCAGTTGAGTCAAAATTAACGGGGCTACCAGATGACCCTAAAGTACACTTTAATGGGCCCGTTGGAATACAGCTTCTTGGTCGCTGCCTTGAGGAGGAGAAAATGCTAACATTGGCCGAGTATATCAAAACAGAAGTGCTTGATAGGTAGGAGAATTTTGAGATTCAAGTCAAGGTCTACGCTGAGTTATCCTCACCTGAAGGTTCTCGTGACATTGCTGGATGCTATTCCGAGCCACTATCCGCCAAGATGTAGGACTTCCGACCTATAGTCGCTTTACAACGGCGTTATCCCGTTCATCCAATCTTTGAAGAGGGACATGGCGACATGCAAAGATGTACATATAGACGCTGCAGTATCGAAATTCTGAAATTGAATGCCCAAGTGATGGACAGGCAGTATTGTTTGAAAAGTATCTACAGTAGAAATGAACAAGACAAGAGGACAGGATTAGGGTTATTTCAAGCATCAGGTCAACCACTATAGCGCCCATAACCGTACTGATCAGGGTCCGAATAGTACCAGAGCATCCGAGTAAACCGACTTGAGCATCGAGACCCTGATGGACTGTCGTCGTTTGAGTTCCTTCAAGCAACGGTGCCGACCTTGGCACCTGCAGCAGACATGCCATCATTTGGCTCTAGATACGGGAATCGCTGAGACAACGAGTGTTCCGGAGATTCTGCAAAAGTGAGATTGCCATTCCGTCCAATGTGCACATATGATATTACCTAGGCCAATGGTTGCTTGCACCCGGTTCGGTTCCAATCTGATAGCATTTGAATTACAGTCTATCCGAATCTATCGTTCTGAGGTACATATTGCTCTAAGTACTTCACGCTTCTCTTGAATGTCCAATGCAGGACGATAAGTAGAGGAGTCTACGGAAACAAAAGTTAAGAAGCTTTGGGTGATTTATATAGCAATCCCTAAGTTTTCACACAAGCCCACGCCAGACTCTGCCCCTACTCCGCCCGTGCAAGAACCTCATCCGCCTCCAGACCGGCAGATCAGTTACCTACCTAGTACCCATGGGCAAGGTTCTCACATCACACCACGTTCAACCGGCCATCTTAGCACGGCTATGGTACTATCTTTTCGGAGGTGTAGCTTGCTTGGATGGCTCCGCTGTGACTGTTGATAGACTTGCTATCATTTCGTTCTGCACGCGTGGAGCGATGATAATAGAGTCTTTGTTGCCGAGGAACACAGTGGCATGATATCTCTTGAGATCATCCTTCTACAGTATGTTCCCAGACCAGAAGAAGTACGAGAGAGTGTTTATAAGAGTTTCTTGTTACTTGCTCCATATTATAGGGAAAGTGGTTTCAAACAACTGAGAGGTATTACCATACAGGGTACTTTATTCGGCACTAGGGTTAGCTTCCTGGGTGCTAAAACCCGGCCGGGCCTTGACCGCGCCTAACTCTGTGATTGGCTGATGGCCCGGTGCTCTCCTTAGCTCTCTCTCTCTTATTAGACTCTCTCCTCTTGGCTTTCACACAAATCTCGATACGAATACAAGCCATTATATGTACGGTTCTTGACCCGCCAACACCGCGTTGCCAAAAAAGGGGGAAATGAAAGAAAGGAGTACGTGCGGCCATACTTCAACGAGCAAAAAGGAAAATTTTGAGAGGAGTGGGATTCGAACCCACGCGGGAAAATCCCATGAGAAGGGCTGATTTTCAGTCCAAGTAGGAAACTTGAGTCACACGCCATAACCGCTCGGCCATCCTCCCATGTCAACTTCAGCATTTATGAAGCAATAATTTACTGTCAAAATTGCAAGAATTAATATATGACCTGCAAAGTCTTTTCTTACTAATCAAGCTTGGCATCTCCAGCCTGACCCCAGACCCTAATCTCAAGTTCGTATGGATTTTGATGCGACAATATCTCAGTTATACTACTTGGTTGGGCTGGATCAGAACCCTGCTATACGAGAATTGCTTTCTGCTTTCTCAATTGCTGTCTCATATTTGACCTTCATTGATCAAAGCTGGACTGCCCATGTTCTCTCGCTCGCATCATGGCTGCACACGATGTAAGAAACGTCGTCAGAAATGCGATGAGACAAAGCCAGGCTGCAATCGATGCTCAAAGGCGGGGGTAACGTGCGAGTATAGTGTCACCCTGAAATGGAACGGACGTGTGCCCCGAGATCCCGCTGCATCACGACGCAAAAAGGCGAAGGTGGTAGGACGAGGAAACCAGTCGCCGGAAACCAGACTGTCACTTCACTCAGACTCACGAGGGTCAAGAAACAGCCCTGGGTTGATCGGGGCGGTACAGCAAGCTCACCTGGCCCGTATGCCATCGCAATCTCAGGCGGACAATTTTCTGCTTCACTATTACGTTACCAAGGCTTCACTAATTGCGTCTCATCCACACTTGCGGGATCAATTATGCCATCAGATCCTGCCGATGGCTTACAATACACCATCTCTTATGTATGCAATGATGGCCCTGTCGTCGCTACATCGCATGACGATTATCAATGGAGCGTCGACTCAATTCATCCCTGAGACTATGGTTGCAAACCTCATGTCTCTCAGTCTCCAAAGGCTACGGCAGGAGCTGCAAGAAACCAGGAACCTCGAGGCTAGACTTGCCCTGCTACACACAATCAAGACATTGTGTACATGTGAGATCTATTCTGGCAAAGCTGATACTGCTTGGCGCATTCATGTGGAGGGCGCAAAAGCTCTCATTGAGTCAACTGCGAAGCATTTCGCCAAAGAATTCGCCACAACAGACGCCGCCGGGAACAAGCTACAACGGCAACAGGACTGGCTTACTTCTAGGTGGTATTTCTCTGTCGAAGCTCTGGCTGCATTGACGCGGCGTGGTCTGTCCCGCGGTCAAGTTGATATAAAATCAGACCATATGCAAGGTCCAAGGGCCCTGATATGCCACAATACTCGGATTCAGGAACACTGCTGTCTAGATCTCTATGCGGGGTATTCTTCCGATCTCAATACTGCTTTCAAGGAAATTGGCGCCATTGCATGGGAGCGCGAGCGGCTGGAGGACTGTAAGGCAGCAAGGACACACCAATGGGAGGACACTGACACGGCTAGCTCAGATGAGACAACAGCTGTCGCACCAGATGTCATCGCACAAACATTACCTATGACGGCAGAATCCATGAGCCAACATACTACGATTCTGTCCGAAATAGACATCGAGCGGGAAGCATTCTGGCTCGAGCAATCGATTCGATCAATGATTAGCCGGGATCGTGAAGGTCTCAAGATTCCCACTGATGTCACCTTGAGCGAAGCCGAGATTCGACAGTTCAGCGCTTGCAACCAAGCATATCAGTATTCGGCACTGATCCATATTTATCGGAGGGTAAGACGATTGAGACAAGACTCAATTGAAGTCCAAGAATGTGTTCGGAAAATCATCAGCGCCGTGATCGGTATATTGCCAGTTGTCGAGTTGAGCCCGTGGGCATTGTTGACGACACCACTATTTACTGCAGGGTGAGTCTTACAACCTATTGGAACTACGTTTTGGATTCCAACCCCCGAGGCTGACCGTGGCTACACAGATGTGAGGCTATCGGCCCCAATAGGATGGTGATAAAAGGTCTACTTCAGCAACTCTTTGAAACTTTGCGCATACGTAACATTCTACGAGCGATTAGCATCCTCGAAGACGGTTGGAAACGCGCTGATGACGCCTCTGTCTCACACGATAACCGCACTATGCCAAATGGTGAGCAACAGCCAGCATAATCGGATCCAGTCGCGTGGTTAACCTTGAACAGGAGATATCAATGTGCTCGACTTCATCCCATACTGATACCACGCTAGTCCCGGAAAGGAAACTCGAGGAGATGGCTGGTTGGTGGATCTTCATCCGAATTTTCATCTTCCCAAAGGCTAACGCAGAACTCCGGGTTAGTAGCGACTACATTATTCGAAGAGTTCGGATGTCATAGGGGCACCACGCTCCTGTCTGCATTCGATAGACTCCCTCCTCTGAACCGATGGCGCCGCGAGCTTCAACTCGTGTGAGCATCCGATGGCCACCTGCTCCTGCTTCGGAGCCAACGGACACCCTGGTCTTGAGTGTGGGCGGTTACTACGTTGATCTGAGAGTCAGGAAGAGTGATGGAGAGATCGATTGGGCGTTAGCAGGGGAGAGGATTGTAGACCCTCAACATTCTGGTATGTCTGAACTATCTAGGTTACTGGTCTTCCTCTTTCTTTTGTCGGGGTACTTGATGGTACGATCTATCATCCCTTCTCGTACAAAATTTCTTCGAGATTGGCAAGAGACCACACTCGGGCGAGCGTCTCACCCGACTTCGAAAAGACCCAGCCTTGCTGATAACACCTCCGTCTGCTTCTGCATATGCAGTCTAGCCTACTCTGATGAGCTCTCCATTGCAACTTGCATCCACTAACTCTATCCCCCACAGCCAAAGTCAAATTCACGCACATCATAGACTCCCACCACAACCCCAGCTCATCCGAGCCGGAGCCCGCCCCAGACGTTGGCGATTTCATCAAACTCCCCAACGGCGATGACCTCGAGACAGGCGAGATGCCAAATCCCGATGCCGGTGGTCAAGTCATGCCCTACGAGGAGATATGGCGGGAACTCAAATGGCCCACCGGCAACTCCTGCTGGTTTCTAGAAAGCGTCGACTCCCATGATGCCGAGAAAGGCACCGCTACCACCACAAGGAGGACCAAGACCTTCCACGCAAAGGTAGGAAACTACTATCTCGCATTACGGCAAGTGATCAACGGCGAGGACGTGACGTTTGTCGCTCTACGTCAAGATTATCATATCGACGACGAGGAGGGAAAGGGATGGAAAACGATTTATGAGATTGGGAAGCAACAGCAGCAGCTTCAGCTCGATCGTCTCACGGGGATCGACGAGAGGCTGGGGACAGAGGCGACGGGCTGGAGGGTGGGCGAGAAGGTGGTTGTTGGAAACGAAAGTTATATCGTGAGAGCTTCAGAGTAAAATTCCTATTTTGAATATCACGTGGAAAGCAAGTAGCTGATGTGGAGTATTTCATTGTATGTATTATAAAACTGATCATCTCATGACTCCGCTATGATATCTATGCTGCTGTGATCGTTTTCATATGCACATAATCTCCCTATCTAGTATGCATGCACGTAGTCGGAGCGCCCTCTACGCAACCAGCCAGCTAGCCAAACTCCACCCCAAACCCGTTCAGGGAGTCCAACCATTTCCATCCATTCCTCACTCACTCGCTCATCCACCCAACCCCATTAAACCCACGATCATGAATCCACCGGCACAAACTCCAACAAACAAGTCTGATCCTTCGGCCTGCTCGCAATAATCTGATCATCGATACTCATATCGCCCTTCATGTCAGGCGAAACCACGGTCGTATACCGCAAATACAGCTCGCGCAGCAACGTTTTCATCTCGGTGATGGCGAGGCTCCTACCGATGCAGCCCCTGCCGCCAGCACCGAACGAGAAGAACAGGCGGTTCATTTCGACAAGCCGTTTCTCGTCGTCGAGCCAGCGCTCGGGCACGAAGTGTGTGGGATCGGACGGGCCCCAGATCGAAGCGTTGAGGAGATGGAGTGAGTACGGTTGGCAGCTGACGATCGAGCCCGAGGGAAGGTAGTGGCCCGAGATGTGGCGGCCTGAGGGCCCGGGCACGTAGCGAGGGTGGCTCATGGGGATGGGAGGGAAGAGGCGTAGGCCTTCTTTGATCACGGCGTCAAGGTAGGGGAAATCGTCGAAACGGGCGGTCGGGTTGGAGAGGAGCTCGGCGCGGAGTTTGGTCTGGATGTGTTGGGAGCGGGGTAAGGAGATTTCGTACATGATGAAACAGAGGCTGTCGCCGGTGGTGTCGATGCCGGCGGCCATGTGGTCCATGCATTCGGCGGCCATTTGGATGGTGCTGAGGGACGAAGATTTGGATTGGAGCTTGTGGATCAGGGATGTTTCGGATTCGTTGGTGGTACTGGCGCGGCTGAGGACGTAGTCTTTGGATCGAGGCACTGACTTTGGCGAGAAGATCTTCTTGAGGACGTTGTTCAAGCGAGGCCAGTAGTGTTGGACGAGACGCTGTTTGATGCTGTCGTGATAAGAGAGCTCTTTCATCAGGGGCAGTTCGGACGGGTTGTTGAGAGTGTCGGTGCCGCCAGGATTGAATAGGAAGTGTGAGGCACAGTCCAATGCATAACAGTGCAGGATCACGTAGACATCGAGGTGGCGGCCGACTGATGCTTTGACTTTCTCCATCACGCTCGCAGCCCGCTGTTCGATACCCTTCAGGATCTCAGAACGCATTATATTCGTCATTGCATATCGATCTGCGAACAGCTTCTTCCGTTGAGCGTGGTCTTGCTTATTCAACGTCGAGAACATTGTGCGTTCCCCATACTGCTTGAAAAGATCGTAGAACTCGGTCTTGTCATAGCCACTCCCGCCACTCTGATAGATCTCTTTCATCCCCTCGAGATTCGCAAAAGACACCTCATTTGGTGCTAGTCTCACTACCGGGCCATATCGCTCGTGTAGCGAATGAATCCAAAGCCGGCGGTTCTTCGAAAACTCATGGTACTTGAGAACCAGGGAAGTGAAGTGGGTGTACCACGGCCCAGGTACCCTTGTGGTTCTCTGGATAATGATCGCCGAGATGGAAATGTAGATGAGATACGCAGCCGGTAGAAGGTAAAGAGCGAGCATCTCGAAGGACGTGAAGACGCGTACTATCTTGACTACAAGAGAGTAATGATATGACCAGTCAGGTGGAAGGGAACATGAGGATTTGAGGGTATGAATTCTTGGAACAGCTTTATGCACATTTCTCACATGACTGCCTGGATCTCAATCAGGCAATTGGAGGAGACAACACTTACAACATCTCAATTCTTCATCGTCGTTGAGGTCGATATCTGAGGATGTGGTCCATGTTCCAAAGCGACCCAGATCACTGATACGGGGCATATGGCGCTAGTCCCAATATGTCAAGTCGAGGAGATGATGGAAATGGAAATGTGCGCCTCGGAATTGCAGATCGCCACAATTGGTTCTTCAACCTCAACGATGGAGCTTCACGCCTGTAGATGGGTCGGCATCTTATCAGGCTCGATCTCTAGTGCTTCCAGTTTTCGATATCAAAGATTATGACAGACGACATGCTGTGCAGTGATATAGAAAGGGTTGGACGCTCATCGGAAGTGGTATAATATGCTATCTCTTCTCTTCCCCTTGGTTTGTTCTCTCGTCTCATCATCTCTTAACATACAGTTCTGAGATCAACCATGAAGAGTGAAAGTGGTTTCCCTGCAGATGCGACAGCTGCAGCTGTCATCGAAGAAAGTGATGCGTCGAATGTTCGCCACGATCCTTCGGGACGACCACTGAGCCCGACTCCGACAAACGACAAATACGATCCACTCAATTGGACGACGTTCCAGAAGTACAAATGCATCTTCGTGGTGGTTTTCAGCTATTTTATGCTCACCTACTTTACCACTGCTCCCATCCCATCCTTTGGGTTTCTGGAGACGCAGTTGAACATCGACTATTCACAGGTCAACTGGACTTTTTCAATTCCGTGTCTTGGTCTTGCTACTGGTCCATTGATCGTCGGTGCTCTGGCTGATACCTATGGAAGACGTCCCATATTGATTGCGAGTACGGCGCTTGCAGTTGTCGCAAGTGGTTGCACTGCTATCAAATCAATCAACTATGGGGGCTATATGGCGGCTAGGTTCTTTCAAGGCCTTGGTGCTGGCCCTGCTGCAAACATTGGTCTCGTCATCATCAATGACGTCTCGTGGGAACATCAAAGGGGATTCCGAGTCGGCCTGTGGACGGTAGCGGCGAATTTGGGTACATGCTTGGGTGGTGTCTGTGAGTGATTTGGAACCGACTTCAATCTGGGTGAGATACTAACCGATAAAATAGTCGGTGGCCTTCTTGCAACCTCGGGAGAGTGGGTCGCATATCATGTTACGATACTCTTTTGCGCGCTTTTACTCTGCCAGTGCTTCCTACTGCCAGAGACACTATACCCACGCACTGCTGTGGTGCTCTCAGAGCGCCAAATGTTGGCTTCAAGCAGCACCATCGTCAATGGCTCCGAATTGAACATTCCTCGAACCACGCAATTGGGTTATCTGGTGAGTAGTCCGGGTCCATCTGTGTCTCGGCGTAGAGGCCGCTTGCTGACTACGTGAACAGCATCTCAGGAAAGTTCCTGGCGTCCCGCATCCAAAACCATGGTTGACGATCATCCAATTCTTCGTCCTATTCAAGTATCCCACCATAGTGATCAGTGTCATGGGTTACTGCTTCCTGCAGTACTGGTGGATTACCAGCATCACTACTCTGGTTCCAGCTGCGTACGTTTACGACTCACCGGCGATTCAAGGTGCTCTTCTTATTGGGTTGCTTGTCGGTCTGCTTGCGGCCGAGGTTGTTTGCTCGGGTCGTTTGAGCGATAGCATTGTCGTGAAGCTTACTCGCAGGAATGGTGGCGTGAGAGTTCCTGAAATGCGATTGTGGCTCGGTATGCCTGCAGCGGCGATCTCATCTGTCGGCCTGGTTATCTGGGGTCTCTCGGTCGAAAGGTCCTGGCATTGGATGACCGGACAGGTTGCGTTCTTTTTGTGTAAGTCCTCTCGCATTCCTTCGATCTCTCCACTTGTGTACACTGGCTGATCTCACGGGAACAGATGCCTTGGGACTGCAATCGGGAAACACGGTCCTCTCCGCGTACATCGTCGACAACTACCCTGACTATGCGAACGAGGTCATCACATTCTATTCTGTCATAATCAATGTAAGCCAAGTCCCTCTCAATTTCATCCGAGAATTTCGCAAAGAAGTAACAGTATCCCCTACAGCTCTCAGCATTCATCAACCCATGGTTCATCTACGACTGGGTCGAAGCATCAGGTATGAATCCCATTCTTACCAGAAACCAAACTTAAGAGAGCCTTATATTAACCTCCATGCCCCCGCAGGCTACATCTGGACCTTCGCCGCCCAATGCATCATCTGCTCCTTCGGTCTGATCCCATGCTATATCTTCCTGCAGAAATTCGGCGCTCAACTGCGCGCATCAAGACCGATGTACATGAAACGCGTCGACGGTCTGGCAATCGACGACCAACAAGCCGCGGTGCCGGTGCACGATGCGAGAAACAAGAGCGGTGAAAGTTCGTTTGCGGAGAAGGAGAAGGAGTGAGCGATGTTCTCCTAATGCCATAGGTTCGTTTCGTTATATCTCTATACGGGATATTGGGGACCTATCCAAAATGTGGTTCATAATTCAATATAGGATTATGATCGATCCTATCCAAAATGTGTATTGTTAGGCTACGTAGACTGACAATTAGGCCACATACAAAATGTATGGGAGATTAGGGTTAGCGCGATAAGCAGATACAATAGACTGACAATAGACTTGGACGTAGACTAATAATTCGAGGACGCCGACATGTATTTTGCAATTGAGGCAGCTTGATAGACTGGTCAAGAGCTTGCAAATCCAGGTGTTTGAAACCCTATCTGTATTCGACCGTGTCACCCTATCTATATTCGACCGTGTCACCCTATCT